TTTCTGTTTCTTCAATTTAAATCTAATAACAATATTTCACCCAGTGAGTTACACAACATATTCAAATTAGAGATGATATCAATCAGTATTTATCGAAATTGAGCCTCACTTCAAGTTTTGGCTTGACTTTTCTATCATTTTGAACTTTGAAATTTTTTAAAAATATTCCACCTCCAGGCGAAAAACCGACTCTCCAACACTGGAGCTGATTCATTCAACAGGTACATCACTGTTCATGTCACAAACAATACAAATACTCTACAAATCTCTCACACACACAACGCTCTACGTTTAATTATCAGGAGAGGATCATGTCAAGCAACATCACCCTCACGGTCATATTCAGCGGCTAGGAGTACCACATTTCCGCGTCAAGAGTCAGTCATCAGCACACAACCATAATATTAGTGTTCTACATGGTGAGTAACACTTCATATATCAATTTGAGATACACCTGATCAGTATTTATTGAAAAAGAGCCTTATTTCATGTTTTCGCTGGACCTCTCTATCATTTTGAACTTGGAATTTTTGAGTCCAACATATTTTTAAAAAAAATTTACAAGTCCTCAAAAACCTTGTGTTCCAATTTCATTGCTTCTCTCTGGTTTTACAGTTTGAAACACCAGTCCGATAATAAATAATCATCCTCTCTTCATTTACAACATTAAATTTTTTTTTGGGCCAATTTACCTTCAAAATTCAGAGTGAAATAACTCAACAACCACTTCACATCTTAGAAATTTCAACACCATTAGAAAGCAAATGAAAATTAGCCTAGGATTTGAGTATATCTCGTCCTCAGCAGTTAACTTCGGACCGTGGACAGGACTTATTGAAATCAAAATTTTTTTTTGATAGTAAAGTCGTTAAAATGGCTCAAAAAAAAGAGTAGGTGGAGCCAAACCCCAATGTCATTATCGCAAATCAAGCGCCCCAAAAGACATGCCGCCCGCCAAACCTTTTGCATTTGGTTTGACTTTTTGGATGCGGGTGGTGGTTGACTTCTTTTCTTTGACTTGTTTGGATGAAGACGTGATGCAAGTATGGTTACTAGGGTCCGATTGTGTCTTATCGAACTGTGTCTAATGGTCTGATGTTTGCATTCAGAACTTGTTGATTGGGTGTCGTTCTTGTTATTGAATTCCCATAAAGGTTGAAAAAACATTAGCAAGAAAGTCCTTTTCGAAAACAACTACTAATCCAAAAGTATACATTCATTTATGTACTGAAATATTCTCAGAGTACAGGCCAATAGTTGAGTGATAGCTTGTCAAAGCCTCCAAAATGGCATCTTCGCCACGAATTCTGTCCATGACTTCTAATAATTTTGAGAGTGGTAAATCGTTAGGACACTTTGTTTGATACGAAGAGAATATTTGATAGCTTGTTTCGAACAAATCTTTTTCTGATGTGGACAACTGTTCAACCTTGTGGTTAAATACAGAGAATGCATCGGTAAGTTCAGCATATTTTTGATTTTCCTTATGTTGCTCAATTTCATACAACCACTCATCATCTTGAACAGTACATGACTTGACTAATTCAAACACAGTTTCAATGTGTTTCTGTGGGGGCACATTCTCTTCAATGCACCCAATCCTGTTGACAAAACACAATCTATCAAGTGGTCTCAAAACGAATAGCCCTCTCACGTCAGGATTGTTCAACAAGGTTTTTTCATCTGTCATCATTCTAACATTATATTTCTCGCCATACATTGCTAACTGTTTCGCTCTTGCTGTAATATCACCAGCAATGGAATAGTATCTTAATGAAGTAGTTCCTAAGTTTCCAATCAATGCCTCACCACAACAAACACCAACAGAATGGCTTATTGCAACATTATTATTCTTGTTGTGGTGGTTGTTGGCTAAATCTTGTGAGAGAGCTTTTGAAATTTTCAAAGCAGTTTCAAATGCCTTATTTGCAAGTTTCCCATTATTAGTATTGGATTTGTTTACAGCTAACGATAGTTGCATCTCTTCAATTGAGAATATTTGTAAATCTCCACTAATAGTTTTGGTGATGGCTCCCAATGATTTAAAAACTCTTGCAATGACATTCTCGATTACATCCTTGGAAAGAGATGAAAGTCCCATCAACCGAACAGAAATTACCATACACTCTTTGTGTGAAAGTCCTAATTTGAAAAGAGTGGTATTTTTGGCTTTGTTCAATAATATTGAGGATTTTTCACTAATTGAGGACTTTGATTTCATGGACGATGAATGGTGTCGCTGAGATTCATGGTGATCTTGTTTAGAAAGAAATGAGGAATGCTGTGCTTGAATTGGTTGCACTTGATTTTTCTTATTAGTGGCAGACATTTCATCCATTGAGGAAGTTCCATCCATGTCCTTTAGTTGGGAAAAGACACTTTCTGGAATGAAAGACTTGAATTCATTCTGTAAAAAGAGATGCATCAATTACTCAATAAAAACTCAAAAACAAGATACTTACCAACCAGTAGACCATCTCTCCAAGAGATTTATAAATGGAACTAACTTCTCCAAAGGGTGAACTCGAAAAATGTACTTTATCCAAGTCAAACTTTTTGATAAGGCCTAATTGTCTCTCTAAATATTTCATAGGTTGAGTAATCATCCATCCAATCATTATACTCATGAGTAAACCGATCAGTGAGCAACCTAATGCTACACCCACTGATATTCCTGTGTTTAAATTAGTGGTCTTTTGTAGGTCTTCTTGATACATGACAAAGAAAACATTCCATTTCAAATTCAATATTTCAAACTTAAATCTAGTCACTCTGTAATCACTGCCCTTACTAGTGACTTGAAGTCCCTGAAGAGATGGAGCATTATTCAAATTTCCACCAAATTGAGAAGCAAGTGATTGCATCAAGGCACCAGCTTGTTGATCGATCAAATCATAGAGGTGAACACGTTGGGATGGATTAATAGCACTGCAATTAATGGAGCCTCCTATTACTAAATTATTCTCCTCTGCCACTAATACATAACCTCTCCCAATGAGAGTAATATTTGCTAAGAATTGTTGAATATTCAAAAGACCGACATTAAGCTTTACAATTCCTACAGGCACTTTCTCTCCTAATTGCATGTATATTAAAGGGTTGTAAATCTTGGTGGCATAATAGACGGCAACACTACCAGTAGGTGGCACGTAAGGTGGCCCAAATACCTTATCTGTGTTGTACTTGGCAAATAAATCACTGCTGATATTGTAGTAATCTTGCTGATGAACCTGATACGGCGCTCTAGGTAAGGGAGTTCCCAATGTCACCAATGTTGTGTTCAATACAGGATTGAAAACATAGCCATACTCTCCATAGTACTGTTCGGCAAAGAGTAGTTGTAAATTGGCACCACTTCCTTTTTCAATAATACAAAATACTGCAGATGCTGGAGTTGCAACGAAATAACCAATACTGTTGGCTCTAAAGGAGAGATATTTGGACATGAGATAATATTTTTGAAATGTCGAGTTTTGAGGTGCAACACCTGTGTTGTAATCCATTGCCATAGCATCACCTGCAGCAATTATTGGAGTGAGACGGTCTCTCATGTAATTCATAATTTTTTGTTCAACCGCTATTAAGAAATATGGAATATTTGAAAATATGTACAGATTTGTTACTAATATTCTTGAACCACGCTACTTACAAACAATCAAATCACTGTTCAAAGTATTCAAAGCATTCGAGGATCCAATGTAAGATGCCAACCAAACTGATAAGCAACACAATATTACAAGTACAATAACCGACGCAATAATGACAAAACGAAGGGATAATATTTTGCTAATCTTTGTTACCACTGAGTTCTCTCCGCTCTTTGGTTGTAGAGATTGTTCTTCTAACACTGAAGAAGAAACAGTGTCGTCATCTTCCTTGATAGTCATGATATGAGATTCTTTTTTTTGAAGATCCTTAACGTTAGCAACGTCTTAATTGTACGAGGAGTGAAGATTAGTTGCATATTACCATTCAACCAAGGATGAACTTGTATTTCAAAGAATATTAGTTGTAGTTGGATGGAAGAGATGATGGGTTGTAGGGCCTATAAAAATTGTTGTGGTAGATCATCATCACGGGTTGCCAATGAACTATTTCTTTGTAAATAAATACATCAAATCCCATCAACAAAAGAATCCGTGAATTAGAATTTCAGACGTCTGAAATACATATCTTCCAGCTCCTTCTAATCAAAATGATAAGAGATGAGAAAAAATATTTGTACATCATCTAACGATGAACATACCATCAGAATTGTTCCTGGTATGATAATGATATCGGAAAAGGAGATGTTCAATATCTGTCATGGGTGATGAGAATAATATGATAATAGTGTTCATAGTATTCTTGCAAGTATGATGAAAGCGAATTATCTTCGGTGCTGTTTTTCATTTTTTAAATTTAAATTTTCAAGCAAGCGATTGAAATAATGACGGAAGAGTTGAGAGAAAAAGAGGAAGACATAAAGAAAACTGAGCGTGATATCAAAAATTTGGAAAATCAAATTGAAGATCTCGAAAAACAGATTGAAGAACTTAAACAAGAAAAGGAAATGTTAGGAGAGCAAAGAGCGAATGCCCAACGAAAAAGTCAGAACAGGAGTTGATCTTAAACAACGTCTGGAGCAAAAATTTTCACAAGCCCATCGGATCATCTAAAAGTACCAACTGGGAGAAGTATGTATAGAGGAATTAATCTTTATACTTGGGTCCATGCTACGTGACTTGAAATTATGTTGGCAAATATCCAATTTGAGTACAGTAGCCAGATTAGTCACATCTAGAAAAGACGATTCACAAACAAAAAAATGTGCTGGTCATTAACAGCGTCAATGTGCTTTACCATGCTCGGGGCTATCATGACCACAGATCAAATTCGAAGAACGTTAACTATTCCAAAGGAACTAAGAGATCGAAGTTATTCACAAGTTCTCTTTTTTTTGGCATACACGGCCATGGAGTTTCTCCAATTCTTGCAATACTGCTTTGGTATTGAGGGTACTTGTGGTTCGACGTCCAATGTGACACTCTCCATTGTTGCACACTTTCTCATCTGGACTCAACCCATCGTTCACAATTATTGGTGTCTTAAAAATACAGCTAAGGGAAGAAAGCTCTTTCGATATGCGCTGTGCTGTTCTATTTTAACTTTGGTTGTTGCTACAGTGTGCTTGATCATGGGTTATTTTCATGTCGGCGGATTTGGTGTCAGCACCAATGGATTTGATCCTGTGAATGGTACTCCAGGAAATATTTTAGGAATTGAAATTCAAAATGTGAATAGCAAACTTTGTTCCATGCAAGGTCCTAACCACTTGTATTGGATGTTTCCTTATCATCCTCTTTGGGGACATGGTATTTCTTGGTACGTTTGGATATTACTCGCTGGCTTTCCACATTTCTTTAGATACTCAGTGAAAGACAATGACTTTTTTGGGAAGAGCTGGGTCATGGGATCCGCAGTGGTAGGTGGATGGCTTGTTGCCTTGGTAGTTTCTTTGATGATTGGAACGTTTCATGAAACTCCATCGTATTGGTGTTTGATTTCAGTTCCATGTCTTGCATTGCCCTATATTTGTGCATTTGTAAAACCTCAACGTTTTATAGTGAGAGAAGAACTGTATGTACAGGGACAGGGACCGAGTAGACGCAAAGAAAACTAGTCGACCAGACACTCTCTCTTCAGTGCCTTGATCTCGTCTGAAGTTCATTCAGGGTTAAGAGGAAGGATGGAAAAACTGAGTCAACGCGCTACGATGTGCCCACTATTTATATCACTCTGGTACCACAAAGAAACACAAAGTTACCAAATCAACAATAACAATGACGTAGTAAAATTTGTGCTTGAAGGTTCCAACAAACCAGATTATCTGTCAGCATGTTCTGTCACACTCCTATTTTCAAATCCCGCGTGCGATAGGACTGTGTTAAATTGAACTTCAGTTCTAAAGCATCATTTTCTGACAGCAGAATCAAACATAAAAATTGAAGATGTTAATGCCAAGAGTAAAGAAACACAGCTCTCTTGTTTTTGTTGCTCTTGCAACGCTTTTGGTACTACTGCACCAACACGTACTCACCACAACAACTCCAAAACCCTTCAAAGTCCATACTGCAGACGATGGAGCCATTCACATAACAATTATTGTTGGTGCCATTCAAAAAGAACAACAACTTCCTCCTCTTGATGCTACTTCCAACAAACTTGTACAACAATTCAAGCAAGTGATATCAAACCAGAAAGAACAAGACTTGGCTAAACATTATCTTGACTTTGCCCAAAGTCTCAAATTTGTAAGTAGACAGTGTGTGCTTTGCAAACATGTACAATGTAACCAACAACCTATCGCTTAATTATGTGAACGCAATGCATCACCCCATGTAACCGCCTACAAATATTCTATCTACCCACATGTCTAACATGCCAATTGTTACTCTCTCATTCTTCTATTAACATGATGCTTCACCTACCTGTTTAAAAGATTCATGACGGAATTCCAAATTCATTCTCTCCAGAGGCCATTGCCATGAAATATGAATTAATGGTTCTTATCAAGGACTTTACATTGAAAGCTCAACATCCTGGAGCAGACATGTTGATATCCATTTTGAAAGACTTTTCACATGTGAAACAACAAGCACCGCAACAGCAACAACAGGAATCAGGTGTTAGTTCCCTCTGGATCAATGCCATTAGTACCACCATGAATTTGTTGGATGGAATTGGAACCTACTCTGACAAGGTATCAAAAGCTTCACAATTCATTGGTGGACCAGTTGCTGCAAAACTTGAAAAGTGGAAACTTCACAAATTGAGTCAGATGGCTAAAACAACAGGAACCAAAGTCGATCAATTCACCACTCAAAACATCAAACCCTATGAAGATAAGATTGCCAAGAAAATTGCTCCTGTAGTGAAATCCAAAACATTCCAAGTAGTGAACCGTTCTCTGAATGTTGTAACCAGCGCCATGTCTATCGCGAACGGAATGAAGACTTTGGGGCTTGTAAGGAATATCAAATTGCCTACCTCCTACAAGGCATTGAAACTTCTCTCACTAAAGCTTCGAAACTCGTTCAGAATAGAAAGCAAGTAATGAAGTTGATTACAACAAGACCTCAGAGAGCACTCAAGACATTCACCAAAATGAATCTCTACAACAAGGCCGTGACAGTGTATGGATTCAAGAGCGATTTTTCCACATTGAAAACTGGAATCTTTGGTGAGAAGAAGCAGCCACAACCAAACGCTGGTAAAAGACCAACAGAACCTGCAAGGAGAGTGCAATCTCCTTCTCCCAATAGACAGCCAAGAGCAGTTAGTAACAGACGTACACCTCGTCAACAGAGAAATCAACAACCCAGAAATGTTAGACAACTGAGAGGAAGACCATAAATTTTGGTGTTGCTTTTTGTGAATCTTGGGAAACGGAGAATAAACAGAAGTGAATAAGAATTATCCCAATGAATTGTTATAAAGGAATCAAATAATATGGACCAAATAATCAACGTTGTTCCGCTTATCCTTGACCAATGACTGAATAATATGTGAGCTTCTCAATGAAATGAATGGACGTATATTCGAGGAATCCATTACTTGAAAAATAGCACTTGTGAAGCCTCAGAACTACACACAATTAATTCACCACTGATTTCATTCAAGCACATTCCTCTTGGATTTGAACATTTCGTCTTGTCATCCCGCCCATAATTAGGAAAGGTCAATTTCGAATTTGTGACTTGTTGGAAACCCTTCACAAAAGTGCCATCTCGTGTGAATACTTGAAATCGTGTATTTGCCACATCACTCACAATTAGATATTTTGAAATTCTGTCATACACAATGGTACCAGGTTCTATAAACTCTCCATTGCAGAGTCCTTTTCTTCCAAAGGTTTTCACACAATTCCAATACTTGGTATTCTTTTCATTTTGTCGAAATATTTCAATCGCATGATCTCCATTACTAATGAATAATTCTCCAAAGTCATGACCAATTTCCAAGCTGCAGGGTCGATAGACTTTTATGATTTGAATGAGTTGTCCATTATTCGAGTCCAATATGGAAATGCAATGCTTGTCACTTTGAGAAATAAATACTTGTTGTTTCCAAAGTGCCATTCCTTTCACAAAACCAGAAATTTCGCGTTGCCATAACGGCCCTGCTCGTTCTGATTCGTTAAAAGTTGAATATTTTCGAATCTCTCTAAAATCATATTTAGCCATGACATTTGGCAAGGATGATCTGGAATGGCTTTGAGCATGATACATCACAAGAGCATCATTATAATTTCCATCATAATTTTCTTCAATTCTAATAAATGTCGGCAATGCAAGAGTAGTATACACTGAAGCGATCCATTCACGTGAAAATAGATCGAATAGTTGAATTCTTCCATATAACGAACTGAAGGGATCAGATATTAAAACGCATTGATGATGATAGGAAATTTCAATATCAAAGGGTGTCTTGAAATTATCATTGTCAACAGTGTTGGAAGTGACAATTTGATTGGAGGACAAGGTCAACAAATGTTCAAAATTCATTCCTAATCCTTTGGTCCGTTTAGCTGATCGCATCTTGGTCAATAATTTGGAATATAATTTGTCGATCTCGTAAGACTGTGGTTCAGTATCGTTTAAAGTTGGATTTTCGTTGTTCATCATCGGAATATCCGAATGAAACGGATATAAATGAATGAGTACTAGTATTGGACCAGATTGACCATTCATGCTGTTCATCATTTTTTTGCAACGCGTTTTCTTTTTGCTGTTGTCATTGATTTTACGATATTTAATAGGGTTGGGAATTCTACACGTGAACTGAGAACTCTAGTTTTAAAGCTTTTGCTTCTTTTAAAACATTGCAACAACAACAGTTCGCAGGTATTGACTGTGTACAGCTAGGTTTTCAAGCTAATGTGATATCTGAAAATGGTTTTAGGTCATATCGAAGGCAATTGTTGCATTGTTTCAAAATACTGCACAACTTTTCTTTTAAATGTTTTTCGTATTTCGAAAAGCCATTAATGAAAGGATCATTGAAAAATAGTGTGAAATGCCCACCACACAATGGCTTCATGTGGAGTGTACTTTGATTCTTGATCATGAAAGGTACATAGGTGCTCCTTGATTCCGTGTCTTCCAGACCTGACTCAAATCAACAAAATTCATTCAAACACAGGGCACAAAGTTCAAAATGAAGGAGTGATTTGGTTAAATATTGCCTAAAGTAACGCGTGACACACTTACCCAGTCCTCCATACGAATTGAATCCACAGCAAAATATTGATCCTGACTGGAGACGAATAAACGCTTGCTGATATCCAACAGAAAAATATGTAATACTGTCGTTACAAGGTGTGATAAATGTTGCCTTAACCCATTGTCGTTGATCTCCTACTCTGTAGTGATGTAAAATACATTAGAAAATATGTAAAATAATAATGACCTCATTTTCAATTTCCATTTTCAACAACATACGTATTATTTCCAAGTTCTCCAACTGCATTCCATCTTTGAGTTTAAATTTCGTGTGTGAAAAGAACATATTTTGCGAATAGAGTTGTGAAAATTGCATTCACAATTTGCATTGAACAAAATCTCAGTATTTACACCTACCCAACTCCATATATTTCGTTATCCACTGTTATTGCAATGGTATGATAATATCCACATTCTGCAAATTTAATTCGTTTTCCAATTTCAGTAACTAGGAAAAATGTCGAAGTGGAAGAAAGTTCACTATTTCCGAGCTTGAGAGTCATGACATGTACGATAAAATCGAATATATTTAAACAACTTACCTGTCCGTAGTTATTCGATCCTTTTAAATACAATTCACCACCTGTGGTCAATACCAAAGAATGTGAATCTCCAAAACTGGCATGACAAAATTTCTTGTTCTCATTTACGACGTTATCCCTAATTACAAGTTTTTCAAAATCGTCCGAAAATCCCTTTCCAACAATATACACATCGTTGCTATGGGTAAACAAGGCTATCGCATAAAACCGTCCAATCATTTTCTGAACATGCTTCAAAACATCTGTGCCCACACCCGTATTGATCATTGTAGCAACATCTGGATTTTGTTTGTAATGTTTTGTCAAGACATTATTTGAATTGTATCCACAACCATACAATTGTCCTTCCTCGGTCAATATGGCACAACAATTATAGCAGCAAGTAATCAATTTAATTTTTGGAGCAAATAATCCTGAGAGTGGAACAGAAGCAGGCTGTTGCTGCAAACTCAAACGCATCAATTCCAAATTAGTTGTTGGACTATAATACAATTCATCATCGACAGTGCAAAATAACACAACACCACCTCCTGCAGCCACGAGTTTCAACGGCTTGTGTTTTATTTCGTTCGGAACCGATCTGAGAGAATGGGACGAAGCGTTTCCTATGGATTTCAGATTACGATCCGATTCATATTCATGTCCATATTCACCGGAGATCAAGATGGTGTTGAGAGTTGGAAGAGGTAGAGAGGACATGGCAATATTTTTGAAATTCGAAAAAACTATTTTTATATCGACTAGCAAGGTTACTGAAGAAAGTTGTGCGATAGGGTTTGCAATTCAACAAAAGTACAGCTGGCAGCTCAAACACTTTCAATGTGAAATCGAACAGGACAAGGAGAACTGTGATCATACCAAGTTACTTACTAATCAAGTGAGGACCAAATTGAGAGATTTTGTAAAAAACTCGCGAAATTTGCAGTCAACCTATAATGTCCGGACAGAAAATCGCGAGTTCTCAAAAACAAAAAAAAATCACACGGTCTTCTTCTCCCCAACTCGATAATTTTCAAACCGAAATGCCACTCTCACGAAAGGTCTACGTTCTCGGAGGTTACACCAGCAAATTCATTGGCAAGGGTCATCCAGATTTCATTCACAAGAAACACCCTCTCTTTGGTAAACAAACCAATCCAGATTTGAAATGGTATTTAATCACAGCCATTCAAGAAACACTCAAGATGCATCAATGCAAGGGAGATTTGGTCGATAAGATTTTCGTTGGCAATTTTGCAGGAGAATGTTTTTCCAATCAAGGTCATTTGGGTTCAGGTGTTTCCGAAGCTGATTCTGGATTGTTGTACAAACCTTCGTATCGATTGGAAGCTGCTTGTGCTTCCGGTGGTGGTATGTTTCTTGTCTGTTTTGTTGTGGATAATATATTATGAACTAACTGATGATGAAATCATTTCAAAATCTGAATGATCATTCTCATGGGAAAATATGCACTCGCGAACATCAATGAAACCCACACACAACTCTGCTCATTGCGTGCGCACGCACTCTCTCTCGCATACATCGGATTAAATTCCTCTCTCGTACTCATATCTTGTTGTCTCGCAACATTGGAACCCAATGTTTCCAGTTGCATTCAATGCTGCTGTGGACTCGATTCTGGCTGGAACCAGTCATGTTGCATTGGTCGTTGGTGCTGAAGAACAAAACACTGTGAGTGCAAGAGAAGGTGCTTCTCATTTGGCTAAGGCAGCTGATTTCAATCGACAACGTCCCATTGAGGAATTTACATTCCCAGCTCTGTATGCCATTCGTAAAATGCATTATTTGAAAAAGTATGGAAATTTGGTCCGATCCGAAGATATTGAAGGTGTTGCTTTGAAGGTAAGTTGTCATGAATTCATGTCCGCTCGGCAGCAGCAAACCATGAATTGTGTGATCAATGATGAATAATTGTGGCCTTGGTCAATTCGCTCTGTTGGAAACAAAAAAGGCATATGCTGCTGGTAACAAGAATCCACTTGCTCAAATGTATAGCGTCAAGCTCGATCAACAAGGAGTATTGGAATCTCCAAAATTTTTGAGTAATCCAGAAATTAAGGATGCCCTTAAAATGTGTGAATGTTCTCAAGTCTCTGATGGAGGAGCCGGTTTATTGGTTCTGAGCGAGGAAGGTTTACAAAAATTAGGTGTACCCAAGTCACAAGCTATTGAACTCTTGGCTTCTGAAGTTGCTATTGGAAATTTGTATAATGATACACCAGAGACATTCTCTGACTTGTTGACTACAAGAGCTGCTGCCAAGAAAGCTTATGAAGTGTCTGGAGTATCACCAAAGGATGTTTCTGTGGCTGAAGTGCATGATTGCTTTGCTGTTGCTGAAGTTGGTATGAACGAGGCTCTTGGTTTCAGTAAGCCAGGTGAAGGTGCATTCTTGCACTTGACCAAGCCAATGGTTAATACTGGAGGTGGTTTAATCTCTTTCGGACATCCTGGTAAGTTTGAATCTTTGAAATTTGTTGTTACCAATTCGATTTGTTGTATTGAATATGGTATTTGGAAATGAAAATTCCACCTCATTTTTCATTTGGTATCCATTCAACATTAAGTTGGAGCAACTGGTGTGAAACAAATCAATGAAGTTTACAAGCAAATGAAAGGTAAAGCTGGTGACTATCAATTGAAGAATAGTTTGGAGCTTGGTGTTTGTGCCAACATGGGAGGAAATGACAAGACTTCAGTCGTTTCAATTTTCAAGAATTTGTAAGAGAGAGAATTAAGGCGTTCGTTCATGTGAACACACAACCGGAATGAATTTCAATTTTTGAAACAACATAAATTTAATACAGTATTCATGAAAAAAAACTAATCATTATGTTTCCGTTCAAAAATCCCTTAAGGAACTGTTATTGTCTTGTTTGTGGAATCTTTAACAGAGTTCAAAAAATCAATAACCATTGGTGTATGTGGTGAAGTACCGAATTGTTGCAATAAAAACTTGGCAATATTGTCGTCGATGAGTGTTTTCTTGTGATTCGTATTTGGATTTTCTTTCAGTAATTTGGACCAATGTTCGTGAAAGGCAAGAGCAAATTGAAAAAGATGCATCGTATTTTGTCTGTCATTTCTAAGTTTTTGCAATAATTCAAGCAAGAACGAACTGTCTGGATCAATGGAACGGAAGAATATATCAGCCGTAATGTTGGCTATTAGAGCAGTATTATTTGCAGTATTGCTATGTCGAATCAAAATGGTAATCATTGTGACAAAATTCGCAAGCTCAGCTTTAGCATAGGACCTATGCCTAATTCTGCTGGCATCAAGGAGTTTTTTCAACCACAAAAATGCTTTTCCTGCTTGATTCGTGTTAATATATCCGACCATGATTAAGGCAAAGTCTTCAAATGTGGGTTTCACTGTGCTTCTAGGATTGTTTCTGAGGCTCAAAAGTAAATGTTCTGCCTTTTCAGGAGCCTTAAATTCAAAGATATACTTTTTGATAATTTCTGATAACTCATTTCGAGTGACCATGTTGCTAGCTACAAGCATGTCAAATAATCTCTGTGAAATTTCTAAACTATTCGGATTCATCAAGTAGGAGGATAAAGTCTTGGAATTCCAAATGATATCAAACTTTTCTGCAAATAATTTAGTGTTGAAAATATGAGAGATGTTTCCTTGCTTAGCAGTTGTTGAATAATATTGTGCATATTTGTGAAACAATTCAATTCGGTAGGCTCGTTCTTCACTAATAAACCTGTACAATAATCTAATTGGCCCCTTGTGTTGAGAAAAGTGATAGACAAACGAGTTCATGATTTGAGTTCTCAATTCGAGGGTGTTTTTTAAATGTTCCAATAAAGCCTTTTCTCCAGACGATGATGCTGTTGTATGATCTATTCTTAGCGAGTTCAAAATAGCTCTTCCTAGAGAGGTCATATTATCAAAAACTGACAGTGAAGAATATGATTCAAAGAGAGGATCGTACACACGAGATAATTTCAAATTAATATTCTGCCTTGGTTTAGTACTTGAATTGGTATTGTCATTTTTCTTTCCATAGTCTATTGAATGTAAATATGAAAACACCAGCAGCAAATTAAATTTGTAATGTTCCATGAAGGTAAAATGCTGAATTACTCTGTGAATTGTTGCCTCCGATAGATATTCTCCATATCTTTGTGCAAGCATGAATATTCTATCACAGATTGTGAAGGTCATATTGTCCAATTTAGATGAAGAATATAAATCCAACCTCGGAATAATTTCCTTTTCATCTGCATTGCCACGTAATCTGGAAGAATTGAAATCGGACCTTATCTTTTCATTCTTCTTGATGAATGAGAGAATAAGAAGCGTAATTCTCTCTCTGAGATCGTCATTGGAGATGTTGTTGAGCGAAGATTGCATTGTGGTAGTATTATTATTATTCGTTGCTGATGTTTTTGTAGTATTGGGGTTGACCCATCCTGCTGGTTCTAAATCCTCCAACTTGTTTGTTGTAGACGAAGACATTTTACCCTCCGGTGATGACGACACTCCCATATTATTTTCATGAATATTTCCAGTGTTGGAACTATATCGGAACAATGAATGGTGATAAGATGAAAATGTTCTTGTGGGAGAAAATATTTGTTTGGTTTCAGAACGACTTGTGGTAGCCTTCAATATTCTTTCATAAGAGCGAGAGGGTAATTGCCAATACCATCCCAACGACCGCTTCATTTTTTTCTTTTTTTTAAATTTATTTAATTCATAATCAACAAGTCATGATGATCAATTCCAATAATAATACACACTATGATATTTTGTACATTCAAACAAAGTTACGTCACCCACACTTTGATGACGCAAGCATTTTCACCGAGCGATGAACCATTTTCTTTGGTCATAAATTCAAATAATAAAAAAAAATAGCTCAACAACGATGATTGAAACAACAAACAATGAAGCACTCATGATACACACGCCAAATATGTGGGAAGAATTGCCGTTAGAAATTCTCAATTACATTTTGGAATATTTGGATCCGAGAAATTTGGTGAATTTGATGTGTGTTTCTTCTCAAATTCGGTTGATGGCCATCAAATTTTTACTGATGGGTCTCGGAGAGAAGGAATATATGAATGAACGATTACGTAACATGAACAAGCCTAATAGTAATTTGCTAATACCCAATGAATTAGGGGGAAATAGTTTAATTTCCTTCCTTGATGTCTTGTTATCAGAACAGAAGAACGACGAGGATACACAACAGTTGTTTCTTCCGAGAATTAATTTGAGCATCTTTTCAGCTCCAACATTATGGTCCACATTGAACAAACTTGAAAGTGTAATTGAGAAATATCATGTCATCGAGTTGGTGTTGAATTTACACGAATCCGATGATGTCATTCGATGGCTTAACAAGACACTGAGCAAGAATTCTATGAAAACCATTACTCGCTTGACTGTCATGTATCCATCCAAAAGAGGTTTCTACCATGATCCCAAACGCGATGAATTGGTGTTGCCAAATAACAGACCTCTCAAGGGTATGTTGTGTTTGTCAAAAACAAATTGTGATCACCTTTACCGATTTCATCACTTCAAACACTTAAAGTATTGAACGGTTTTTTCGTCACGAGTGAAAAAAGTCTCCAAAATCTTTGCCTAAACCGAGAATTGTGTCTCAGTTTACAAGTTCTCACAATTTCCTGTTCCTATTTATTTCATTTTGTTGACAAGCATTTTAATTTACTTGACCATGCATTGAGGACCGTGTTAAAATCAATGCCAAACCTGACAACACTTTATTTTGAACTTTCTACCCAATCACGTATTTCAGTTGATGATGAAATGGTTCAATTATTAGAGTCAACCAAATTGAAAGTGTTTCGAATAGAGTCGAGCCAATCTATTTTCCTGCAAAAACTGACAGAGAAATCTTTAGCTACATGTTTGCCACACATTGAAGAGTTACACTTAAACGTCAATTTTAATGGTCCATCCTCTTCATATAGTCACACTGCTACCACACCAGTTTATCACAATGAAGCATTAGAAGCTTTTTTCCCACCACGCCCTTTGAAATACTTATTTTACTGCCACTCTGCTGCAACAGGAGCATTGGTGATGAAAATTCCACAAATTGAAACATTATTTATATACACTCAGTATTCTGCAAAGGGAGATGACTTTCCATCCTTGAAAGTGCAACGGTTAATTGTAAAAGGATATCATGACTATTTGAAAGAAATTTGCTTGACAGATCTTTTCCCTTATACTAGAGAGATTGTATTTTATGACTCCACTGTCAAGTGTTCTACGATATGCAACCCAAAAAGAGGGGCAAAGAATGCGCTTGAATCTGTTACTCTTGAGCATTGCTCATTAGACATCACTGATTCGAATCAAATTGCTGCTTTAATTTCTCAGTTACGATCATTTAAAGCATGGAAAACAGTGTTTTACTCAAACCAAATTTCTAATGACCCTACCGTTGTTACCATTGAAAAACAACAACGAATTTCAGCTCTGCAAGAACGGAGAAAAACCATCGAAAAAGTGTGTGACGCACAGTTGCAAACATTGATTGTAAAAGATTGTCAGAGCTTTTATGACTTCTTTTTAATTGCAATACTATCTCTTAATATGCCACATTTAAAGAGAATTCGACTGGAAAATTCATATTCAGTCTCGGAGGATGAATTACAAATTTTGTTTGAAAGTATTCGAGGAGCAAATTTAATGAGTTCTCTGATTATTGGGCCAAAATTTAAGAATAATTTAATTATGGAGTATCTGGAAATGATTCATTGTTTCGATATTAATAGTAACACCCATGATATATTGAAGAATAATGACATTCAGTTGGCATTCAATGGTCCATGTATTACATGTGAACTATTTAATCTGCTTTCCAATGAAATGTTGGAACAAATTTCAGTAATTTCATTACCCGATGCAATGCTTGAGTGTGATAAATTTACGGAGATTTTGGATCGTTTAAATCCAAACAAACTCAAAAAGTTGCAAATTAATTTTGGAAACAGTGGGCCTACACTCGAATTTTTCAAGCATCTCAAGCGATTCTCAATGTTAGAGCAAGTATATATCAGCGGAAAAGCTAAACCAACCTCAGACTCGGAACATGAACTTTTTAAACCTTTTTTGTGTCAAGACATACTTCATGAAATGGCAAAATTGACCATTTTCTTTTTTGACTGCCCTGATTGGTGTAAATTCTCCACCGTTGAGGTGGAATTGTTGAAAAAGCAATTGAGAAGTTTGAATCGATCGGCACCCAAATTATTACTTCCATTCGATAACGTGAATTCGGATTATTCCATGGATCCAAACAAGAAGAAGCAGACAACAACCTGGTCTGGCAGCTTTTGTGAAATTCAATAAGTAAATAATAGCATACATGGATGACATGATTATAGAGAGCCAACACGTTGAGATTGGAACTGTGTTCGAATCCTTTTTTAGTCGAATTGTCAAACACCATTTTTCTCTTCACAAACAAAATGAGTCGAAGAGATTTTGATGACGCCACTCGCGGAGGAGATGACACAACCACTACTGCCATAGAAACGACCAAACTCTACTCATTGCATCGGATCAAACTGTTCAAACTGTTTACTTCTCTCAATACGTTATTTACGCTCATTGTTATCATTTACATGATCGTTGTATGTATTTCTTGATACCCCATTGATTTTTTAATATATATATTTTTCTTTCTATTAAATTATCATTGCGTTTCTTCCATCACGAAACTGCGCAACAAGACTTTTATCATTCTCGGAGTTCAATTACAAGGACATCCAACGAATGGCTCCATCTATTCCATCCTCACTTGGACTTCCTATCTCAGTTACGTTCTGGAAGCTATTGAGAGTTGCTGCTTGGTTACTTGCATCATGGGATTAGTTGCCTCATTCACAAAGCCTTCCGCTGCTTGTAATCGATTCTTAATCATTCCTTACATCTTGGGTTGCTTGGTAAAATTATTGATGGAATGGGGTTTGATCATGTCCACTTCGGGAGCCATGACTGCTCTCGCTGGTCATGAGAGTGTCGTGTACGTTGCTATTGTGGTTGCCATCATTGATGCTGTATGGAATTTGCTTGCCTTGATTTTCAGTGTGGTTCATGCTGTGTATTTGTTTGGTGTTCGTAGAAATATGAAACTTGTGAAATAAGAGATTTGTGTTTTTCAAGGTACTCTTTCTGTACACAAGAATAAGAATATTCAAATACACCAGAAATTAGTAATGACATGAACATTTGAAAATTGTTTTTTTTTGGGTTGGAATTCATGAATATAATAACAAGTACATTTGACTTGCACGAGTATTCAACACATATGGACTAGATCTGAATGAAATGAATCAATGAGCTCATTTACTTGTTCTTTACGTAAGCATTGAATGGATTAGCAGTTGGGTCATCCTCTCGATGATCAAAACGACCCATCATGTGTGGAATATTCACCGAATGATCCTTCATGACAATATCTTGATTTTCACCTTGTCGAGCACAGTGCTTATCATACCAATTCCACATCTCTGCAGTAGGTACATGATTATCAAAGGCTCCTCCTTGAGCTGAAGCTTGATATCTATTAATGATAAAGGCCGTAGTGGCAGCACACACGGAAAGCAAGACTTGAACATGGGGCTTTCTGAGAAAATATCCTCGAGTATTGAAATCGACTGGGTGCATGTTGTTGTTGTTGTTGGGTGTGTATTGAGTTGGTCTATGTGTAATAATTTGTTGTTATTGTTTTCTCATGTCTCGAATGAAGTATTGATACCCTCCATATATTCAGTAGTCATCATGATGCAACATATAAGCGGACCGCCTTAATACGCCGACTAGCAGGAAAGTAGGCGAAGTGCAGTCAATGAGCAATGGATTGAATTAAGGTTGATCCTTACTATCGATGAAAAAAGAAGGAGGGCCAACTTGGATGGTGATTCTCCGGTATTCATCGCCGCTTGAAAGAATCGGCCCTGAGTGATTGGACCGATTCTTTCCAATAGAATTCTCTTTTGTAATTTCAACTCCAACAAGGCTGCATGAATGAATATATTGGAGTACAATTTGTTAAAGAAACATGTGCACCAGCGTTGGAGCAAGACATGACAAACAAAAGCTTCAAGTTGAGTGAAGAACATTCTCGCAATTTACAACCAAATATACATTTGTGTCACATCTTGGGATGTCTTAATTGCATTGGGTGGATGATGCGAGAAGTGAGCATTCTCTCCAACATTAAAACTTCCTCACGATTTGCCATTGCGTACAAATTCACTAGTTTCAGCGCATCCCAAATTAGTATTAATCCACACAAAAAAACGATTAATTTAAAATCAACAAGAAAAAAGTGAAACAACTTGCATTCAACACCAACCACCATAATTTGATCGTACTTTCATTGTTATTGATTGGTATCATCATTGCTGGATTATTATTACACTCTAACCTTCCTTCCGAACCATCTTCCATCTTTCCCGAAATTCAATCATCATCATCGTCCAACAATCATCCAGATGACCCAACCTTTCATTAAAATCATCAAGACCATTTTAGGACGTGAACAATCGGAAGGACAAGGTGCTCGAGTCATTCGAACCATCGGAGGACAAGTTTCGTATCATGATCCGTTTTTATTACTTGATGAATTTAAGGTTTCAAAACCTGCGGGATTTCCGAATCATCCTCATCGAGGTTTTGAAACAGTGACATACATGCTTGACGGTTCTTTCAAACATCGAGATAATCAGGGAAATCAAGGAGTGATTGGTCCAGGAGATATTCAATGGATGACAGCTGGCAGAGGTGTGGTGCATTCTGAAATGCCAGAAGGTTCCGGTGTGAATACTGGAATGCAGTTATGGGTCAATTTGAAAGCTAAAGATAAGATGGTAGAGCCACAATATCAAGATTTAAGAGCTTGTGACATTCCAAAAAAGAATATCGATGAATTTACAACCATTTCCGTCATTGGTGGAAAGAGTCAATCGGTAGAAATTGAAAGTCCCTTAAAACTTAGAACCAAAGTGTTGTATTTTGATGTCAAAATGACAAAGAATGGACACATTTATAGAGAAATTATTCCAAAAGGTTATCAAGGATTTGTGTATGTTATTAAGGGATCTGGAAAATTGCGTCAAGATCAAAACAAGTTTGAACAAGCTCCAGAAAAATCAGCTCTACTTTTTAAGGAGACGACACAGGATCAGGCTTTTGAATTTGAGACTACGTCAGATGTCACACAATTTGTATTGATTGCTGGTGAGCCAATGAATGAACCTATGGCTCGATATGGACCATTTGTCATGAATACGCAAGAAGAGATTTCTCAAGCCTTTGAAGATTATCACTCTGGAAAGTTTAAATAATCATGTTGCTGACATGTTTCAACAAGATTGTTCCATTCAATCATTTGTACATAGATCTAATTCTATTAAAAAATAGAAGATTTCATAATTTCGTTGGCATGTGTTCTTTTGCGTAAATCTTCGAAGTCTTCATTAGTTGTTTTCAATGCATTTTCGTCAACTCATTCACACGAATCCAACAACTACTTGTTACTCTTTTTAAATTGTTTTTTCACATATTTTCTCAACGTGGCTGAGACGCTCTGTCGAACTAACTGCTTCTGTGGAGCATTATTCATCATGATGGAAGAGGATAGCATGACACCAAATTCCTCCTCTGACAGGTTTTGTTGCGCGTCATTACCAGCTCCAACACTAAGAGAAGGTAATTGAAAATTGCGTGCTTGATTGCCAATACTACTATTACTCGTCGTTGTGTTGGTCGATACTGAAGAAATACTAATATTGGGATTGACAAAGATTTGAGCGGTCGATGTGGTACTCGTTGAAATGACATTCTTGTGACTAGTGTTACTCTCATATTTTCCTTCTTCAATATTTCTCTTAATAATTTCACTCAATAACGCTTCAAAACTTTCTTGGATATTCCAATTTTCAATGGCACTAACCACATAGAATGGACAATGAGAACTCTCTCCCAATGTATAACCATATTCGGCATTGACAGTTTTGGCATGTGACAGAGGTTCATCAATCTTATTCATAACAATAACCATGGGTGGAAATGCAGGTGGAAACAGTGTTGGATCTGGAGGCAACACATAACTTGACGAGGTCGAACTCGCTCCAGTCGTATCCGTGGAAATGCCACTTGTCACAGAATCACGTCTCGAACTAGCACCATTTGAATCCAATTCTGAACCATTTTTAAAATAAGCTGTCTTACATTCCTCAATCAAAATTTGAAGTTGAGCAAAGGACGATTTATCATTCATGTCAAACACGAGCATGAAACCATCCATTCCAGAAAGGTCAGAAACTTGTTTTCGTGTCACAGATTGTCCACTCGTATCGACAATGGTCACACGACAAATGACATCTTGTTCAAATGTATAAGAAATGTCAGAAATTAAGCTGTGAAAGGGATGAACGGCAGCAATGTCCACATTTTCTGAATGATTATTCAATTCTGTACCCACATGCTTTCCAGGAGAATGTGAAATTTCTAAATGATGATTCGATCCATGATGTAACTGTTCCATTAAATCTTGATTAGGAGAAGCACTCGTTGGTGAATGAGCTGCAGTAAGATGAGAATGATGGATTGAAGAATTTCCAGAAGGACTCGCAGTTGTGGAATCTTTTCTCTTTTTGAAAAACGAAAACTTTCTCGATTTTGATTGTTTTTGCTTTTCTTCTTGTTCTGCTTGCAATTCATCTTTTTGTTGCTTAATGGATAATAGTGTATCATCCAATTTCATAAAATCTCTCAATTCTTGAGGAATAATTTCCAAGTCATGTGCCATTTGTTTATATCCATAAATGTCACCTTTTGGATTTTCCTTAATTGGAACTCCATTATTTGAGAGAGAAGTCAAATTGGAAGTAGATTCTTGGGAAGGTGGAGCTGGCATTCGGAATGTAAATTGCACTTTGGTCACGTATTCATCTTCGATGGTTGGTTCGTGATCGAGTGGAACTTGTTCCTTTCCAACACATCCTGTCATGCATATTCAATACAATTATTTACATTGCATCCATATAAACCCAACAATATGGAATGAAACCATTTCAAATATTCATATGAAAATTAAATTAAGTAATAATATTTACATAATAATATTAAATATTGAAATCAATAATTAAAAAAATTTACAAACACATTGAATAACACAAAAATTAGGACAAAATAATATAATGAAACCTACTTTGAGCAATGCAACTCTTTCCAACGCTTTCAGCTCCCAAAATTGCAATTTTAAAATCATGAAAGAATGGAATTCCCCGAATGGTTCTTCTTCTGTCTTGTTGTATCGATTGACGTTGTTGAAGAGAATGCCGAAGAGAGAATCTTTGAATGAGATTGGGCATTGAGAAAGACGTTAATGATGATGAAGTGTTGTTGGATGACGGCAGGAGATGTTGTTGTGATTGGTTGTTGGCAGGTCTTTGTGGCCAAAAGATGCAATTTTTTTGAAATGAAATGACAAGTGACAACTAACGTAAATTTGTCGAAGATTATTTCCAAACAAGAGCATACTGTAAATTTATGAACATTTACCTCTAACCTCACTCCAAACTTAAAATCCAAACAATATTCAGTATTCCAAAAAATTTTTAATATTTAAAATTGTTGTATCGTAAATTACTGAAACTTTTTTATTGCTGACGATTGTTGGACTTTTTTTCCACCATATGACAATTCCACTTCTTCAAAATTTCCTTACAACTCCTAATCACTACCTTGTATATAAATTCATATTGATTTTCTGTTTGAACCATTCCAGCTCGATGTTCTTTCAATTTTTTCACAATATTAAAAATATTAAATGGAAATGCAGGAATATTCACACAAGGTGTTGTTGTGGTTGGGAATGATTGAGGTGACGAAGCGGTAGTAGTCGTATTTTGAAGAGAACCTTTCACAACATGTTGTGAACTTGTGGTTGGAGGTGGCAATGGAGATTTGTTGTTCAACATGACATATTTCAAGACATGTGCCTTAAATTGTTTGAGAGCGCAATCCACTGCACAAAACGTTCCAGTTCGTCCAATACCAGCTGAACAATGAACTACAAGTGGTCCTATATTGTCGAGAACACTTCCCTGTAACAATTGAGCAGTATGGAAGGGAAGTTGATGAGACGACGACAATACAGATTTCAATGAAAAGAGCTCATTCTTTCTCTTTTCGAAAATATCATTGATGTGATCAATGACTTTCATAATTGTTGGAATTTGGGTAGGAACACTTTGATCGACCCATCCAACATATTGTAATAAATAAACTTTTCGTTGATCTAAAATTTCATCATGATCATCATTTGAGGATGGAGGAACACTCGTGGCTGAAGAGGGTTGAGAAGATGCTTTCGATCTCTTCAATTTTAGAATAATGACTCGTTGCATGAGTTCTTTTGGAATGATCCATTTCACAGCTTCTTCATTGTCATCATTTTTAGGAATGGTTACTTCGAGTTTCCATTTTTGAGTATTGGTTGTGATACTCTTGGGAGGTGTCACATCAATCAGGAATGAATCGGTTGTGTTGTTTTTCATTCCTGTCACGGAGAGCATATTTCGAGGAGAGACGCCATCCAGAGAGGAAGCAGTGGTCAATGTCGACGAGAGTATGAATGGATTTTGATTCGAACCTGAATTATTTGGTGTTGGATAATAAATGGCACATTTTACACCAGTTTCTTCTTGTTCTCGACCAATCATTAAAATCACATGAGAATTACTTTGATAAATCATTTTCCAAAAATGTGCTGCAGTGTAAGGAAGAGGACCTTGTGTACAAATATAATCGACCATATTCACACGTTCGGCAAGTTCTTCTCGTTCCTTTCGAGTCGTTCCATAATTATTGGAAGTTGATGTTGTTGTTGAGGAGGCAGAAGTAATACTGAGTGGAGAAGAAACCATTGAAAATTCATCCCAATTAAATAAAAATTCTTTTCTTGCTTTGATGAGATTGGCATTAATGTAATCTTCTTCCCATGTCGAAAGAATTTCTGCATTCGGAGAAACCACTCGATTGTTGTTGTTACTGCTGTTATTCGTATTATTACCGCTACTACTCGTGGTTGTCGAGTGACTACTCGTAATGGAAATTGGACTTTGTTGTTGAGGTGTGACTCCTTGCGATTGACTCGAAAGAAGAGCAAAATTGGAAAGAGGTAAATTCATCGATGAAGATGTGAAATTCACATGCAACACGGGACCAATTCCCTTGTATAATTTGAATCGAGTATCATCATTGGGCAACACATTGCTGTATCGATTCATATCCATGTATTTCAAACCTGTTCGAAAATAGAGACGTTTGTGAAGCCATGTCACCACGTCAATTTCTTCCAATTCTTCAAACTCTCGAATGAGTCTTGGACATTGGTGCGAATTTGGATTTTCAAAAAGTGATTCTAATTGTTCTTTTAACAATTCTGGATCAGTGGTGGCCAAAGGTGATGAAACACGAGAATCCTCGTCGTCCTGACTCAATACATGACGTTCCAATGAATAAACAGGTGGTCTTGCTGGCACACAATGCTTATTGTAATGATAGGGATTATTGCCACTTTTAAGTGTTGGAGGCATCATGAATGAAATGGATTTTCCTGAATGTGGACTCTTTGTTGGAGTTCCAGATGGCTTGCTATTCGTATTTGGAGATAGTTTAGTATTATCTTCTTGTGGATGATTGAGGTTGCCTTGTTTAGATAAACCTCCAAGGGATAGTGCTGGTGAATCAGAATTGTCATCTGTCATGGCACGTGTATTTGAGTTAGTGGCTGGTAAATGGAGTGTGGAAAGTTTTTTCTCTTTCGATTTAAAAGGAGTGTTCACTTGGAGTGTTAATGCATCGTCCATATCTTCGTCATCATCGACGATCGTTGTTGACTTTCGTGTGAAAGAGTTGTTTCCAATCGATAAAGTGAGATCCAATTCATCGTCGTCACCAATGGGTTGAACCACAGAAGCTCTCTTTTCATGGTGAAATCTGTGTGAACGATTTTGTGATGAATTCTGTGTCGAGCTATCGTCTTCATCGTCATCATCAGAAAACACTTGACCATCGACTTCTTTCGAAAAACTCATATTTCTTGTATGAATGTAAATTTGTTCCTTATTGGTTGATGATGTATTGTTTTGATTCGAAGAGGATGATTTGTTATAAATGGTTCCAAACCGTTGTTTGGTTAAATTGAGTTTGGACAATCCCAATTCTTCATCCGTGTCACTATGATCACCATGTTGATGTGACAGATTCGAAGACACACTCGCGTTTGGAACTTGTAACGTATTGTTGTGATGATGAGTGTCATAACTATTCACCAAATTGGATCCAATTCGCTTGGGTGTAATCATGAAAGAATGTTGCATGACCGAAGTCAATGTTGGTTTCTTGAGAGCACTTAGATCCAACATGGCCATATTTGGAAACCTAGAAGACAAACTCGAAGATGAAGAAACTGAAGAACTTATTTCACTCAAATCTTTTCTCGAGTTGGATTGGCTCGTAGACATGTCTCCCTCATCCTCTTCGTCATCACCCTCCTCTTCTTCATACACCTCTTCATCCTGCATTACATCGTCCAATTTGACACTTGACAGTTTACGACTGTTATTTCGAATGACCAACACGGTCTCATCTTCCTCCTCCTCATCATCATCAATAACTTCTCCGTCTACAACATCCACCATCGCTTCGGTTGCACTCGAATCTACGCTCATGTCCATCTTGTTCGACGATTTTAATTTTTCAGAAAGAGTACTCGTCGAACTTCCTCGAATATTTCCAAGGAATGGTTTCGTTCGTTGTAGTGGAGAAGAACACGAATCTGATGATGATGTTGTTGTTGTTTGTGTTGTTGTAGAATTGGAAATTGAATTTAAATGATGAGTTGTTGTAGTTGCGGAATTGGAAAAATTATTATTGTTACTCGATGATGATGATTTAGAATCAAAGTTATGGATGTGATACAGCGTAGGAGGCGATTGAGGAGAGGTTGTTGTAGTAGAAGGAACGGAAAGAAAAGATGATGAAGTGGAGTTGTCAAATGTCGTTGTCGGTTGGCCACTCATTTTTCATTATTTTTTTTTGGATATCTGAAATGAATGATGCAAGAATGGAAGTAAAAGTTGATGAGAGTTAGCCAACTCTGAAATGGTCCTTTATTTTTCACACTCTCGTTGAAAAGTCGTTGAATTTTGGTTTCAAACAGCTGCATGTATTGTTGTATTAGAAACTACAAGTGTACATGAATGGAATCCTAAAAAGAAAAATATGGCACACTGACCAATGAAAATATTAAGATTTCCTTAATTCATCATCATTGCTTTTGGAAACACCAACGAATGAAAATTGATCAAAAAAAAATCGATTGAGCATTTCTTTACAACAACAACAAAAAAATATCATATCATTGATATCGAGCTTATCCACTCTCGGGATACCATCACAAAGTACTCCAATAATTATTATCAACATAATTTTTCTCCAGTTAATTCTTTATCCTTCACCATGAGTCATTCCGAGGATTATATTCAAATCATTCCGAGTCCCTATAATTCGGATTGGAACATGGTAAGAATGTACTCTCCGGATCGTATCAGTGGAATTTGTGAGGTTCATCTCCATGGTGCTCATCTGACGAGTTATAAATGTCGTGCCAAGCCTTCCTTTTCATCAATGGCTTCATCAGAAGAACAATCAATCATTACAAGAGTATCGGATCAAGATGAATTAATGTTTGTTAGCGAAAAGGCTTTATTTGCAACGGATAAGGCTATTCGTGGAGGTACTCCTATTTGTTTTCCTCAATTTTCGGATAAGGGTCGTTTGAGTATGAGTCATGGATTTGCGAGAAATGTGCCATGGGAATGTGTAACAACAACAGGTGTATCCAATGATTCAGCGACCGTCGCTACATTGAGAATGATTAAGAGCTCGAGTTATAAGGGAAATAATAAGGAAATTGCTCAATATTTGGCTGAATATGATGCGTTGAATGTGGAAATGATTTTTTCATTGAGCAATGACAGTTTGGAAATGACATTACGAGTGGGAGAAGATTCCAGAGTAGAGGATGAAAAATTTGAAAAAGTCAAATCATTTACATTTGCCTTCCATAATTATTTTCGTGTGGATGACATTACTCAAGTCACTCTTGATGGTATTCATAATAATCATCATGGCGTACAATTTATTGACAAGGTCAAGAAGGGAGAGCTCATTACTGTTGAAAATTCATCTCCATTCGCAATCACTCAAGAAGTTGACAGAGTGTATGTTGACATGTTAGACCCCATTGAGAGTGTCATTGTGGAGAATAAGCCCACAAACATTTCTAGAATGATTTGTGTTTCGCAAAATGCCGCTAACGCACAAAATGTTGTAGTTTGGAATATTTGGAGTGAAAAGTGTCAAAAAATGTCTGACATGAAGGCAGACGATTTTTCTCGTTATGTTTGTGTTGAGGTTGGTCAAATACAAACACCTATAGTATTGGAACGAGGAAAGGTATTTACTGGATCACAGAAAATTTCCGTGAAACATGTTTCTCCAAATTCTTCCAAATTGTAAAACTAAGTTGTTATGATTATTTACAGAGTGTGATACTGCAATAGATTAAAATTTAATCAAAAATTTGTGATAAATAATGGAATAATAGCTTAAAATGGGATCAAAATTTGAGCGTTTGTCTCTGGGAATGTTGTCAGACTGATGTGTTTGAAACAAGCACAAATTAACTCAGTCCTTGTGGATTATTATTGTCACTCTTAAATTTCATGGGTCTCAGTGCTGGAAATTGGTCGTTGATATTATTAATTGGAATTTCTGGAGCTGTTTTTGACTTGATTCGCTCAGGATATTCAACGCAAGGCCATAGATCGTCTTTTGGACATTGTGCAGGATTGAAGGCTTCAACTTCAAATGAAACAGGATGAACCAAAGTTTCCCAACATTGAGGCATGTCATAGTGAGCATTATCTCGCAATGTACTAATTCGACCCAAATGTGACAATAAATTGTACTTGTATGCAACCATGAATCTATTTCCAAAGTGTGCCAACGATTCTGGAGTTTCTCTGGCACAAAACTCGGCGAAAATGTGATCTGGCGGTCGTTTTCCAATTCTTCGTTCCAAATGATCAGCAAAAGTGGAAATGTCATTATTGTCGTTCCTCATAATAATGCCATTTAATCCACTCGAAACACGAATGGCAGCCCATCCATCTTTTCCAAATCTAGCATTAGCTTTGTGAATAATGTGAATCAGTGTAGTGAGCGTTAATTCACACACTAAAAAATCATCTTCCACGATGAGCAAATACTTGCTCTTTTTGTGAACATTTCTGATCAAATGTATAAAGTCTGACGTTTGTCTCACAGTAGATGCAGAAATGGCAGAAACGCCATCTCTTGGACGGTAGACTTTTGAATTTGTATCAATATTCACAAAATTCCAAACATTTTTCTGTGACGCATATTTCTTTTGCGAATAGGTATTCTTGGCTTTTTCATAGAGATCATTTTGTTCATTGGGTCTCATATTTGCAATAAACATTGCAACAAGTCTACTCAAAAAATTATTTTTCTTCAACTCTGCATCATAAGATTCTAGTGTAGGTGTGAAATAATCAACTAGGACGCCTTGTTTAGCAGCTCTTGTTCTTGGAATTGTAGGCATGACCACTCCCAAATATGCCATTCCTTTTTCTTGCAATTCGGACAAGACCGAATGACGTTCATCATCCGTGACAAAATCTCCATATGATTCCAACTTGATTTCCAACGGATTTGTTGCTATTGTATTGTATTGATCCGAAGGTAGTGAATCATCAATGTAATTATTGTTATTATTCATACGGCCAGGTTTCTGTGGTTGCTCTTGCCGTGGGAGTGGTTCTTGTTTCACTTTTGGTCTATTGGATGGCGGCTGTAATACAAGCTTTCCAGTATCTTTTTGTGGTTTCTGTTCCATGTCATGATGATTGGATGTCGACAATGTCGTTGTTGTATTCGGAATAGATCGGGAAATCAAAAATCGGATCTGAAAGAAAAACATAACGATCATGCATATAAAAAGTACTCCGAGAACAATCCTTCGTGTATTTCCATGTTTTCCAAAAAGTTGATAAAACAGACTTGAATTTTGAGAGGGTGATGATGACGGTGTGATGGAAGCCGTGTTATTCTGCAACTTGGATAGAGAAAACACTTGCGGCATTTTTTTTAAAGTTTCCAAATTGGTGTTTTTAATAATTAAGAAATGAATTGTTAATAAAATCTCAACGAGGACACGTTTCATTATTGTGACTCCTTTTTGAGTTGATAAATGAGAACACGTTCGTCCATACATTCTGAATTTTGTTGTTTGGTAGGAATTTTCTTTAAGGAAAAGAATGTTGCTGCTTTTTCCAGAAAGAGTTCGTGAGCTGTGTCATTACGAACTAGAGCGTGTGTCGAAATTATTTCGAGGATTATTCATTATTTTCAAATGAGGATGCAATGATTGAAAATTGTTGAAAATAAAATTAAAATTCATAATTTCAAAATATTGTCCCAATAAAAATAAAATTACAATTCATAATACATGAATCAATGCCAAATTTAACACCATTCACATCACACATACTCTCGTAAGCAATAAAAATTAAAGTCGATGTAGATGACAACACAGTCAATAATTTCAATAATGGCTCAATACATGGCTCTTCATAGACCACATCACTCCCAATAATGCAATCAAATGTTCCATCTTCGGTTCCAGTGGTTTTCATTCGGAATTCTTTCAATTTATTTTCATCTGTGGTTGAGCATGCCCATAACCATTCCAATTCTTCACATGAAATATTCTTTGAAACTTCATTGCAATTATACAGAATATTTTGTTTTAGAATGGGAAGTACAATTTCTCGATCGGTAGCCACCACTCGAGGACATCCTAATTTTGCGAGAAGAATGGATGAAATTCCACAACCAGCTCCTACTTCTAATATGCTCCGACAAGTGGTGGTGAGTTTTAATTTATTGGCATGTTTCTCGAGATATTTGCATAGAACTGGAGCGGAGGACCATAATCGAGAACCACACGTTCCGACTTCATAGTTTTCCATGATTCGGATGGTTCCTTTTGATGTTTCCAAGTTGTAATGGCCTCGCAATTTGTTTTGGTTGTTATGATGTTGAGACATTTTTTGATGTTGGAACAGGGGTTGTGAATTCTCATCAAACTCTCCAATAAAAACAATTATTGCACACGAGTACTGGAAGGAGAGGACAACAAGTGAGGATTTTGTGAATTTCGCTTTTTCACAGATAATTCATGGATACGTCGTTTCAATTCAGCAACAATTAACAAAGTGCTGGAGCCGAAAGCAATGCCTAAAAATAAGGATAAACATGCACTTCCAATGACAAAGAACACAACCCCATCACTCTTTCCACTATCTACATTGAGAATATTTTCAATGGAGGAGGTATCGGCCATCATTTGTGCAAAAGTTAAAACCGTTCTAGTTGTAATCGGGCTGCTACTGTTACTACTATTCTTTTCTTCAAATTCAAAATAAATGATATCGCTTAATGACACCTTAATATGATGATACTTTGTGAGATGTGTTTCATCCATCTTTACAAATGAGCTATTTCTCTTTCCAGCAACAATTTCAAATCCATTGAGTTGATATTGACCGACATTAAAATATTGTGATAAATTTCCAAAATAATACTTCCATGCATTCTTTCCCTCATACAATCCCGAGAAGGGTATGTATGGATTTCTAACAAATCCGTACACTTGTAATCGGAATGTTTCTGAAAGAAGTGAATCCGTCCTATTCCATTGATGTTTTTGAAATAATCCCATCAATTCATCAATCAAGTCTTCATGAGTGGATTGCACCTCCCAAACATTCCATGAAATACAAACAATCATCATCAACACAATTGCCATCTGCCATCGTATTAAGGATCGGATTACGAACATTTTTTTTCATACTGTAACAACCTTAAATTTCATTTGAAGAAACTTGATGACTCATCAAATCATTGAGCGACGAGTTTGTGAATCGTACACACATGGTTTCATTGATGATGAACATTCTAAATCCGCGGAGGACCCTCACTCGAATCTTTAAAAAATCTTTTTCTTCGAGCTGTGTTGCTTTGATGGAAATTGTAACCTTGTTCCAACGTTAATATGAGTTTACAAAATAAAAACGACACAACGCCTGCAAATTGTTAGCTGGAGTTCAACACGCAGTGTTTCACTCCTAATTTTTTAGAAAGATTTTAAAAAAATGTCTTCACCTCAACCACGTTTGGTGGATTTGAGTAAGTAGTGATCATAATGATCGGAAATACTGAACTGTTATGATTTAAAAAGTTGTGATTGGATGCGGAAATAGGTAAGAGAATTAATACAAGAAATTGATTTGAAAAATGACCAATCAACGACTCTAATAGAGGAAAGAATTATGCCCGATATGCCAAGGAACGTCCAGATCAATGTCGTCTTGTTGCCATTGCTGAGCCCAGAAAATATATCAGAGAATTGATGAAAGAAATTTATAAATTGGATTCCGAATGTCTATTCAATGATTGGCAAAGTCTTTATTCGTATTTATTGGAATTTCAAAAAAACAACAATTCATCCTCTAGCAACAACAGTAGCAGAACATATCCACCATTTATAGATCCCACTCATGAAAAAACTGTCGTTATCTGTACTCAAGATCAGGATCATGTTGAGCCGGCTCTTGCTTTTGCAAGTTTAGGATTTCATATTCTATTGGAAAAGCCAATGGCAGTGAATGCAGAGGATTGTAAACGCATCACAAAAGCCGTTGAAGAGAATGGCGTAAAGTTTGCAGTGTGTCACGTGTTGAGATATTCCATTTATACACAACGATTGAAAGAAATTTTGAATTCTGGACTAATCGGAACAATTATTAATATTCAACATTTGGAGCCCGTAGGATGGTTTCACTATGCTCATTCCTATGTGAGAGGAAACTGGAACAATGAACAAACGTCGTCACCCATGTTGTTGGCAAAATCATGTCACGACATTGATTGGTTGTGCCACGTAATGAGTCCACATAAGGTTGTACAAGTGTCTTCGTTTGGGTCTCTCATGCATTGTAGAAAGGAAAACAAACCAGAAGGTGCTGCCTCCAGATGTTTGGATTGTCCTTCAAGTATTGAAGAGAAGTGTTGTTACTCGGCGAAAAAGATTTATTTAGATACTGTGAAAATGGGACATACTGGTTGGCCTGTTTCTGTCATTATTGGTACGTGGTGATTTTTGACGACTCTAACGTAGCATTAACGGTACAAACAATATTTGACATTCAAATCTTTCTCTGTTGCTTGAAAATTTTGAAAATATTGAAAAACACACATATTGCAACAGAATCAGGAGAAGAGCCCACTGTTGAAAATGTGACTCATGCTTTGAGAAATGGGCCTTATGGACGATGTGTGTATGACTCTGACAACAATGTAGTGGACAATCAAGTAGTCTCCCTCCAATTTGACAATGGTGCAACGTGCACCTTCACCATGATTGCCTACTCGAAAGAAATTTGTGAACGTAAAACGAGAATCTATGGCACGATGGGAGAGTTGGAAATTGTTGGCAACACCATTCAACATTTTGATTTCTTGACACAAGCATACAAGAAGATTGATTTAGACAGTGAAATTCCAAAAACTAATTTGAGTGGCCATGGCTTTGCTGATTTTTACTTGATGAAATACTTTATTGATGCCATTTGTGAGAATGATTCGAGCAAGCTGCTTTCCAATGCACGTGAGACGTTGAATTCACACTTGTTAGTGTTTACAGCAGAAGAGGCTCGACATTCTTCAACAGTGATTAAGGTCAATGATCAAGTAGATTTGACCAACATCAATGCGAGTCCACCAAAAGTATCAAGCTCTCGCAGCAACAGTGCCAAATGTGAATTAAATTAATTTGTCAACGCAAGTCCACCAAAAGCAATAACTTTTTCCAGCAATGCAAGACATTCTTTTTCTTAAGCTTAACAGTAATTTATTGTTCAAAAACCTTGAGAGAGGATCACAACGGTGATCTTGTTCAAGTTCTCAATGATTTATATTCATGATATTGATGCATTAGGAGTATATCTTCACAATGATTCATGAGTTTCATGGTAATCGAGTGTTCTAGTGTCAACCAGTACTTAAATCTTTAAAGTGCCATCCGGGTTTTCATTAATTCAACCCTTCCAAACACTTTACTTCAAATCACAACTGTATTGCATCTCACAAATGAATTTTTCAAGTACGCAATAGAGCTGCTCAACTCGACCTCAGTAGTTTCTCCCTTAATGAACTGATCGATATAATCCTCCTCATCGTCATTACAATCACTCATCGATTCAGCATTACGATGAGAGGCGGTAGACGACGAGGACGAACAACTATATGTCTCATCATCTTCCCATTCTCCATTCTCATTCATTCGTAGATTATTGGTAGAAGCATTAAATTGGGAAAGATTCGTGTTGGAGGTATTGTACTGAGACAAGTTCGTCGTGCTATTATTATTGGAATGATATTGGGTCGTGGAATGTAATGGCTTGGCAGCAACAACCACCACACTTTGTTTTGTGGTCTTGTTATTGTTGTTGTTATTATTATTATTATTGTTAGAAATGGAATGAGTGGTAGACATAATGTTAGTAAAGAATCGAGTCATGGTCATTGGAGAAGAAGGTTCAATGAATTCATCATCATCGTCTTCATAGAATCCGAATTTGGTTGGAGTAATGGGAGTTGTTTCATCCCAAGCTTGGGATAAAGGCATCAAGGCTGAACACGATTGAGATTTATAGGCTGCTCGCTTCAGAGCTTGAACTTGTTGTTCCGGAGTGCTGGTTTGATTCAATTTCAAATCATCATAGCACGTACGAACAATACGAGGGGTGTTAGGAAGGTAATGATGATGATCTTTTGGAGAGGATGATGGCTCTTGTTGATTCATCAAGAATAATTGTTGCATCGCTCCTAACGTAGTAGGCAACGAGGAGAGGGATAATACTGAAACCATAGAGGTTGCGTAAGGCTCATCATCGTGATGATGATGCTGAATTTGAGAGGAAGAATTAGTATTTGCTTTCATGGTAGGATGATTCTGTTGTGTTGGCTTACTCTTCTTATTTCGTAAGAGATGCCGAGAAATATTTCGGAGTACTTGAAGCTTGTTCTTCTTCTTCATTTTGATACCCACAGAAGAGGAGGAGGAGGAGGAGGATGATTGGTTTCCCTCATGATGATGATGTGGTGGCACCACTTGAATGTTTCCCATTCCAGAGCTTGAAATTATGTTGAGATATTTTGTTTCAAGATGACACTCTCATCGGGTTCACAATGAAACCGATTTTTAAATCTGTGTCGCTATAAGCTGGATTACAAAATTCTCATTTGGGAGGCTTCTTGCGTGTCTTGGAAATTAATCAATGGATTTGTTCAAAAGAATCCAGATTCTGTCAAGATTTTCTAGTTAAACAAGTGAATATGCGCACTTCCAAATTAGAAGGTATTGACTTTTCTCGTACTAATTGCCAAACATCAAAAGAGAATCAATCTTCAGTCTTGTTTCGGTTTCCAACCATTAATGTTGCGTAGGATATAAGGTCTGATTTCAAAACAAGCGCATATTGCTTTGAATATCATCACTAGGTTCATCAAAAGTGTTGAATCTCGAATTTAAATGAAACATGCAACAACAGATGCAAATAACCATTACAATTCATTTTGAATACCCAAATAACCTTTACAATTCATTTTGAATACCCAACGCAGTGTCACTTGTACAGAGCTCGCTCCAAGGAATCATTTCAAACGCACTTTATATTAAAGAATGGTTAAATCGTTTTGTCCTTTAACTCCAGACCAATGGTCTTTACAGTGGAAATTGGACTCTTTATTGTGATTCTCAAGAGGCCGAGCAATGACCCGGATTCTTGTCTTTTTTAAACTAATAATTCATCTACGAGTATGTGACGACAATGATATATATTATCATTCAGAATCTGATTCTTTATTTACAGTTTTAAATAATTTACAAAAGCACCCCAGAGTAGTCGTTGTTGGCTCTAAATTACATGATTCATTCCATGACTGAATACGAGTTCAATAACAATCGTTCGTCACTCATGGCATTCGAGGTAAATTCATCCACACTCTTTCTCAATACAGAATGATAATTCATCAAAGCATCTCCCAAATGACCGTCCTCCTTGTGTTGTTTACAAATAGAATCGAGGACCTTTAGTAAACGATTGGCCATGTCAGCATCTTGTGGATGTTTGTGTGCATGAGTTTGAAGAATGTTTTGAGCTTCATGAATTCTCTCAAGAACTTGACGATCCTCCATGGAAGAGAGTTGAGACGATTCAAAGATGGAGAAGGCTGCTTCAAAATCTTTGAATCGAGAATTCTCTTTGTGTTGCTCCAATTCATACATCCATTCTGATTGTTTTCATTCAATAATTTGAAAAATTTCAATCCAAATATTTGATTCATAATATTAATAATTCATTCCATCCCATTTTAGAAGAATTGGTTAAATAATAAATATATCAAGATTGCAAAATTTCACTTAAACTTACCATCTCCTTCCACATTACTTTCCTTAATGACTTCATAAATCGATGAGACGGAAGATTTAAACTTTTCATCCTCAATCATGAGACGTTCCACAGGTCTCACCACAAATGCACTTTTCGCTTCAGCTGACATGGTTTTGGCATCGGCCAAAATTCGACACTTTCTAACACGACACAAGATGGAGAGCTTTTTCGATGTTTCAATGAGCGGTCCAACAATGCTATAAAATCTAAAAGTATTCGTTCCCAAATTACCAATGTTCGTCTCTCCAGAGGCAATTCCAATACATACTGTGGCCTTTTCAATGCCATTTAAAGAATTGTCGAGAGTTTTTGAAACTTTGAGAGCTGCTGTCAGGGCTTGAACATTGGCTTTCTTTTTACCATTATTGGTGAATGATAATTGATATTCATCGACACTCAATACTTGCAAGTCTGCTTGCATGGACTTGGAAAGAACACTCAATCCAGTAGCAATTTTTGCAAAGATGTGAGAAACTTGAGTGGCTGTCAAATTCTTACACATGTCTTGAATTCGAATGGTGACCACACTCACTTCCTTTTCTTGAAGTCCCAACTTGAAAAGCGCTGAAAGACCTCCACTCTCATGTTTTCGATGGCTCTCCTGATGAGAATTAGAAAAGGAGAATTTTCCTCCAGCAGAAGAACTTGCCAAACTGTTCTCAGCATCATCTCCGACCTTACTTTGAGAATCAGAGAGTTGTTTCTTTGTATTGCCATCTGTCTTGGCATGTTGTTGGGCATGATCTGCAGACGACTTGACCTTCTCTTCGGAATCATCTGCTTCGACTTGTTGTTCAAAATTTCTCAATTGATTGAAAATAGTCTCTGGTAAGAAGCTCTTAAATTCGTGCAACCATGTCACCATGTCATGCAAATCCTCATAGATGGAATCAATTTCTTTGAAGCGACTTGAAGTGAAATGAACCTTCTCCAAATCGAATTTCTTAATTTTCTTGAACTGAGCTTTCAAATACGGTTGTGTGATAATATGACCAATGAGAACACACATAATGAGACCAACAATAATGACCGCTGCTGCAACTCCAACAGATATTCCAGTGTTGATTGTAGAGGTACGAGTGACATCTTCCTTGTAAATGACCATGTACACGAGCCAACGAAGATTTTCAGTCTTGTATTCCATCTTGTAAATCATATAGTCAGTTCCAAGACTCGTTATTTGGAAAAAGTTTGGAATGTTTGACATATTTCCATACTTGTCACGAATGTCTCTCATTAAGGATCCAGAATTTCGATCTGTTAATCCAAATAACGAAACTCTGGAAACACTATCTCGAGCTGTCGTGTTAATAGAACCGCCTAATACCAAATCATTTGGCTCTGCCACCACCACATATCCATTTCCAATCAATTTGAGTGAGGAAAGGAAATTTTGAATGGCCAACAAACTCAAATTGACTTTGGAAATTCCAACCACTTTCTTGGTCTTATTGAGAGCATAGAGATCGGGATCAAAGAGCTTGGCACTGTAGTAAATGGCATTCGAAGAGCCTGTTGCCACATACGAATCACCATACACACCGTCTCGTTTGTAGAGATCAAAATATTTGAAACTGGCAACCCAATAATCTCGTTTCACGACAGAAAAACTCGAAATGTTTTGATAAATGGTGAGTTTGGAACCATCTGTTTCATTGGCATTCCACAACTCAATACCTGGCCATCCTGCTTGTTTGTATCCCAATACAAATTGTTGAGTTGGCACTCCATTGGGAAAGTATGTTTGATTCAAATATGTGTACATCTCATCTGCGAAATAAACACCAATACTGGAGAAGCGATAAATCTCATTCATGTTGAACAGGTAGGAAATGGGACGCCTTCCAACTCGACCCATCGTGAATTCACTCGCAATGGCCCATGCTAATCCTGAAATGGGTGTCACTTGACCATCCACAAAAGCCAAAATCTTTTGTCCAACTTGAGACACCAGTGAATCAGCCAACTCGGTAAAGGTTTGATTCGATCCAATGAACGAGGCTAACCAAATAAATACAGAACATGTCACGAGAAGGAAAATAATCATGATAATGATCACGACACGCATCGAGAAACATGCTTCCAATGGAACTTTCTTCTTTTCCTTGATCAGAAGGCCTTCTTGAGAAGCATTGGCAGTCTCCTCAAATAATAAATCTTGTTTTTCATCCAAGGGAGGTTTGGAAGCCTCAGAGGTTTCAGGGGAAATCTTGGGCATGCTTTTGAGTATTATATACTACAGGTTGATTTGTTTTTTGTTTGTTTGAAAAAGAGTTAAAGTTGGAAGGTTATTCATGACATACATCACTGGATTTTGTGCATGATATAGAATTAATGGAGGTCATGTGATGGATGGTTGTAGTCGACAATGCCGTCGATAAGGTCCAATGATTAGAGATGGAGACAGCCTAATATAGCGTTGCCGCAGCCATCTGTGACACCATCAATGGAAATATTCCGTGCGTAAGCTGATCTCCCGCCCAAATTATCATTGTAAGTGGTCAAGCTCATGACAATCAATAAATTTAGAAATACAAACAATGTTACTTTTGGAAAGTATAATGTTCGGTATCAACAGTTTCAGAGAGAGGAGATAAATGCACATGCGATTCCATCTCGATTATTTAATCTTGATTTTAGCCAAAATCATTATTTACATGGAAAGTAAAGATGGTCATTAACTTGGGTGGATCATTTATATGGCATGTGGATGGTCATGGTTATTTAATTGCTAATTTCGAACAACAACATCTCAATAATTGATGATCGGAAGGAAATTAAACCAGAGCAGACACAAGACTTTCAGCAGGGTGCAGCATTCATTCAAAAAATTTCAATCAAAGCTTTGCTTCATTTTTTTTAGGTTGCATTTCACACGCAGAGAAGAACAGACACCAGTCAGAGATTTCAGGTTGTCTTGGGCTTTAGTTATTTCACTACGCAAGAGAAGGGTTTACAAACATTCTCACGAACAAGAAGAATTGCAAATTTTGTTCGATCAAAATTTAGTGCGCACTCAACGCTCATTTGGATTTTCAAATAGAGAGCGCTTTCAAATTGAACCCAAGCAAACTGTTGTGTTCGTTCGAAGAAACACGTTGCTATGAAAATCCAAGACCAAAAAAACGCTTGAACCCTGCCGCTTCTCGGAATGATTTCCGATAAATTTGTTGTTGAAAGAGATCAATAATTTCATTGTCAACTAAATTACACCAATTATTTGGGCTACACTTAGATCTTTTACTCCTAATCATTCGTATTATTAATAACGACATTCTCAATTACAACACCACCAAAGCATGATTCCATTGTATCATTACCATACTGCTCATGCACCCTTGTCCTCTCGCTCTGAAATGAATCATGTAGGTCCGAGTCCCTCCACGCACACTACCACAGCTGCCATGGCCAACATGGCTACCATGATCATTAACAACTTTTATCATCAATGCCTCGCCGGGTACACTCAAGCTCAACACATTCAACATATTAATCAATTGACCAATGATGTAAAAATTGCTTATTTGTGCACGAATGCACTTACTCCTTTGGGAAATCATGACGATGAAATAACTTCTCCACTTTTAGGGAATGAGGAACAAGACCACCACCAACACCTCTCCCAAGACGAATCAGATCATAACGACCTCAATAATAATAACAACCACAACAATAACAACGAAGGGATCTTGGACACGTTAAATCTCAGCCATTCCACACTTCAATTTGAAGAAGAACCCAAACCACCACGATCCTCAGTACTTGTTCCTACATCAGCAACATCACTCGCGCAATCACCCTTATCATCAAACGTATCCCTATTTGATCAATTCCAACAAGAAAAAGAAGAGCATACTCCTCTCAACACTCATCCTTGTATCCACAAGACAACAACATCATTTGAGTGCTTTCATAACGGTTATAAGGAAAAGCAGTTAGAATCTTTATTTGACTCAGACGAAGAAGAGAATACTCACTTGGAAGAAGAAGCCTCCTCCCATCCTCTTAACTCGTACTCATCATCTTTATTTAAATACACATCCGAAGTGAGAAGACAACATTGGTTGGAAGAAGAACAAGCTTTTAAGAACAACTTCAACCAAAACAGAATGGTTCAACCCATCCTTCATTATTCTCATCAACCAACGAAATCATCAACCTCTTCATTGTCATCGGCCTCATCCTCCTCATCGACGAGTGGGACCAATACACCCACTCCAGTGTTACCTGAAGACAACAATAATAGGCCAAACAATATGCAACAGTGGAACATGCAACAACCTCAACCATCTTTGAGTTTACCACAATATTCAACCAATCAGCAGCCTTCTTTTATGAATACTGACAACAACCCTACTATGAAATTGTCGCTTCCTCAACAACAACAACCAACCTTTCCACCTTCACAAAATCCAAATTCAACCTTCATGCAATCCAATCTTTTGAATCAACCACCGACATCTTTTGCATTTCCCATGTATTATCAAGCACAACAACAGCCATTGTCTACACTTTTAAACACCTTAACCTCCTCGATCAATACTCCGCAACCTTCTTCATCCATCCTCCGTCCTCAGCAAGCGATAAGTTCTTCAGACCGCACGAAGCCTTTTGCTTCATCTCAAAACGAAGAAGCTATGAATAGAAATTTCTATCAAAAAAAATTGAGCCACGCAAACAAATCACCAGCGATCGAAAATAACAACCAAGTTCAATCTGGGAATAACAACAAGTACACATTGTCTGGATTTGATCAACTGCAACAGCAACAACAACAAAACATAAACCCGTTACAGTTCATGACTGCAACATCAACTGTTGATAAAAACAACCCTAGGACCGACGCAGAATGGTTGTTGAGAAACATGAATCAACAAGCAACCAATAATATCGGCATGACACAAAATATTTCAAAGAATTCTGAAACTAATCGAGGCATTCAAGACACTAATAATAGTTTTTCAAGTTTAGCCTCAAAGTTCTGGACCGAAAATATTGGTACAGGAACTGGTGAACAAGGAAATGATGCTGTAACATCAGGACTTACCGAAATTAAAGAATTGAACACACCGACTTTAGAGAATATTTTGAGAGTGTTCAATACAGCATCCAGTAATGGAATGGATACTGTTGGCAATGATCAAAATGCAATGCCATATACCAATTCATTATTTCACACAACTGCCAACAACAACAATAACCTTAATAGGATTAATATGCAATACAACAACCTTAATGAAAAAATGAAAGTAACAATACCAAAGTCGAATGCAGCAGACACGAGTCAAGTAGGATCCAACACTCTCATGGTAGACCCAACCAAGCCCTCCTCAATACTCTCTTCTGAGTATCATGACGAAACCTCTTCACACAGCCTGTCACGAAGCAGCTCGGGAAGTTTGGCAAGTGATGCAGGGCGTAGTAGCGTTTCTTCTTCCAGTACAATGAGTGGACATCAGCTCGGAAGAGCGAATAGAAATGGTAACGAGGATCGTTCATGGAAAGTGTTTTATCAAGATTCAGCCTACCGAGACGACAATTCCTTGATCAAACGACCATCATTCATGCTCAAAACAAGAACAGACAACATCATGGACCAAATACCGCCCATTCTCTATTCTAGTCTTAAATATCAATTCAATATTGCTGTATTTCTAAGCACTGAAAAAGCAACTCAACTACTCATGAGTCATAAGGAAAACCTGGAAAGTATCATGCACGCATCGGCTATGAGCTTGGGCGGCTTTATTATAGCTACCATTGAAACAGCATTGGTTGGAGAGATTGAAGAGATGGAAGATGACGACGAACTAATGTCACTCGTTCGTGATGAAGTGAATCCAACTCGAAAAATATGTAATGGAGTTGTCAATGGAGACATACAACTTGCATTGCAACCCATTGAGGCCATTGAAGCTACTGAGGCTAAGGCATTCAAACCTTTCCTCCATCAACTCAAACAAGAGATCAAAGAGCATGAACAAGCAGACGAACAAGATGCTCACAAGTGGTCATGCGTTCACAACAAAACAAAAATTCAATTCACAGACTTACCTTTCCATAACAAGAAGAGCTCGTTTGTCATGAGAGTTTGCTTTTACTTGAATCACGAGTTTAAGGAGCGTAAGCCAATTCTCGTCATGGAGAGTGCACCCTTCAAGATATTCGCAAGAAGAAACAAGAAGAGTTATTTTTCAGGAGCAAATACGACAGGAACAGCGAAAGAGGAAGATGTCTCTCATTTGGCGAAAAGCACATCGACCACTTCTGGAATTTCAAGTGTGTCCACCGCTTCCTCTTCGAAACAAGGAGCATCCAACAAACGAAGAAGAGAAGATACCAAAAAGAAGTCCCAAAAGGTCAAGAAGCCCCTCGAGCCAGAGGAAGAACGAGAGGTTCTTGTGCAATATGAGAATGAGTTACTTTCACTCATGAATACATTGGACACCATTAAGGACAGAGTGGAACATCAAGCAGCAGTTCGCTCTTTCATTCAAACTCTAGTAGGACCCGAACTGGCACAACAATACATGTCACACCTGAGAGGAAAATACCCTTCCATCATGCAGGCACCAGCCGCATCTCTTCCTGCCAATATTGAAATGCTTCCGGTTGGTGGCACCTCTGCGAAAAAATCCAAAGGCCCCTTCCCTGCCAATCTCTCTGTGGACACCAAATCGTTAGGAAAAGTTACTCCAATGCATGCGGCTCGTCTCATTACACCAGCCTCTACCACTGTGTTAGATACCACTCAACAACCTTATTTACAGCAGCAAGCGCAACCCTTTATGAATCCCAATCTTGCATTTAACCCACTTGTAAATATACCAAATATGGCCAATGCTCCTCTTTTCTTGACGACTGGAATGCCAATGAATGCAACAGAAGCGTCAGCCTTAAATATGCAACCAACTTACTCGGATAGTATTCCTGTAACAACAACTTCCAATGTTCCACCTTCCTCAACACAACTCTCTGGTGTCAGCACTACTACCCCAAAGACTACTCTGCCTTCTTCGTCACAAACAAGCAATGACATGTTACAGTCCATTGGCCAACAAAATGTGTTGGATTTAATGACTCCTCCCTACCAAAGTTCGTTACTCTTTGATTTCCAACGGTCTCCAACTGGCTTTGGAAACATTTCCACACCAAGATTTTCCTCTACCACAACATATAGTCCTTTAGGAATGGTACCCTCCAGTAATCAAGGCTCGTCATCAACTTCTGGATTCTTTTCACCCCCAACATCAACACAGCCACCTCAAAAGACATCTTCCATACAGCAACCACAAGGGGAACCACGTGACACATCAGGTATTCGACCTCAAAACCTTATTCAAATGCTTCAACCTCAAAACAAAATTGATTTCAACAAGTTGAAGACTACGAGCAATTCAAGTGACACCTCATTCATCAATGATTATCTTTCAGAGTTATTAGAGGACAATGCAAACAGCAACAATATGTTATCGCCAATTAATTTATTGGGGACTCCAACCAGTGCCAATCTCGGTTCAGATTTACCAAGCTTTAATTTCTTTGAACGAAATAGTCAGTCGAACAACAACAACAATACGAACAATAATAATGGTACTAATAACTCCCATGTTCAACAACAGGCATCTGGTAGTGAATTTCAAGAGGATCCTCTCACACCAAAGACATTGGCATTCTTGACACAATCAAAACTTGTCTAGTCATCAAGATTGGAAAAAAGTTGGAAACATTGGTTAATTAATTTTACAGACGCAAGGATTAAATCAGACCTCCACAAAAACCACCACATGCTCCATACGGTTGATTAAACGCAACACATTGTTCCGTACCAATCAATGCTTTGAATTGACTAAGAGAAGTAATAAATAGAACTTTCTTGTTGCACTTGTGACAGTGAACACTTTCCGCATATCTTGATGTTGAGAATAATTCTGAAACCACTGGACATTCATATACTAGATCACAATTTTCAATGAAAGGTGTTTCATATTGGGTATCTTCGTCGATACTTATGGGCAAAGGCTCATTCTTCTCGTTCAAAAAAGTTTTTGGTTGAGGTTGAACAGAAACTTGATTCAAGGTCAAATAAGTGTATTTTCTCAAGCGTGTGACTCTAATTCGAACGACTTGCATCCAATTTTGAATATTTAAATTCATGTCAAAGAATGGAAAATAATGTTGAACGAGTGTGCGCCACACTTTTGTTTGAATCAAATCAAAATCATCTTTCGAGAGAGGTGTCACAAGAGTCGAGTCTGCTTCTTTCCATAACGATGCCTCTTTCTCCTCAAAGGCCATGGATTTTTTACTCTTTTTCTTCATTTTGGATTTTTGTTTGATTAACTCGCTCACTTTTTGAGGAGATAAATTGAATAATAATTTCAATAAATATTGATCACACAATCCCATATTAAATAATTCATTGAGATCAAAATACGATGCAATGCAAGCGAAAAGTTCAATCGGAATTTCTTTGAAAATATGTGACGATGACTTTTGACGTTGGTCGACATATTGGTTTTTCGGTTTTATCAGGTGATTAAATCTGCAGATTAACTTAGTTTTTCCCTTACAAGTGTAAGATTTTGGTGATAAAAGGTTTTTGAAGAAGGATCTTACGAAATACATGACACGTTGAGATGGTTTTACTCGTTGCACATTGGAAACCCTAATCAATGAACACTCAATTCCTTTGTTTCCAACAAAATCTTCATTCCAGATTTTTTTTTGAGTTTTAAAAAAAAAATGGCACAAAATATCTACGAATTTCCAGTGCTCTATCAACACAACCGAATTGAAAACATTCAACAAATGTTGGATGCACTGGAGCATTTGGAGAGAGTGAGTGTTTCCGTGTTTCAGAGAATTACGGACAAGGTGAATGAACATCGGAATATTCTGAATCAAGTACAACGGAGAGCTATTGTGGCTCAACAAGCCGTGGAGTGCATACAGAATGAACGTAAGAATGAAGCAACCCGAGTGTTGAGTAGTCCTCATTATCCCGATAAGGAAACCATCTCGAGTGATGAATATAAACCAAGTTTTTCGTTACGGGATAGAATTGGTATTCAACAAATGGAATTCCACAAGTATAATCCTGGACCAAATAATATTCTGTATAATGTAAGTTGATGAGCTATTCATGTGTGTGTGTGTATATACGTGAAAATTGAAATCATTATTTGTGAACTCATGATGAAATCATTTTAATTTTGATGGTACAAAATATCTTCTGCCTCATGATGATGATCACTAACACATATTCACAACACAACAACAGCATAAGCGTTACAATCCAATTGATCACTTTGAAAAATCTCCCACACGTCAACACAAACAACAAAAATCCAAAGCATCACTCGCTCTCGCAAAGAAGGTCGAAGATGGCATTGGAAAACTTCCTTTCAATCATATTCAATCTGTGAGCGAATTACTTTGTTTCAATACCAACATGAACGTCTATTCACGTTATCATGGAGCTGATCCTCTCCTCGCAAACTATCACACGACCATGATGATGTTGGCCATGTCCGATGAGAAATCAGGCAATTCACACGATGGAAAAGGTGGAGCCAATAGTGGCAATGCACACGATTTCCTTAGTGCTGCCTCGAGTTTGTACATTGATCCTGCACCACCATCCTTATCCAAAGATTCCATCTATGACATGTATTGGGGCTCGTCAGCGTTGCAAGAACAAAACATTAAGCCATTCGTTCCAACAATTAGAGAATTACCCATGTTCGAATTTCCTTCCAATCTTGGTTTACCAAATATTGTAGACACCAAACAATGGGATCTTTCTCTTGATAATATGCCTTCCATCGCTCCATCTTCGTTACCTTCTTTGGATTTAGGAAGTACCTCTTCCGGTACTGCCATTGCTTCAACTCCAGAGATGGTTCCTTCAACAGCCTCAACAACGAATGCTGGTGTTCCTCCACCACCTGTCACCTCTGGTTCTGTTCCCCCACCTCCAACGATGACAAGTGGCAGCATTCCACCTCCACCTACGATGGGAGGTAACATTCCTCCTCCGACGATGGGAGGTAACATTCCACCACCACCAACAACCATGGGCAATATTCCTCCACCTCCAACATCAACCATTCCAACTCCTCCAGTTGCGGTTGTCTCATCTGCTGAGACAGGAGGTGATGCTGATGCAACTGCCAATAACGCAGAAGATGGCGGAGGCGGAGGTGGTGGTGATAGATCTGATCTTTTAGCTTCTATTCGAAACTTCTCCAAGAACAAGTTAAAGAAAGCAAACAAGTATCGTGACAAGGAAACATCAAAAGAAGACTCGGCGCCTCAAAAATCTTCTGGCGGAGGTGGTGACATGATGAGCGACTTGTTCAGAAAAATCAGCCTTAGAAGAAATGCCATTGAGGGAAGCAAGGATGACAACAAGAAAAAGAAGAAGAAAAAGGATAAGAAAGAATCTTCTGATATTATTCCTCCTCCTCAACCTGCATCTTCAACACCTACAACGACAACACCTACGACCACAGCTGCTGATTCATCTGCGGCAACTGAGCTGCCAGTTATTCCCCCACCCTCACGACCACCAGAAGAAGATGGATCCTCAGAATCGGAAGATGACAGCTGGTAAACTATTCATGGAATTACAATATTACTTGTACAATTTTGCAACATGTCTGTAAGCGCGGCATCATGTCGAATTTTTAATGTATGTTCTTTCATGAAACGAGATACTTGTTTACCTGTGATTACATTTTAACAATTACATTTACAGTGAAACTTTCATAAAACAGCTCATTTTATAATAGCACAGAATTTATTATTATTGGTATAAATGCAAAGATATAAAACACAAGATACATGGACATGACGTTAAATGGCACTCACATTTCTTTTGGTTGATTCATTCAACAACTGAATTTGATCCTGGCTCACATTGCTGTCATCAAACTTGAATTCTGTTAAACTGTTATTCTTGTCATGGATGATATTGATAATCTTGGAAATGTTATCATCAGAGAATTTCCAATCCTTGGCCAAGAATTTCTGACACTTCTTATTCTGTGAGAAGAAATTTATCAAGTCATCCACAAGCAGATTAGGCTCCACTTTTTCATTACATCCCAAGTCCATAATTTCAATACTATTATTGATGGCTATGGAATTCAAAATTCGCTTTGCAAAGTCCGTATCTAGACCACAATCTGAAAAGTCCACAAATGAGACCTGATCACTATTCTGCAACACAGAGAGAATGTCATCGATTTGATCTGAAATCAAATTCACGAGAGAGCCCTTCAACTTGGGAATACATGCAATGGATTGGAATTGAACATTCTCAATTTCTCCCTTCTCAACACTATCCAACATGTCAGCCAGTTCTGGAATGTAATTATCATCTGCTTGATAGAGCTTGGGTTTTTCTTCAATACTTTCTTGCTGCACCTCCTTACTTATTGGCTTCTCACTTGAAATATCCTTCTGTTGAGGTTCTACATATTTCGAAGAGTAGACATCAGAAACTTCTTGCTTATCAACATCCTTGGATTGTATTTTCGCTTTAGAGGGTCCAGAGACCTCTTCCTGATCAATATTTCCCTTGAGAGCACTCGAACCTGCTTGTGAAATGCCACCACCAATACCACTCTCCTTAGAAAGACCTTTAGACAGTGGTTTCTCTTCTTTTTGTGAAGAAACAAGGTCACCTTCATATCTTTCATTCTTCTCCTTCATGCTTGAGCTAATGGCCTTCTCTTGCTGATCATGTGTTTTCTTCTGAGAAGAGGCGGAAATGGCTTCACCTTTGAGTGCCTTCTCATCAATTCCCACATCCATGAGTCCAAACGATGCTGAAGGAACATTCTCTTCTTCTATTTCCTCAATGGCCTTCTCAGCAATTTGTGGATTCACTAACATCTCTTCTTCCGATCTCAAATTTGGTGTTGGCAAGTAATTTTCACTACTATGTGAAATTTCTTCCACCTGTTGCAATTGATCAATTCGTTGAGAGTACATTTCAGATTCCTTACTTTTGGATTTCAATTCAGAATCTAGAATTCGAACTTGTTCTCTCAACAAGGCAACTTCCCTCTCTTTTTCACTGACTTTGTGTTTGAGAGAATTCACAGCCGAGTCACGTTCATGAATCTTGTTATTCGAAAGATCCAAATCTTGTTTCAATTTTTGAAAAGCATCCTCGCGTTGAACTTGTTCCTTTTGTGCCTTTTCCATTAGAAATTTGGTTTCACGCAACGATCGATTTTCCTGATCCAGAGTGGAGAGTTGACCATTGAGAATGGAAATTTGAGATTCCAACTTTTCATTCTGTTGTTGCAACTTGTCATATTCTCGTTTCAACTTGTCATTTTCCTTTTTAAGAGAATCGAATTGTTTCTTATTTTGATTATCGATTTGGCCATGTTCAGATCGAAGACGTTCATTCTCTTTCAGAATCTTTTCATATTCATTACGAACTTGATCTTTAACAAGTTCGAGTTCCTTCACCTTATTCGCCTGAATATTCAACATGGTCTCTACTTGTTTCATCATTTGGAGTTGTGACAACGAAGTATGTTCCAACGTATTCTTTTCCTTCACGAGTTTATCCTTCTCAGATTTCAAACTCTCCAATTGAGTCATGAGACTTGAAATTTTCGATTCCATTTCAGAGAGTTGTATACTACTACTACTACTTTGCAACTTTTCATTCAATTCAAGTTCCTTGTCATGCAACAAACGAGAGAGATCTGACTTTTCATGGAGCAGAGTCTGAATGTGTTGATCCTTTTGTTCAATTTCTTGTTTCAATTCCTTCACTTGATTGGGAGAGAGACTTGCTGGAATTTGACGAATGGCTTTTTTCACAAGTGGACTTGATCTCAATTGTTCTTGAATGGGTTTTTCAACATGATGAACAATCCATTTGGCGATAGGCAAGACAAAGAGTCTCACGACAAAGGATCCCATGATGAAATGATAAAACCACGAGAGAGTTGCAATGGGAAGATCAAACATGAAGAAACGAGTCAATGCAAACCACAAATGAAACACAAATTTGAAAGCTTGGAATGGAAAGAAGAAGGCTTTCTTACTGAATTGCATGACATTTTGGCGTGCTTGAGTGAATTGTTGTGAAGTAATCATTTTGGTTGTTGTTGAGGTTCTTCTTGTGTGTGAGAATGTGGGAAATTGAGAGTTTTTTAACAATGTTTTTGAAAATGTTATTTTAACTTTTTAGTTTAAAGAAAATTGGAGAGAGACGATCCATTGCAAGAACAAAATTAAGATGGTTTTGTGTGGTGGTTAAATTTGGAGAAAACACAAAAGTAAGAAATTGCAAAAGGATAATTGACAAATTTGGAAGTATGTTTGTGTGAGCAACTTGAATTCGCGTTTTGAATTTTATGGAAAATCAGAATGTCATCTTGTAAAATCAACCATGAATATTCTCAATGACACAAAGAATCAACGTTTACAAAATATGGGGTTTATACATATTGTTATTGACAACATTTATTGCTTCCAAAAAACACATTTCCAAATGAATTTAATTACCAATACTCTTCATGAACAGCAGCAGCTTCTTCCTCCAGAACTGGTCCAACCACCTCTACCTTTAATCCACGTGATCTCTCTCGAAATATCTCATGACATCCAATCGTTAAACTTCCACTCGATTTTTCATTTTCATTGTGCTGTTTACGTGAAACAATTTCTCGTAACTTATCGGCCGAACATGCATACACCACACGACCAATACCGACCCAGAAAATTGCTCCCGTACACATGATGCATGGTTCTGTGGAGGTATAGAGTGTGCACTTTTCAGAAAGATAATCTCGAGAGAATTTCTGGCTAGCCATGGAACATAGATTGAGTTCGGCGTGTTTGGTTTTATCTTGATCTGTCATGACTGTGTTTTCTGCTTCCAAGACAATGGTTTGAGTGGTGTGATCGAGTAAGAGAGCTCCGAAGGGATGATTGTGTCCGTGAGCGTGAGAACAGGCTTGACGAGAGAGTTCAATGGCACGTTTCATGAAAGTTTCATGACATGATGACGACGAAGAAGAACAAGTCTCGTTGTGAGGAGGAATGTTGTTGTTGTTGGCGGCAGATTCGATCATGAGGATATGTTCGAGTGTGTGTGTTGAATGTGTTCGAAATTTTTTTTGACAAGTTTTGAACTGGAACGATTGTTTCAGATCTTCGAGGATCCAACCAATCAAAAATTCATGTGAAATACTTAACAGAGATGGAAAGAGTATTTAGGGAAGAGTAACCTAGTGATTGTAAACTCTTTGAAACCATTGGTTTTTAGCAACATTGAGTTTCTGTCCTTTTCCTGCAGTGCGTGCTTGGAGTTGTAAATGAAGTTCAAGAGAATTTAAATTCGTAATTGGAAAAAAAAAATGACGCAACCACACAACTTTGTTGAACATTTGGTTTCATTGATGGAAAAAACTACGACTCGGAAAAATGTAGAAGATGAAAAATCATTCATAAGACAATTGGTGTTGGTAGGTTGGACTGTTCGGATGTTCGGAGAGGAATATGTAATAATATGTTCATTTGGATTTTAATTTTGTTTTAATATTAAAATATTGAATCAATGACTCGAACACATCGGAACTAGTTTTCCAAACAAGATTTAAATCAATTAATTGAAGATGTTTTATTTAGAGAATTGGAACACATCATGACAAGTAGCGACACTGTGAGCACAGAGCCAATTTCACAAAATCATCAGAAACAATCAAAAGTAGACATGATTTATTATTGTCTGCTGACATTGAATGTTCTTTTTGATGAAACTCATCCAAATACTCCACAACAACATTACAGGTATTTTATTGAAAGCGTTTGTTTACCAATACTTTTCCCCTCATTCACTGCCACTCAAGCAGGGCCATATGGAAACGCTACCTCTTCGTCGACACTCGTTATGGAAATGGATCGAACAAGCCCTAAAGTTCTATCACTAGCGCTAGATATTCTCGTACAAGATTTATCACGAGAAATTCTCAAAATTGAAGACAATTCTGACTCATTCGAGAAAATTCCACTCTTAAATTATTGCATTTATACTTTGAGTAGCAGTTTGAATAGCTCTATTCAAAAAGAATCAAATGATTCAGAGACATCTCAGAGCCTCAACAATGATGAACATTCCATTTCTAATATCATTCTCTTTTCAAAATATTTATTGGATTGTCAAGATATTTCAAATACCCAAGTCATGGAACAATATTTTGAAAAATTATTTGATCTATTCATTAAGAATCGTGGAGTACTGAAATTTGGATTGACACTATCATCTCTCCAAACATGGAATATTGACATTGCAGTGGCAGAAAGATTAAGAAAGTGTTTCTTCCTGAATTTAATGCCACACTTCATTCAGCACAGTTATCGAAATTCCAACAATTCAAGAGAACACTTGCGTGAAATTTTGCAGGTGATTCAAATTATGAATCAATGCTCCCTGTTGCAAGATAGTGACACATTTTTACAAAATATTTCTTCCGATTCAAAAACCAAACAATTATTTTTCGAACAATTATTGCACGAATCATTGATGCTTCTCTGTCAATGGTACGATGAGTTTTTCAAAATTGATCTTGATTCTCAATCCTTTACCCTAGATTTGAGACAATTTGAATGGATATGGGAAAGTATTTTGGAAAACCTGGTTGTCAATTCTGAGACATTTATTGGAAAGAGAGCTCTCTATCTCATCAAACGGCTAATTCTTGATACCACCTGTTCGTATCCGTACATGTCTAACACAGAGAAACTTTCTTCCTTCCTCACACAACCAATCATTCCAAAACAAGTTTTCGAGAATGTCAAAGCAAGAGAAGCTCAAACAAAAAAGAAACAAGCCAAGAAAACAACTCAACACAACGAAGAGGAAAGCTCACTGTTAAAAATTCATGAAATGATTCAACATCAATGGCAAACATTTTTCATGATTTATGAATCTTTAGAGAATCATTCTCTCCATCTAATCAAGCCTGTTTGGGAATGTATATTTGAACTCATCCCTAAAAAAACTGAAGAGAAACCATTCAAGTATTTTATTGACCAGAGATTTGTGAGAGTATTGTGGATTCGTGCAATGAGGCATGCAAACTTTGCTGTTGTAAAATTAGTTGTCCATTCAATGCTTGATCTTCACAATACCATTGAAGATCGCGTCTTGATTACAGCCAATGACAGCAATGAAATTTTGGAGAAGAATTTACTTTTGGACAAATCATTTATGTGTGGAGAATTTATTGACTGCATTGCAATGTCAAAGCTTTTCACAACGAAACAAGACTACATTGGAGAGAAGGTATTTCTTTTTTTCGATGCTTATTTTGCTACTTTAGAAAAGATTGGGTTGAAGAAGAAGTTTGTACAGGCTTTTATTGCAAAAATCGCTTCTGCTAGATGGTCTAGAGTTGCTCTTTCTTTCTTTTTATTAATTCTAGTAAGAATGAAATTCTCATCAGAAAAAGAGTATTTAGACTTGAGTGATTTTAGCGCATTCTGTGAAAAATTCGTTCTATTCCAATTAAGCGAGCAATCTTTGTGGCTTAAACTAAGATTGTACAGTTCAGCACTTGACGTCATTGTAAATTGTTTCAGTTTCAAGAAACTATGTGACGAAAATCCTCAGCAATTGATGGACATTATTGGAAAATTATTTAGCAGTGCTAGTTCTATCGATCCGCTAACGTATTCTTCAGATATTGGCTTATTGAGGCGACTTCGACATTGGTTTGGCTCATGCAGAGAGAGTTTTGAGAAGGTTTATTTGACTTATATGCAATCCTTGCTTAATCACTTACTATCAGACACAACCTCCAGTATCATGACATACTCGAGCATTGAAAAATTTGCTGCTCTATTGTATTTCATTCCGTGGAATGAGAATTCTATCGAAGAACAGTGTCACACAGTGCTGTCGTTCAATTTGTCATTGACTTTTCCTCAAATGTTAGAAAAACTCTATACACATACCCAAATGGCACATTCTGTCAAAATTAGGATGCTAGATTTGCTATCGGCCATACTAAATTCATGCTTGTTTGTCACTACTTGTGACAGCAAAGAACAATACATAATGAAGAAAGTCCAGGACACAATTTGCTCCATGATCTTTACGAGAACCAATTTAGAAAGTATATTATTGTTCATCCGAGGAGAGCTATTGGCCACATCTTGTACAAGTATTCAAGAACTGACACAATTTTACAACCAAATATTGATGGAGAAGAATTTTACAATTTTCAATTATTCAAATTATGATTGCTTTAAAGGGGTTGTGAATTGCTTGCTTTGTGTTTCACAATTTTTACTTGCTCATCACGAAGACTATGAATACTTGCAAAGAGAAATGCTTTATCCTCTCTTGACAGAAATTTCCACTCATCTAACAAACTATTTCGGAACTATAACAAGTGGTAATTTCCTTTCACTGCTGATTGAGCAATCGATTGGCAATACAACTATGGAGGACAGCTCAAGAAATGATCATATTGGAATGATAACCTTGTTAGTGAACAATATAACTTTACGGTTATTGTGTGTCGCCAAGGTGATCTCCATTGTTGAGAGTCATTCGAGGAATTTTTCCAAAATTTCACATCATCTCAACACTATATTACCTATATCTTATTTTATTATTCCATCCTCAGCCTATGGTTACAAGGAATTATTGGGAGATGACTTTGATTGGATCATGAAACCAAATTACATTATTTCAGAAATTTGTGACAAAAAATGGGGAGCTATCGAATGTTTAATGCCTCTGATTTTCGAAGAGAAACAACATGAGATGAACGAAGAGGACAAGCAAATTCTCAACACCATTCGTCATGACAAGGAATTCAATGTTGAATTCCTCGAAAAGTGTATGGACAGTTTAGACGTTCTTTCGAACGAGACAACTGTTCTCGTCATTAATTGCCTGAAATATCTCATTCGAAACATGTTAATTCAAAACGAGAATGGCTTGAACTTTATTGAAATTGACAAACTGAAGAGATGCATCAATACTGCTTGGTCCCTTTTGAAAGGATCTACAGGTGCTGAAGGAGGAACCCATGGCCACAGATATACCAATGAGCATGTGAACATGGCTGCATTCTTTGAAATTGTTTTAGATTTTAATATTTGCAAAAATCCAGCTCTCTATGAGGCGTTAGAGATTTCAAAACTTTGCGAAAAGATTTTCACGGAATATGCAAAGAGTGTTGCAAAGCTTGGACTTGTTCTTGGTTTGCAGTTCATCAAATCGTTTGCATCCAAAAAGTGGAGAGAGTTACCGAACACTGCCAATGTATCTAGAAAACACATGATTTCTGATTTTGTTTCGTTAATCTTTTATTGCCCAGAAGCAAATGAGTATGACGAACTTGAAGAAACAGAACGAGCATTTAAATCGTTGTGCTCATATTGCAAAGAAGAAACAGCTTCTGACAGTAACCACAACTCCAAGCAACGAACCTTGACCTATCCTGCAATGATCAACGCTCCAAAAATCTTAAAGAGTGCCATCTTTTGTATGATTGATGGATTGGATACTGACAAAGATCGAGAATTTATCAAAACATTGGTGGGCCACCTGGTTGAAATGAATATTTCAAATGCATATCTAAAGAAACAACCAATCATGCCTGGATCACCTAAACATTGTAAAAAGATTCGAATTTGGCAAATTCTGTGCATGCTAGCTCCCTTGATAGATTTAGAAATATTACAGTCCGTGAATTTATTACATGAAACGAATGGTTCTGGAAAAGTTTGGGATTGCCTCTTCTTGGACAATCCACCTTCAGTTCGAAAATTACAAGAACTATTTACATTGGTGATGTTATTGAAATTCCCTTTATTGGGGTTCCATTCTCTTCATTGTCGTTTGGTAGAGGACATGAATGCCAGACAGCAATATTTAAGCTCGGTCGTCTCTCTTGTTGGAAATGTATTAATTTATTCTCCAGAAGACTTGTTGTTGCAAGACTCGACCGTGGATCCTAAGAATAATTGGCTACATGTGTTATTGAACGGGCTCTTTGTTTATTCTACCTCAAATTTCCACACAGTACGTGTAGTGACACATATCATGCTGAGAAATATTATCTATCGAATGGAAGAAATGAACAACAAGAAAGGACAAGACATGATGAAAAATAATGACTTGTTGAAACGAGTGTATTACTTTTTACATAACTCTCAGAACGTGCAAAAGTGGCTTGGAAAATACGAAAGTACCATTGTTGTAGAGCCCGTAAAAACAGCTCAACAATTATTTTTGAATTATTTCTATGAAGGCACCAATTTGGTGAATGACAATCCAACAGAATATCACCTAAAAACAATGATGGAAGATATAGATTTAGTAATTTATTCTCTATTTTACATATCCACCATGGGTTTCACCAAGGATTTATTCGACCGAATGTTCAAACCTCAATTCGGAGTGAGTACCATTAATGCCATCATGAACAGTCTCATTGATGTGGAAGGAAATCAGCAATCGCTCACAACCTCAATGATTCCAGTTGGATCTATTGATGATTTCACAACCATTTCTGTCTTGTGTCATGTTGCAAGAACGTTTACCGCTGAATGGAGAGAACATGTGATCCCATCAAGCCATAACAAAAAACATGCCTCGATTATTTACAAAGGTCTCGCCAGCGTTTTCGATTCGTCAATTATTGAGAAATTCCGTGTGAAATTTGGATTAACAGAAACGAATCCATCCATGATGGCAGATGCACAGATCGAACAAGAGAATGAGGAATCGAATGAGGAACAACAAAATTCAGAAGACCTTAATGATTCTACACAATTGAATTTCCAAAGAAAAATTACACCATGGTCGGAAATGGAAATTCAAAATGAATTGAATCCAAGAGCTGTCATTGAAAAATCTAGAAAACGACAATCCGTCATTATGATTGCTTCACTTGTGGATCGAATTCCAAACTTGGCAGGACTTTCAAGAACGTGTGAAATCTTCGCAGCAGAAAAACTCATTCTTCCACATTTGAACGTTCTCGAAATGGATGAATTTAAAACAATATCAGTGAGTGCAGAATATTGGATTCCAGTTGAAGCTTGCCAACCTACAGACCTACCTCAATATCTCTTACAAAAGAAACAAGAAGGTTACGCCATTGTCGGATTGGAACAAACTTCCACGAGCGTCATGTTGCCCAATTTCCAATTTCCAGAAAAGTGCTGTATTTTGTTGGGCAAAGAAAGAGAAGGAATTCCAGCCGAGTTATTGTCCTTGTTAGATGTTTGTGTGGAAATTCCCCAATTAGGCGTGTTGAGAAGTTTGAATGTCCATGTCAGCGCATCAATAATGTTATACAAGTATACAGAACAGTTTATGAAAAACTAGTCGGTCGTTACTAAGGAAGATGACGTGAACAAGTTTTGTCTGACAATCAATCTATATTTGTCGATTTATTCGTATTGGGGACTTTTAATTGATGGAATGATATTAATATGTGACAGATTTCTGTAATCGTCATCCTCTGACAAATCTAAAAGAATCAAAAATGGTCTCAACCTCATAGATGCTACTGACATATTCCAGAAAGATTACAAATACCGACAGTTAAAAAATGGATTTTGGGTGATGAACTTTTTTGATTTTCATCAACCGTCAACACTATGCAAATTTAAAGAGATTGTATTCAATGCAATGTTTATACAACAAGACACAAAAAATGTTCCTCTCTCAACTATTAACTGACCTCAACCAGTCTCTCTTCTTTCCATTACTACTAGCACTAACCGTCATCCTATTTATACTTTGGGTGATTAAGATTTATATCATCAATGGACGTTCAGTGCATCCAAACCTTCTTCAATCTTGTCACATGACTAACAAGATTTGCATCATCACTGGTGCGTCGGTTGGAGCTCTAGGATACGAAGCTGCCAAGCAATTGGCCAAACTAGGTGCCACTGTTGTATTAATCGTGTATAACATGCAAATTGGAAATGATGTAACGGCCAAGCTTAAAGATGAACTTGGAGAAGTAAAAGTTGAATATCTAGTGGCAGATTTGAGTGAATTGGAACAAGTACGACAAGTGGCATGCAAAATCAGAAGCAAGTTTGGTCGAGTGGATATTTTGATTAATTGTGCTGCAACCATGATGTGTCCTCATGCATTGACTCGAGATGGAATTGAAATTCAATTTGCAGTGAATTACTTGTCTCACTTTTTACTAACCATGTTATTGAAAGATCTTGTCATGAAATGTCAAGGACGTGTCATTAATTTTTCATCCAATGCTTTCAAATATTTGAACCAAAGTGAAAATGATTTATTTTGTTCCTTTACAGAAGCATCAGTCCGAGACAACGGTCGAGATGTGGCTTCCCCATTTTCACATTATGCGCGTTCCAAGCTTGCCATTCAACTCTCAACGAAACATCTTTCACAAATGAAATTTACTGAAAATGGAAACTCTCTCAATATTTATAGTTTACATCCAGGAGCCACTCGAACGACCTTTGTACTTCCTTTTATTAAGAATCATCCCTTCATTCACAAGTATGTGTATGGTCCCTTATCGTATTATTTTATGAGATCACCATTTCAAGGAATTCAAACTTGTTTACATTTAACATTGAGTCCACTAGAAGAATTAGAAAATGGAGAATTTTATGTGGATTGTCAAGTGGAGAAGAAGGAACAGCCACACTGTGAAAAGAAGGTCCAAAAACAGTTGTTTGAGACGAGTATGAATTTGTGTTCTTCCATTCTACAGGTTGTGTAATAATGTGTAATATAACTAAGTAATTAAATGACTCGAATCAGTAAATTTTATCTGCAAAAATTAATAAAATAATTAATTTTGAATTTTTATTAAAATGAGCAAACGAGTGTATGAAGAATATCAATCTTCATCATCCTCTCGGGATCATCGTACAAGTAAAAAAGGAGGAGCTGATACTAGACATCGGGGAGAGTATCATGATGAATATGAACCGAGAGAGAAAAAATTAAAACATCAAATTGATCCTATCGGTTGCCGAGCAGCTTTGGAAAAAGTAAAGGCCGATTTGCAAGAAAACTTGAAGAGTTTGGAGGAGAGTAATGCACGAGAAATTGCCAAGTTGAGTGCGGATACACTATTATTACAAAAGGAGAGAGTTGAGGATTTAATTCATTACTTTAAATTGGATAGAGATTTGATGGATGAATATCGGAAACGAGCAGTGAGTATGCAAAGTCTGATTACTGATGAAAGTAGTGATAGTGTGGTTTTTGATAATGTCGAGGATGAGTTATTGCGTACAGCTGAGGTTCTGAGAAGTATTGAAGAAGCCTATGAATATGAGACTCTTGGTATTGTTCATGATGAGCCGACCACCTCTCTCTCTGAAGAACATTTACTTGAAAAGCAACATGAAGACAATACTGACACTGATCGAGACAATGAGGAATTTAAGGACCATGTACTGGAATTATCAGAAGAATCCGAGGAAGAACTTGTTGAAGTATCTGATGATGAGAGCCACGATCAACCACCTCCACCACCGCCTTCTCCTCCACCCACAAAAAGCACTATTGGAAATTCGTTCGTTAATAGACAACCCCCTCAAGCTCATCATCTTCATACCTCATCAGTATCCAATATACAGTTAACACCTCCACCACCTTCAGCCACACTTCATTGTTACATTTGTTCGAATGAATTAAGCAAGAATGAAGCAATATTCAAGTGTTTAAACTGTAGCAATAGGTGCCACAAGAATTGTGCTCAAGGAAAGTCATCGATATTGCCAGGACTCAACAACGACGATATGATTTGTGATGCATGCAGTGATATTGTAAGTAATTTTCGTATCCTTTTCAACAAATTTTTTGTGCAATTTTTTGACTTGCAGAAATTGCAATACAACAGACAAAAGCCACACTTATTCAATATTATATGTGAGAGAAAATCACCACGAACTACTTTGCCAAAGTATGAATGTTTAAACAAGTTAGCAAAGTTGAATTTGGAAAATTATTTGGTGGCCTGTCCAAAGTGTAACAAAAAAGTGTCCGTGCAAAATCTAAAGCAACACACGGGCAGGGAATTTGAAGAAGACATTGTACAGGAGCTTCCATTGCTGAAACTATCTGATATTCAGTTTGATACAGATGTTTCAGAAGTAATGGTAGTGTTCAATGTCTCTGAAAATACTCTGCGCAAGTGTTGCGATAGGTTGAAAACGCACATAAATTTGCAAGATATCAGATACAAATTTGTATCATTGAATTCTACACAACAGAAAGCCTATTTTTTAGAATTCAATTCACCAGAAGATGCTTTCAAACTTGCGTGCTATTTTGAAGAGAACATGTTGAAGGATGCTATTAAGCAAATGGTTGTTCATGCTGTATGCTACTTTTGGAAAAAGAATTGCACAATGTTACAAATTGAAAATCTACCATTAACTACCAATAATAAGAGTGCGGTTCTCACCCAGACACCGGTTGAATTGAAAAGGTGTCACCTGAAACAAGAGAAAACTTCTAAAACTGCCATTGTGACGTTGAACAGCTATAAGGATGCTCGCTACTTATTTTTCGAGATGAATGGTAGAGTTATAGAAGGCCATTTAATTAAGGTTGTGGAGTATAGGGATAAAAATGAAAACATCTCAAACTCTAGATTTGTCAAAATATCAAACATCCCAGAATATTCAACTCCTGAGCAATTAGTAGAACTTCTAAAACAAGAGAACAACTTTACAAAGGAGTCTTTGGATAGCATGATAGTGAATGTATCAGCCCAAAAGCAGTGTCCAATCTTTGGATTTTATTATATTATGGAGCTGCGCTCTGAAATATTTGCAAAAGCATTTGTGACAAACTTTGATTCTATTTTATTTCAAGGAAATCGATTGAGAGTGCGCTTAACACCACCGCTATCTCACTAAATATTTACTTGGTTCGATACATGCTTTTACGTGAGGTGGTCGATTTTGCACCTAGTTGCGTCAAATAAACCAACATGGAAAGTCTTCGATCTTCAGATATCGAATAGCAATGCTTCATATCGTAGCTCGGCAATTTCTTTTTAGCTTCCATGCGCGATAAAAACTTGGACATGTTCACTTCTTTTCCCGGCAAGGTTCGCAACAAACCTCCCTCGAAAAAAACATCAACAATGAAGTTACAAAGTGCCTTTGTAACTGCACTCTTTTGATCGGGTATCTCGGCCCTGTTTTCGCAGTCTGCTTGGTTTACACATAGTAACCACCGCCCCATGATCAAAATAGGTCGCAATACTAAGGCGTCACACATTTGAAGTAGGATATTGTTATTGTGAATCATGTCAAACATTGAAATAGATCGTGTCCCTTCATAATAGCGTGGATAGTTTAACCATTCTTCAAACCTATAGTGTTTCATTATATATTGATAAAAATCAAAATGAACTGCATGCAAAACAAGTGACGTACCGTTCAGTTCTATAATTTTCGTTCATTGTAGGTAAATAATCCATCAAAAATCGCAATCCATTTTCATTGCAATTTAAAATTGCTGATAATAAAGGAGATTCAAATCTCGGATCTGATCCAATTCGATAAAATAGAGATTGTAAGCAATTAGCATGACCTTCATTGTCACAATGTAAAAACCAATCAAAGTCCAATTCCTCAAGTATGCCATTCCAATCGTTCTGGTGACCCTCTCCATTTGTTGTTGATGAAATATGATCGTATCGTTCGTCACATTGTTCTCTATACAACATAAAATTCCAAAATGACATGTTGATAAACAATTTTTCATCCACTGCTGTTTTTTGAGATGAAGAGGAATTCCCGAAAAGTGTTGACGTTGCTTCTGCGTTTTGTAAAAGCTTTAAAATTTTTGTAAATCGCATGGGCTGTTCACGTTTGGTTCTTGTTTCAGCAGTATTGGGATGACTGAGCTTACTCTTCTTGGTTTTCCTGTCTGTATGATTCTTGCTGTCATGACGTAATTTAAAGGTTGCCCTTCGTGCCCAAAATTGAGTAATTAGTGATTCCATGGATCGTAATAATTTGGACCATATATATTCTAAATTAGCTTCAAAATGATCGAGATTTAACAAATTTCGAACACGGAAATCTTCATGATCAGATTCAATATCTATGAAACAGTCACTATTGAGAACAGGAAATATCATGGAAAAGGATAACATGCATCGATATAATTTTAAACAAATAAGCAAGTCGAGGGTAGACCAATGGTCGAAATTAAAATTATGGTTTTGATGCAAGTGATGTGTCAGTTCATGTAATAGAGGGTCCACTAATTTCTGCATTCCAAAATTTGAAAGTAAGTGAAGTAGATCAATAAATTTTCTCGAATCGGTTTGAGAGTGAACAATCCCAAAAAACATCAATGAAATCATAAAATCCGCTACAAAATATTCATAAGACTCTTTTTCATTAGTCATGGATGACTCAATGGCTAGTGTTGTGTTAAACAAGAGGTCATGGACATGAAATCCCATATTCAACAAATACTCTACATGTCTTGTGTCGCCCCAGCAAATAGTGTCGCATAGTCGTTGCAAATGTCCATAAATTGGAGAATGATTTTCAATGCCATAATAGTTGACCAGTGTAAACTTGGATCTTTCAATATTCCGTTGCTGAATTGAATTGCAATATTCCAGAATAGAATCGAATGTACAAGGCTCGTTAATAAGATAACTGACCATTACGCACGGAAATTCGCCAGGAATGTAGCATGATGCTGTAGATACAGCTTCAATGTATGATGTGATGGAATCACTTCTGTCTTTAAACGATTCAATTTCGCAATAACATAGTAGACTCATGTGATTTGGAACCGTACTTTGTAACATTTGGTAATCACGTAAAGTTTTCTTTCGACCAAATTGTAACTCCTCTTCTTCTTCTTCATCGGATGAATCGGCACTGCTGATAGAGCTGGCAGACTTTTCAAGTAGCTTTCTGGATTTGATGGAAATGTCAAAATTATCTAAAGGAATAATGATTGAAGTGTCGAGATCTGGAAGTACAGCACAAGTATAGAACGTATTGTTCTTTTTAAACACAAGAGTCTCAGAATTTTCTTGCTCCAGCTTTGGTTTGTAATCTTCCAAAATAACATTTGGGATATAGGACTCTGATATTTCATTGTATGTTTCTAGGAATATATATTTCAATGTTTCAAAACTGAGATTGGTACACGAACAGAAAAACGGCCGCAATTCATCAAAATCTATATTTCCCAGAATTTCAGATGCTTGAGCGTCGAATGATGTAGCCATTGTTAGAGAGTTTGTCTGTAAAGATGAGAGAGCTCTTTTCAATGTTAAAAAACTAATGTACTGTGTTTGAAAAACATCATAGCGAATACCCTTTTCGAATATTTTAGACATGCTGAAAAATCCTGTATATGGAAGATGAATTTGTTTCAGTTGGGATGCATTTCTAGCAATAGACTCAGCAAGTCCCGTCTCTAATTTACAATTGAAAAAGGTCAATTTGTGTAATATTGTATTTACATCTTGAATGGGTTGGCCATTGGTCGTTTCTCTTCCTCCGCTGAGGCACCAAATCATTAATTCCTTGTCAATAAATAAATCGCTAAAATATAACTGAGAAATATTGTTGAACAAATTTCTAAAGAGAGATTTCACTTGAAGTTCATTGCGTTTTTTAAATACCATATACTGTGACTGTAATAGCTCCTCTGAATGTGAGGATTGTCCTTCGTATAAAGCTTCTGAATAGTCGAACGAGGTTTTCATAATTTTGTCATAAATATATTTGGTAAATCGAAATTCTTTCACAGTGTTTGTAAATGATAGCACACATCCATTCCAGTGTTTGTTTAACCTTTTTGTGATGTAAACATTGGTGAATGTTCTAGTCAAATCACATACCACAAAAGCCTCAAATAATCCAACGGAAATAAAAAGTTACAAATTTCTCGGACGATATCACAAGGAATTTCATCCCAATACGTTGAGAATTGTTCATCATCGTCCTCATGAATACTCATTTCATCATGGTCATTTGTCCCTTCCGATTGGTTATTTTCAAAATCATCATCATTCTTCTCATTATCCAAATATTCATGGCGATCATCATGTTTTAATTCTGAAAGGCTTTTGCTTCTAGTTTCTTCTTCTTCCGAAATTGATGGAAGAATCCTAGCCAAAAGCCTCTTTTTCATTTTTTTGTAAAATTGTTAATGATTATTATTTTGTTGAAATTATTTTCCATCAAGTCTTTTAGTGTTTTACTTGTTTGGATGAAGAAGCAGTTTCATCATTTGCCTGTTCATCATCTTCTTGCATGACTTGTCGTTTTCTCTTTTTACCATTTTCTTCCTCGTCATTGTCTACAGGTGAGTCGGATTTGTCATCCTGCTCACCAGATTGTTTAAGGACTTGTTTGGCAATTATTTCAAGGAAATGTGAGGAGTCACCTTCTTCCTCCTCATCTTCTCCATGATGAGAAGGATGTTGCAAAGCGAGCTGTATTTGTTTCAAATCAAAATCTAACAATAATCGACATGATTTCCAAACAAACACGTTCGAAGAATTGACAAACTTCTCGGATGGTGTCACATCAAATTCTTCCTTCACAATGGGAACGACATAATTTGCAAAGTCATGTGATCGTAGTTCATTTTCTGAGCTCTTTAAATAGGCATCTACAGACTCTGTACTTGTATCACTTTCTAAAAATCCTAACATGGCTGCGTTCTTAAAAACTAGACTTGATTTTGAGGAGAGAGGAAGAGTGGAGGAGCGGTCATGAAAGAAGGCTGGACATTGATTAGCCTTCCAAGTAGTCCAGAACCTTTCTCGTTCGAAAATGGTATCCATAATTGTACTAACATCAGAGTCATACTTTTTCATGATGGTAAGAATTTTCTCTTTCATGGATTTAAGTTCTGAGGAGTAGGAATGGGAATCAGTATTCTTTTCTTGCAACCTAGAAATTGCTATTAATAATTGAATCAGTACTTGTCTACGGAATCGAACGTCGTCTAATTGTAGGTCAAATAATTTTCGATTTTTCAATAGCTTAATTGGAGAAAATAATACTTCAAATTGTTGTTGTGATGTATCGATAGTAGTATTCATCTTGCCATCAGATTGAAGCTTTTCCTTATTTCTCTTTAACTGTTTGAGAGTTTGAATATTGGAAATGCATCTGGATTCAATACATTTCATCATTCGGTCGACTTCTTTAGAAAATGTTGACCATGTTGGTATGGTATAATCCTGACCTTTGGTTTGGCTGTAATGAGCTGAGAGAGAGGTCTTTAAGGACAGAAATTGGATGACATGCATTTGTAAATTCCAAAAAGTTTCAAAATCATCGACCACCACACTTGCAGCATCAGTCTGTTCTTCTCGAACTTGTTGTTCCAACAATGCATGATGTTCCATATTTACGTGTCCTCCCTTATTGATACAGGCATCGTGGTTATAGGGTAACACAGAAGCAACAAAGAGCAATATTTTACCACAAGTTTCTGTATCTTCAATTTTGGAAACCTTTTTCGAGTCAAAAACTGCTTTTACCGTTTTCAACAATTCCAAAGCACAAAGCTTGAACTCGGAGCAACACCGACTCAAACATTTCATAAAGTCTGTACTATTTGTGTTACGTTGTTGAGATTCTTCTTCTTGCTGTGAATGGTTATTCATACAATAATTAAATATTTGCTCAATGGCTTTAGCATTGTTGAAGTGATTACAATACTCGGAAAGTAAATGAAGTGGAATCATGGATATGGTTTTCCGCTGTGAATCATCAAGAGTGCTATTCGGATCATTTAAAATGTTTGAAATTAGGCTTGTAAATTTTCCAAGAAATGAAAAATCAATGATTGATGATGATGATGAATAGATGGCTTGAATCAATAGAAATATCTTCAAGCTACTCCTCACTAAACATTCTATCGTTCCTGAATTTTCCTCCAGTAATCCCGATTGTAGCGATTTGTCGTCATCCTTGTGTTCTTGAACGTTGGATGATGTCTTTGACGGTGTATAATATGATGCCAAAACTTGTTCCGAGATGTTGTAAATATTCTTCAACATTCGCTCGAGAAGATGTTGTTGGGTTGGTGATTCTTCACCAAATAAATCTGTGAGTAGATGACGAAGGAGTGTTTGAGCCATTTTTTGTGTTTTGGTTGCATTCGAAAATAAATTCTTTAATAAATAATAAATTATTGAGCAAATTTGTTCATGAGAGCGTTTCTCTCGGTATCCAAACATTGACACTTGTATTTCATGTCAGCGGTGTGACACCAGGCTGTCTTTGTATCTTGAAGATTAGCTCCTTCAACAGTGGCACGAGCTGTTACAACAATAATGGGTTGTTAACAATAAAATCACTCAAAAATAATTATTACGAACCTTTTTCACAGGTACCATCATTTGGCCATTTAAGAACAGCATTTGCTGGCAATGAACACCAAGAGTATGGCTTGTAAACAGTGTACGAGTACCAAACCTTTTGACGAGCTGCAAGTGGAATTGAGCTTAACCATTTTGAAGCTCCGTCCTTTTGAGGTGTTACGTAATTTTAACCAATGAAAAGTCACAGAATGGAACGTGGGTAGAATTGAGTGATTAATGATCGACAAGCCGGTTGTGCATGTACTTACATAGGTCAAATCGCTTTGAGATCCGCATCCAATACCAACAACGTTGCCAATTCCAGCTACACATCCAGCTAAACCAGATCCTCTATAGGGAGTACCAACTGACTGGATAACTCTTCTTTCCTTACTATTTTCAACGTCGGCCTTGGACCAATAAAACGCAACTAAATGAAGCGATGCCATACCACTATTCAATGAAAATTTTGTCACACAGGTCAAAGTATTGAACAGAAATATCGTTAGGTACCACAAGTGAACGAACAACACTTACCCTTGACTGTGTCCAATCATTGAGAATGAATCAAATTCACTACCAACTTCTGCAATCATCTTGGCGAACTTGTCATTGTTTCTATTCGCATGCAAATCTTCAAAGACGACTGCATTGTTGAAATCTGAGGTTGGGAATGGATTGTTGCCACTGCAATATCCGTGAATTAGAATGACCTTAACAATTTGTAAATATAAAAATGACATTCGAAAATTGTAATTCATTGTAACAACTTACCTTGTGAGTGGATGATTTGGCATTTACCTTTGCCAATTCGACTGGTCTTGGACCAAACAACATGGTTTCAGTAATGACACCATCGAAGGCCTTAATGATTGGATGAATAGATAAAAGGTTATTCACAGCGTCCACTTTGACATTGTAGACCCTATCACTACCATGTGAAATATGAGAGAAGGTCAATTCAGGAATGGTTTGTTCAATCTTACTGATAATGTTGGAAGAGGCCACATCTTGAACATTCACATTCTTCAAAATGAAAGGCATTTGAAGGTTGTTGTTTGACTTTTGTTGAGCTTTGGCAATCCATTTCACACTCATTTGCAATGGAAGAGCAATCATGCCCTGAGGACAATCGCTACCATCACACTTCTCAGCAATGGTCATACCCGAAATGAAAGCAACAGGTTCCAATGAAGATGAAGAGGAGGATGCATACACTTCAGCATAGGCCTTAAATTGCTTACCATCAGCTTCGGCATCGAGTGGCTTGGCAATAAGTTTAACAGTCATCATTTCAGTATCAGTAATTTCGCTACTGATTGGGAAAGTCAATGAGGCTCCTTGAGTAAGCTCCAAGGACTTCTTGACAATGGAAACGACATGATGAGTGGTTCTCTCAAACTCAATCACATCAGCCATCAGATTTACCTTGTTGGTCAAACTTGTACTGGTAATGACACCTTGAACAACAACACTCACAGTGTAATCACCAGGTTCTTGTACTGAGAGCTTGGCACTATTGTGTTGTGTAATAATAATTGTTCACATTTGTGGATGTTCAATATTGAACCAACAACAAGTGTAAACATCTCTCTCTTACAAAAAATCACACATGTGAGAAACATACCTATAAATACCATCTGATGCAACCTTATCACCAGCTGCATCAAGATCACCATGATCACTCATGTCAATAGTGATAAACTGACCACTGGGTGAGATGGCTTGCAATTTAGCCGAGCGGATTTCCTCTCCCTTATTAATGTTGAACTTGAGTGGAGATGGTTTTGCTGCCACACTATCGAGTGGTGTCTTGTCATGATCAAACATGAATGCCTCAACGACAACACTATCACCAACATGTTGATTATCATAGGATTGTAATTGAGAATAGGCACGCAATGGAGATTGATTATAAGTCAAAATATGCAAGTGAGCTGAAACTGGCTCTCCAGTTAACTTGTTGATGTTGTTCAATTTTCTGGTAGAGGTCTCTTGGAATTTCACGGATACAGTCCATTCATCAACAATCACGTCTTGTGTGAGCATCAAGCTTTGTTGTTTGCGAATGGCAGTAATAGCATTGGCATCAAATCTAAAAGTCTTGGAAGGAAGTAAATTTCGCTCATTGTTAGAAAAAGCTCCAAAAGAACGCTCAACCACAACATCCAAAGCCTTGCTGGTAATGTCATTTCCGTATTGATCATAAATTGTAATATCCATGTCTGAGACTTGCAAAGCCAATACTGAAATATCGACTTCAGCGGATGAGTCCACAGCAACTTTTCCGTTAAATTCATACAAATCACCTTCGGCTGTTGCTTCCAAACTCTTTGTAAATTTATGAGCCATCAAATGATAATCACTTTGCATGGCTCCGACACTTGGTTCTGGATACTGATGAAGAGAAAATTCACTGGGAGGTCCCTGAATATTCTTGAATGGAAGATTACTCGCTGTTGTTGTTGTTGCTGTTGTGCTGAATAATAAAATGGTTATGGCCGCTGCGAGAAGCATGGACCACCACTCCTCGATAGATGTGGTGAAACGACATTTTTTGAAAGATGATGAACCAACTTCGGAGTTGGTTTTTTGGAATGATCATTTTTGATTATGATGAAATCATTCAATACCGATAATAATAATCAAGATCGGAGAACCTCGTTGAAAGATCATTTTCTCAATGAGATGTTGTTTTTTTACTCTTCATTGAATTGTATACAATAAGCTACCCTAAACAAGAGAAGATACCCTTTGCTTATTGTCTTTCCTTAAAACGTTATAGAAGCTCAATAACAAAAACTCAAATTTGATTGAAACGAATGCAATTTCGAAAAAAAAATGCTGAACGATCCGTTTATAACAACAATCGCCCATGCAGTTCCAAAGATACAATGTTATGATCAAGGTGGCAAATTGAAGAAGAATATCATCTCGGAACAAAATGATACTATTTTTTCAAATTCCAAAGACGTTTGTTTTCAAAAAACACACCTTGAACGAAACAAAAAGAGAAATAAATCAACACAACAAACCAAGAAAAATTCTGGATCATCAAGGAATGATAATGTTTCGTATGTGATGAATGTGTATGGAAATGGAGATGCCATGATTATTAATTCCTCCACGAATCATTCCGATGAGGTAAATCCAAATACAAACGGACCCATGATCATTGACCAGTCAAAGAACGCCAATAATAATGAGAATATTTATTATGAATTGGGTGGATTTCAATTCAAGTTGGAGTTGGAACAAGGCCATGATAATAACAAACAAAAAAGCAAAGCTGTTGCGATGAGTGGTAATGGTAGCAGCAAAAACCCTTATGTATCAATTAGACACATAGCAGTTGGTGAAAACCATTGTGTGGTCATGATTGATTCCAATCAGAGTTCAGCCATTCATACCCAACTCAATAATTTTCCATTCCAATTGTATGGCTTTGGCAATAATCGTTGCGGTCAATTGAGCTTTGACATTAACAAAAGTGGTAGTGGTTTCATTTATCCGGGGAGAGAAATGGAATCGGCATATGCCAATATGAAGGACCATTTCGCGAAAACGGAATCCCAGACGACAAATTACACAACAATTACACTTAGAGATATTGCTTGTCTTGAAGACTATACATTATTTTTAACGAATTGTGGAACATTATTTTCATGTGGTAGTGATCAAATGGAAAATAGAGTAAGCCGAAATTATCACAAGTTAATGCCTTTGGCAGGTACAAGCAAATTGAAAGTGGAAAAAATTTCATGTGGATCGAAGCATATACTCATGATTGCCTCTCCTATTATTGAGCCAACACCAACGAAGAACCATTCTGACACAACAGCATCCTCTGATATTGTTTATGGAAAAAGAAAGGTCTATGGATTTGGTTCCTCTACCAATTATGCGCTCGCTCAACAAGGTTTTAACAAAACCGTGACTGAAATTCCAGTATTGAGCTCCTCGAGTGCTGATGAAGTGGTTGATGTGAAGGCAGGTGGTACATTTTCACTCTTTTTTACAAAAAAAGGATTTATTTATTCTTGTGGAGATAACTCGTATCAACAGGTGCGTGGTTATTAATATTTTATTTAATATTTTGGGTTCGATCGAACACGTTATATTATTTAAATATATACATCAACAATAGCAAGGAAAAGAGCCACGCTATGTTACCATCATGGATGTCATGAAATTGACCATCAAAGAATTTGATTATAATCAGTTTGCCATTAGAAATATTTGTTGTGGCGATCGTTTTAGTGTAATTGTAACACATCATGGAAAAGTTTTCACAACCATCAAAACACCAAAACCAACCATCAATGTGAATCAAACAAAGGGATTTTATGAAATGGAATACTTTACAAAAAACAATATTCATGTGGAGAATGCATTCGCTAGCAAGAATGCAATTATTTTTCAAACTAAGCACGGAGCCTTGTTTTATTCGACGGTTACTGATTTTAATGGTGGATTGTATGCCTCCTCTATTCGAAAGCCACAACTAGGAAAGCCAAAACCCATTAATTTACCAAAATTTAACGCATCGATGAAGAAGGTCTTTTCATCAACACACACAGATAATTATTTAGTGTTGACTTTAATGTCCATCGAATTGGATATGTTCTTTGAATTATTGGTGCATTCGTTTGTCAATGCAAATTTTTCAGACCTCACCTGTGTCTCCTATCATTGATATTTTGCAAATGAATATTTGATTCTAATATGAAAAACATATTCACACTAATAAGGTTTACACATCATAAAATGTAATCCCAAGAATGACACAGCAACACACCAAGAAATATATCACCATATTCCTCTTTTCATCCTTTGTCATTTTGGCACTCCTTCCAACTTTTTCCTCACTTGGAGGATCGGATGATCTTGTCAAAAACGAAGTTGTATTCTGAGAATTAGAACTACTACGTTTCAGAGTATCTTCAGAAAATTCTCTTTTGAATTTTTCCTCTTCTGAAATTTGTAATTCAAACAGATTGGATCCTACTTGAACTTTTTCACCTTCTTTTTTGCAACATTTAATTATTTTACCATTGTACGGACTCGTTATATCCATCACTGCTTTTGAAGTCGCAACTTGAACGACATCTTGATTTCTTTTCACATAGACTCCTTCTTTGACATACCATTTCACAATTTTCACTGTTGAAATCCCATTTCCTATAGGTTGCAATGGAACAGAATGAACATTATCATGGCGTTGCGCCACTTGCTTCTTCTGGGAATCTCTTGTTTGGTGTGAACTTTCTGAATATTGGTAAACTGGATTAGTAGCCTTTGTGTCATTCTCAATAAAATCATGTTCTGAAACTTGTAATTTCAATATGGTAGCTCCAGCCGGTACATGTTCACCCACACTTTTACACAATTGATGCACTCTTCCATGATATGGACTTCTCATCTCAATCGTTACCTGATCCGTTTCGAATAGAGCTACCATTTGATCCACTTGAACTTGATCTCCTTCTTGAACGAGCCATGCAGTAAGTTTTGCCGGTTCAACCTGATTTCCATAATTTGGATATTTTACAGATTGAATATGATCTATACTTTGAACCTTCTCATTGAGTTTCGGTAAAATGGATGAAGTAGGATTGATCGGAGATGGATTTTGGAACTTGATTTCATCATTTTGAAAATCCGAAAGAATACCGCACTTGTAATGATACTCTCTCTCAAATTTCTTCATGATTGATGAACATTGAAGGATCGACGTCATCTTCATCATTCCATCTCCATGGATGTATTGTAATCGAGAGCTTAACTTTTGAATCGTCATTCTTGAACGCATTTTTTTTTAAAAAAGTTTTTCCAGTTCACAAAGAAAGAATCAAACAAACGTTGGATTTGATTGAATTCATGGGATTTTGAAACAATTCAAGAATTTTCACACAAAAATTCACATTTCATAATCGTGTATTTTAATTCTTAATTTTTTTCAGAGTGGATTTGATCAATTCCAATGGTTGATCGAAATTATTCTTGGCAGCTCCCAATAATTCAAATCGAATTCGTAATTTTCCTAAAAATTGACCAGATGCTGAAAGAGGTGAAGATGGAACCGTTGTGGAAGTTGAAACATTTTTCAAAATGGAATAAAATTTTGCACTTCGATTTTCAATGTCTCCCCATGGAATAAAAACGTGACCAATGACTTCGGTGGAAAGCATGTCTCTGTCGCTCACAGTGAAGAGTAATCCTAATTTGTTTAAATGATCATGAATGTTGCTATTTGAGGAGGTTTTGAAAATTCCATTGAAACATATGTGACAGTTCGAAGTTGTCAACAATGTTTTGATTTTGACAATTTGGTCCATACTATTTTGATGAAAATGATAAAACTACTTACATGGTAAATACTTCGTTGTTCCATTTTGGATTCAAATTTTTCTTAATCGTATTCGTTTTAAAAAGTTTCTTCTTCTTACTCGAATGAAAATCTTCTTCACTTTCAATCATGTACACAGTGACAAATCCATCACACATTCCAGAAATAGTATCCATGACTGGTAATTGAGAAGCTTCCATAATTTGAACTTGGAGAACTTTTGGAATGGGTGCCAAATATTTTGCAATTTCTGAAGCTTGTCTTCGTTGTAAAATTGGAGTGATGTGCCAAGCTTTTTCCTTATTTTCACTCGAGTACTGACATTTGATACTGCACAAGAAAAAGGATGAACTTAATGAAGTGGTTGATGTTTTGAATGGAATTTGTACGGCAGGGATGCTGAAACGACAATCTTCATTCTTGGTCTCCATGTTATAAATTTTAAGAAGTGCATTCAATTGAGTCAATAATTCATTGACATCGTCAGGAGAAGTATCATTTCCAGAAACTTCTAAATGAATTTTCAATAAAATTGAAAAGTAGATAATGGTGTTTGGATCTGGCAATGCAAATGCAGACTTGTTTCTTCGAATGGATAATCGATTACTTGCTCGTTTGAGTCCTACGTCCAACGAATGATTACGAATATCATCGAGAACGATATAAAATTGTGCATCATCATGTTCTCCCTGAACAGGCCATTCTACTTTTGTGTTTGAAGGATTTCCTTGATCAATGACAGCTGCAAATCGAGTCGTGTCTTCAGAAATGTATTTTTCAACAGTTCCAGAAAGTGGCATTGAGCTCGAAGAAGTCAATGTTTGCTTCATGTCACCTTTCCAATTGTAACAAAGTGCTTCCATTTTCAACACCATATTTTCAGCAATATGTTTGTAAGTCATGGCTTTCTTGGACTTGCCAGATGTCAATGGACAAATATCACTTCGAAGTGACAATTTTTTGTTAATATCCTCAAATTTAACTCCAAAGCAAATATATTGAGATTGAGCAAGTAATGGAGCATGAGAAGTTTTTTCATTCGTGCTTCTCTGATAATTAGGATTATTCACTAAATAGAGATCAGAAAGACGATAGATCCAATCCTTGTCTCTCACTGTAATTTCACGTTCTTGTGTAATGGGCATCCATTCTCCAATAAAACTAAATTGCCATTCATTTTGAGCTCCTTCCACTTTTTCTAATTTGAATCCCAATAAATGTTTGTATCCAGCATGATCGATTGGTGCTTGATTGTCAATATCCACTTGTACATTGTTTTCATTTACCACTTGAGCCATAGCTGATACTTCAGAAAGAGGAAATGTGAATTGAGGTTGTTTGGTGCTGGCATTCAAAACTGAAACCATTCGAATGGTATCATTCTTGCTTTCGTTTTTAGAATTACTGAAGGATGAGCTGAATGAGAGTCGTCTCAAATCGGTTTGCACCGATGGCTCTGCTTCAATTTGAGCTTCATCTTCGAATGACACTCGTTTCATCTCTCTCGATCCATCGTAAATGGAAATGACACAAAAGAGAGCATGTGTTTTTTCCACAAGTTTGGGAATAATGGCCATTGGATCGATGATGCCATCCAGTAAAGGTCCTTCTCGTTTCAGCTCAACGGTATGCTTTTTAAGGAAGTACGCTTCATGATCAAACAAAAAGACGTTCAATAAAACGGAAGGTTTTGAATTTTCTGAGATTGTACTGTGTGAAATTCCTTTGAATTTGAGAAGGAGTGGAGAATGTACAGAAAATTGAATTGGAGTTTCCAACGTCGATACAGTTTCTCCTTCCAAAGTGGTTTGAGTCAACTCAAAAATGGAAGGGCATGGAGCGAGTTTGCTTGGTTTGAAATAATGTCTTCTCAAATGATGAACTGCTTCAGTAAGAACACTCAAACCTTTCCGTCGTGACAAAGTAATAGTTTCTCCAAGTGTTTTGAATGCAAAGGATTCACAGCCAGTGTATGACATTTTACACCAAATAATGCAATTACTTGGGCTTGCGCTGACAGAGAAATTTCGAATGCCAACCTCATTGTTTTCACTGTCTAGATAATAAATTCCTAGCATGGAATCAAAGTACAGAAAACTGCTAATGTTGTTAATTGCAGTGTTGGCAAGTCCCATTTTAGGAATTTCACTCTTTTCATATCCATCACCAATGACTGACAAGATGTAGACCTCAGGAACATGTTTCAAATTTTCCATGTTAATATCAAAGTAATCAAACGCATTTACAAAGACGTTACAATTACCAGAAATGCTTTCGGCCAAATGATTCGTGACAGTCGGCTTGCCATTGAAATTGTGAGAACTCCTTGTCTTGTCATGACACACCACATCGAGAATACTTCCCTGTGAGTCTAACAAGAGACAATAATGATTCACACGAATAGGTCTTATTCCCAATGCTCTATTTTCTTCGGTGAGACGAATTCTTATGGTCTCTCCGTTAAATGTAGTTGCTCCAGTTGTGGAATCAGACTTGGATTGTAAAATTAAGCATTGATTTCCTCGAAGTGGATATAGATCGAGTTTGTTCTTATTGAAACCATCAATGATTTTTGGTAAGTGGAATAAATTACATTGGTATGGAAGAGGATAAGGTTGACACGAGAGAGAGGAATAATTTCTACAAGTGCTCAATGGATCTGCTGTTTCAATGACGAAATCTTTCCTGGATCTGTCAAATGTCATTGAGAATAAAGTGGATATAATGTTGCTCTTCTTCATTACAGATGGTTGATTAATTGAGACGTTGAGCTGATGAATATATTTTGGTAATGTCACTCTATAATCTAAATCATTGTAATCACGTTTCATAAATTCCAATGAATTTTCAAATGAAACGGCCAAGTCCCCTTCCAAACAATTTAAATCTCCTTCCAAAAAGAAAACAATCTTGTTGTATTCACCATAAGGATTTTCACTCAAATATTTGGCCATGTGTTTCGCTTGTTCTTCATTATGTTTCGAAAACATCAAATTCTGAACGGCTTGTTTACAAAAATTAAAAGTACTATCACCAGCATTTTTCTGTGGTGCATTGGAATCTTCGGAACTAGTTCCTGGTGGCATGGTAGAAGTTGGAGTGATTAATTTCTTGGAAGTCGTAGAAACTGTGAAATCGTCTAAAAACTTTTTGAAATGACTCCAATACGTTCGTTTCATGTCATCTACCATATCTGGATATGTAAAAGGAGGTTCATACAAATGCTTCCAATTTCTAATTTGCATGACAAAGGTCTGTTTTACGTTTTGAAGTTTGATTTCAGTTGAATCTTGTGACATTTCTGGATCATTGAGTGTGCTTGATTCAAATTGTGATTCCGGTGAATTTGTGACCGAATTGTTGTTCACAATGAAAGAGCCAGTTTTCTGTGTGGAGTGAGCATTGTTGACTGCTGTGGAACCAGTTCTCAAATGATAACCTCCAATAGAAGCTTTTGTTAAATTAGCAGAAGCACCAGGAGTTGTGGCAGATGCTGCCTCCGAAGAGGATGACTTGATCGAACGTCTCAATCCCAAACTCTTCCTCTGATCGGCTTCGTTTTGAACCGAATAAACTTCATTTTCAATATGAAGCAATGGAGTACAACGTTCATGCAAAGTTGGGGCACTGGTTCTCGACGAGGAGGACATGGTATTTCGAGTTGAGCTTTTTTCATTTTGTGGATCTCCCGATGTGACGTTTTCCATTTGAGGAGAGCTCAATAATGTCGCATTGTCACATTTTCTCGAATTTAAACCTTGAATATTATCGACACTTTCAACAGTAATTAAACTCTTTGGTTGTTCCAATGTTAACACATCGACCAAATTTCCATTCTTATCCAATACAAAACAACCCACAGAAATTGGAAGATGAGTTTTCTGTCTCAATTTCTCAGCTCGATTGGTTGTTGTTGATGTTGCATTATTCACGACTGTGTTATAAATGGAATAGTTAAATTTCACAGAAAGTGTCGCACTTTCCAATGTGAGATCATGATCTCGTTCAGTCGTACCACCAGCTGAACCATTTAAATCATGAATCGAAGATGAATTGGTAAATGATTTGTTAGAAGAACTAGAAGTACTCAATGATGATGTAGTTACGGAACCTCCTTTCGATGAAGCATCTGAAAAGGATTCCATCCATAGCATACTCGAAGGAATGACTAGAATTGTATTTTCATCTCGTGTGGCAAACGAAGCTCTGCTGCCATAATTTGATGATGATGACGAGGATGACATCAATTCACGACGAGATGATCGCGAAGATGTCGATGATGAAATATTTCCAGTGCTTGTCAAGACGGAATGATTATTGGTTGGTGATTTGTAACGAAATGATCTGACATTTCCACTGTTGGGTCTGGAGAACGAAGATGGAGAACCCGATGATGGTGAAGTAGGTGTGGTCGGAGGAGAAGACAAGGGTGGTGAAGTTGTTGTTGTTGTTGTTGTTGTATTGGTTGTCGTCGTGGTCACTGGAGTGTTGTTGGATGGACTCAAGGAAGGTGACAATGACATTTTTTACTGATGCGTTGATTGGAAATGAAAATGTTGGAGATGTTTGAGTAGTAGTGGGTATGTACAGTGACATCTTATTGTCGCTCCTTATTCATCCTATGGACGAGATGATTTACAATGGAATTCATTGAATTAAACATTGACCAAATTCTCTGTGTGGATCGTAGTTGTAGTTTCTGTCACAAATGGATGTTTGAGTGCATCAGAAACAGTTAAGCGCTTAGATGGATCAAGTATAAGGGCCTTGTCCAAGAAATCGTGTAGCATCAAGACTAGCTTTCGTTCCTCTTTCATGGCCTTCTCGTCCTGTAAATGTTGATTACTGATCATGGAATTCAAGAGCATGGCCTTCAAGTCAGTGACGCTTTTTTGATAATACAGTTTTCGAGTTTTGATTTTCTTGGTCAAAGGGTCCCATTCCCGAAATAAAAAAGCTCCATCTCCATTAAAATCGAAATGCGTTTCTCGGAAAGCACACTTTTTCAGAACCTTATTCGAAAATTTTCCTTTCAATTCCATCATCAATCGAATGGCATCATTATTGTTTTGAGAAGGAAAGAGGATTTTTCCAGTATACAGCTCAAACACCGTACAAGCTACACTCCACATATCAATAGGATACGAATATTTCATTCCCAATATAATTTCTGGAGCTCTGTAAAATCTCGACACTAAATAGGGGGTAATGCTGTTCTCTGAAACATCTGAGGCCGAGCCCAAATCTGATAATTTAATTTTGGTATGGCTCGGATGAACAAGCATGTTATCAGGTTTGATGTCTGCATGGAGAATGTTGCAATCTTGAATGTGTTTCAGAGCAACGAGAAGTTGTTTGGTATACACTCGAACTGCATCCATACTGATACCCACTTGTTTGCCCTCCCTTCGACCGTAGTGTTTGAGAACATCTCTTAAATTCATTTCCAACAATTCAAACACGAGACATAAATGATTTCTGTATGTGAAATGATCCAGCATTCGAATAATATGTGATTCATCATTGGGATCTTTCTCCATGAGCATTGAAATAATGTTCAACTCTTTCGTTCCAGCCTTTCGCATTGTTTCACTACTTCTTATAATCTTGATAGCTACACGTTGTGATTGAGGATCTTTGGCAAGTTTGTCGGAAGCCTGTACAACGCTTGAAAAAACTCCTTGGCCAAGAAATGCCTCAATTTTGTATCGATCATTCATGACTTCTCCTATGGTGAATCGATAATAGCCCTCAGGATCGTCATACAAGTCGACAGCAGTGTTAACATGGGCAGAGGGCTCAGCAAGAGCTTGCACCAATTCATCAGTAGAAGCTCCAAACATGTCAATGAATGGAGACGATTCGCCCTCATTTTCTTTCACATTTGTTGTGTCATCATGCAGGGAGACAGCTGCGGGTTCTTTCGATGATTCATTAATCTCGTCATCAATGGCAGACCTTTCCTGTAACTTGTTTCGTTCTTGCTCCAATTCATAATAAAAACTGTTGCCTCCTGATTTGAAAGCGTCAGAGCTGAGAGGAGCAACAAAAGCTTGGTTTTCGTCGTCCGATGCAATGGAATCCTCTGATTGCGGATGTGGAGAGGCCTCTTGTTTTTCCTTCTCCATTTGTTGAAATTTCTTTTTACGCTCCTCACGTTTTCGTTTCACTTCATTTTCATCATTTGCCTTAATTAATTGTTCTTCCATGATCAATGTTTGCTTAATAATCTCCTCTTCATTTGGAGGTGGAGCGATTTGTTGTTGAGTCACAATATTGCTGACATTATTAAAAGTGCCCTTGTTTGTTGCTGACAATTTTTCCGATGGCTCCATTATTGAAGACTTTTCGGATTTTACACGTTTCATATCGGGCGTGATGGTTCGCTCGTCATGTTGATCTTTAAATGCGACAACTGATTTTCGTTTTGTTTCCGTCTGTTGATTTTTAGTTCTAGTTTCATTGTTCGTCAAAGGTGTTACGTGTGAAGAAGCAGGAATATTTCGAGATGGCGATTTACTTGGTGGATGATATCTATCATCGTGACGTTGTTGATAATTAGAAGATGATTGTTGAGAGTAATTTCCAGATGCAGGATGGCTTGTTGGACGGTTCTGATAATGATCCTCCTTTCTTGAAATCTTGTCATCACGATAACCATGAGAAGGTCTATTATGATCATAAAATTTGCGATAGTTATAATTTTCGGAATGATAATTATGGTGAGAAGAAACATTGGTGTTACTCACGTTACTTCTATCATCATGTACAGGATCCTTGTAATGTTGGTATGACGGCTCAGCTCTTTTCCTTTCATCATGATAATAGGAGGATGGTGATGATGGTGGTCTTCCTTGCCGATATGAACTTGCATCATTACCTTGATACGACCTAGAATATCGATCATAGTCATCATCCCGATGACGAGCTTGCTGATGATGAGAAGAACTTACACTACTACCTCCTCCACTTCCATAATACTCTCTCGTTGGTGTTGGTGCATTCGGATTTGAAAAAGAAGTTGAAGATGTATGTTTGTAACCTCTTCCTCGTGATGATGACGAGTATGAGGAAGAATGGTGTTGACTCATTTTTTGTTGTTGTTATTATTCGCTGCTCAAAACTCTTTCAAAAAGCTTTCGATTTTTATTTACATATAATATGATGGTGGACTATTTACAAATTGATGGAGTGATTCATGAAAAGAGTTGTGTACCTTTTAAACAACAACTCGTATTCCCATGCTTTCCAAAGAGGAACACCTCATTCATGACTCCACACAACTCCAATTTTCTTTCTTCCTTAATAATACTTGTACTTGTGATATTTGTAAGGCTTATAATACTTATAAGGCTTATAATAATGACGATATGGCTTTCTATAATGATACTTGTAAGGTTTGTAATATCTGTATGGCTTGTAATAATATGGCTTGTAATAACGACGATAACGATGATAACGTGGTTTGTAGTAATGACGTCCGTATCCATAACTCTCCTCACTTTCAAAAGCAGGAGTATCATCTTGAGTAGTCTCTTCTAAATTCTCCAGTTTGGCATGACAACAGCATGCAGTGAGGACAAGCAAAGCGAAAAGAATTGCCAACGCAAGGAAGGTTCTTTTGTGGGATTGCATTTTCATAATGGGAGGATCTGACAATAACGCTTGAATCAATGCGTGAAAAGTCGTATGTGTTCGAATCGTATGTTTGTCAAACAAGTTTTTTTGTTGTTGAGTGAGTTCTGAGAGGAAAGAGAATGTTTGATTTTAAAGGGTTGATGGGTGGCATATATAGTTCATTGACTAATTGGAAATGAAATCTGTAATAGATAAGTTCATGAACTGCTTCGTCATCTCGTGTATGGTTTTGGATATTCTACATTTCTGATAATGTCTTCTTCTCGGCTTTAGGATATTATGATGATCATGTTTGTGTGAAATCCATATCATTCCATTTAAATTAAATATCCATTTTGAAGAGTTCGTGTGATCAGTTCCTAACTGAACAGAATGACCTCTAGAAATTCATTTACTGTCTCCTGTGAATTAAGCCACTGTAGTAACAAAAATAATTATGGTTCCATAGACCTTAGTAGTAGATTGGAAATGGACAATGAACCTCTTAATAGCAAATCATAGAGAGAACCAATTTCCTTCTTTAAATTGGCATGTGCGTTCTTGAACATTTTAGCGTACGTGGTCGAGTAGTACATTTGAAACCATAGAGCACTTTTTAGACATGGTTGCAACTCAGTCTCCAGATTCATGTATTCGTTGGCAAATTCAGAAATTAAAGTTCCATACATGGTTTGTTGCAATTCAGGGTCGAGTGATTGACAAATAAAATTGACGACATCTGCCAATGGATTTCCATAGCCACACGTTTGCCAATCGATAAATCTCACGCTAATGTTTACATCTTCATTATTCCTAGTTTCACAAATATGAATATTATCCAATTTGAAATCACCATGAACAATGCTGATTGGAGCATTCTCCACTCAACATGTACAACACTGCTTGTTGTAACTCTTTTTCAGAATTAAACTTGTCACAAATTAGACGAGTCTTTTGTACGAGCTCGGAAAGTTCCTCTGGATATCTACTTTCGTCCATGTCACAAATCGATTCTAAATCTTCTTTAAACTGTTTGGTAAACAAGTTAGCAATAGCCTCAGCTCCCATCGCCTTTCCCTTCTCGATGGGAATTTTAAATAAGAATTCGAGAGCCGAGTAGATGGAATGTTCCATCTTGAAATCGTCAGACGACAATTTTTCTTTGCCATATTTCTGTAAAATATTTGAATTGAATGCTATTTGTAATTGTTTCAGTTTTTTCAAAACGCTTGTTGCAATTCTTTTATCCTTAATAGGTATTGCATTTTCACCAAAGTACGATCTTGACGAGCATGATAATTGATAAGATTGAGATGGGTCATCACGCGTTTCCAAGTATTCCATAAAAATCATCATGGTTTTTGTTTCCATATTGTAATCAATGGCATATATAATTGGAGCAAATAATTCATCATTATTCAAATCCGATGCTTTTTCCGACAACCATGAATGTTGTAACAATGGCAACACCTTTCTGAACATGTTCATTTCCTTTTCATAGGCAGCTTGTTTTCCTGCTGCAAATCCTCGTGTATTGGTTTTCAAAAGTATTTGATCTGGACGTTTCATTAAATCATCATCATCATCACGATTGACATGTACGAGCTCAATACGATAAGTCCTCGCAACCACTCCTTGTTTGGCCACTAGCTCACACGAAGAAATTTGAGAAATATCCTTCCCGAAAGGCAATACTTGTTGAAGCTTTTCCAAAGTAACAATTGGTGTGGATGGTTTGTTTCGAAACATTTTTTAATCTGTTTGAGATCTTTTGGAAAAGAAAAGAATAAAAAAAGTTTTCCGTTACACAAATTTTGTTCCATCATGAACGAAAATGACGAAGCAAGAAACCAAAGAATTGCTTCCGAGTTGAATATGAAAGCCTTGCATCGGCTGGTTTACAAATACAACAGCAATTATAGTATGAATAGAAAACAGCAGAGTAACGATGATGATCATCATCAATTATCTACATCTACTGAAGAACAAAATTTTCATCATCGGAAGGAGGAAACAAAAGATGATCATCCTCAACAAGAAACGGATATTCATGGTTCACTTCCAACAATAACAACAACTTCTCAACCATCCATGAATATTCATCACTCAACAGCCTCCTCATCACCAGAAGAAGAAACAACAACAAACCACACCTCCATACCATCATCATCATCCACACTTTTCCATTCAGTCCATTGGTTGTGCCAAGTTCTCTCCGAGCAAGTTTTCACCCAGCGTGTCATGAAAGTATTGAAATCACTTTCCATAGGTTCCGTGTTGGGATTTGTTGTTTTAAACATGTTGGAATGGTGTTTCTCTTACCGCAGCAATCGTGTTCATCATCATTCTTTGAATACTTCTCGGAGAGGTATTAATATTCAATCATCCTCTCCCTTCCAACAACTTGAACAATTACGAGAGCATTCATTGTACAAGTCGCCACAATCGTCGTTGCATCATAGTGATCCAATGCCTCGTTCTCAAAAGGGTCGCTTTTATTTACATGAATTGTCAACATCTATGGATGATGAGCAGCCTTTATCATCCTCTCGTGATAGTGTGGTTGGTAACTTGACATCTCCCAACTCAGAAGGTCCTCTCTTTGTACCATTGGCTCGTATTGAAAAATTCCAACAGTTACAACGAGAACACAAGATGGCACCTGACACTCGTCGGCAACAACAAGTGGAATTGGATCAAGATTTACAGAATAATGCGCTGTATGGCCAAATGGTTCAATTGGAAAGCTATAGAAAGAGTACCATCTTTGGTGAGTGATTCGTGGAGGATAAATTGTGTGAAAAGCTTTTCATACAGCTTCAATAAGGCAATAAGAGAATGTGATTGAACATGGAGTGAAGAAGTGTGAAAGCATCAAGAGAAGAAAAAAAAATGAGTAAACGCAAACTCGAACCTCTATCGGAACCAGAAGCGTGTTCAGCAACAACCGATGAAATTCCTTTACAAACACAACCGATTCATGAAGGTGGTTCTTACGAATTAAATCATGGAATGTTTGAGAATATAATCGAAGGGTTGAATACTCAAAATGAAGATGGTTTCACTACTATTACCTCCGATTCTGCTCATCAGCAATCGTCATCATTGGAGGAAATTAAAACTCAACAGGAAAGCGAACAAAATCATCAAACACAGTTGGCTCAACAAGCAATTCATACACAATTACCCGATACTAATAACACGACAAATTTTGGAAAAACAAAAAAGAGAAAAATTAATCATTCTTCATCCAACAAGAATTTCGGCAAGAAGAATAACCTTCCAGATTCTTCGAATAATTCTTTTAGTACAACCCTTGAAAGTACAAGCAATGCTACCAACAAGAATACGACAAGTGGGAAAATATTCGGAAATTATAAAAATTATTATTCATACAGATATAATGATGAAAATTTGAGAGGGTCCTCTTCCTCGCCCACTTCTACTATTATGACGACAACAGATTCTAAAAGAAAACAATGTGAACTCTCTCATATTGATCCACGACTAGAAATTATCGCACAAGCTCTATCCACACACTTTAAACAGTGTGACGAGACAACTACTTCTTTCGAGCTTTCATGCTTAGATATTGGCTGTAATCAAGGATTATTTACCATTCAAATGGCAGATTTGATCGATGGGTCATTATCTGGACGTGTGGATAACGGAAAATCAATCACCCTCAAATCACTGGATGCCATTGATATTGATGCAGAATTAATTCGTCACGCAAAGAATCATTTGGAAGCTCTCAAAAAATTTAACACAATTGAGGATACGGAATCTAAACAAGATGATCACCTAGGAATGAGTGTACAAACCTATGTTGCCATGGAACGACTTGAAGCATCGGAAAAGGAAGAAAAACTTTTCATTTGGGAAAATAATAGAAAGCTACTAAAAACCAAAGGAGAAAATGGACAAAATATTGTATTGTGCAAGAAATCATACATGTTGCCACTTATTGACAAGATTCACTTTAAAACTCAAAATTTTGTGGAGGAAATTGCCCCTCTCGTATCAAATTTAGAGTCTCTAGGAAAGGCACGAGAAAACAAATTCGAGACACTCCTAAACACATCTCTTGAAAAAACATCAAACAAGAGACCATACGATATCATTACTTGTTTGAGTGTCACTAAATGGATACATTTGAATTACGGGGATGACTCCATCAAATTTTTGTTTCACAAAGTTTTCCGCCTATTGAAAAGCAACGGAGGAATATTTGTATTAGAACCGCAAACGTGGAAGAGCTATGCCAAGAAGAGAGACCTCACACCAACGTTTCAAGAACAATTCAAGAATATCAAATTTAGGCCAACTGCGTTTCATGAATACTTGATGAAGCAAGTTGGTTTCTCGCGATGTGAAACAATCTTTATCGAGAAATCAGAGAAGGAAAACACGACCTCTGAAAAAAGCAAAAAGAAAGGCTTCAAAAAGAGACCCATTTGTTTTTATTTCAAATAGGATCATGTTATTAGTTTTTAAAAGGCAGTGGGATGCAAAAATGTTTGTTGTGGATTGGAAATTTCGAGCTCTGTATTTCTCAGGTTGGATGGACAATCACTAGTCTAAAAACACAAAACTAATGTCACTTAGTGCCGTTCTATGTGATGCATGTTTTTCCAAATTTCCAAAGAAGAGTCTATAATCTCTAGTTTCCTGTGAAGAGAAATAAAGAATGGAGTGAGAATATCCACAGACAATCGTGGGCTTCATGTGTTGCTTTGAAAACGAGAGCGTACGAGTGATGATATCTTCCAGTACCAAGTGTCGCATTGGCTCTGTCACACTACCAATTTCAAGTGAATCTAGACCACACTCGTTCGATTCATTGGTTCCCAAGCAATACACCTTGTAATCTTTCGAGATGAAAAAGAAGCCCGTTAACCCACTGATCGATTCCAAATCAAAATCTTGTGAATTAATGGTCTTGTCATCTAGAGAGTAAAACATTTCTTCGAGTGCTCTTTCGCTCGCGTACTCTTCAGTAAAGCTCATCACCCGTCCAGCCAGAGAATGATCAGGATGGTTTTTTGAAATTTGTAAAAAACCTTTGTTAATACATTATCGTGGAAAATCATGTTAGAGAAGCTTGAAATTCAACATGACACACTTACATATCGAAGCTCCAAAATGAATTTTCGAGAAGGGAGCACAAAGTGAGGTTCCTATTTTGGTGTATGGTTGTTGCGTTATATTATTGGTCAGCACATTTCCATGATCTGTCAAGATTAAAACATAACTCGTGCCTAGGGAAACGTCGATAATTTTCTCATTGGGAAGGAGTTCATAAATACAGTGAGTAAACGATGAAATTGAGTCTTCTTCACTACCTGGAAATGTTCCTAATCTATTTTCACGGTATGATGAGAAACTAACTCGTGTTGGATTCAACTTACTGATTCGTTCCATTACTACCACATCCATATAAATGTCCTTGTTCTTTGTTGAATATTAATTGTTAAGATTTTTCATATAAAAATGTACAACGTATGTCAGGATTCAATGACTTCAATAATACTAATTATAAAAATTTCTAATACTCAACTTGTTAGTAACAATGTGCTTTCGTATCCACAAACAATTTTTTCAATACGATCTCCTGGTATTAAAAAGATGTTTGTAATCGTTCAGGTGGATAAACTTCCAAACGAGATCGCTGCCTTTCTCCAAGTCCTAATTGCTATCATAATAAATCAGGAAATAATATATAGAGTTGTTCATGCATGAATATTCACACATACGAATGCACCAATACAAAATTTCATTTCTCATATCTATTGATGTGACACTTACTCCACTTGTATTCTTTCCACAAACATAAATAATTTGACTATTTCCAACTTCTTCCAAATAATATGTAAAATAAGCTCCACACGAAATGTAGGCAATATTTTTGTGATCAAAAAATGTAATTCTCACAATTTTCTCCTCTAATTGTCGATTGTGATCCAAACCAAGTTGACCGCTTGTGTTTTGTCCTATGAATGTGATTCAATGAACAATTATTCAACGTCCAAAATATTAATAGATTGCATTTAGAAGATCATGAACTAGGATCATTATTTGAAATACTCTACCTGCTCCATAGACAACATTGGAACGTGTAACAAAAATAGTAAAGTGATCTCCTGCTCCGATCCACTTTAATTTATCCCCATACGGAAACAGTTGATGTTCGCTTATCGGAGTTATTTTTACATTGTTCGTACGATCAGCAACGGCAGATCTACCTTCATCTGTGATTAATTGTCCATCTTGATTTTTTCCAAAGAGCCCTGTTGTGATGATGATCAAATCCATCATGTTTAAAATCATTTCATAAATGATCAATTCATGAATCATTGGTAAAAAAATTATCATCGTATGAATATATATAATAATAATAATAATATTCATTTGGTGTTACAGAAATATTACATCACTCTCATCATCAACACTCAAAAACCTACAGATGGTATCGGGAGAATAAAACTTGCTCGGAAAGTTACTTTTCATTTTTTTTTATTGTTATTATTCTGAATTCGTGCTATTATACTTCTGAACTGTGGTCTCGAAAACATTGACAAGTCCATGGACTCATTGAGTAGTTTTTAGTGGAAGATTCATTGAAAATCTCACCTTGTTTCTGAGAGTGTGATAAAATTCATCTTCTGCTTGATTGGAGTGGCACTCGTCATGACTCAATGAATGATCTTGAGTGGCTATTGGTTCAATCGTATTTTCATTGGATGCATGTGTGGTTCGGTGACGTGACGCGTCTCTCTCGTGATAAAATTTCTCTTCTTCATGTCTGACAAATGCAGAAATGTTAAATTTCAATAAGGCATATTCAGATGGAGTCATGGGAGGTATTTCACTTGTGTTTTGATCGTCGTCCATTGCAGAAATAGTTTGATATGCAATTCCATGAGTTTTTTTGTGGAATAATGCTTGATAGAGAAGAATGAGCTGACCATCTCGAATTCCCCACATGACAAACAGAGATGGTAAAATGCAGATCACAATGGTCAGCAAAGCAATTAAATACAAGCATGAATAATTTCCAAATACTAGAAGCATGGAGAAAATGGATCGAGTTGATGAAATTCCTGAGAAAGTCATGGCGTTAATAATTAAGAATGCAATCACACTAATTCCCATAATAATGTTAGAAAATCTGAGTTTTAAAATCATGGATATGAGTGAAAATTTTCTCTTCTCAGCACAGTATATTCTTGTCACAGTATTCCAATTATAAATTAATTTCACAGTAATCCACTGAACCGTGACTAGAACAAACATGACAAGACTATTCAAATGTTCCAGTTCACTTTTGAAATGACCATATTTGGAGATTTCCTCAGCGGTACCTATAGGAGAGTCTCCATATTGTTTTGAAAAACATGCACACCCTTGAGAGAATGATCCAGCACTGAGTGAGAATATTGCAATAATTGTAAATCCTTGATAAATAGCATTTAAAAACCATAGCACCAGACTGTGTTTTGTAATAGTCTCTCCTTTTTGGCTTGATTTGTAAAGTTCTGGAATTTTCTCGAGAGCCATGTCTGAAACCTCGAATGAGTGCCCATGATGCTGCTGTTGATGATTAATAGTGTTGTTTCTTGTCTGTTTGATTGGTGAAAGGAATTGTAAAAATTCTCCAACACTAATATCTCCCATTGAAAATGCAAATGGAAGCAAGCTCGTATAAAGAATATTATAAAACACAAGGGAATGGGATTGTAAAATTGTGCTTCCACTAAAATATGTGAAAAATAAATTGTACACCAATTGACAAGCCGCCAACACTACAGACTTGTACATGGTATATTGAGACACGAGAGCAAGTCTCTTGTAGCTATTTCTTCCGTGAACTAATATTAGTCTTTTTAGAGCACTAAATCTTGGAATTCCAAAATCGGCGGCTCGCACTGCTTGTAAATTCTCATTTTCGGTGTGAATTTCTTGATCTGAAATAATTGTGCTATCATCTCGGTAGGTTTTACCGAACTGCTGATTCCAACTCCTACATCTGCTTCTAAAATCATGTTGACGTCATTTCCTCCATCTCCAATCGCGAGACATATTGGTGAGCTCAGTGATTGCAATCGGTTATTATTGTTTGAGTCTTCAATGTTGGTCACAGGATATTTGATCATTCTGACAATTTTCCCTTTAAACTTGGGAGTCATTCTGCAACAGACACAAGCTTGAACTTGTTCACACAGTCTCAAGAACAGTATCAAATTTTCTAAGGACTTAATTTCAGCTGTTTGATTGTGATGATTAGTGTCGTCATCGCTCAGAATATAGTTAAGAATTTTGCCTTCAAAAATTAAGCATGCAAAGAGGTGAGAACTATTTCCTAATTTTGTCAAAGCTTGGTGTAAAGCATCTCTCACGGTAACAACCGAGGATCCTCTCAAATAAATTAATAAAAGATCATCCGAAGGAAGAGATGGAATGATGTGGCATGTCTGGGCAATTTGAACTGCAGTTTCCATCTTATCCCCAGTTAACATCCAAATGGAAATTCCAGCATCTCTTAGACTCTCTATGCATTCAGCTGCACCCTCTTGTAATTTGTCCTCCATGGCGGTGGCTCCAAGCAATTGGAAATTTGTTTCAATTTCTTCAAAAATACTCTGTTCATTGCTATCATCAGCGAGAGAAATGCGTTCCATAAAAGTTGACACTTCGTCTGAGCTGAGTTCTCGATATGCCATCAACATGACACGAAGGCCTTCTTGGGAAGCCAATGTTTGAATGTGAGATAGTGTTTGTTGTAGCAAAGAAGGATCCTTATTGTCCATTCTTTCCGATAATACGTCATCTGCTCCCTTACACATGATAAAATATCTTGTCAGGGAATCTATATTGTCTATTTCTTGCTGCTTGACGATAATGGACATTCTTCTTCGATCGCTTGTAAAATAGAGAACTTTTAAGATGCGATACTCTTCAAGCACAAATGATCGGTCTCTTGAATTTTCGTCACGGTTGTCGTAAATTTTTAACACCATTCTTTCTTCATCTCTATAATTGAGAACTACTCCTTGTGATGCAGCAAATTTTACAAATGCGTCCTCTTCAGGAGAGCTAGATCTGTAATGAGGCATATATACATTTTCTGCATTTTCACAATAGACCGTATGACAAAGGGCCAAGTTTCGTAAAAATTTCATACTAATGGAGTCGTTTGATGCCGTATTGTGAGTCCAAAGAAAATGAGTGGTACTTGCAGTGCTACAGTTCGTGTGTTTTGGTACTCGTATCACTTGTCCATCAACAATAACTCGTGATAAAGTCAGTAAATTTTCAGTGATTGTTCCTGTCTTGTCAGCTTTGTAAAAATGTTAAAATTTCTACATTGTCACAATACGATGGTACTTACTAAATATGTATTGGATTTGGCCCAAGTCTTCGGCCACTGAGGTGTTCGAACAACTTGGCATATTTCCTCTCTTGTCACTCAAGCCATTATCTTTGGCAATAAAAAACATTGAAATAATGTACTTGGTAATATCTGAGGTAATTTTGAGAGATTGTGGGATCATGAGCGAGCATAGCATTGTGAATCGTAAAGGTATGATCAAATATGGTAGAATTGGGTAAATGAAATTATATAAAATTCGGAAAAGAAGAAGCGTATTGGTGCTCGCGTTTGTCACGGATAGAATCGGATATTGATCCAACGCCAGATAAAATGGGCTATGCTGGCTCTGTAAAATGTTATAATAATTTCCAATAATTCCAAAACTAAGGCCAATCACCAATTGGACCATAAATATTCCAACGACAACATGGTTAATAAAATTGTCCATTTTTGTCCATTTCATTTCTGCTTCCTTTTTGTTCATTCCAATCTTGGTTTCATTTCCAGTATAGACTACCAGTGCCAGAGCATGGGACGTGCTTTTCAAAGTGGTTCCTTGAAGAAGTAAATTGTGATACGACAATGGATATCTGGTGAAACCTCCCATTCTATCAGCAACAAGCAAATCTCCTCTGAAGTGATCAAGATCTGCATTGGGTAGCGAGCATTCCACGATGCACGAAAAATTGTTGAGAATGTTGCTATATTCATTCACATTGTTCGAAAAGAGTTTTTGCACTTCCGGTATAGCTTTTCGTTCCTTATAATGTGACTCTCCGTCCAGTGCAGATGTTTCAATCCACGCAATTCCTCCAGATATATCACACAAAAAATCGTTTGTTGTGGGATCTACATCGTCACCGCTCTCTACACGACTAATTTTCTCCTTCTTCAAAATGTTACTTGATTTCAGTAAAATCATATCTGCTCGTATTTGTTCCTCCTCTTGAAGATAGACAATATCTCCAACTTGAACTTGATAAGAAGGTATCACATGAAAAGATCCACTTCTAACAATGGTGACCTTATTCAAGTTAATTTCTGTATCTTTTTTATATCGAAAGTAGTCGTCAATGAATTCTTTGGCTACGCCAACGGTTACCACTACGATGAGAGGAATCCAAGTAGTTCTACGCATGTTCGAGGTATATTTGTAAATTACCAATGATAACATTAATAAATAGAATCAAACGACAATCCTTACATTGGGTTTGTTGGGCTTGCTACTTTCCAAAATTGCAAGCACGCCAGAGCTAAAAAATACTGATTCATTCGAAGTGAAAATTGTTCACTAATGCTCTTCCAAAAAAAGTTGTACCACTTGTATTTGGTATTGCTGATGGTGTTGTCACAAAATCTAGGGTAGTTGCAGTTTCTGTCTCTTGAAAATAGAGTTCTTGATGTAACACCTTCCGAAATAGTCTGAAGTGACTCATTGTTATCCGCAAATAAAAAATTCCACAGCCACGTGGTTGCTTGTTTCCAATATTTTTCAAAATCTCTTCTATTTTGAAAAATCCTGTGAAGAGAAAAGGTATTAAAATGATCAGTAGTGATCGATGATGACGATGAAATGTCGTCATTAACAACACTAGTCGTGCTGAGAGAGCCAAAATTGTATCTCTCGCAATTACAACATCTATAGATCAACGAGATGATGTAGAAAATAATATTCTTCAAGCAAAAATGTACAATAAAAGTAATGATAATATTATAAAAAATCCAACATATTAAACTGAATATTTTCAAAATTATGTTCTGATGATAATTATAATTAAGTAAGAAATTAGCTAAATCACGTTGCCTTTGTTTTAACTGAGGCGTTAAAATATGATCGTAATAATGTTCATGTATTAACTTTTGATTTTCAAAATTGGATGATTCAAAATTTCCATACACAATCCGAAGCGAGTTATCTCTAGGAGAGTCATCGAATTCCTTCTCGGAATTGGAATCAAATGACTCATCCTGTTGATGCAATACCGAAGGTGAAGATGACGGAACATATTCAATTTCTTCCGAAGCCACGACCGAATAATATACTTGTTGTTGTTGATGATCCACAACTCTAGGATCATGATCTTCAGAGAGTAGGGTAGCAATAGTTGCTGCGTCATCACCATCGGACACATGATGGCCATTGCTGCTGCTACGATGAGTAACATTAGCCTCTTGATGAAAACCCATTTTTTTTGTTTCCAAAACAAGGGATCACGTGACTTCTGAGAAAGTATCAACTCGCTCTTTGAATCCATTATTTGGTGACGAAAGAGTGAAGAATTTTGTAAGACTACAGAAAAAACAACCTTGGCAAGGCACTCTAGAACTTTGAATGAACTTGTGATGCAAACAAGAACAAAAAAAATGTCTCAATGCAAAGCCAATTGCGGTTTTTTCGGCTCTGACCAATTCGAAGGTTATTGCTCATCCTGTTACCGAACCATTGTCAAGAAGGAAATTCCACAAGCAAAACCTCAACCACCCAAGTATATTCCTCCATCAGCCACCTTTTCCGATGAAAATGAATTCCAAGTATTAGTCAAATTGATCAAACAAATTAAAGACATAACTGCAAGAAAGATCAACACTGTTTTACAAACCATGGAGGTGTATTTAACTGAAAAGCAAGCTCGGAGATTGCTCAATGAAATCGGGCGAGAGAGTTTGGATGGAAATAATTTTATTTTCCATCATGCTGTCTATTGTCGAGTGGTGGATCGACATCATTTACAAGAAGGCTTTGGAGCTGAGGGATATTATCATGTCGATGAAGGAAAAACTCCACCTGATCATTATAAAGTTTGGGATCATCAAGAGTCGTTCTTGGATCGGCAGTAGAAACTTGACATGGTGACGATTAAATTGTGAAATTGCAACACATTAAGCTCTTATCTTTTCTAGCCAAAGAACAACTTCCAAGATTGAACAATTGAGAATGCCATGCATGTAGAAAATGACCGAACCTGACAACTCAGATCATCTTGGCATTCATTGCAAAACTTTACCAGCTCTTGAACGGATAGAGAAAAACTCCAATCATGGAGCTGGTCGTTGCCACACTGTGGTAATAGTGAAGTTTTTGGTAGAAACCTCTTTGGATGATGGTGAGGGCTCGAGTAAATGTTCTGTCATCTCTTGTTCCTGGATGACGGAGAACTGTACAAATGATCCTAATCATCAAGAAGAGGAACAAACAAAAATCATTTTCTGAAATGATTTGATCTTGTTTGGCTTTGATGAATTCATTCTCAATGTGTGTCTTTTCAGTGGCATTTTCTTTTGGTTTGACATAGCCTTTGCAAACTCCTTGAAAAGGGTGATCACTTTGCGACGTTCTGGCAAAATTTGGATCATTGGGTTTATCGTAGGCACCGACTTCAGGACTGATGAGGTATTGGAACAATTCCTCCACACCCCAATGGGAGATTCCGCTGTCATCAATGTACTGCCATGGGAAGAGGGACAAGTTGTGCAAATTCAACTGACAAATCGAGGGGTCTCAGAATGGCAGATCATTTCATTGCCTACCACACACTCTTTAAAGGTCCCAAAACCGAAAGTAAGATTGATTTCGAAAATGTTGGAAGATTACTCAATAATGTGCTGTATGGTTTAGACGCACCCCTTCAACCAAGACCATTTCCATCTGTGACTCTTGAGAATTCTTCTTCTAACCGACAAGTAGTTATTGAACCTATCGCACAAAGATTGCAGCCACCTGTCGTATGGTGTTTCAATCTCTATGACATTATCTTTTAGCAGAGATGTATCCCAGGACAATACATTCCTACCAGAGAATGAACTGAACCCAGTGAATTTTCAGGCTCCTACCACAGGAGAGGGTCAACCACCTGCTTCTCAGTTAGTTCTCTATTACAGAGCACTTTTTATGATATTACTATTTATAGTTACTTTAACCCTCAACATTAATATTGGTCTTTTTTAAAGTACACCACAAGAAGAGCATACACTTGAAAGTGGTTATGGTGGATTGACGAAAGTGTGTTTGATATCTTTGTATGCTTTGGCTGGTCTTTTGGCTTTTGAAGTGCTCAGAGCTTGTTTGCATTCTTTACTAACCAAGTCAGATGTCGTTTTTCCATTAACATTTCTCCTGTTGCTGTGTTATGGAATGGTTTCAGTTGTTGGGTTACATAAATAATTTTCTGCGAACTTGGTTGAATAATAATGCGTACACATTGGTTCTGAATTTTCAAAATCAAAAAAATCTTTCTCACTCCTCATGACCACACTCACCACTAAAAAGAGAACAATCTTGTCATCGGTTGAAAGTCTTGTTGAATCAGCAAATTCATCATCAAATATCAATAATATTACTGAAACAGATAGTTCTTCTCCTCCAACAAATTCCAACAATACACCATTCGTTGATGATATTATTTTTGAAATTTTCCATTTCCTCGAATCATTGTTTATTATTCAAATTTGTATGAAAATTTCAAAACAATGGAGGCGAATATCATTTCAAATTCCGCTATCATTATCATTTAAAAAAAATTACTTCAAACAGGCTCATGAATCAATCAAACTTTTAGCTAATTGTGAATGTTTGAAGAATTTGACTTCTTTGGATCTGAACAAAAATCAGATTGGCAATGAAGGTGTGAAATATATTGCTACGAGTGAATATATGAACAATTTGACTTCTTTGCATCTAGAATTCAATCGAATTGACGATCAAGGTGTGAAATATATTGCCACGAGTGAATATATGAAGAATTTAACTTATTTGGATCTGGAAGGCAATGGAATTGATGATGGAGGTGTCAAATATATTGCCAATAGCGCATGGTTGAAATATTTGACTTCTTTGAGTCTAGGATTCAATCCAATCGACAGTGAAGGTGTTAAATATATTGCTAATAGTGAATGTTTAAAGAATTTGACTTCTTTGGATCTGAAATGCAACAAAATTGGCAACGAAGGTGTTAAATATATTGCTAACAGTGAATATTTGAACAATTTGACCTCTTTACATCTAACATACAATCAAATTGACAATGAAGGAGTCAAATGTATCGCTACGAGTGAATGTATAAAGAATTTAACTTCTTTGGATCTGGAGGAAAATGGGATTGGTAATGAAGGAGTCAAATATATTGCTAATAGTGAATGTTTAAAGAATTTGACTTCTTTGGATCTGAGTGGCAACAAAATTGGCAACGAAGGTGCAAGGTATATTGCTAATAGCGAGTGTTTGAAGAATTTGACTTTTTTGAGTCTGAGAAGAAATGCCATTGACAGTGAAGGGGTTAAATATATTGCTAACAGTGAGTATTTGAAGAATGTGATTAGACATAATAGAGCATCAAGAAAATAATCGGACACAAACAAAGCATAAACTTTGATCGGCAAATTCGATCAGTCCATTAATTGAATTGAAAAAAAATGGGATTTTTACAATCATTGCTGACTCTCGCCAAACTCGGCATTGTTTCAGCCTTTGTCTCATGTTTTGTGATTGTTCATATTTATTTCTTTTTGGAGAGATCTCCACCTGCTAATACCAAACATTTGGATGAAATGAGTTTGAATCCCGATGAGGATTTACGGTTATTCTCAATTCTTGATGAAAGTACAATTCCAAAGACGATTGTTATTTCGGGAAAAGGTAGTAAAAAGAGTGTACAGCCTAGGGTCCTGCGGACCATAGCGGTGGATGAAATTGGAACGATTAATTCAACCACTCGTGTGAGTGATGGTATGTATGGGATTCATGTGTTTTTAATTTTTGATGAAATTATTGTGTGGCTTACTTTTTTGATTCAATGAATGGATATCATATATATTGTTACATAATATTGAATATCATTTAAATATCACTCATCATTTGGATATGATTAATTATTGTGATGATTTTGAATTCATGATGGGTTCAATGAAATTCTTTTCTGAATCGAAAATTAGATGACAAGAATATTTATACCATTTTTCAAATTCATGGCGTGCCAGGATCTCGTCGTTGGAGACATCCCATCGATCATCATATGATACGAAGTTTTGGAGGAGACAAGAAATTACGAGTATTAAGCATCGATCGACCTGGGGTGGGTCAAACAAGTCCTGTCATCTCCTCTATTTATTCCGATGGAACACCAGTATATAATTTAGAGCCTCTTGCTGTCAATTATTATGAAGCATCAGCTCTGGATTTATTGTATGTGGTGAGAAAATTAAGATTGAAAAGTTTTTCTGTGATTGCATTCTCTCAAGGAACACCACATACTTACATGTTGGCCTTTTATTTAGACCAATTAAAAAGACAAGAAAGAGGAGAGAAAATATTTCGAGCAACACCTCATCAAAAATTCACAGAAACATTCAACAATGATTTATTGATGAACATTCTCCTTTCTAAAGATAGTGACAAATATTGGCAATACGATAACAGCGTGTCCAATACGACTGTGAATAAGGAATGGACGTGGCAAGATGTGGCTATTGACAATGTTGCATTCCTTGCACCACAAGGCTACTACAGTGAGAGTGTTAAAGAAGAACTATTGAAAGAACAAAATTCAAGCGAGCCTATCGAGAAGAGATGGGCTTCTTCATTGCATTTCTTTTTTTCAATGCACAATTACAAACCACCTCTTGGAACCAATATTTTGTATTCTATTTACAAAATTCTTTCACAGATAGGAATGGTTACCAATATCAATTATTGGGAAAGTAACATGCAACCACTTCTTGATCCTCTTGGAAGAGATGCCTTTTTGTTTGACGACGAAGCCAATGGATGGAAAAAAGTATTTAACAATTCTCTCATTGATTCCTATAGATTCACAACACTGACCACCATGGTAGAAATTATTAATTCATATTATTTCACTGAGAATTTTCCATCTGCCAACGTTGATTTACGCACTCCACTCAAGAACACAAAAATATTTATTGCCACTGCAAGTGATGACGTGGTTGTGCCTATTCAAGCTTCAAATGCATTCATTGAGCAATTTTGCAGAAATGAATTGAATTCTCAATGTACTGTTAATGCTGTGCAAAACACTACACATTTTCAACTTTTCAAAACGCAGTACAAGACAGCCATTGAATTCATTTCCAAAGATGTTTTAACGGTAGACAACAGCACGACGTTGAGAAAGCCAAGAAAAACAATTGTCGTCATTGGAGGTGGATTGGCAGGATTGGCAGCGACTATTGAAGCAGCCGCAACCTACGATCAAAATGTCATTTTAATTGAAAAGGAATTGAGACTTGGAGGAAACAGCGCCAAAGCTACTAGTGGAATGAACGCACTTGGAACAAAAGCTCAAAAACAGGCCATGGTCTTTGATACGTATACTCACTTTTGGAATGATACCATTAAATCGTTCACGGGAGGAAAGGTTCTTTCTTCACTAAAGGAGGCCAGAAGAATTATTAGAAATCCAAAGAATCGAAAAAAGATTGAAGGAGAAGACATTCTAATTACTGAAAATTCATGGAGAATTTTAGAAACTTTAATTAAGGATTCAAAAGCTGCCTATCAATTTTTGCAGCAATATGGCATTCCTTTGGATATCATTTCTCAATGTGGAGGCCATTCAAAGCCAAGAACTCACAGAAGTTTGAACAAGTCTGACAAGCCCATCAATGTTGGAAGTGAAATTATTTCCAAACTTGCTGCGTTTATTACAGATTCATTGAAAGAGCGTGTGACGGTCAAATTAGGTCATAACGCCATTGAATTACTCAAATTCAACAATGACAACGATCACAACAACACTGCAAATAGTGAATCTTCAATCACAGTTGTGAAGGGAGTTCGCGTGTTAAACATTAAGGAAAACACCACACAAGACATTATGGCAGATGCTGTTATTTTAACAACAGGTGGCTATGGACAAGATCGTGAAGGTTTTCTCAAGCAATATGCTCCTCATACTTCATCATTGCCCTCCACGAATGGCATGTGGGCAAATGGTGACGGAATCAAAATGGCCGTTCGAGATGTGAATGCCTCCCTAATTGATATGGCAGAAATTCAAATTCATCCAACTGCATTCCTAGATCCTAACGATCCATCAGCAATGACACTCATTCTTGCACCTGAATCGTTGAGAGGTTATGGAGCTATTATCGTCAATCAAGAAGGAAAGAGATTTATCAATGAATTGGGAACAAGAGATGAGGTATCAGATTCCATCTTTGAACATTGTGGAAAAGAGGCGCCATATCCACATGTGACGGCATACATGGTCATGAATGATTTTGTCATGACTTCTTTCGGTGAAAGTTTGACTTCTTTTTATGTGAAAAAAGGTCTCATTCGAAAGTATGAAAATTTCACAGATTTATGTGAAAAGGAAAATATTTCTCTGAATTTTTGTGAAAATCTTGAAGAGACTATTTTGGATTATGACGACTTTGTAGATTCACGAAGATCGAATGTGAATTTTAAGGATACTTTTGGAAAGAGTGTCTTCCCATCGAAATTCAACTTGGAAGAAAAGAAGAACGCTCCAATTTATATGGCTCGAATTACACCTGCCATTCACTACACTCAAGGAGGTCTCTTGTTTAATTCTCATGCACAAGTACTTCGAAGAAAAACACAGGAAATCAATGAAGTCATTGGCAATCTCTATGCAGCAGGAGAAGTGACTGGAGGTTGTCACGGAAAGAATCGACTTGCAGGTAACAGCTTGCTGGAATGTGTGGTATTTGGAAGAATTGCTGCAACTCAAGCTGCCTTCGAAAGGAATTAACTTGCATGAATGGTTCTTACATGAAATAAATGCATTGGACTGACACTTATGCAATGTCATTCTCCATAGTTCTCAACATGTGAAACAATGGAAGATACATTCCAGTGTTATTCTTGGTGCTTAATTCGAAATATTGTATTCGACAATTTCTCAAGTCTTGCATGCTAAACGAATTCAATAATTGTTGAATCATGTCATTCGTTACCTTTCTTGGTAGATCATTCTTCATTCCAATGATGCACATATACATTCGATTCTCAAGCAAGTGCTCATTAAGTTCAAAATTACTGAAACTTGCAAATCGATCAATCATCCAATCTTCGATCATTTTGGACATTTCTAGAAAACTTTGTACATGATTCAAGTCAAAGCAAAACATGACAAAATCGCTGTGACTCATGAAAATCCTTTCCATTCCTTTCGATCGAGCAATATCCCAAATCTCCAACTGAAACAAATAAGAATGAAAGACGACTTGCATATTTCGAACAAACGCTCCAACTCCCTGTCGATCCTCAGCAAACTGTGATTGTCCAGTCACACAATTCACGTACTTTGTTTTCCCACTTTTGGAAGGTCCCACACAGGCAATTTTCACAGATTTATATCCCAATCCATTCAAAAGACTCATATTCGTTTCAAATGATGGTAAATTTAATCCACTGACAGATGGATGGACTGTGCCTTCTTCATGTTTCATTTCATGACAAGCTTTTTCTGCACGTTCTTTGATATATTCATAATATGCAATTTTAAATATTAAATTTCCTGGAGGAGAAATTAATAATATTGCTTGATGATAACACGATCGGGAAGGTAATAACTTGTTCATTAATTCAAAATTGTAAATGGTAGTCATTTCCATGTGATTTGGATCATTCTCCAACGTTTCCATCATCATGAAATCGTTTCTTAATTTGGAACTTGTAGTATACAATTGAAGTAAATCTATTCCGCTACAAAATTCAAAAATTTGGAGAATCAGTTCCGATGGTAATGTGGTGAAAATATTAATGCGGGGATTCGTGATCATTTTTTTTTAATTTAATATTATTTTTATTTTGAATTTCGAATTGTCCATTTATAACAAATCCAAATTTTGTTGTTTTGCTGATGATCGTTGTCTCTTCCTGCGACAGCTGTTGGCAACTAGTTATTGACGTCTGTGCGAAAAAGCACCTTATCACGGTCAGAATATTTTCAGTTCTATCACTTCTCTCGAAGAAGATGACAACAATTGGAATAACTAATGAAAAGCAAGCTGTCAAGTTCTTTGATTTATTATTATAATAAATCCTTCCCATGCGCCAACAACATCATTTCACACATTCTACTTAAAATTGATAAAATGGATAATCCGTATATCCAGTTTTCACATCCTTCGATCCGTAAAAAGTCGATCGATCATACTTGCTAAATTCCACTCCTCTCTTAATTCTCTCTGGTAAATCTGGATTTGAAATAAAATACCTTCCAAAAGCAATCATATCCGTCACTCCTTCTTCCACCACTTGCAATGCTGTTTGTGCATTAAATCCACCTGCAGAAATTATTGGAATTTTTGTTAAGGGTTTCAAATCTCGAGTTGCCACAACAGGTTGAGCCTCAGCTTCTCCATTGTCATTGAGAGCTCCTCCAACGACACGTGGCTCAACAAGATGAATGTAAGCCAGGTCGTAGGAATCTAATGCTTTCACAGCAGCTGAGAAGAGAGCATTGGGATTGGAATCGGAAATTTCTAAGAACACTCCGCTTGGAGAGAGACGAATACCGACTCGATGGGATTCATGATCGAAACCTTCGATAACGGCTTCGATGGCTTCTCGCATGAAACGAAGACGATTTTCAATGGAACCACCATATTCGTCATTACGCTTGTTGACACCATCTTGGAGGAATTGATCGACGAGATAACCATTAGCTGCATGCAATTCGACACCATCTGTGTGTGTGTGAAATATTTGTAGGATCATGTGTGTGAAATGTACAAGTTTTAAATATCATTGATGTAAGAGTTTTAAATATCATTTTAATAAAAATATTAAAAAAAAAATTAAATCATTGAAAATATTCAAAAACTTACCAAATCCAGCCAATTTTGCATTCATTGCTGCTTGCTTGTATTGCTTGATAATTTCCTTAATTTCTTCTATTGTTAAACTTTTTGGAGTTTCTGGCACTACATATTCATTGGTTTCCCAATTAAATGATTTTGCATTTTTAATTCCAACTTCCGACGAGGACACACTTTGAGCATAACGTTGTCTTCCGACATGCCACAATTGCAAAAAGATGAAACCTCCCTTCTGATGAACACTTTCCGTAATCTTTTTCCAAGCTTCAATTTGTTGCTGTGAATAAATTCCTGGAGTATTGGGATAACCTTGTCCCTGAGGAGTAATTTGAGTGGCCTCTGCAATAATTAATCCACCCTTTGATGCTCTTTGAGAGTAATATTCAACTCCGAAATCGGTATGTTCGCAATCTCCATTCAAAGCACGGCAACGAGTGAGTGGAGCCATGACGACTCGATGAGAGAGAGTGATGCGAGCAAGTTTGAAATTTGGAGAGTCCCGAACACCCAAAGTCAAGGGAGTGAAGAGTTTCTTGTGTTCAGCAGAAGCGGTGGCAGACATGTTCAATTTGTTTGTTGAATATTTTTTTGTGTGTGAAATGAATTGGATGGCAGATAGGTCGCGATTTCAATAGAAAGATGAAGTACGCCCTTAGAAATAAATACGCACGATGGAATGGAAAGTTTGAGAAAATGGTTCAAGTGAAAGGATGAACGCGTTCGGAATTACTGTTGTGAACGAATTTGTTGGTCTTCGTACATACATCATAAGGTTATTAGCTAATACAATACCTTAATGCCTTTTTAATGATTCGTAAAGTATAGTATATAGGTTAATATTACTCAATTTTGCTTGTTGACATCTTTTTGAATACCAAAGTAAAATTATTGGCAGGCATTGAAATTCTCTCTAATAATTTCAATCCGTATAAATTGGCTTCTTTTTCAACATCTTGAACGTCTCTAATTCCCCATTCCTCACACCGTGATTTTAAATGTTCATCAAAATTCTTGTTTCCTTCACTTGTAAATTCATGATTGACATTAAATGGTCCATAAATAAATAAATAGCCACCCTCTTCATTGTTGTCTTGTAATAATTGACTTGCGTTCTGCATGAGCATGAGTGTTGTTTTCCATGGTGAAATATGTAATAAATTAATAGCAATAATAGAGTGAAATTTTGTTGAATTGTCCAAACCATTGGCACCTTCTTCCTTCAAATGATTGATAACTTCTTCCCATTCTTGACTTATATCGACAATGATGGGCGCTTGTACATTGTTCAAATCTTTACATCGTTCAACAATGGATTCAAAACTTTGTGAAGTTAATTCCGACGGTTGAAATTCATAACTCGGAAATGAACGAGCAAAATGACTCACATGTTGCCCATATCCGGAAGCAATTTCTAGAATCCTCCTTGAAGAACTATTCTGATGATGATGAATTTTTGATGATGAATTTTCTTGATCCGCGTTTTGGTTAAGAACTGACTCAGTACTTGTCGAATGGGTTCCTTGTTTCGTTCTGCAGCTTCGGAATAGTTGGAAGAAAAAGACATTTTTTTGTTGTAAGATTGGTAACTGTCACACCAAGTCTTTTACGAAATTAAGAGTGACACACAGTGGTTTAAACCCGAGCCAAAATACTCCAGCGGGTTTGTTGGCGAGTTGGCGAGCGTCTAACACAAAAGGGGAGTTGCGTTGAACCACACTATGACTTTGTGTGCACCAAAAGCCATAAACAACAAACAACCCTTGTTGCAGTGACAGTACCGACAGTGGTAATGTGGAAGACGTCAACGTTTCTTGATGCATCATTTGAGTGCTTTTGTATGTAAAAAACCATTTCAAAAGCAAACCTCAATCCTCACGGATTTACCAGCACCAGTGGTGCTAACAATAAAGTAATTAGATTTTGTTGTAAGCATTGATTTCTGGCAAACAAAAGGTCTTTATTATATATTAAAAGTATTCCTCTTTTGGTACATAAATAATTATGAAACATTTTATAGTTGCGTTCGTCGTAAACACCTTTTGATGAGCTCATCGTTGGTTGACTCTGTATTACGAGATTTATTTGGACAGGTGTTCCTCTCAAACATGATCCATTTCTGAAAGAGCAGCCAAAGTCGTACACGAAAACTTCATCACATGTTCGTTGAATGGAGAGTTGAGATGGTCCTTATGTAAAACGGGTGCTTGATTGCCAACTCCAAAACTATAAGGTTGTACTCCAAAAGTGAAACTAACTCCTGTAGGATAGTTCAACACAACCTTTTCTGGTTCATGCATTGGATTACATGCTAGCACATTGTGAGACCATTGGGGTTGGGTCACTAAATTTGTGATAAATTCTGGAGAGCAATGCATGAGTTTGATGCATTGATTGAATGGGCTAGTACGCACAACAGTCGTATTGGTTTTTGTGATTGGATTGAATCCTGATTTGAAATGTTTGATTTTCTTGATAAACGTGCCATACTTGTATTCGTTGGGAAAATCTGTCCATCTCACTCCTGATTTTTGTTCCACCATTTCTACAACTTCGGCTGCTGAAAGATTGTCCATTTTAGGTTGTTCGAAATATTTACTGCCCAATATAGTCTTGCTATTTCTAACACAATCATGTTGTCTCCACAAAATGTATTCTGCAGCGTGTGATACCGAAGGTACTTGATAGACACGACAATCAAAGTGGCCAGCAATATTACCATCAATGAGTTTTTGTCGAGTTTCCCTTCTGAGATTGAGATCGGATGGTGTGAGTATCTTTTTAGAATGAGATTTTAAATTCTTACTGTCGTATTCAATTCTTTTTTCAAAACTCTCATAATTATTGGATAACAGTTTGCGGAGGTAGTAATTAAACCCTTCCGTCATAAAACTTGTAGATATGCTTATCAATTTTTGTATACGACCATTATAGTGGCTTGGATGTGAGACACCTTTCTCTGTTTTTGAAGAGAATAACAACGTTATCTCATCGGAACAAATATAAATCAAAGTAGGAGCAAGATTCACTCCTTTCACACAAAAATCTCGGACCGCAAGCATCATAGCCCAGTGAATATTAGCATCAAAAGGTTTTTCGAAAATATCACCATTGGAAGTAAATGATTTAAAGTGAAATCCATCAAATCGCATAATTATTGGTTGCTCGTCAAGTATTTCAAAATTTACTTTTGGCTCATATTGAGCCTCCAAATACTTCATTCTATCGGTAACTTCTCGGAAATCAATATTGTCTGAGCCATCATCACTTGCCAAACTCGCTCGCTTGTGATCTTGTTGTGAGTCTTCAAATTTAAAGCTAAAATTTCGTCGAGCTACTCCGAAGGTGTTCTTGTAAAATATTCCATGAGAGCTTTTCAAATTGATGAAAGAGAAGCCTTTATATTTATGAAACGATGATGATGCTAATACATGATTGGTGAGAGCGTTTGTACAGCCTTGTTTTGTCAGAAATTTTGTTGAATGATGAAGGGATTGGAATTTGTGCATTTTTTTTATTGAAATTTTTTGATTGGATTGGAATTATTGATGCTTGTTGGCTTTATAACAAAGAGACTTTGATTCCAATTTATTGGCTAATCTCAAAGCTGACTCACTCTCCCTAAGAATGAACAAACACGCTTCCAATGGTGAAGTAGGGCCAAATCGAATAAGGTCAAAATGTAAGGACATTGAGAATGCTAATTGAATGAAAAAGCTCATCGATATCTATTGATATTTGGTTGATATTGAGAAAGATTTGCATATCCTTCAGAGGTAGCAAGCACATTTTGTTGATCTTTTCCAAGTTTGGCTGTCTTGCAAACAGGACATTTGTAATTCGAGTCAAATTTCTTCCAGGCATTGAGACATTCATCATGCACATTATGTCCACACACCAAACAACAGTCTGTCTTTTCTTTTCCACTTTTGAATTCTTCGTAGCAAATTGGACAAGAGGCTCCTATGAGTGTTTTTCTTTGACTACCAATCACAATTTCTTGTTCTGAAACAGTGCCCTGAGAAAGTTGTTTGTATCGATCAATAACTCTTTCATCAGCCTTGAGTGTATGTGAAAGAACTGGAGGTGCAGACAAGAAAACACTTTCCAATTCTGCAGACAGTAACGCCTTTTGGTAGATGATGTAGGATGTTGCAGATACTCTTAAAACCCGAAGATATACAAATAAGATATGCTTGCATAAATTGCCTCTTTTGAAATCAGGACAATTACAGGTTGGCTTTTCACAAATTGAAACTTCGTAAACATTTCCAGTTGAACCTAGCACGATAAATTTTTCTGACCTATTTCCATTTCTATCCTTTCTGTCAATAAGGAAGAGTCTGGATAAAATTGTAAATCATAAATTCAAACAATTTTAGATTAAGGACAAGTGTGTGTTAAAACATACCTTTGCTTCAAGGCCCTATTGATTCGATCAAGAATTTTAGAACTACATTGGGGAACAAATCGAGCACTTCGTTTTTCACCTGCACTCTCTAATGATAGCAACAGTGCTTCGTTCATGATTGGTTGTGAGGACGCTTGTGAAGATGATGCCGATGGAAAAGGAGATGATTGTGATAATGGCGTAAATGGAGACCCTAGAGGGGAACCTATGGGAGAACCAAATGGTGACGATGTCGTCGTAGCAGTAAGGGGTGATGAAACATTTCGTGGTGGAGTTGTTGCGCTTAATGTTGAGGATTCGATTTTGGCTTCCTTTTCTTTCTTTTTGGATTTTTTGCGTGGTGTCTTAGTTGAAGAAGTGGAAGAAGATGGTGTTGAATGGTCCACAAATGTGAATTCTGTTTTTGTCGGTGTTGACATTGTCGACGATGATGGAGTAGAAGCAGCGGTTCCATTGTGATTATTGGAATGTTCAGCATTGGACGAGGATGGTGTTGAGGCTGTACTAGAAGTATTGGGAGATTCTTTAGCTGCTTTCTTTTCCAATTTTCGTTGTTTTCTTGCAATTTCTGCATTATGCAACGACATGGGTCCCGTAGGCGATGTCAGCAAAAGAGATGCAAAAGGCACACTTGCTGTAGTGGGAGAAAACGAAACAGGTGATTGTTGTGATGATAAATTCTGTGGAGCTCGCTGTTGTGCTTGTTGCATGGCTGCCATAAACGAAACTGGATCAATACCATGTTGCTGAGCTGCCAGAGTCATTGCAATGGGAGGATTCGTTGCAAGACTTGAGAGAATGTCTTGTTGAGAGGATGGGCGTGGAGGTGTGCCCGAAGGTGGTGACATGTTATTTTGAGCTAATTGACCACTACCTTGTTGATTATAGGGAGAATGTTGATTCGTGTTGGGTTTCTTTGGAGGAGTACTGCTGTGTCCATCAATGGATGAAGAAGAAGCTCCTACAAACTCTACATCATCGTCCGCATCCAAAACTTCAATAGATTCTGGTTTCACCAAATCCGAATGAGATCGTTTGTACGAGGGAGAAGAAAGAGGAATCGTCTTGTTGCTCTTATTGTCAAATCCGGTTGATAACGACGAGCCAGAAGAAGAAATTGATGATGAGCTTGAGGATGGATTTCTTCTTCTTGTTGCATTCTTTTGGGGAGTTTGAAAACCACCATTGTTGTTGGTGGATGATGAAAGATTATTATTAAACAACGTTGTAGGAGGAGTATTATTACTGTGCAGATGGTTGTTCTTGTTGGGAGATGCTGAGCCTTGTGATGGTTGGAAACGAGTACTCGGAGATTCTGATGATGACGATGAATCAAATTTGTTGAGCCTCAACACCCGAACAAGAGATGCTAATTGTTGCGTGGAGAAATCTTCCAAACCTTTCGTGATATTGAATTCTCTTTTTAAAACTTCTAGAAAGGACCGATCTACAATGGAAAGTTCTTTGGCTTGGGTTGGAGGACCTTCTCCGCCACCACCATCATGAGTATTCGGTTGCATTATAAATTCCGTTACAAAATGTTCGTTAAATAATATTTTTTAAATTTTTTTAATAAAATCAAGTTTTGATTTCATTCTTCAATTTTTCTCTATCGGTAATACGCCCAACAGCTTCTTTCATAATATATTATAAAAATTGAATCAAAAGATATCTCTGTCGAGGGTCCACAAAAAAAAATGTATCGAGGTGATCGTAGAATTGGCGCCATCACCAATCCCTTCTCGAAAGTGAAACATTTTACATCAACGACTGCTCCTTCACCCGATCCCAATCGGATCACATGGGAAGATTTAATGACCGATGAATACTTTCATTCAGTGAAAGAGGAATACACTTCTAGTAAACATCAGCCTTTCCATGAACAACCATTAGGTTTCAATCCCAATGAACCCATTGTTTGGATTGATATTGAAACATCGGGACTCGATATCAATAAGGACAAAATTTTGGAAATTTCGTGTGTAATTACGGATAGCAATTTAAATTTAATATCGGAACATGAGAGTATGGTCATTAATTATCCTGAAGAATTTATTAACAAGAATTTCTCGGAATGGTGTAAAAAACAGCACATGTTGAGTGGACTCACAGATGATGTCCGTACCTCGACTTTGACCATCAAAGATGCTGAAATTAATCTTGTCAAATTTTTGAATCGTTTCACTAGGAAATTACAAACGAATTTGGCCGGAAACTCTATTCACTTTGATAAGCAATTTTTGCAAAAAGAGATGCCACTTGTTGACTCTATTTTTCCTCACAGACTTATTGATGTGAGCAGTTTTGGAGAGTTGTGCAAGCGTTGGAATCCTCAACTCTATGCGCAGAGACCAGCCAAAGTAAAATTGCATCGTTCCAGAGCAGATATCTATGAAAGCATTCGAGAAATGATGTTTTATAGAAAGTATATCTTTTCCAATTTATTAAGAAAATAGGGAAGTATGTGAATAGGTCAATAAAGTGAAGGCATTAAGTGGAACAAATATTCTAAATTGTAAGAGCGGACATTGGAATTGATTCTTTGACAAAATTTAAATTTCAATTTCTTTGGTGTTAGTGGACTATAGTTGATTTCTGTATTTAATGAATTTCGTTGCGTGTTTACATGATCTGATTGTGTGATGTTTTTCCAATACTAATTGGTTAAACAGTATATGTTGAAAGCTTATCGTCACTCTACTTTGTTAGTTCTTACTCTTTGTTGACTTTTTCTCTTGTCTTTTCGCAGGTATGGATGTCTGTATCTGGATGCAATAAATCGTTGATCTACTTCTAATCGTTTCTCAATTTCCTTGTCATAAATGGATAAAACTTGTTCTTCTCCAGCAACAAAGCTCATGATTGATGAAAATGTGGAAGTAACTTTGGTCGTACTTGCAGATGGTGATGTATATCCTCCACCAGATGGTATTGGTGATGAAGGAGAACCATTAGTATCTGTCACTTCCATTTCGAGGGTGTCCTGCGAGGTCAAAATGTCTTCATCTTGGATATGAGCGGTGGAATTGAGTGAAACGACTAACATGTCCATTTCTGCCTTTGACATTCGTGATCTTGCAAAGCGAACAATCAAGTAAAACAAAAACATGGTTGGCAAATAGATGAGCCATGTCGACCACAAGGTTGCAAGTGTTGGAATCATGAAAATCAATAAAATTGGATAAACAGATAGATAGTAGACCAATTGATCTGCTGTAATTCTCATAATGGTTCCATCACTGTCTGGAGCTTTCTCATAAAAATACATGATGAGATACTTGTCCATATAATAAGTGACAATCAAATAGAATAATCCAAAGAGAAACATTAAGGGAACAGCACTTCCGTAAATAAGAGTAAGCATCATGATTGATGTTTTCACACCAATATTTGCATCATAATCGAAAGGAAGTCGTTCCAATTCTTTTCTTCCATTTCCATTATCATTAAATCTGTATTTGATCATCATGACGATGAAAATAAATGTATATTCGAGAGTTTTGGCAATTGAGCACAAAGCCATAATCAATGTCGCAACTTCTGTTCCAATATAATTGAAAAAGTATGCATAATTGTTGAATGGGAAATATGCATTCATGGCAACACCCCAAACGGCCTTCACCCATCTCACAAAGAATGGGAATGCAGCAATAGAGAGACATATGAAAAAGATTGATTTCGTTAATACGGTCTTTCTTCGAGAAGTTCTCGATGGATGTCTCTCAAAGTCGGTCAATACTTCAATAATGGGTTTGACCAATTCGTTTGCCAAAGAAATAACTTCTGGCAATAAATCTGCCAATGCCATCAATATTAAGGCAGCTGTATCAACTCCAATGATGGAATCTGAAGGAACTGCATAATCTTTGATTTGAGAAATATTTTGACCCTTATACCAATAGTACCATGAAACAGTCGTTGAAATGGAATAAATAATAAGAAGCACAATGGTAATGATGGAGGATGAAGTAAGAGATCTGAACCATCGATTCGTGCTCGAGACATTCAAGTTTTCAAATAAAATGTCATCCGATTCAGGTGCACGTTCAATGCCACCGTAAGGCCATCCTGAGGGAATACAACACCACCAAGGAATTGAAAAACCACAACAGCAAGGAATGTCACGATGTTCGTTGAGACATTTTTGTGCTGCCTCCATGGATGAAAACGTTACAAAAGCATAACCTGTACCATGAACAGTGCGCGAAGGATTTGTTCTCAAGTCGTTGATATTTTTGTTGATTTCATCAAGAGCTTTCGTGTAATGATCGATTGCATCCACTTTGGATCCTAGAATTCCTAAAAAGCCACGAATTTTGATGGTTGGACGACGAGATGTCTTCTCGTATTGTTTTTCAGCACCTCTGAGAAGTACCTCAATTTCCTCTTTCTTCTCATCAAGTGCGCTTAACTCATTCAAATCGAGCGCAATATGAGCATCCACGACATTGTTTTCACCGTATCTACGCTTGAAATCTTCCAAAATTCTTCTTCGGTCCCTAATGTTCTTAGATACTCCATTCACCATAACCGTGTATAAGCTTCCAATGTTGTTTCTTGATTTTATCAATTGACGGCTCAATCGATGAAGCCCATAAATAAAAACAAGACCAATAATTGGGAATGAGATGGTAACCAAAAAAAATACATAAATCTTGTCATTTTGCTTGATGTTCATCTGAGCAATAGTGGTGCTAGAGAAATCACCAAATGAAACGTTGTTATCCGTGGTGGTGAGATAGGTTGGTAACAAGAATCCACACGCAATAACTCCACACACTAGTAAATAAATGATCAAATATTTGCTGAACCATAAGTAATAATAAACATCTGTTCCACATTGCTGAACGAGTTGTGTATCGGTGGCGAAAAATATTGATTTAAGAATGATGAGAGGATTATAGAAACGAGAGGCGTGTTGTAATCTGCTTTTAAGGTCGGTGAATTTCTCTTCATCGTCCACTTCTTCATCATTGGTGAATGAATTGGTCTCACGAGTGTTGATTGATTTTTTAAAAGGAGTTTCTCCAAAGAAGTTTCTTCTGTGTTTGTAAATGAGAAAATCTTCATACTCTTTCTTTTTCTTCTTGTACTCCTCCTTTTCTTTTCCAATTGCTGAAAATTCAGCATGAATATCATCATAATAGTGTTCTTCCGCTTCGTCTGCAAGTAGAAGACCTCTATTGTGTTTTGTGATTGCAAATTTGTTGACACAACACAATGATGGAATTGACAAAATAATGATAGAAAGAATCACAAGGGGTAATCCTACAAAAACGTGAGGTCCAGAAAATGAAAACTTGTAATCCGGATCTAAGGTAGTTCCATATGAGTCATTATTAAGCAATGTAGTTTGAAACATACCGATATATACGTCATAACTTGTCGTATTAAACGAGCACTGATAGGAATACGAAGTTGATTTTGACGTGTCATTCGTATTGGCAATTCGTCGAATCACAGAATAGCCAATTCTGTAGTATCGATTCGGCTCTTGCACAGCGGTGGAAATATCTGCAAATTTGATAAGACGATATTGATTGGATGATTGCTCAGTATTGCTGTCACCATCTTGATACTTGATCAATGGTTTGTGATCTGTGTGAAAATTGTATGAAAAGAATAATCCTGGCTTTTTGCTGATTTCTGGTCTTCCATCGCTTCTCGATTGCAAAGTCGACACATAGAATGCACCCACTGCAAAATTGCGCTTGGAGGAATCATATAAATCGTAGACATATTGGAATGGATCTTCCTTGCTTGATAACAGGCCTATAATAGGCTGTTGAGTCATGGGCACCACAAAATTACGCAACACTTTTTCAGAGGATCTCAATATTTCCACTGTTTTGTTCAATGTCGGTGATGTAGTTCAATAATTACACGTTAGGTTATCAAATGAGTACAAATACACCAATTAATGAATATCACAAAACAATGGACCATACCTCTAAACAAAGGCAATCTTGCACTTGAGTAATAATACCTCGTTGACAATGATCGGGAATGGTGTCTACATTTTGAAACCCAGCATCGGGAACATCGTGTGAGACAAACCAAGTCACGTTGAAGGGTTGTCTAGATCTACATTCATCCAAAGAAGATGCACAAAATTGTTCCAAAGCACACCACACTAAATTCCGAACGATTGTTGTAGAGATTTCAATATCGATCAATAATGGATCCGATGAGCATGAAACACAAACCTTTCTTATTTCCAACGCAGTTCAAACATGATGTATCTACAAAATTACTGAATTCAGTTTTATGAACATCTTGATGAATTTGTATCTTTGTCTTCATAACTTTTGCCATTATTGGTGATGACGACTCAACCACGATCAATAAAACCATCAACAACAATAACATGGCAGTTCCATCTTTAACACTATAAAATCTCTTTTTTGCATGATGATTCCGAGAATGAATGGATGTTGTTATTATTTTCATCGTTCGGAATTTCCAACAACACAACGGACAGCTGTAGTTTGATATTTTTTTTAATAATTAATTCAGTTGGTATTTATTATTTGGATAATTCTTAATAAAACGCATGATCAAAGCGATGTTGTTCTCCCTCATTTACCTTACGTAGATAAGGACTCTGTTTCAATATTTCAATGACTTGTTTTTTAAGGTTTTTCGATTTTGATCCAGGAAACGCAGGCAGAAACAATTTCGTAAGACGAGCAAGTTTTGGTGTGCAAGCAAGAGCTTTCGCATCTTCCAAATTCAATTCTGTTCCTCTAATATTGAGATGTCTCAAATTTTCAAGTTTGGAGAATTCTCCAAAGAAGTGTGGAATAAAACCACGCTTATGGGTGAAACAAAGATGGGAAAGGTTTGAGGCGTTTGAATGTGAGGCAAATTGTTCAACCTTTTCACAAGAGACAAAATCAATGCCTCTCATTTCGAGGCTTTCCAAACGCTTCAAATGGCTAAGCGATTCTACAACGCTGTCAATGGAAATAAGTGTTTGATCAGAAATGACTAACTTTTTGAGCATTGGAAAAGCTTTGGAAAGTTCCAATAAATCACTTGATGTTAAACCAATTCCCGTAACAGTTAATGCAGTGAGTTTCTTAATGTATGGGCTGTTGATCAGTGATGTGATATTCGTCATTTGTGAGTATATATTTTGAAGTATTAACGTTTCTAATTTCGCTAAATTTGGGCAGTTAGAGATCAGATCCAAACCTCCCTGGTATAGTAGATGTCTATGATAACACAACTCGAGTGTCTTCAATGAAGCAATGTTCTTACAAGTGATGAATCTTTCAACATCTGTATCAGAGTGTGGTGTAAATTTGATACTATTAAGCTTTGTCATTGTTCCATTCAACACTGTGAACACTAAGGAAGGAGTTGAAATATCTTGCGCATTGAAATAAAAAGTAAATTCTTCAAGATTGGATAAATTTTCACATGATACTAAATATTCAATACCTTCTACACCAATATTATTGAAATCTAACATGAGACAAGTGAGATTATTGAACACTGCGCTCATTCCTATATCTTTCACTGCCTTGAATGAAATTTTGTTTCCTGTCAAGTTAAGAGAGGTCAATTTTTTTAACATTGTGCTTTGAGAAATTTCGTAAACCACAGCGTCTCCAATATTACACCAATCAAACTGTAAGTCTTTCAAATTTGACATGTACACCGAATTGCAAATACTCTTGACACTCTCTACTCCAATACTTGTTGTACTCAAATTCAAACATGTTAAATTTGAAAACAATGGACTTGATGTCATCAGGTGAACGGTCTCATCCTGAACGCGTGAAAGAGCGAGATTGAGATGAGTTATCAATTTCAAATTCGGACAATTCATCATTCGTGTTACAATATCATGATCAACATAACGCTTGTTCAACACTAATTTTTGTAAACTTGGAAAACAATTTAAATATTGGTCCTTTTGTTCAATGCCATGATGGTTGATGCCGCACTCATCACTCTTGTGATTAAAATCAATGTCAATCATGTTCATGTCTTTGGATAATTGACATAATTCTTGTCCTCCACAAATTTGCAACCCTTGTACATGATGAAAATATCCCTTTTCACAACAATCAATAAATCTCTTCGTTCTATGAATATCATTATGTAAATAGACAAGTAATTCGTTTCCGAATGAATAATTGGATGATTTCGTAGCAATTTCATCGCATTGTTTACAAATCAATCGGAAGACTCTGTAAACCCAAGAATAATCATCCAAATGAATGAATATTTGGCCATGAAAAACTTCAATAGGAATATCACAGAAGGTTCTGGTGGTGACATTTTTTTTTTGGCTGTTTTCTTTGACATAATATTTTGATATTATTTAAAAATCGATTCGTTCTTTTAAAATGTAACAGGGTGTCATTTAACAACTCTTTGAATTCCATTTCATCGATCACAAGAGAGACGGTATTATCATCTTGACAGAATGATAATCCAATAGTAAAATAAATAAACGGTCGAACGGGGTAGCGTTTTAACAGCATGATGTCGTTTTGGCAATCATGGCCTTGACATTAAATTCTGGTATAACAATTTCTGAATAATGCAAAGGCAAGCAATCATAATCTTGTTATGAATGTCCGTTTTCATGGTTCTAATCTTGCATACCAAGCTCTTATCTTCTTTGTAAAGGCTTTTCTTAAACCTTATTTTCTCTCTTCTCGAGGACGGTATTCTATAACAACGTTCTTGGCAATTTCTGACCAGAGTTGTCCTGCTTAAGAGAAAGGGAAAAGGTAGGGTTTTCAACTTTCGGTTTTTGTGATTCGTTGAAATAAAGATTACAAAACCCATAGAAAAAAAATGCAACAAGAAGGAAATTTGTGCGAAACCACCACTCCACCCAATTTGCTGCACTCCGATCATACCTTGTACCTTGATGGTGAGAGTCTCACTTGTGAGGATTTATACAGAATCGGTTATGAGCCTCATTTGAAAATTGCTCTCACACAACAAGCCAAAGACCGAATCACGGAGGCTAGAAAAATCGTTGATAACATTATCCATACCAATCAAGTCAAATACGGAATCAATACAGGATTTGGTCATTTTGCTACTACAGTCATTGCAAAGGAAGATATTGAAGATTTGCAAAAGAATTTAATTCGTTCGCATGCTGCTGGTGTTGGAGATTATTTGCCTTTGGAGAGAGCGAAAATGTTGTTGGCTTTGCGTATCAATGTGTTGGCCAAGGGTTTCTCTGGAATCCGATTGGAGACAGTTGAGAGATTGGTGAAGGCTTTTAACGCTGGATGCATTTCAGCTGTTCCTTGCAAGGGAAGGTAAGTGGTTAATTTATTTGACAAAGAGTAGAACGATGATGGCAATCATTGTATGATGCATAACTTTTAAAATGTTCTTTTCCTTGTCAACATTGTCAACAACATGATGATTTTTATTGCAATTTATTATGGTTGACACATTCCTTCATCATCATGATATCATTTATTACTGCATACATTCTCAGCGTCGGAGCCAGTGGAGATTTGGCTCCTCTTGCTCATATGGCTCTCGGAATGATGGGAGAAGGAATGATGTACAATCCCTCAACCAAGACATACGAGGATGCAGCCAAAGTACTCAAAGAACATGGAGTACAACCCATCGAAGTTCATGCCAAGGAAGGATTGGCACTAATTAACGGTACACAATTCATTTGTGCTTTGGGAACTGATGCTTTAGTTCGTTCTATCAATTTAGTACGAATTGCTGATGTTGTTGGTGCAATGACTTTGGAGGCACTCAGAGGTTCGTTTAAGGCCTTTGATGCAAGAATTCACAAAGCAAGACGTCACACTGGACAACAAAAAGTTGCAGGAAGAATGAGACATATGCTTTTCACTGAAAAGGGTATGTAATAATTGTGGTATATACCAATGATTATCTCAACAATTGACAATATCATTATATTTCATTAATTGGTGACATGAAATAATTATTATTCAATATTTGCAAACACATCATTGAATGTTAACATTTCAATTTCATACACAATGGATAACAACATGATTACAGTGGAGAGTGAAAAGAAAGTTTTTGAAATTTCTGAAATTTCTGCCAGCCATTGGAATTGCTCTCGTGTCCAAGACGCTTATACTTTGAGATGCATTCCACAAGTGCACGGTGTTGTCAATGACACTGTTGAATTTTGTAGAGGTGTTATGGAAAATGAATTGAATGCAGCCACTGACAATCCAATGGTATTTATTGATCCAAATGGAAGTAACGTTCCAAACTCACGACACATTCATTTCGAAGACAATGAAGATTTCCATTCACATTTACATCACTACACAACAGCTGACGAAAATGATGAACAAATTGTGAGTGGTGGTAATTTCCATGGCGAGTATCCAGCCAAAATTATGGATTATTTGGGTATTGGTATTACTGAGCTTGCAAACATCAGTGAAAGAAGAATTGCTCGTCTGATTGATGGTAACTTGAGTGGTTTACCAGCATTTTTGGTTAAAGAAGGAGGTCTTAACAGCGGCTTCATGATTGCTCATTGTACAGCAAGTGCCTTGACAAGTGAAAACAAGGTTTTGGCTCATCCAAGTTCCAACGATACACTTTCGACATCGGCTGCCAAAGAAGATCACGTTTCTATGGGTCCATTTGCAAGTATGAAGTGTTTAGACATTGTCAAAAATGTCGAATACGTTTTGGCTATTGAATTGATGTGTGCATGTCAAGGAATTGATTTATTACGTCCACTCAAGACCACACCAATTCTTGAAAAAGTCTATGAATTGGTGAGATCAGAGGTTCCAACGTATGAAAAGGATAGATTTTTGTCACCTGATATTGAGAAAATTTGTCATTTAATTAGAACTGGTAAGGTTTGGCAAGTCATTAAGGATGACATTCCTACTGAGATGCATTAGTATTCACAAACGAGCAAGAGTTTTTACATTTTCGATTTTTACAATGAAATTACAATTTTGAATCATCAAAACATGTTTCTGAGAAATCTCATATCATGATCCATGATACTTGTTGAGAATGACATTGTAACTCATTCTCTCCTTTTCAAATAAATTTTTCACAACATGACACGAATGATACATAATTGGTCAATTCAAATAATAATTGTCATCCCTCACCAAACCTCACCAATGTCAGCTGCCAAAAAACAACAACAAAAAAAAAAATGTCCAATTCTACCTCCTCATCTGCTCCATCCTTATGGACTCGTTTCATCAACTACATTTCATCATGGCTCTCCTTCCTTGTCGAATTCATTTGTTCCCTGTACAGAGATGAATTACAACGACAATCACGCGAAAGCGAAGATTACCATCGATGGAAACAACACAAACAAGAAGAACAAGAACCATTCATGACCACTTCGACAACTCCAATTCTTTCTTCATCGACGATTCAAGAAGATGAAGAAAATGTTTTGGGACATGTTTCGAAAAAGTCTTCAAGTCAGCCATCCACTCCAATCCTTCCGAATACGGCATTAACAAGGAATAATGAACCGCAAGTTGAAGCAATCCAGGCTCAACAACAAGAACAACACGAAGATGACATGTTCACAGAACAAACTCCACTACTTGTCACTCCAAAGAAGGTATTACAAGATGAACAACAAACTCCTTCTAAACCACAAACACCCCAACAAGTGACACCACAAAAGGAAGAGACCAATAGTTCTCCTCAACAACAAATTTCTGTACAAAACAACAACAACAAGACTGCTCCTAACAAACCACAACAGAAAACTCCAATCAACAACAAATCTCAAATTCCAACACCTGTGAAAGTGTCAAAGTCAAATTCATCATCATCGGATCATGTCACTTCACCTTCGGAGGCTTCTGGATTGATTGGAGAACGATTGAAATTGAAAAAGGCTATGAAAAACAAGTTACTCTCTCAAAATGCTTATCAATCGCTTCTTAAAAACAACAAATCGAACAAGCAATCAGGTGAAGAATCTGGAAGTCAACCATTAGATCATACCACTTCGAGCAGTGACATGGATTCTTCAGAAATTATAGCTCAAAAGAATTCACAAATTCTTCAAAGAAAGTTAAGTTCGAAACCATCCTTTGCGAGAAGAAGACCAACTAACATGCAACAAACTCAACAAGAGAAAAAACCAAGTATTGACATTTTGTCCAAATTGGAAAATGAAGCATCGATTGAATTGCCAAGTGTTGAGAAATTTGCAGATTTGGAAGAACAAGCTCAATTGGAAAAGAAGTTGGGAACTGAGAATGCCATGAAGCAACAACAAGAAATGAAGAAGAGAAATGATGATGAGGCTGTGATCGAATCGAGTAACAATTCACCATCCAAGAGCCCATCTTCGGCGACAAAGGGCAACAATAAGGGACCTCAGGTTTCGTTAGCTGCCATTTTAGGTGCCAAGAATTCCCTTAGAAAAACTCAATAAACAACAACCAACATGACACTGTAAATGGATGTATTGCATAAAATGTAAATGGTTTTCACAGGGCGTTAAAATGTGAAATAAAACTTGTCAATGATGTAGTAATTTTGTTGAGACGTGTTGAATATCCTCATGCTGGGATAATTTTTTCATCATCGTCTATTATTTGCGTTTTAAACGAATAAGGTCAACTTGAATTTGTTGTGATTTCTTTTTGTGGAATGAGTAGCTGGCTTCCAGATCATAATTTAACTCTGCCACCACCTTGACATCAAAGCCCCACTTGGCAGCTTTTTGTGTTACAAACTTGAAATATTTCACAGTAAATATTCGAGTAAATATTGAGTGAGAATAATTAAATTCGTGTTACAACACGTACCTCACGAGTACTTGTTTTGTGAAGACTGTAAACAGCATTTTTCGTGAGCTCGGAGGCAACTTTTAAAAACATCATGTCAGCTCCTTTGATACGAGTTCCAAACGGTGGATTTAACAGAACTGTATCAAATAATCTATATTCTTCTTCTTCGGTTGTTCCTTTTTGCAAGGCTAATTTTTTGGCTCTAATTTTTAACATTCGTTCAAATTGAAAAACGTCACTTTGAATTAGATCAAGACGATAGGCGAAATGAGGCACCAAATCTTCATCAATATCTTCAATAATTGCATCAATGTTTTCACTACATATCCTCAAAGCATCGTCATCAATATCAACTCCTGTGACATGCTTTGCTCCCAATAAACAAGCTCCAAGACCAAGCATTCCTGTTAAATTGATTTCAACCATCAAGATCAATATATGAAAGTAACAATGATCCGAATAATCGAGTCATTTCAATATTCCGATAAAAAGTCAATAAATCAACAGCTCTTTTCAATTCCGAGATGAACATCATCATCAAACCTACCAGTACCAATTCCCAAATCCAAAACCTCCTTTCCTTCAATATCATCAAATGAAAATTGTGCTGTATACAATGTATGAGAAGCTAAATGTGGGGTGGTAATGTATTGTTCCAATTTAATTTTCGGTTTTTCAAAATTCTGAATGTGTTCCTGCAGAAAGGCTTCAAGCTCCCATAATTTCATTTTTTTTGTTTCAATTCTGTTACAACATCATGAACGCCCATGCTTACTGATGGGATCAAGACAAATATTGTCATTGTTGAAAAGAATAGAAGAATAATTGAAGAAGAAAACTTTCATCGTCCACTTCTAATACTCGCTTGCAGGAATAAATTTCATCAAAAAAAATGCTTCCTCCTTCTGGGTCTTCATCATCACTGACTCCAACTCCATCTTCATTTAATTTATCGGAGAGTGGTGGTCAGGGAGCCGATGATGGTGATGATGGCATGATGATGAAAACAACATACGGATCAACATCTTTTTTTGATTCTAATCTATTGAATTTTCCATCATCCGATATGTATCATCATCAAAACAAGAGAATCAAAACAACATCAACACTTGACGATGAGTTTGATTATGGGGATTTTCAGATGGGCGCGACCACACAAATGTACAAGCGAAGCGTTGTTTCTCCTTTTTTAATTTATTTGCTCAAAGGAAGTGGAATTGTTTTAGATTTTCCAGATAGAGTACTCTTTGGAGAGTCTACTTCAAACATGTCTTCATCAACAGCCTTACCATGTCCTACAGTCAACACTGGTCTTATCGAATATTTAAAGCATGAAGGACAAGTGGATATCAAACAACATTTACCTGCGTTTCTTTCACTCTTTTTCCAATCAATCAAAGAACAACCAAATCATTTTTCTTCAATTGCCACTTTTACAAAAGTTAAATCCGTTGATGAAATGATGACTGAAGGCATATCACAACAAAACGATTCAAAGGACATTTTCACTTTTGCATTTAGAGACACAAATTTTTATGCTCCAGTACCTGCAAACAATGTAACATTTCAACCTAATGAGGTAGATATTGTTTTGGACTTTCTGCATGACTTGATTACCCACGAATATATGGGAACAATGAGCAACACAGCTCATTTTGTACTCACAGAATTATTAAGGATCATGTCAGAACTTCCCAAATCTATGAAGCTAGATTATGACGTTGAAATTTGCAAAAGATACCTCTCCTTTATTAATAATATTTTAAAGAGTATTTGCACTTTCAGTAATCGATTTACAAGCCCTGTATCATCATCTTCAAGCAGAGGAAAGAATGAAGAAGTAATTTTAGAGACACTAATCACACTTTTCAGAGTTATGGTCATGTTCCTTAGTACCAACAATAGAAGTTGTACTGGGCGTGACGAAGAGCTAAAAGTGATTGTGAATGACTTGATTTTTAGAGTGGCTAGCATGATTCCTTTTTACAAGTTAATGACTTTGGTATATTCGATGACTTCCCAGTTCACATCGACTCAAATCCCTCTTTCCATAATTCAGGATTTGAAGGTTAAAAAACAAAAATTGGACAAGATTTTAAGCTTTTCATGTGAGAATTCACAAGCATTGATATTTCTTCAACACATACCCGTTTACTATCCAAATGTGAATACTTATGTGATTGAGGAGTTGAACATGACATTAACTTTAAATTTGGCTCAACCATTCCCAAACGCGGTTCCTCTGAATGGATCCTACGAGTTCAAAAATTATGCAGTGCTCTCTCACAACACATTCATCCAGACAGTTTTGATTTAATTGTGAAAGGAGAAAAAATGTTGAAAGGTTTAGAAGATCAAAAGAAAAAAAAGTACAAGTTCAATTTTACCTCAGACATGATACATGAGGCCATGGTTCTGCGGATTCTTCAGTTGTTAGACGAGAAGGAGACATACCCTTGTCAATATGAAACCATGTTTTCAGATGTTTCAAAAAGTATTTTGGGAAAATGGATTCTCCTTGCTAATCAACTGGACTCTCTAATCTCGAGAAACAAACCAGTCATCAATATGAAAATGATTTTCTTTGGAGAGACCGAACTTGCAGATGCTACCACACTTCATTTCAAGGGAAACTATTTGAATTTCTCTAAAGAAAGCTCATCAAGCGAGTCAACGTACCAAATATTGAGCTTAAGAAAATGCGTAGAATTATTTGGAGATCATATGAAAGATCACAATCTCGTTTGGTTGCTACTTCAAATTGTAATGACAAAACGGACAAGATTTGATGGCGATCCATTGCTTATTCGTGAATTTATCAAGCTCGTTAGCGAATTGAGGTACAAAAACTTTGCAGCATGGCATCCATTTGAAGAGAACTTGCTTCAATCTCATACTCATATGATTCAGTTGCGATTACGGGAGGCCCTAGTCGAACAAGATATTCAAATAGAACAATCATCCATGAGCTTTGTCAAAGAGATGGACACCTGGTTCAAGGAGACTGTAATTAACTATCACAATCCAGATGAAAATACTTTGAAAAATATTTTCTTACTATCTAATTATTTAATTAGACAGCTGGGACAAAGCATGTTCGATTTTCTATCATCAAATTCTGAAGATGAACCTTTACGGACGATTCCTCATGATGCAGTTGATGTACATTATGAGTTCGTTGGAAAAAGAAAGCCCGTGAGCGTAAACCTTATTCTTGTCATTTCTGTTATGGCAAGACGCAAGTTACTTGGGTTTATATTGGAATTCTTACGCTCCAAGCAGCTCAAGAATGTAAATAGCAATGAACATTTCCCTCCTGGAATAATTGAAACCCTTGCTAGAGCAATGTATTGCACTCCATCCAACTTGAACGAATTGTTGGGAGAGCTAAAGATTAACTATTTTATAGTTGCAGAGTTGTTAAACTTTAGACTAGTGAGATTGCTGAAATATAGCTCTCCAGATAACTTTTTGACTCTATTTATGACTCTGTATTCTCAAATAGGCTCCAGTAAGGATAGTGGATCTCATCGATTATTTTTAATTCTAGAAAATTTGGGTGTGAAAATGATGTCCTATCTCCTTAGCGACTTTAAGCGCATGGAAAAGTTTATAGACAAGCAATTGAGCGATAGCACTAGCATTTCAGAGACCTTAAAGAGAAATTTGTTATTCTCATTCATTCGAAACTTTAAGCTTTCATGGAAACAAGACAAACATGAAAAAAGTGCTCGTCTCTCTTGTTTCAACAAAATTGCATCTCACTGCATGAAAACAATCGAAGATTTTGGAAAGCTCAACAGCAAGCAAAGACTTTATTCTGATCTTGTAAAGAAGATGATAGATCTTTTTCTTTCCAAAAAGAGCGAACCAACAGAAAGCCCTTCATACGACAAGGAAGCAATTTCAAAAATTGAAAAACAATTGGATGCCAAAAATCTTCAAGAAACGGTTCAAGAAAACAATAGAAATCTATTATGTGCAATTTGGTCTCGGTTATATAAATCAGAGCCAAAACAACCCACCAATGATGAGGTAAAGGTTTGGAAGAAAGTATTACTAGAGACTCATACACCAAAAGAGTTGGTCAACAACATTTATCGATTTGTTGATTACATTTTGGATGAATATTTGGTAGAGGGTAGCAACACTGGAGATGATACTATCTATCTTGTTATGCAACGTGTTTCTGCACATTTATCCAAGTTTATTTGGACCTATGAGTTTGTTCCAATAGAACCAGTTGCATTAGCATTAATGGATAGATCAAAAACTACCTCTTTGACTTCTTTAGAGACTCCAAATAGTAAGGTCGAACACCAATTTGCACATTCAGTCTTGCTTTCAATATTGAATACCGATGAAAAAGGTCTATTGAGGCGTGTTACGGGCTTTTTATGTCACAACAAACATCCAAACCATTTTGAAGATCCAGACTATTTTGATTCTCATCAGAAATATCATGCAGAGTTTCCTGAAACCTTTGGTACATCCTCTGTTCATGAGTCAGCATCTAGGCCCTGCTATTATGGAAATGTATGTATTCGCATGATTCCTATTCTCGACTTGCTTTGCAGAAGATTATGTGAGCTCAATTCGTTCGATATTCTTCATGGTCTGTTGGAGACTTATGGTGACCTATTTATTTACCACGAATACCTTCTCACATTTGTAAAAGATATGTTATTGACCTTCCACGACGAGATTACCCTGGAGTGCAAGAAACTCCTCTTCAATATTGTACGTAAAAGTGAAGAGTACACCCTACGAGACATGAACGCCTCATTCTCCAAAACCGCCAAAGATTACTTTTCTCAACCTGCTGAAGTCATTGCATCACAATCAGATATCTTTGATAGAACCTATTTTTTGAAATTAATTACATGTGTTTCTGAAGTTCTTCCAACGATTCAAGAAGCCAGAGCTAATCATACATACATTACACCAAAGCACATTTTTTATGAATTTACAAATACTTTTGAATTGAGATTGAATGCTTGTGTGATTGAAATTCTTTGTCTTCCTCTCGAGCTAAAAGATATTGTCAAAAAATTAATTGAATGCTTGATAGAAAATATGGATCTCTTACCAAGACCACAGCTCTACAAATTATCTCACACTATTGGACTCATATTGGCATCGTTACCACCAACAATTGGAGACTTAGTGTTGGCGATTCTAGCAGAATTCTTGTCGAAGAACCCTCATTTACTTTTAATTAACGATTTGGAAAATAAGCATGAACTACAATCTATTAAGACTCCTGCAGAGTGCATGTTATGTATTCTACATAATTATTTACACACGGCAACTAATGAAGCGCTTGCAAGTTTCAAAAAGTTCTTAAAGCAACTTAGAAAGAGCGGAAAATATAAGATTGAAACACGTGAACAATTTTACTTTTTATGCCGAGTCATAGGACCATTCATCACTCCACTCGCTCAGTTGTCAGCATCGTCATCATCCAGCAGTTCATCCTCTTCGCCTGAAAAATCTGCACAGGATGTTCCCGTTCTTGAATTTTGCTTTACTGAGCTAGTGATGTTATTTTTGACGATTGAATGGGATGTCAGCCCTGAAATTAGACCCATCAAGAAACGTAAATATTCAAGTCTGCTGAGCACCTTGTTCCAACAAAACGATGGTGACGAAATTGAAGATGAGATGCTTGAACAAATTTTCTACTTTTTCCAACACGTCTTCCATCTCATGTACCCTTCTGGACAAGCTTTGAAAAATGCACTCTCGTCGAAATATAGCTTTATTTCAACTTTCACTGAGGAGATTGAGAAGTGCACCAATATTGCTTTAAAGCAAAGACTGAAAATGTTTTTCACAGCCAAAGATATCGATTGAGCCCAAAAGATGAGTTTGACATTTCCGTTTAAATGAACATGGTTGTAACAACACTGTTGTTTGAATGTTGGCGGTGATATCCAGGTAAAAGCGTAACGAACTGTTGTTTCATCGTGTTATTTGGATTTCTATAGATGACAATAGCACAAACTCTGTTTAGATTTTGTTGATTAAAGCCTGAAGATTACTCATTGTCCGTTCCATGTGTTGTTGCAACAAGACAAAATATTTCTAGAAAACAACAACGCAACTTCAGCCCTTTTAAAATGTTTTCGCGCGCAAAGTTGTACAAATTTCCCACCATTCGCTTTTTTAAAAACAAATGCAAAAGAGCAGCCTGACTCACAACGATCGTCGAAAGAGTCTTGATCCATCGACGTCGGGCAACCACAACAACCAACCAGCCTCTAAATTATCTTCATCGATGAAACAATATCAAAATGCCAACATCTCGGAAATCATGACAAAAACAAGTCTTACAAAAAATCTTCAGAACATCAAGGATGAAAACGATGATGACGAAGAAGACGTGATCTCTTCTCCCATGATGGGTGGCACTTCAACAACATCCAATTCGACCTCCATCTTTTACACGCTCCGAGAAATGCAAGCCGAAATGAAGAATTTATCCACCAAAGAACAAGAATTATTACTTTCATCACATGATGAAAATAGTGATATGAGCGTTCTTGTCGATGATCCAACTCAACAATTAGAACATCATGAGGAGGATGAGGAGGAGCATGAAGAGGATCATACACGTGAAGAACACGACGACAATGATGACGAAGATATTCAATTAACGGACGTGGAAGAACATCATTCAGCACTACAACAAGCAAAAAAAGCTCTTACTGCCATCAATTCATCAGCTCTTTCTTTCAATCCAGTTCATAAACTTTTGGAAAAACATCGTCTAGAAAATGAACGACGAAGACGACAGGGCTCGACTCCATTTGTATTGGAATCTGTGCTGCCGTGTTGTTCCGATGACGAATCCACACAAGTTGACCTTACAGATGTTTCGGATCATGGAAGAGAAGAAAATGGTAGAGAATCTCAACAAGTAGCAACAAATCGATCTCAAAAACTTTCATCATCGACAATAGAGCAATCGAAAGCGGAAATGAAAGCTAAGAATGTCACAACAGCTAGCCTCTCGAAATCTGCATCGAACGCATCTCGAAAACCTCAATCACATCCTTCTCAACCTTCTCAGTCTTCTACGACATCAGTGGCGACAAACAACAACACCCAAAGTCGATCTACCTCCCCTAAAATTCCATCTACGAAACCTAGGCCTCAATCCACTCATCAGAACCATCAACACTCTGAAGATGAGCGAATCAAGCTCGAAAAGAAAAAGAGAGATCTTGAAAAAGATGTTTTACTCAAAGATTCGGAGAGAAGAATTGCATCCCTCACTCGAAAACTTGCAGAATTTGAAGATCTGTTTCGAATACAAGAAGAAAAAGCTCGTACAGCTGAAAAAGAAAAAGATATTGAGCTCAAAGCTCTTCGTGACCTCTATGAAGAAAAGTGGCTCGAATTCAAAAATAAGGAAAAAGATTGGGATGAAAAAATCTCTACTCTCATTTCAGAGTCAAGTGAATTGAGTGTAAAAACAAAGAAGCAAAATGAACAACTTATTCAACTGCGCCAAAAGTTGCAAATCAAGACAGATGAGTCACAACAACTTCAAAAAGCATTTAAAGAAAAGGAAAATGATTGGAAGGAAAAAGAAAAAACTTATTTAAACATTCAAAAGAGATACAATGAGCTTCTTTCTCATTCTAGGGACATTAAAAAGCATTCCGAACAAGTGAATGCAGAAATGAGCGATCTTAAAAAGGCAAACGAGGAATATAGTCAAAAAATTTCTGAATTGACAAAACTACACACCTCTAAAGTGAAAGAAATGAAGGAGAAAATTGAGCAGTTGAATGAGCAGTAAGTTGAATTTTTAAATTTGTATTTCACACGCTGAAAATTTTTTCTCTCAACAGATCTTCTCAACAAAATGAAACCATCAAAATGCTCAACAAGAAACTAGAAGAAGAACGAAAAACTTATTATCAAAAAGAGGAGAAAATTATAGAGCTCGAGAAAGAGTCACAAGATGTAATGAGAAATTATCAAGAGCTCAGAGAAACACTATTAGCTGTCAACAAGGAAAAAGAAACTCTACTATTGAACGAAGAATCCAAATTTAAAGAATTATTGGAGAATGACGCTCGCTTACGCCAAGAAAACAAGGAAGCAGAAACTCGCATTGGAGAATATGAAGCCAAATTTTTGAATTTAAAAAAAACAGTTGAAGAACAGCTTGAACAATACAAATCAAAATATGAAGAGGAAAAGAAAAGATCAAAAAAGTATCAAATCATTACAGAAAAACAAAAAAAGAAATTTTCAGAAGAGTATGAAAAACTCAAAGAACAAGTCATGAAACGAGAAAAAATGTTCGACGAGAAAATACAAGAATTGAAAAAATTATTGGAAAATGAACGAAAGGAAAATGAAAGACTCGAACGTAGATGTGAACACTTGGAAAGTATTAAAAGTGTCATGACCTCGTCTCCTCCAATGACCTCGCATATGAGATTTAACAGCAATGTTGTTATGGAATCTATGAGTGCTAGTACAACCATTAAGCAACAACCAGTGACTTGTAACAACATGAATGAGAATGTGAATCCAAATAGAGAAACCATGGATAGTATTAAACCATTATTCCGTCAAGTAGAAGTAACGCAGCAACAAGTTGCAGTGACGAATCAAAAAGAAGATCGAAGCACAGATGATGGCTCGAGTTCCACGTCGAGCTCTGATTGTGAATCTTCATGTAGTACGTTAAAGAAAAAGAGAAGGCGAAGATTGAAACGAACGATGGTAGAAACTCGAAATGTGACTGCTGACGGAGGAGTGAACCATGGACATGCTACAAGGTCTTCTACTCCCGTCGTCAACAAACCCACACAAGAGAGAAAGGAAATGAATGAAGAAACTTTTAACGCCTCTTCGACGGTTGTTGTGAGGAGAAAACAACCTGAACCAGTGAAAGAGTCATCCTCATGTGATAATTCATTACTTGAGGATCAGCAATCAGCTCATGAAACAGACATTTCAGAAGCACCTTCTATTGGAAAATTGAAAGATTTTGCCAAACTTCAAGAGGAATGCAACAACGAATTCAAAGATTACACTCAGAAAATGAAAGCCCTTGTTAAAGATATTAGTATGCATGGAAAAGAGCTGGTTGAACTAAGATCTGTGGTAAAACAAATTGACAAACGACCTCAACAAGAGAGCAGAAAGGAAGTTCCAATCGCAACAAAATCCAAAACTGCAAGCAATCCAACAATGACAAAGAAAAAGAAGATTTTAAAGTCAACCTCGCCTCTCAAAAAAAGCAACAAGCCATAATCATTTGTTGAGCATCAACAGATGTGAATTAATTGTTATTATTGAATCATGGTCATAATATCGGATGAAGTTACCACTTGGCACAAGGGATGTTGTTTGAGATATTCTTTCAATTGTACTGTTTCTTGATCCTCAATTTCGTCATCCTTAACGACACTGTTGTCATTGGTAGCCAGAGAAAATGGATGGCTGACAATAATCATATCCAAATTCGAGATTGAATTTGTAATAATACCTCCATTAATTGTGATTAATCGTTTCAGTTTCTTATCATTCTTATTTTCCACACCATACAAGTAAATGTTCAAGGATTCAAGAGGATCATCCTTCGTATCCACTTTGTTGGCCACTGGCTGTGGTTGTTGTTGTGGAGGAGGAGAATTTTGCTTCACAGGAGTACGCTTGGTGGTAGGTGTCGCTACATGCTTCACAGGAGTCATGATTGATGATTTGATCGTACTGCTGCTGGCATTCCTGTCAAAATAGTAAACAAAAGTCTTGATTCCTGCTTTCAGTAAACACTTTTTAAGAATTCTTTCAGTCGAATACCAATCAAATCCTTGCAATCCAAATCCAATTCGAGGCATGTGAACTGTTGCTTTCATTGTTATTGCAGAATATGCCACTTTATGAAGAGCAACTTCAAGAGCATTGGTTAATAAAGGTCCATGTCCTTTGGATTTCTCATAATGCTGTGCAATGACATTCACGACATGGGTAGATGCGTGATTGCTCTTCTTGAGTGGAATGAGTTGTGCATCGCCGAGTGAAATTTCTCCTTGCTCAATGGCATTTTCATAAATCACTTTTGGTTTGTCTGAATATTTGGTAATGATTTGTTTTGATATTCCAGCTGTTGGATATTGGCCAAAATCAGAAATACAACTGTTGAAAATTTACACAATGATCGTTCGTAATTTAAAAAATCCACAAATAATATTACTACATACTTGATAATAAATCGAGCTCCAGAACTTTCATATTTTTCAGGTGATGTCACATCTCCTTTAACATATTGAATTTGGTTGTTATCAGCATTTAGTGTTGGAGTGGATGGTTCCTCATCTTCTTGGTTGAATTCTTGTTCCATCAAGTATAATTCAAGATCCCAATCTTCTGGAATTGTAATAGTGTGTGGATCATATGCATCATAATCACTTTCGTCATCCTCTTTTTTAACTTTTCGTTTCTTTCGTGATGTTTTAGTTGCAGATCGCGTTCTTCTAGAAATTGGAGTTGATTTTTCATCATCTTTCCCAGAAGAGTAGGAGTACAGCAAATTGTCGTCTTCACTACTCGAAGATGATGACAACACTTCTTTTTTCCTCTTCTTGGCTGCATTCTTTCCTCTATTCGTTTGTGCTGGTATTGTTTGTGACAGATCCAATCCAACTTCTTCCAAAATATTTTTCAAAACTTCAATGTCCTTTTCATTTTGCTGTGGTTCTTTGTAAGAAATCTTCGATGGTTTTTGTTGATAATCGACACCTTCATACATGTAGATGGATTCAGAATTGGATTCTGCATTTTCTTTAAACGACTCGGCTGCCTCGTCCAATGTAAGACTTAATCGTCCTGATGAATGAAGCGAACTTTTTTCATCCAGTATGTCATCGATTGAAAGTTCTAACAATGCTTGATCCGTATCATGATCATCCTCAGTAGTGGAAGACGAGTTCATGATTTTGTGAAGTCCAAATGTAAGTATTTCAAGTATTGTATCTGTCGATAACTTGTCATCAGAATTTGACTCGAAAGAGTTGGAAGCAGCAGCTGCAGTGTCTACAGTGTTGACAGAGAGAGTAATCTTTTTCATGGAACGTCGTAAAATCACCTCCTCCACGGTATTCTCGGTCACCAAGCGATACACTGAAACGGGTTTGTCTTGTCCAATTCTGTGACATCTGGATTGAGCTTGAAAATCGAGCTGAGGATTCATATCCATATCTGTAAAAATAACTGTGTCGGCGCTGACCAAGTTGAGACCAACACCTCCAGCTCTTGTTGAGAGTAGAAAGGCAAATACGTTATTATCGGAGAAATTAGCAATTGCGTTAAATCGTTCCTCTCCTCTGACACTTCCATCCAGACGTTCATAATTCCACTTTCGGTAATGGAAATAATCTTGCAAGATATCGAGCATTGATGTCATTTGTGAAAAGATCAATACACGGTGTCCTTCTTTCTTTAACTTCTTCAGCAATTTGTCAAGTATTATCATTTTGCCACTATTATTAACAATATGTTCGCCCTCCACAAATGGTTCTGGTTCTGCTCCTTCAAATAAATAAGGGTGATTGCAACACTTTCTCAAGCTCATAAGGATGTTGTTCAGACCTTTGACATTCTTTTTTCCAATCGTTTGTCTGTCTTTAAGAAGGAATGATTTGTAATACTTCTTTTGCATGCTCGTTAAACGTGTATAAATAATGTGTTCCTTCTTGGGTGGAAGGTCATCCTTCAACACTTGATTTTTAGTTCTTCTGAGCAGAAATGGTTTTAGCATGAACTGGAAGTTTTTACGAACTTGATCTGCATCAACAGACATTACCTCATCAGCATCTTCCAGACTTGGTTGTGTTGCCGAGACACTCTTTTTGAGTCGTGACTTTGACAAAAAGCATTGTTGAGGGAACCATCGTTCGAATGTGTCATAGTCGTGATCAAAGAACTGTGGTGCGGCAAAACGAAGTAAGGCCCATAACTCATGCATTGAGTTCATTAATGGTGTGCCACTCATTAGAATAGCTCTTTCCCATTTATAAACTTGTTGCAGCATTTTGTAGAGCTGAGATTTAGGGCTCTTCAGCCTATGAGCCTCATCTACGCACAATAATTTGTAGTTAAATCGTCCAAGAAAATGTTCATCGTTCAATATCATTTCATACGACGTAACCACTACGTCAAAAGGAACATTTCCGGAATTTTCAAAATCTCCCTCAACGTTGGACTGTAATTTTGAACGTTCTTCTTGGTTTCCAATATATCTCAAAATTTTGATATTGTCCCCACAGAATTTTTTAAACTCCAAGCACCAATTCTCGATAAGTGACAGCGGTGTGACAATTAAAAAAGGTTTTCTTTCAACACTCGATGATGTATCCATTAGCTCCATAACATAGGCTATAAATGCAATCACTTGCACAGTCTAAAAGTGTTGTGTTGAAAATTTATGATCATGGATAATAACACGCACATCAAAAATTGAATCAGAAAATTCGAGCTAGTACAAACCTTTCCAAGACCCATATCATCACCAAGTATTCCAGAAGTCTCATGATCGATTAGCAGAGATTTGAGCCAAGATACACCTTCCCATTGATGATTTTTCAGTTTGCACGAATTCAACATATACTTTGGAGCAGGATTATTTTGGGAGAGTTTCAAATCATTAAAACATTGATAATCAATTTTCAAGTTCGTAATTCGGGACATGAATAATGTAAAGTCCAACGTTTTGTTTTTTAATTTTAACTCTTTCAACTGGTGTTTCTTCTTCCTCTTTTTTTTGGACAATTCCTCTTCCGATGACGAATCCATCAAAGAGACATCTGATTCTCCACCATCCTCTTGATCCGATGCTGAAAATTCAGAGGAAGCTCCATCATCAGAGCCATCACTCACCCTCGGTTTCATTTGATTTTCATCATCATCGTACTCGGAGATCAAAAAGTCGTCTTTTGCCATTTTTTTGTTTGCTGAAAAACCATTCGCCCGTTACAATTTCCAGGAGTAGCAGAAAAAAAAGTGTCATCATGCCTCGGATCACTAAATTCAAGAAAATCAAATTGAATCGTTCTCGCTACAATGAATTTCAATCAGCAACCACGAAAGAAGACCCTTGTAACAACTCGAGTGGAGATGAAGCACAACTTTCTCCGACCACAAGGGCCATTCAAATCAGTCCCAAAGATGTAGATTCCATCGTGATGAATGTTATTCAAAAGCGTGAATGGAAAAGTAAATTAGAGCTTTTGGAAGATAAATGGAGAAAAGAGTGCCAACAACAAGGTATTTCTAACTCTTCGGTGGATGTTGCTTTTGAAATTCTTCGTGATATTGTACATCAAGGTTCGTTTTGTGATGATCTCGCGGGAACATCATTCATAATACGATTTTCATTGTTAATGATATAATTGTGATAATAATAATTAGGAAGAGGAGCAAAGCAATGTTGTGGTTGTTGTGGAGCTGATCCTCGTCCCATGAAAAACGAATATGGCAATGAAGACGATGAAGAAGATCCAGAATATGTCGATTCCGAAGAGGAAGAAGAGAGAAAAGAAAAAAAGAGCTCTTTGTTTGGTGCCTACAATGACTACGAAGAGGAGAGATACTCTCGTTCCACTCGTTTTTGTGAATGTCCCTGTGAACATTGTGCTATCAATCCTACAGCACAATTCTCAGGAGAAATTGAAATTGAGGATGACCTCATTCCACTGGAGTTGAAAGAAAGATTAAAGGCTCAGTTATCACGCTTGGAAAATGTGCCAGAAGAGAAGAAGGATTGGCATCCAGGAAGTAATCATCAAGTCTTGGATCTCATTCATCCATCCTTGTATTGTTATGTCGAGAATGTGAGTGTGAGCGATAAGGCCATGGAAGCGGAAAAGCCTAAAACCGATCATTATTGGTGGAGACCTCAACCTGCAGAGGAAAAACCTAAAACTAATAGATGTCAATGGCTTCCAGTGGAATTTGAGATTGAGGATGATGAGGTTTCGAGAATTGCTTCATACATTAATAATTTGGATGAAATCACTCACAAGGATTTATATCAGACCATCCAGGAAATATTCTCCAAGTTTCTGCCCATGGTGGGTTATTTCATTAATTTTGACGATCGACTGCAGGTAATTGTAAAAGCAGCAAACATTATTGTTTCTCCTGACAAACCATTCTATAGTGGAGGCACTTTTCACACGGAAGGTACGTTATTTGGCCAAAAGTCACCACAATTACGTTACAAATTGTATAGGCATGGACTATGAGCATATTGCTGCCACATGTATTTACTATTATCAATCGGAGAATGTGAAAGATAGTTATTTAGAATTTCGAGAAAGCATTTCAGAGCCGTATGGTTATGGCCAAGATGATGTGAAAGGATGTTTTGAAATGTATGGCCTCCATGATGGGGATCTTCAATTTAGAAGTTTGGGTGCTATTGAGACCAAAGAAGATAGGTGTATTGTTTTTCCAAACACGGTTCAACACCGAGTAAGACATTTCTTCCCTAAAAATCCGTCACTCCCAGCTGTTCGTAAAATTTTGGGTAAGTGTTAAGATTGTGTTGAATTTGATATAATCTCAGTTTTTTCACACACAGTATTCTTTGTTGTGGATCCAAATCATCCGATTATTTCAACACAAAATGTTGACATTCAAAGAATGGATTTTCTAATTAACAAGTATTTTCTTTTCAACAAACTACTTCCATTCCATGTAGTACATAAGGTAGGTAATTTATTCATTTCACAACTTCATTGTTGACAACCTTCTTAATTCAAAGATTCTATCGTTCTTACCTCATTTTACCAGAGCTGAGGCATTGAAATATAGAGAGGATTTAATGAACCAGCGAAAGTTTTTCGTAAATGAGCAGAATGTGGAAGTGGAACGCGAATTTTCTCTGTGTGAACATTAGATGCTTTGTACACCAAAGACACACTAAAACGGTCTTCAATTTAATTGGTCTTTTTCTTTTTTCTTTGAGGACGAACTTTGGGTTGCTCTTCATCTTCACTTGACACATATTCTTCTCCAGAGTATTCTTCTTCTTCCTCCTCTGACTCCTCTCCATCGTCAGAATTGTACGAAAGATCTTCGTCGCTTTCTTCATAGGTGGAATCCATCTCCTCATCATCATAGTAATCATCTCGCTCAATAGGTGATCTATCACCACGCTCGAATGAATCTATCTTAGGCCTGTTTTTAAAACAGAGTGTCACAAAATGTTCATCTTCCATTTCATCACCCTTGGCATCTTCGTGGACCTGCTCATCATCATCTTCTGACATTGCATTAACAACATCAAATTCACCTTCCTCCAATAATGTAATCCAACTAAATGGAAACACTGGCACCTCCCCAAAACCAGCCAACTTGGCAGGAGAATTGAAATTACTGCCTTCGCCATCGTGGTCAATGAAAATTGAATCGGTCCAATATTCATCAATTTTTCGAGCATACACATGACATGAATCCTTCAATGCTTCCGTTATTAAGGATTTTTCGTGAAGAAAAATGATCAAGTTCACAGATTTTCCAATTTGTGATTGGTTAGCACACACCTGTCGTAGAGCCTTCTCGTCCGCAAGTTCAGCCTTCTTGAAATACAATGCAATAGATTTGAGGAAATATTGCAAAACATTGACCCTGTATGTGTTTGCATATGTTTCTGAAATATTTAGTATTCCTTTCAATAAGGCACATTTCACAACATCTATTTTCTCCAAAGGAATGGATTCAGGTTCTAGTTGGTCCCACAAGTTGAATTGATTCAATAAACAAACTGAATTTTTAGAAGTGACGTGTGCCGAGTCAACGACTGTTTTCCCGTCACAATCAATTCCGTTATAGATTTGCAATTTTCCTGTTCCCCACTTAAACCAGTCAATGTATATGAGCGAAATTGCTCGATCATTTACAAGTAATTGTTTGAAAGGCCAACGATCTAATCCTTGTGAGGACTGGATAGTGACGTCAGTATCCCAAAAATTTGATTTTTCATAAAAGTCTTCAATGGTGCCATCACACAAACCAGTAAGACACTTGTAGTAAACTTTTCTATCCTCATTGACCCAGCTGAAATTCATTCCACAATTGAAGGATGATTTAGTGAAGCACTTTGGAAGGCAAATAATGTGTTGCAAATTTGCTAATTTTTGTTTTGAGTTAAATCCTGTAATTCTTGACGAAACGTTTTCTACAAATTGTTTGTAATGGGTCGCTACTTCTCTATTGAAAGGGATGGTATTAATGTATTTAAGCCCAACTGGAATAATCACATCTGTTTCTTCACTCATTTTCGAAAACATCATTTGTGTAACTACACCTCTAAACTCTAACGTTTTTTTGTATTCTTGAACTCGTTTCTTGGCAAAGGTATTGTCGTTGTACTGATTTCCTCCGTAATGATAATAATCGTGCCAGAATTTGTATCTCTTTTTTGATTGCTTTTCTTTAGGTTGTTCGTCGTGTGCAGTTTCTATCTGATGCATTGACAGTTTGGTTGAGCAATTATAAAATACCAGAGTTGTTAAGTTTGGCATGAACTCGATCAATCGCATCAGCTCGTTTGTTATGGCCATGTTACAAAAAACAATTCGGGTGGCATGTAAAAACTTTGAAAAAATGGAACACCACCAAGAATAAGGAGGGATGTTATCCTTCAGAAATCCAAAATGAAGCTCCAATTGCTTGTAATCACTATTAATCAAAATATTTGACATTCTATTCCACTCTTGACACACTCTTTGTACGATTACAAGGTCAGGTAAAACATTAAGATATTTAAAAATTTCTCGAAATATTTCTATAGGAATGCCGGCAACCCATAAATTATTTTGATTTGCTTCTGACATGACAATGGGCCCCTCTGCAATTTTCATTGAGTCAAAAAAGCTGGAACTAGCATTATTGATCGAAGAAGAATGTGTGTTTGTAACCAAATGCTTGTACAAGTCTTCGTCTCCTTCAAACCAAGCAAAATATTTACATCGTTCATGTTGAGCACTAACTCCACAACACCAAAATAATTTCCCCTTGTTTGGTCCTTCTTTCACTACTCGAAGTAATCGGCAAGGAGTGTTTGCATGCTGTTGACATGTTGGGATTTGTAAATTATTTGTGTTCGGTGTGACAATGTTACTACAACCTGCAGGCTCCTCATCATCGACTGTTGCCATGGTTGATTTTTCGTCATTTGATGAATTTAGAGAAGAAGAGGAACTTGCTGAAGGAGGGGTCGAATATTTTGGAACCAAATGTTTGTACAATTCAACATTTCCTTCAAACCAACCAAAATGATTGCACCGTTCATTTTGAAAACTCATTCCACATGCCCAAAATAATTTCCCCTTGTTTGGTCCTTCTTTTACAACTTGAAGCAATCGACATGGGATATTGCTGTGTTTTCGACATGTTGGAATTTGTAAATTTGTTGCATTCATTGTTGTGGTATTCGATTGGTGGCTTAAATTTGTGGTACTTGCACTTGACGAAGAAGATGCAATTGGCTGTTGAAGATTTTGAGAGATCAATAGCCCTTCATTCGGATAATTCAATGTTGAAACCGATCTTGCGATCACGGGTGATGTTCTCTGTTGGGGCGAGCTTTGATTCAATTTCGGGCCACGATCCTCATCAGCCCACTGAAAGAATTTACAAAAACGTTCCGAACACGAATAAAACCGTCGTCCCTTGTTAGGACCTTGTTTAAATACAGTGAGTAAGACCGAAGGACGAGGAGGAGAACATTTACAATTCGGAGGAAGAGAGGATCGGGTGGATGCTGGGGGTGGACTAGACGGCAGAGGTTGTTGCATTTTTTTTTATTGTTTTTTTTTGGATTCGTTTCTCGTTCTTCCTGCTAGTCGAACTCAACGAAATATATCCAAGCTATATTCTTCAATCGGCTTTCTTGCATTTGACTAATGCAACTTTTTCTTTTTACGTTGGGGTTGAATTCGTCGTTTGGGAGGTTGTTCTTCTTCAGGCTCCTCTTCGTTTTCGCTCATTTCTTCATTGGTGTCAGAATTTTCACTATTTTCATTGTTTTCAATATTTTCATCGTCTTGTTGTTGCTCAGAATTTGAACTAAATTTTCCAAACTTCAATAAACAGGTCCAACTGAACGGAAACGGAGAAACTGGTCCATACGATGGTAATGATCCTACCGAATCATTGGCATCGTTATCGTCTTCATCGCTGGCAATGAATGATTGATGTGTCCAATATTCATCAATTTTTTGAACATGCTCCAAACATGAATCAATCACTTCTTGCGTCATTAAATGATGTTTGTGAATGAAGACTAATAAATCAACACACATGCCAATGATTGAGTGCTTCTTGCACAAATAAGTGAGCTCATCTTTGTCACCGCTCACCATTTTTCTGGAATATTCTCGAATTTTGTCGAGTTGGTACTTGAGAATGGGCAAATGGGATGCCTGTGGTAGAGGTTGTGTTAATTTGAGGGAACCCTCAGCAATAGCAAATTTTAACAGATCGATATTGTTCGTTGGGATAATATTTGGATCAATATTTTTCCACAAACAGAAATGCTTGTAAATTTCAACTTGTTTAGAAACACTAAGATCCACACGATCCACCACTGATTTTGCATCGCAATTAATTCCGTTATAAATTTGAAATGAGCTACTTCTATGGTTCATCAAGCTAAAGAAAATGAGAGAAATTGCTCTATCTTGAACTAGTAATTGTTTAAATTTCCAATATTTTTCTGGCACGATGTCTGTTTCACTGCAAGTAGTGTTCGCTTTGTCAAAAAATGAATCGATATTTCGTTCACATTTTGCATCAATGCATTTGTAATAAACTTTTCTATCCTTATTGATCCAGCTAAAATTCATTCCACCAGCTCTTGACTCAACGCAAATGATGTGTTTTAAGGCCTCCAACTTTCTCTTTGATTTGAATCCTGGTATTCTTGAAGAAACATTTGTTACAAACAGTTTGTATTCTTCTCCAACTTGTTTGTGAAAAAGTGTTTCATCCTCAATGTCTTTCAATCCATGTGGAATGATGACATCCTTGTCTTCATCCATTTTAGAAAACATCATTTGTGTAACAGTGCTTTTAAACTTGTGAGTTTTCTTGTAAGCTTCAATTTCCTCTTTTGTTAAATTTCCTGCAAATCCTCCATGCCAATACGAATGCCAATCAAAATTTTCATAGTATTCATCTGGATAGTCCTCCACTGGGTCATGCACGCTAACGTCTACTTGATAATTGGACATGACAGTACTGCAATTGTTAAAAACTAGAGTTTTCAAATTTGGCATGAACTCGATCAATCTCATCAACTCATTAGTGATTTTCATGTTGCAAAAGATCACTCGAGAGGAGTATAAAAACATGGAAATAATGCGACACCACCAAGAATAGGGAGGAGTAGACTTGCTGTATTCTTTTAAAAAACCAAAATTCAAATCCATGTCAGTATGCATTGAAACAGCAAGAGTGAACATTCGTTTCCATTCCTTACACACACATTGCAATTTAAACTGATCAGGCAATTCAAGAGATTTGAAAATCTCTCTAAATATCTCGATTGGTAATCCAGCCACCCACAAATTATTTTGATTGGTTGCTGACATGACAATTGGCTCCACCACCTCATTGTCTTTTGTGTTGTTGAATGATGAATTCAAAGAAGAGGAACTTGCTGAAGGAGGAGTTGAATAATTTGGAACCAAATGTTTGTACAATTCAACATTTCCTTCAAACCAACCAAAATGATTGCATCTTTCATTTTGAGAACTCATTCCACATGCCCAAAATAATTTCCCCTTGTTTGGTCCTTCTTTTACAACTTGAAGCAATCGACATGGGGTATTGCTGTGTTTTCGACATGTTGGAATTTGTAAATTTGTTGTTGTTGGTACCGATGATGACGAAGAACTTTGTTTCGTTGTTACTGATCGACTCGTATTACCCATCATCGTACTATTGCTGTTACCATTAATATTGTTGTGATTATTGGCAGAATTATTCCGAGATGAATCATGATGATTGCTTGTTTCTGCCCATTGGAAGAAATTACATCCACGCCGAGCACACGTATAAAACTGCCTTCCCTTGTTGGGTCCTTCTTTCGCCACAGTTAATCTCTGGGAAGGCATCGGAGGAGAGCATTTGCAATTCGGAGGAGGAGGAGGCAAAGAGCCTTCTGACATTTTTTTTGTAACCTTTCCCAACCAACGAAAATTTCTGTAAATTGCAAGAATCGCACAAAGAGTAGATCGGACATGTTGAAGATCTGAGAACTCGCCCTTACAAAAGTAACATCAATTATCCGTTGTAAAATCTGTGGTAACCGTTCGACGATTGCCAAACTAAGCTTTTAGGATTTTCATCTCAAAAAAATGTTTTTTCTATTCGTTACTCTCGCGAGCTTGTCAATGGTTGCAATCGTGCTCTTAGCTTTGGCATCTCCGAAAGTTATTCATCGGATACTTAATGAAATATTTGGGAGAACGATTTGGGCGAGTGCTGTTTTTCGTCCCGAAGCTCCATCATTGGAAAAGTATGATTTGGAATTTTTCCCGAAACTTGAATCCGATTCATCATCCCAGAGCCATAATGATGACGATGGAAGAGAATGTAATTCAAAAATTTACAACACAAGAATTGTCAAAGTCACTCCCTGTAAAAAGAATTCTACGGAATCAGTGACATTATTGACATGCCCTGATTTATATTCTCGTTTGAGAACCAATGCTGTGTGTTATACTTTACTTTATCCTGTTCACATAGAAGAACAAGTTTTATTGAAATCTTTGAGTCAAGTGCTTTCAGAAATTCCACTTGTTGGTGCCAAGTATTTGGAATTGGATTCTCAAAACAAAAATCATTTGAAATTATTGAGTGAAACAGAACAAGAGTTAGTGAAAGGGAGAAAAAAGAAGATTCTCGTGTTGGACCATTCCAATGCATTTGTGAATGTGTTGATACGAGGACAAACAGATGAAATTTCGAAACGAGTAGATGACAAATTGATGATGAAACAAGTCGAAAATTTGGATGACTTCACTGACCATGAAAGGGAAGAATTGTTTGGAGCTTTAGTTTTTGAAACAGAAACATGTTCTCCCTATTCAAAAAAGGAAATTTCAAGAATTCAGGTTACGTATTTGAAAAGTGGGAAAATGGTCTTGTCACTGACGTTAAATCATTCTGTGGGAGGTGCAGACACGGGATATTATTTTTTGAGGTCTTGGTGTGAAATGGCTAAATTTGGAAAATTAAGTGAAATTCCAATATTGGATCGAACTGATATGATCTATCCCAGACATTTATTAAGGTATGATTTTTTATTTAACTTATTTCATTCGGAGTTTTTTTGATTATTCTGAATTGAAACGCACACCCTGTGATGATGAAACTTGAATGGATTCATAGTAGACCATCTGAAAATGAAACAAAAGTCAACATGGAGGAGGAATATTTATTTTACAAATACTTACTCAGCACCATTCATTGTTTATTTTTATACAAATCCAAAGAAAGAACTTTAAATTTCTCAGTTTCAAAACTCGACCGTATGAAAGAGCAAGTTCGAAATTCCCTGTGTGAAAAACAACAAGACACTTCAAATCTCGTCATTTCTACCAATGACATCATATGTGGAATTTTATTCAAATTGATGGCACTTTCAGATCCCTCTCTCTCCAATGAGACCATTCTCTCATTTCGTTTTGTTGCCAATTTTGCACCCAAATATCCACCTTACAACAAGAAAGGATTTCACTTTGTTGGAAATTCTCTCATGGCCATTTGGATTCACAAAACAAAACAAGAATTATTGGACATGACCCTTAACGAATGCATTTGCATGATTCGACAACACGTACTTGTTCAATACACCGAAGAAAATGCTCGTCAATTTATTAAGGAATCAAGCCGAGCTTATTTTGATGAAGGAAAATCAGACTTCTACAAACCAATTATTCAGAATGTAAGAACGACGTTTTCGCTCACAAATTGGTGTAAATATTCCTTTGTGCGGGATTGTGATTTTGGGAAAGGAGCACCTCAGAGATTTTTGCAGTTGGAGAAAATGGATGCTTTGCATCATGGTTTTCTTGTGGAGAGTACTCCTGAAACTCTTCAACTGAAATGTGGATTGACGGATCGAGAGTATGAAAATTTGAGAGAGATGTGTAAGGATTTGATAGTCGTGTGAAATGACATTTTAGCATTTCTGGATTAAAATGGTAATGATAAAATCGAATCATTGTTCCATATTATGGTCGACATTTGTGCTACAAGTTGATGATAAAATTATACATGTTCAATCACATTTACAGCTGCTGCATTTCCTAACTCTAAATCTCTTCCATGCTGCTTTGTATTGATCTCATACGGATCTGAATAGTGTGACGGTGCTGTCTCCAGTGAACAACACAAACATTTCCAAGAATTATCTTTGCCAGCAAACGCGTAACAATACAAGGTGCACGAAAAGAAACATAAAAATATCAAAAAACCCAACACCATTGCTGCCACGACACCATATCCTACCTGAATGGGAATTGTAATAAATATTGGAACAATAGGAGGTCGTTTAAAAATCAATGGGAAAAATAAGCAAATGAATGAAAAGAGAATCAGAATGAGAACAATGATGAGAGTGCAAAAACCTCCAAAAATGCAACACACAGAATACCACATGGTATCTGTCGTGGAGGCAATGGGAGGAGATTCTTTCTGTGGTGCGTCGCCATGAGCAAGTTCATGAGGATTTGAAGCTTCTTGAAGTTGTGGTTGTTCCGTTTGTGAAATCATGAACGTTTCACCGAGGTAGGCCTGTATTTGTTGTCGATAAAATCGAGAGAGTAGTTTTTTGTGACGATTCCTTCGAACGCGTTCCAATCGTTTCTTTCTCTCTTCGAGTGTATTTCCATCTTGTTTCACATGAATGTAATCAAAATCAATTTCAAAATCTGGAAAAAATCGAGTTCCAATATTATAAAACACTTCTTCCACAATTTCATGATAATGAGCAATCGCTGCTTTTTGTTTCTTGTTTTTTGGTCTATTTTTCATGTTATAAAACACACAAACTCCGACACAACTAATAATCGAAACGACAAAAACTCCACTAATGGCTGCAGAAAATATAGCTTCTGCCATGGATCCTCGAAATACTATAAAATAAATCAATGCCAATGCCAACGTTCCCAAAGCAGAAGCAGTTGCTGAAATAATTAAAATAAATAAATAAATATTCACAGATTCAAACGTTGTGCATTTGAACATTTCATCCTCTGTGATTTTTCGAATGACATCTCCCAATAATCTTAATTCTTTTCGTTGCATTTCGTTGAGATTTAATGCATGAAGAGAGACGAGAATTTGTTGTTGCTGTTCGATCGTGAGTCGAGGACGAGTTGCTTCATAACTGTGTGAAATGGAATGTGTGGAACTTGATGAATTCACTTGAGTTGCTATATTCTTATTTTGATGTTTTTTCTTGGAAATGTGAGGATCGCTTTGTAGCATTTCCAATTCATCGGGTGTGAAATGTAAATCAGCATCAGCGAGATCCATATCTTTTTCAGTAGGATCATCATCGTGTTGATCTTGAAGTGTCTTTTTCAGTCTCTTGTGTTTTCGATGATCTTTCTTTTCAGCTTTGACATTTGACAGTGCTGCTTGGATCGGCGTCTCGTGATTCGTTGGTGTCGCGGTCGTGCCGACAAGACCTCCAAAATCCACAATCGTAGAACAAGTCAATCGAAGTGGTTCTTGCTGTGTTTCAACAAGATTATTGAGATGATCCGCTTCGCGAAACACTCGTGGTGACTCATTGAGAACGTTTTCACCACTTTTCGAATGTTTAAAATTTTCATCCTTTGCATTCGAATGATGAATATTATTATTGTTGTTGTTGTTATTATTGAAAATTCCATCATGATTGGACACTTGTTGTTGAAATAATTGACTCGGAATGATGGTAGCAATGTCGTGATGAATGATGGATGCTTCTTGGTTGTTGACGACAGGAGTAATAAGAAGAGGATTCTTGTTGGTTGTTGTTGTGGTTTCATGATGAATGTGGTTTGACACATTCTCCTGTTGTGGTTGTTGTGGAGATTCTTTTGGAGACCCTGTCCGCGTGTGATGATGGTTGTGGTCTTGTTGTTGTTGTTGTTGTGTTTCATCCACAACAACAGTTGACATTTTTATTTGTTGCTGTGTTTTTTGATTTTCAAAAATCAATCCTGTGTTGTGTCCTTTCGACTACACTAGGAGTTCGTGAGATTCAACTCGTAAACATGGTTGAAAAAACAATGAACATTTGACAGTTCTGTTCTCATAAAACCGAGTTCAGTATGGTTAGTGGAAAAACACAGTAGTATATAGTGCCAATTGGCGAACAATCAAATACCTTCTCGCACTGTCGCTACATGACCAAACACTTCTCCTTGTTCGAACTTGTGTTAAAATGAAGAGAATCTCCAAAATTGAAAACATATCGAATAAAATTGTTCCAATCGATGGTGTTGGCAACTCGTGAAAATTTGTGACAAGCATGGTATTGTTGAGCGATGAGACGTTCCAAGACCTTGTTGGAAATGTTGGTTCCTTCCATACTGCTAATTTCAACATAGATAGGAGGCACAATACTCGATGAAAAATTTCTTCGAATAATCCTGTCAACTCTTTCCTTAATTAAAATATGTTCAGCGGTATCTGTAAGAGCATCCATCTTGTTGCCACAAATGATGATTGGTATTTGTGAAATTTCAATGTAGTTTTTCTTTCGTAGAATATGTTGAATCACTTGTTGGACATATTCCAACGACTCATCTACTTGAGTCAGATCAAAAAGTAAAATAAATAAATCAAAATGTCGAATATTGTAGTCGATTAACGATTCTGATATTTCTTGTCCTACGGTGTCGTACATATCGATAGTGTATCGTTCCGTGTCAACACAAATAAATTCATCTTCTGGATTTTTGGGTTCAAAAAATTCATCGCAATTTCGATTGGAAAATTTCATCATGAACATGGATTTTCCAACATTCTTGGAGCCCATGATTGCAACATGGATGGCTCTGGATTGGTTTTCTGTTGAAAAGTTGTCATTATGTAAATATTCTTCGTCTTCAATTTGTTGTTCACTTTTTCGAAATGTTTCATACATGATCTCATAGTTAAATGTACTGTTAGAGCTATAAGTACGTCTGTGGGAGACTCTTGACGGTGTCGATGATTGTTGAGTTGTAGCTTTCTTGTTGGGTGTTTGTATAGTTACATTATCTGTTGTTGGAAGTCCCAGGTAATTCGATGTCGAGGACGTGCTCGATCTTTCTTGAGAGTTCGATGAATCTATTGAATTTCTAGAAACTTCAGGCGTCTTGTTAGAATTCTCTTGAGGAATATTAATATTTACAGATAAAGGGGTTCTGGGAGAAATCATAGTATTTACATTTCCAGAGTCAGCAATATTGCTGAACGATTGAGAACGAGAGTGACGCAATTTGGCAGGTTGCTTGTTGACTTTTTTCGAAACTTCAACCGTTCTATATACAAACCAAGCATGATTAATTTTCGAAAATAGGGCCTTATAATCTGTGACATTATTGGCCTCTTTGACTGCTGATCGATGAAAATAATCTTGCTCCAACAATAAATGATATTGAATTGGTGCCATGACATCTCCCTTTCTCAGCTCTAAAATAAATTTTCGAATATCTGTCAACACAATTTTATGTGTATCCTCATTGGTCATCCACAAGTATTTGACAAATAATAAATCTGCATAGAAAATTGGAGCAAAATGTCTTCGTAGTACAAAGTAAAAATCTCGAGAAACGAGTTCATAATTATGAATATCATGCATGACGGTTAAACAATCGACAAGCGCCAAAATACGTTTTCCATAAAGTTTTGATGGTCTCCGAGATCGTCGCATCATGGTGTTGGTTGGAGAAAGGAATTGTTGTTGATGATGATGATTGACGACGGTCGTGTTTGTACCATTCATCAATGTTGGGGATGGTGAATGCTGTTGTGGTGAGATGGGTGAGTAATAATCGGAAGTATAATAATAATGATTAGCTGTAGGATCATCAATTCGTTCTGTAATGATCGGAATTAAAAATACTAAAATTCGTTTCGTAATATCCCGAGACCATGGACAAGAAGAGGCTTTACGAGCGGTTTGATTGGATGATGATAGTGAGGTAGAAGGAGAGATCCCTTTTTTAGGAGTAGCAGGTGGAGGCATTTCAATAATATTGGCTGAAAGTGAGGTTGATCTCGGAGAGCTAATAATGATATCACAACTGGAAGCGGCTCTTCCTGAGAAAGAGGCGGCAGAAGGTCTTGAATGAGAGTGTTCATCCAGAGACATTTTTTTGTGATTGGTTTGATAAGTAACCACATGTTGACAAGAGGTCATACACTGGAATGGACTTTGTGATTTCACTGATAAATGTCAATGCTATATTTGAATGGTTAATAGAGCAGTGTCATTTGACAAATATTGAGAATTAAGGTTTGTCCTTGTTGTTGAATTTGTCTTTGAAAATGGATCGAATGGATTCCTCGGTTTCTCGTCTAGTTTTACTCAAAGCTGCCTTGATCGGTTCAAAAAAGTCCTTATCTAAAAAGTTTTTTTCTGTTTGGACAGGAGGGGGACTATTCGATTTATGGCCATGATTTTCGCCAGGCTTGACGCCTGTAAACTTTTCAATCTGTTCTGTGTGCACAAAAGTCATAGTTGAGGCCTGTTCTTCATTGGTAATCTCTTTCGTTTCATTGGTAGAGTTGAAAATTACCTCATCATATCGCTTTCGAGGTTGTTTTCCTTCTAAAACATCATTGATTAATAATTTCATTGCAAAATCTGGCTGTTTTCCTTGTTTTTTCATTTCCCACAATATACTATTCACTCTTTCCGTTCGGTCATGAAGTCCAGCACATTCTTCAACTTGCGTTCTGAATTTATCAATAGATGGATCGAGTGTTACCATCTTTTCTACCAGTTTTCTGGCATCATCTTCCGAAAGTGTAACCTTTGTTTCATTAACCACTTTAGAATTTTCTGTTCCAGAAAACAAATTTGTTAATGGCTTTCTTCCATGAACTCCTTTTTGTTTCATAATTTCAAAAACATCATCATCGGATGTCTTACGAATATTATACACATATCCGATGGTGGTATGAAATTCTCTTTGATGACGATTCATATTTACAATCATCATTGCGTTTCTCTTTTCCAAAAATTCCCATTTGCGGTCGTAAAATTTCGAAAAACTCCTTCCCATCATATTATTTGTACACATCATCATTGCTGCACCATTTCCGTGCTGGAAATAATAATCATGACGGAATGAGGAAAAACTTTTCAAGTACGCACGTTGCATCATTTTTTAACTATTGAATTTCCAAAAATTGCCTCTTCGATTAAAAGATCCCATTCAAAAAAAATGAACTCTCCGTCGGGTGCTGTCCATCCAACAACCAATACCAACAACTTGAAAAGCCTCACCACCTCAACCGCTCATCATCATACGAAAGGTCAGCACTCCGGAGTTGCTGTGAGAACTCCTAGTTTTTCTGCCGTTGATAAAGAGGATGCTACAGAACGAGATGCCATGAGCGAGGAATTTAGTGAGGTCTTTCCGACACAACAATCAGCAATTGTTTTTGGAGAATATGGAGCTAATGATGGTCAGATGGATTTAGAGATGAATCATGTGAGGAGAGGAAGTTCAGCATTTCAGGACGATCAGCCTTTTGATGATATTCGATATCATCATGATAAGGGTTCTCGGGATGATCAAATTTTGAATGGATGGAAGAAAATAATTTTGGATCGAAGATTTAGGTGAGTGAAATGATGAAATTATGATTGTGAGTGAGATGTTAATATTTGGATTTTGGATTGCAATATTTCAATTTTCGTTATCCAAATTCATTGTTTTGCTCAAAATTTATGACAACTGAAATCCCGAGTAGCATTGGAGTCGTCTCATTTCTTCTCATTGCTGTGACAGTTTTATTTGGCATAATTTTGATTTTACTTTTAACACTGTACAATATAGATAAAGGAGCACCTATCAATAGTGATGGCTCTGTGTGGACACCACCTGTCACAGAATCCGGAGCAGTACAATTAGTTAAGGCAACAAATGGTGCTGCAGCTGCAGACAATGAAATTTGTTCCAATATTGGTGTGAAAATTTTGCGAGACTTAAACGGAAATGCTGTTGATGCTGCTGTTGCTACCACGTTTTGTATTGGAATAATGAATCCGTTTAGTGCTGGTATTGGTATGTTTTGTATACTAGTTTGTTTATCATTTTTCAATTAACAAATCGACCTTTCTGAACAACTATTTACAACCATCTCACTGGTTGTTGGTTTCACTTTCATTATGGATGTCATATAGGTGGAGGAGGTATAATGGGCATTTCCATTCCTTCTAGCTCACCAAATACTAAAGACACTGTTGAATATATTGATTTTAGAGAGAAGGCCCCACTCGCTGCAACATGGGACATGTATTCATCATTAAGTAATTCTCCTGCTCCACCTTCACAACGAGGAGGTAAAAGTATTGCCGTATTGAGTGAAATTAAGGGTCTCTACACTGCTTGGAAAAGATATGGCTCACTACCTTGGAATGTATTAATTCAGCCCTCCATAGACCTTGCAAGGAATGGTGTGAAAGCCAACAGTGTCATTGCCTCTCATCTTAACAAGTATAAAAAGTGGGTACTCGAGGAAACTTTTGGGAGTGGAATGAAACAACTTTATGCTGTGAATGGAGAGGTGAAAAAAGAAGGAGATTTATTGCAATACTTCAAACTAGCAGATACTTTGGAGATTGTAGCAAAGGAAGGAGCAGATGCTATTTACAGTATGAATGGATCATTAATTCAACATGTTGTGGAAGATATCAGAAAAGCTGGAGGAATCATTAGTGAGGAGGATTTAATTAATTATGACGTGAAAATTTACTCAACTAGAAATCAATCCAAAGATGGAACGGAAGAAGATATTTCCACTCCACTGTCAACCTATTTTATGGGATATCAAGTGTATGGGTAAGTTTCTCGATAACAATATCTCGTTCAAACTAACTGAATATTACTTGCAATTTATATTCCAAAATGTAATGAACAATGTTATTAATTTTAATATCTTTTAAAATGATGGAATATTACCAAAATCATGGCATCATATTTTCCACACAGACCACGCCCAGAAATTTCAGGAGGTTCATGCGTTATTTTCTTGCTTAACATGTTAGAAAATTATGTCAGAGAATTAATGGAACCTCTTCTCAATCATGCTGGTCAACTCTATCAAGCAAATCAACAGTTTCACATGTCTCAACAAAAATATGCTCTATTTATCGAAGCTTTGAAATTTACATTTGCTCATCGTGCAGATTTAGCTGATCCTGAATTTGTCAAGGAATCCAACAAAGTCATGGAAGACATGATTAGCAAAGATTATAGCGCGCAGATACGAACAGCCATTGATCGTGCATTAGTGAACAACAAGACATTCTCAGATCCTCTTCATTACAAGCACGATAAAATGAATTTACATTATGTGAGAGATGATCATGGAACGTCGCATTTGAATGTATTGGATAAGAATGGAATGGCTGTGAGCTTAACAACTACGGTGAATTTAATTTTCGGAAGTTTTGTAGTCGGTGACAAGACTGGAATTATTTTCAATGATCAAATGGATGATTTTTCACTGCCCAATACTACTAACTATTTTGGATTAGCACCATCTCCAAGTAACTATATTGATCCAGGCAAAAGACCGCTTTCTTCCATGTCACCAACGATTATTCACAAAAACAACAAATTTTACATGGCTGTAGGTGCAAGTGGAGGCTCTAGAATTATCAGCTCTGTTTTTCAAACCATTTGGAATCATATTGTTGGTGGCTTGAACATTGCACAATCTATTCAATTTCCAAGAATTCATCATCAATGGAGTCCAGTCACTCTGGCTGTTGAGCAAGGTATTCCAGAAGAATTAATAGCCTTTTTCAAGAGCTTTTTGGGTTACAATGGAAATGGAAATGAATCCACATATATTAATCGTGTGAAGGGAAATGCCGAGTTTAGTGTTGGAATTGTTCAAGGAATTGTAAAGAAGGGAGACAATAATATTGAAGCTGCCTCTGACATTAGAAAAAAGAGCAAAGCCGCTGGGTATTAAGGTGGGTTTTATTTTTTCGGGTATGATGAAGGTTGTCATGAAATTTGACAGGACGGTGAAATACTGAGCTGTAAGAAATCACACATTTTGAAAACGTCATGATACCTTTAGTTCATGTTATTATAAGTATATGCATAAATATCGTTCATGTTGTCATAGTCATAATCCAATTGTGATTCGAGGAAGCGCTGGCTGTCATTCCTCTCAATATATTCCGCAAATGTGTCAGCAAACGGCTTAATATTTCCTTCAGGATTGTGTTGCTTTCGAGAATTGTGGTCTTCAATAATTGCGAAATAAATTCGATCAAAGCAATTCTTGAACTCTTCACTCTCAATTTTTTCTTTAACGATTTCAGCAATTTTCACAGGATCATTTCTAAATGCACCACATCCTTTGGTATGTCGAGGTCATCACGAAAAGGAGGTGACATATAATGGCATACATATTCCAAATATGCCCCACGAAAAGGTATGATTGTGAGCTCACAAAATAGGAAAAATTAATTAGCAATAAACCTACCAAATGCTGAGAGGACCAAATTCCTGACTCCATGATGAACAGCAATTTTCAAAATCGCCTCAATGGTACCAGTATTTCTTGGATCAACCCCGTGCACAGTGGAGCGATTTAATGGAACAGCGGCAGCCGTTATAATATCCACTAATCTTGGAGTTTTCAACAATGGATAACCTTTTGCTTCACATCCTCTAAATATTGTTACATTTGGCGAATAAACTCCACTTTCATAGCCAATGGGATAATTCCAAGATCTAGTCTTGTCAATGTTATCCACATGATTATCCAAGCACATGTACAAGTTAGATCTACGATGTAAATTTTCTTCTTGAGCTCCACAACCTATTGATGATTCCATTTCATGAATCATGGATTGGTATTCACTCCTATAATCTAAAGGTGACAATTACAAAATACCTACCTCCTTTGTATCCACCTCCTGGAGTGTTAGGATTTGCCATATTCAACACAGCAACTCGCTCTTGTGGATATTTTCCTTCCTTGATGAGCTCATCTTGAATATAAAATGCAACATCGAGACAATCCCCATTGAACACCATGACTTTTGTCAAAGATTCAGAACCATTGTTGTTGTTGTTATGTACAGTGAGTGTTTCATTCTGATAAAATTTACTCATGATGGAAGCTCTCTCAAGAAGATCTTTTCTTAATGGAATGATTTCATACTCTCGTTCTTCACTATTCTGCATCTCTTCATTGACCACTTCACTCTTCACTGTATTTCCGACATGACATGGCATATAGGCATAACATTGTTTTCTACATATTGAAATGGTATGATTTTGAATCAATACTCTCAATCGTTTCAACCGATCAAATTGCTTGTTATTGACCATCCCAGTAAAAATTCGAACAAATTGATTCGGATCATAAATAAAAGAATCAAACTCCACCCGTTTGGTATTAAACAATGGATCATCAAAGAAGGTATCGGGACAAGCTGGGAGTTTGATCTTGTTGTTGTAGTTTGATGAATAAGAGGAAGAAGTAGAGGATGAGCTTGAATTGAGCATTTTTTTTTTAATCATCAGTTCCAGTTTCATTTATGAAATTGAGGTTGACCGCAAAGTTCAAACCTGTACAGCTCGTTTTTGTAAAAATGCATGAAACCTGCGACGGGATTCGAACTCGTGAAGAACCAACATTGCTTGCTGTTAGATCGCGTGACTGCAATCATTCAACACAGGTTCCATGCAACAATTTTTCGTTAAAATAATGATCATTTTCAAAAACTCGTCACATTCAAATTGTTATTACTGATTTTTCTGTCTTCATCGGCTTTGATCACAATTTCTAAACGGCAGAACAAACGGTGAATCCCTACCAAACTCAAATTCTGGCAGTGTCACTCAACCTCGTTTTGGTAGCTCCTAAAAACAATTGCAAAAAAATGAAAAGAGGCCTAGCAGCTTTGGAGGCATCCGATAAGAAATTGAAACTCAGCAGAGATGATGATGACCAAGCATTGGAAAAGGATCCACGACAACAACAAACAGAGGAAGAAGAAGTGGAGGTTCATGATGATGAAGAACTCTACATGTCTTATGAAGATTATTGGAACGTTGTTGCTGAGATAGGCTGTGATGATCATAACCATGATGAAGAGGATTTTTCGGATGTGATTGTGAGAACTTCATTTCATGATTATCATTTGCATAAAATTATATTGAATCGATGTAATTATTTCAAAATGTGTATGAAACGAGACTCGGGATTCAGTGATTCAAATCAATTTGAAAATGGAAAGTTATTGATGGATCTGAAAGCGATGGAAGAAACATTTGAGAATAATGGATCTAAAATTGAGAAGGACATGTTCGACAAGATTGTAAATTTTATTTATTGCAATCATGTGGAAGTGCAAGATGCAGATGCCAATGATTTATATTGTTTGATTCAGATTGGAAATTTTCTTGACATGAAACAATTACAGGATTACATTATTCAAAAAACGTGGCCACATTTCAGAATATATTTGAAAGAAAGGTTGGGATTGGAACTACCATTAGAAGAATTATTGTTCTACTCTTTAAATGTTGTGGAAGATGGCAACGAGTACTTGATGGAAATTCCAGAAATTCCAATAGAGTTTTTGAATTTCATGTTTTCACAACCAAAAATTCCAATTACATGCAAACTTGAGCTTCTATACAAACACTTCTATCAAAGCACTGGAAAAGATTTGAAAGAAATTGACAAGTCTGAAATTTTCACACACCCATTCGTACAGCCATACTCCAAACTCATGCATCAATTGAAAGAAATGCTTCAACAACCTGGCATGACTCTTTCTTTCATCCGTGAATCAGGTGCCCAATATTTCGCACAAATGTTGTGCCCAGAATTGCCATCCTCGTCGTCCACTAAAATAGATATTCAAATTACACCAGCAGCTTATTTAGAATTTAATTTGGAGCCGAGTGATGATATCATCGAGGAACATTTTTTGTTTGGAACATTGTTGGATTTACGTATTGCATGTGGTGAGAGAAGTGTTTGCTATTGGTGGACTTTTCAATTATCCAACCTTGATTTTCCTTATCCAATACAAGTGAGCTTTTATATAATGTATAGAAATGCGTGTGGAGGACTTGAGCATACAAAAGTGATTTCTCAAGGTTTGCCACCACTTGAAAAAGGAGAGTCACAAGAGATTGGAGTTGTCTATGGAGAACAACTGTATATTGGTCGTGTTGCTATGAAAGGAGTTCTCATAGTCGAAAAAGCTTAGATGTGAATTGTTGATATTTTGAAATATATTATCAAGTATGACTATTACATTCGAATCTGTGATTAGAAAACGTATTGAATGTTGTCTAAATAGATGGTAGAATTGAATTAGGAATTGTTTTTCGATCGTTGCCTCACTTTCAGTTTCGCAAGAATTCCAAGATTACCATAAAAAGAATAAACCATTCCAAAATGACAAAAATTTCAAGAAACTGTCTTGGAACTGCTGTTCATTTCGCTACTCAATTCATGTTGTTTTACCAGCTTGTGAAATAATTTCCGTCTTTGTTATGGAAAGAAACAATGAAACTCAGTTTGGCCTATGGTGCTGTTGCTGCTCCTTTCTTTTTCATTATTTGGACGTTGTTGTTTGTGTCCATCATACTATATGTTCTCAAGAGAAAAGGAATGAAGAAGAATCAACACATCTTGTTTGTGTTGGCCATTATGTTGACAAGTGTAGTGGCTACAAATTAACTTACCTGAAATTACTGAATTTGGTAGTTTTGAAGTAATAGGAATGAATGCATCCTTTTACGCTGTTTTACGCCATTCTTCTCGCTGCACAAAGAGAAATAATTAACTACTTGGTCTGGCATCATCTCTTAATGATGGCTTTTCTTTGTCATATAAGTACTTTCAAAACTGCCATAATTAGAATTCTCAACTAATCTCAATAACAGTTTTGACTCTATTTAATAGTTTGGTCACTTGTAAAGAGACAGGTGCCATTACTTAGACCCAATATACACATCCAAACTTTGGTCATTTACATTTCTGGTTGGCTCATGATGTCAGGATTCACTCTTTGTTTCTCTTTTAATCTCTGGTTACAAATTGAACAAATAATTGCAAAAAAGCATCAGAACATTGAAATTCAAAATGAAAAACAACAACCAGTAGAAGCTCAACTCCTCAATTCTCCTCCAGAAGAGGACACTTCGAAGCAAGCTGGTCTTGTTGTTGTTGGATGTGTGAAAAATCGAGAACATACCATCTGTTTATGAAGTCAAATAATTCAAAATTTTGACCAATCCTCTTGTGCATCATTATCATGATGTTTGTTTGAAACTAGATTATTGAAAACCAACTGCTGTTGGAAGTTTCACCCAAAAGATTGCACCCAGTTCTATGCTTTCGCAAAAAAATTTAAAAAATATTTAAATTTGAAAAAGCATATTTTGGTCCTACAAACACTACTTTTCTTCACAACGCAATGCTAAAAATACAATGAACACAGCATATCCCCAAAATATTGGAAATTTATTTCTGAGGTAAAACGTTGCGATCGACGCTTACCTCTCGATCATTATCAAGTCAAGAGTGTGGATCACTTGATCAACAACCAAACTTTCAGAAGTGCTCGATATCGATCGTTTTGAATTGATAACGTGCCTGTGATCACTTTGTCAACCAAGGCAAAAGTTTTCGATCCGAGAAACTTCCACCAAAATATGACAAGTTATTTTTAGATGCCTCAAGTTTTTTGTTCGAACAATTCATACCAGAGTAGTTTCGACGATTTCATAGTTTTCGAAATGCTGATTCCATTTTTTAAAAGATGCAATGTTCATTTTGAAACCTTGTATGATTTCATCGTGAAATGACAGTATTCGCGCTCTTTTGGGAGAAACTTTCTTGTTCCAATTGTAATTAGGCCATGTAGTGTCAGACGACATCATACACTACATGGCCAACTAATTACAATAATCAAATGCAAACTCTGCAAAAATGAAATCAAATCATTATAAGTCAATTCAAGACTCCATCAGCCCTCTAACTTCTTGGCCTTGAAACAAAAGGCCAATACCAGAGAAAATTGAAGGAATTGTTTCTTCTTAATGTATAACGTGCACTGCTCAGCTCGTTAGGTGGTGAGTGCGTTCATTCTTGTTCATCTTGACATCTCTTTGTACCACCGTGTTTCCTCAGGCTCAGTGGGAAACAAAAAAATTGTTAGGAACCAGCGTGAATCGAACACGCGACCACTGGATGGCTGCTGCAAACCTCATTGCAATCCAAATCATGCACAGGCAAGGGAAACAAAGAATCACATCCCAATTCTGCATTCATGGCTACAACAATACGTCTCGGATCTTTTGATAGCCATTCAATATCTCGAGTGAGATTGATCGTGTGGCTAATTTAATCCGAAAATAAAATAAAATCAAAAAAAAATATTCTACAAGTAATGACTTCTTTGTGTATCGGAGTATAATAGCCGGCAGTTCATCTACGCGCGATGTTCCAATGGTTGTATGCTCAACGATGAATTTGAGGTCATTACGGTTTTGTTGTTTAGTAACCACAAAAATTGAAAATCAATTAATCCCATCATCTGCACTTTATTGATGAGACTCCGGTCACAGAAAACAACAACACTAAGCTTTTAAAATTAATTGTATTTAAAAATTGCTTGATTCTTCAAACAATCAGCCATACAATCAATCACACAGTCTCAGCTTTCCCTTGCTCAAAAATGGAATGATTATAAATATGTAACAATCGTTGTTGGCCATAGTATTAATAGAGTCATTTTTAAAAATACTCTTAATTTGTACCTTGAACTATTTAGGAAAGCTACATTTGTGACATAATTTAAGAATATTGAAAGACAATATTAATCTTCAATTTTAAAAAAAAACAATGACCGATGATCTATTTTCGATAGTAACATGTCGATGTTATATACTTCGAGTGACTCTTTCACCGATGAGGGAAATATTTAACGAACAACATTGTTTCAGAACTAACTTTTTATATCCAAAAGATACTAACTGTTTGTAATGCCAAAACATTGAAGCTTCAGGGGTAATGATTACAATCACTATGTATCTGCTCTTAGTTCAAATGAAGATGCTAGATTTAGTGTTGTGTTTTATTGTCATAAATTCCATATCCATCGTAAATCCTATTTATTTTATTGCCTCAAAATAAACACAAAGTTCATTGTATCACACGTCAATCTCTCATCTCCATCCAAAAACAAATACAAATGTATTACATTTCTACCAATGATAATTCAGTTTGGTCTCTGATGTGGTTGCTGCTCCTTTCTGGCTAGAGAGCAACACCGTACGGAACCATAGCTCAGCGGTTAGAGCATTGGATTGCAATGAGGGTTTGCAGCAACCATCCGGTGGTCGCGTGTTCGATTCACGCTGGTTCCTAACTTTTTCACAAACGACGCTTTGTCTTATTTTTCAACCTGCGATTTTCGAATTGTTATAAGAGATAATTAAACACATCAAACAACCCTTCAATAAATCTGATCTCCCAAAAACAATTTGGATCAGAAATTTTTAAGGAGTCCATGTGGTGAACACTGTTATGAAACATGTTTATTTCAAGACAATTTTTTGCTGCTCGATCATGGAACTGCCTGTTCTAGGATCTTTCGAAATTCTGTAATAGTGTTCTGCCAACTCACTTCTACCCAATTTTCTTACAAATTCCTCGTCGTGAGTGATGACAATTACTTGAAGTTGGAGAGTTTTCTTCTGTCTTCAATCAAGAATCGGAGTGACTCGGCTAAACTGATGGCGTTGTCAATATCTAGGGCATTTGTAGGTAATAAGAATTATGTAGCTATTGAGGTTGTATTTTCATTTTCGGTTTCATAAACGATGGAGAAGGCTGTGATGACAGTGTGATTATTTTTTCTTTGACATTTTTAATACGACAGCTAAGGACTGTTAAACGATAAGCCTTATTCTCGACAAGCCTTAATGGCCACACTATCGAAGCATGGAATACAGAATTAAATAATTAAAAAAACATCATCACATATATTCATTACTTGGAATATCTAACGTCATGGTCCGAAAGAATAACAACATCAATAACCAGAAAAGAATGAAAGAGGAAGATGAAATCAAGATACATGTCAGTGATGACGATGTTGCAGAAATTGTTTCATTTGATGATGATCAACTTCAAACTTCGAAATTTAGAAAAGTCTCTTCCTCTTCTTTGACAGCAAAAGAACTGAGGGACAAGGTACCTTTAACTCTCCAATTCCGCTCAGATCCTTCCGTTGTAGGTTGCTCATCTTCAGAAACGAAAGAGTCATCCGCCTCAGCGCTGACTTCCTTGACTTTCCAAGAGAAAACTTCCAAGAACAGCGTTGCAAAATCTGAAAGCAAGGCTCGTTCAAGAGATCCTTCAAGCAGCTCCTCCGGTCGAATGAAAACAGAAAGGTTCAAATGGAATCCAACAGAAGAGATTAGGCTTTTTAACGTTGTTGAAGGATGCAAGCTAGCCAACAATAAACCAAGTTGGACTGCCGTAGAACAGCATTTCAACAAGGAGGGAGCACCTTTCGTAGCCATGTCTGCCCTTCAAAACAAGTACTCCACCAAAGTTAAGAAGCTTAATATTACACCGGAAACTGAGAAAGGCTCATTGCTCTTGATTTCATCGTCTTCAGCAATCCAAAAGATGATAAAAGATGCAATGGTTATGGCCGATAACCAAGTAGTTGATGATATTATTCAGAATATCCCAGTAGAAGCATGCAAAATGTTAAAAGGAGAAAATATGGAGTGGTTTCCTCCTGCCACAAACTCTAACACCAGTCCAATGCTGAACAACTTGAGATGCTTAATGATTGGATTGCTCGATGGTAAATTATCCTCCTCGTTAAGCAAAAATATTAACAGGGATCTCTTAGCTAAAGGCCATTTGCTCATGAAGTTTCCCAAATTGATATATTGCAAAATTTCTCATGCACAGTCCTTTGAGAACGAGGTCAAAAAACTTGGTTATATTGAGGATTCGACTCTACTAGAGAAGATAAAGATGAGCATGTTGGAAAAAATTGAAATTAAGGAAGAAACAATTGTGTCTCGCTCTACGTCATTCTTCGTTCGGACTGGTTATGGAAATGTAGATAGCTTGGAAGTTCAATACCTGACTGAAACAGTGGACTTACTGACTGTTGAGGTGTTAAGCAACAATCAAGTCGTGTCAAGATTTGCTCCTTTTCAAGTAGAGGAAGTGATCTGCCAAAAGGAAGATGTTTTGAAAATTAATAATGGAAGTTTGGACTGCTTTGGTGCAGATAGTGAGGTGCACCGCTCATCTCGTCTATTACTGGAACATAGGGTTTTAAAGAAATGGAATGGATATGTCAACATTTTTAACCCTTCTCGCCCTTCATTAATGCAGGTTTCAGAGGAAAGAGCAAGGAAAATATGGGGAGATAGGTTTGAAACAAACATCCAAAAAGGTTCCGATTTGAGAATCTTAAAGTCGCAAAGCGTTGGCCAGTCCAGCTCCATTAAAAGAGCCACCTTGTGCTGGGAATATTGCGAGCCAGATGAACATTTTGGTAGGTTATTTGTTGAACATAATTTTAGCTCACACTATTACAGAGCAGATGTTGATGGATTATTTCTCATTCACAAACCTTTCAAAGGATAAAATTTTGGAAATTGGTGGTGTTATTCTGGGACTATGGTTAACAGACGGGAGCAAAGATTCTGCATCCATTTGTCTCTCCGGAAATGAATTAATGTTGGTCAGATGGTTGATATCTCAGTTTGAAATGTGTTCCCCTCAAAGCATGCCGTACTTTAAGCAATGGTATGCCAAAATTATTAAGGATGGCGAAGAGGAGGAAAGTAGGGCGAATATACTCCTATTTGATGATTTTAATGAAGATGAATCAAAGTTGAAACCGAACATTAGATTTTGCGAAGGAGATTTTTTTCTTAATGGGCAAGGTTTTGTAGATCCATCCTGTAATTTTGTAAATCAAGGTAAGGCAAGGCAACATATTTCAAATGGAAGACATTACGTAGGTGTATCTTCTAAGGAGTCAGATGAAGAAACAAGGAACAAGATAGACACTATTTTGAGATCTAATGGATACTATACGTCGTTTTACACAGTCCATTTCCCAGGGGCTGAATTTCTTTCATTCTTGAGGAAGGTTGGTTTGTTGAAAAACGGAGAGAAATGTGTTCCTTCCAAACTGTATTTTTCGAGATCAAGGTTGTTATTGGGTTTTGCAAAAGGAGAAATTTATGGAGATGGGTCTAAAGATGGAAATAGATTCTTGTTCACGCAGAAGAAGGTTGATCCAGTAAAGATTCTCCAGTTTGGTTGCGTGGCCAATGGAATGTCAACTGGTAAAATTTTATTAGATACGGAGGCGGTTTACCCATGTTACCATATGTACCTTTATGGGTCAGGTCTTCGTAAATGGGTTGACGATTACTTTCCCAAGAAATCAATTAAGGCAGAACAGAATATTTACACTCGATCTCATACCACAAGAGAAGGAGATAAAGAATCCAAAATGTTTAAGCTCAAAAGTGTCATGAAGGCTGATGACCATGTTGTTGGCAGATTTCTTGTCACAACACAAGGAGTGTATTATGCTATTGGCGAGAAGGATGTTTTTTTGCTTTCCAACAAAGGTGGGATGCAGGTTGTGAAACACTCGGAAGCGTTAAGCGAAGTAATACCATCATTTATTAATGAGCTAAATCATTAAACATTCATCAGTAAACAGATCCATCAATCGCTCACCATTCAAAAAACGTGTAAAACGAATAAATCCAATGCTCTGCCGCTGAGCTATGGTTCCTTATGGTAATGTTGAAATTCATCTCACTACCAAGTGTTGTTACCGGTCATTTGCTCGAGCTTCGTCTCTCATTGCTTTGCTTAGTTGGGACGATGGAATAGAATGTCAAACAGCTTACAAAACGTGTAAAACAAATAAAACGTTGCAAATCACGAAAATTCCAGTAAATCAATAGCATGTATAAATTGATGTTTCATTTGTGCATGGTGTGGAAATTGGTGTTTTTCTCATGTTGGAATTTGTTTTACTTGTTTTCGGTGAAACTTCGAAAAAAACAATTAATTGCTGAAGATGGAATGAAATATTAAGAATATTGAAAAAAAACGTTAAATCAATAAGAATCTATTGAAGGTCGTATTAAACAGCTATTTACTTCTCCAAAAACATCACTGAAAGAAATTACCTTTTTTGTCTTTAGAGGTAAATGAGTGTATTGTTAAGCCGGACAAGACGTATTTTGTGAGGGAACGAGCAACAAATTCTGATCAAGCCAATCAAAAGGCCAGAAAAGAAAAGTTATCTCTAAGGACCTTCTTGTGTCTCTTTACACGAATTTGTGATATCTATTCGATAAATTTTGATTTTTACTTGAGAGAAATAACTTTCTAATTTACCTTCTAATTAACAACGCACTCGTACCAGGAGCAGATCTGTGAACAGCAAGAGAATGGAATGCAAGGTCGCAGGTTCGACTCTCTGAGCGAAATCACGAAACTTTTGTTGGTGGCATCAAAACCATAGTTCAACAGGCGCACTATGTGAACGAGGTGGTTGAAAACAAGAAAGTCGAAGGTTCGATAACTGAATGATGTAGCATTTTTACACCAAAAACATTTGCGGTCACCACGAATATTATTAATTAGGATTTGATGATTCTATTGGAATGTGAATTAGAAACGCATTTCTTATCTCTCAAATTGTTGGCTCAGGCGTGGAAGGGGTACCTTAAGGCACGTGTTTATATGATAATAGATTCTGTTACAAAATTACTGTTATTGTAATTTTTAGAGGGAAATATCGCAAGAAAAATTACCTCAACAACAGAGCGTGTAGTCAACCATGTCCATCAACCAAACACCCTCCCATCCCACCTGATGATGTTTCCTCTCCTTGTCATTCCTTATTTTTTCTTCACACCTCATTCACGAAATTCGTGAACAACTCCTTCTTACTTCACACCAATTGTGAAGTTGTTAAGAATCATCTCTAAATCCAACCTTGACACACTTTGCCTGGAGCAAGCAGGTCCCAGTAGTGAACTTGTTAAGACAACTTGTCTGGTGGTCATAGGTATTCGACACAATGTTACCTTAATCTGGTCCGTAGGCGTTAAATCCTGTTAGAAGACATAATCTATCTATCTTTTGGATCAGTGGACTCATGTCGGATTCTCCAGGAATCAGTTGCGTAAAAGCCAACCTCTGATCCAGCACCTTAGGTCTTGATTCACTTCAGTCTACCTTGAACCACGGTAAGCTCTTGTTAAAACTTGAAACTGTTCTTTAGTTGTCTTTTACTCACCTTGCCGATAACATTTCTCATTAAGGGTTGCCTCTTCTCATGGGTTCTTGTTCTCCCATGAGCAGAGGATATTGATCGATGTTAACAATCTCGTCATCTACTCCATTTCAACCCTTTTCACCCCTATGTACCATTCTATACCTTTATAAATAAAGGGATTTACCATGCAATTCATGTCACAACCCCTGGTTATCGTTGGATCGTAGTTTGAAAGTGTGTAATAACTGTTTGGGAGAGAGATGGTCGATCATGTGATTGTGACGAGGAAGATGGTTCAGTCCTCCAATTTGAAGTAGTCACCATGGCACTTGTAATGCCAGTTCAACGTGTGGACTCACCGATAGTGATTTCGTGTTTCCTTCATGTACGAAATAATAATTTGCGTTGGCAGGTTTTGATGGATAGAAACCATCATAAAATCATCCAATGATCTTTGTTACGTTAAAACTTCCAGCTGGTTCGTCTAGTGGCTTTTTGCACCAAAGCAATGTCGCAGCCTTTCGACTTGGAGAAGAACCAGCACCAAATCAACAAACGTTTGAGCATTTATTAAATGCAGCCTCTAATCAACAATTTTTTGCTGCTCGATCATGGAACTGCCTGTTCTAGGATCTTTCGAAATTCTGTAATAGTGTTCTGCCAACTCACTTCTACCCAATTTTCTTACAAATTCCTCGTCGTGAGTGATGACAATTAATTGAAAGTTGGAGAGTTTTCTTCTGTCTTCAATCAAGAATCGGAGTGACTCGGCTAAACTGTTGGCGTTGTCAATATCTAGGGCATTTGTAGGTTCATCTAGAGCCAATATTCCACAATCAATACTAAATGCCTCAGCTAGTGCAAGACGAATAATAAGGCAAGCAAGAACTTTTTGACCAGCACTAGAACGACCTCTCATTGGCAATTCTACATCGCCTTTGACCATGACCACACGATAGTTATATGTTTTTCTGGCAGACTCTGTTTCAGTGTCACACTTAATGCTGATGGTGTCAATGTCGTTTCCTCGATATGTTTTTTGCCAAAGTTCCTTAATAATCTCATTAATCTCTGCCATCTTCATGCTGTGGTATTTTGTGAGAGCCTTTTCGAGTGCCTTCATGTACTTGTCTAAATCTTCTACAGCATGCTTTGTTGTAACAACCTTGATGAGTAAAGACTTGTACTTGTTTTCAATATCCTTATACTGATCAGAATTGAGTTGTTCTTGAATGTCCTTAACTCTTCCTTTCATTGTGCTTCTCATTCCTGATATTTGAGATTTTTCATTAGAATATTTAGTTTGCTTTTCTTTCAATTGTTTGATGTCTTCATATGAGTCCAATGATGCATCGCTACCTGTAATGTTTTCGATTTGTTTGGTCAACGTTTCACATTCGGTAATAATATTTGTCAGCTCCCTTTTCTTTTGTCTGTATTTCAAATTGTCTTCAATGTTTTGCTTAATGACATTTTGCTTCTCAAGACCTTTGTTGTACTTTTTAAGAAGCTCAGACAACCTGTCATTTTCCTTTTGATTCTCGTCAATCTGAATCACCAACTTGGTAATTTTAGATTCAACATTTTGCAAATTTTCTTCAATACCCTTCTCCTTGTATTTCTTGAGTTCTTGCACGGAAACATTAAGTTTGGAAATGTCTTGCTGATAGTCTGTGATTGAGCCCTCAAGCATGAATTCTTCCTTTCCATGCTTTTCCTTCATCTCGTTTAACATCTTATTGTATGATTGATATTTCTCTTCAAGAGTAGGTATTTCGAGGTTAATTTTTTCAATTTCTTGACCTTTTTGGTTGATTTCTGATTGCTTTTCATTAAGAGAATCCTGAAGCCGCTTCAACTCTTTCAAGTCGTATTGAGCCTTTTGCAAGCTGGTGAGTTTTTCTCGCAACTTGTCTTTCATTTTGGAAAGCTCATTCTGACAATTTGTGAGCTCCTGTTGTAACTGGGAATGTCTATGGGTAAGCTTTTCTCGTGAGCTTTGGGCATCTTCTAACTGTTGTTTCACTTGTTCATATGGTACAAGATCTTGTGGAAGACCAAGGTTTTTGAGAGCAGTCTCTTGTTCAGTGATACGCTGTTGCGTGATTTTGATGCTATTTTGCAAAACTTTCAATTCTCCGCATCCATTTAAAAGCTCTATTGCCTTCTTTTCGTCATTCTTAGCTTGGTTAATTTCTTCTGTCAGCTTTTCAATCGTTTCATTGAGGTTTGTAATTTCTTGCTTAATGTTAGAAGCTTCCATCTCGAATTGAGGAAGGTCAGAGGTTTTCAATCGTTCGATATCTGCAACAACAGGTTTGATTTCTCGAAGCTTTTCCAATACAGAGCTAGCTGATTCAAGTCTTTCTTTCGTCTTTTTCAATAGCTTAGGTGTTTGTTCCATTTTTCTTTGTAGTAGAGATTCAAAACTGGAGCACTCTTCTTCGGTATGAAATCGCCTCTCGCAAACCAAGCACTCTTTGTGACTGCTTGCATGGAGAATAAATTTTTCATAGCAAAGCTTTAATGCTTCATCAATGCTTGCTCGATTTCTTAGATCGTTCACCTCCGTTTCTGCTTGTTTCATTGCCTCATCCCAAGTCTTTCCTGCTGGGAGGACTGCAGCCACATGTTGTTGCTTGTTTTCAATATCATTCTTGATTTTTTGTGCTTGATTGTTAGCAGTGTCTAGCTTTGATTTTTGAACAGACATAGATTTCTCCAAGCTTTGTAACGATGAAGTAAGCGTTTGAACTTTGTCAGTTGCCTTCTTGATCAGTCCCTTGATCTTAACTTCAACGTTCGCAGCTGTGACTTCATTGTCAACACCTCCCAAAGCTGTTTCATATTTCGTTCTGACTTCAGAGAATTTTTCGTTCAAACTTGAATTATGCTTGACAAGCTCCTCCCTAAAATTCTGAATTTTGAAACAAATATCTTTTTCCTTTTCTCTCGAGGCTAGTTCTTTGTTAAGGTTAGTGATTTTCAAGGTCAAATCTTTCTGATTTTTAGTGTTTGTTTCCATTTCTTTCTTGATAGTATCCATCTCCTTGTTCTCCTCTTTGTCTCTAACTTGTTTTTCAAAAGTTGAATATTCTCTTTCCATGTCAGATACCACAGCTTCGGTGATAGAAATGTGTCGAATCGACTCTGAAAGTTTCTTTGCTTCGCTCTCTAAAACGGTCTTTCGTTGCATAGCGGTTTTCACCCTGGAGACGCTATTTTCTTTTTGCTGCAAGAATGAATTGGTTTCTTTTAAGAGACTCTCTTGTTCAGTTTTATGTTCTCGTCTCTTATTTTCAAGTTCTTTCTTTTCTTTTTGAAAGAGCTGCTCAAGTGAGCTGAGAAAACTGAAAATCTGACTTTCTGAAAAAGGAGGATGCTCATATCCTGGTATGTGATATCTTTGTGAGAAGACCATAATATCAGTGCTCATATCATGAATACGGCCTTCATGAGCTTCCTTTTGGGACTTCAACATTCCCATACTTTCTTTAAGAGTATTCATTTGGTTATTGAGGGTCTTTTTGGTTGTTTCATTCTTTGCAAGATCATTCTCAGTCTGCTTTTGACTTTGTTTCAATTGTTCGAGTTGCTTGGAGAAGTTTTCTTCAAACTTTTTCACTTCTTCGTCCGTTTCAGTGAATTCTTGCTGTAAGTTTTGATACATTTCTTCAACATCCTTTTCCATCATTTTCTTTTTAGTGTCTGCAGATGTAAGCTTTTGTTTAAGAGCATTAACCTTTTGAATAACTCCTTCGTATTTCTCAATCTCTGAATTTACTTGATTCAACTTTTCATCCAAGTCCTCAATCTTTTCTTTCAACTTTTGAAGCTTGATTACTTCATTTTCTGCTTCCTTGCGCAATTTAACGCTTTGATTTCGTTCAGTTTCTGAAACAGCCAAATCTTTTTCATGCTCTGCTAATTGTTGTGTTATGTCTTTCTTGGTTTTTTTGATAGCTTCTAAAGCCTTAGAATATCTAGTGCTAGAAAAGATATCATCAAGTTTTTTCTTTAGTACAGTACTTTCACTGAGTGGCCAATTTACGTCCTCTTGGTGACAAAAGATAACTATTGTGTATTATTTCATTGTAAAACCAGTTAAGGTTCATAATAATTAAACATACCATTCTCCAATATTGCTTTGCTCACGCCCATTAGTTCAGGAATTAATTTGTCCATATCTGTGCATTTGTAGCTACTGCTTTTGGTTTCCCCGTCTTCTCCCTTTGTAGAGAGAACAGATTCCAATTGTTTAAATTGTGTAGTTTTCTTTTTTTGCGTCACTTGAAAGCTACGCACTGTAATATATTTCTTCTTATTCGCTGCTTTGAATTGCAATCTAATTTGACCTTTCACTTCTGTGTCTCCTGATACTTTTGGGTCATGAACGAATGATTTGCCTCTATCACAATTCGGAGGGAGTTCACCAGTGGTAGCGCATTTCAAACATTCAATGAGTGTCGTCTGAGGATAATAAATTTTGTAAATAAATCAAGAGGGCAATATTCATGCCAAGGGTAATATCATCATAAAATAATTATCCAAATTATTAGAATAATTATTATTTCAGCAATAAAGTAGTAATAAGGATCGGAACGAGAAGAATCAATACCATCCAACATTATAATATCCTTTAACTTACTTTTCCTGATCCGTTTGCTCCCAAAATGATTGTCAATGGTTTAAAGAATTTAATAATTTGCGGTTCTCCGGTATGATCAAAAGAACGAATACCGCTTACACTCAGCCAATCTAATGAAGACATTTCGAAATTGCTTTTAAATGATTGATAGGGTTTAATGCAGCCAATGAGAGATCCAACAAAAACAAAAGGCTAAGAGTTTCTCAAATTTTTTGTTTCTTGATTTTTCTGGAAGGCGTTTCACGGCAACAAGGCTTCATTTCGGACCGAAACAATGTTCTCGGTTTCAAAACATGATGAAGCCAATATCAGTGATATTAGGCTTTCCAACACAATTAAAGACATTTCCTCTTGTTTGAGTACTCAGTGATCTCTATGAAGCTTCCAGCGTGTCACTCTGAACTCCATCAAAAAAAATCAAAGAGTGCACACTGAACTCTACATTCCTAGCTTGTTCACACTTCATTTTGTAACGGTTTTCCATGTCCTCTTCCATCACAACCACACCAAGCTCACCATCACCGAATCCCTCTTCCATTACCCACAACAATCATGCGTTTTTTGATGATACAACACCCTCTGCTTTAGGTTTCTGGTCCAATGTCTCCCCGACACCAGGTGGACCTCTCTCATCAAGTCATCACAGCTCGGGTGGAAGTAGCAATGGAATAGGAGCCTTGAACTCGAATCAATCCTCTCCTCAAGTATTCTCCATACCTCCACTCAATTCATCGGGTACAATTACAACGAGTGCTCTCCCTTTTACCTCACCCACACCAGGTGGTTTGTTTGATGTTCCCAGCAATAACACACCGAGTGCAGATGAAGCTCACGCATCCTCTACTTCGTTATCATCCTCTTCATCTTCACCATCCGCACTGAAACATGAACATCATGGCTCATCGTCATTGTTAGGTCATTCTGGCGTTACACCAACTCCTCTCTCGATTGGAGCTTTTACCTCCATCTATGATGCTCCCAATCCACCACAGCCACCACCGCAACCAGTCCAGAGTAAACCATCATCGTCATCTCACCATCATCCAACCTCCTTGAATCCAAACAACAACAACAACTCGAATTCCAACCATCACGGAAGTAATAGTGGAGTGAATAGCCATCCACTAACTGCATCAAGACCAATCACTGTTGCTGGTTTGAGTGCCTTTACCAATAATCCTCCATCTCAGCCTCCTTCTTCTGGAGCAACAACGGCACATAATCAGGCACCTTCAACTGAGGAATCTCCTTCTTTAGGTATTTTCACACCATCCATACTGAATCAGGTCAATTTGGACGCAACTCCACAACATGGAGATTTGGCTGACAACTCTGCCCAGTTACATCATCAACAACAGGCTGCTCAGCATCATATGCAAATGATGCATGCTCAACAACAAGGCATGATGGCTGCTCATCACAATCCACTCTCTGCTTTCAATTTTGGCAACAAGATACCTTCAGCTCACATGATGCCACAACAAATACCAAGTGCTAACTTGACTTTTAATGTCAACAATGCAGCAACCTATATTCCAATACCCATGAATTATGGAATGGCATCGTATGTGGATCCAAATGGAGTTGCAAATTCTAGCTCTCCTTCTCCTTCCTCCCCTGTTGGTGAAAGCTTACCTTCTGGCGTTCTCATGTCAGTCGTCAGAGGATTCAATGTTGACGATGGTGTTCCTGAGGAGCACGGTGGTAAAGATAACAAGAAAACGCTCACCACTCATGTTGTTCGTGTAAGGGTTGCAGATTTAATGAACGCTCATCCTCTACCATCAGGCTATAAATACATGATTAACGCAGTCTTATTGGGATATAAGCGATATGAAAAAGAGGAGATCTCATCACTCGAAAGCCAAGAAATTGCTTTGAAAAGTCAATCGGAAGAAGATTTTACCTTTGACAATATGGTTGTCAAACATACTAGTCACAGCAATGGCCAAAAACTGTTCCTACGATTCAAATTGGTCATGTGTAACGACAGGGACGAAAAGGTATTGGAGCAACTTGACACAACATACTTTAAGACTGTCACAAAGAGAGCCATCATAAAACGGCAAAACACAAAGAAGATTGATGAACAAAAGAAGAAGGTTACCAAACTTCTTCAAGTAGAACCAAAATACAGCGTCACTACAGGTGGACAACTTATCAAAATTGTCACTGATAACATGCCAGAAAAAGTTCGATTACAAACCCTAATTGTGAAATTTGGAGAGAAGAAGGCACGAAGAGTTCACTCAGCAAGAGACAACATGATTATTTGTGAAACTCCAGAGTATCAAAAGGCTGAGGGAGTTCCAATTTCAATCTCCATGGACAATGGTGTTTCGTTCTTCCATGCACCTAATGTGAAAATGACATTTATTGATCCTGCCACAGATACATTACCAGAAGTGACGCCTCATAGTAAGACGTTTGTGGTGAATTTTGCAACGGCAGGCGGTGGAAAGCATGCCAATAGTAGCAACGACGAAGATGAAGACTTGGATCCTAAAAAGAAAAAGTCTAAGAAGTGAGGGCTCACAACTGTATTCCAATTTTAAACAAGCTTAGTTGAAAACTTAATTGATTGTCCAATGTAGAAGAGGCCTTTTTACTGAAACGTGTAGTGCTAGACCAAGTTAATGTTTTTCATATCATCTTCAAACTTTTTCAATTCTTTCACCATCTCTACAAAATTCGTGCTCAAAATAAAGCGTGACCAAGTATCTTGTAAATTGTAATTGCAAGTTATTTCCACTTCATCCAAAATTGTTTTCAATTGCTCAGTATGCTTTTCGTTCCATTCTTGAATAAAGACTGAATCACGTGGTTTGGCCGTGTTGAGTGTAACGGTAGTTGCTCCAACTCCTGAAACAATTACTCCATTTTCTCGCAATGCATTACTTGCTGCTGGTGCAGATTCGCTTGTTTCTCTCAACACTCTGGTGGATAGTGTATATGAAAGAGTTTTGCTCAACAATCGATAATTCTTTTCAAATTCTTTTTTCACGTTGGACGATAGATTGAGTTCAAAGGGTGCTCCATTCACAATGAAATTGTCACTCAGTTTACCCAAAACAGCAATCTTCTTTTGAATGTCTTCCAAGGTGTGAGAGGGTACTGGATGGTAGACTTTCTCAGCAAAATAAAGAAATAGAAAGTTTTCAGCAGAAAATTCTAATTCACACCATTCTATTATGTGTCATGTAACATTAATATTACACAAAAAAAAGGTGAATAATCTTAATAAATTTCACACACTTACCCTTAAAGTATTTTTGACAAACTTCATCATGAAACATGACAAACAAAATAATACGCAAGTCAATAATATTCTGAGAGTCACTGTCCTTTCCGTTCACAATTCCAGCTTCACGATATAGAATACTCAAAATTCTATTGTGATCCAATGCTGAAGATCCACTTGACAGCTCCATAATCATACTATTTTCATGCTTCAATTTAGAAGGATTTACCATTGAATTGTCTCCAGTTTTAGATGCTGTAATCGTTCCTGAAGATTTCGAATGATTTTTTCCATCCGAATTCTTCCAAAAGAAACTTCTAATGAGTGGAATCCAAACACTAATAAAGTTTGTAATCAACAATGGAATGTTAATGAGCCAAGCTGCAGCAAAAGAGTATTCAGGACCTTCTTGATATTGTGGAATGACACTCAACAAGACAAAACATAAAAGGAAGAAAGCCCAAACCACTACAATGGTGATTAATTCTGCCTTAATACCAAATGATTCTTTGGCATATCTCATGACTCGATAGAAGAAGATGAGAATGAAAATTCCATAAAATAGAATGAGTGCAAAAGATCCCACATAGACAGCAACTATGGTTATAAAATTCCAATTCAAAATATAAATTTCACACATTTTGTTGGTGTGAAACGAAATGAAACCATGTGTGTGAATTTCAAAAATAAATTTTAAAAGAAATAATAACTCATTCAAACATACCTGTAGCTGCACATCCAACATTCCAAGTTTCAGCACCTGTCAATCGGTTCAAAAACACTCCACAATAAGCCAAGAAAATAATACTATTCAATAAAAATGTGAATAGGAAAATTTTGGCAATAAAGTCGTCACGTGCCAACTTTCTCAATTGTCTTAAACGTTTTTTACGCTTCTCAGACCATTTCTTTCTCTTTTCTTGATCCGTGATGGTCGAGTCAGTCGTGTTGGTTAAATGTAATGCTTCTTTCACTTTTGATTTCAAACTACTCTTTTTTCGTAATGAAATACGTGATGAAGAGGAGGAAGAGAGATCAGAATTCTTCTTATCTAATTCATTCAAAGAAGAGACAAGTCCAGTTTGTAAATTTCGAGGAGTAGTTACTGAACCAGTGGTGTTATGGTCTGACGTGGCATTTGGCTTGTCTAGCAGCAAATCTACACCCATGGAAACTAAATGATCTTTGAATGAATCACCTTGTAATCGGTTCATTTCTGAAATATAATACAATCGAATACACAACACCAAATAAGGAATTGCAATCAATGGAAATCCATAAAATTGAAAACTCAAATACAGTGCACAAGGAAAAGCATCTCTTCCAACAGCCAATCGAAGTGACAATATCGAAAATGAAAAATAGTGAGCCAATATTAATATAAAAACAAAAAACGATGATCGTGCCTTGATCGGTTGTTTGTTTCTCCTAAAAAAGTATGTCACGATCGTGACAAGTGTATAGAGTGTGAAAAGTCCCCACATGACCCACGAAGCAATCGTGACAAATGGTTGATCTGCACGTAAAATTTCATTATTGAAAGCCACATTATTTTGTAAGAGAGAGTCTGTCTGTGGTCCAAACAAGGTCATTTTAGTTGTTGTTGTTGTCATTGTCGTGGACAGGATGGAATCTTGAACGGGAGGCTGTTGAAAATTGTGGAAATTATTGAACGACGTCGAGGTTAAACCCGAAGAATAACATGAAGAAATCCATCGAATCATCTCTGACCAAATATAGGACATGAAATGATTATTATCCTGATGATGATGTGTGTCCGTTATGAACCTGTCAGTAGGAATGTGTTGTGTCATGATCCTAGAAAAACAACTCTTTTTTTTAAAATATGTGTGAATGTTGATAATGATGATGTGAGAAGGTGTTGCTGGAATAACGAGGGAAATGAGAAGGGGATGAAAAATGATTGTAATTATTTGGGAATTTTGTGAGATGATGTTTTTAGACTAGTTGTTGTTGTTGTTGTTGTATGAGGAAATTGGTGATTGAAATTTCTCCGATGAAGAGAAAGGCAATGGTTGTGTTGTTGTTGTTGTTGAAATGTTAAAATACGCCGAGTGAGTTTGAAATCGAATGTAATCACCAATGACGCGTTGTTGTTGTTCAGATGGATAAATCGAGTGTTGTGGTTGATTTTTTTGTCGAAATGACAGGTGGCGTTTGTCAAACTTTTTGTGTCCTCCAGAACAAACTTGAAAATACGGCTCATTCATCCAATGAAAAACAAGTAGAACAGCGGGAAAAATAAATTCTTGGCGCAAGTAAATGTTCATAATTGGGTATTTACAATAAATTCCTCAACTTTAATATTGAAGTTTTTCGTGTGTGAAAAACAAATCATTAAGGAAATCGTAAAAAGCACCTTCAACTATCGTTTTGATTCTATTTTTGTGTCTGTAGAATTGAGGCGCATATTAGGACAATTTGTTGAGGACTGTTATTTAACTGGATTAAATTCTTCATCGAAACCAATCGATTCCTAAATCCAATCAAAAAAAAACAAATACAGATCTAACTTTAATTTTCATCAACAACTAACAGAGAATGCAATTGAGTAAAAATCACTTACTGAGCGGAATTGCGGCAGGAACATTTCTCGGATTTGCCGCTGGTCGAGGAACACGTTGTCGAAATTGTATGGCTCAATGTCAACACAAGGAGAATTGTCAAAAGTCATGTAAAAAGAAGGAACAAGCAAATAACAATCCTTCTTCCAATACTGAGGTGAATGATGATCAACCTAAACAGTAATAAACGAATCATGATTTATTTTAGCTTGACTTGTGAAATTGTTAACATATCCAACATGTTAATACTTTTCATTTCATTGAATCATTCATTCGAGCGCATATTTGGTGTCACTAACAGAATTCTTGTTGTTGTTTCATATTGAGGTGAAGATTACCACAAATTGTATCATTCAAGTTTGGAATCCTTCTAATGAATCATCGATATTCTTAATCAATCCCACTTGTTCCAAAATATAACATTCAATTCCAGTTCTCAAACTTGATGCTGAATCTGTAAATAATTCCTTCTTCAACCATGAGGATGGAACATGAGATTTGTTTGGCAAAATAAAGCTCACTAATTCTCTATTGAATGCTGATTGGAATGCTAATCTTGAAACTGTCCACAAATCAAAGGATGATTCTCTCATGGTCTTGAACACATCATCGACCGTTCGAATGTGTGAAAATTTCAATGCATTGCTTTCAGAGACCAATTCAAATCCAGTGGTTGATGAACCAGTACTGCTCGATGGTGACTTGGATGATGTTGTTGGTAGTGAGAAACTTGAAGATTTCAAAGTATAAAACGAAGAGCGAGTGGGAGTGGATGGAGAATATAAGGAAGTGTTTGAAAAGTTATTGGTTTCTAATGGGATGGAGACCTTTTTGGAATTCAATGCAGATGTGGAAAGGGAGGAAGCACGTTCAATTCAACATCTCCTTCGTTGGCAGTCATGGCAGATAATTGAATGGTCAATACATTTAACACATCCGATTCTTTTTGCAATTGCTCCTTGAGCAAGTCGGATTGAATACCAAAAAATTCGAATGGATCGACCTTACTGTCTTTCAAGATCTTCATCGTGTCAATGGCTGAGGCAACACCAGCATATTGACAACTTCCGTACTTGCATTGTTCGAGTAAGGAAACTCCTGAAACTCGTTGGAAAAAATCGGCTAGATTTTTCGATTGATGGATAAGATCAGACAATTTGTGACTTTTGTAGTGGTCACAATTGCTGGAGTTTCTGTATTGCTCTCAGCAGGGATGGCATGAAGGGAGAGACGAGGTACTATTGTTGGTTGTGGCTGAGGCCTTTTCGAAATGCTTCTTTGTGGTTTTTCTGATTTTAATTCGAACGTCTCCGTACTTGTTGAACAGTTGAGAATAAATGGTTCGTAAAATCAAGAGAACAGAACCCAAGAAGAAGGCAGTGAGTAAAACGGCACTGATCATGTTGAGAGGATGTTGTTGTTGAACAGTAGCAAAGAAGATGATGATGTTGCAGTGGTTGACAATTTGACTAACACGAATTGCCTAATTAAGCGAAAATACAATGTTCACAATGAGAAGTGTGTATCCAATTGGACAATAATCAAGGAGAGGTGTGTGCGTGCACGATCGAATTTGAAGGCAGTCAAATCTGATTTTTAATTCAAATTACTGCTTTCTGTGTTGTACAATTTTAACAGGGTCCTCAATTCTGGAAGAGAATCTCTTGTTGTTTTTGAGTGTTAGTGTTGTTGTTTTTTTTCTCAAAGACACTCTCGCAAGAGTGTGATCGAGAAGGCAACAAACTCGGCGACTTACAAGCAATTCCGAAAATACAAAAGTCTAAAAATGGGCTGCAAAATTCGAGAGGCAATTTCTCTCAAGGAATTTGTACCAAAAACGTTCGGATTGCAATTTCACACAATGAAAGTGAGGAATTTTCAATAAGAAGAATTTTGAAAGTATGGAAAGAGTGTTCATTCTCCATTCCATGCATGTGCACATAAAACTGAGATAGACCTATTCCAGAACACGTGAGCTCTTTGACGTATTGACATTTCAGTGCACAATACATTTTAAATTTCTTCTTTGAAATTAGAATTTATTTCAATTTGGTTTGTGTGTGTATTGGCCTTCACACTTCTGTTGTATTACAAGTGTGATCACACGGAGAGAGTTCTCTAACCAAGCAATCGATTTGACTTTTTGGGAATTTTCCCATTTCATAATTTTTGTTATCCGTTTGCCTCATGAACTTTTCGTTGTATTACGTTCATTTTACTAATTTGATTTGGGCATTTACAGTTTTTTGTTTGGTCAAAATTTCACATTGTTGTCACCCATACAAGTTCATAGTTCTTGATCAAAGATTAAAAAAACAAAAAAATGTCTGAACAACAATTTCATCAAACCACTGACGGATCGAGCCGATCGGAAACACCTTTTTCTTCAAGAAAACAAGAAATTCCATTGTATTGTTCTGAAATTGAAATTGGTGATTTGGATGATGAAATTACACCCATCTCCGATCTTGGTGGAAATGTCTATTCCTTTGCAACCGATGAGGAAGATGAACTTGTGCGAAATGAAAAGGGATCAATTTCAAACACACTTCGAACAATTTCATGTCGTACCAATGTGCCTGAATATGAAATTAATTTGGATTTACCACCCAATGAAAGATGGACAAACTTAGTTGATGATTATAAAGAAAAGTTTCCTGCATTGATCAAATTTTTAGAAGGTAAGAATGAGTTAAGAATTTTGCAAGAAGATTACTAATTGCCACACGACTTGTCAATTTTTTGTATTGTTTCAATGCCAATGATCATGTTGTGTCCATCAAATTAGGTGAAATGAATGACGTTCTTGGAGGAGGTATTCGTGCTACATTTGCCAAAACTTTCCTGAACATGATTTTTAACGTGTTTACAAACTCAGGAGCAGTGTATTACTCACAAGAATTGAAAGCAGTTGCTCAACAAGCGAATTTACCATTGGGACTATTGGCATTCATGCAATTAAGTTATGAACTGTTCGCTTGTTGTACGAGTGTTGTAAAAGAGAATAGTGATGGATTTCCGTAAGTTATTTTTCCAACTGTATCTATGAATAATTTTGACAATTGAAATATTAGTATTCATGTGAGAACTATGGACTGGGCTATGGATTTATTGAAAGAATACACAGTTCAACTTAATTTCACAAGAAATGGAAAAACACTTTTTAAAGCATCCAGTTGGGTGAGTACACGTGTAAATAATGAATTTCGTTCATTTTGAATTTTTTGATAAATAATAGGCAGGATATTTGGGAGTATTAACGGGATGTAGACCCAATGGATTTTCGATATCCATTAATTTTAGAAGTACAGAAGATGGTCACTTTGGAAAGAATATTATCAAAACTATTACAAGGTAGGTGTGAAAACATGTAAATGGATTGTTACGGAACTCGATCAATGTAAAATATTCAATGTTTCGTTCCGTTCCTTACATTGTAACGAAAAGAGGTTGGCCCATCAGCTTCCTTGTTCGAGAAACTTTACAAGATTGTGAAACATACTCACATGCAGTAGCAATTTTGAAAAATAGCAAATTGATCGCACCTGTATATATTACCGTTGCTGGTTGCAAGAAGGGAGAAGGAACAATCATTACACGTCAACGAGAAACCTTCAGTTCTGACAATTATCTTATTTCACTCCAGGATTTGCACAATAATACCCAAATTTCAAAACAATATTATTTAAAAGAAGCAAATGCCATGATTCAGGCCAATGCCGACTGGTGGAAGAGTTTGAAAGAAATTAAGGATCAGTGTAACATTTTATTATCCAGTGAGAGATTGAGTAAGGCATTCAAACATCTAAAGAAAATGCCACAAGAATTGACCACTATCGATTCAGTGACCGACATGTTTTCGAAGTATGGAAATTATCCTCTCAAGAATGAGACCACTATTTATATTACCGCCATGAATCCAAGTAATGGAGATTATGCAACCATTTTGGTATAGGGCTGTGATGATGAACCTTAATAACCATTTTTTTTTCTAACTGTTTGAAGAATTTCTGTAACCCTTAAAACACCTTAATAACCATTTTTGTTTTTTACGGTTTTCCGGAAAGAAGGAACTTTAAAGCTCACAATATTTTTTGCAAATCGTAAAAAAAAAAGAAATAAAAGGCGCCAACACTCTGGTTTTTCAAAATAAAACAACAAAAAAAAACAATAAACAACACAAAATTCAAAGATAATCTCAAAACACCATGACCGTCCTTAAAAATCAAAGAGTAAACAATCCATCATCGAGACAATCTCAACCATTGTCATCAGAAAAACCTCTCCGACATGTAGGAGCAAAGGTTGCAACCAGCAAGCGATCGACTGCTGCCACTTGTCAAAACTCCAACAATTCCAATCCATCCGGGCCAAGACCTGTCATTAGAAATCCAAGACCCAACAGCCCAACAAAAATATTAATCCCACTCCAACTACTACACAAAATGATATTCAAAATATTCAAAATAATCAAAATGACATGATGAGACCATACCAATCGTCTCCCATCATGATCTCACCCACTTTTCCACACATGATGATCCATGCTACTGATGATGATCAATTATCGAACAAACCCTCTTTGAAGACTCTTATTTCTCAACTCTCCTCGTTCCCTCCTCGCGTAGATCCTTCTCCAATTTTGAACAAGATTGATGAACACATGAAAGAGTCTCCATTCTCGACCGTCCTCTCATTGGTCGGTCACTTTCAAAGATCTACTCGTTTACTCCTAAAGAAATCAGAAGAACAACTGGTCAATGATTTCAATTATTTGCTCATCCTTGCTCGTCATTGTCAGAAAAAGATTTCTCTTCAAGATGCTTTGTGCAAAGATTATATCTTTTTGTGGATCAATTTGAAAACTCAATTCTGCATCAATAGACAACGTTGTTTGGACAAGATGAGTAAGAGTGGGAATGCTCAATGTATCCAAGATTTGACTCGGCTCTATATGGATTTGTCGATTGTTTTGCTTTCAGAACATTTAGAAAAGACATGGGTTGAGGAACAACTAGTCAAGATCCATTCTCCTCCAAGTTTGGTACCTACTGTAATGCCTCCTTGTCAACCACAGCAACCAATGGAAACCAACCAAGTTCCATGTTTAGCAGAGTCCTCTGGTCCAATGAATGCTCTTCCAATCAAACAAGAACCAACACGTCCAAAGAGAACAAGAAAATTGACTTCTCAAATCAAATCCACTCTCCAAGAATATTGGCGTGAAAATCCAAACGAAGCAGAACCATCATTCTTTAACTCTGAGGAAAGAATGAGAAAATTCATACAAGTGATTCAGTTAGATGATTCATTCTTGGAAGTGTTAAAGAATAATGCTGCAAGTTTGTGGATGGAGTTTGAAACAGCTCGTCGTTATGTGACACAACAGGATAAACTTTTGTAAATAATTACAAATGATTATAAATATGTATATTCATACCTTCAACAACATACTTTTTTCAAAAACAAAGAACGAGTTCAATAATTTTGTAATTCAACAGAATTTCAATAGATGGAAAAAATCAAAGTTGAAAAATGCAACAAGAAGAAGACACTCGGAAGCCGACATACCATCATCAAGACGTATTTCCTGATGATATCTTGTATCAAATATTTTCCTATTCATTGCTTCCGATCATACAATTTCATTATTCACTCGTTTGTAAGCAATGGTATCATCTCACCAATCATGAAACATTTTATAGAAATTATTATAACGATGCCATTCATAACGGATTGAATAACTTTTTGAATCCCACCCATTCCGATCGGATGAAATATTTATTTGATTGGACTGAATTTGTGAGTCATCTTCATCCAGAACACTATGAAGCCTTACAACAATTAAAGAAAAATATTCGTGTGGAGGATGTGAGCGAATGGTCAGATTCTGATTTGCATTACGGTATCCTGAATTTTCAAACAATCATCAGGAGAAAGGAAATCCAAGCGAATTATTATTGAAAATGGAACTAGAACCATTTCGTTCTTTGTTTGGAGTTCACGATATGATATTAAATTTTTGGCATTAGCAAAAGAAAACCCAGTACTTGAAAGCGTAGATCATCAACAGATACAGAGCAAGCCGAGTTATACGATGTTTCGTTGATTATTGCAAATACTGCAACATGGAACATGTGGCTAAAACACTTATTAATGGTCATATTGTGGAAATTATTGAAAAAAGGGCAAATCTTTGCCAAGTATTAGTTCAAAACAATTTTAAATACAGGCAATATGTTTGTCAGAAAGGGGAAGCCTGTGGATTTTCATCTCTACAGGTCCAAGATCATGACTCGATTTTAGATATTCAAGCAGCAAGAAAAAAGTTCTTTTCCAAGTTTGTTTTAACCGAAGACGTATTGAGACGAGGTCGTGTGGATACACAACGAATTATTGTGGTCTATTATTCCAAATTAGAGCAGCAGAAATTCACAATATTTTTCAGAAAGCATTATCCATTATTACAGGATCGTCATTATTTGATTCCAAAGAAATCCACGGCATACAAGGACGAGTTTGTGACCTCTGAAATTCTAGAGAATTGTGATACAGTGGTATTTTGTGTGTTTACAATTCCTGATGAGGATCATGCTTCCAAATACCGTGAAGCTTTGCAAATGTTAAAAAGCAAAAAGAAGAGAGTGTTGTTTGGATGTCGAAAATCAAAGTCGCTTTCGCGTGTCACTCTTTACCATCCAGACATTGAAATTATTCGACTACGAAAAGATCCAGTGAGTACTGCATTGTTGCTGGACTATGCCTTGTTAGGAACGAACGGCATTTAATGAGATTGGGCAAAGAGTGAAAAGTCTTGACAGGAAATGAAGAAAAAATCGATTATGAAAAGCTTAACAACAATTTTTATTGCTTCTGTTGTTCTCTAGGTTCAATGATCAAAGATTTGCTCCAAATTACATCTTCGGCAAGCAACAGCTGTGCCTTCTCACTCTCTACCATGTTACTGAAATCGAATGTTTTCTGCAAGAATGGTATTGAAATGAAATCATACAATGTTTGTTGTTGTGTCTTAATTCGTTGAATCACTTCAGCAATTTTTCTTCTCTTGGCAAAATTAATCAATTGCAAATCAGATCCCTCCTTGGTAATGTAATCCTTATTTCCATCTTCAATAAATACCATGTCTGTTAAATAAATTCCAATGTAGGGTAATCCTTCTCCACTTCTTGACATGTGATCTCTCATATTCTTGTAGGAACTGGTCATGGATACCAATTCATTCAATTGTTTCAATCGTTCACTTTCAACATCTCTCTTAGGAATGGCTTCCCATGTCTTTTTGAGTCTGTGAATACCAGCATTATTGAACGCACTGACAATCGAATTACATCCATTCAAATTATTTAAATTTTTACATTCCCAAGCCACGTTAATCCATTGTTTCACTTTTCTCACTCTCTTCTTAATATTCTCTTCACACACAATATCTGACGCAACAAATGTACTCAAATTATTAAATTGTTCAGTGAGATGTGAAATGTTTGGAGCGCGTGTCATTTTATCCTTCTTGGTCCAACCAAGACCAAAGAATTCTTTTGGTTCAATGGCTGTGAAAATATTACTTTCGAGAAGAGTAATTTGCTTGGCAATTTCACTTGGTTCCCATTGTTTGATGTTGAATGGTTTCTTTTCATCTGCTTCACTCCATTTCGATGGTATCGAGGTTGTACTCGTTCTCTACTAAACATTTTTTCAAGTTTTTCTCTTGATTCTCCATTGCTGATTAAATTTGCTTCAATTCTTTCCTTAATCTTGTTGGCAATACTAATGTAACCAGAACTGGATTGTTTTTCCATTTGACATAATCTTCCCACTTGTCGATAAATAAAGTTCATCATGGAAGCATTCAAATGATTGTTAAAATCATAGCTGTGATCTTGAACCCATACTCGGACTGTATTTAACATGCGGAGGACAAGACTTGCCATATTCTTGTTGTTGGCCTCTTGATGAATGAGAGGAAGAATGTGATATTCAACATAGCTCATCATTAATGTCAACAACGTTTCAGGAGTACAGAATGATCGGTAGGTAACAAGGAATGTGTTTGTGAAATTTGAATCTTCACTAATGTTTTGACCGCAAACTCGTGCAACCAATCGATTGAGTGTGCTGGCCTTAATTTTGTTTTCCTCATCTAGAATGATTTCATTTTCTGCGTCTGTTGCTTCGTCAAATAATTTTGATAATTTGTCAATCGTAATGATATCTGATTCATAAACTTTCTCCAAGACAGTCATTAAAGAGTTGGAAATGGAATGATCATTTGAATTTTTTCCAGAAATGAAGGATTCTAATGTTGAAGCTGAAAATTCCTTTCCAAGTAAGAGAGCTCCATAAAGCCATTTCCAATAAGTGTTATTTGAGTTTGCTCTAAAAATGGAAGTAAATTCTTGAACATAGTTAGTCACAATTTCCACAGATTGTGAAGTTAATTCCAGAATGACTTTCTTTTGAGTTCCTAGAGAGACGTGTTGCAACATTTTTGCAATGATAAACATCACGTATTCGATAAATTGCTTATCCCCAAGTTTGGTATCGGTGAGATATTTAGCTCCTTCAGAATCTCGAATATCTAGCTTGATAAACGAAGATAAATCTTTGTGAGTGGGTTCAAATAATTTCAAATTATCGAAATTGTTGTTGACAATTTGCGTCACTCGAGGATGAACAAGAGTATTCACTTGACTGAAAATGTCTTGGAAACATTTGAAGCTATTCGTCTCAAATTTGTTTCTTCCTCTCAATTCAAATTGATCAATATAGAATGCAAGAAGTTTGATGAGTGCGTCGAGTTTTTCAGAACTTCTTAACCATTCTGTGAAATAGGAAGGATTCAAGTTGGAAAGAATCCACAAACAACACTTTAAATGTTGCTTCAACGTCATTTCTGGAACAGTTTCCATGGCATTTAAATTTTCGAGAACCATTACGACATACGGGAAGAATATTCTTGCAAGAAGTTCAAGTCTTTCTTTTGATGCATGTTGCTGAGATAAATGTAAACATTCCTCTTTTGTAAGAATGTATCTCAACACTTTCACAGCACTGTTGTGGACATCAACTTCCGCTTTAAATTTAGTCACACAGTCTCTCAAAATATTAGTCAACAATTTGAATGGAGGACATAAAATGGCTTCATGGTGGATATACTCTTTTGGATGATAATTTGCAAAGTTGAGCTCCATAAATTGAGGAAAGTCACAAATAATTTGTAAAAAGTCAATTCCTAATTTGATCGTATTGATGGTGACTGTCTTTTTAACCACAAATTCTCTGAAATAAATTTCCATCAAATCGAACACTAATTCTGACTTGATTTCACCACAACCTAATAAATCTCTAAAGAAGAAGGCCAATTGGTTGTTAATTTGAGAGGCAACAAAGAAGTTTGCAAAATCGTCCTTATAAAACACAGCTTTCTCAGCAAGAGCACCAATAAGTTCTTTCAACAGTAAGGAAAATTTGTATCCATGATCGTTGGTTAATGCTTCTCGTTCTCTTTCAGAAAGTAAATTATATTGAACTTCACTCATGTGTGCCCTACTGGCCGTCTTTTCTCTCTGACACAATAAATAAGATTTTAGAATTAAATCCAAGAAGAACCATGAATAATTAAGACTTTCGTAATAAACTGGTGCTGAACCAATAGCAAACAAACTCATATTCATGGAGTAGCTACTTCTATTGTTTTGTGAAGTTGCAGATTTGTCTGTGTCAGTGTTCAAACTGCTTCGTTTAGTATTTCCAAACATGTCTTGAATGGATTTTCGAAGGATGCCATTACCAGCACGTCTTCCTGAACCTTCAGATTGATATAGATGTGAAGGTAGACCCTCATCATCTGTTGGAACTGAAACTGTCAGTGAATCATCAGCCTTTCCAAGTACATCTGTGAAAAGTTCAATTAAATTCACATAGACTGGAGATTGAGTCATGACAATGTCCTTGAACACGTAATTCACATAGGTATTCAGAAGCTTGTTCGATCGATCTGCACAATCAGTGATAACTGCTGCTCCCTTTAACATGGAAACAATAACTTGAAATACTGTTTTTTGCAAATCAAACAGTACGTTAGAAATTCCAAGAAAATCGAAAAGATCTCCTTGATTTTGACTTTCCCTAGAGGCTGTTAAATTTGAAGTCGTGAATGTGATACTTTTTCTTGTAGTAGTTCCAGTTTCAGTCGAAGGAAGTGAACTTTCTGTAATTGGTGACGCAGCTGTACCATCGGTTGATTTGTGTCTATTAAACAATCGATCTGTAAGTGACATTCTTTTCTTCATTTTATCATTCTTGATCTGATTCTGTTTTTGATCAAAAAGAGAAGAAGCATGACTCTCTTGTTGAGTCGAATTGTTGTATTGCTCTTGTTCTTGTTGAGCTTTCAAATATTCCAATAAATTAAATCCGTCCTCTCCAGGTTGTGCAACACGTTTGATAATTTCATTTTGCGATTGTTGTGGTGATGGAGTAGTGCTGGTGTCAACTTCTTTTGATTTTCTCTTCAAAATATTCTTTAAGGAAAATCTCTTTTGGAGTGTTGATTTAGGTTGTGCGGCGTCCTTCATATCCTTATTTTCAGGAGAAGGAGTGCTATTAGGTGGTGATGAATTATTTGTAAAAGATTTTCTCTTAGCAGCTAAAATAGAACTCTTCAATGATTTTCGATCACCTGCTCCTGAGCTTGATGAAGCAGAGCTCGAGAGAGGAGGTTCTAATCCGAAACGAGCCGAGATGGATCTCAACATTTCATCCTCCGTGGAAGAGGATCCACCACTGATGGCAACATTCACAGTGGATTCACCAAACAATGTACTCGATCGTGATGTTTCTTGCATTTGCTCAGCCTCCGTAACAAATGAATGTAATACATCAGGAATTCGACACATCACACTCAATAGCATATCCATGATGAGTGTGAAATGACTCACAATTTTCGAGAAGGGAACTTTCATTAAATTTTCAATCGATCTGCGACAATCCTTAACAGCTCGTGTGAGCTCTTTCACTTGTCCGTTCGATCCATCCTTAATGATACTAATGAATGGTGCACAATCGGCAAAGAATTGAAGAAGTAATTTCTCATTGGGATAAATCGTTGAACACACCCGAGTGTTACACAAGAAGGATATTTTTTTAGGGTCATGACGTCGCTTCTCGAGGGAGAGTAATTGATTGGAACTTGCATTCACATTGACACTCAATCGTTTGGCGTCAGAGAGATAATTTCCAGTGAGTTTTTGATAGATGGGGAGTGAATAAGTGTATGTGAAATCTGTCATCTTGGAACAATGATTGTCAACAATATCCTTGATGGTGAGAACGGAATATCCAAAACAAATTTTTGGAACTTGGCCATCATTACCTAGAGTTTTCTTTCTCTTTTGGCCTTGCTTTTCAATGACTAGATGATACAAAGAAATCACTAAATGATTCTCTTTTTCAATAGGAAGAGGGAGAGCAATTTTGATTTCATCAATAAATCGAATAATGTGATCACAGTCAAACACGACATTGCAATAAATTTCAGAAACCAAAGATTGCCCAACGGGAGAAATAATTCTTGGAGCTGGTTTTCCAATAGCTTCCATATACTCAATTTTCACAAGTACATTCTTTGCTTTGAACTTTTTGATAGCAAGATTCTCTAAAAGTGCCATATCCGTGTCCAGAGAGGACAAATTTTCAACTTTAAATTTGTCAATGTTCAACGACACGGGAGAAATATACAGTAAATGTGAAAAATCAAAGTGAGGGAATTTGGGAAGCTTCTCGTGCAATTCTTCAATCCTGTATGACTGATAATTCAAATTGTCAAGTGAGGCACAACATTTTCGAAGTTCCTTTTCTTGTTGAGGATCTTTTGGATTGAGAATGGACATGTTTCGCAACTGAATTTTTTGAATGACTTCCTCAAGAGAAATCCATGCACCACTTGTTGTGAAAAGTGGTTTTTCAAGTTCGGATCCAAACAACAAAAGTCGCTCTACAGGATCATTTTCAAACTTCTTTGGATTGAATTTGAAACTTTCAAAAACAAGATATCCAGGAACTGCCTTGAGTTTTTTCAGGTTTCTTCTAATGACATCAGTTTCAGCTTGAAGCAATTCTTTGAGATCGCACTCACGACTTGTGTGTGGAGTGTGAAATGAGAGTGAATTTTCAGCTTGTTGGCTAACAAGTTCACACATTGCATCAACATACGATGCTTGTCGTTTTGAACTCACGGTGGCTTCTCCACTTTCTGACTCGGTAGCATTTTGTGGAGTAATGTGCTGAAAGAGGACATCCATTGGTAAAAAGTATTTGATCGCATGAATACCATTTTCTTTCACAGGGCAAAAAGAAAATAAAAATGGTTCTTTGTGAGCTTTCAAACCCTGAAAATCATCGAGTGGTGTTGGTTGTGATTGTTGACACTCTGATTGGGTATCTTTCACGAGGGTATGATTCTTTCTTCCTGCATGATGTTGTTTGAGAATATGCTCTGAGGTTGCACCCTGCAATGTTTTGTACACGAAAATAACAGCATAAATATCTGTCAGTTGTTCTCCTTTCAAAACATGTGACAAGGAAAACAATGCTTTTGGTTGCTGATCCAATTGTTTTTGTAACTGTTTTTTGACATCCAATTCATCATAGAAACCATTAATCATTTGATGTGAAATCATGTGGAAATAAAACCTTTCACTCAATTTAGCTTTGGTTTTTGCATTGATGAGTTCAAGTGAAAGAAAATATGGCTCTAGTTCGCCAGCTTCTAATCGGAATCGATAAAATTTGGTGAGAATATTCAATTGGCTGTTTTCAATGAACAATATTGAACCAAATCATGATGATACTTTAGAAATAACTTACTCTTCCATAAAGTCATTTGGATGATAGGCCATTCTACGAGTGACAAATTCAAAAACATCTCTTGCTTGTTCATAGTAAAGTAGATTTGATGCCTACAATTAATTGATATCGATATATATATCGATTCCAAAAGTGAGAACGTGTGTTGAGTCAAATATATTTCCGTTTTTCAAAAAGTTCACAAAAAAACAATCATTGACAACCTACCTCTGCATTGTGTGGCAAAATATTCACACTCTCTTTCTCATCATGTTTCATGACTGTGAATTCTCCGTTATACAAGTGCAAACAATTCTTTGCAAATAAATCCTGAATGGCATTGTCATCTCTCTTTTCAATAAAGAACTTGTTGACCGTCTTTGACTTTTCGACATCAATGTGCAATGTTTCGGAAAGTTTACAATATTCTTGTCCATTATGATCATGACTTGTCGTTTGATTTGGAACATGCTCTTCAAAATACTTGTAATCATTTTCAAGCGTATGTTTCACATTCTTGACACTCATCGAGGAGGCATTATTTACAAATGAAATTCCATTATTAACCACAGCCGAATTTGGTGAAGTAGGAACGACAAGTTCTGGTGTTACTTGTGGTTGTGACGATGATGGAATCGAACATACAGTACTCGAGTTCGATCCATCCACAGAGTTTGAATTCAACACAATTCCAGCATTAATACTCGAATGTCTAGCAGCTCGACTATTTGCCCTTGATTGTTTATAAGTGTTGAACAAGGCTACGGTTGAAGATGAGGAAGAATTGGATAACGACGAGTGAGAAGTTGTTGTTGTAGGAGTTGTACCACTATTACTACTACTATTTGGAGAATCAATTCTTTGAGAAGAGGATGACAGGAGTGATTTTGTATCATACATTGGAGTCAAAGGAGTCGTAGTAGTAGTAATGTTGGCAGTTGTTATCATCATGGGTGTTATCTCATCTAGATTTTGTGAATCATGATGATTTTGAGAGTGTTGATGGTTGTTATTATTGGAATCATTCAATGAAACATTTTCATCCATGTTGTTGTTGTTCGTTGTTGGAAATGATTCATTGAATACGGATTGTTGTTGTTTGATGTAGTCATGAGGGGTGGTCACTGAAATGTCATTGTCATCTTGTTCGTCATGAATAACCGAATCGTAGGGAATGTCAATGGTTGGTGTGGTGGTTGTTGTTTCAACAGTTGGTGTTGAGAGAGGATCGTGATGCAGCATTGGTTCTACTTGTTGTTGCTGTGATGATGAATCATGATGCAGCATTTGTGTATTTTTTTAAGAAAAAGTGTCACTTGTCATTGTTGCTTTGGAAAAAAACATCGATTGGTTATTGGTTTGGGAAGCGTTGGATTTATTGGTAAAAATTATCAAACCGCTGTCTATCGCCAAATTTTACAATTACTGAATCCAACCTTAGCACTCACGTTACAACATTAGATCTTTACAACCTCAAGAAACGTGATGCAAGGTTACAGAACAATTAAAAAGAATTCGAACATTGTTAAGAAATCAAAGATTTTTTGCTTCTAATAAGTGTAAGGACTGATTCGAAATATTTAACAACAACAAAAAATATAATTCATTATTCCTTATAGATGATTCTTGATCATGACACTTTATTTCACATGATGCAATTTCTAGATCATGTATTCGTGATCGGAACGTGCTCCGTGGTGTGTCAACAGTGGCATCAAATTTCTTCCAAGATTCCTTTCCATTTCAATTTTAAACACAAAAGACGAGCCTTGATTCCACTCATTTTGAATTCAACTCTGAATTATGAATTGAACATCATTGAATTAAATTTAAATGACATGAACTTGGGAGATGATTTTATTGAAAAGTTGTCGTCCAATTATGGTATGATGACATTGAAACACTTGAAAATTTTAAAAATTAGAAAATGTTGTCGTGAGAATGGTGTGAAATGGATTGCAACAAGTTCCGTAATGAAAAATTTAACACAATTGAACATTTCTGATTGCAATGTTGATTCTGACATGCTCAGCGTGGTTGCTACCAGTTCATACATGCAAAACTTGACCAAGTTAAATATTTCAAGTAATGGATTTGATGATGACGGAGTGATTTCATTGTCAAAAAGTGAATACATGTCCAATCTCACTTCTCTAAATATGAACAGGTGTGGATTTACAGAAATTGGGATGATTTCTTTGATCCATAGTCCGTACATTCGAAATTTGAGATCGTTGAAATATGCAAGTGATCATTCAGCATTATCAGCAGAAACTGTCGAGAGAATGGCTTCTTCGGATCAATTTAAACATTTAACCAAGCTTTCGTTGTGCGAATTATTGGAAAACGACAGCTATTCAACAATTGCTAATAGTGAAACTATGAAAAACTTAACATCAATTACAATCAACCAGTCAATATTGTTAGAACATGCAATTCAATGCTTTGCATCAAGTCCTTTCATGTCCAATTTAACTGAAATATCAGCTAATGACCACATTCACGAGAACGACAATACCTCAGGAGGAGAGCTCGCTATTGCCCAATCCAAATATCTCAAAAAGTTGAAACGTCTCCATATCTATTCCAGAAACGATCAAGTGCTCAAAGAATTATTTACGAGTGAAAATGTCAAGAATTTGACTGAATTGAGTGGAGTCATGGTGAGTGAATCCTTTTGTCATTGTCCTTATTTTACCAATATTACCCAACTTTCATTGTCATTTGATGAAACCGATTCATCATGCAAGTATTTATCAATCAATAGATATTTGACCAAATTGAAATACTTGAGACTTGTAGACTTTCCAGACGATGCAATTGAATCTATTTGTCAGTCAGAAAACATTTCAACATTGATTGCTCTTGAATTGAGAAGTGATCGTCAAAACTCCTCTTCCTCATTAATTTCCATTGCAAAAAGTCCTTTTCTTAAGAATTTACAACAATTATGTCTTGGATTTATCGATTATCCCAACAAGGGATTTGAAGAATTGTGTGCTTCACAAAACATGAAACATTTACAAGTGCTTGAAATTGGTAATCTTTCCACAAATGCCTTAGAATGTATTCGTGAAAGTCCCTATTTGAATCAGCTTAGAGTTTTGCAATTATTGGCAGACGGATATTGGTTTTATATATATGGAAACATTCAAAACTGTACTGTATTAGCCAATTGTTCGAACATGTCAAATTTAACAGAATTGGATCTTTCTTTCAATGCCATAGATGATGAAAGTGCAGTCGCCATTGCCAATGGTTCACATTTGAATAATTTAAGAAAATTATGGTTGTTTGAGAATGCAGTTGGCAATGAGGGATTTCTTGCTTTACTAAAAAGTAGCTGTTTAAGGTTGGATTATCTAGATTTAGCTTATAACAGTATTAAGGATGATGCTGTTGAGGACTGGAATGAGCTCGTTCCATATGCGACCTACATGACATTGTTAAAACTTGAAGGGAATGATATCACTGAAGAACATCTTTCATTAGTTTGTCGATGGTTTTAATATATTAATACAAATGGAATGGAATTCGAACTTTTGTTCAACATTTCGTATCTGTATTTAAGATCAGCTTCTATTCGGTTACGCAAGGATCGAACATGATGTTGAGGCTATGAATACTGCTCTTCGACTAAAAGCAAATTCTTTACAATTCGTTCCATATGAAATCATTTGCAAGAATGAATTTGGAGCATGTATGAGAACATATTAAACGAAACATTAAGATTAGATGAACAACCATTCATTGAAAGTAAAGATCTGGATTTCACTCACACCCGTGATCTTGTCGTTCATCAACAATCCTCAACAAAAACATGGAAATGTCCAATCAGTTCTTGCTTGTTCCACGTACTTTTTCAAATATGGAAAATATTTATAATACATTGCAACCTGTTGAAAATCTGTCCCGTTCATTCGCAGCGAATCCACAAAACGAAAGGTGTACCAAATGAAAGATGTAAAGAATTCATTCAACCAAAGACGCAGTACAACCATGACCGAATTACAGTTTGTGTCACGTGCATTCGTGATGTCGTGTGGTCTTGCTGTTGGAGTGTTGTTGTATTGTTTTGCAACAATCTCACACGTAAACAACAGGTCTCCTCTTCAAGTCACACGTCCAACGAGCCCGAACAAGGAAATTTATATGAAATATATTCAGCTCCCAATTCCAAAGTCATGCAGCTCTTTCATTTCAATCCAATGAATGCATTACCTTCTCCTGTTGGACCTCCAATCGCTCAAGATCTTCAATTAGAATTGGGTTTTCAATTAGCAGATATCGATCCAAGAAATCAATTGTTTTATATATTGGCTCGTCGAAATGACTCGAATGTATTCAAAGAAGAATTACTTGGTTTGAGTTTGACGAATGGTCAAATTGTGAAACAAACCATTCTTCATACCATCGTTCCTGGTCGTACCACATTTGGAAGAGCTCAATACTTGAATGTGAATCCAATGAATGGAGATGTGTTTGTCGTTTGCAATTTGACTCCAAATATTCATTTGTTTTCGTTATTGAAGATTTCTTTTAAGGGAGATCAATCCAATATCACCATTCTTAATCATGGATTTAGTGGAATTGGGTCTAATGATGGATTATCTGCATTCGATTTCAAAAACAATGTACTCGTAATTTCCTTTACTTTTAATCCAACGGAGGACCCTTCTCTTGTTGCATTGGATGGAACCACAGGCCAGATATTGAAAATTGATCCAAACAAAGGTTTAATGAACACATTGACATTTGACGCAAAGTACTGGATTCATACTAGGTATTGGTTTCGATCTGCAAAGAAATCAAAGAACTATATTGTATTTGGAGAGTAGAACTTTGCAAGTTCGAAAAATTGTGTATATTGAGAAGTTGAGTACTCGTGTATTATTCTATGGAGGTTCCTTGGATACAGTGAGAAGAGTCATGTATTGTTTCATGTCCAAGATCAAGAGTTTGGAAGTGGATTTGGTAACCATTGAGGTCGATACAGGGAAAGTCGTTGAAACATCTCCGGTTTTAATTCTTCCTCAAAATTTACTTGTTTATAATGGTGATCAATAAAACGATGAGTATATGGGAGGTACAGAATCTGTTTTTGCGAAATCAACGAGTCTAATGTTTTTGTAATTTACATCATAAAAACAATGTACTGAAAGACATGATCGGCTACGGCCATATCACGATGAATGCACCTCATCCCGTCCGATTTGAGAAGTTAAGCATCGTCGAGCTGCATCAGTACTGAGGTTGGAGACAACTTGGGAACCTGCAGTGCTGTAGCCTTTTTGCCTTGTTGAAAAGTGTCAACGCTACCTCAGTTGGATTTGTTTTCACAGCAGCTCGTTGTTTTTTGGTAATGCTGTTTGACCGTAATAGGCTTTAATCTTCCAACCTGGCTATCCCATCAACAGAATTCCAATTCAACTGTCCAATGGTTAATGGAGCATTGAGAGAGATCTATGACTGCCAGTTGAATTGGAGTCCAGAAGTCATGGGCAATGAAGCGAGAATGCAAACCAAAAACGACCAACAAACGAAGAGAAAACAAGCTCCAAAGAAATCTTCCTCAGAAGAAAGAGCTGTAAAGAAAACAAAGCGACAAACTCAGTCCTGCTCGTCTTCATCCAGCGCTGGAAAAGACCTTGTTTACTCATCATGTGAGTCATTTCCTTCCACGACTGCTGAATCTGTTGCTTCTCTTTCTCAACCTGTCAGTGTTCAAGGGAGTAACCTGCCATTGAATCCTTCACGTATCGTTTTACTTGGCTTATCCTTTCATTTGGACTTCACATATCATTTTCAACAGTGTTGCTCTGTTTACCAAATGATATTCCCAACCAATTCAATGCCCAAGGTGGCAACTGTGGTTCATTACATCGGACTGAGACCTGTCTTCAAAACTCACCTGTTGATAATCAGCAACAACAAATGCTGACAGCCCAAGATGAATGCGCTTGTCGAAACACCAACATTTTCCATTGGAGGTGACAAGATCCGTTGAGATAAGAGATGAAAGGGCTGCAATGGAGGAGTGCAACGACCTTCTGGAAGAATTGGATTCTAACATTTGAGGAAGATGCATGGTAATGCCAAATAATTGTCGAAAATCTGTTTCATTCTTTTTCAAAATATCGTTGGGATGTTTGGTGGCTGCCTCTGGCGATGATAAAATAAATTCAATAAGTGAAAGAAGTAGCAATTTCAGATTTCGAGTACAGCCTTGAATTATTTCAAGCAAGATTGAACCACTGTTATTGATGTCCTCCTCTATTTATTATTGACATTGGTCAGTTGGTTATTGAACATTCGGGTTAAAGGTCCACCAAGGGCAATAGGGTTTGGATAACTGTGAACAGACTTGAATGACTGCTTTGAACTTTCTTTTCTCAACAAGTCATTCAGTGAAATTAGTTCAGAGTTTTCTTTTGTAAGCTTTTCAATTTCTTCTTTGTCATGCACACTTTCGTTGTGAATTGTTTGTACTTTCAACTCAAGCTGAACCATTTCTGCCTTTAGTTCCGTATTTTCCTTGGTGAACATTTCAACGGAGTCTTTTAGTTTCATGTTATCTGCTTCCTTTAAATCCAATGACGAATTCAATTTTGTAATTTCATCAGTAAAATCCATTTTGGCTTTATCCAACATTTGGTTGATATTTTCAATATTGGATTTGAGAGAATATATCTCCTCTGTCTTACTATTCACAATTCCTTCCAATTCTTGTTTGTAATTCATTAACTCCTTTGCTTGAGTTGTTAATCCAGAATTTTCTAAAACTAGCCTTTGGTTTTCTTCAACCAACGTTTCTCTTGCTTTCACCTCAGCCTCAATTTGGAAAGTTAAATGGGATAACGCAGTTTTACACTCAGAGTTTTCCTTGATCAGTTTGTTGTTTTCTTCTTGTAGAGTGAAAACTACGTTTGACACGTTTTCCATTTCTTTGTGGGCATTGTTATCCAGTCTTGCATCCATATTAGTTAACGTAGCAATTTCTTGTGAATGAGCAAGTTCAGTTTGCTGTAATAGATAGCTCACTTGCTCGATGTTTGACTTTAGAGAAAGTATTTCGGCTGTCTTGTTTTTCATGCTTTCCTCTAATTCGATCTTTGTTTGAAGAAGTTCTTGTGCTTGTAGCTTAGCTTCGTTATTTTCTTTAAAAAGCTTGGCAATTTCTTCTTTTTGGTGTTGAACCTCCTCTTCTATCAATTTCTTTTGAGAAGATAGTTCTTTAATCATTCCATCTTTAAGATCCATTGCTTCGTTCAAAGATGCAATCTCAGAAGCATTATCTTTTTTGATTTGATTCAATAACTCAGTACTATTCTCCAATTGAGATGTGAGAGAGCATATTTCTTCTGTGTTTGATTTTATCACTCCTTCGAGCTCTTGTTTCAAATTGAAGAAATCTTGTGACTGTTCTGTAAGTTCCTTGATTTCTTGCTTGAGCTTTTCAACTTTCTCTACCATCATTTTGTTTTCCTCGTCTACTCTAATTAGTGCGCTTAAAGCTTCTTTTTGTTCAGAGCTATGCTTGGTAATATTTTCAATTTCTTCTTTCAACTTTTTGTTTTCCTCCTCAACTATCGATCTGGCTTCCTCTCCATCCTTGAAGTGGGATGATAACTCAGAAAGGGCTTTGTTCAGTGAAGAATTTTCCTTGGATAACTTGTTGCGTTCCTCTTCAAATCTTATTTGAGCCTCCTCTTTCAACTGTTGGCTTGACGTTAATGCTATTGCCAATTCCGATTTTTCACTTGCGAGCTGTTCGCGTTCTTTGATCAACTGATCTTTTTCTTCTTGCATGGCAGTACATTTTTCTTCCCATTCAGATGTGATCTTTTGGATTTCACGGGCTTGAGCTTCTACGGTTTCCTTAAGTTTGTCATTCAGGTTCTCAAGCTCGGTTTTTAGGGTTGAAATATCTTCCAATTTCGTGTTAATTGCTTCAATTAATTCTTGTTTCGATTGAAGCAGTTCTTGCGCATTAGATTCAAGCACTAGAGTTTCTTCTGTCTTAGTTTTCAAGAGCTCCTCCAACTTCTCCTTTGCTTGAATTAGCTCTTCGCTCCGTAATTTATACATTTCATTTTCCTTTGCAAGCTTCTCGTACTCATCTTTCTGTTTTTGACATTCTTCGTCTTTCAATTTTATACGTGAATTAAATGAATCTATTTCGTTAGCATGATCTGTTTTGGTTTGACACAACACGTCGTTTAAATTGTCAATACGGGAGTTAAGGGAAGTTATTTCCTCGTTTTTAGCCTTTAGAACACTCTCAAATTCTTGCTGGAGGTGTTGAAGTTCATTACCGGTCTTGGAGTTCGCAATTTCTTCCAGTTCGTTTTTCACTGTGAGCAGCTCTTGATTGAGTGCTTGCAATTCAGACACTTCCTTTGCAAGCAGTTTTTTCTCTCCGTCAAGTTGTTGCACCGTCTCATCTTTCACCTTCACTTGTGCTGAGACATTAGACAATTCTAGTGTAAATTCTGCAATTTCTTTGGTCATCTTTTCAATTTCAGCCTTTTGAGAGCTTATATAAGCGCGTAACTCAAAGTTTTCTTTGGCCACCTTCTCAAGTTCTTCAGCCTGTTTTACATTATCCTTCTCTCTAGAATTAATGATTACATCTAAATCAGCAATTTCTTTCGCATGATCTCTTTTTGCTTGATTCAAAGTTTCATTCAAGTTCTCAATATCAGATGTTAGAGAAGCAATTTCCTCTTTTTTGGATTTCATCATTCCGTCCAATTCTTGCTTTAGTTGCATCACTTCAGCTTCTTTTTCCTTCCTTGCTTGTTCCAAATTGATTGTAAATTCATCTTTCTCCCTAAGTAGTTGTAGATATTTTGTTTCTTCTTGATTCGAGACTTGTTGTACTTGGTCCTTAAGAGATGCAATCATATTCTCATATTCTCGGATCTTTTCTATTAATGCTTCTTTTTCTTTTTTCATTTCAAGAATTTCATTGTTGGTGATTTCTGTTTCTTGAGCCTCAACAGTAGATACATCTTCAGTAGCTGATGTGGTTATTGATTCTTTCTCTTCATTCTCGCTACTGGGAGTAGAAATTGTCCTCTCGGCGTGCAAGCCTCTCTCTTGATCCTTTTCCTTCTTATTTCGTTGTTTGGAAAACTTGGAAGGCGAAGGAGTTGTTGGTGATGGACTCTCCTTTCCTTCCTTACCTCCTTTCTTTGGAGTCTTTTCTTTCCCGACACCTTTCTCACTATTGTTCCTCTTAAAGAGATCGAATGGCGCCATCAAAAGTTGTTGTGCTTTTTTTTTGCAATATGATCGTAAATACTGTTGTTGTTTAAAAATGAATGGAAATGAGGATTTAAACAACAACAGTATTTACGTTCATATTGCAAATTAATCAGACTGTGGCAAAAACAACAGTTAATTCGAGGCCTTGCTTAAATCAACAGAATATTTTTCGATTGTTGCAACAAAGATCACAACAACTTGGGCGCCATTCAAATTCTTATTTAACGATTTTCTTCTTCCTCTGAAATAGTGTTTAACACAAAAATAATCCATTTCTGACAGAAACACAGACTTGGCATTGCATTCTGACAAGATTTTTGTCAAACACTATTTCAGAGGAAGAAGAAAAATAATAAATAATCCTCGATACAATGGTGGAATGACTTAATGAGCATGAATCACGAATATATATATATACACACGTTTCATAATCTTCTTCACACACATGACTTGCCTGTCAAGAACTACCCATGGTCAACAAGTACATGGATGTTACAAAGAGTGAATAACTTGCTTGTTCCATCGAGAGCTCTGCTGAGAATGATAGATTGTGGAAGGTAATAACTTGTCCAATGTTCGAAACCAGTAATGTAATGATGGACCTAGTAGTATGGTACCATAGAGGAAGAGCTTAATGGATCGAGAGAAGGAATGAGAAGAGGAATTCATGTTGTGTTGAGAATCGGAAACGGCTGATTGAAATTTTGTTCGTAATCGGTCTTGTGTGAAAAAGTCTCCAATGACTGTGCAAACGCCACACGTGAGTCCTTTTGTCTTGACCGGATGCTGTTGCAACATTTCAGTGAAGAAATGCCAAGCATGAGAGAAAGCGTGGAAGCGGAAAGCCATTTGGTGTTGAGAGGTGGCAGCAATTTTTTGTTGAATCGAAAAAGTCGGCAACCAGACAACCAATTATCCTGTCATAAACGAATTTATCAAATAAATTATATTCAATATTTATATTACAATGAACGCTGTTGAGAGCTTGAATTCAATCATTTTCAAAACACAGATGCCTTGTGGAATTTCCAAGTTGGAAATATCAGGAACTGTCTCTCTATAAACAAGTCTGTTTTCTTTTTCATACCGTGTTTCCAGCTTTTTGGACTCTGCGAAAATTCTTCGTGTTTCATTCATGAAAGGATTATTCTTGGAAATTTCATCCTAATTTATGTGTCATGTGAAATAAGAAGATAATTGAGAAAACTTACAAAAACATCCATTTCTTCTAATTGCTTATTAGCGTTCACAATATAACAAACGGAAATGCCACTCTTGCTAATCATAAAATTAAATACACAAAATCGTTTCTCAATACAGACACTTACCCACTTTGATTTGCGTCAAGCGCGAGGTAATATAATGTAATTCCTCTGTACAAAATACGATATTGTGCACAAATTAATCGCAGTTCAGTATCTAAAATGCTACCCATATTTTCTAGACCTGTGGTCGCACTCTTATCATTTTGGTTTTTCAACTTGGTGTCCAACGTCATAAAGCTCTGCTGTGCATGATCAAATGTTTTATACACCGAGACGCTTAATCTTGCAATCATTCCAGAAGACTTGCCCGTGGCAATGGCAGTATGAATGGCAATGACTTGGCCAACGCCTTGTGCATATTCCATGAGGCCTTTAGCACACAAAACATCGAGTTCAGGAAGAAGAGGAAATGAAGATTTTGGGAAGGATAATTTTGTGTTGATGGTTGGGAAAATAGGAGAGTATGACGAATTCACTGGGCTAGGAACTGGAGAAGATCCATTCGAGGATGGTGCAGAGATTTGATGTAAATGGGAAGCATCCTGTCCACTGACATAGTTCACAAGACCATTCGTCGCTAAATAATTAAAAACTCCCCATGCTTTTCGGAGAAACAGTGCTGCATCCTGGTATATTTCAATGATAGAATTATTGTCTAGTAAATTTGTCGTTTGCTTGATTTTCTCGGAAGCTAAATTACATAATGCAAATCCATATGTATAGACGATCATGATTACTTCAAAGGTGATGAGCCTGGACGTGAAAAACTTTTTCGTCTTCATGAATGACTTGTTTTCTTCTCCTAATATTCCGCTAGACCACTCGAAAAGAACAGCGTCCTTATCTTTCAACTCTTTTTGAGATTTGAGTTGTTCATTCTCGGTGGCATGTAAAATACCTGTGAGATAGGGTAAATACTTTTCAATGGCCTATGTATATGTGATGACATGACAATTGAAACATCCAAATTATCCATAACACGTTTATCCATTCCGATAGGCACATTATATTCGTGAATGAGTTGTATCATCAATTATTATTATTATTATTTTGTATGTTTCCAAAAACATGAGTTGTGATGAGAGAGACACGAATCCACCACGTCCGATGGTATTATTGTTATTAACAGAGGAACACAATATCATCATCGCCATAAATTAATTATTACCATCATCATTTCAATAATTAAAACCTACAGCCACAACCACCTGATAAGGTTTTGATTTACTCATGGCCATAATGACATGATCTCTCGCTCTCGTTGCCTCCTTCAAATTTTCCTTTGTCATGTTATGGGCCTCCTTTGAAGTACCCGATACATAGGAAGGTTGTAACTTTTCCAAATTCACCTTCTTCGTGTGCGGGAGAGAGTAGTCATGAGGTAATACAGTCATTTTCTTTTGATGATTTTTTTGAAAGGTTTTTCAGAAATGACATCTTTACGAAATTAAGAGACACACAGCCAAAATACTCCAGCGAGTTTGTTGGCGAGTTAGCTCGGGTCTGACACAAAAGAGGAGTTGCATTGAACTACATTATTACTTTGCCTGCGCCAAAAACCATCAACACAAACAACCCTTGGTGCCGCGACAGTAACGACAGAGAATAATTGGAGAAGAGAGTGAAGTGGTAATATTCATCATCACAAGAACAAACACCAATATTTGGATGAAATATGATAATAAAAGACCGCTCAACAGCAGCAACAACCGATAAAACATAATAATAACACATTATTTAATGACAAGCCGTGAAGGGCAGAAGTATGGCATTACAAGCAGGTGGGTAATGAATCACTCAACAGGGCATTTTTGGTTCGTAAGCCCTTGCTGTTACCACTTTCCCAAATAAATAAAAAAATGTCATGGAAATAGTTGAAGGAATTTGTTACACTTTCTCGAATACACGTGTATGGATGTGATGGCTTCTATTTTCGATGAAAATTACTTGATTGTATAGATTCTCCTAAATAAGGAATTTATGAAATGCGTAAAAATTAATGCAATTTCAAAATTGGAACAACAAAATTCTCGATTTGAATTATTAAAAATTGAAAATGGTAATTTAAAACGGAGTGGTAGGACTTTAGGAATACAATAAATTCATGTTGAATTTTAGTTGTATTATCGTCATTAAAAAAACAATTCATCATGAATAACCAGAGTCATGAAAAGAATAATAATAATCCAAACAACCCTCTTTTCACCTCCTCCCATCATCCATTCCTTCAATCAATATTCCCACCAAATCCCAATCTTTATACCCAACAAAATCCATCCTCTCAACCAATTTTCCCTCCAAATCCCACCATTTTCTCCATAAATCTCTTTTACAAACCTGTGCCTATTTGTCATCAATGCATTGCTAGCAAATCCTTCCCATATGATTCCACAAATTCTCTCCATTCAGCAATTCGAGGGCCCTTTCAAACCTGCAGCCGCAGCAAACAGCCGAAAAGGACGGCTGCCAGCTCCTGATGACTTCCCAAACTTTGTGGAAATCCAGAATCCTCCAGAATCCGGATGTTTGTGGATTTTGGTGGTTGTTTTTGGCTTGGAAACGAGAAAAATTGTTAAAAATAAAAATGCAAAACAACAACAATTCCGGACAAGCCTTGGCATGTTATCCTTGAACGAAATGAATTCAAATGTGGAGCTAGACAACCAATCCACATCAACTTACACCCACGAAACGAATTCTGATCTTCATCTTCTCTATGACTATCTTACCGATATAAAATTCACACCATCAGACATCAATTCAGTAATTCGTATTTTTGAAGAAAATGCTATCAGAAGCATTGCTTGTTCTAACTTTTATTTGATGATGAAGAGATCATGTCATTTGCACTTCCAAAATCCATCATCAAAGCAGTGATTTCTTTCCGAATGCAACCCGAAAATGATAATCCAAACCAAAGATTTCACGTAAAAACAAGATTATGACTGAAGATGATGTCAAACAAATGTTCATAACAAAGAGCTTTGTGGAATCGCTCACATCTTCCTCAAAGAAAAAGAGCATGTCGCACTTTTGCCATGCTTTCAGATACTGAATATGAATCCAACCATTCATACTATATTGTTTAATTTCAATATACCTGGTATTGAAGTTTTACTTACAAAAGAATTCAAATTGAAACAATATTCGAATAATGACATTGTGGAATTCGATAAATTGGAGCAGCAATGGAACAGAACACATCAACCACACAACATGCTGCAAAATTTCAAAAACAAACAATCCAATACACATATCACCATTGGAGGAATTACCTATCAAAAACAACAATTGATACGTCAAGTAACATTTAGTCACAAAACTTCTTGTGATGTTTCGAGATATAGAAGGTTCGATAAGAGAAGTCTGATTTGCTTCTGGTTTTTCAATTTGTTCTTGAGAAGTCAGTTGAGAATAGAGTTGCCATGAGAGGGAGTTTGATTGTTGTGAGATAGTGTTAGGTTGTCTGGATGGGAAGAAGAAGATTATTTATATTCTATCAAATGGGAATACTGAAGAGATACTAAAATGAGAGAGCTCAATACTTTTAGATTTTTCATGAAAACTTTTGTTGTGAATGAATCAGATTGCAGATTGATGGACGTTTTTAAAGATTTTACACAATATTATGAGGAATTTACTTCGTTTCCAAGAACCGTCATTGTGGAGAACGGTTTTTTAGTAAGCAAAATAAACTGATCACCTGATCAAAATCCTACCTCAGCCGCAAAAATCCTGTTTCAACCGGATGCCAAAGGATTCTATTGATTGCATCTGAAAATAATTTCGGCAGCGAGGACTATCCTGGCTGAATGGCTGTTTGCTGTGGCTGAAGGTTTGAAAGGGCCCTCAGCAATTCATATATGTGGCTCTATTTGCAGGTTTCGATTGTGGAATTTTCATATCTCTTCTCAGCCAATAGAATCTCAATGTTTCTACATTATAAACAACAACAAGAGTTTGGAATTAATTGGAGGAAAACTAATGGGTTTGGCGAGTAATATTCAGAACAAATCAGAAGTTTGGTAAGTATGAATTTAAAATGATTAGTAAGTAATTATTATAACAACCAATTTAAGTGATGCTATTGTGTTTGGGTATAGGTTAAAGAAAAATACGGTTCGACGTTTAAGAAAAAAGTTATTCCATCACAAACAGCAACCAATGAAGAAGAAGCTGAATAAGAGAAAGATGGTTCCCAATTCCATTGTTTCAACTGATTCAAAGGAGTTAAGAAAACCGTTTTGGCATGATGATACAGTTGATCGTTTAAACAAGATTTATCTTGTGTCATGTTTTGCCAAGAAATACCCAAAGTTTATTTATCTTCTCCATTTGCCAACAATGTCCATCCATAGAACCACCTCCGAGCAAGAAAGAATTGGCAGAAAATATATTCAGCAAATCAGAAACTTAGAAAAAGACGCCATGTAAGTATGGAAATTCCAAGTTTAAAAGGACAGTCTATTCGTTTAACGGACGCAAATTTGGGTCAGAAAAGAAGAAGCTTGTTCAGGAATTCAAGGAAGTATTTGCGTTGGAGGAATCTTTAACAACGCTTGCCAATGAAATAGATCAAGAGAACAAAGAAAGGCTGGACTTGCTGAAGCGGCTGAAATGTTTTCAAATCCATGTCCATGTATTGTAATCACTGTACTACTGTGGAAATTAAGAGTCAACTTGTTCCAATTACTACTCCTTTGCGCAATCAATTCGAACTCGAATTAAGTCAAGAACAAGAACAACAGGAAGATAAATTGGAACAACAAGAAGATGAATTGAAAGAAGACAAAGAACTAAATGAAGACGACGAAGAATTGGATGAAGATGACGATGAATTGAATGAAGACTTGCTAATAAAAAAATTTTTATTTTAAAAAAATAGATGATGTTAAAGATTGGACCAAGTTTTGACTGCTGTGAAGAGTGGAGAGAAATACGCTTCCAATTTGGTTACTATTCACCTTGGTTTGGATGAGGATTGAGAGAAAACAAATTCAGTGGTAGCCCGTCTAATTCCAAAATCAACGTACACCTTGAATAATACATGTGAGTGGATAAATGATACCAAGGAAAAGTTAAATATACGTGGCTCCATTGTTTTACACTATGATCTACAATTTGAAAATTGCAGGATTAGATGTATTGTTGAATTCAGATTGTGGAACTCTTCACTTTGAATTTTTAAGATTTTGCCTACTGATACTGTAATACGCTTGATGTTTTGGTTGGGAACACTATAACGTCAAACATTCCGAATGATCACTATTGGTGACTTTAGTTGCTTGAACGTATATTCTTCGCATTCAGTATCTTTTACCAAGATGGAATATTGATGATCATTTATGTTTCACTGTTGTCTTCTTTCTTACAAACAACCTACACTTGTTCAAACATTCCATATTGAACGCAACAACATTGTGGTCTACATTACCACAAGTTGATTTGTTCTGAACGTAGTGAAGGGCAGGAATGTTTCGATTGTAAACAATAAATGAGTTTGGTTGAGCATTCGAAATAATTTTCATGCTCAAAAAATTTTCTGCATACTAGTACTTCGTCTCCCTTTGCTTTGCTTACTAACTTCCCACCCATCGCACTCCCATCCTTATCATGCTTTCTTAAGCTTTTCAAGTTCTCACTTGTTATGAATAAAGTTGGCCAGAACTTGAATGTGTTTCAAGCAATATATAAATCTATCAATTCCTGGAATAAAAAAATTTTGGGATTGTTTGGTGGTTATTGTTGCTGGAGTTGCTGTAATTAAGTAGTATTTTAGCAATCATCCCCATCCGGGCTATTAGCTGTGTGCTAGGATGGGCGATTTCTTCCACCCCTCACCACAGAAGACGATTATTTTAAAATTTTGAAGAATCTCCAAACCAACCTGAGATTCAAATAAACTAGGTGGCTATGGGATCAAGAGTTGAAATATTGTCCAGTAGATATTAAATTGAACGCTGTGAAGGACTTTGTTAAGGCTTAGAAAATTACTCGACATAAGAACAAGCAAGCAGTAGAAAAGGAATCCAAAGAGGCTGCCTGAAAGGCCAAAAATAAATTTCTTAAAGACGTTCAAAAAGGAAAAAAGGAGATGATTACTGATGAGGAATTGAACGAAAGATTTAATCCCAAACATTTTACTCGACAATCATGTGAATTCGAAATGAAAAGACGAAGCAATTAATATCCACATCAATCGTTCAACGCGACAGACGTTTCATTATCACAGGAAGGAGTGTTGTTGAAACTTATTTCTTGGAAAGACATACAGAATTCTATGGATCATCTTTTGAAATTTTATTATCCTGCAAGAGCATGAAAGTGGTTAAAGGAAGAGATTGGTATGTGTATGTGTTTCTATTTTACTCACATGCATGTAGAGCAAGAAATATTTTGATCAAGAATTACAATCATTTATTACATTGGTAAGTTGAAGAGACAACTCTTTCTTGTTAACAAACATTGTAGAATTTGTGAATAGTTGACGCTCCTTCTCCCTGATAGATTTGTTTTGTCATGGCAAAACTCGAAGCAAAAGAAGCACTACTCTCTGCTGCCGCATCAAAATGAAGAAAGTCTTGGAACGAGGCCAAAATGGAGGCCCCAATAAACGAGCTATATTCTCCTCGTTGATAATCTCTCGTTGAAGTCAATAGTTTGCTTGCTCTCGTGTTAGAATCTTCGTGCAGGAATAAATGGGAGCATGATGAAACTTTGACTTTGGTTTGAGATAATTGAATTTTCTTGTGAAGAGCGAGTTGTCGTTTCAAATCTCTCAACATTCTTCCTTCCATTCCATTGAATAAACTTGAACTTCCACTCAGTACAATATTTCCAATTAATTGTTCTTGAATATTTGTGTCTGATTGGAATTGTGAAATGGAGTCGTGTATCAACTCATGAACGCCTTTCAAATTGCTTAATAAAGAGTTGTTGGATGATGATGTTGCATTAAGGGCAAGTCTCTTAATCGAAGCAGAACGTCCTCGTTTAACAGGTGAATGATTCAAATTCGCCAAAGCGACCATTGTAGGTTGAAAATAAATTTCACATGAAACAAACTTCTCTCGACCAACGTTGAGAATTTTCCCATCGGGTAACTGAAAGGTAGTGTTGGTGTCTATTTCGTTCTTGTCAAATTTTGTAATCTCTTTTGGATAATCTGTAGCAATATAACATTGAAGTTTCTTTAAATCGTCAATACAAGCTCGCTCAGCACTTGTACTAATTTTGATTCCTTGATTTTGTGAATTTTCTTGTAAGAGTTTGATGAAATGCTCTGTAACTTCTCCACCTTCATATGTTGTCAACGATTGAAAGAAATCCAAAAAACAATATATATCCAACATGAAAGAAATACATTCTAATCGACTAATCTTCAATTGAACTCACCTCCAAATGGTAAATAAAAGTGTGTTGGATGTTGAGATTCCTCATGCACAAACTTTGCAACACCATCCACAACGGCCAATCCACTTGTCGTTGCGTGACCAAAATCCACACAAAATCCACTTGTTTTTCCAACGGAATATAAACTCATGACTTGAGGTATTCCCACATATAGAAATGGAATTTGAAATTTTTCAAAAAACAATTCAGTCATTCTCTCTCGATATTTCTCAACTTCTCGGCTCGATTCCAATAAATGATACAAGGAAATATTCTCATTCAATAAAACTCCATTTTCTTGACTCTTAATTCTGAGTAAATTTTTGAAAATATATGAATACATATTTTCCATTTCTTCGAGTGAAATGACCACTCCCTTCTCGACTGGATTTAAATATGTGTAATTGGAAGAGCCTGTTGTGGGAGCTTGAATTTGATAGCCCATTGGCGTACATAGTGAAAAATCATGACGTGATGATTGTTGTGAATATGGTCTATGATGATTTCCAGTAGTACTAGTACTACTGCTGTGATGATTGTGTGAAATTTCATTTTGTGATTTGAAAGCATCATATCCATATAAATTATGTTGTGAATATTTTGCATGTTTTGCAATAATTGTTGGAACAATAAATTGTGGTAAATCACTACCTGCTACACCTGTCTTGATACTTTCTGTTCCCGTATCAAGAATCACACATCCTTGACCATGAATATTGAATGGAATTATGGAAGCTTCTGTTTGTTTTGGAATCGGAATGTGGTGTGAAGAAATGATCGATTTGGAAGAATGTGACGATGAAGATGCATTTCTTAGAGCCTCTAATTGCACGTTTGATGATTTCCTTGTGGATTCAAAGAAATTATCAGGGAACAATCTTGACATTTTTTTGTCACTTATGATCTTCTTGAAGAACAAAAAGTAAACAATTATTCGAAAATGACCAAAACAAAGGATATGATCGCTCTCATAAGACCTGATGTATTCTCATCGAGTGATGAAAAATCCTATTTAGTTTTTTTGGAATTGCAACTTGGTTCAAGCAACACAAAAAATCTTCTCCAAGTCCCTACTTCGCAATTTCATTCAATTGTCATTGAAAGTTCGAAAACCAACAAATAGAGCGAGAGAAGATTTTATGAACTGTGTTGATAATCATTTAATTATTGAAAATAATATATTCATATCAGTATAATAATATCATTTACTGACATTTGTGATGATCGGGTTGTAACAACTTGTCAAGAAAGAACTCTTTAATTAATCGGAACATAAATTTCAGCCTTTTTCATTCTGAAACCAACAACAACAAACAAAGATCTTCCATTGAGATTATTAAATCCAAGTAATATTCCATGAATGGAACTAAAAAGAACCAACAACAGCAATCATCATCATCGGCAACGACGACCCTCCTCAACGAAACTTATTATTCCATACAACAAGTAGAACCAATCAATAATAACAACAACAACAACAACACGCTTACCTTTCATAGTAGCAGTGCTGGCAGATCAACAACCATGAATCCACGTCGAAATCTTCCCTTCAACAACAACCATTCAACAACAACACATTCATCATCCAATTTATCCCATTCCTATCAAAACACCAAGCCTTCTCCAATAACTTCAACAACTCCTAATCGGAACATCATCAATCCCAACCAAAAAACTTCCTACCTCTCTGCATCGTATAATCCCTATAGAAATGAAGCCTTCTCTCCGAATAGTGGTTCACGATTTCATCAACCTCCGATGGGCTCACTTTATACGAGTTCTTTTGAAGAAGAAAAACATCATACCAGCGATTATTTTGAAGACGTTGAAGAAGAGGACGATGATGACAATAATAATAATAATACACCCATTGTGGTGAATGATGGAAACGACAATTATTATGCAATTGGAACCGGAGATGCAGGGTTTTATTATGACATGGATGATAACAATGTAGGAATGGGGCCTTTGGAGCATTATGACGAGGATGAAGAGGCTGCCTTACTAGTGGATGGAAGTCCACAAGATTATTACAATGATCATCAGCAACAAATTGGTGAGGATCATAGACCACAAATTAGACGGATACCCAATGCTAATAGCACGAAAAAAGCGAACAAGACTGAGACAAGATCATGGTTTTCAAAATTATTATGTTGTTGCTTTAGACAACCATCTCCAAAAAAAGATTTCCAAAGCATGTTCAAGTTTGAACAATTATTTTGGAAAGATCAACAACGAAAAGCAGCACGCTACAAAAAAGATGCATCGACCTGGAGATTATTCTTTGTGACTATGTGTTTTTGTGCTTTACAATGTTGCTGGTCATTACAAATAGCTCAGTTGACGCCCTTAATATTAGAAATGAATTTTCCCAAAATGTGGATAACAATAGTGTGGCTTTGCGGCCCAATTTCAGGAATTTTAGTGCAACCCATAGTGGGTGTCTGGTCAGATAAATGTAGAAGTAGGCTAGGTAGAAGAAGACCATTTATTTTGACAGGCGCCATATTTATCGTACTGGCGCTGTGCTTTATTGCAAACTGTTTAGATATAGGATATGTATTGGGAGACACAGCAGAATATAGCCCCTGGTCTCTTACTTTCACGATTATAGGATTTTGGGTGCTAGACATTGCAAACAATACATTGCAAGGTATGCACTTTTTTTTCGATTATTTAAGACAACAATTGTATTGAATTATGTGTACGAATGGAACAACAGGACCCTGCAGAGCTCTTGTGGCAGATATTGCAACACAAAATAAGCAAGATGTTGCCAATGCTTGTTTTACCTTTTGGGTTGGTCTTGGCAACATTATTGGATATGGAAGTAGTATGATTGATTTTTCTCAATTCATACCCATGTATGCCTCTCCGATATGTCACAAAAATTGTGTGAATCTTAAAGTTGCATTCTATATAGCAGCTATTAATGTTGTGATATGCTGTACTTTTACATTACTATTTGCAAAGGAATATACTTTGGAATCGTTAGAAAACACCCTTGCTCCCAGCTATAGGAAAAAAGAAGCATCTCGACTGAAAGAAGAAGACATGATATTTTCAAAACGACTGAAGAAATTGTGCTGCCATCCTAATCCAATCAAAAGAATCATTGATTATATTTACAACATACCAAGAGTCATGAAAATACTGTGTGTGTTTCAATTCTTTTCATGGATTGGATGGTTTGCATTCCTTGTTTATATTACGGACTGGGTTGGAGAAAGTGTTTTCAGAGGAAATCCTGATCCACAACATCCTGCGTATCAACTTTACGAGACAGGAGTACGATTTGGATCCATTGGTCTTGCTGGCTTCTCCGTTGTGAGCATGTTCATCTCACCATTTATTCCCAGGCTCTCGAAAAACTATGGCACCAAGACATTGCTCTTCTTTTCACAAGTATTTTTGAGTTTACTGCTGTTGATGACCTTTTTTATCAGAAACAAATATTGGGCTATTGTGTTGATTTCATGTTTTGGATTGCCATTTTCCATCACAAATACTCTGCCGTTTACCATTTGCTCGACAGCAGCCAATGACTTTAGTAAGGGTACCTTTATGGGCATTTTGAATATTTTCATTGTGGTACCTCAATTGATCATGTCTCTCTTTAATCCTCTGGTAGTTTATGTTTTTAATGGATATACAGTAGCAACATTGGTGGGAGGTTCGATTGCAAGCCTTTTCTCATCAGTGTTGGTTTGCTTTATTCGAATACGAAAGCCAAAGAGAAACGTTAAGAGAAAGAAGCGATTCAATCAATTCTAAGTTATTAAAGCTAACACCAATTCGTCAATGGTTGATTTTGCCACAACATTAAAAAATTAATATCTATTTATTTCTGTAAATTCTTAAACAAGAATTGAAGATTGTCTAGAACATCGAATTTACGTTCACTTTTCATCGGTCTCTTAAATCCTTTCACTTTCAAAATCTATGTAAAAACGACAAGGTCAGTAAAGTTGTAACATTACGATTCACTTACATGCTGCAGGTTAAGATTCAACAGAATGATCGCCTTGTAAAATTTTGTTCGTTCACTTCCTCTAAGCATAAATAATGGTAATCTATGTAACAAAAGAGAAACAAGAATTAACAAGCTCCAAACTCATCAATAACCCAACTTACAAAACATTTTGATCATTTTGTCCCTCTTCACTGACAAAACTTCGTGAAGATAATGCATAAATTTGGTACTTGAGAGGAATTTGGAACAACTTGGATAGGATACGAACACAATGAGCCACAAATCCAAGTGCACTTGCTGCTTCATCGTCATTATTTGGTTGCTCTCCTCTACAAATTGTCAAGCCGTTAATATACAAATCGTTTGTTTGTTTTTGGGGATGAGGGCCAATCATATAAATGCTACTCAATTGTTGAACGATCATTGCTTGTCTGTGTCTAAACTTTTGCTCTAAAATGGAGAGCTCTTCCTTTTGTGTAGAAAGAAACCCTGCTTGCTCTCGTGAAAGAGACAATCGTTGCTCCAATAAATCTTGTTGTGACTCTAGCAATTGTTGATGTTTTTCCTTCAAATCGTTCTTCTTTTCTTCAAGTTGAGTTTTTCGTTTATCGATCGATTCCTTTGTCTGTTGAATCACAGCATTCAGTCTTTTTATCCTACTCTTTCTAAGAGCTATTTGTTGTTTGATTTCAATGATTTTTTGCCTCTTCTCTATCTCAGCCTTAATGCTCTCCTGCATCTCTCCAATACTAAGTTGAGATTCTTGTATTGCCAATTGAGTTCCACATAATTTTTCGACAGCATGTTGCAGCTCTGCCACACTGACCTCATGCGATGTCTGGTCAACTCTAAAACTCTTTCTTGTGATTTTTTCATTTCCTACACCATGTTTTTTAAGAACTGAATCTAAGTCTTCGGAAATAAAAACTCCGTCAACAAATTCCAATAAAATGCAATTGACAGGTAGTTCACTCAGTATCAAATCTTTCATGGTAACTCCAACAAAGTTCAACCGATTAAAATTAAATCGCTCTTCACAAATAAATTCCTCTCCCAAGTCAACATTTGGATGTGTGGTCTCTTGCAAATGCAATATCGACTGGTTTTGCAGAGAATATTTAACAGAATATATTTTTACCACGAGATCAGTAATTTGGCTTCCATTATCCGTCGAGCTATTCTCATTGTTTTCTGAAAATTTAGGATTAACGTTTAATTCAAAATTCCAGGATGGATTCTAATGTTCCAATACAAAATGAGAAATTAATTCCAGCTGAATAATAAATAATAACTTACAACTGATTGTTCCAAAACTCCAGTCCTGAATAATAGCTCAAGATGTGAGTCTTCTGCATCATTTCCAATATAGACACTAGCAAACGAGCACACAACTTCTTGACTCTGAATATTTCTGACATGGATCGCTCTCAAGTGTCTCAAACTACGCTGTTTAGGTTTTAGGAAAAACTTGAAGGATGTCTTTGTGGTCTTTTGAGTATTATCTGGCATGATAAGAGAGGATGACATTGGTGACTCTGATAAATTATTCAAAGGAGTTACAAATTCGTTCATCTTTTTGAGCTGATGAGTCGAAGTCATTGGAGAAAGAGCATTTGGTTGTGAGGTCGTCGCTGATGACGTCGTGGGTTGAGTATTGGTCATTCCGTTATGTCCAGATGATTGTTGCTTGTCATTCTCCACTACTCCAGATAAAACCTGCGATGAAGCTAATGGGCTAGTTGATGCGGTTGATGAGGAGGCTTCTGAGCCATCATAGGATCCATACGCAGGTTGGGATTCTACCTGGAATTTTCGTCTTGATGATTCCGAGAGTTTGTTAATTCGGTTGGGGTGGATGATGATGGAATTTCCTCTTTTGTTGTTGTTGATGATTCTTCGGATGTTTGCATTGTGTTATGAATTGGAAAATAATATCATTGAATTTAAATAGAGGTGATAAGCTCTGCAAGATAAATGTTTAAAATTGCAATTTTTGCAATCCAATAACAATAATTGAATTGTACTCTAGTTATTGGAATTTATATTACAAGCCGATCAATATAACGAACACAAAATTCTCTGTCGGGAGAGCGGCTGAAAATGATGATACGAACAATTTTTTAATTGGAATTTTGTTGAGAATTATTTGAAAGGATGAACAAAGACGTCTTCTGATCACCTATTTGTTTTGCTGATTCTAAGTTGCACTTAATCCTGCTAGAACTCAGGGTAAGAAAATCTAAATCGTCATCATGTTGTCATGCGTAAATTCAAAATAATGAAATTTCAAAATCCCGAAACAAAAAATGTCCTCGACATCATCATCAAGCTCACCATCATCAGAACGTAAAAGAGGTCCCGGTGCCATTGGCAAGGCTTATCTTTTCCTCTATAATGCTGCTTTGTGCGGAGGATGGGGATATATTCTCTATTTAACTGTAATGCATCACGTGGAAGGAAAAAAGAATGTTGATTTGTATCCAAAAATTGAAAAGCCTTTGCAATTATTCCAAACTTTGGCTGTCTTGGAAATTGTTCACTCCATCCTCGGATTGGTTTCATCTCCAATTTTCACAACTTTGATGCAAGTATTTTCTCGCTTGTTTGTTGTTTGGTTCTCTCTCAATCTTGAACATCAAGTGAAATATACTGAGACCGAGGCCATCTTTATCACTACACTTATGGTTGCTTGGTGTGTAACAGAGGTCATTCGTTACAGTTTCTATGCTCTCAAGCTCTATGACATTTGCCCATATATTATTATTTGGTTGCGCTACACTACATTCATTGTGTTGTACCCATTGGGTGTCTCTAGTGAATTGGCTTTGACCTACTTTAGATTGAAGTACGTTCGTGAGAATCGTCCATACAGCTTGGAAATGCCAAATCCATATAACATGTCTTTCGATTCCTACATTTTTGTGTGGATGGTCATGCTTTCCTATTTACCTGGTTTCCCACAATTATACTTCTACATGTTTGCTCAAAGAAAGAAAGTGTTGGCTCCTCCAAAAGAAAAGAGCCAATAAGAACATCAATGAAATTAAAGTAATTTAATAAAGATGTCATTGTGATAGGAATTCATGTTCACCTGTCACACATTATTCAATAAGGCGAAAATTTACATTTGGATGTTCCTCAAAGAAACTCAGTTAATTTCCAACAACTCCTGAAACAGCGTTAGAGAGTGATCTTCTAGCAAAGAATGCAACAATTTGATCTTTGGCACGGCCAAGAGTTGAACCTTCCTCGTTGAAATGTCTGTACAGCAAAATGACAATGATAATTTGATAGACAACTGTTGGCCAATAAGGAATGACAAGTTAGCATAAATCTCGAAATTTGTTCATCCAATAATACCATTCACAGCCCAAGCAGCAGCCATCACAAAGCTAAAGACAACAGAAAAGGTATCACCACCCTTAGTTAGCAGCCATAAAGCGCTCACAAGTCCACAACCTCCAGCAGATGGCACTCCAATAGCCATAAACAAGCTGAACAAAATGCCAACAATGTAAGAAATAAAGGCCAAAACATATCTGTTTGCAAATGAGGCATGTCTCAATAAAATTCGTTCAATCAATACAAATCACCTACCTGGCAGAGTTCTTGTGACTACAAGCTCCATAATGAAGCCAATATTGAGCAAAGAATCCAATGACAGGGAAGAATAGAGCAATAGCTCCAGCAATAGCAATACCTCCAATGTAATCGCTAAGCTTGCTTGCTACAAGTCCAATAATCAGCCCTGCAGTATTACAAAGTGTGAGCAAAATGTAAGCAAAATATGCAATCTAATTTTGATCATGAGAATATTAATAATATTAAAATAACGAATTTGGTTGTTGAAATAATTCATAATGCCATTCAAAAAGAAATTGATCGTTGTGGATGACAGGATGATGAAGCAACACAAATCATTTACGATCATCATTCATAACGAAAATACAAATTTCCATAAATTCAAACCGCCATCCGATCATCACCAGATCACTTACCAATCCCATAAACGCCAAATACTTTTTCTTTCCACAAGCAGAAAAACTATGATAGACAATCGGATAACATGGTGGAAAATTCTTCACTTTCTTCTTTGCTTGTTCCTGTTCTTGTTCTTCGCTTTCATTGGCTTCGGATTCATCATCTTCATGATGAGCCTCGTTCTTCTTTGAAAAGAGTCCTTTTACGTAATTCATTTTTTTTATTGTTGAAAAGGAAACCAAGTTATTGGAAATTATTGGGAATGCATTTGAAATTGTAGAGTTGCATTGATAGGTCAGATATGGAAAATTCATGACATGAAACCCAAAGGTCACGTCACAGTTTGTCCTCTGGACTTTTCTGATCTGCGACCAATAATTTTACTTTGTGAAAATGAGAAAAATGCATTGGATTTGATTCACAAAAAATTGCGAAGAAAATGATAATTGCTTTGATTTCAAACAAACAACTTTGTGCGTTGTTATTGACAGTTGCTGTGGCACTAGTTCTCTTTGGTGCTTCTTCACCATCGCACGCTATTTCACTCAACATTCGAGAAAATATTTCAAAATTAACGAAACAACAACATCTGCCACATGTCAAGACACCCATGCGTGATATTCTTTCTTGCAGTGATAATGAAACTCTTTCACTATCCTCGGATGCGTATCAATTCCCTAATCATCATCCCAACAACATTCTTGAAGCGTACTATCATGAATGGTGGTTCTTTGCCTTCTTTGATCCCGTTCAAGATATTGGCTTTTGTGTGGGTTATGGTGTTCAAAATCAATTACATGCCTGGGATCATAATGCATTAGCAAGCATGGCCGGAATGGTATGGCCATACGTATCAAAACCTCCACCAAACAATAATAACAATACTCGTTCGGGATTGTTTTCTGAAATCATGTCCATTGGTGAATTTTCTGGCTCCACTCAAAATGCATCAGTGACGATGGCTCTCACCAATACCATTCAGGTCATTGATGAAAGAACCTATGAGGTGCTGACACTCGTACTCCTGGTTCTAATCAATTGACAGGTAGCACGAAATGGTGGCTCACTTATGAGCAAACAGTTCCAGCTTGCAGAGAGGTGGTTGAAATTCCTGAATTGTTGCAATTGGATTGGATCAGTTACATGCCTGCTGCTAATGTGAAAGGTATCATTCAAATTGATGGAAAGAACTACTCTATCAATACTGTTGGTTATCATGACCATAACTATGGAAGTTGGCCAACGAGTTATTTCAATTGGATTTGGGCTCAATTTAATCATGCTCCTTCTGATTTTGCATTGGTCGTGGGAGCTTATACCGTTCCACTCACAAACTCACATGTTGGATATGTGTTTTTGAGATATCGAGGAAGAAAGATCAAGATTGGAACATTGTGCGCTGACATGTTTGAATTGACACCACTCGAATTTGTAACATCACCACAAGGAAAGCGTGTGAGTGTTCACAATAAGGTTATTTCTTATAATAAGGAGTGGAAAGTGGTTATCGATTATAGAGCTCAAGTGAGCGATAGAAATCCTGGAGATCGTGGTCTTGGACTGTTTGTGTTTGAACAAATCTCACTGTACAATGTAGAATTGTATAATTCCAAGAATGGTGGTGCTTGGACCCTGGTTGAAAAGATGACAGGATATGGTTTTAGCGAGTGGAGTGACAGGACATAATTTGAATGTTGTTTGAGATGTGTCCAATTCATCCAATCGTGTTAGTGATCTAATTTCTGCATAACGTATAAATAAAATTTATGAAGAGCTGTAAATTAAGGTCACAACCTGATCGTCGTCTTTGATGAAATGGTATTAATTATTTTTGTTAATCTTACATGTTGTTCAATCTGGTGTGAAATTATTACTTTTTGAAGCTGATACGCATTGGCTGTTGCTTGATTTTCCAAAATTGAAGAGCTTCCTTGGCTGCTGTTGCTTGTTCCACAGTTTCGTACTCCACAAATCCTACACCCTTCTCGCCCACTAGCTTCAACCTCTTGAATCCATCATAATTGCTGAATAATGTTTCAACAAGCTCACTACTCTTTTCAATATCTTTTGGAAGATTTTCGATAAAAAGAATATTGTTTGGAACTTGATTCTCTTCAATCTTAGATGATGGCTTGGACGTATCGGATTTAGTTTTCTTGGTCTTTTTAGTTTCAGGTTCCATTCCGAGCTTTGTTCGTTTTTCTTCTGTTCTCTTTCGCTTGTGTTCTTCCAAATTTCCTTCAAGAGCGGCTGTAGCATCACTCTTTGTTTTGGCAAAGTTTATACGGAAAGGCTTGTCATGAAATATGAATCCATCATATTTCTTTTTGGCTGCTGTAGCAGTGGCAACATCTTTGAACACAATCCAAGCCTGTCCTCTCGTCTTTTCATATCTACTAGCAATAATATCTAGAATTTCTCCGAACTGAGAAAACATGGTGTATAATTGTTTTTTCAATGTAGGAACTTTGATCTTTTCGTTAATATTATTAATGTAGATGGTATTGTTTGGAAGTACTTGATCTGCTTCTTCCGATGATGAAGATTGGTTGGCCTGTGTTGTGGCTTGTTGCATTTTTTTAAATCTGCTTGTTCAACGAATGAATTTTGACTCTCGCAGATCGTTGGAGAAAGGAAGCAATTGTATCATTTAACAACCTATTAAGAATTGCCCAATTTACACTACACATGATGGAACGTACGAAAATCCCTACACTGTTCAAAAAGCTTTGGAATTCATTGTGCCAAAAATGTTTTATGAAAAATGAAACGAAAGCTGGAATTGGCTGTTGGCGATGATTCCCTCTCGCTGTTTGATGTACTAAACGAAGTGAGAGAGGAAGGCTATTTATCGGGAAAGGAGAAGGTTAAAAAGATTGTGGATTATTTGGCCAAGTTTGAGCTGGCCGAAGAACATTGTACTGAAATTCAGTATCCTAAATGGATTACACTCCAATCTACCAAAACTTTGTTGAATATTTTCGATATTAATCCAAACGGAATGTATACCTTCTTCGACAACGGAGATGTTGAGTTGAAGGATAAACTTTATAGCTTATTTTCATTATATTCAAACAACCAATTCAAAGAATACATGATAGAGTTGCCTGCTGTCCAACGGTTGTTGCAGCCATTTAGCTTCTCTGACAAGCAAGTCACTGATTTAATGAGCTCTATTTCAACTCTAGTTACAACAGTCTTACGTTATCCAGAGAACGACCTTGTTATTAGTAGTCTTTTCAATGCTGTGATTATTAACCTTTTTTCTGGACTATCTGTCTCAGCAGTTAGTAACAAGAAAATTAAGATATTATTTAACGAACATGCAGAAATTACCTTAACGCCAGCGTTTATTGGACAGGCACGAAACATATTCTTTTTACGAGAAGATAAGTCAGGTGAGGAATCGCTTTGGGAGAAATCTGCAATGGACTCGTTAACAACAATACTTATGATGCATAGCGTTTTGAGGTACGTTTCTTCCCCTTACAAGGACAGGAGCACCAATGTCAACTTTGGTGAAGTGAAAACATTCAGAAAATGCAAACAATCAAAGATCTAAAGAACTGTAGCAAAGTGATGGGATTTGTTTCAAACAGATCGAATTGCCATTTATTTGTGTTGGAAGCACAATATCCAGAGCTTGATCAAGAGACCTTTTCAAACAACGTTACTCCACATTACTTTCTGAGTAAGGTGGATATATGTACTGATGTTCAGGGAATAATTGTATTCCTTGTGAATCTGCTTCGTTTTACCAACACCATGTAGTCAAGCATAGCCGTTTGACAGAAGATACGTTCAATGTAAATCCTTCAGCAAAGAAACAACCTCTCCGACTTCAAAAGATAGGCTTGAAAAAACAATCAAAATCTTCAAAATCTAAGAAAATATGCAATCAAAAGATTACAGATGTCATTGCAAAGACTGAAGATAGAGAAGTTTATCAAATATTACACTGTTGTGTAGCAAAGAAGGTTGACAATGAGGAGGATTACATTTATAATCTTTTGTACTCGGAGATTGAACATTGTATTCACTTGCCTCGTCTTTTCACCCGAAAAGATCAACAGGGTTTCATCCAAATAGAACAACTCACTTCTATTTCGACGATTGAATGGAATGAAACAGCATTGATGACACTTGTGAAACATATTTCTTGTGCTCTCAAGTTTTTACATCGCCTCAACATTCTTCATAGAGATGTAAAACCAAGTAATATTATGTTTAGAAAGAATTTTGGAACTTATGTTTTGATGGATTTTGGTCTTTCTGTGCATTTTGAGAGGGAATGTGTTGGAGAAACACATGCTCTGCGAAATGTTTTAACTCGGCATTTTATCAATGAGGATGTGGGTACAGGAGAATTCCGAGCGCCAGAATTGAGGCAACAAACATGCTATGATGAGAAGATCGATATATTTTCTCTTGGTCAGACCGTGGTTTATCTTACTTCGAATTTATTTGTAGATTCTGCAGAAATTCTCAGCGAGGCTTATGTACAGGAGGCATTTAAAGAGCTTGTTAAAAGAATGATAAGTTTAGACCCTAAAGAAAGGCCATCAGCTGAAATGGTGGAAACAATAGTGTCAAACTTGCTTTTAAACCAGACAAACAAGTCACACAGCAAGAGCACCAGCAAAGCATCAGATTTCTGTACACAACATTAATAGAATTATCAACAATTTATTCTTCACTGTCAGAGTTTTGTTGCTCTCCCTTAAGTTTTTCTTTCACTACTTTTAATGACCTTCCTCTTTTGTTAATAAACCAATTGTTAATTTGTGTCAGATTCAATTGAGTTTGGTCGCTCAACCATTGTTTTTCTTCATTGGTTGGATAAGGATGCCTATAGTGTTCCAAGAACCAATTCTCTAATATCTTCTTTGCTTCGTTAGGGAGTCTTCTGTTAGTACTTTTTTGTTTCTTCTTTGAGTTGCTGGAAGAATCATTGCTACTTGCTCGATCTGATGATCTTGAATTTGACTTGGCCACGGAAACCCATTCAGACAACAATCTCACCAAAACTTGTTCACAATGTCTCTTATTTGTCTCATTCTTCATTTCCAACTTAGATTTCACCTTTGCAAACAATTCCTTCATGTCATTATTAAGAGAATTGTCAGCATTGATGTCCAAAGATGGAGTGTATTGACTCATAAAAGAATTCACAACACTCATGTTATCCTTTCTACATTGCTCAAAAGTCGCACAAAGTCTCGCTTTCGCATCCAACAGCTTTGAAAAATCTTCTTCTTCAAAAGGTGCTGGTGATTTTGATCGACTTCCTTTCTTTGGCTTCTCTCCAATAATTAACAGGTAGACATAATCTCTGAGTGTGTCTTCATCCAAATCCAAAATACTTTGTCCCTCGAATTGAGAATCCACAAAAGAGTCAAACGAAGAAGAGGCATAAAGTGGACAACTCGAATCCATTTGAGATTGTTGGCCATTGTATTCCATCGACGGTGCACTATTCGTCGATGTCACATTCTTCTTATTTTTCTTTCCTTTCTTTCCTTGGGGTGAGTTATCAGCATTGAATGACAAACTATTGGCCAAGGCAGTGATACTTGTCATGCCCTTTGATTCTGTTGTTGAAATGGTGTGATTGGTGTACAGTGAACTCATTCCTCCAAACACAGCTGCATTGTTGGACATGTTTTTCAAACCATCGTACATGAGAGGTATGGATTGTGGATCATTCAGATCACCCATTTGTTGTTCATTGGAAAGATTCCATTGAGCAGCAAGTTCATCTCCATTTGTTGGATTTGTTAATATTCCAAAGGGTTGGTTTGGATTTTGTTGTTGAGCTTGAATATTAGCAGCAAGAGCATTGAGTGCTGCATAATTAGATGGATTCATTACTTGAATGGAACCTTGTCCATTATTGGTGTTCGTGGCAAGTAAATTCAAATTTCCATTATTAATGGTACCATTTCCATTGTTCAAGAGTTGTTGTGACATGAGCATTTGAGCAGCAGCCGTCGCAGCAGCTTGATTGTCTTGTTCGTATTGATTAAACCAACCAAATTCAAAATCTTCGAAAGGTGGTAACTCTTGTTGTAAAAGTCGAGAGGTGGATCCATCATTAATCCAATCCATTAATTCTTCTTCTTGAATATTGTTCGAATTGGCATGTGTCGAAGGATTGGAATTTCCATTCATCGATGAAGATGGTTGTGACGGATTGACATTGTTCGCCAATAATCGTTGTTGATATTGCTGCAATTGTTGTTGAAATTGCATTTGTATGGAGGTCGTGTTTGAACTTGGATTCATGGAACCTTGATTGGGATTACCATTAGGTTGAGGAAAGGAATTGTTAAAATTGGAACTCGTTAAGGAATGGTTCGAAGCAACCAATCCTTGTTGTTGAGTCGAGTTGGAATGTTGTTGTTGAGCGCTTAGTGAATGATTTCCAGAAGGTAATGGTTGCAAAGTAGAAGTGGGTCCAAGACCTGTTGAAAATACAAAACGATTATTATTATTTGAGGAAGAAGAAGATGGTTGTGAATAAGGCATTGATTGTTGTTGATGGAGTGTTGTTGTATTGCTTGTTGTTGCTTCGAATTGGGTTCTGGTGGCCATGGTGCAAGTTCACGTCAGTAGTCAAAGGTCACTTTGTATGAAGAGAGGGCAAGAAAGTAATTTTTCAATCTACCACGACACGACGGGATGATGTAATGAATACTATTCAATGTGGAATACAAAATACAAGAAGTCAATCGTCGAATATCAAAGAAGAACACTCTCTTCTTGTGTGTTAATATAAATTGTTTCTCGGAATACGAGTCTTTACAAAATATTCGAGAAATTTCTCGGGCTCTTGGTGTATGACAACAGCTGATGGGAGAGAGCAGAAAAAATTGGCGCCTCGACTTTGCCTCTCTCAGTGTGCGCAGAGATACAATAATGTTGTTTTTTTCTGTAGTTGAGTGACGAATGATGGCTCTTGATGGCATCAACACTTCACCGCCTGTCGTAATGAGAGAGAGGGACAGCACACAATCTATTCAACAAGTGCACGCATACAAAGTTGTACAACACGAGGCGCCATGGAGTTGTGGTACCACATCAATATAAGGAGCGGGAATGCATTTTCTCCAAGCCCATTTTCAACCGCCACCACTACCCCTATCAAGTGATGGGATGGACTCGGAAGATTTTGATTCTTAATCATGATATTCTCCACCACCACTCTTTGAGATCCTTACATCAAAACATTGCTACACTTCATGTCCTGTATGACTAAATAAGAAATATCTTTATCTTGAATTCGTATTATTCGTTCCATCATGAATGTTCATCACCAAATTTTACATTACATACGCGCGTACGAGACACTCTTGGATTGTGAGATCCCTTTCATTCCGAATTCAGTGGATTCGTGTATGGTTAATTCTTCTTGAATTGGGATGAATCGTTCCGTGCCTGATGTGGTTGCTGTTGTTGTTGTTGCTTATTTAAGGTTGATGTTTGTAACACATATCCAATCAATGCCGAAGCTCCTAAACATAAAAGTGCTGACATGAAACTCTCACCGCCATGTGAAAAGAATAATGAAAGCCAAACTAAACCGATCATTAAGGAGGAGAGCATGGTCGTGGAGAGGAATAAATCCGAAGCACTTCCAACATAATCTCCAAGTAAGACCAATGAAACAGTGATAGCCCATACGACAATGAGAATTCTTGCTCCGAGAAGACCTGATAGAGACCATCGATAGAATTCAATTTCTTGATTGAACATTTCTTGTGGTGAGTGGTAGTATCCTTCATGAACGACACCAACATGATATCCATTGGAAGCTTTGAAAAGTTCAAGTTCTCCATTGGTGCTTGCCTGTGAAATGAAATTTCATGAAAACATGATGTTGTGCAAATGTGAGAAAGTCATGATGAGAAAATTACCCAAAAGCCACACAACTATACTTACCTGGCGTGCAATAACAGAAACTCCCTTATTAACATCTGGCTTCTTGTGAATAAAGCTCACACGAATGTCACCAGGTTGACAATTTGAAAATAAATCTCCAACTTGCCAGTCAAATAATGAGCCTTCCAAAAATCCAAGGGCGATTTTAAGTGCCTTCTCAGCAGTGGATGGCTCATAGGCAGAGAAGAAATATCCATCTCCTATATACTTGAAATTATGGGCACTATTTGCAGGAGTATTTGTAATCTTTCTTAATTCCTCAGGTGAAAATTTAATGGTTCTGGCAGGAATTTGATTCTTTTCAACCAAATTCTTTCCAATGTGGAATTTTCCAAGAGTGACGCCTTCAACTTTTTGTGTGACGGATGGAAATGGATCTCTTTGAGGATTATGATGAGCCACTGGTTGATCAAAGAACAGACTTGGTATCAAGTGATCTACCCATCCTCGGTTGTAATAATAGGTTCTTACGGTATATTTGGAGCCATCAGAGCGAGTCTTCTCCTCATCGTGGTGACTTTCAATCCATTGACAATATTCTGTCTTTCGTGTCACTTCAAAAGCACCGTTAAATGTCAATCCAAAATCTGGATCTTGAACTGGGCGTTCAGTTCGAATATTGTGTGAAGGAACATGGAAGAAAACTAATTGATTATTATTTTCTGATCTTGGTTTCGAGTTGATAGGATCAACAATGGTTCGGGTGGATCTTGCAACTTCTAAAAAAGCATGTTGCATAAGAATTGCTTCATTTTCTGCGTAAAACAAAGTCAATGGAGCTGCAACTAGAAAAATTGCAAATATTATCTTTAAAAACCACAAAGCACAAGTATTTTCAATCTATGTTACGTATTATTCAATAATTTTTCATCGGACATTATAATCATCCAATGACAACACCACCACCAATAGTAATCAGAAATATCATTCCAATAAAAACACAAAATATTTCTCCATGACCTACCTTCAATTGTGTATCACTAATAATTCTTGATCTTCCGACTCGGGTTGTTAAAAAACTCGACCAAAAACCAGCATGACCTCTTGTATAGGCATCATTCGATCCGAATAAAGGCATTTTTTTTGAGTTCTATTTTAGGAGTCACGATCATGACGAAAACGTGTTTTTAATTCGAATTTTGAAACAACACGTGTTGTTGGAAGTGAGGAGCGCTTCTATCCATTTGATTGGATTGACATGGAGAAGTGTTTGAAAATACATTTATTGTTTACAGTTTTTTAGATACGACCAAAAACACTTGAGGATGGAATAACCAATATTCACCCGTGTGATGTTTTTTCACAGACACTCTCGATAACAAGTCCAATACTTGTTGCTTTACCTCTTCACTCTCCTCTCTCATATCTCTCTCTAGCATGAAACTCAATAATTGCAATCCTTTTCTGTACGCTTGTTCCATAGTAGTGTCATGAGGATTCACAAAACAATTCGATACATTCAACGTGGCATTTACAATATCCATTGAATAAGGTACTTCCAAATCATTCAATAAATGTTCCACTTGCATGGAATTGAATTGCAAATTTCGAGTGCATTTCCTTCCTTCAAACAATGGATTACACAAATTTTGAAAGTTGTTAATTCCTGCTGGACTCTGATGTAGAATCATGAGTTTGCCATTCGGAGAGAGATGATCCACACATTGAGCGAGCACATGTTTTCGATGAGGAATGTAATACAAACAATGAAGCATGAGAATGAGATCGAATGTTCCATGTTCGCTACTCGGATTCAATCGTTCTAAATAATCCTCAATCGGTGCCACGACAAATTGACATTCAGAGACATAGCCTCGAACGTGTTGAGAACAAAACACTTGTTGAGCTTCTTGTACTAATACGGAATTGATATCCACTCCAACATAGTCGAATTGAATGTGAGGTCGTTGTTCATGAATGGCTTTAAGAACATGAACATCACGAGCGCCATGACCACAACCGACACTCAGGACACGAAGAGGTGCGTTGGTATCATGATTCAAGGAAGAGTCGTGAACGAGCTTGTCCACATGCGTTGAGACATATTCAGGTAGACATGATTGCGGTTTAGAACATGCAAGAAATTGTTTGAAAACATTGGCGTAAAAATCATCTTGTCCAACAAGATGATCGTTGTTGAGGTGTTTTTGAGCCATATGGAAGAAGCAATTGCCAAGAGTTGTGTGTTTGTTTTTTTGTATGTATAGTGTTTGTGAAAGATGTTGGAAGAGATATTAGGGATGGCCATCTTTGAAATATTGTCAAACTTCAACCATAAAAGTTTGTCGCTGACATGTATGGGTAAATTAGTAAGTGACATTTCTTAATCCTGTGTTGCTTCAAATGAAGCATCTATGAACAGCTATGGCCTGGTGTATGAAATGTCACCAAACAAGTAACGACACGAATCGTTCACGGGTCTTTTTAATTGGCATTGAGGACCAAAATCATGGTTTTTCTTTCACAAACTCCGGCTGAATGATTTACAAAACAGCAACTATTGTTTGTTTTGACCTTCTTCGAGAGGTGACAAAGACAAGTCAATTTGCCGTAAAGAGAGGAAGCAAAAGTACTTTGATCTACATTTTGGGCTGAAGTCGTTCATGGTCATTGTAGATGTAATTTACAATACTTCTTGGCTTCGAGTCATTATTTAAAGAATTTGACATGGCTTGATTGTGATTTGTGTACATGGGAAGGAAGAATGATGAATTCATCCAGTCCTGTCTCTCGTTTATTAGAATGTCAAAATTTATCAAATTTAACTCATCTCAACATTTCGTTTATTGATCCAAACGGAATGAAAAAACTTGGAGAAAGTCCCAATCTCACGAATTTGAAACGGTTAATGATAAACCATTCTCATCGGTGTGCCATCTCTCAACAAGATTTTCGTGTGTTTTGCAATAGTGCTAACTTTTGTAAATTGACAGAGTTGCAGTTGCATTGTTTCGAAAATCAACTTTTCAATGCAATTGAAATATTAACGGAAAGTGAAATTTTCAAAAGTGGTCAGTTGACTTCATTAAGGTTGCATGGTCCAGTGTTAAGATATACGGATGTTCGATATTTAGTTGAGAACTCTAAAACAACCTTCTCGAATTTAAAAACACTTCATTGTGAAGTGCATGACATGAAAAGTATTCAATTATTAGCCTCTTGTTCACAATTTCAACAACTGACTTCTCTAGGTTTGAGCTATTGCCAATTAGAAGACGACTCAGTTGCTGCATTAATCGATTCAAATTCTTGTCTGAAATCATTACATTCGCTTCATTTTGCTGGTAATTGCATCTCGTTCAAAGGAGTAAGATCACTCATGAATTTCCAAAACTTGGAATTGTTCGATTTACAACAAAACCCTATCGAAGTGGAAGGTGCTAAGATTATATCCCTGTCAGAACACATGAAAACTCTTACGTATTTAGATTTAAGCAGCTGCCGCATTGGAGACGAAGGACTCATGTATTTGACACAAAGTCAATATTTATCCAAGCTGAATACCTTGATCCTTGCTCGGAATCATTTGGGACCCAAAGGAGCGCATTATCTAGCTGAAACCGAGTGGAGAACTTTTCCAAATTTAACCTACCTAGATATGAAAGACAACTGGTTTGGAGATTCAGGACTTTTGGCTCTTGCAACATGTGAAATTATCAAAAACCTTAAAGAATTATTCTTGACTCATCTTGTATTGGGAACAACAAGCGCAGAGTATTTATTTTCCTCTGACAATTCTTTTGGTAAGGTTTCAAAATTTCATTTAAAGGTGAACAAGTGTGAGAATCCTTCTCAATGCAAACACTTGGTTCAAGGTCTGTTGAAAAAGTATCCTCATGCTCAAATTCAAACTGGAGAATCCTATTCCATTAAAAGAAAGTGCAGTATAATGTAAGAGAACGTTGAACATTACTCGAGCCCTTCTGCAATTCCAGTGTAAAGAAGAAAACCATTTGTGTTCTCATTAGAAAGTATCGTTTAGGACATAATGGGGTCAAGCTCTTGTTGGAATCTAATCAAATTTCAAATGTAGCAGCACTGAACATTAGTGGAAACGAAGGCAGAAAGGAAATGATACAAAGTTTAATCAGGGGTCCATTCATCTAAAGCTGACCTACTTGGACATGTCACACAATTGATTTTTAGATGAACTATGTTCACATCTATTACCACAGTTAAAGAAATTGATTTTTGGTATGGACTCCTTCAATAGAAGTGCCCTTGAAGCAAAGATAAAGACTGTCCCTGTGGAAGTTGATGGACGAAAGGATGAAGAATTTGAGTTCTTCTTTACAGGACCTTGATTGATTCGAAAGTAAATTCTGAATGGATTTGTGTCCGGAAACAAAATGGAACAAACTCCCAAGTGGAAACTTTTTAGAAATAACAACCAGGTAAACTCAGAGGCAAGAATCGAATCCAACTGGAATTTCATCATCAAGAAAAAACACGAACAACACCTGTGAATTGACTCAATTATTCGTCCCGAATTCGTAGGTATCTCAATTTTGTTTGTTTGGTACCAACAGATTTTTACATGATGACAATTACAAATGTTTCCATACATCCTTTTGGTTTTGCCATCATCAGAGAGTTTTCATTGATCATCATCATCATTAAATTATTTAAAACCCAATTTTATTGTCCTCTGAATCATCATCATCAAGCCTAGAAAATGTCCAACTATCAAACCACATCAGCCACTCCATTCAAACAAGAACAACCTACCACAGAACAAAACCCAAACATGACCTCTCCACCACCCACCAGTGCTACTCCTTACGTTCAACCACCACAATCCCAACCAATTTATTACTCGAACAATATGGGAGTTCCTCAACAACAACCCATGTATCAAGGTCAACAACCTTTCTATAATGCTCAACCAGTGATTTATACACAACCCTCTACAGTACCAACCTCTCATTATAATAACAACACAACAACAGTTACATCTGCTTCAACAACCTTGTTGGGTACACCGTTGGAATTGGAAGATGAAAAGAATGCTAAATTATACTTGATTATTGGTCTCTTTTTAGGTATTATGTGGTTGATTTGTTTTGTGAGATATAGAAGATCCTCGAGTGCCCGTGCTAGAAGTTATGCCAATGTTTCCGGAGCATTGTTTTTCTTACAATTTTTCTTGAGTATTGCATTTGCTGTTTCATTATCCATTGCAATTACTGTGTAAACGTGTTTTCAGTAATGAAAATTCTTGATTTTTGTAAACCATTTTATTATGTGTGTTCATCATTCTTAGACATGGATCAAGTCATGCAACCTTAATGGAAACCAATTTGTTTTATTTGTAAACTTTGACACTGTCATCTTGACAAACAAAGAGTTCACCAGTTTCCTCATTCAAGCACAAACTATCTGGAAGAAACACGTTTTCACCAAACTCCTTAATAATTGTTCCGTCTGTGGGTTGAAAAATTTGAATTTCGTTAAACTCATCGTTACAAGAAATAAGTGTCTTGGACACTTTGTCGTATGTTAATCCTTGAGAGTAAATGTCGTCATTCTCAACAAGAAGCCGTTCGAAAGTCCATTGATTTTTGTCATCCTTTCGAAATATCTCAATGCTTGACAACATGCTAACGAATAATTCGTTGCCGTTTTCAGTAAAAGTTAGTCCGTAGGGACTTTCAAGATTTGTGATGGTTCTAACGGTTTGTCCTGTGGACGATCGTAATATAAGAATACTTCCGTCAGTATGTTTTTCATTACACACAAACAATAAATTCTCCTCAAAACAAAGACGATCTTTCCAAAGAGCCATTCCTCTTGGCTCTTCCAACTTTTCCGATTTCCATATAAAATCACACGACTCTTTGTTGATGGTTTGATCTACAAGTCTCTTCAAATCATATTTAAAAACGCAATTATGGCCATAACAATCAAAAAACAAAGCATCATTGTTATTTCCATCGAAATTTTCCTCAATGTTCATATACAATAGTTCACAGTCAGGTATTGAGAAAGTAGTTATGAATTTTTTGGTATATAAATCAAAAACATGAATATCTCCTGAACTAATGAGAATGAGTCCGTGTGTATATGAAATCTTAACATCACAAGTAGACTCCAAGGAGATGTTACTTGTTGCGCATGAAAATGTATAAGCAAGATCAAACTGCATGGAGAACGGTTTAATTTTCCTCTCCTTTCTTCTCATGCCCTGAGTAAATTTTTTGCATAAATAATTTAGAAATTCGGTATCGGAGTCATGAATCGAAGAATTGTAATTCAAATCAAATAATTTCAACACAACAATTTCATCTTGTTGCGTCTCGTACAGTGAGATTCCAGAGGTTGTTGGTTGTAATTTTCGTATTTTTCGTTCTTCTTCATGATGGAAATACTTTCCCTCATATTCAGTTCTTTTCATTTTTTTTGTAATCACAATTATTACACACTCAACCCTGTTTTTGAATATTTTATTACTTTTAATTCAAAGCACTTGAATTACAATCCCAAAAACATTCCTACCTTTAATTTATCGCTATGGTTTTTTTCGATTTGTAAAAAAATGGTTTGGCAAACACTCTTGCAACATCCTGCAAATTTCTACTTTAGACTCGGAGCTCTCAATGCTGCCATTGCAGTGTGTACAGGTGCCTTTGGAGGACATGGATTGAAACGTTTTGCTACTCCTGAAAAGATTGATGTATGGAAGACTGCTGTTCAATATCATTTAATTCATAGCTTGGCTTTATTGGCAGTAAGCCAACTCAAGACTCGTCATCATCTTGTTGGTGGTTTGTTTACTGCCGGGATTGTTTTATTTAGTGGTAGTTTGTATGCATTGGTACTCACTGACCACAAGGTAGGGATATTCATGATCTTTTTATCAAAATTCTAAAATATTATTTCGAAATTATTTTTAAATAATTGCGATGTTGAATAGAAATTGGGAGCAATCACCCCTATTGGAGGATTTTCATTTATCTTTGGATGGCTCGCAATGGCTGCCATTGGTTTGTAAAAAGTCACACATTGGGACTACAATTTTATGGAGATGTTTAGGTTATTAATAATTATTGGAACACTGTAACAGTAAATATTTTGCTTAATTATTAACATCTCCTTACTTCTTATCAAATTCTAAAATAATCACTTCTCTATTTTCGAGACTTGATATTGGAATTGTTTTGTGTGTTGGTTGCTCTGCTCCAACAATGGAACGAGCATGGTTGAGATTCAACGATAAAGCTAAATAATTGACGCACTCTCTTATGAATGTAAAATGAGAAAAAATTACAATGGTGTCACTGGTGATTAGGTCAGTATGTAAACGTGCTGTAAATCGCTTCACTCTTTCCATAAAATGCTCCCAAGGCTCAAAATGTACGGTTTGCTGAGGGTTATCCTTGCTTTGATACCACCATTTTCCTTTGCTTTCAATGAGCTTCAAATCGAAATGAGATAAAATACTTTTCATCTTTTCGTTAGCAATTAATTCACTATAGGTGCTTCCAACATCACATGAAGATTCCTCAAGCTCTGTGCAATCAGGATCAATTTCAATAATTTGTGAAATGTTATTCTCATCCAATGATGTTTTTTCTTCATTAACCAGCAGCACTTGATGTGTGTTTAATACATGAAAACACGTTTGGATACATCTCGTCAATGGACTGGAAATAATTTTTACAGAATATTGGTTTTCCGTCGAAGGTGGGCATTCCTTGTGCAAATCATTCGATGACGCACTCTTCAAAGCACTTCCAAATAATTTTCGCAAATATTCATTATAAACTTGAACTTGAGAAAGTCCTAATTCCGACAGTTCGGAATCAATGACCCACGGATCATTCGGAGGACAATTTTCCTCACTCTCCACATACAATTCATTGAAAACTGATCTTCCATGTCTGATAAATATTATTCGCTTTTTGGTGGATGTTGATGAAGAGTAATGGCCAGCGTCATCATTTTCAGAGGAATGCTCGGCCATTTTTTTGTATTGAATTTTGTTGCATGCTGTTGTGTTAGGTCCATATGATGCAGGTGATGGAGTAATTACTGATATATTTGTACTCGATGATTTCCATAATCACAAATGTAAAGTTCGCCAGTCAAGTCATTCAAACAAATTCCATCAGGTAAAGATCCTTGTCATGACCAAACACTTGACATAAAGTACCATCTTCTGTATAAACTTGTATAGTATCAGCACCACCAATACATACCAATAAGCGTTTGGATGTATTATCAAAAAAGATACCTCTGGGTCTATGATTTCGAAATGATATTTACCACGGTCCATTTCTCCTGTTCAAAGGAATACCTTAGTATCAAAATGTTTTGTAAACAATTTTGGCTAATAAATACCAATCCTTCATTTGCTAACATCAATCCCAAAAGGATGCATGACTGATATAATCACACAAGAACTATTCTATCACATATTACTTGAGTCTTTTTCCAAACAGCAATTCCAACTGGGTGATTACAATGGCTAGTTCCCCATAGATGGGGCATCTCCATTTGTTCCATTGAGTTGGTAAATAAATCTTTCGGGATCATATTTACAGACGTATTGTATTCCATCTATTGTAATTGCAACAAATAAAGCGTCTCTATTACATCCATGATAATCTTGCTCAATTTATAACGTAGAGGGATAATAAATGTGAGTCGAGAATTGTACTCTATTACTTCCATTGTCAGTAATGATAATACAATTCAATTTCCTATTAATTTTAACATCCAATGGATTCAAAATTGACAGAAAGAATGAGGACAAGTAAATATGAATCAAAAGCCTTTTCTTTTAATTTTGAATGTGTTGGACATTGATGAAATATTGTTTTCCGATGATTCATCCACTTCTTTCAAATTCAACAACGTTAAGATTACTTGTGAATTCATTTTTTTGTTTGTAAAAAATGTCAACCACCAATTACAAAGAAATGGGTGATCATCAAAAATATCATCAGACCTTGGAATTCATTACGAAATCATTATCGGTTGAATCTCCGAGTGGTGATACTAGAGTATGTCCATTTTGTTTACAAAACACGTGTGTGGATCAATTATCGGAACATGTTGCGTATTGTATGAGCATTTGGAACAGCTTGTTTTCGAATGATTCGGATTTGTTTGTGGAGGAGAATCAGTCTGAAAATTCAGAAAAAAAGAGGAAATTATTTTCTCTTGATGCAGCTGATGCAATGTCATTGAATCCGACAAAAAAGAAAAAGAATTATCAAAACAAAATGAGACCTCATCCTTTATTGGAAGAGCTTGGGGATGATATGATACGACATTTTTTGTCATTTATGGAAAACAAGTTTTTAATTGGAGTGTGTATGAGAGTTTCAAAGCATTGGTTGGAAATTATTCGAACTATTCCCATTGAATTTACACTTGATATCAAAGAACAGTTGTCTTCTGTTCTACAAATTGTCTCAAACCCAAGCGGTCTATGTTTGACAAAACTCGAGTTGCCATTTGAATACAGCAATTTGTGCTGCATCCCAATGACCAACAATAAGAACTTGGATAGACTTCAAACTTTTATTCTGCATGAACTGCAGTCTAAATATTTCGTCAATTCACTAATTGAAAGTTCCTACATGGGTAATTTACGTGAACTCACTCTCAAGCATTGCCAACACTTTGGCAACGACATTTTAGCAGCTCTTTGTACTAGTACCTATTTACAAAGCCTCACCTCTCTAACAATAGAGTCAGGAAATATAACTGCGGATGGTTTATCTGTACTCAAAAGCAATCCCCCAATCATGAGAAATTTAACAACATTAGGGTTAAATTTCAACCCGTGTAGAGATAGAGGAGCAAGTGTTCATCATTAAGCAACCTTCGATGTTTATGCTTGGACGGTGTCGAAATGAAAGACGAAGGAGCAATCAGCATTAGTACAAGCCCATATTTTCTGAACGTTACTGAATTACATTTATGCTACAATGCTTTGACAGATGCAGCAATTACGGCCATCTGTGAAAGTCGACAATTGACAAATATTCAAACATTGAAACTAGGATGTTCACTTTCACATACAAAGAATGTGGTTTCCGTTCTTTCCTCAAGTCAAAACATGAAAAATCTGAAAGCTCTTAACATATCCAATGTTGATATTTACAACATTGATGATCTTGCCCAAAGTGATATCATGAACAATTTGACAGAAATAGACTTGTCTGACTGTGCGATGAACGATGAAGATGTCGTTTCAATTTCAAAAAGTGTTGTCATGAAAAATTTGAGAACTCTGGTCCTGGATTTTAATGTTATTACCTATCACGGTGTACATTCCCTCTCCACTAGTCCTAACCTCATCAACTTGACCAAGTTACATTTGGCAAACAATTCACTTGGGGATGACGGTGCTAAAGCTATTGCAGGAGGTTTCTCAATGCTAACATATTTAGACCTCTCCGGTTGTGATATAGGAAATGAGGGACTCAAATCAATTTCCAATAGTACAACGCTAACTAAGCTGAGGACTCTTAATTTAAACTTTTCTAAAGTTATTCAGGAGTGGAAGGTGATTGGTAATTCGAATAATCTATCAAAGCTCAACCGACTATACTTGGCCAATAACGACACCCTTACAATTAGAAATGTTGTATCGATTGTTAAGCACATGAAGCGTTTAGTTGAATTGAACGTACAAAGATGCAACTCCCCGTTTAGCGATGAAACCATGCAAGTATTGTGTGAAATGTTTCCAGCATGCGATTTGAGTTGGTAATTTTTGAAAAAGGCGTTTGGTCCAATTTTCAAGATTAATAGAATTTCTGCTGACAACATGTATTTTCTCTTATTGATTAGAGAGCGAGAAGGTACGACTAGGCACCTCCTCACGTACCAAAAATTCTGAAGGAAGGCAGCGACGCTTGGTCACTGACTGCACTTGGGACAGCTCACAGAGTGCAAGGTGAGCGTCGACCAAGCGGGATACCGAATTCATGATCTCAGTACTCCCCTTCAAGGTAAGTATGCTCTTTGCAAAATGTATTCAACATGTATTTTGAGGCTCGGAATGATCTTGAAAAAATATTAAGAAATTATGGGAGATGAAAGATAATGCTCGTCATTCGAATTCGTTGAAGGTGAAGTGAGTGGGTACTCAACACCGAAACATAAGGTAATAAGGCTCAAGTGATGAATTCATTGCATTTCGTTGAAGCATGTATGAATGAATTCGGAGCTTACTACAGAATTTCTACTTTAACCTATCTTTATCTTTTAACCTACCAACTACGATGAAAAAGCAAATGCACACCTTCCAAAAGTTGAGAAACAATGCAACCATTTTAATGTTCAACAAGAGTTCTTTGTTTCAATGTTGTGAAATCCAAGATGTTGCCATAATCACTTCAAAAACATATGGAACAGAAACGAACATTCAATTTTTCGCGAATTATCTGGGCCTTAAAACACTTTTTGAACGAATGATTTGTGATTGAACCTTTCCCTTTCCAAGCCAAGCTAGTAATACCTCGTCATTTCACACATACACTTCACACGACCCTTTAAAGATCCATTCGTTGTGGTGCGTACACACAGTTCTCCATCTCAAAAAAAACAAACTCTATTGATTCATCCTTATTGCAATGTTGGCTTCACAACAACTTGACACTTGGATCCTTTCCACAAGTGATCACGGGAACAAACATTCCAAGATCAAAACATTCGCCATTCCAGTATTCGTATTGATATATGCATGTTTCTATCTTGCAGCAAGTTCCATGAATGTCCATGCTCAATGGACAGAACCAGTGGCTCCACAGGATTTGCTCCATTCCTACGTTCCACCCAATGTGTATCAAATGGTTTTCAATGATGAGTTCAATGGACCTTCTTTGAATCGAACCAAATGGAAAACTCGTTACATTTACAATGGAGGTACTTTGGATTATCTCAATGATGAAATTCAAAGATATCGTGACAACAACAATCATGTGTTCGAAAATGGTTGTTTGAAATTAGTGGCACGTCATGTCAACAATTCTCGAGTCGAGTCTGGAATGATCCGTTCGGTGTATGAAACACGTTATGGTTACTATGAAGCAAGAATCAAAATGCCATGGGCTCGTGGCGTGTGGCCAGCGTTTTGGTTGAATTCAGGTTACAGTGAAAGAGGAAATCTTTCATGGCCACCAGAAATTGACATTTTTGAATTTGTGGTCAATGGTGTCGATGACAATCCTGGACCCATGCTCAACATGTTACATTACGGTGTAATTACTCGTCCAAGTACTCCTTCTCAACTCTTGTATAAGAATTCTCGTTTCGATTCTGTTTGGAATAATTTTTATGCATCTGCCGACTTGTCAAAAGTTTGGACCACCTATGGACTCGAATGGAACCCTTCCAATGTCAGTGTCTATGTCAATTCTACTCGAATCTACACTAGAACGTATTCATGGGTATATCCAAGTGATTTGACGTTGGCAGGTCCAGCACATGTCTTGTTGAATTTGGCAATTGGTGGAAGTTGGGCTGGAAAATATGGTGTGAATTATACAGCCTTTCCTCAAGCATTGGAGATTGATTGGGTGAGAGTGTATAAACCAGTGGAGAACGAGGGAGGTCAAAATAATGGAAATGTGGGACCAATGCCAAATGTCAGCACATCTCAAAAAGTTGTCCATTCAAGAGTCAATGCAGCAATGACACAGACAATGTTGCTGTTGCAAATGATGATGATATTAATCATTGTTCTAGCTGTCCTTACAGTATTCCATTAAAGAGAACAATGAATGTTGTGTTAAATAATGTTATTATGTGAACACAACAAGAATTAAAAAAATTACAAAAAATCATGGGCATTACAAATCCAAGATTTGTCAACGATAATTTATCTCTTTCCGAAGAGAAAGACATTGAACATGCATTCACATGTATTTTCAACAATGATTTGGAAGGATTACAACAAATTCTTCAGAATTTATCGGATGCGTCTTTGGTGAATGAAACATTTAGGAGTGAAACGTTATTGTATCGAGCAACGTCGGTCGGGAATTTGGAAATGGTCCAATTGTTATTGAAAGAAAAAGATATTCAAGTTGACAAACGAGTATGTGTGTGATTCTAGATTGGAATTTTTTATTGGTTGTTGTGAATCATCAATTCCAAACAGATGGTATGTTACAAATATCTGTAAGATCACCCGTTTTTCTAGTGACCTTATCTTTCAAGAAATTTATTGTAAGTTTTACACACTTCCACACCTAAATTGAAAATACAAAAGAATGTGAACGAAACGCCCTTATCAAGAGCTGTTATTTTGCAGAATGTAGAAATAGCAAAACTATTGCTGCAACATGGTGCAGACGCAAATGTGATAGGGACACTTCCATTCAACTCGGTAAGTGTTGGGATATTTCGCTTGGTCTACATGGAATGCATTCGCTTCCAGAACGATGAGTGTTTGTCATGCCTAGGTAGTGCAATTCATTACAACAATAGAGAACTTTTTGATTTGTTGGTTTCGTATGGAGCGAATTATGAGAACGAGAACGGCGTTGAAGAATTTATGCTTAAACAAGATATTTCTAGAAAATATTTAAAAGGTCTTTATAACTCCAAAAGAATTGTCAAAACATTGTTCTCTTCGCGTACATTAAGCGAATTATTTCCTGCAGATGTTCAAGTATGTCACTCGCTGTGAATGTTTAGAAAAATAATTAACAATAATTTACTCCACAAATTGTAAATAAAATCTCAGGTTATTCCACTGATCATCCACCTTCTTCTCATCGAGAAGAGTGGATTGGCAAAACCATGTTTGATAATCGAGAAGAATTTTAAAATTGACTGATTTTGGATCTTCAAACCTCAACCGTGAGCATTCCACCTTCACTGATTGGCCATTGAACGAGTCGAGTGAAGTATGTGAGGACATCTTTCTCTTCTTTCTGTTCGCCGGACCATCCTCTGTATCAGAGTCGTCATCGTCATCACTTTGAACATGAACTTTAAATCGTTGATCAATGGGTTCTAATCTTCCAGATAAAATTGATCCCTTGAAAATGATTCCTTGCTTGCATCTATAGTTCACGCTATTCAGTAATACTGTAAATTCTACTTGTTGATCATTAAGGAAAGAATAGAGAGAGGTTACCTTGGCTTCAAATGGAAATTTAAGACATGTAGTCGCGTACCGTACCAACGTTGGTAAGTCGTTGATACTTCCCGTACCAGGAGGACATAAACTAGTAATTCTCTCGTTAATCTCATCAATTTCTAGTGATTTAGCAACGTCAAGCTTCTTATTGATTTTCTGTGGCGGATTTCCTCCTTGAGATTCATATCTATTTACCACAGTCACAAGTTCAGGATCCTCGCTACTCTTCAGTCGTTGTGTCATGTTACTTAGTAAATTTGTAATTTCATTAATTTTTGGAATTTTAGCTTCGCATTTAGTTTTCAACATCTGAACATCTTGTGATTCGTAGAGGGCCTTGGTTTCATTTACAAGAATACATCTTTGTCTATATTTACGATGATCGTCTAATAATCGTCCAATTACGCTCTTTTTCTTCATGCCATATAGATCAGCCGCATGAACATAGAATCCGGTTCTACGCAAATCTGTTACAGTTGTCTTTTTCTTTTTCTTATCAGCTCCCACATAAAGAGGTTCCACAATTACAACTACCCCGAAATATTGGTTAAACGTTACTACATGTTTTACGATAACATTTTCTCGTATTGAATGTATTAATGGATTTCTCCATTGGGCCACAAAAGGATATTTAACTCCATGTGCCACGTAATATTTCATTCGCTCCTGTTCTTCGGAAATCGGCAATCCAGACAAAATTTCATCCAATCGTTGCTCATTGGTAACGTCTTCTTGTGCCAATGTTGGAAATTCGGTTGGGTCTTGTTTATCGTCGTCGTACACTTCATAAACCTCTTGTTCTTCTTCGGAAGGTTCTTCAGAGGGAGGTAGTACCCGATGACCAAATGACACTGGAGATGAAAGGAGTTGTGATGAGGCTGGTGAAGTCAACCCTAATAGCGGTTGTGGAATACCATTTGGAAGAGGCATCTGTGGAATGGTTGGAAGAGGAACGTATGGATGCATACCAAGTGGTGTGAGAGACATACCAAGAAGCGGATGAAGAAAAGCACCAGAGGCAGCTGATGGAATTAGGTGAGATGCGGCTGAAGATGTTGGGGCCTGGGGAAGATGTCCATTGTTTGTTGTAGTCGGAACGCCTAACATCAGGTGATGATGATTGGTGGATGGAGCCGATGATAACGGGTTGTTAATCAATGCTCCATTAACGGCTGTTGAAATATGTATAGAAGATCCTCCAACACTGCTACTGGATGAAGCACCGATGGTCTGATGATGATCAAAATCGTCCGTAAAGCCTAAATGTTGTGCCATCGCTTCTTCCTCGACGGCACCCAACAACAGGTCATCCTCGTCTTGCATTTTTAATTGCGAAAAAAATTGCCAAGTTTTTAATGAATCTAGATATTCAAACTACGAGTTACATGTTACTCTTCTTTTGCTCCCTCAGCAGTAGTAGTGCTGGCATTAACAAGGTCAGAAAGCTTTTGTTTTGTGTCTTCATAAATACTGTCATCTTTTCCGAGAGATTGATCCCGCAAGTATCTAATCACTCTTCTCTTAATTGCAACATCCAAGCTATCCCCAACTTCGTTAAAAGCTCCGTACACACTCGTCAACACAGAAGGTGAACATGAAATTCCTTCTCCTATTGGTTGTTTGTCGAATAATTCAATAATTTTCTCCTTTGAAACATCTTTATCCTTGATGAGCTCAAAGATGAACTCAAAATCCTCGGAACTAGCTGTCAAATTTAAATGGCCAAGCTTGAGTTCATTAAACAGCATGAGGGCATTCTCAACATCATTATGATCATTTACCAGCTTGGAAATAAACTCAAGAAGCGTTTTCTTGTCAAGAGGTTGGCCAAGTTTAGTTGGGCCAGAGTTCTTAATTACTAAATGTTAAATATTATTCCGTTGTGATTGTTTCATTAGAATTGTTTTGGATGATGATTAAGAGAATAATTTGAAATTAATTTTAAAATAAAAGATTGAAAGCATGAAAACATCCAATTCAGATGAGTATTTGCCAATCAAGGAATTAAATGAAACTTACGTTCGATGGATGTTTGTGGATGGTTTTCGTCATACTTTTCCATGGCTTCAAGAATGGCATGAGTGCTTGCTGGAGTAAACTTTATCCTTCTCAAACACAAGGTTCTCCAATAACGCATTGTATAATTGAAATCAGAAGCGCTTTGTACTGTGGAAAGCATTTCAATGAATTGTTTGGCAGAAACTCTCTTTTTGGTATTCTTCAATTCAAGAATATTCTTCTGGTACAATTCTTCGGTTGCAGTGGTTGGCTTCCATGCAAAATTTTGACTACGTTCAACAGTTGAGCGATAGGCTGCTTGGGCCTTTTCAGAAAGTTTAGATACTTTCTTCTCTTGTTGAAGCTTCTTTTGATAGTGAAGTTTACCTCTAATGTAGAGATGTTTAGGACCGAACCGCTTTTGTGTGTTGTTATTTATGTACTCATTGAGAAGAAATTGTTCTTGTTGGAGAGAATGTTGTTGTACTACCGAAATGGCCAGCACAGAAGGAAGAGCCGAGTGATGATAAAGAGAAGCTGATGATTTTATGGACGAGGAAGAGAGAGCAACTTTTTCATTTTTTAAAACTCTTTACAATCCCTTGTTTCGGGGTTTTTTGAAATAAAATTATTTGAGAACAGTTTATTTGTTAGCACTCACTACCAGGAAAGGACACTCTATTTTGCAGGCATGTAATTTCCAATAACTGCTCCTTTGTGAGGTATTTCAATATTTGATTTCGGTATCTCAACAGAATATCTTTCCATTTGTTGGCACAAAAGTTCAAGCATTCTTTTTGAAGGTAAGTATAGTCGTATCGAATGGAGACTTCTTGAGGTTTGGAGAAGAAATGAGTGAATGAGCCAAAATCATGGCCTTGCTGATTGGAAAAGGTATTGTAGTTGGGTCTGTTAATGACAGCAGCAATAACTTCCATAATATTGTCCACAGAAAGACCTCTTGCAACAAAATCCATACAAACTTCAAACAGCTTTGCCTGTTCTGGCATCTTCATTGCTTCCCATATCAACATCAGACTAAGGGCGTTCTTGGTGGTAATGCAAATTTTTCCCGTGTAAAAGAAATGGATGAGAGACCTACATAGAAGAAAATCATCATATGTGATTTCTTCTGGAGACTTCCATCCTGAAAACACTTGAGAGAAGTCCATTTCTTTGATGGTGGCTGCTTGAAATCCATACTTCTTCATGCTAAAGAAGCTACATCTACATTCTAAAATTGACTTGTGGCAGTAAATGATAAAACCTCTTGAGCGATCGAGTACCACTTGTAAATCACTGCTTTCCTCGTCATCGAAAAGCTCGGCAACAATTTCAGGAATGGTAGATGGAGGGTCAAGCTCCCCAAGAGATTTTGTCTTCAACAGAGTAGGATTGGAAAGTTTTGCAATTTCAACCAAAATGTTCTGTTTCAAATAGCTGCTGTTTTTGATTTTGTTAAACGTGTTCTCTACAATAAATTGTTTGCAGAAGCTGAGAGCGTGATGCCAATAGGAATAAAGTGGAAATTCATCCTTTGGATATTTGTTGTTCAATATGTATTGGATGGTATCATAAACATTTTCTTCGTTGGTCTGAATGATCGCTTCATTTAGTACCATGGTGGAAAGGTATTCATCGATGACATTATTTGTTGTCATCCATTCTAATAAATCAATGAGAGTTTCAATATTGGTGGTAACGCTAGAAAAGTTATTAAAGTAGATCCAATCTACTAGACAATTAAGGCTCTCACGAGATTTTGGAGCTTTTGACTTATCATAGTGCAGTAATTCAGGTCTTCGCTTTGCAAGAAAGTAATGTGGAATTTTAACGGAATAATCTTTGGCAGCTGTGAACACTTGAACATCCCATAAATGATTTGAAGATCTCAACTTGATCAAATCGTCTACTAATTGCTCATCATCCTCTACGATTGAGCGTAGAGGTTGAGTGAATAGAATCGTGTGAGAATGCCCGCAACAAATTCCCACAATTTCCTTGTCGAACAAATCTTTGCATTCAATTTCTTGACATATGTAGTTATTGAGGCCTATTCCAAATTGATTTGAGGATGAACGACCAAAACCAAATATTCGGTTCCTCTTTGTTACTACTATGCAATGATTATATCCACAATCTATCATTGAGAATTGGTCATTAGAAGCAAGGTGCGTCATCAGAGGTACCTCAGAAAACACAGAACAGTAAGCCTTATTCATCGAGAGAATGTTCTGATCATTAATTCCAGCATAATAGAGTGCTTTGTGAGTCATTATGAAGGACCCATTATTGTTGCACTTAATGTCAATAATGTCGTCACAATGGTCAAATTCAACAGGCGTTAATCTGTTTCTATTTCTTGTGGATCCGACAGCGGTTTGGCCGTAATAGGAGCATCCAGTCGACAACAGCAGCTTTTTACAAGTATTAATATGCTTCAATAGAACAAATGTATGATTCAAGCCACATTCTACCTTTTCAATTTCATAATCTTGAATGGATACAGCTTTGTCAATGGGAACCTTGACAAATTTTGGATAGAATGTGGTAGATTCATATTCTTCCAAATTGGTAGCCCTACTTTCTTTTCTGTCTTCAAACCCAGGAGATTTTGAATTGATTGGTGCATTGAGATTACCCGTCTTGATTGAGGCATTCCCTAAACCAATTTGAGTACATCCAATTTGTCCAAAAGTGTCATCTCCTACAGCATACAATTCATTGTCGGTGGTGAGAAGGAAAAAGTGTTTGCCACCTCCATTTGAAACCCACTTAATGGTCTTTTCAAAGTAGAGCTCTTTGAGAAGGCTTTTTGTTGCGGTTTCTGAGCTTTGTTGATTTCGCTTGTCATTGGCAAAGTAAAGCACCATTTCATTCCCTCTCACTGCATATAATTTACCATTAGAAAGAAGCACAAACAAGGAATGTCTACAAGCTACAAGTTGGCTTATGGAGTTATCAGTTTCAGAATATACAGGAATTTTGTGAAGCGTCTGAACGGCCTAATACCAAAAAATTGAGTAAAATTGAACAATGAAATCGACATTGACCAAATACCAACCTCTTTCAGAATATGTCCACAAAGAAATATTTCCTTATAATTATGAAATACAACACCTTCACTAAATGGTGTTGGTACAAAAACGATATTTCTAGAGGCTTGTGAGAATGGGTGAGATTTGTTTGTTTGCAATGCATTGCTACCTGGTAGTGGTGGTGGTGGTGAAACTTTTGGACTTTCCAAACGACTGGGCTTAGATATTTTGCTTGTATTCGGACTGCTTGGTGACGAGGATGTGGTCTGATCACTCACGACAGGGGATGAATTACTTGTTGTTGAATAGTTAGTGGTTGTTGAAGTTGTTGTAGTATTAAATTCGTTAGTGGTTGGTGTTTGTTGTTGTTGCGTTACAGGAGTTGATGTTCTATTGGATTGTGTTCCCGATGATGCAAAGTAGAGGTCCCAAAGTGATGTCTTTGTGAGAGGTTGATTGGCAGAAATGGTTGATGTAAACTCAACACCAGTTCCTCCACAAATAAACATCTCCGTTTCTTGATCATAGGTTATATTCATCTTGATCTTTGGTAAGAACAATAAAATTCAAATAATCATAGTCAGTTGCACAAGTCGCATACGAAAACAACCTGAAATCAAACTTACTCTTCAAACGATCCTATTGTACAAGAGTTAGTAAATGTGTGTGAGCAACAATGAATACTCTTCAGATTTTGGTGGTTAAGATACCTACAAATAGTTTCCGAGAACACGTTTTTTTGATGATGGGATCTCTTTCGGCCTCTCTTCAAACAATCAGCTATTTTTACGGAGAGCTGTGTGAGGATTATTTGTTGTGCAGCTGTGTGACTCGTGTGAATGATTGGTTGCAACACCGCATGTGACCATAGAATCACTTGGAGACGGCTGTTGCAACAAATGTTTGTATGTGTAACGTGTTTTTGGCTATTGTACTGTTATGAACAAATCACATTTGGTCGATTTGGTATTTAGTTAATTTTGAAAATTGGAGTGGATCTTATTACTTTGGGGGTATGTAATCAATAAAGGTGAGAATATATTAAAGGAGGAAATATTAAGGTAATTGTTCATTCAAGACTAATATTACGGAATAATTCATGATTATTTTGTATATTTTCTGAGTTGTTCTAAACTCTTTTCTGCTGCTAGAATTGTCTCCTCTTTTTTGCAAAAGCAGAATCTAGCAAAATCTTTTACCATGTGTTTATCTTCATTGGAGTAGAAGGCGCTAATTGAATGTTAGAACAAAAAGTATGTACAGGAGAGACTTACCTTGGTGGAATTGCTGCCAATTTTACGTCGCTCTGTGGAAGCCATTTGCAAAACTGAACATCCTTAGCATCCTGACTGTTGGGATCATATGGGAATTGTACATTGGAAACATCTGTCAACAAGAAATATCCACCTTCTGCCATCAATGGCTTCACATTAGAAGAGATGAGCATCTTTGAGAGCATGTCACGTCTCTCCAAAAGTCTGCTTCTAATAACGGAGAAGTAATCATTATCGATAGCATGATGAATGCATTCCGCAGTGGCTCTTTGGAGTGGAGTGCTAATGCAAAACTTGATATATTGATTCACTAAATAGCATGATCTAATTATTTGCTTTGGACCTAATATCCACCCAATTTTCCATCCAGTCACTGAAAATGTTTTACCAACAGAGCTTATAGTTAATGTTCTCTCGAACATTCCGTCAATGTTTGAAATTCTGTCACAAAATTGTCTGTTGAATGTCAAAAATTCATAAACTTCATCGCTGATGACAAAAAGATTCTTGTGAGAGAGAACAATTTTTGAAATGTCCTCCAACTCTTTCACATCAAAAACTTTACCAGTTGGATTGTGAGGAGTATTCAAAATTATTGCCTTAGTTTTTTTTGTGATCTTGGAGCGTAATTCATCCATGTCTAATTTCCATTCTTGAGCGCTTCTCACATCCTCATTAATGTACTGAATTCGAACCGGTATTGTTAAAAATGTTTGATAAATGTCAAACATACCTTTTCTGGTGGTCTTAAAGGAATGTACACGGGTTTTGCTCCAGATAGTTCAACAGCTGATTTGTAGGCGTCATAAAATGGCTCAATGATGATGACTTCATCACCTGGGTTGACTAATGATTGAATTGCAATATAGAGCGCATCGCTTGCACCGTTTGTGATGAGAATTTCCTCTGGAGAAAAGTTACCATATTTAAATCCAGAAAGGGAGCTATCATTATAAAGTCTTTGTAATGCTTGAACAAGAACAGGATCTCCGTGAGCTTTCGCATATTGATGAACAGGTTGGGAGGCTTGATTGGTGAAAGCTTGCAGAACAAAATCTTTGTTAAATTCGTTCATCAACCCATTCGAATATATTTGTCAAATAAATTAATTTCATCATGTGATGATTTCCGTGATTTCTCTAATTGTTTCAAAAAACTTACCATCAACTTTCCAATCAGGAAAGCCTTGACCTAGGTTAACAGCATTATTAGCAACAGCCAAAGGTGTGTACGTAGACCAAATTGTCTCTTCTAAGAGAGAAGCTCTCTTGGAAACTTTGAGAGAATTCGAAGCAGCTGCACGGGTGACGGACTTTGCGGCTTTTTTCATTTTTTTCGTCATTAAAAAATTCTCTCGAGACCTAATTCTCCTTGCCAGCAGATCTCACGTATTGGAAAGGCTTTTTATCTACATTCCATCTCTGTAGCGGTGTGGAGGTCTCAAAGACGATTTATCTAAAGCCATTCCGAAGATAAATTCACATTTTTGAAAAATTCTGTGAGAACAATAATTTCATTAGTTCATGATAGGGTTGGGATCTATTGAATCTAACAAAATTAATATCATCAATCCAATTAATAATATTACAATTTTGGAGAGCCACAAAATTTACTGTAATTCATAATTTAATTTATTGCAAAATTATAATACCATAGAATGGGAAATTCATACGTTTCCGGAAAATCTACAACGAGTCAAGGTTTCTACAGACAGCACGAACCAAACTATGCGCCGACGTTTGACAGTCATTCTATGATTTTTGAGCCCAGTAATGCATATATGAACTGGCCCATCACTTCCGATCCAGAATGTGAACATGATGGAACTGTGTTTTTAACGCTCGGAAACTACCAATATGGTCAACTACTTCACAAAAGACCAAGAGACATCGTTCAAAATATGCCAAACGACATATGCATGGAGACGCTTTGCCATCCACTAATACAATCCAATGGCGTTCGATGCTCAAATCAAAACATCAGAATGATCGAGTGTGGAATTGCACAAACATTTCTAGTTACAATTGACAATTTAGTATACGGTATGTTGTTAAAACAAATTTAAATCCAATATTGATAGCTTATTTTCTTCCATACCAAAGTATCTGGAAACAGCTTCTTTGGACAGTTAGGATTAAATCATGCCAAAACTGTCTATGAGCCTGTAAGGCTAAATTTTGCTTTTGATTCACAGATTATAGAAGTCAGCTGTGGACAATTTCACACTCTTTTTCTCACAGCCAAAGGCTCAGTGTACGTTTGTGGGTATAATTATTATTCACAATTATCAATTTCAGAAACCTGGATGATGGAACCTACACTCGTGAAAGATTTAGATACTATTCATCACGTGTATTCTGGACAAAGATTTACCTTATTTCAAACCCATGATGGAACAATTCTACTGAATGGAGATATTGAAGAAACAAACCTTCCTGTAAATAGAAAACCTGTTTTTGTACAAGATCCAACAGATCCTATTCGACGAGTTGCATGTGGTGACTGTCATTTTATTATTTTGACTCAACTTGGAAGAGTTTATGTTTTTGGGAGAAACTATTCTGGAGCTCTTGGATTAGGTCATACAGAAGATGTATTTGATGTCACAGAGCTTTCATACAAGGACATTGTAAAGTCAGATACCATAATTGTGGATGTTCAATGTGGTGACTCTCATACCATGTTTAGAACAAGAGATGGCATGATCTACGGATGTGGATATAATACGAAAGGTATTTATTTCATTGATATTGGTGTTAATTGGATATAACCTTTAATATGATAGGTCAACTGGGCATTCCTCATTCTGAAAAAGAAAATTTTGTCGCAACAATTACAGACCTCAAAATTCAGGAACATACAGGTCACAGAATCACCGATGTAAGATGTGGTCGGGAATGTACCGTATTTCTCACTGGTAAGTACTTTTTGTAACTCCATCTTTGATAACAATTTATCACAATTTACAGACAAGAATGAAATTTTCATTAGTGGACAATTATGGAGAGATCAATGCTTTCAACAAAAGCCAACAAAATTTCATCATCCAATATTTGAAAAGAAGAATATTTGTAGTATGGCTGTTGGTGGCTATCACGTGATTATTTACTTGGAAGGTGAGTTTCATTGTAAAATAATTAGCGATCGATTCACTGACACAATTTTATGGTCATTATTACACTTAGATAAATTTATTAAGGACTATTCTATAGAATTTGAAGACGAGAATAATACAACTTGTCAAATCAAACTCTCCAATATTACGAGCATTGAATCATTTATAGATGGCATTGAAAAGCATGCAAAATTAGAGAAAAAGAGTCGAAAGCAAGTCTTCTACTTGGTATGGAATACGAACTTTAATCGATTTGAATTCATTTGCAACATTCGAACAATTCCATCACAATGCTTTGTCAAGCGAATGATAGGTACTCTCTCAGAAGTTGTTTCTCGAATTGAACCAAGCTACCATGTCGATTCATTTGTTGGAATGTAATCTGTGCTCCACAGCTCTCCAAAAAGCTGATGTGCATCTCTCTTCCAATTTTATTTGATTGCCAAAATTACAATTTTTACGATTCGAGTAAAAAAAATTGCGCCAAATTATTCTTATTGCACTGGGTCAGATCATAGTACTCGGAAGTTGTTTATCTGAAGAACCTTGTTGACCCATCGGATTGATTAGCCTTTATAGTGTTTAATAATTTGATATTTATTACAAGCACGTTTTCTTCTTTCGGAATTTAGTGATTATCATGAGTAATTGAGAATGAAAAGAATGGAGGATAAAAGGTTACGAGTTTCTTCACCGAACCGTCCTTCGTCAAATCAATCCCTGAGAAGCATTTCGGAAGATTTATCTTCCTCACCAAAAAAACAGGGAAATATTGTCTTTAAACAATTCGATAAACAAGTAGAAAACAAACTGACAGAAATGGCAACTCATAAACTCACTTACGGTTTGAACAATGTGCAACTGGTGAGATTTAGCACAGATTTAGGGTTGTTATTTTTGAAATCCAATGCGCTGAATAGTTCCACTTTTCATCTTTCTGATGCATTGAGTCATCTCACAAAATTAATTACCGAGTTGGGGTATGAAGAATTATGTCAACGAGATCATTCTAGAGACCCTTTGACAATTTTTGGACCAATAACATATTCTTCTCAACAACTATCTCCTATTAAGCATGAAAAATACTCTCATGACAAGAAGGTAAAAGAATTTACGGAACAATGTAAAAACTTAAGTAATGTTATTCTGAACGGCCTTGCAATGACTCAATTCAAACTGGGAAATTTCGACACGTCCGAAACCATTTTGCAAAAGCTGCAACAAAAACTGCAAGAACGAGGAATAATGCATCGTGATTGCATATTCGTTGCTAACGTGATGTTGTGCCTTCTTTATATCAAAACCAATAAGCCTTCCCTACTTGAAGAAAGGCTTCAAGAAACTGAACGAGACCTTAATTCCGTTGTGCCCACTGCAATGGAGACTCGCTGCCATTCCGAAAAAAAGAAAATGATTTTCTATTTGAAATTCAAGAATTCTCTCAAATCGAATAATATCGAGGCATGTATTGACATGATCGTCGAGATGTTGAATCTGTGTGAGCAAGAAGAAAACGATGACAAAATTTTGTACCTTTTCAAGCTTCTAGTGTCTCTTTCCTCTCGGTATAGTGTTAGACTGGTAGAAACCGTTTCTGTCATGGACAAGTACGTTCCCTTACTTTCTGGGTTCCCATTTGATTCACAGCTTCCCAAAATCCACAAAAAACTTCTCTATTCAATACTAATCCAAAGTAGTGTGATCTACGTAAAGCTTTGCAAGTATGACTCTGCCTACACTGTACTGATTAATCTGTATAATCATTTGATGGCAGACGCTAATTCTCCAGAGAATGGAATTGCGTCTCTGGATTTTATTACTGTACAAGAACACGGTGACTTTCTGAGAAAATTGGGAACAGTATGTCTAGGTATGAACAAGTCAGAGGAAGGAATATCTTGGTTTAAAAAGGCCGTCGTTTTGTATGCCTCTCAGCTAGGAAAATCTCATCCACTAACCAAGTCCTCTATTCAAAGAACTGCTGAATTGATTTTTCACTTCAGCAATGAAAAATAAGGATCTGTCTACATCTTTGAAATTGGAGAATCATACGATGATGACAGGCTGCTGTTGTAGATAATAGGGCTTTCCTCAGGTAACATGTCAGTTTCAAAATCATTCTGCTCGGAAACGTATTCTTGAAACGTTTCTTCATCCAAGGAAATTATGTTGTCATAGAACAGCTTATTCCTGAGCATAATTGCTTTTTCACTTTCTTCCTGACCGCAGCACGATAAGGAAAAGCACCTACCAATGGCCATGGCCACAGGTTTTGGAATAAGAAAGGCTAAAAGGATACCATTTGCGAAAAGCTCAATTAATGCAAAACTCTGTGAAAATTATTAGAAATACCGGATGAGTACTTAGATTCACTTACAATATAGAAAACGTAAGCTAATAAACGAAGTAAGATTTGAGTTGCATAAAGTCTTGGAAATATTCTACTTACCATATTCGAAACGTGAATACCATTCCCATTCTATAGTTGTCGCAATATTTGTGCATGACAAGAAGAAGTATGCAGAAGTACAAATAATTGAAATTAAAGCCACTTTTTGAATATTCTTTCGCGTTTGACTTGATTCCTCCATTGAAGTGTCTTCTTGTCTTTTGTACAATCTAAACACAAGTAGTCCTGTTAATTAAAGTTGGTAAATAAATAATTTGGCACTTCTGTGCTTGAATCACAACTATTACTTACCGAAAACCACAAGTGTGGCACAAATTCCCCATGACAAAATCAATCGAATAACCAGTCGTGAAATTTGATAACTCCAAGTCCCATACCCAAAAGTGTGATGATCCAACACAGTAATCAAAATTGCAAACGGGGTAACAAACAGAAAAGAAAGCACGGAAAGAACCCAGAAAACAATGTTCAATATCTTTCGTACTTTCATAAAATAGGTATTTGTGTCACTCTCTGAATTGTCATAATTGGTGTCATCTTGAATTTTCTTCATTGTGAAATATTGTTCAGCCCAGTACAATCCGAGAATGAGATAGATTACAAAATTACTTGAGCTTGCATAAATATCCAAAATTTGAGATACTTTTGAAATGTAGGGGCATATTGGATTATCTCTATTGTGTCTGAAACAAATCTGATTAAATATCAGAGATTGCACTAAATCATTTGTTATGGAAATATTGCAGCATGAACAATAACATGTTAAAAGTAATTAATAATCATCAAATTGTGACAATATTTTGTCTTCACAACCATACATTGGAATCAATCAAACATACTTGTTCGAATAAAACTCGAGCAAAATATCATGACAAATAATTTTCTTTGCAGACTAATCTGATTTTTGAAAATTCCTTTCAAGCTACAACAAAACCAAATCAAACTAACAATACAAGTCAGACATGACAACACTCCTTGCGGAAATTGTTCCCAATTCAGTCCTCCCGATAGGGTTGTATTGTCATGAGTATTGCTGTTATTCATCATCAAGAGCAATGATGAACAAGAAGATTCAAGCGAGATCGGTCTTGATAGCGATGTTATTGCATGGGTTTGTGTTGTTGTGAATGGTAATGTCATCCCATGGTGGTCTCCCCCAACCACAACTCGGAGCCATGCGAGAAGTATTTGTGGGCTCATTCCCGATGAAGACATTTTTTGATGGAGGAGCTTTTGAGATGATGTAGGTCGGACCATAAATATCTTTCAGAGACCGGACTCGAAAGAAATCACAAAACAATGTTCAAGCAATGTTGAATCCAATTTTGTTGGAATATATATTCATGAGATCCTAGCTAACATGAATGAAATTGTAAATTTATGGCGCTTTCAAGAAACAAAAAATGTCTACAAAGAAAGCGAGTGCAGGCTCGGCGAGAAGACCAACCGTCAAGTCCAATGCCCAAACACCTCGGATCAAATTGAATCCTCATGCCTTTATGGAGTTTGAGGTGGATGAAGGAAATGAGGAGAAGAGGATACTCGGGAAAGTGATATTCGAATTATTTGAAGAGAAACTTCCAAAGACGGTTCAAAATTTTAAAAGTTTGTGTTTGGGTGATAAGGGAAAAACAAAACCTGTCAAAGAATTGAACAATGCTATTGTAAATCTACATTATAAAGGAACAAACATTCACCGAATAGTCAAGGGATTCGTCATTCAGGTAAATATTGAAATCGAATAATTTAGCTTTTTTAAAAAATACAACCATCGGAATGTTGACCTCGGAATTTGATTCGCGCCCATACACTGACAGGGAGGTGACGTTGTCACAAACAACGGACAGTCAGGTCATGCCACCACATCAAGAACATTCGACGACGAATCGTTTGAGTACAAGCATGAACCTTTTTGCTTGACTTCACCAAACTTTGGTACTCCCAACACCAATACATCTCAATTTGCAATTACCTTATGCAAAGCTCCATGGCTTGACGACAATTATGTTGTGTTTGGCAGAGTAAGGTACGGCTTTGACGTGTTGAAGCAAATTGAGAGTTTCGGAACGGATAACGGGAAAGTCATTCGGCCAATCTCGATAAAAAATTGTGGAGTGTTCACTGAGGAAGAGGTGATGAGTATGGACTCCTCCTCAACAACAAATCCCTCTCCTCAATTGCAATAACAAACCCAATATTAAGTTATTGTAAAACTCATATATTAAGGATCAATCACTTATTGAAGACATCCCCTATCACAAACAAGCCACTCATCAATCACATGTCATCTAACTGGTTTGCCAATTTCACATTTAAAAAAAATAAAAATCTCCCCAATCTCCTTCCGAACCAACAACAAAGAAACCTCATCACCTACCAGCAGCAATGTCAACAAGAGACGAAATTTTGGATCAAATTGACTCTCTCCAAAACCTTCTCGACGATGGTATCATGGACGAAGAGCAATATCAAGCAGCTAAGGACAAACTTCTCAAAAAGTTAGAAGAAATCGAGAATGAGGAAAAGCAGCCACCAAAGACAACATCTACTGCTGCCTCTGCCGTTAGAAAACAAGTCTATCAAGACGAAGAGGATGATCACTACAACGGAGGTGGTGGTGATGAAGTCGACCCATATGATGCCTACGATGCTGTCGATGATTCAGCAGTTGGTGCAACTGGTGGTGGCGACGTCATTGAATCCTATTTGGATACTCATGAACGATTGTTGCAAACAATGAAGCAAACAAAGGCCACTGAATCATCAAGATGGGGTAAATCAGGACAAGTATTTGTAAGTATTATCATTGGTGAATGATGGTGTGGTGGATCATGAAGTAACATTAACAACATATACACGGCTATATACACACACACGACGACCATATATTTACACACACTATAACTCTCTACACCACTATTATTTTGATTCCATGGATAACCATAATAATAATAATAATAATGGACTGTTGGATGTGTGAATTTATAACCTGACCCTTATACAAAATGATGATGATTGTCATTGACGCTCTCTCTAAATGATGTTATTATTGGATGGGATGTGGCTGTAACATACATCATGACACGTGCTGTATACAACACAAATAGGATGAAACCAAACTTGCTTGGGGAAGCTATTTGGATACTCACGAGAAGGATCAAAGCAGCCGAAAGGAAACCAAATTCCGTAGTGGTGCTGCTTGGGGTAAGAGTGGTGAGATTTACGTAAGTATCATCATTTGAAATCAACGACTCGTGACCACAACAATAACACCATTATAATGTATTTGACGAACCCTTCGTTTTTATCATCATCATTCACATTACTTGCCAACAATATTATCATCCACTCTCGTGTTATTTCTACCATTCTCAATGTTGCCCAATAACAATTGACAACAACAACATCATTCAATTGCTTTCATCTCTCAATAATAACAACAACAACAACAACAGGATGAAACCAAGCTCGAATTCGGTTCCTATCTCAAGAGTGAGGAAGAAAAGAAGAAACAACTTGCTGAGGAAGAAGCCAGAAAGAAGATGGAGGCTATTGAAGCCATCAAGAAAAAGAAGGAAGGAGAATTCCTTGATCCTCGAACATCTAAATTCAAGCTCGCTGAATTGCAAGGTAAATTCCCTAAGGGTGTTGATCCAACCAAGAAGGAACTCTATCTCTCTGCTGAAGATTTCAAGACTCACTTTGGTATGACTTTGGCTGAGTATATCAAGTTACCACCTGTTCAAAAGAAGAAACTCAAGAAGAACCTCAACTTGTTCTAATTATTATTCCCCCAAATTGTGATAATTATGTTAAAAACACATCATTATATCTTTTTGTAGACCATTCATGTGATATCATGATAACAACAACAGTTGCAAACAGCAAACTGCAAGAGAGTCATGTAAAATTATTAAACCAATGATTTTGTACAGTCAGATTTGGTGTTGAGTTGTTACAAGTTCCTTGAATTTGGGCTCTAGAAGATTTTTGATTGACTACACAGTTCAATCCCAAAAAATAGAAGACATCATGAAACGCTTGGGTGTCCTTATGCGGAACGTAAAACAGAGTCATTCTTGGACGCGTTACTCGTGTTTGTCATCCATACACACGAGAGATTCACTGAGCTCAATATTTCAAAGTCAATCCACAGGTTTTCATTGCTCCCTATTCGTTGACAACTTGGCAAGACAAGATGACCACACATGGTTAACTCAATTGCATTGTTTCAGAAATAGAGAATTCAATGATCAAGATCACTCACACGATCTTGAATTAATGGACAAGTGGCTGCAAGGAAACTATTCCGAAAGAATTTTGCAACAAGTATTACACGAAAATCAATCTCAGCTGGAAACCAAAATACCCACTGCTCAAGATTTAGTGTTTGATGTCGTGGAGTTTATCAAAAGTGACCAATATGAAAAATTAGAAAAGAATATTCCTATTGAAATTGTACAACATGTCATAGACAAGTATACGGTCAATGAATTCTTTCAGCGTTCACTTGAAGAGTTTTACCCCTATTTATGCAACGACGAACGTTTTTTGAAAAACCTCATTGCGAATCATAGCGTGCTAATGAGCGAACTGATGTATTTCATTCTCACCATCTTGTTAAATTCTAAATCTCCACATGTAACGCAAGGTATCAAAAGAGTGTTAACTCCTCAATTATTCCATGAACGAATTCTGATGGACAAACATAATGACTCTGAAAAGTATTTTACCTTGATACTTTGTTTGATGGCTTTAAGCACCATTCCACCATTGGAGAAGCACAATTCTCCTCAGTTAAAAGTATGGACAGATGCTATTCTCTTAGTCTTGTCCTTATTTGAACCCATTGAGAAAGAAGAGGTCGATTCACTTTTAAGAATGTCTCTCCGCCAAGCCTATGCTGACAGATTTCATTCTAAGGGTTTGATTCAAATGGTACTCTCAGAAGATTTTAAAAAGATACCAAATGAGTTTATTCAGTCTCGATTAAACCCAATTACCTTCATGTGGTTCATCATGAATATTATAGTTCATGAAGCATTCGAAGACAACACGCCCGACATGGTGGATAAACCAGAATTGATTTACAAGCGCATGAATGATATTCTCAATGCACAGGACTCTCAAACTGGAAACACTCTCTTGCATGAAATTGCTTGCAACAAGAATTTGAGCCCTCTTAATCAAGCAATCCAATCCTCGCTCATACTATCAGGAACATTGTTATCGGAGGCGATATACGAAGAAGACGCCCTTCATTTTGTCTTCAAAAAGAAAAACGCAGAAGGAAAATCAGTATTTCAATGTGCCACATTATCATTGAAGATGCTTGGAAGTTTATATCCCCTGCTCGAGTTTACACCATTTTTTGTTATTTTTGCCCTTCCTTTGGTCTTGTTATTGCTTGTTATTGGCGGTGTTTTTGTGCTTGTAGTTTTGCTGCTGAGGTTGGCGATGCGATCAGGGTTGTTGCGGTTGTTGGCAACAAAGAAATAATAAATTTAAAAAAAATCCGGCATCATCCTTTTCAATCATCATTGCCACTCACGGAATTGTAATTCATCACCAGTAACAACCGAAACAACATGGGAAAGAGAAGAAGAAAGAATAATAAAAAAGGTGGAGAAGATGAATCTCTAGAGCAAAAATTGGAAGAGCGCCTTTCCAAAACTTGGTGTTATTATTGCGATAGAGAATTTGATGATGAGGCTATTCTCATCCAACATCAAAAAACCAAACATTTCAAATGCCCCTACTGCCCAAAGAAATTAGTAAGTGTAAAGGGAATGAAGACTCATGTGTTACAAGTTCACAAAGAAAACATCAACTTTATTCCGAACGCAAAACCCGATAGAAATACATTTGATTTTGAAATTCAAGGGACACAAGGCATTCCAGAGTATATCGCCCTAGAGAGACAAAAGAAATTGGAGCTTGAAATATTCGGAAAATCTGATATTCAAACACAAGGCGAGAATTTACCAGGATCTCTTTTTGCGTCCTCCTCCTCCTCTGAATCTAACGTAACTAATACTTCTAGTTTATCAAATTCTATTAACAATGAAAATGATGACCACACAGATGCAGCAGAAGAGAGCACAAGCGAGAACGCTTTTGAACCTCAAACTAAAAAGGTCAAGCCTACTACCCAAGAGGGGGTTGGCTCTCAACCTATTTCATTCTCTCTTCAAAAGAAAAGCAACAAGATTATTTCCGCACCTCCAACCATTTACAGAGCAGCACCAGTGCTTAATACTAGCGTGAATACCAACACACAGGAAGCCAACACTGCCACCAATTTGAACGAGCCAGCTGATGTTAGCACTCTTCAAACTAGTGTTGAAAATCTGAATGACATTTCCATTGATGGTGGTAAGTTAAATGAGAAACAGTAATCATCATGCTTATACTCAACTGTAGAAGACGACACTACAAGTCACACATCACATCTTATTTACAAAGATTCCATTTCTATGGAGGAGAAACGAGTTCTAGATCTGAAATAACCGTAAGTTTTATGGTCTTGGGTCATGAAATTTAAATAAAGCTTGTGTTATGCTGTCTCTGAACAATGCTGTCATTTACAAATCACAATAATAGAGTGGTAAAAGGAACAACTTCAATAGATTTTTAATGGATTAAATTATTAATTTATGCAATTGTGAAGTTGAAAGAAACACAGGCCAATTCTTTTGTCTTGGAAGAATCAAGATAAGCAGAAGCAACAGTTTGATAAGTGCCTGGGAAAGCAAAAGAAGGAATTTGGTTTTGGATCTTGATGGCCTGATTACCTGTACCAATTGGGCAACCACCAACAGCGATCTATCATGTGGCGATTGAATAAATCCGATCAGCAAACCATCGGTTTATGTCCAACAATCATAAATAAACATAAAAGGATTTTCATAATTAATTGCCATCAAACTGACGTACCTGACACAAATTATAGGAATATTCGAAAAGTTTGACTCCGGAAAGATAAATATCAGCATACAAAATACCACCGGAAATTGGGGTGGTCACTTGTCCCTATTGTCGTTTTGAAAATTATCAAATGTACATTGTTGATAAATTCACGATCGAAATTGTGTTCTCATTGATTTTGTTTGCATCATCACAATTTACTTACAGTGGTAAGAGCAGTCAAAGTGTCACCAGCCTTTGGAGAAGCAGGTGTAATGTCCAAAGCCTTTGGAATGAATACAGGGTTATTAAAACATTGTTGGAAAGGAGCGTTAACGGCCAAACAAGCGGCAGTTGCAGTGAGAAGAACGAGAGCCAAGCAAGCAAAGATTTTTTGCATTTTTTTAGGATGTGAGGTCTTCCATTCACAAAAAGGAAGTGACATCATTGTCTTTTTGCTGTCCAAAGAGAGAAGAATTCTTGTGCATGGGTTCGTCGAAAAAAGCGCTGTTCATAAAATGCATGTTTAGGACCGTATTGCTACTGACCGCTAGCATGCCACAATTTCATTGGTCATGTACACTGGCAGCCACTCTTCAACCCACACGAGCCGAAGACTTTGTCGAATCCATTGGTGTCTGGTATTCGCAAAATTAGAGATTCTCTTCGTGATGGTCCTCAATGGACAACTGTTATGGATCTTATCCACCAACTAAAGGATGGAGTCCTCAAACACAGTATTGATTTACAGGTACAGTGGATTACTTTCACAATTTAACATCAAGTACTCAAGTCAAGAAGAAAAAACCTGTCGTTACCACTGAAACTGGATGGCAGCCTCGATTGGGACCTGTTATTTATTGGGTACCAGAAAGTATTCAAGCCAAATATACGTTACGTTCATTGATGCTTCAATGGATGAGAAGAGTGGAAAGAACCTATCTCTATGAAATGTGTGATGATCGAGAATGTTTTGGTTTACTTTATTACAACTCGACCACGAACAGTGAGCTCCTAACACCAAAACCTGTGTATTACTTTTTGAAAAATATGATTTCGGAGTTGGAAGAGAAACCAAGGCAACGTAAATTTACGCTGAAGGAATTAACCATTGAAATGAATCCAAACTCGACTACCAACTCGAAAATTCAACACACGCTATTCCAGAAGAGTAACGGAAATTATTATTTGGCTATTTGGCAAGAAACTTTTGGTTGTGATAAGGGAGTGTTCTTTAATACGACATCGCTCACTGTGAATTTAAATTTCACACAGTTAAGCATGTTTAATGTGTCACTTATGCGCCTCTACACCTTCGATACAGCCTCAGGAAGCATGACCAATTCTACAGTGCTTTTATCCAAGAAACAAAGCAATTTAATTTCAGCGAATTTTCAAATTACAGATACCATGACTCGGTTCTCCAAGTGTAAAACCTGTTCCATCTCGAAGTGGAGGAAATCATCCAGAAAGATCATTATCAAAGATACCACCCAAAGACAAAAGTGACAAAGCCAATTCAGGTGAGAAGAGTGAAATGGTGTCAAGCTACCAGGCCATTATCTTGACAAGTATCGTCATCCTTTCGATTTTAATTGTACACTGAACGAGTAAAATACAGTGAGATTCAGGACAGCAGAGTTTGAGAAAAAAAATTTTGATGAGAGTGGGATTTGAACCCACGCCCTTGCGGAACACGGTATTAATTATACCTTAACGTGTCGTCTTAGACCGCTCGACCATCTCACCGTACGATTAAACTGTTTTGGTAACTTAAAGTAAGTTATAATAGTAACAAGCTGAAAAAGAATAAGGAAAATAAAACTAATGATGTGTTTTTGTTTTCTCGAGTACGAACGTTAACCGAGGTGGACAGCTTTTTCGGTGCAAACTTTGAAATTGTGATTGTCCAAGTTGCATCTTTGACGTATTCAAGAAACAATTTGAAAAAATGTCTTTTAAAAAAAAAATGGTCGCACGAACAAAATCCACTTCAAATGAACAACAACAACATGCTCGGAGCTCTCTCGTATCAAAGGAAGATGACCTCGAATATGATCTGGGACATTTAATGTGTCTAGATGCACACCCGATTGATTATCAACAAAAAAATAATGATGAAGAGGCTAGCCAACTCCAACAATTACTCCTTGACAGTGCCCGAGAAAATACACAACTCCTTGTAAATCATCTCTTTCAATTGGAAAATATCAAACAGGAAGATACGGGTCTTTTCGCAGAATTACCAGATCCAATCTTTCGTTTACCAAGAGAAAAGCCCTGTCCAAAGAAACGAGAGTTAACCCGATTTGAACAATTCATGATGGAGAAGGGTCTTCGTGTTCGAGGAAAGAATGAAAGAGAGAAACTTGTCTATGACGAAATGCATGATGAATTTAGACCAAGATTTGGTTGGGGTAAAGCAAACAATGCTGATGAAAGTGATTGGATCATTCCTGCAAGAGAAGGAGATGAGCTACACGAAGATCCATTCTTGGCAAGACAAATTGAAAAGAGAGAAAAAAAGAAGAAACAACTCAAGAATCAAGTCACAAATATTGGAAAAGGAGCAGGCAAGAAGGGAGCAAGAGATGCAGAGAAGGACAACAAAGCTCTGGCCGTTCAAAACAAGTACAATCCTGCAAATACTCCATCTACATTAAAGATAACAAATGTAAATGGTGGAAAGATTAATCCAAAACGAGCTCATACGGGCTTGAAGGATGATTTCCTTAATGCCTACGATTTTGCAAGAGTGAGCACTGCAAGCATGGGTAAATTTGATACACAGGTGAAGGATGAAAAATCTATGCCCGTACGAAAGGGAATTTCTCACCTTGTGGCTCCAGGTGCTAGCGCTAATTATGACGAGAAGACAAAGGCCATGAAGATTTCAAGCAGAATTTTGAAAGAAAGCTCAAAGAAAAAGACAGGACAGCTCAAGACAAATGCAATCAACATTTTCCAACATTTAACAGAGAAAGATGGAAGAAAACAAAAGAAGGTGCATCTTCTTGCACAGGCTAGAGATCGTTACAAGAGAAAGGGAACGACATCAAAGAAAGACAGAGATTTCACTGTGGATAAAAAGAGGAAATAAATACATGTTATTGCACTCTATAAACATGAATATCAATCGAAATGTGTAGATTAAGGATAATTTCTTAATTACATGCTTAACATCAGCATAGATTCCCACTTAAGAGTCTAACAATGATTCAGTAAGCGACTGCATGTCACGAATTTCATCATGTTCTGGGGCTTGTCATCAAAAGCATCTACAATTATACTCGCTCGTTTGGAGTATTATAATATTTTCGACTGCCCATTTACGGGTCGATAATGTCAGTTCGAACCACAAGTAGCGTGTAACTCAATGGGCTCATCATGATGAAGACGAGGAAACGTTGAATGGAACACTAGGAGCACCAGCTGCTCTGTACAGAATTTCAAGAAGAGTCCAACTGATGGCTGAAGCAAAGGCTCTCTTCATAATTCTTGGAGTTACTCCTCTAAACAATGTTCTAAATCCTTCATCTCTAATGATGGTTCGAAATGCATCAGTAATGCCTCTGTACACCTTTTTTGAGGAAGAATCAATTTGAAGACGAGTTCTAATCATATCGAATGGATGAGTAATAAGGGAAGACAGAACTCCACCTACTGCGCCACTAGGCATTGTTATCATAGGGCTTGTTTCCATCTCTTGCTCTTTTCCCTTAAAGAATGTATTCGTCAATGCGTATCGTGTCTGATTGTAGAACAGATAGTTCAATCCTGCATTTGGAATATCTCGTACTAGAGTGGCAATAAGACCAGAGAAAAATCCAGCAATTCCTTCATTCTTTGCAATCGATGTAAAGGTATCCCACACTCCTGAGCTGTTAGCAGTATATTCCTGTTGACATGTTGAAATAGTCCATTAATGTTTCATTATGTGCATGACAACAATCATTGAAATGGCATTGTTCATTACAATTGAGCCATGAATGAATCCATGGTTCCAACTTGAACTTACCAATCGAGTTTTTACAACAGTGATGGGGCATAATATCACTCCAGTGAGTCCTCTACTGAATGCAGCAATGCAGAAACTTTCAAAAGCAGATAACCTTGTACTATTTAACATTTTCTCACGATCTACTGAAGTATGTATCATTGAAGTAATTTGTTTTGCTGATATTGTCATCTCCTTCAAATAGCTTAGCATGTTATAATATAGCAAGGCTCCGGGAGCGACTCTCAAAAAAGTTGGAATGCTTCCTCTGTATAGACCTCTTATTCCCTGTTCTTTATATATCATTTTAGCAGTACTCATCATGGTAGGTCTTTGTTCTATCATGATCGGACTTGATGATTTAAAAGCTCCAGCCTTCAATATCATATTTGTTTTGATAACATCCATCGGTTGTGTGAGAATGGTACTGAACGTACCAGCTACTCCTCCCGAAAGAAATTTAAGAGCTGATTCCATAGAAATCATTCCCTTCTTGGTTGTGGATTTTGATGAAGGAATGATGGTTTCGGCTGGTTCTGTTTGCTGCATTTTTTAATAATTGTGAATTAGGAGTACTCGGCAACAAAAGAAGAATCCCAGAACGTCATGCAAATTGATTGACTGCTAAACAGAATCGTCATTTACATGAATTAAAAAAGTTAATATCCGAGAGGATTTATAAGCCAATGATCCTCCATACCAAAGAAAACAATCAATATTCGCTTTTATTCCAAATTCATTGATCTTTTTGCTCTGAATAAACAATGAATGGTTTAAAAACTGTAAAGGTTTGAGAGAGACATCCTCTCATGCTGATTCGAACCTCAACATGACGTATGGAGTTTGAGGTAAAATCATCAAACAAAATCCAGCATGTTTTTGAATTGATTTCAATGCTTGGCATCATTCGAATTTCTTGCTTTTGCTGTTTGCTTGCATGACGTACAATTTTCTGAATGATCATGTTCGAGAAATTGTTTTGATAGATTAATTTAAAGTGTGACGATGAAAAATCTTTCTTAGTGATAATGTTAGACCCGTAGCCAGTGAACAGTGAGCTGTACAAATTCTTGATGATTAATATTTGATCTCGAATGGTAAAGTATCTAAGTCCAATTCTTTTCACAAAGTAATCAATTCGATCTGTCAGAAGCTCATAAAAGGTGTACTTGTTGTTAAATAGACTGGTCAGTTTTTTAACCTTATCTTGAATATCCATAGTTTGAATGATTGATTCAATATAATCCAATAAATTAGAGTGATAGATACTCCGTTGATGAGTCCTGTAGAGTTTTTTGCAAGAATTTGAATTTGAGATAATATGTCCCAGAGCCTTTTTCATTGAGGCGTTGACACTACTTGGAGATTTGCCCGAAACAGTAACATAAGGGACCATGAGCGACTCTGCAATGTGAATGTTTGATGGAAGAGAGGATTGCATTTCCTCAGACCTACGTAACAGATTTGATGAGGCAATGAAACTCGTTGGGGTCGAACTAGAAAGGAAGGGATCATTCAAAACAGCCATGCTTAGTTCTGGAGACGAAAATTTCTTCATATCGGGTAGAGAATGTGATTTAGAGCTGGAGGACGACTTTCTAGAACTCCTTTTGCAAACTATTTCAATATCGTCTTCTTCCTCTTCATAATTGCTAGCATATTGAGAATAGACAGTATTCCTATGGAAATTGTAGTTTTGACTTTGAGAGCTTTTCGCAGTTGGATATAACATTAGATATCCATCCAAAAAACTCATTGCCTCGCTCAAGAATACATTCTTTTCTCGTGTGAGTAGAATTTTGTGTGAGGGATCACTTGATAGCAACAGAATTGGATAGAAACGAATGGTCATTCGAGTGAAGATGTTTCCTACTTTAGGTTTCCTTCTGTTTCGAGAAGATTTACCCGTTTGTACTTTTTTTGAACTGTGATAATTGGGGAGAATAGAATCTTGACTGAAAAATTCATTTTCTCGTCCAATGAATTCTACTTCATATCCTGTATAGATTCGTGCAAGACTCGAGAATTGATAGGTCACATTCAGTAAATGGAATTCTTCATGAAATTTGTGAATATTGAAGTAGTGAGAAAGAGTTGTGAGCAGTTGTTCTGAATCTCTGCATACAAGTCCTACTTCGTAAATGGGATGAATGAGAGAACGTCGCGATTCCTTAATGATCACAGTACTCATAAAAGAGTTAACTACTTTGAGCCTATATATTTCTTTTGTGGTCAGGAATTGAAACACTCGCTTCCATGGCAGTTTCGTAAAGGAATTACCGAGACAAGATAAATTCATTTCAAAATTATTATTAATAAAATTAAGAGGAGCGAGCAGGAGTTATCAGAACATGTAGGTTTTTTTTCATATGGCACAGGCCGTCATTCCGAATATCGAATTGCTTTCATTTGGTGTTGCAAAGTGAAACGTTTTTCCTCTCAACATCAAGCAGCATTTGGAATATCATACAAAAAAGGACAATGAAAGTTTTTAATACTGTCCTTTCCTAGAGAAAAGCTGCAAGCAAATGGCTGCAGTTGGAAATGAAACGACATGTTCCGAAATGAATGGACATGAAGAAGGTCATGATGATTGAAATGAACTGGCAATAACGTTCAAATCTTTTAAAGCCATTTTTCGCGTTGGAAAATTCTTTCTGAACTTTGCTGATTTATGCAAAAGACCTTTTGTCAATGAAGAGTTTGGTTCAAGCTCGAATCAAACATTAAGAGGAAAACCTCATCCAGTTCTATAACAAACATCAACGAGAAAGATGGGCAGAATAATAAGAAGATGAATCGAAGCAGCAACTCCGAACTTTTTCATAAAAAAAATAGCTCAAATTCTTCCGCTGCCAACAATATCGATATAAAAATTCTTTGAATGACACTCGGACAAGTATTGTATCGGGATGTATTGTCGGGCGATGTGCTTGTTACAAATTATTATAAAATTGAAAAAGTATTTTATGGGAGCATATACAAGGTGAAATCTCATTTCATGATTAGAGATCCTTCGTCATTTGATGTATCAACATCTCCTCCTGTGGGCGATTCGGATGAATATTATGCCAAACATTTAACGAACAAAGTGTTACGATATTCTGTTGTTGAAAAATTTGGATACCACGAATGTACATTAAAAAAGAAAGAATTTCTCATGATGATGAATGTTTATATCGGAACTTTGAAGAGTATAGTTGAGCAGTCTGGGGATGAAGAACGAGAAAAATCCTTCTTGATGGGATCAACACTTTTTGTGCAAACAATTTTGTCCAATTTCAGTAATTATAGATTTTTCGTTGGACCATCAAACTCACTTTCCAAAGGAATGATCATTGTTCAAAACTGTTCCACTGATTTGATGACACCTGAATTCTATTATTTTGTAGATGGTTTGAAAGAAGAGAGTTTTCAATCTAAGCATGTCGATCAATCTGGTACCTCACCAGGAGGTTCTTCGTTAATGTCAATGACACTTGAACACCATCAAGTGACAGAAAGTGAAAAATCTGACTCGTATGGAAGTTATTCCAGCACTGGATCAATTCCTATTGAAAATAATAGCAATGAAATGTTGTAAATTACGTTGACTGAAATATTGGAATGGACAAGCTTAAGGAAGAGCTGGTCTTGATACATAATCATCATCCCATTCGTTATTGAATTTATCAATGAGATGTCGCCATCCACCAGTAAGATCTATCAATAGGGAATTATATTTGTCAGGGCTTGATACGTCTCTGAGATCAGGTGCATCACGTTTCGCTCTCCATTTATATCCAAACGTGGGAGAGAAATGAGGAGATTTTGCTGAAAGACTATGATAACCTCCACATTGATCATATTTTCCATATTCTGATCCTTCCACACCAACTGTTTCATCATGTAAATATTTTCCAAAATTTATACCTTATTGACAAACTTACTTAGTAAACCTCCAAATCTTCCTTTCTTTGGTGATTGGTAATACAGATACATGTGTCCATGTTCACCATTTGCTTCTATTTTCTTGCCTGTCAAGGAACGATTTTCTGCTCCACCCATTGGTAAATTCATTCCCCAATCTAAAAGTTAACGAAAGCATTTGTTCAAAAAGACGTCAATCTTATTTCAACAAGAACTTACGTCTGTGATGTTTCAATAATGCATCTGTAGTTCCGAATAACTTGGTATCTTCTCGTCATCAATGTAAAGAATGCAATAAATCATCATGACAGTTAAAAAATCTTTTTCCAAAATCATATTCACATACCTCTAAATGTAATTCCAATGGTCTTGGTTTCATGCAACACTTTTTTCTTGCCATAAGGTAATGTAAAATCATATCGATCATCAATGATGATTTTAGATTGAGCAGAGCTGGTTGAGGACATAAATGATGCATTTGTGACAAGATCATCCTTTCCTCGTGAAATTTCTTTTTGAATTCTTCGTTGTCGAGCTTGAACCACTAACTCATCTTCGTTTAGATATTTTTCTGTGATATTTGTAATTTCGCCATTAAGCTGTTGTAAACTATCCAACAATGGTTGATCGGATGCATGTGGTTTATAATAATCGAGAGCATGTGTAGCTCCCATTCTTCTGAATATTATTTTTCCTTCAACTCGTGCTTCATCTAAATTTTATCAAGAAATTTAATTAACAAGATCCAATAAATAAATACGTACTTCCACTTGTGTAGGTCGAAACATATTTTGAAAGGTCTCCGTCACAGCTTCCACTAACATGTCACAATGCGTGATTACAATAGTATTGCACAGTATTTAACATATTACCATGTAAAAATTATGAAAAATACATACGTAATAAGCCACTTCCAAAAAGAATGTTCATCTCCATTATGATGTGTTGCTCCTTCTCCATCCATACTATCCAATTGAATGATTACTCTACTTCCATGTGATAAAACACTCGCTATTGGATATTTTGTAGAATGCCAAATATTCCATTCATGTGTCTTTTCATCTTCTCTATACAATAATCCTCCATATCTCAATACACAAAAAATTCTTCTTAATACATTGCCTAAAGCTTCATATTCAGGACTTTCCAAAGTTTTCCTCCACAAAATTGCATCTCTCTTAAACTGAGCAAGAGCTCCAACTTCAGAATATTCTCTCTCAATAATTTGCTTTAATCGTTCCACTTGACTCAGAAACAATGGATCAGAATATGGTACATCATCAGGAATAAGAGCATATTCAAAGTTGTCAAGAAATATAATCTCTTTGGGCTCCACAATGTCTTCATGCATGGTGTGTGAATCTTGCAGTACGGGCACACTCGTTTGATTCAATAAATTTTGTTTATATTCTCGAGTGGCTTGTGCTCGTTTTACTTCAATGTATTGTTGTTGAGATGAAGACATGCCTGTTGGTTTTTTCGTTGATAGTGATGAAGAGGAAGAGGAGGAGGTTGGTGTTGTCAAAAGATTGGACGTGCCATCATCAGCATTCAGACCACCATAGCTCGCTAAATCAATTCCATCAATCGAGAGAGGAGGTCTCTTGAGAGTGACTGTGGTTCTTTTGCGATGAACTTCCATACTATTTCGTGCTGCCAAAGAGGATAGATTTGTCGTGGGAAGGCTTGCTGCTTGAAATTGTTCAGTATTATTTTCATCATGATTGACAGCATTGGAAGAAATGATTAAGAATGATGAATCATCATTGAATAGCGATGATGATGAAGATGATGATATGGATGGTCGATTTTGGTGTTCCACAATCACATAATCTTTCAATAATGCATCATGATCACTGCTACCATCACTTTTGGAATGATCTGAAGAGGTCAAGGAATGTCTCAGCAATGAATGATGATTCTGACCCGATGATTCTTCTATGGTTGGCTCCGAAGCGATCATTAATGAGGAGATTTCTTCCATCGATGGTCGGTGGTCCTGAGCAGCTGTTGATGTTGTCATCGATGAAGGCGGAGGAGTTGTTGTTGTGGTTGTTGTAATCGTCAAGAAAGAGTCTTCATGAAGAGACATTTTTTCATTTGACAGGATGTTGAAACGAATGTCTATTGGATGCGGGAAAAAGCCATTCGTTTCATCAAAGAACCCATTGAGTTCTGAGCCAATGTTGTAAAGTTTACTCAACCGGCACAAGCCACTGGTGTAACACACAAGAAAAAATTGCCACAATTCGAACAATGTTCCGCTGAAAGACTTGTTATCAACCTCGTTGTCTTTATTCCCCCTATGCTTTTTCTTGAACAAACGAACGGACAAGAAAGAGTATAGGGATAATAAAGAGAACCATCCGATGATGAATTCTTCAACAAATGATAACAGTAATAAATTAATTTAATGAACAAGTAAATATATGGCTCATGATAAAGAGGAGGATGCGGAACCCAACCATCCATGCACAATGTTGGACACAATACTTTCCGAACATAAGAAGAGTATTATCAGGTTCCACAAATTCTAGTTTGAAAACAAATATCGTAATTGCTTGAATTCGTCTTGATTCAAGCTCGGACAGACACTAACCAATCATACATGATTGGCTACACCTCGAAGGTACACGATTGACTGTATGAATTTGAGACATGGATGTTTGACTCGTGGATTTTGGAGAGGAATGTAAGGCTATGGTAGCTTTCAAAGGTCCTGTTGAGAGCTCTCTCTGTTGAGCTTCTCTCAATGCATAGCAAGCTAATCATTATGTGATGCATCAAATTGAGTTGTATGTATGAAATTAGCAATTGAATTTTTACAAATCATTTCACATGACAAATTCACATCCCTTACTATGAAAAATCCATTGATAACACTTACTCACTGCATTTTCAAATGCTTCCATCACACCAATCTCTTTTTCCACACTCACTTCATAGAATGCATCCAATTCCAATTCTTTTCGAAGCATTTCTCCTTCATCTTGGCTTACTACTCTCTGGTCTTTCATATCTATTTTGTTTCCTATTAATGTAATGTATGGAGAACATCCATCAGAATTGTAAAATGTTGTTTTAAAATCTAGTAACCACACTTTTGTGTCTTCAAATGTTTTCCTATTGGTCACATCATACACTAAAAACACCAAGTGAGATCCTCGATAATAGGAAGAAGTGACCGTTCGAAATCTCTCATGGCCAGCTCTTTTGAAAAATCGATACATTATGAACATGTGACACTCACAAAACCTACGTATCAAATATTGTAATTTTGTAATGTTTGTCTTGAATTACTAAGCTTTTAATTTTCATTTCTACTCCTATGGTTGGTTTTGTTTCTTTTTTTTCACACGTTATTAACATCATGAGGCTGCTTTTTCCAACCTAAATCAAACACAATCGGAAATGTATGTTCCATTGTATCATCAGTGAAGAATTTGAATGACAATGATTTTGTAAAATTATTTCTAAAATTTGAAATTAATTTCCAACTGCCAAAACATTACCTGTGTATCTCCAATCACAATGGCTGATTTGTTGTTTAATATTTCACATCATGATGATGATTGGATCCATGGACACAGTTCGGAACAATGTTGTTGAAAAGACACAAATGAATGAACAAAGTTATACTACCTTCGCAACGAGCGATCGCGATATGGATGTCAACACTCACCTTTGAACACCCGTTCGGTCATATTCGCGTTTTTTTAAAATCTTAAAAAATCTTTAGGATCCATGTTGATTCTTGAATCTCTCTCAGAGATTGTGGTCATCAAGTGAACGTTGGTTACAGAGCTATGAGAGCTCATTCCGAAACAAGAGAGATAGTGAATACGTTGGAAGCAAGAAACACAACGGCCAAGCTTTAGACCGAAAGAATTGACGCATCACTGATCCACTCAAAGATCAAAGATCCATCTGATTTCAATCACTGATCCACTCAAAGATCAAAGATCCATTAGCGATTCCAGAAGTTTATCATTATTAAGGACTCTTAATCAACTTGCACATTGACAACCTCTCAAAAACACTTCCAAATTGACACCTGACACCCTACCCACATTCTTCCATCCCTCTCCAAATCCAACGAGCAACATGTGACGAATTTCCAAAACCTTCAAAAAAAAGTGTTCAACACTCGCAATCTTTGGATCCTCTTCCAAGCATCCTCACGCTAGGTCTTTTAACGTCTTTGTATTCACTCTTTGTGGTGTGAACTTTCTCTAACAACGACGACCACAGTTTTGCATTCATTTGCGCAACAATTTATTTTCCTTCCAACGAATCATTTCTTCTTGGTTTCTGAATGAGTCCAAACCTTTCTGAGAATTCTCCATCCAACTACAAACGTGTGGGTGTGGTGTATAATCCTTCATCGAGAGGAGGTAAGTCGGAGCGAAGATTTGATTGTAACTTCTTATAATAATAATTGATGTCATCATGATCCTTTTTCGAATTTGAAAAATCATGATTCATGAATTCGTTCATCACGGTTTTTATTTGGTCCAATCATCGTTTATTATTTTCAATGAATCTCTCATGATGACTTTGGAAAATACTGTTTTGGACTCTTTCCAAAACATTTTCTCCAAAACATTTTCGCCAACAATTCATCAGGCCAAGCACAAACTCTCTTCAAAGCGGTTGTTCTTCCTCTACTTGAGCGATTCTTTGGTGATCGGTTAGTGAAATGTATGCCCACTCAATGCCGTGATGATGGTACTCGATGTGCCTTTCAACTCATTGTCGAGGATCATTGCGATTACATTATCAGTGCAGGAGGCGATGGAAGTACATTCAATGTATTGAATGGATTGGTACGAGGTTGTTTGTATTTGGATCAAGACAACAAGACTCGTCAGTCCTTGATGATGACGACAAATTCTGGTAGTAGTAGTCATTCACCCCTTCCGGTAGCCTTTGCAGTATTACCCATTGGTTCTGGCAATGATTTACATAAAACTCTCGGAGTCGATGTGAACGTGAGTGATTTAAAGTTCTTTGAAAAGTACATTCACATGTTGGCAGAGGGAGGTGAAGTGATTCATGCCGATATTGGACGAGTGGAATATACCAAGGATCATACGGGAGTGATTGAAGAGACTGTGAATGATGAGCATATTCCAACTCAATACAGAGAAAACAAAGCATGTCAATTAGATAGTCATGATAAGGGAGTGAGATTTTACATGAATGAGAGTAGTTTTGGAATTAGTACTTCAATTTTGAATGCAGTGAATAATAGCTCTATTAGCAAAGAGATTAATTACAATATTCAGACTTTTTGGAAGCAATTGACCTATGTCAATCCATCAGTGAAGGTTGAAGTGGATGGAAAGGTTGTAAAAGATGGTATCAGTCAGTTGGTCTGTGTTGGCAATGGAAAATGTTTTGGCGGAGGGATGCGTATCAACCCAAATGCATCCATTACCTCTGAAGCATTTGATGTTTGTGTTTTGCATAATCTAAGATTATGGAATGTACCATATATTTTCTATCAAATTCAATACGGAACACATGGAAATAATCCGTTGGCTAGTTTGTATGAGCGAGTGAAAACAATTAAGGCAAGTAAGAATCCAGAAACAATTGACGACGTGTATTTGGAATGTGATGGAGAGGTTGTTGGCAAGTTACCTGCAACGTACACGATCATGCCTAGTTGTGTCAAATTTGTTGTACCAAAAAACAGTATTGAGCATTCAAATTTCATGAATAAGTAAGCGTATGGTGAAGAATCGATATGTAAATATATATAATACACTAAATATTTTGCAAATTGTTGTTGACAAGTGCATTTTCCGCGTTTTATTTCAAAAACACTTTGTATTCATTCACTTGCTCTTGATAGAGCTCTTCGAGTTTTTCTTTACGTTCCTCGTCATCTTCAAAAGCTCCTTCCATGTCATATTCACGATATAATCTCTTCTTAATAAATAATTTGAATTCATTTCGTTCTTCATTCGTAGTATTTACATTCTCATTCAGAGATTTCAACCAAAGTATTTCAAAGCAAAGCCTCAGTTGTCCATCAGATAATTTTGTTATTGGTTTGGCTCTCTTTTTAAAGTCTTCAAATGTTTCTCTATCTGTTTCGTCAGCCTTTCTTTTAGCAGCTTTGAACAGAGGTGCACATACCTCCAAGTCCACCTTGGTTCTCATTGCTTGGAAATCGTCACCTGGATTTTCAACAGTGACTTCATAGCATTCTCTTGGAGGAAAAGTCTTTTCATCAAAACTCAAAGCATTGTATCCAACTGCAGCTTTTTGTTCCTTAAATCCCTTAGTAGCATAGGTGTAAATGGCAAGCAAGAGTTTTCTACCATGACCATGTCCTTGGAAAGGAGGAAGAATGAGGAATTGACTCACTCGCAGTCTTCTTGTATCAACCAATTGATTACCTTCCTTCTTCATCACAAAGAAAGGGTATATAGAGGAGAATCCAATGGGAATATATTCGAAATTGTTTGTTTCTGTATTTTTCACCTTCTCATAGCTGTAAGAGTTAAATAACGTTATTGTAATCATGTCACAAATAGTTACCTTAAAAAGAATTCCCAATTCTCATCTTGATCATTAATGTACGAGGTTCCATCAATGAAGAACAATGAGAGAAATTGCCATGGCTTGTGAGCGGCTCCAATTTGAGACATTGAAGCTTTATAAATCTCAAAACATCTTCCTTCTCTATAATAGACATCTATTTGTTCTCCCTTAGGTGTATTAGGCTGTGAAAGTTTTGATTTGAATTCTGTTAAATTTTCAGTGTAGGGGAAATAGAGCGGAGGTGCACGATAATCCGAAAAAGGGAACTCCACATCCTTAGCAGTAAGAATACCTTTCACGTCGGTTGCATCATCACTGTTTAAAGTTTGAAAATCATCACAAGTTCTCGCTCTCAATTTTTTACACATACCTCTTACTATCGTATTGAATATTTAACCAACAATATAATGAGTTGGTAAAGAAAATATTGATCCGAATATTCTCGTATCCCTCTGGTATTAAAAATTGAATATTGTTGATGAATAAATGAATATATGACCATCACATACCAATCTTTTCATTCTCTCCGAACAGTTGATGGGTAAATGTTGGTTGAAAATCAAGAAACCGTTTCGTATTTTCAATATCGTTTACATCAATTTGTTGATTCAGATCCAATTCACCTTCATTTCGGACGATACGGAAGTGAATAACATCATTTGCAACCACACACATTTCATCATCATCACTTTCGTTGGATCTTCGTTCATCTTCCTCTTCGTAATCAACAAGATCCTCGACTCCTTCTTCTTCAACCATGCGGTTTAGTTTGTTAAACTTTTTTGTTTCCGCTGATGTATAATTCAAGCTGCTTGATGATGATCCAATAGAAGAGCTAATAGAATCAGCAGTATTGGAGAGCTTTTTCTTCTTCTTTTCGGGTTCAGTCATGGTTGTTGTGGTGATGAAAGCTTAAATGCTGTTAATTTTTTTTTGCGCTCAATTTCACTGAAAATTCGTTGCTTCAATATTTGATGGCGGGAAGAAAAATGTTGTAAAAAAGAATGTTTCTCTCATTTCGTTCACACAACAGTTGTTGTCCATTTAAATGATGGTCATCGTTGAACATTTACTCATATTCAGAGAGAACAAAGTATTTTTGCTGTTAACAAAAAATGAGCCGTTTCGATAGTGCAGAAAGTTCACGCCATACCAACGGAATTGGTGATAGTACAAACGATGCAAGTCGAAGACCAAATGGTAAGATTGAAGATGCAACTAGTAGTAATAATAACAGAATAACATCAATTTCATCCGCATATTTAAATGATTTTACCAACTCATCTTTCCAAAATCAAGGCTCCGATAACACATTTGATGATGGCGATAATAGAAAATTGTCTGATTCAACAGTGGAGAAAGATGATGTAATGAAGGGATCCTCTTCGGTAAACTCTCGGAGCAACTCCAGTGTTAGTAATAATGGTAGAAGAATTTATGGTACAACAACGACAAGCAACTCAACCACTAATACGGACTCTGTTCATCACTCCAGAAGATTGTATGATGCATCATCATCGGGGCAACAAGTTTCCAACGATCGTAGTAGATATAGCAATCCATCATATAATAGGAACCGAGGTAATAACCGATATTACAATGGCGAGAGCCCAAATCCGTCATACGTTACTCAAAACAATAGAAATGCTTCATCATCTTATAACAGAGAACGACGATACACCAATACTTCTGCTGGGGTTGGTAGTAATTACTCAAATAGAGGTCACCGCCGAACGGACTCATACGACCACACCATGTACAATCAATATCATCCCTATCCTCCACATTTTGATGATACCTATGCACCCCATATGCTGCATCATCACTATCCCGAAAATATGTACAATTATCCCCCTCTTCATCCTGTTGACAGCTCAGGGTATCCAAGTCATCCTTATGCTCATCCCACTGAAATCTCAAATTCTTCCTCAACAACTCATTCCGATCCCTATTTGACCTCTCCTAACAAGAGTGACAAGCATTACAACGAAGATTATGCAATGCCCTATCCTTACCTACAATATCCTTATCTCTACCCTTATCAATATTTTCCAGGCTATCCGATGGCTCATCCTATGTCATACGACAAAGGAAGAGCTGATTACAATCAACAATCATTTAACAGAGAACATTACAAAAATAATAGAAATGAAGAGGAGGGAGAGTCTACAGATGCATTACAAGAAAATGAGAAAACGATAGAAAAAACAAATGAAAACATTACGACAAATGATTTATCAAAATCCGAGCCCGAAAAAAATAAGATGCAAGACGAAGAGGAACAAATAATAGAGAGTACTGCAGTACCTAGAGATCCAAGACTATTTGAATATTATCCAGAAGAAACTGCTACGGTGGAGGATAAAGGTGACGGGAAAAAACCAAAGAAAAAAAATTATATTCAAAACACAAAATCAATCAAAAAGTCAGAATATTTTGCAAAAATTCAACTGGCCACAACTCTTGAAATTCCATCCATCTGTCTTGAACAAGGGTTTATTGCGAGTGAAAAGGAATATCTGCGGAGTTTGACAGTTAACAAACAGCCTAAAATAGCTATTATGGAAATACCTAAAGATTTTAAAGCAGGTCATATTTCTGAAATCATAACAACTACAGGCTCCGTAACAGAATTCGATGCATATTTTAATAAGGAAACCAATCAAGTAATTTTTGCCTCCGCAGTATTCAAAGATTTTGACACCTGCAGGCGAGCAGTTTTAGAGTTGCATGAAGACAAAAGTATTAAATTTAGAATTGAATACGACTTTTATGGAGCGTTGGAAGAAGAAATGGCAATTACAAACCCCAATCTCATATCAGGAAAGAAAAAAGAGCAAGAAAAGAAAGAACAAGAACTTAAAAAACAAGACAAGCCCAAAACGAAGCCTTATCATCATGAAGAACCCATGAATATGATTGATTATTATCACAATCCTTATGCATTTTATCACTTTGCTTATCCTTACTATCCTCAAGGATATCATTTTTCTAGATTTCAACTAAAAGTTTTGACAAAGTACGGACGCAGCAAGAAAGAAAAGCTTGCAAGTGTATTTCAAGATTACATGTGCACTGAATTCTATTTTGACGAGTCGGAACGAATGTATATAGTAGAGTTTAATAACCCTGAAGATCTCTCTTCCGCATACCAAAACTTAAACAACCATGTTGTCATAGGATATGTGATGGAACTTGAACCAGTCTATCCTGAAAATTACCAACCTCCAGAAACTTCAATGCAAGAGCAACTTCACGACAGAATGAAGCTTAAGATTAAGGAGGCATTATTGAAAAGGTTTAAGAAAAACGTTTTTGCTCCATTCGCTAAAAAAATATTGGAATCTAAAAAGCAAAAAGACTCAATCGATGTCATGAAAAATATTGTATTGGAGAAAATCAAAAAGAATCTAGAAGAAAAAGAAAGATTTTTGGAACGATTTGCCATGCAAACCAAGGCAGAAAAAGCTGAACCACAGTCCAGTGAAGATGAGAAATCAGAAAATGACGAGCGTGACGAGGTCAGTGAAGGATCGGCCAAATATATGAGTGAAGAGGATTTCCAATCTCCTACTTTAGAAGAGCATGAACCTTTTTCCAAAAAACAAGATAGAATGGAGCATGACAGCGAGGAAGAATACCAATTTGAGGATGAAATCTCTACCAATGGTCAACCTCAAACAAGTTTACAAGAGGCCACAACAGAAGAGACCAGTGTAAAGAAGAGGAAACATCAGGATCTTAAGAAGGCAGGTAAAAAGAAAGCTCAACACATTCCATTTAAACCTTCAAGGGAAGAACAAGAGATTGATGAAAAGTTGAGGGCAATTACAGACGGATGCTCTAAAACCAGAGGATTAACTCTTAAAGAAATCAGAGAAATGAAAGAGATTAAAAAGCCTGTGTCTGAGAGCGTTGTTAAAGATATGATGAAAAATACGATGAGGAGAATGGAGCTGGAAGCTAAGAAAAATACTAATGAAAGCAGAAGACAGCGTGCCGAGTCAAGAAGAGCACAGAAAATGGCACAAGACGATACTAAAATCAATCAATTCCAAAATAGAGCAAAGAAGCTAAAGTTCGCTAAATCCCCAATTCACGATTGGGGATTATTCGCTTTGGAGACTATTGAAAAAGATGAAATGGTCATTGAGTATGTTGGGGAAGTTATTCGAGAAGCGCTCTCAGACATTAGAGAGAAACGATATGAACAAATTGGTATTGGTTCCAGCTATCTGTTTAGATTGGACGATGACTATATCATTGATGCAACCAAGCGTGGTAACTTGGCCAGATTTATTAATCACAGTTGTGACCCTAATTGCTGTGCTAAAATTATTGAGAAAGACAAGCAGAAAAAGGTTGTCATTTATGCCACCAAGAAAATTGAAATTGGAGAAGAAATTACCTATGACTACAAGTTTCCACTCGAAGAGAATAAGATTCCATGTCACTGTGGATCTGCAAAGTGCAAAAAGTGGTTGAATTAAATTATTCCCAAAGTTCAATAACGATCTTTTGACAAAATGGTCTTTTGTCTTGTCACTCCCAAAACACTCAAGCCTTTCCTTTTGAGACTTCTAATGTCTGACAAGAGATTCAAACAACAGAAAAAAACTGCTCTGGGAGTAGTGGTACCGCACCATCATCAACACACGTCATCAGTGTCTAACTTTCCTTCAACACATTATCTGCGTCCCTAATTGAATTGATAACCTCAATAATTACAAACATCAACATTATTTGATTGTTGGATTTTAAAACCCTACTGTACGCGTGGAGAGTTGTATTGAAATAGCGTCATCTCTAATTTTTCTGTATTCATATAGTAATCATCATAGAGGAATTATTAAAGAAACACCTACAATCATCATGTTTTATGCATCCGGAGCAAACGAGCATGGTATGTATTTGTTCCTTCAACAAGATATTTTCAAATCAAGCCTTTTCTCTTTCGGTTTGATGCTTTCAAATTTCGGGTATCCATATTGATGAAATTCATTAATTACAATATTGTCCATCATGATGAATTTGATCACGACAACACATTCATCCATGTCCTATTTTCAAATAATAACAAACGTTAGGTCAATTGGGTAATAGTACCTACACTAACCTTCAAACTCTAACACCAATTAATATCTCTGCACATCACTATAGACAAAAGACATATCGCCAGCTGGGTCCTGTATGTTTGTCTGATTTCGCTAATTTAGATGAGAGAAATTTGGTTGGCTTGTGCAAAATTAAACAGATTGCTTGCGGAAAACGACACACTCTGATTTTGACGGGTAAGTGGTTGAAAATTTTGAAAATAACAACTGCAACAACAATGATTCAACTATTGTCTTGCAGAGGAAAACGATTTGTATGCGTGCGGAGACAACTCTAATTCTCAGCTTGCTGTGTATGAAACAATTTCAAATAATACAGTGGAATGGATTGATTTTGAACCGGCACGAACCCATAGAATTACCTCAATAGCATGTAGCTCAAATTCATCATTCGTATTTCTGGATAATGGAGAAATCTACAAAACCAGCCCAAACAAGCTGAGTAACCTCTCTCACAAAACTTCATTTTACAAATTAAGTTTGGAGACAAAGAGTCCTGTCAAGGGTTTCTTTAGCTCTCCGACCACAAGTCGATTTCATATCCTAACAAATGATAATTCTGTTTTTGTTGGAGGAGAGGATGAAACGGGATACTGGGCTGTAAGACAAGATCAACCCTTAAAACCAACTCCATTCCCAGCCATTACTAACCCCATCAAAATAATTGCAAGCGGAGGTTTTCATACTGTAATCATAACAGAAAAGAACGAGTATTTCAGTATGGGGAAAAATTACTTTTATCAGAGAGGTGACATGGATGACCGAATTTCTCTTCGTCAAGGTGTTGAGCTACCATTCAGCAACAAATCGATTACCCAGGTGTGTTGTGGCCATTTTCACACGTTGGTTTTATGTGCAGATGGAAGTTTATATGCTTGTGGAAAAAACTCTCACGGACAGCTCGGAATTGGTACTTTGAAAGAGAAGAATTTGTTCATGAAAGTACCTATCAATACCTATATTCATAGCATGCATTGTGGAACTGATCATACAATTCTTTTAACAACAGATAAACGAGTCATGAGATGTGGTAAGAATGACAGAGGGCAAAGTTTTCTTGATTACGGAAAATGTAACACAGTTTTTGAAACGCTTAAGGTGAAAGAATTTGCTCATGTTGCTTGCGGCGCTCACTTTACGATTTGCTATGGAGATATGACCTATGTCATTAACCGTTTACCCAAAATTGCTTCTTTTTTATCTAGGAAAGACTTTTCTGATATCAACTTTGCTTTGAGTCATGACGAAGATTAAAATTGATATTCTTCAGAGCTCCTTGTTCATTTTGCAGCTGAAACTCAGCAACGGGTCCCGTTTCATTTCTTAGTTCCTAGTGATTGTTATGTTGTGTTTTATTGATCAGTTTGTTCTCGAATGGCAAGAAAGAGTCCCTAGGTGGCTTGCCAAACCTTCTTACATTCCATTAATTCTTGCCAACGAAATTTTTTGATCTGAAGTCAACGACTCGGTTGTGCTGGAAGCATTGTCTTTTGGTTGCTGCATCGTCCATCTCTTGAAACTGTCGAAAATAATATTGTTGATAATCACTTTTTCTAAGCCATCAAAAAGATCAATTTGACCAATACCACTCTTTACCTTAAATCCATACGTTTCTAACTCTTCACTGGAGATATTCAGTTGCTTTGGAGCTGAAGTAGAAAGATATTTGTTGTAAATTTCATGTTGCAACTCGCTTCGTTGTTGTAAATTGTTGACGAGTGATTTGTAGAGTTGTACATCTTCCAAGAACAAGATGGATTCATCGTTGTGCTCCTTTGCACAAAATTCTTTGAATTGATTTCTTCTTTCGTGATTGTCAAACATTTCTTTAAATTCCATTTTCTCGATAAGCAGATTATATTGCTTTTCTTTTTCTTTCAAATTCTTCAAGAGCACAGATCGGTCTGCATTGCTGTGAATAAGTAAGACAGCCACTCGTTCTTGTTCGTTACTGGTGACAATACTTGAACCTTTCACAACTTCACTTTTCAACATTTTACAAAAGTTCACAGAGATACGAATGTTAAACTCAATTCCTGCCTTGCTCACTCCAATAGTTTCAAAGTTGGTAATGGAATCATCTTCATTATGCTTTTCGAAAATTTCTTTTGTGTTCATTTTTGGTAATAACGTATTAATGGTAGTTGTTGTTCTTTCCGCCTTTCTAATATCTATTTCCTTCAGAGAAAACATGTTCAAGAATGAGTTGTTGTAATGAATGACTAGACCTTCAGAAGTTATGGTCACAACTGCATCATCAATGGTGTTCAAGATCTTTCTCGTTCTCTGTTCTTCTAAAGAAATTTTATCCAATAAGAGAGACAATTGATTGTGACTGTGAGCCAAGTCTCTAGTTCTTTCTGAAACTTTGATTTCCAACTTGTTTTGAATCACCTGATATTCTCGCTTTCTAAAATAGTCTTGAACAATTTGGAAAACACCCAAAATCACCACTAGGAACAATATAATATTCAATACAATAGCGAATGTCAATTCAACCCAAAAGATGTCATCAAGTTGCCAACCTTTGAGAGGTTTCAAAAATAGTTGATATTCGCTGTTGAGAACAGTCTGATTGACAATCACAGGATCTGTAATCATGGTCAAATTGTTAGTAATTCCATTGACTGTTTGATTCGTTCCAAATCGAGATTCTAAAAAGATTCTCTGTTGTGCATTGTCATATAATTGATATTCATATCCAGAAAGAATGTTATAGAGACCAATCCTTTTGAACAAGGTGTCAAAGGAAATTAGTGATGAAGACAATCCCCAAAACGTGCCATTCGGAAAGAATATTGGAAATTGAGTTATCAGAGAGGCAGATGCCAATCTCTTAATCCAAACAGGTCCAAAAATTGTAATTGATTCGTCAGCAATTGCTCTTTGAATTGCATTGTAATGTTCTGGTTCAGATCCAACAATCTTTCCAATAATTGATGGATTATAAGGATAAACATATGAAAGACGTAATCCATATTCCAATTCGAACTGAGCCAATTCTGGATAAAGCTCACTCAATCGTGAACCCATCTCATTAAACCCACTATCTGTCACATTATAATTCCATGCATATACCACTTGTGCAATAGAGATCAAACTACTCATGGACAATTCTATTTGTCGTTTTATCGTTAAAAAGGCTGTAATACCAATCTGCGTGACACCAGCTCTCACGTTCAGCAATCGAGTATCTTCAATACTTTTGACAACCACCACTGTGACCGGTATTGAGATACACATAATAATACATGCTAATATCAAACCCAATGATAAACTTATTAAATAGACGCCTCGTTGTCTCCTTGACAGTTCTGCTTTTAACTTGTCATCAGACACTGTCGCATGATGTTCAGGCGCGTTAGTGAGTACTGTATTGGATCGGGATCTGTCTTTACCAAGGTTTCCACTATTTTCCTCGTCGAACAGTACTCCTCCATGAAGTGATTCTAAAACCATTTTCTCGAGCTAGTGTTGTTGTATGTATATATGTGGTTGAAGAAATTGGTTACTTTTCAAATAAAAAGCAGGTAGCGAGATGAATAAAACGAATACTACTACTAGTAGTATCTAACAATTGTAGTACAATGATATTGAATATATAGAGGTCGATCTATATAATCTTAACAAGTTGAGAATCTTGTGGGATGATGAAGATTTTTCTCTTCAGATGAGCTTGTCTTGACAGTGATGACTATTATAGGTTCGGAAGAAGGAGATTGAACTCTGATCCTCGTCGCGACGGGTCGGCGGTTGTAACAATGTTTTTATAGGACTAGTACTACTACTACTACAAGAAGAAGAAGATGATGAAGACGCTCGAGTTCGTTGGAATGAAGAACTTGCGCAGTGAGAGAGTGAGTGAGGAGAGTGAGGAGAGTGAGTGAGGCTAACCTCAGAGTGATGATTGTATTATTTTGTTTTGAGCGAGAGAGTGAGAGAAAAGGCTGAACGTTCTCGTGTTGTTGTTGTTGTTGTAAATCTTTTTTGAAAACAGAGTCTGCATTTGGATTTAAATGACAAGAAAGAAATTTAAAAGAAGCAAAGATGATGAATGATGGCCAAGATCAACATTTGTTATCCAAAAGAATCATTGGAGAAGGAAGAGGAAAAGGTAGCGATGACATTTGTCAGAACATTTGATGTTGTGATATTTGTGTGATCGTGTTAACACAATTTGCTGAGAAAACATGTATTGAAACAACAACTTACCTATGGACCGAGACAAGACCAAAAACAACATTATCATTTGCATGGCGAATATTCATATTAATATTCAACAAAATGATGATGGTTATTGTTCGTACGACAATGATGATAATCACAACACAATTAATTCATATAACCGATAACGAGAAGCACATGATGGTACCTACTTGTGTTCTATTCCCAACACCAGAGAGCACAACGGAAAGAGACGCGTTCCACTTGGAGGTTTTGTTTTTTGAGATGGAACGACAGCCGTCGCTCCGAACATCACAAACGTGCTGCTGTCGAATGACAAGTAAGATACAAATGGACACAGTCGTGAAAAGTGTTGGGAGTATGAGTTAGGAGATCACCTCCCATTAAAGATAAAACATCATCGGATAACTGCGTGGTTGAAAAAAGTTCATCTTCATCCCATGTAGATCTTTTTGTGGTCCCCAAGGGGAAACGACTGTAAAAGCGTTCATGCCATGATAGAGAAGAAGACAAGAACACAACGTTCAACAACAACTCGGTCCATCTCAATTTTGCATTTTGACTTAAACGAACTCGTTACAAAAAAAATGTTTTACTTTTACAAGGCCTTTCCAGTTGGAATTATTTCGCATTGGTGTTGCTGGAATGATGATTGGGACGAGAGGCAACCACACTCCTTCTCACCAGGGTTGAATCTGATGAAAAAAGGTAATGGAGAGCTACCATCAACTTGTCAGAATTGTTCGGAAAACCATTCCAATCATGTTCAATTCGGAATCATGAGTCCATTGATGGCTTGTTGGAGATTTCATACTACTTGCTATGAATATTTGGATAAATTGGCTCAAAAACATGAAAACGTTCCTGACGATGCCCACTTGGTGAGATTCATGTTTTACAAATTGGAGGAACAGATGAATCCTATTGTTTTTAGATTATGTAAAGAATGGTGGAAGGTAGATTATGTATTGCCCAAGATGATCGCCAGAGCATTGTTTTTAATCGCTCAATCGAATAATTATACGATTATCATTGAGAAGGAAAATGATGATGAACAACAGTTCGATTACCATGTTGATATGGAGATGGATGAGGTAGTTAACCGCTGTGGTAAAATTGTAGATTTTATTGGCGCAGACTTGCATTGTGGAGATGAAGATAGTTTCAAAGAGTGCTTGAGAAGACTTGCCATTGTTGTGGTCAATAGAAAATGGTCCCTCATGATGAAACAGGCTGTGCTATTGATATATTTGTCATGTCTTTGCGATCGATATGTTGACAAGAGTATGAAGAATCCAGAAAGTTATCCATATTTTGTTTATCGAAATGAGATATTTCGGCTCATGAATGAACATGGGTATATTCCATCCACCATTGTCTCGGAAATATCTAAATGCACTTCCTTCCATAACAACTCAATGTATCAAGACGATATTGTTACGAATTATGATCCTGCTAATTTCATATCTTGCGTGTTATCCATACTTGAAGAACATGATTTACAGAAAGCAGAAACTTCAATAGTATCGTGGATGCAGTTCATGTACAGTAAGGCTGTTAATTTTGCTCCACAATTAAGACAGTTGAGCTTTTCATTTAGAGACCAGCAACCATTCGGAGACTGTCAAGAATTGAACATTTTTGAATTATTTATCAATCAGTTGATTTTTAATACCAAAGATCGAAAATATGATTGGAGCTTGTTGCCCAGTAGTTGCCAACCCAATTCAGAAATAGTTCACATACTCTCAGAGTTTGACAACGATCCTCAATGCGTGAATTCGCTTTCATTCAGAGAGAAATGGCATCATTTCCTTCAAGGGAAGCCATCATTGTTTCAATATGTTAATTCTAATGATATAGGAAATCCCTCCTTAGATTATGAATTAGAGGTCACCATTCACAATATCTTGTCTTGTGCTGAGCATTTTTTTGGTATAACCTTAGAAAAATTCAAACCTGTCAAGAAATTCATGAATTTCGACGTATACCTGGAAATGAGAAAATCAAAAGCTGGCGGTGATGTTCAACTCTCTGAGGAAGAGGTAGATATTATCAAGCGAAGTAAACTGCGCTTTTGTCAAGAAAGAGGAAACAAGAAAGAAAAGAAATGGTTGGAGCAATCATTGGTTGAATTAGGTCAACAATTAAGTACACCTCAACGACACATCGAATTTACTTGGGACAAATCTACTTCAAATCATAACAAAACACGTATGAAATGCACAGATAAGACTTCTTCAACAAGCTTCGAAATTATCTGTGATCAATATGGAGCTCATGTTGCTACATATTTTACGGCAAGAAAGAACCAAATGTTCCAACAGTTCTTTTACAACTCAAATTGCTTATATCAACAATAGAGCCACGGTAACCGACGTGCTATATCCAAAATTGAAGTGTTTCAGGCCATGTCCAGTTCTGTGAACGGAACGGATAACGAAAAGGTTGGTGAGCTTCCAATTTGGTCAGATGGAGCGGCCTGGGTGCCTTATCACAAGAAACCACACGTTTCCACGGAAAATTACAGATGTAATTTCACATGGTAACATTCGCCGAAACCTGTAGAGCCGAATTTCAGAAAGGAAAATTATCTGTTAATAATGAACGCCTTCTCATTAAGGAAGTGTGCACACTTTTTATTCAACTACGGCAAGTTCTCTTTTGTTAGCGATAATTTCCTTAACAATCACATGAAAAACACGCAACCTTTGTCAATGGCCCAGCTGTAGCACGCACGACAACACGAAACAAATCGAACCTCAGTTGCAACACTAATTCGCTCATTGAACAGTGCAGTCGCCTTTCTACTGTATATTATCACAACAACATGGTGTTTAAGGTACATCCTCAAAGACAACAACATGTTTCTAACGAGGCCAATAAGTATAACACAGACAATAATAATCAACAGGATGAATTTGAGGTTGCTGCAGATGAACGACTCTCAGACACGATGATGATGAACAACAAGCACACACAAAGGTCTTCATGTTGTTCCATATCATTGAGGTATTTCCTTGTTCTCACCATTTCAATACTCATCATTTTGTGTTCCATCACAATCTATGTGAGTGTTTTTATTGGATTATATACTTCCATTGATGAGCTCTCAAACAAGGTAGTCATGAACGCTCAAGACAAAATTGTAACCTTTCTAGATGGCTATATGGGAAAGCTCAAATTGATGGCTCAACTAGGAGCTCAACAATATAATTCAGCCATTGGAATTCACACATTTACCAAAGACCTCTTTCGAAGCTACATGTTTCATTTAACCAAACAATCTGGTGTATTTGTAGGCTACTTTTTGTACTTTCATCCCTATTCAGAACGGTACGCAGTTACTGTCGTATCTACAAATAATACGCTCGTATATACGTATCAGGTAGGTTCTGTTGGTCTTTAATACATATGGAAATGTTCTCACACATGTGTGCGTGTCAATACGTGTAACAAATTGCAAAGAATAATCGATTTCCTGGAATTATTCGAGATCAATTGAATTGGGAAACTGGTTCTGTGATGAAAGCTAATTACTCCATTGACCCAACACCTGCCAACTTGACCAAACAAGAATTTTACGTTTCTGGATTGGCCATGACTAAAAAGCTCAAATCCGAAGGTGTTTTTCTCGATCCAGTCTTCATTATTGGAGCTCATATTGCACTGCCGTATATTGCCTTACTTTATGATCCTATTCAACTTCAACAACAACCTTCAAAAAAGGTACAAATTGGCATGTGTCGATGTACTGTACCATTGTATTTGCTTTCCAACTTTTTGAGAGATGAAATTGAAATATTCTCCAAAGGTTATGTTATCATAATATCACATCCTATTGTAACAACTAGTTCCACTTCTTCGAATAATACTTCTTCCTCCATGGTACAAGTCATTGCTGGAAGTATTACAACCACCACTCCCGACGGTAAAAATACCTTACCACTCTTCAATTTGACAGAACGGAATGCTGGTAAACTCATGCAAGACATTTATCATACCTACCGAGTGGACTTCTTTCAGTTACCTGAAAAATTCAAAATCTCTAGTTTAGGAGTGAATTATATTATAATGTTGAAAGCATTTTCATATGAGAATATCAAGTACAAATTACTTGTTGTGGTCTATGAAGATGAAGTAAGCATGACCACTTATATCAGCATTGGTGCTTCATTGGGGGCAACCATTCTTGTTGTCATTCTAGGCATTTGCTATGGAATTGTGTTGAGCCATGCCATTACATCACCTATTCAAGCTCTGCAACGACACTTAGAGAGAATTAAGGTTCTGGATTTAGAAGACCATACAGGAATGAACAATAAGAATAGTATTTTCAAAGAAATGAATGAAATGTGTGATCATTTACAAGTGACCATTTCATGGCTCAAAGAAATTAAGTGTTTCATTCCAGATAATGTCTTTCATCAACTACAGATGAGAGCAAACGAACATTCATCAGCTTCATTAACTCTCGCGTCAAGTTTAAGATCCAGTACACAAGTGAAACCTCAAATAAGGGCATCCCATGAACGACAAGCAATATTTAAACATCAAAACAAACCAACACACGAAAATCATCAAGAACCAATGATGAACGATCAAAAACACGAAACTGCATCCAATTCTAGCGTATCCACAAGCACATTAGGAGAACCATCTTCTCTATTCAAAATGGGACTCTTTAAAAAAACATGTACAGTTATTTGCGTTTGCTTGAATTGGGAAACTGCTTGCCATTCAGACATTGCATGTGAATTACCAAAAATAGTGAATACCATTCGATCCATGTGCAAAGTTTTTCAAGCCATTGTTCACATTTCATCTGTTGAGGAAATTGTCATTATATTCGAAACAGAAAAACAATCCAAAAAGAAAAAGAGTGCATTGGCAGCTGTTGAATGTGCTTTAAAGATTATACGGACATGCTCTCGTCATCATTCAAAGCAATCTGGTCACACTACATCTCACGAACAAAACAGTGCTACCACACCAGATAGACCTATTTCGATGGGAATTTCTACGAGTGAAGAGTCCTATGTTGGAAATTTGGGATCTCATTCTTTCAGATTCTATTCCATAATTTCGAATGCCACTCATATTGCCAAAGATTTAGCATTTATTGCTCGCTCAATGAATGCAACTGCAGTAATGGATGAAAAAACTTATATGGAAACGAATAAGCACTTTGTGTCAATACCAGTCGATAGGATGTGGATACCAACAAATAATCATGCAAGTGGTGAAGATGCAACGACTGTGCATAGTGTTTGTTCTGTCTATGAATTGTTAAGAGAAATGGAGGTAAAAGATGATGAGTGGTTGTACGAATTGGAGCAAAAAGATGACATTTCTAAATTTCAACAATTACATTCGTTGTTTGACATTTTCCAAGAACAAGAAGACAACAAGCTTGAAGCCATGTTAAGGCAAAATGTGTTATTCCTAAGAGATCACACCATGTCCTCTCCATCTAATAGATCGTATGCACGGCTGTTGAAGCTATTTGAATTCATTTTGAATTCATCAGGAGTTAATAGAGAACAATCCTTAGATGCCAATAACATGGTGAAGAGTCTTATTGACAAGTACTACCTCAGAATTCAAAGATCTATTCTGTGCTCCATTGAAAACTCAATCGTTTTTTCAAAGTAACCTTTTTAATGTTTTTTTTGCATTTGAACAAATAAAATTCCAAAAAGCCTTTAATAAATAAGAGTTATAATTTGATATGACAAGTTGTACAACATGAATATGATACAACAAACAACGAGATCTAGGTTGTTGTGGTGAGAGGTGAATTTAAAAATTACTTCTTTTCACCACCAAAAAGTTGAGAAATTCCTTGACTTCTCATATAGAAGAGTTGTCTCAAATTTTCCAAATCTTGGTCATCTACAGGCACAGATGCAGGCAAGCTCTTGATTTGTTCTTGTTCTTCCTTCTTTGAGTGCTCTGGTGAAACGAAACGATGCAAAGCTTCATAAGCCAACAATGTCACACCAAATTGAGGAGAGCTTCTCAAAATTCTAGGAACAGTTCCCTTGAAGAATGCAGTCACACCTTCTTCCTTGAAAATTGTCTTGGCACAATGTACAATACCTCTGTATTGTGTTTGACCTGCTCGAGCTTCAACTTGAAGTCTTGTCTTGATCACATCAAAAGGTGTTGTCGATGCTGCAGAAACACCACCAGCAATAGAACCAGCAACAAACAATCGACCATTACTAGTTTCTGAAGCACCTTCTTCTCTAAAGTGTTCTTTCAAGAAGGCATACAATGGGAAGTAAATACCAGAGAATGGAATGTCACGAGCAAAGCAAGCAGAAGCACCTCTATATAAGCCAGCAAAACCTAATTCTCTACAAATTTGGATGGCTCCTTTTGGAGCAATTCCTTCGGTTCTTGCCAATTCTCCTTGAACTTGCAATCTAATCTTAACAATTTCAATTGGATTTGTGAAAACAACTTGAGAAGCACCAGCACCACAACCAGCCAACACTTCCAATGGGAAATAAATTTCATCTCCTTCCTTTCCAAATAAATCACGCAGAGTGTCGTTGGTGACCAATTTAATGGCCTTCTCTGGTGACACACCAATAAGTTGTGGAATCAGACCTCTGTAGAAACCCCTAATACCTTCATATTGATAAATTTGTTTGAAACAATCAAGACTGTTCTTGTAAATAATTTGATTCTTTGGTGGAGCTCCTCCTTGATTTAACATTCTTCTTTGATTTTGCATACGTGTCTTGACCATATCAATTGGGAAGACAGCAAAAGCACCAATAGCACCAGAAATACCACCATACAGAGTTTTAGTTGCAACCTTAACAGCTCCATTCAAAAATCGTTCTCCGAATGTCATTTCATGTAAACCATCAGGCGTTACTGCATCTCTGCTCCAACTGTCCAAAATGTGTTGTCTTCTTGCATTATTTTCATCCATCACACGAATGAATTCTTCATAATCTGGTTTATAGAGAACACCTTCTTCGGGTTTGGTAGCAAACATGTTGAAAATAATGTCAATCTCCATTGGACTCAGTACAATTCCTGTCACACGTCTTGCTGCAGTTGAGAAACTCTCCTTTGTAATGACATCTCCCTCCCTGCTAGCGAGACCTCTAATCGATTGTGCAATACCACTCAAGTTACTAATCACTCTGTTGTAAGCATCAAATTCTGCATATGTAATCTTTGAGTTTTCAGGAATTCGTTTCATATTTTCTTTCACTCTTTGTGGAAGTGATACTGAATATTGAGTAATGAGATTGGCAAAATCAGCACCAGAAATAAAACCACGACCTTGAGAATCAAGCTTTTGGAATTCTTGCTTTCTAATCTCTTCATTCATGAGTTTCATAAATTGAGAGAATTGATTGAAACTCAAAGTTCCGGTTCCGTCACGCCCAAAGAATCTATGCATCAAGTCACAATCAAAATCAAATTCCACACCTCTTTGATTGTTTGTTTTCATCACCTTCTTGAACTCTTCCTTGCTAATTGCTCCATCTTTATCTAAATCAAACATTTTAAACAAGAGATGGAATTCACTCTCAGGAGTGGTCAACATTTTGAAAAGGAATACATATTCAGGGAATGTAATCTTTCCGCTTTGACCAGTATCTGCAACACGGAACAATAAATCCAAATTACTTGATGTAATTTGTGTTCGATGTTGCAATTCTTGTTCCTTTTCAGTGAAAGGAATGTTTCTTTGTGTGAGAGATTTCACAAAGTCCTCTGGTGTCATCACTGGCTCTCCTGCACCATCTTTTGTTGATGCAAACTTATTGAAGATGGCTCTCAATCTCTTTTGTTGTTTTCGATCAAGCCTACGAGCAGAGAGTTGTTGTTGCTTTTCCTTTTCAGAAAGGGAAGGATTATTCAAAATATCAGAATCTTTCTCTTGTGCTTGCAAGTTTTGAACGAAAGGAAGTACATATCGATTCTTCCAAGCACTTGGTAAATACCAATACGATGATGATGGGACGGAAGTGTTTGATGGGTTATTCATTTTCTATTTTTGAAATTTTTGATTACCACACAGAATATTGTTTCAATGATGATGGAACGGTAATAATGATGATGGAAAGATGATTAATAATCAATGGATGAATCGGATTGATATTAATACAAGTAATATTACACAATATAAATTACAAATAAATGGAACAAGGGATTTCACGAGAGCAAGAGGAATGATGTTTTTTTTGGAATTGTAAATTTTGCAAATTAATACAACCATACGGTGCAGTAACAATCCAACGTTGAGAATGAAGGATCATAGAGTATACACAGTATTGAATATTATGATTCAATCAACGTGAGGGAGTTGATGGATGAAACAACACCCAATCACCAAATAGGATACAATGACCATCATCGTGATATCCATTGTCCAAATCCATTGATCAAGATGCAAGATAAGAATGAGAGAAGGAACTGTGCACAACCAACACCTACCTTTTCCTTGTTTTTCAATACAACACTCAAACGTATGTTTTCAAAACCAAAGCTCTCTCTCTCTACAACAAGGGACACAAGGAGATTTTTTTTGTGTGAATTTTTGTGTTCGACAAACCCGATCGGGTAATGATGGCTGATTGAGTTTGGAAATTTTTCCTCAGGGAATTTGCACAACAGCATTTGACCATGTTGCGATATTAAGAAATTTCCGGTTTTATGACAAGTCTATGGGACTTGCAAATGATGATGCAGAGAGTGGTTTTTGATTGACCACACTGAATAATACTTTCCAAAATGAATAACTATGTGTGAATGCATTTGGTGCGATATTGTAGAAAACACTCAGTTTCATCAAAGATTCTCTTCTGCCCATACATTAAAAATTTTCATTATTTTCATTGAATCCAACATGGTTGTCACCTTAATTCTTTCGAGATGGTGTTGTTGAAGATTCTCTTTTCGTGTAACATTTGGCAATATACTCGGATTTAATCCATGAACGAAGAGAGAATGATTCATGAGTCTTGATGAAAGGATGTTTGAGAATGGTACCATTGATGTCAGGTCGTTCTCCGAGGTCTTTGTACTTGAGTAGACAAGTTTCCACAAATGAACAAAGTTCAAGACTGGCATGATTCGCCTGAAGCTTACTCAAACATTGTTCACAAATTTCTTCTCGAGTCATGGAACCAAGAGTAAATATATTTGCGTTGGGTAAAGGATATCTATAATGCCCAATAGAGAATACATGATGAAAGATGTCAACAGAAATTGTTGTGTGTAACAACACTACTACTACGTACTCGCCAAGAAAGAGCTCAACAGTGATAATACCAATAGACCAAATATCGCTGTTATAGCTATATGCTGTGATTGTAGGATGGGAAATTGATTCAGGAAATGAACAGACATATTCAAAAACTAACCTTCATTGTTCAATCGCTCTGGGCTCATGTACGTGACACTTCCAGTAAATGTTTGCCATATGGTGAGAGAGTGTTCGTGAGAGGAATCTTTCTTTGAGTTACTCATTCCCATTTCTTGTTCCTTAATTCCTACCAATCCAAAGTCTGATATTTTCACATAACCCTTGTCATCTAAAAGTTGTTTCCAAAATTATATTAAAATTATTAAATATTTTCTAAATACATACCCAATAAAATGTTTGCAGGTTTCTGTTGAGGAAAGACGATGAACTAAATTGCTTGTTCTAAACCAATACTTACTAAATCTCTGTGTAAAATATGCTTTTTTACATGTAGATAAAGCAGACCCTTGAGTGTCTTGCTAATAATCACGCTGATTACAGCCTCAGGAATTGAGTATGGCTTCTTTTCAACAGTGTCCAGATAATTTTTGTAACGTGTATATAATTTTTGAAGTGATCCTAGAGACATGAAATCCAAAATCCTAACCAATACAAATTTTCATTTCACAAAACATTATTTTCATCAAAATACTTACACTACTCAGTGTGATTGTAATATTATTAATTAATGTCTTAATTCCTTACTTACTATAATATGTACACTCTTTATAATAACATTCATGCAACTTAATGAGATATGGAGAGTCGCATTCAAAAATTGTTTTCACTTCTTTAAAAATCAAATCTAGCTGTTTTTGTGACGTGTCTGTCACACGTTTTTCAGCAAAATAGAGTTTTTCATTTGTTTGTGGATTAGAAATAGCAACTCTAAATACTACTCCAAAAGATCCATTTCCAAGTTCTTTCATTGGATATTTATGAAAGTCATCCACGGAAGTTATTTTAAAGTTGAGAGGAAAATTATTATGTGAGGATGATGAGACATGTTGGTCATTCGACGAGTTTTGCTTTTGTTGTGACTGGTAAAAAGTTCTATGTTCCAACACACTCATTCCTTTGATTTTAATCCCCTCTTCCGTAATTTTAAAATCAGCCCCATAACGAGGTGATTTAATTTGAAGTAATCGTTTGCTGTATGAATCAATGGATGATGAAGATGCCGAGTCAGATCCCGAAAACCATGATTGACTACTGCCCCCACTTAGAGATGTAATATTTAATTTTATATTTCTAGGGCCTACTTTTTGTTCAGCAGTTTGAGAACCTTCGGTCCCTTCTTCATCCGTTCGTAGTGCATCATTTAATATGTCAAATGCCAGCCGAGTTGGTTTAGTTGAATGAAGGGATGGTTTTGCATCATCTCCACCACTCGAGGATGACTGGTGGTCCTGTTTTTCTCCCTCGGAGCCATTGATGATTGTTTGGTTGACCTGTTGCTGGTGGTGACCACGAAGAGACATTTTTTAATGATTAGGAATTAAAAAAGGCGTGATTGATTTCGAACTAACTTGACAGTAATAAATTTTACTTTCAATTGGATTGCAATTCTGGGCTGCCTGTATCGTTCATCATTAAAAAAAAATAATTGAAAGATTGGTACAAAAGATTTTGTGTCCTCCTCAACATGAAAGCCTTAAGTGTTTGCTTTTTGAGTTGTTTCGTTATTGTTCTACATTTATATTGGAAATCATGTACGATACATGCTGCAGATGTAAGTACACCATAGCTTTACATTAAGGACGAATAATGTATTCCGATGATCTTAACCGATATGATTAAAAACTGCTAGTTCTCGACTATAATTTCAGATCTTCAAGACTCTATTCTTCAGTACAACATCGCTCCAACATTAACGTTCACAACTGTTGAATCAACTCAAAATTTAACCAGCTCGTCTGTGGTGGAGAATACTCGACTGCAATTTGCTCGAGGAGTCGCAAAGCTCTCCATGTTCCTGGAGCATAAGATGAGATGTAATTGTAGAATGCACAAAACAATTTTCGAACAAAAGCAATGTATTGATAACTATTCACATTATGATATCTTTCTTACAAAAGTCAAATGTGAAACATGTTTAGGAGCAGCGTCCTATTTGAAAGCACTACGTTCATTAGACGAGAACAAGACGTGTGTGGCAGCAATGAATTCTGTGTGCTACCCTTTCCGTGACAACCTTAGCTCGGTAGGGGTTGCATGCAGGCAATTCTCCTCAAAGTTTTGTGGAATTCCAATGATTGAAAGTATTGTCGATGTAAGCTCGACGCCAACAGACGTTTGTGTTGGCCAATCCTTTTGCAAATAATGTACAAATACTCTTATCTTTGGCGAAACAAGTTGGTTTCATCGGAATTCAGATTAATTAAAAAATGTGCCATCTTCATTCTGTGGAGTCTTCTTCACGTTCTGCAAATGCAGCTTGCAGCACATCCGATCGAGTATTGTTGCCCACCGATGTTCGTCCAATCACTTACCGATTGACATTGAATCCAGATCTTGAAAAGTTTGTATTCACTGTGGATGAGCAAGTTGATTTGAAGATACAAAAAGATCCATCTTCCATCACCAAGATCGTAGCAAACAGCAAGGAAGTAGTTGTTCATGAAGCTTCTCTTTCTATTGGAGAAACCAAACTCGAGTTTAAGAGCATTACATACGATGAAGCAAATGATTATGTAATTTTTGAATTGGACAATACCAATACTGCGTTTTCTTCTCTCAAAATTGATGATATTGTCACACTCAATATTAAATCCACTGGTGAATTGAACGACAAACTTGTAGGATTCTATCGTAGCAAGTACTACAAGGATGGCGTTGAAAAGTATGGCTGTTGCACACAATTCGAAGCAGTTGACGCTCGTCGATGCTTTGTGTGTTGGGACGAACCATCTTTGAAAGCTGTGTTTGAGGTAACTCTGATTGCTCCAAAAACCTATGTGGCACTCTCCAACATGCATTGTATTGAGGAGAGAGATCATAATCAAGATCAAAAGCTTTGCAAATTTGCTCCAACTCCAATCATGTCTACTTATTTATTAGCATTTGTTGTCTATGAATTTGATTACGTAGAAATGATTGCAACAGAAACTCATAATAAGATTCCTGTGCGAGTTTATACTCCTGTAGGTAAAAAAGAGCAAGGAGAGTTTGCATTGCAAGTTGCTGCAAAAGTGTTGGCTCTTTATGAAAAATACTTTGAAATTCCTTATCCATTAACAAAATTAGACATGGCAGGAGTTTCATTAGCAGCAGGAGCAATGGTAAGTACATGGCATTTGTTCTCTTGCTTCTACGTTATGGAATATGTGATGATCTTGTTGAAATGATAGGAAAACTATGGTTTGGTTCTGTACAGAGAAAATGCAATCTATGTCGATCCAAAGAATACCTCTTCAAGCGTCAAACAATATGTTGCAATTGTAGTAGCCCATGAGCTGTCTCATCAATGGTTTGGAAATTTGGTTACCATGGCTTGGTAGGTTTTGAAAATATTTTGTGTACAATGTTAAATGGATGAACATTAACTAATATTAAGGTGGAACTCACTCTTCCTGAATGAGGCATACGCCACTTGGTGTGAATATTATGCAACAAATCAAATGTTCCCTGAATGGTTGGTTTGGGAACAATTTGTGCATGATGATTTCTTTAAAGCCATGTCATTGGACTCTTTAAAGTCAAGGTATGTATGAATGGTTGAACATTTCGAAATAACATGGCATCAGCCATCCTGTTGAAGTACCTGTAAGAGTTGCTGCAGAAATTGATGAGATCTTTGACGCCATTTCTTATTCCAAAGGTTCGTAGAAGTAACAATTGTCTTTTGAATTTTCACAAAAAAACTTGTAGGATGTTGTGTGGTAAGAATGTTAATTAACTTTTTAGGAGAAGAAAACTTTAGAAAAGGAATGGTTCATTATTTGAACAAGTATAGCTATGCGAATGCAGACACGGTTGATTTGTGGGATGCTCTCACACAAGCAACTGGTATTGATGTAACTTCATTGATGGAATCATGGGTCCTCAAAATTGGATTCCCTGTCATCAGTGTGACTGAAAAGATCAATGGCAATGACAAGGTGCTCACCTTGAGACAAGATCGATTTTTGGAAGAGAGTGGTATTGACGCTTCTGACACTACCATTTGGTCCATTCCTGTATCCTATATTGTCTGTTCAGAAGATGACAAAATCACAGAGAATCAATTCTTAATGAAAGAAAAGGAAACAACACTCACCATTCCTTCCAGCACCAAATGGATCAAATTCAACAAAGATCAAACTGCTTTCTTCAGACTGAATTATCAAAGTGAGAATTATTATTCAAGTTTAGTAGAACCTATTCGAAACAAGAAACTCTCAGCCATTGATCGAATGTCAGTCATTGAGGATGCTTGTACCTTATCCAAGAGTGGACTTGCCTCCACAGAAGGAGTGTTCACACTCATTTCGGCCTATACCAACGAGGACAACTATACAGTGGTATCAAGTTTGGCCACTTGTTTTGCCACTCTTTTTAATATTTACAAGCATGAAGAGAACATTGTTGAGAAATTTAACAAGCTTGCCATTTCCACATTTTCAGGAATTGCATCCAAGTTAGGATGGACACCAAAAGAAAATGAAAGCCATTTGGATTCCATGCTGAGACCAATCGTTCTTAATGCTCTTATCAAGTATGGAGACAAGACCACCATTGAAAAGGCCACTTGTTTGTTTGATCAATATAGAAATGATCCAAACTCTGTCATTGCTGATTTGAGAGGTGTTGCCTATCATGCAGCCTCAAAGTATGGAGGTCAAGAGAGATACAATCAATTACTTGATATCATCCAAAAAACTGAATTATTTGAAGAGAAAATTAGAGTGTTTCGTGCTCTTGGAGCATCGAGCGACAACTCTCTCATCTCCAAAACCCTTGGAATGGTTCTTGATGGTTCTGTTCGTTCTCAAGATGTTATTTATTTACTTTCTGGAGTCTCTACCAATCCAAAAGCCACAACTCTTGCTTGGAAATTCTTAATTGATCATTTTGAAGCAATCAAACAAAAGTTTGAAGGATCTTTCTTACCTGGAAGAATTGTGAAAATGTGTACAGAGACTGTCACTGATCCAAAGGATGTTGAAACCTTGAAAACAACACTTGAACCACTCAAGTTTAAGGGAATTGAAAGATCAGTAGATCAGTCTATGGAGGCCATTTCTATTAACAGCCAATGGTTACAACGTTCTAAGGATTCTGTATTGAAATGGCTCAATACCAATGTTCAAAATCAGTAATTCAGTAATCATCAATGATGAATGAATTGGATCCACAAGATCGAGAGTGCAATTTCAACATGATGGTTTCATTCTCTTCACAAATAAAAAAAATGTTGGATCTCAATGATATGGATTGCATTCTTCCGAAATTATATTTGGGAAACGAGCTTGCTTCACAAGACATTGCCATGCTCTCTGAATTTTCCATAACTCATATTCTTCAAATCAAGGACACACGGCAGCAACAGACTCAACAAACGTCATCGGAATGCAACAATATTCAATACATGACCATTTATTTGGATGACAATTCAGACGAAGACATTTTGTCACACATCCCAAAGTGTGTTGAATTTATTTCTCAAATTATGGAGAGTGGAAAGGGATCTATACTGGTGCATTGCACGATGGGTATTTCCAGATCTGCATCCATAGTGTGTGCCTTTTTGATGAGACATTTGAATATTTCTGCTGATCATGCATTGAACATGATTCGAAAGGTTCGTCCAATGGTTCAACCCAATCAAGGATTTTTAAAAGCTCTTCAAGAATATGAGCAATTATTGTTGAGAAATAACTAAAATCATATTGGTTTCAAACAAATTAAGGGTGGCGTTTGGACAAGAGGTTTTAAGGTATAGAATGATTAATAAATTTCTCTTAATAGATAAAAAAGGAACCAATCTGCATGTTCACCTGTTCCCCATTCGCAATCCATGGCAAGGAAAGGAATGCAGCAATCATCTATGAACGAGGAAACCTGAATCAACATGTCTCCAGTTCGATATCATGCTCAGAACAAGTGACTACAGAGTCGTCATCTTGGTTAACCTCAAAGGTCAGATTGACTCAAAAGTCGAGTTTAAGTAATCCTACAGAAAAGATCCTGTAGAAGTACAGTCAATGGTTTTTTCAAATCTTGAACGAGCACAAGTAGATAAGAGTTTCAAATTTGATCATTCTCGAGTGGATGAATTATGGTTGATTGAACCCCTAAGGGTGAATTTCGAGAGGTGCAAAAAATTGTTGAAGTTTGTCTGACAAGTCCCTCAACAAGATTTCATCAGGACAGGACAAACAAAATTCAATTAGAACATTCAATGTTGATTGATGAATAGATGCAACCAAGGGAATGTACTCATGGATGAATAGAAGAGTACAAAAGTCTACCGTTCTAATTTGAAAACTATTCAAGAAAAAAATTGAAAAATATCAACACTCTTCTTGCTCATCATGATCACTCCGAAATTTGAATGTACCCAAAATGATGAATTTGTTACCGTCGTCATTTACATTCCTCATGTCAAAATGACTGAAATGGAATATAGCATTGATAACACCACTCTTGATGATCCTAATCATGATCACACCAAGTCACTACTCCGATTTTATGTCAAGCCATATTTCTTACGATTACATTTTGCACAAGAATTGAATGATACTGGAGAATTTGATTTGGCAAAATATGATCCCGATAACGAAAGAGTAATTATTCAATTACCTAAAAAGAATCGTGGAGAATTTTTTGAAAATCTTTCAATGATTACATGGTTATTAGGAGCAAATAGAAATATCGGATCATCAGAAGGAAGAGTGTCATCCTCGAGTCTATTCATAGGAGATCATGAACATGTTGGTGCATCTTCGGCATTGCCTTCTCAAAAAGCTCCATTGATTGAAGTAGTGGAAAGTTCCAATCACTTAATGGAAGATCAAGAAGAAGAACATGACGATGAAACACATGGCATGTTTGATGAAAATGCTAGCGCTGAAGATTGGCAACAACAGCTGCCAGATCAAAAGAGTGCTTCCGAACTCATGAAAGAAGAATTAGGAATTTCTAAAATTTATTATGGATTTAACAAACAATTTACAGACGTTTTCACAAAATTTTCACAAGATTATATTAATGAAATTATTGATGTACCCTTGAATCCAGAAGTAATTCCATTTGAGGAACGAAAGAAAATTAGAATTTTAAATGAAGTTGAAGAGTTTGATCCTGAACATTATTTGGTTGATTACATCAACAAGGATAGAGACATCAAAATGGTATTTGATTTCAAACCACTCTTTCTTTCGACTCCACAACCCTTCCAATGGACAGACAAGGAGCAAGAAGCCCTTCGATCGTTACCAAAGAAGGAATTTTTAATATCGAATGAGATTGCTGTGTATTGTGGTCTTGTTGATTTATTATGCTCATTCTCTTACAATCATAGAAGCTTTATGGGTGAGAATAATTCAGAAAGTGCATGGACCATCTGCAAAATGAGTTCACAATTGTCATGGCTTGAAGAATTGAATAATCTCAAAGAAACACTTGAGATATTCATCAGTCGAACATGTGTCTATGCATTATACAGAAACTTTGATCTATGTATTCAATGCATCAAAGATGTTTCTCAATTATTATCATTAGGAAAGGAATATGTGTTACGTGCCTTGTTAGAAATTAAGGACATTCTTGCTCACACTCATGACAAGTATCTGTTGAATAAGATCTATGTCGATAATTATTGTATTTGGATTCAAGGAGTCTCCAATCCATCTCTTCAGAATCTTGCCCATGCTCTTATGCAATTGGTTGATGAAGAATTTCTCATGAAGAGAGATGAATTTCTTATCAGTGAACAAATATCCCTGAAAAAGTTGGAAGATTATGCCGAGGAGTGCATTTCAAATTCGAATGGAAATGTGGACGATTTAGTCATGACAGAACAAGATAAGCAACGACCTCTGGCTCTCTAATGTTGTTGTACGTACTCACCTGGTGGACCCTAACATTGGTGTACCGCCCGAGAGAGCACACACACCCGAACATGTGAATACACTATGGATTTGGCGCCAAATTGCAACTACAAACCGACAACAAGCTGAAAAAATTGAAAACAAACACGAGGTAACAACAGATCGCCTCATCTCATAATCCAATACACCAACAAGAACTGTGTTTTGCATCAACAATATTTATTGTAGAAATATCTCTCAATTGTTGCAGTGTCCTGTGAAAAACTGAAACCAACAACAACTTATCTCTCTTTTATGATGATCACCATGCTTGAATTAACATCTGCAAGGGCTGCTGAACCCTCTACAACACACATTGCAATTTCGGAGGTTGTCCTTTCTCCAGGTTCTGAACCTGGGGTGGAAAGCCTTGTAACCAAGGCCACATCTTCCGTGCAGCAGGAGCATCAGGTTCCAAAACAAGAACCAAAGCAAACTTCCTCTCTCAGATCAATATGTAAATCCCTCAGTAGCAAATTAGCTAAAAACGAGTTTTCCAAACAAGAAAGTGGTCTTGTTAAAATAGTAGAGCTTATGCGATGTGACGGAATAGAACACCGGGTTCAAAATTATCAAACTCTCGACAGAGTCCGAAATCAATTATTTTCATTTCGTGTACCTTCTTCTCAAGCTCTCGTTCAAGAAATTGTTTGGAGCGACTTCTCATCCCAATATTTTAAATCTAACCCAAATAATTCTCCCCAAACCTCACAATTTAATAAGGAAGTCATCAGGCTGCTGGAGAAAGAGGAAATAGAGCTTCGTTTTAATCTTAAACTTGTCACAACTTGCAGTACGTTTAGGCCTTCCAAACAATCTTTGGAAGTACAAGAAAATTCTTGTAACGTACCACTGAAAACTATTATTGGAGGACAATATTATGACAGCATTTATGTTTGTGATTTGAAACAATCCAGCTCTCGAACCAAAACGTTTATAATACTGGAGAGCTTGAATGTTGCAGAAAACTTTGACTGTAATCAGTCCATTCATGTTTTTAGGATTTACGGTGAAAGTCTATTTACAAGGAATGTATTTCAATCGTGCAACTTTTCAGATATTTCAATAATTGTAAATAAATAAAACTCTATGTACATTAACATTCTGATATACATGTTAGTTTTGAGCCTTGTTTAACTCGACAATCTTGAATTTCAGTTTTTGAACAATGTCCTTATTTTCTGTTTTGCTGGCATAATCTGATAAGGTTCTACCCTCGTTATCCGTCTCGCTAAGATCTGTAGCATTGCTAATCAATATATCTATTACTTGGTTTAGAGATGGTTGATAGAAAGGATATGTCGACTTGTCTATCTTTGATAACGCGAACATTAAGCATGTTCGACCTTGATTGTCTTTGACATTTAAATTTGCTCTTCTCTTGATAAGTTCATGAACTAGAGAATAATATTCAATGGAGTACATGAGCAATGTCTTTCCATTTGCGTCACAATCATTTACATTTGAACTCTTCAAAATTTTTAATGCTTGATCAGTAAATCCTTTCTCAGCAGCGAACATGTACGCACTTTTCTGCGTGTTAAAGGTTTTAATTGTCACATCCACAGATTTAAAGCTCAGAAGGGTAGTAATATAGGTAAAGTGTTCGTTGATAATTGCATTGATTAAAAGTGTTCTTCCCAAGTAGTCTTGTCTATTTACAAATTTTGGATTAATGTTGTTGAGAGCAGTTAGTAAATTAATAAACGTTTGCTCGTTTTGGGATGCTCCTATGCTCAATTTTTGATCGGTTTGATCATCGAAGCTTGGGGTGATATTATTATTATTAACAGGAGTCTTACTTAATAAATCACTTGCTCGCCGTCCATTAGATCCACTCATACAACACAAACAAAATAATTTCTGCAAAATGATTTCTTCATCCAATTCTCGGATCGATAACGGAATTTGAGTTTTCAACATTGTTTCAACTATCGGAGGTGAAATGATTGAATTATTATTTGTAATTGAATTACTTCTTGGAGTTCTTGGAGTATTATTGGTGCTGTTTGGGGTCATGGGAGTGTTATTCAACGGGGTTGTGTTTAGGTTTGGCGAGTTTGCAGTCGCATTGTTGCTTGACAAAGCGCGACCAGGTGTTTGAGTCATTTTTTGCTGTAGAAAAGAATGACTTGATCGTTTAGAAATTTTAAGATTAATATTGTTATTGATTTGATTAATTTATGCTCTCTTCTTGTATTGTCTTGAAGCTCTTCTACCTCTGCCCAATTCACCATATCTGCCTTCTCTCTTTTGACTTCCGTGCTTGTATGGCTTAGCATGGGATCCGATTTGACCTGGAGCAAGACCAAAGTGCTTCTTGGATTCAGTATTCTTGTTACCTCTCAAAAGGACACATCCCTTTCCGTCTGGTGAGATTTGTGCCAATTGATCGAAGGTCAAAACTTGACCACCGTTTTCAACAATTCTCTTTCTGGCAGTTTCAGTGACGTGCAAAGCACAAACCTTCAAACCCTTTGGAGCATCCAACAAACGAGCATCATTTGTGATAGTACCGACAACAACGGCAACAGAATCCTTCTTATCACCAACAAGCTTTTCTAATCTGGCAAGAGTGATTGGTCTTTGTTCTCTTCTAGAGTGCAAGAGTCTAGCAAGAACTTTCTTGTTGAACTCAGCACCAGTTCTTCTGGCCAAGAGCTTGTAGAGTCTGACGAGAATGGCCAAATAAGCATTTGGTGAAACCAAAACCTTTCTGCCTGGCTTCTTTGCGTGAGTCTTTGCTAAGTACTTCTTCTCGATACCCATTTCTATGCAAATTTATGGTAACTGTGAGGATTGAAAGATGTTTCAACAACAATTTTTAATCAATTAGTGACAAGATGTGAGAGAATCGATAACGTACTTTTGGCGTATTTTTTTTTCAACAAATTTTTCAAGAAATTTCAGCCAACCGACCATAAGAGTTTACAATGACCAATAAAAAATATTAACCAGAGAAACCTTGGCCAAGGACAAGCTGCAACACAACCATTCATTCGTTTCGATTAACGAGGTGCAAACTCATTACTTGGTTAAACTGTTCCATATGTTATTTATTACATCATCATTACAATCATTGTTGTTGCAATCATAAGCAGCAGAACCAAACGAGTCATGAAGTGAGAATGATGAGTTGGTGCGCCTGATAATGCAGCTCGATCACTCAAAGTCAATGAATACTCCTTTCTATCAAATTCCTCAGCCCATCCTTTATCTGCTTCTCCTTTTCCTGCTGCAACAATCCAAGGCTTGATGACATAGGAACCCTCAGTTGGTCCGTTTTGAACTTGAATATTCAAATTGAGAGTACCAGTGCCAGGAGAGACATTCTTTTGAATAGCCTTACCAAACCATTTATAATCTTGTAAACGTATGATTCAGGAGAGAGTAAGCAACAAGATCCATTGTTGTGTGTGGATGACGTTACTTGAAAAATAATAACATACCTGGAACGCTTAACAAATCAACGACAATGTCCACATTCACAGATGCACTATAATCGACCGATACAGGAATATTCTTTGTGCTCAATCCAAGTCTACTTGGTGGTGAAACAATTCGAATAGCATTGCCCACGAGAGGAGTGTTATTATTATTGTTGGAAGGAGGTTTTTGATTGTTCGATGGAGTTGGAGTGACAGGAGTGCCAGTCGATGAGACTTGAGCATCCCAACACGAGGTATAAGGTGCACTACCTGCATTGAAGACCCATCTCCATTGGAATGCATAACGACCTTCAGGAAGATTGGCAGGAATGGTGAAACAACCGGTACACAGAGCCTTATCCATGTTTTCACAGAACTTGAGGGATTACAACATGCATTTGAAATACAATCTTACATGTCAATACTTACTTTTGGACAGTTTTGGTAAGCTTTACCTCCTCCATTTTCCAGAGTTGCTGGAGCAACATTATTTCCCCAATCCACCTTTTCGTAATGATCATCATGCAATTATTGATTCATTGAAAGAATTCAGAATACTTTATAAAATACTTACCAATAATTGCCAATTATTTGTGGATGGATCATTTGTTGGATTCACACTTGAAATGTAAATCTTATTACTTGTGTCTGGAATGTATGGGTTGGTGCAAGATGCTGCCACATGACTGTTAGTGTTTGTTCATCATGTCATTTATGAAAGTGTGAATTGCATGGCAAGAATCGATGGCTGAACTTACTTTTTTGCAGGCCATGCCAAACACACTTCTTGTCCAGGTCTGTAAGTGGCCATAGGGAATGAAGAGGTATAGAATGAAGCATAGTTAGAATTTGAAAGGATATATTTGCATGTTTCAGATTGGTGATTACAACCAGTGTCACCTCCAAAGGCGCTGTTGATGGCTATTAGAGATTGATGATACATTCATATTTTCAGCAGTTTGATGATGATTTTAAGTTTTCAATTAGTGCGAGATGATGATTCAAAAAATGATAGTTGATGAATCAACATCATCATTGAGAATCAACAAACTCGATCTTGTGAAATAACTTACCAGCATGGGCAGCCCAGTTTCTTGGTCTGGCTCTGCACTTACTGGAGCTGTAGTAGGCTCCATTCTTCTCTGTGTAGTCGGTGCAGTCAATCCAGGAGTGAGCCAAAACAACACTCACCAAGGTTGCTAACAGAACAACGCCCAACAGAGAAGCAAGTCGCAATGAAGACATTTTTTTGGTTTTGGTCAGATTAGAATGACTTCTCAATGATTATTTATGTGAGCTTGACGGATCAAGAATTTGTTGACAGTTAAAAGTGCGACGAGTTAACATTTGTTAAACATTTGGGATTGAAAAGGTGTAAAACAAGACAGCTTTCGCAGCTTTGAATTCAGGAAGTTTTTACTTTTTTTGACCTAGTTGGGCTGCAAATTGTTGATAGAATTTTAAATATTGCTCTTGCTGTTCACCGGTGAGCTGTTGATATTGGTTGTCAGTATTTGGATAAGCTGCTGCAACTTTGGAGTTTAGCGAAGCAGAAACTGTTTGATAGGCATTTGTGCTGCTGTTTTGAGAGCCCTTAAGGTAGTTGAAATAGTCAACTTTTTTTCTCTCATCATTAGATAACGCTCCTTGTTTTCTCAAGGTATCTCGATACGTCTGTTCCATTTTCTTTTCATTGTTTTGTTGAGGTAAGTAATGTTGATAATATTCTTTTTCAATGTCTTTGGTTCCTTTTTGTGACTCTTTGTAATTGATACCAACAGGATTGATGTTAGCATCTACAGTTAAGCTCTGTGGCACGGTTGGTTCTGCAGGTTTGTATTCCTCAGGATAATGAAATGGAAGAGAAGTTGTTGAAATACCCTTCTCTTCTAGAGATTGCTTCATTTTGGATTTCATTTCTTGTTCATGCTTTTTTGTGGCGAGAGGATTGGGATCATCAGCACTCCAACGAATGTGAATTATTTCATCATTATCTAACGATTGGCCGAGCATTGCTTCTCGAGCAAATTCAGCACATAACCTGTTCTTATACTTCACAAAGGCATAGCTTCTTTCGGGAAATGCTCTGATATATTCAATTTCTCCCCATTCTTGAAAATGTCTTTTAATTACCTCCTCATAATCCACACCAGCAACATATTTAAATCCGCTCACGTATAATGTTCTACAATCCCGATTGAATGATCCTACACCAGCCATATCATCTCGATCAGTTGCAAATTTAGCTCTTCCGAAACAATCCTTTGTGATTGGTATTCGGCTTATATCTGCTGATGTTGGAATTCTATGAAGATATTTACAATTAGGTCCTTCAGCACAGCAACCCTTTGCAAAGAACAAGCAAAAGAAGGGGTCTTTAAGAGTACAACCAACGGTCCATCCAGCATCAGTTTTTATGTTACATCTACTTTCAGCAGCGTCGATATCTCTTTTTTGTCGTTGTCCAATATATTTGTGATACCAAATATTGTATTCTCCTCCGTTTTCTTCTCTTTGTAATTTTGATTCTTTCTTGTTGGATGCTTGAACACGTGCTTTTCTAATCTTTTTTACTCCTCCGCTCGGAGAGGGAATATCTTTCTTCGTATCGGCTGATGAAGCGTTTGCGTTTGTTTGGTTGACCATTTTTTAATTGTTGTTTTTTGCTAATATCAAAATGATATTGCCTGCTTTATTGGATGAATAGAATCAAGGAATAGAACATTAAATATTCGAACATGTTAGGCAACAAGTTAATTGAACATGAAGTCCAACAACAATCAAAAAAATGTCCAATCCGCATCACCGGCCTTATCATCAAGGTGGTAATCACAGAAATGAAAGAGGAGGCTATCGGAACTATAATGATCGTGGACGTGATAATTATCAACAACATCATTCATATAATCAAGGAGGAGGGTTTAATAATGCTCCATCACAACAGCAATTAAATCCGCTCATGATGGCCAAGAAGCCTAAAGTTATCCATGTAGATCCTTCAGTGGTTCAAAAAACAAAGCCAACGATTAATACAACGGTTCAAGAAATAATTCATAGAAGACAATTAAAATTCCCAATGGCTCCAGTTAATATTCCAATGTCGAAGGCTCCTCCCGAGGCAGGAGAATATCCAAATCCTTTCGATTTTCCAAATGTGCTAATAGATACACGAACAACAATTGTAATGGAGGATTTAAGTGCTGATACAGAGAATGATTACATCAAGAAATTACTCGAAAGTTGTGGACAATATACAAGCTGGAAACGATTGAAGGATCCAAAAACTAATAGATGGTTAACATTCGGTTTTTGTGAATATCAATCTTGCTCTTCTGCAATTCGAGCTCTACGTTTATTGAACTCATTGACAATAGAACCTGGAGTAACCATCAAAATGAAGTGCTCCAAGAAAGTCCAAACTTTTATGGATCAATATCAACAAAAGAAATTAGAACTGTGGGCAAAGAAGCTTCAGGAACGAGATAAATCATCATCTCAGGGATCAAGCACAACAGATGAGCTAACTCCTGAGCAGCGACAACTTTTAGCTCAATTAGAGCAACAAATGGCGTCTTCAAAATCGGAAGAAAAAATAGAAGTGAGAGAAAGTGATCGAAACGAGTTTGACAATTATGAAAAGGCACTAGATGACATTTCTAAGATTATTATAAATGATCTAGTTAAGGAGAGAATGAGCATTGAAACTGAGAATCGGTCCAGAGAGTCTATTAGTCAACAACTAGCTGTGACAAATACTGTACAAAAAATTGCAGAAACTGGTGTGAGTAATGAGGAAGCAGAACAAAAAAAGAATTTAATTTATGAAGAAATTCGAAGATTCAGAGACAATGAGAAAATGAAAGAAGAAGAAGTTAAAGAACTTGAAAGAAAAAGAAGAGAGAAAATATACCGAGAAAAGCGATTAAAGCAATCCAAACAACTTGAACGAGAGAGAAGAAGAAGACAGCGTTGGGAAAAGGAAAACGAACAAGACAAAAGACAACGAGAGGTTACTATTCGAGAAATTGAAAGATTTGAAAGGAGACGAGAACGAAGGTATGGTGGTATTGACGGAACTGGTGAGGGCTATGTGAGCAGTGATGAAGAAATATCTACTGGAGTTGATAAGAAAAAGATCCAAATTGAACTTCAAGAAAAAGCACCTAGAGAACCTTCATCTGAGGTTGTTACTTATGAAGAAGAAGACCAAGATTGGGGAAGAAAGAAGAAAAAGCTTTCAGCAGTTGAGGAGATTGAAAAATCCAAGCGAGATGCAGAATACTTGGACCGTGACAATATTAGAAAAATTCTGCCGACCTCCCAAGCAGATATTTTCAATTATCCAATGGATTGGAATGTGGTCGACAAGTACTCTCTTTGGCTTCCTCTTGCTCCATTTGTTGATGAACAGATTATTAGTTTGACAGGAGATCCAGAAGAAAGCTTGAGTCAATTTGTGTTGGGCAAAGTGGAAACACACTCCTCACCACAAGAAATCATCAACGATCTTGTAGAGATTTTCGACGAACAAACTGAGCCATTCGTACACGAGCTTTGGGATAGATTGTTAGTTGAAATGATCCGAAAACAACGTGAAATCGAATTAGAAAACCAAGATAACATTGAGTAAACAGTTCTCGATTTTTCATATGTGATTGGTTCAACCTTAAAGACAATAAATTTTAATTCTTTAGAAATAAATACATGTTTAAACAATGATAAACAAAATAATATGTTCAAATGTTTGGCATAATCCCTCAAATAATAAATTAGAGATCCATAACCATGAGATTGATGAATGTACCAACAGAGCTTGGAATGGTCTTAAATGGCCTTCTTCTTCTTTCAATGTTTCCTCCAGTGGCTTTGTTTGGTAAATAATCAACCACTTCATAGTCTTCGTAATTAACACGTGCAACTTCGTTGAAACCAATTTTTGCGTACAGAGCTTGAGAAGCAAAACCAGTGCATTCAACCATAATGGAATCGTACTTCTTTTCTTTTGCTAATTGTAGAGCCTCATTAAACATTCTCTTTGCAAGTCCAACTCGTCTAGCAAATGAATAAGTTCCTGCTGAGCATATTTTAAAGATTTTCTTGCCACTACTACTAGCTGTACCTTTTCCATAATGATTGTGTTGTTGACTTTCTTCATAATTGGCGTGCAAATCATCTAATAGACGCAAATGAAGTAGAATGCCCTCATCGTTAGATTGAGGTTCAACCCACTGATCTGCATCAGAACATAAATGAAATCCTACAACCATGTTCGAAGCTTTGTCAATAGCAATGTGAGACAAGCCTCCTTCAGCACATCTTTTCACATACCCATACGCATACGGAAAGTAAGCCATTGGAGTTGTTGCAGTTCCAATAGCGAGAGGCTCTTCTTGAGAAAAGATTAATGCTAGGGCAAGAGCAGTTTGCTGAACATGCTCATGACTTAATAGCACAACATCAAAATCAGAAGCACTCATTTGGGAGATTTGACCCATTCCATCAATTGTAATGACTTGTGTAACCATAGGAATGTTTGCAGAGATAGTACTGCTACTAGTATTGCTGGTTGTTGTTGTTGTTTGAGGATTCATGGTTTCTTGTGGTCGTGTTGGTAATGTTATAGATCAACAAATGCGGATGAACCTAAAAGAGTGTTTGCTGTGTCTAAAAAGGTTGATTTTCAAGATTATGCAAAGATAATAGTTGCACCTCTAATTGAATGATTGCAAGGTAAGTATAATGATTTGTAATGGGAGAAGATGAAATAAAGCACACTGAAGGCTCTACCTGCATGCAGATTGTAATCGGCTGTTTCTCGATAAATTAAATAGGATAACTTTCTGCTGTTTACTCAGGCAGAAAAGAACAAAATCCAGAATGGTTCGGAGTGGTGAGTGCAATGAAGATAACTGAAAATTCAATAATTCAGGAAAGTCTAATATTTCTTTCTTCCGAATTATTTAATCAATATATGATGAAAATGAACACAGAGTTGTATGTTCTTTCTAATGAGCACTGTGCTTGAGTGTTTTTTGATGTGCGCGCTGTTCCACAACAGTTGGATTTCGATTTTTTTTTCAAAATTATAATTTGAAATGCTGAAATGGAACGTGTGGATAATGGAACTGCACTTCTCACACACAACCCGACGAAAAAATAAATATTATTATTGAGTGACTGAAATACCATGATGATGAGTCAAAGTATGAATGGTTTCCCTAGCAAATTTGCATTTCTCAATTTTTAAATGACGCAATGTTCCCTTCTTGGCAAGTGTTTTGACAATGTCATCACTTACGAGAGTATTTTCAGAAATATCAAGAGTTTCTAGTGATGGACAGCTGAGTAGGTTTGCAATTCCATCGTTGTTGACATGAACACATCTTTGTATAATTAATTCTTGTAAATATTGACAATGTTGCAAATGATGAAGACCTTCGTTAGTGAAACCTCTCACACTTGTCAAATTTAGATATCTCAAAACTCCACTCAGGTGCTTGGAAATGGACTCTAATGTCTTATCTGTAATATTGGAACACTTTTTGAGATTCAAATGATAGAGATGTTTTGAATTTTTCAATACAAGTTCAACACCTGCATCTGTGATCATGTCAGAGAATGAGAGAACTAATTCTCTTAAATTTGTTGTCCATTGAGACAATACTTTAAGACAAGAATCGTTGGTAAGCTTACATCCCATCATGTTCAACTTTTCAAGTTTCTCTAATCCCTTTTCTGATTGAACTCCTGACAAATCTACCAAGTGACAACCTGTTAAATTAAGAAAGCGAATTTTCTGACAAGAATTCACAAGGTGGGAGAGGCCTGTGCTAGTGATATGTCTACAACATTGAAGCGTTAAATCTTCGAGCTGGGTCATTTCAGATAAATATTTTACACCTTCATCAGTGATTTGATGACAAAATGTCAAGTCTAAATATTTCAACTTGCTTTTACAAGCTGATTGAGATAAATGTTTCATTCCAACATCTGTTATGTGTACACATCCTGTGACATCCAAGTATTCCAGTTGTGAAAATTGGCTAACATAGGACATGGCAGAGTCATTCACTTTGGTACAACCTCTCACATTGAGATGTGTTAAATTTTGGCAAATATAAGTCTATCATGTTGTGAACCATGGTTATTATGGTTAATTCAGGCCAAAATTTTCATAATAAAAATAAGGATTTGTCACTACCATTCACATGATGTGATCCTATCCGATAATACTTACCAAATATTTAACACCATTTTCAGTAATAAAGTGACAACCTTGAACATTCAGTGTGTGAAGAGTTTGTAATCCATAGCATGGTTCTCTACTGTTTGGATTCTTTTTTGGAGCCATCATTCCATAGCTTTTCTGATAAAGTTGAGTATAAAAGAGCATGTTATAAGGAGTAGAAATTGGAAAATTAGCAGATTTGTGTTGTGCTCTATTTTGAGCTCTATTTAACACTCTTTCTGACACATCAGTGGATGCAGTTGAAGTTACTGAATAAACATCATCATCTTCTTCAATTCCAATATTTTCTGTGTTATCATTTTCATCGTCATTGAACGATTGAGAATCCATATTACTTGAGAAGAGACTTGGAGATTCATCGAGTGAATCTAAATGTTGTTCATAATCAAAATTCAGATCATAATTACCACTGAGTGGATCAATAGCAGGATTTGATAAATAGTCTGCATTCGAATAAATGTATTTGTGAGCCAGTTGAAGAAGACCCTTATCCGTAATTTGAAAGTCTTCACTACTTCCAGTATTACACAAATCTAATACTTCTAAAAAGGCAAATTTTCTTACAAACTTTACAAAATCATCTTCTTTCAATTTTCGAAGAGCTCCTGCTACTTGAACTGTGTGAACTCCTCGAATCCACAACACAGCAACTGATATGCTCATTTCGTATCATAAAATCGACAATGACGCTATGTACTTACATCGTTTACAAACAGCTGCAACATCTCTTGCCAAATAGACAACAGGAATATATTGAAATATTTTGATAATGAGCTCATCCGGTAAATCTCCATACATGTAGTCATAATCATAATCCAATTCTAACATTTCTATTTCCTTAATAACTGCATTACCGTCTTCAGAAAAAAACTTGGGCTTTCGTGTCACCTTATTTCTTTTATATTTTCTTCTTTTTTGTTGTTTCTTTGAGGACTTTCTTTCCAATGTTGATTGAAAGTTATTAGGACTTGCATTGATTTTACTCAACGTTGTGTCTGTGAGTGTGACACTAATCTTTGGAACATCATTTTGAAATTTAAAAGGTTGTCGTTGTGCGTTTTGATTTGAGGAAGATATGGACAATGTCTTGTTGTTGTTGTTGGATACAGAGTTGTTGTTGGTTGCTACTGAATTATTTGATTTTTTTACAGAATTTCCATTCGAGAGAAACAATCGAGCGAGGTGAGTCGTAGTGAGACTTTTACGTTTCTCTTCCTTTGAGGAGGAATTGGAGGAATTGGAGGATGAGGAACAAACCGATGCTCTTGTATTGTTGGGATCAACTGTTGGTGGTGGTGGTGGTGTAGTAACGACTAATGATGTTGTATGATGGTGATGAGAGGATGATGGAATGCTGGCATTTGGCAGGTAGTTCCGATGCGTGTCATTGTTTGAAATCGATGGTAGTGTTATTGCACCATGGTTTATGGAGCAAGAAGGAGTTGCTGTCAGAGGGTTGGTATTAGCATGATTCAAAGAGGTGTTTGTATTGAAAGTAGCACATGATGAGGCAACAGTATTCGAGGAAGAAGCATGCAATGTAGTACTATTGCTTGTTGTTGTCGGTTGTTTGTCTTTACTCTTTTTGAAAGGAACGAACATTTTTTTTGCTTGACTTTGACACTTTTTAATGTTCCTTGTTCAGTGCCTTTGGTTCACTGTTCTTGACATCCCTTAATATTTACAACGTTGTGATCAAAATTTATTCGTTAACAATTACAATAAGAAGAGGAGGCAGCAGTTTCTTGAGGTGTAGTCGATTCAGGAAGTTTGGTTTGACGAAGTGGCACCAAAAACACATCATCTTTGTGAGTGGGTGGCACGTTTTTGTCTGTTCCATTAAATTCAGTGGTAGGAGTTGAGGCAGAGGAAGCATTTGTGGTTGGGAGTGCATTGGCAACTTTTGTGAAAAGTGTTTTTATGTTGTATCCTGCCTTTGCGCTTGTCTCCAAAAACATAATTCCATATTCCTTTGCTTTTGCTTCTCCTTCTTCAATACTGACCTGTCTCTTGTCAGAATCGCTGGCAAGGTCAGTCTTATTTCCCACCAGCACAACGATAACATCGTCACCTCGCTCAGTCCTTACGTCCTCAATCCATTTAGCTGTATTTAAAAAACTCTGCTTACTCGTTATGTCATATACAATAATTGCTACTGATGAATCTCTGATATAACTTGGAATTAAACTTCTGAAACGTTCCTTTAATTTTTAAATTTTAAAAAAGATAAATAGATGTTTCATATTAGGTCACCTACCTGTCCTGCTGTATCCTATTTCATTGAATTAATGATTCGTTAGATTGCAAAAATAAAACTTACCCAAAGCTGAAGACGAACTGAATATGAATAAGAACGTGTAGACCGTTTCCATTATTAACTACATACCTGTCCTGTCTTCAAGATACATGGTTTTAGAGAGAAAATCTATACCGATAGTGTTCTATATTTTCAAAAACAAGATGTTATACCATTTTACATTCGTTGCTACGTTCCATTTTCTGTCAGACTTACGTGATAGGTTGTATCAAAAGTATCATACATAAATCTCGTGATGATGGATCTATTTTCATTGATTGTAAAATACAAAAATCGTGCAGTAATCGCCATTATGATTTAAATATTGTTGATGTAGTTCATGTTCGGAAGTTGAGCAAATACACACAAAAGAAGATATCGGAGGACAAATAATTGTTACCCACTTATGATTTTTGATAATTCAACATACGTTTTACCCACAGCTTGATCTCCGAGAAAAACAATTTTATACTTGTTGGCTGGTATGATGGCAACGGATTGAGCAGTGTTCATGGTTTCGTAATGGATATTTTTTTGATGAGGTGGCAGCTGGTTGGTTTTTGAAGCAAACTTGGCTCGATGGTCAAAGGATCGAACAAGCTTCTAGGTTGGAGATAACAAAGTCAAAAAGTGTACAAGTTCGCTAATTACAGGTGACCAACAATGCACCACGAGTTAAATAAAACAAGTGTCGTTTGTCTTTTTGGGGATAAAGCCACTAATTTTCACCGCATCAATCTCATACCAACTAATGTTTTTGGTCGTGTCGATATCTAAACGCAAAACATTGAAAGTTCTGTTTAAAGACTTGCAAAGGTCGATGGATGGTTTGAAAATTCTAGCTACAGGTTGAACTGTTTGTACAGTTCCTTCATAAATCACTTCGTCCGTAGTGTCTGTACCAAACGAATTCTTTGCAGTTATTTTGACTAGCGATCCTGGGTTGTAAGTTTCATACACTTCAACATTTGAAATAAACATGGGATTAGCGAATTGTAACTCCAAAAACTCATACGTCTGTTCAATAATGCATCTACACTTGAAACATCAACATTTGACAGAAAATACTTACCCCTTTTTTCATTGATCGATGATTAAATTCACACTTTGAGATTTATGAATAATAATTACTGTTGAACTTACCTTTGGACGCTTTTGGTGCCCATGCTGATTTTATGTCCCCGTAATTTGGATACTATGAAATAATCACGAGGTCAATGAAATAGTATTCGTTGTACTTACTGTATTACTTTCTCCAACCACGTTCGATGCTGGCCAACCAGTGTATTCTGAAGAAAAAGCCAAAACACGTTGAACCCATTGACTTGTGTACTTCAAGTTATCACAATGTAGAATAACCATCTCCCAAATCTTGCTTGTTTCTATCAATTTGTTATACACAATATCACTTTCAAGAGTTGCATTTTGTTTCTTCTCTGAAAATGCTTTTTCAACCACTTCACAGGTCGTTTCAATATTTGTTAACAGGTAATTGAGACAAAGTTCAGTAATTTCAGGGTATGAGCATTCAAGAGAAAGTCGTAAAATGTCAATCACGGACTGGTCGGAAATGTTATCCTTAATGACCGACAAGGTAATACTGGAGTCTAATAAATATTGATTTTGAGCAAAATACAGTGGAATAGCATCTTCCGCTTTGACGTCTTCCTTTGCTAAAGAACCCATGTACATGTATTTGATCAATAACAAGAAGATGTCATATTTCACATCTGTGATTTCCATTTCATAAATGTTGTTGGATGAGAATCTATAGGGTGAGCTCAAATTACCCCAATCGAACATGGTCTAAGATTTTCAAGTGACCAATTAACAATAACTAGTAGATTTCACTTACTTTGAAAAAAGCACATCTGGCTTTTAGAATCGATGAGTGAGCATAAATACAAGGTCTTGAAGATGGTGTAAGTGGGTCTTCTTCGTTGGAACCCATGGTAAATACAATTTTCACATCGGGAGATGCTCTCTTGTCATACTTTTCGCCTTTTGTACATGAATCTTCATAAATCTTACGCATGTCAGAATAAAAATCATCACTCAAGGAAGTAGATGTAAATTGATTGAATATAGCAAGAGCCACACCGCTTCTTAGGTGATTTGGAATAACAGAAATAATGTTCATGGTTTGTTGGCATGCTTTTCTCAAAGCCTCAAGTCCTAAACTTTCAGAAAGGTGATGAATTTCTGTAATTAATTCCTCAGCATTTCTGTAATCACAATCGTCGTCCAAAAACATTTCCTTTGGTAACAAGATGAGTCCTGAATAGAGATAACTGAACAAACTATTGGCAGCAGTCTCAGTAAGAGAGAAGCCGCTCACACTAGGAGACATGTCTATGATCTCTTCCTCACTTTTCACAATAAATTTGTCTAAGAGCTTGTGATCCTGGAGTCTGTATCTCAATAAAAACTCATGAATATAGTATATCTTGGGTGCAATTGTAAAAAGTGGTCGTTCTGTAGTTGAGGCAAGCAACCTCTTTCGAATAGGAAGTTTTAGAATTGCACAATCTGTAGATGGATTGTTGGAAAAGAGGGTTTTAAGATCTTCCACGTATTCTGGATTCAATTTGCTGTTTGAAGCAGATGGAATATTGTTCACATTTGCGTCACAAATAATTCCTATCAACTTGATAGCATCAATTTCGCTCCATGACAAGCTAGATATACAATCCATGTCAATTCTTAGAGTTCTTGTCACGCAAGAAAATGGTTTGATCGGTGGAACAAATATTCTTGATTTTTGAGGTAAGATTTGCTGCTGAGGATCTCCCTCATACAACACAACCCAATCCTGGGTAAACTCTAATGGTTTATGAACGAATTGTTCATCATAGTATTCCTGATCAATATTTTGGTCCTCGATTACTTCTGCAATTTCCAGTTTATGCTCCATATCAGCTGGTAAACAAGACACCTTCACAACAGCTCCAGGATTGAAAGTTTCTTGAGAGAGCATTGGATTCATTTGTTTCATTCACATTGTTGAAATATCCCAAAAACATACCATAAATATGTACCTGAGTGATAAGAACATTTTTTTCGAATTGGACTATTTACGATTGTTTCAATATTCGCTCACATTTCACCTAAACTCACCTACAAGAAATTCCTTACTGCCTGATGAAGATTTCGGGGCCCATGCAGAGGTCATATCGCCTAAATGATTTTCATTGTATGAAAAGACATTAAATTATAATTGAACGGAGCACATGGAACGTACCATATTTTGGAAATGTATCGGATTCTCCTGTCACGTTGTCAGCACTCCAGCTGCTTGAATACTGGGATGAAAATCCTAAAACACGACAAGCCCATTGTTGGGTTTCATAGGGTCTGATCAGTATTCGGTTTTCAACTTTTTCTCTCAACTCTCGGACTTGAGATTCCGAAATAGCTGACCAATCATGTTGGTCTTCATCGTTGAGAGAGAATGAAGGTGCATTGATAACTTCGGAGTGGTCATCCCACAACTGTGGTTCATCCGAAAGGGTTGGAGGTGGTGTAATGCTGGAAGTGTTGTTTCCCATTTTTTGATCTCTGCAAGTTCATCTGTCCAAGTTCTGCTTTAATAAGACCAACATGGGTACAAATTTTGTTCTTGCTGATTAATCTTGAAGCACATGACATGATGGAGTGCCGAAGATTGGTGTCCTTTTATTGCTTGGGAACTGGTTTGGTTGGTGAGTGGGAAAGACTTGGATTTACAACTAACGTTCGTCCAAGCTTTTCCAGCTTTTTTCGCAATAAGTTCCATTGTGTCAGGGCCATCTTTTCAATTAGCAACCCCAATTTACTCTCTATTGTGGGATATTTAGAATCATAAGGATACTATTAAATCTGTAAGTCAAGGAATGTCATAGTACTGCAATATACTTACTTTGGAGAATGCAGTTTTAGCATATTTAAGGAGAGCTTCCTCGAACTATTCACGTTGTGCTTAGTACGAAATATTTAGAAAGAAGACTTACTTTTTGATATGAAAGTGATTCATTGGAATCATTAGTACAACACGATTTAAAAATTCTGTACATATCCTTTTTTGAGATGAATGGAACCAAATCAAAGTCAGCAGCGAGTTTGAAGAATTCATCAAAATGCATTGTTTCTTGAATGGATTGAAATTGGGTAGAGCTGTTGCTGTTACAATACAGTATGAAAAGCTGGAACAAGAGGTTGATCATTGATATATTAATAGATACTCATTACTTACTCGTTGCAAATTTCTTCTGATAGTCTCAAACACTCTTTCAGCAGCAGTTGCTACTTCCTCGTCAATATCGCACTGAGCTGATCCTAGTCTATTTACGTTTGGAAGCACGTCAATTAGTAAAAACTTAGCAAATGCTTTGGAAGGTGAAAGGTCAGGTCTGAGCTTGTTGGCAAGTTCTTTAAGGCATTCTATGAATTGAGAAAAGTTCATTTTCTGAGAGTTCACATGATTCTTCACGCTCGATGCACTAAGAATCTTAATAAAAACTAAATCTGCAGTCTCTTGTTTAAATCCATAAGTATAAATGTTCGTATCTCGTATAAAAAACCGAAATTTAAACGAACTCATCAGATTCAAGTTTAAACGGTTACCAAATGAGCAGTAATACATGAAAATATTGTGTAACTCAGCCTTCAGCTCATGTTTGTTTTGAATTAGGTCCAAATACTGCTGCTTAATTTCTTTCGGCTTGACGGGCTTTAACTTGTTATCAATTTTAGAATATTTAACGTTCGATGGGTTGAGTGAAAGAGCTTTTTTGAAAAAGCTGTTAAAGAGAGAGTTCTTCCCAAAACCAATATTTTCAAAAAGTAATGCAATTTGTTCTTCAGTTTTGTTTGCTATCAATGGTTTTTTTGAGAAAATAAATATTGCTATTCTTCCCAGTGCCTCCAGAAATTGAGGATAGTCTAACTCTGGGTAGTTCTTGTGCCTCTAGAAATTGAAGAGGATTCAGGAAGAAAACAGCTGTTGAAAATAGTCTTGGCAACGCTTTTCGATATTTTCCCAGGTAAGAGGTTGAAGGTCTCGTTGAAGGCAATAAACGAGTCAAGGGAAATTGTATCCTTTTTTAAGGCATTGCCAGCTGTGTTGGACGAGAAAACATCAAATATCTTTTCACATCGTACACCTGTAAAACTGTCTAAAATACGTACCTTCTGAAGCAATTTTGAGTATTGTATGAACAACGTCAAGCACTGTAATGAATATATTTCATTCACCGTTGTGTCTTGATACTTGGTTGCGTGATAGGGAAGTAAATGTTCCTCAATCAAGCGTTCAAGAGATGAGTCTGTTGAATTAAACTTCATCTTTGCAATTTCAGTAGTAATTTCTCTGAATTGTCTGCAATTAATCTCATCTCGTTCTTCTATCTCACTCAAATCAGCCTTGCCAATCATTCGAACAATAACCTCAAGAATTGTTTCCCACATTAATCCTTGTTGTGGGATTCTACAATTTCTAAAGAGATTGATGAGTGAGTTGATGGAAATGGTGTGTTGTTCATTGGAGATTGTATGGAAAATAATGTCAATTACATCTGGATGGTTTTGTGTTGTGGCATCCGTATTGGGAGTTTCTGTTTCTTCGATGGTGAAAGTATAATTGTCGAAATCAATGACAAAACCATCATTATTTTGCTCATCTTCAACTGTCGGAGATGAATTTAACTCGCAAACAGGAGCTGTTTCTTGTTCTTTCTCAATTTCCTTTTCCTCTCTATCATTTTTTTGTTCGTTGCAAGTGTGAAACGAGAGTGAAAACAAATCCAATGTTGTTCCGGCGTTATCAATCCCACCAAAGCAAAGAAGCTCCCCTTCCTTCAAACCCAGAGTGGAATGAATTCTTCTGCTTGGTGTATCGCCTGAACATTTAATTTCGCTCCACTTGCTGTCCGAAATATTCAAAGAACAGATATCGTTCAGTAAGCCATTTTTTCCTTCTCCTCCGAAAAACAACAGAGTTGACTCATCGTAATTGATCACTGAATGAAAAGCTCTCGCTGATGGTCCGGATTCAATTTCGATCTCACTCCATTCTTTGGATGAAAGGTCAAACAAAAACAAATCATTCCTGTAGTCTTCGTAATCCAAACCTCCAAACATGACAACAAAGGTTGAGGGTACAACGAGTGAGGTTGTAGAATGTCCATATCTAGGTGGAGGTTTTTCATGGTCTTGAAGTTTTACTTTCTCCCATGAATAAGATGCTAAATAAAACGTTAATAAGACGAGCGTCAACACTTGGTACATACTAAGGTTCAGCACATAAACGTCGTTATGAATAACTGCAGAATCTGAAACACCAGCGAAAAGATAAATACAATTATCGATTAAATTGCATGAAAAATCTCTTCTTGCTTTTGGGAAATCGTTTCCTGAGAATTGAATAGTCCTCCATTGCATATCATGAAAAGTAAGCACGCTTAATTGCAAAACGGAATGCTCAAAGGTATCAAAAAAATTATTCTCCTCTTCTAATATGAAATAGGATTTTGGAACCTCTCCAACTTGTCGTTCTTGCGTTATACAGTAGACGTATTCAATCTCATCGTTTTGATCATCATCATTTTCATAGATTGTTACAAGTTGCCCTTTTTTGACCTGAAAACCCTCGTCATCCTGGAAGTCTTGATTGAGAGTTGCATAGAGCCCTGACTCCACTGAGCTCCAAAATATATAAATTCGATCTCGTTCTTGGGAAAGAACTGCGTAATAAAACGATGATTTTGGAGGTCCTTCTCCGGACAGAGGATACGAGCACCATTCCAGATTTCTTAAATTGAACACATAGAGTTGATTTTGCTCAGCCTCTTCGGAACTTCCAATCACAAGTAAATCATCGTCCACAAACTCAACACATTTCATTTTCCAGGAAGGGCGACGTCCTTCATATGATGGCACCTCAGGGACCCTCTTCCAACAACCGATCATTGTTACCTATTTTTTATGAGCTGTAAATAAGGCTGATCAAAGCAGAAGAGGAATACACCAATAGGTCGTCTTAATATATCCAAAGGTGATATATTTGAAAGAAAATAAGCCTTGCTCTCAAAGTGTTTATTCGGCTGACGAGAGCACAATTACTTCAAACCGTGTTGAGGTGATGTTTGGAAAGCTCCTTCTCGAGCCAATCTTTCAAAGGCTTTCTTGTAAAGGCATACCCATGAGTGACAAGGAATGCCTCAAATCCTTCTTCATATAGCATTTTGATGTTTTTGAGAATTTCAATGCGATCATAGAGGAAGAAGTGATAGGCTGGTTTTCCGTACTTTAAAAAACCTCCTCCCATAAGATCATTAATGATGGCTGCCTTCTTATTATTGAGAACAATGGAAATTCCACCCTCTGTATGACCTTTTAATTGAAGGACTTGTGCATGTACTCCAAATTCCTCCAAGCTCTCACCTCCATGAAAGAGGATATCAGGCTCGATTTTCTTTAATTCCTTTCGATTTCCTCTAATTTTGAGTATTCTGGCCGCCAAGCCTGTCGGAACTGAGGGTGCAGGGTCACCAAGTCTGAATCTATCTGCTTCTAAAGCAGGAACAGCGACTTTGATATGTGGATAATGTTTTTTAAAATACCTGTTGGTGGTTGTGGTTCAAATAGTGAGCGGAGTGAGGAAACATACGAAGAAACAGAATGTTGGTGAACACCACAAGCTCTGAATATACTACTTACCATACACATCCAGCATGATCAAAATGAGCATGAGTGATAATAATCAGAGAAAGATCGTTTGGAGTAATTCCAGCAACTTTCTCGAGCTTGTCAATTAATTTGAGCTCATCTCCAATAGTTGCTGTATCGATCAGAATGTATTTTCCCTTTCTGCTTCTCTCTTCCTCAGTCCATGCATTGCACTTCACCAAAAAGACATTGGTTTTTGGATTCATTTCAATGGTAATAACTTCTCCGTCAAGGATTTGACAAATCTTTTGCTTTTCGCTCAAATTAGAGTATTGGTTGTTCATGTTATTGGAATGTGTTTGTTCAGGCTTTTGTTATATATTGGCTGTGTTTGCAGCTTTAAATTTGCTGTCATCTTAAATACCCTCTGCAGAGCCTTAGTTCTAACTGGCGCATAAAAACTATGCGTCTTTAGCTTCCAATTGCGCAAGTATTTGACCGTGCGCAGCGTAACATCCAATTTTCTAAAAAGTGCTAGTTGAAATTTTCGGCGGAAGGACGGGCCCTCAATGTTGGAATGGTTCAAGTTTCCCAGGCGACGACTCATCAAGTCGGCATGTGACACCATTGTAGTCAGCCCATTAGTTCTTTCAGTCGTGCGTAAATATATTGGTACACGATTGAAAACAAATTGTGAATTGGCTTCAAGCTCCATGCCTCGGTTGGAATGTCATACAATCCATTGTTAAGCACACTGAACAAATCAAATAATAGTCGACTTTTGGCATCTTCGTCAAGAGAGGTTGGATTTAAAATGTATTGTTCTAACTCTCCAATTTTCATAAATTCTGTATTAAAGATATTAAGTCCTGGAAGTTCTAATTGTTGAGTATACAGAGTTCTTTTACATCTCAGATCCATCACCCAATAAATCGAATGAAAACCTTCTAATCCTATCAATTTTTCTACACCTAGTGCTTTAAACTGAATACTGTCGGTTGATAGTAGTTTTAACACAGAATCTTCTTCCTTATTTGCTGTCATGTGTTGAGTCACCAATTTCTGCTTTAGAGCTTCAATAAATTCTTCCGAGCAATAAATTCGTCCTCCAACAGCAATGCTCTCAATTTTGCTTGCCTTATTTACTGTGTTTCCAATATAATCAATTCGTTTTGTGGTTTTGTCCAAATGTATTTCGCAGTCGCTACCACAATGAACGCCCATCCTCACACGAGGGCCTCGATAAACAAGCTGCTCTTCATATTTCACTTCTCTCGTATCGTCATGGTCCAATAATTCGAGTGGCCAGTTTGCATGCAGTAAATCTCGTTGAACACTCAAACAAAATCCCAATGCTAATACTGGATTGTCGAAAGCAATCATAAATGAATCTCCTTGAGTTTTGCATTCATATCCACGGTATTTTTCAATATTCACTCGCATGAGAAGGTTGTGAATTTCTAAGGCTGTTTTCATCTTTTCTGGGAATAGATTCCATAATAGTGTAGAATTTTGAATATCTGTAAAGACCACTGTAATGGGTAATGACCTAGGGGCAAATCGCATCAACCTTTTTCTCAACTTTTTTCTATACATTAAGAAGAATAGTAAACCAACAAAAAACAGAATGCAGCAGACTGCCAATAGAGCCACCACTGATCCAATAATGCTACCAATAATAATTGCATTCTGCTGTGGTTCTGACTTGGGTATCCATTGTCTCACAATACCTGTATTATTTCGAATCCATTTGCAAGAAGCATCCCAAAGACTCATATTATTCCAAACAACATCACCCATTATTTCTACTTGATCTTTGGAGTCATAGGAGAATTTGTTGAAGAAATGCAGCAAGGCAGGATTATTGGTTGTGTCAGGTGAAATTAACTTTTGAAGCATGGTTACTTTTTGGATATATAATTAATGATAATAAATACCTTTTTAAGTATTTCAGTAGGGTAATCACAATCAATGAGACCATGTTGTTGGTTGTACACAGTCCAACAACTGTCGCTATAGGCAGGTAAATAAACATCCTTAAGTTGTACAATATGGAACAAGTAATGGGGATACCATAAATAGAATAGAGCAGTGCTTTTGCGTGCTTTTGCACTCAACACTTTGCCAACAATTTCCTCCTCAGGTTCACGACTACGAGCAAACTGAACCTCGAGTTTCAATTTTAAATTGCTGATAATTTGATTTTCATACGAAACCCATGTGATGGATGGGCCAATAAATCTACCAACATTCGATGAAGAGTTTTCAGCTAAATATTTGGCTGCCGTGTCAGTACGATATTCTCTATACACATCAATTCCAGGATATTGATCCAACATGTGTGATAATATAAACCAGCCATGCTTTCCAAATACTCCAAGATTTCCTGCATCTATAATTGATTTTTGAGACTCTACATATTTCCTGTAATTTTGACAAATAAGAGTGAAACCAAATAATGGTCACAATTTTTCTTGTGAATTTTCCACACTTACATGTACTGAAATTTTCTAGACAAGTACCAGTATTCAAGCATGGCATACATTTCATTGTGGCCATTGCTTGCCATGAGTTCTTTTCGTAGAGTTTTGGTTTTTTTCATTCCATGTGGTCAATTTCAACGTTAAATTTAACAAACATACCTAACCCCTTATCGATTGGAAGTCGAATAACTTCCACGCACTGATTCATTTCCTCTTCCAACACAATTTTAGCAACCTGAGCGTTGACCATTGTAGCAAAATAATCTGCTTGAATGAGATATACCTTCTTGGCGTTAGGATTGCATCTCACATTAGATACCAAACAACCAGGTTGTTGAACGTTGGTTCCATCTTTCGGAGTGTTGAAGTTATCTCTTCGCTTGAGTTCTTCTTCGAATCGAGAAGACATTGGTGGAGGTTCTCCCCTCACAAATTCGACATGTTTGATCATGATGAACAACAACATACAAATCATGATTGTACTGGTGAAGAGAAAATTATTTGATTTCCGTTTTCTTGTAACAGGTTGAAAGGAGGTGGAAGTTATTAGTAAACCTGTACGTTGTTTTTTCAGGTTCATCATAGTGTATCCTCATAGTATCAATATTTGTAAAAAAACAAATATGATGACAATTTCAAGTATTCAAAGTGACTTGGTAGTTAAAAAGTGTGGTCCTTTCTTGACGATAGTTTTGATTGAATGATGATTGTGTGTTTTTGTTTGTGATAAAAACCTCTTGCATTGCTCCGCAGATTGAACATGATCTAGTGATTGAGGTATTACTAAAAATCAAAATTGTTGCCATCCAATGATTATTACCCTACACACTCAAAGAAAGGAAAGGCTTTTTTCTGGATAAGATGGCACCTGCTTTCTTAGTAAATCTTAAATCCAATTTTGACGCTATAAAATCTTTGAACACAGACACAGGCAAGAAAACGTTCTTCGAAATTAAAAGAGGCCTTTGACCAATTTTGATAGACTTATTAAATCAAAATTGGTGTAAAGTTAAAAAGCTTCTAAATTTGCAAGGTCTTTCTATCGTAGCTGGATGCAACGGATGCGTCAGTTTTTCCATTTCACGCAAAATTTAGAAGTGTCTTTTGTGATCCACCATTTATCCGTTTCTGAATTGTCCAACGATTTGATGTTTTCGATTAAATTTCGAACAACATCCTTTTCCAAAATCAACAAATTGTTCCATCAAATGCTGCATAAAATTAGTATAAAAGACCTGTGGTTTACTCGGACAAGTGTTTGATTTTTGCTCCATTCTCTTCCCAATTTTGTCCATCAAATGGTTCTATGGAATATTTCACCAATGGTACACTTTCATCATCAAGACACCGAAAATTGACAGACCATCCATCAGGATTAGATCTAGGTTTGTAGAAGGTGCAAATCCCACACACAGGACAAAAGTAGTGCTTGGCAACATGTGTTTGGAAAGAATAACATTGTAGCTGAGATAAATTGTTCGGAGATATTAATTCAAAGTTGTTTTCACTCACAATATGATGAAGAAAACCTTTTCGTCTACACATCGAACAATTGCAGTCAAGAACTGTTAACTCCAACGGAGAGTCTGACGAGACCAATGTCGAAGCCTTTTGCTTGGTTTTACATTTCATGAATCCGCAATGACACGAGAAGGAGAGTTGAATCTCTTGTGGTTGCATTTTTTATGGTTGGCGATGATTACGGATGGTGAGATCAGCCCATCTCGATAATTTGTTATTCTCTGATACCACACATATAAAGGAACTACCCTAAGGTCAACGCTCGTAACTTGTTGTAAATCATTAAGGTTCCATTGTCCTTCACGAGCGCACACTAAATTTGTCATTCACACATATACACTCACTAATTTCATCTCTTGTTCGATGATTTTCCATGATGTGACACTGTAGTGTAATTTTGTCCTTCATTATCATTGCTCGATGTAAGCACGTCTCCCAATCGTTTTGAAATGAGTTTCAAAGATGCTTGAAGTTTCTTGTTGTCATCACTCGGGTCCTCATTCCAATACTTGAAAGGATGTTGAGCATTGCTGAACAATGTAATATAAGAAGGAACAACTCCATACATGGATTTAACAAGAACTACAAAATATAATCTCGTGGAAGAAGTAATTTGATCCAGATGGCATTGAGTCGTAAAGAGTGTTGCCCCGTTGTAAAATAAAGTAATGACTCGTGAGAATGCATCAAAATGAACACCAACTCGATCTCCACATAAAAATCTTCGAATGGCTATTGAAAGTTGTTGTAAAAGACCATTCAGAATTTTCACCATTCACACAAGTTGACAAATTTTGTAATAATAATAACAATCAATTCAACAAAACAGGATTAATAATGTGAAGAACATGATCATTATTTGTGGCTTTAAAAAGTCGAAACACTTACCAATTACATGCTTTCCTTCTTCATTACTGTAATAACTTCCATTCTTTAAATTAAAACTTGTCTATGGAAAGATGAACGAAAAATCATTTGGCAATGCATTTGTGAAAATTCATACAATAATTATTACCCACGTTTTCTAATATTCCAGTAGTTGAATACTACTTACCACCGTTTCCTTCTTCAAATCAATTGGTAAATCTTTTTTGTGATGTTGCTTCAACACCTTGATATTCTTGTTACTCATGACTGCTACCACTATTCCAGGAATATTATAATTCACATAATCAATCTTCTCTTCAAAGTCACTGTTAATAGTAATTTCATAATAATTGTAACATTTGGATAATCTTCGATCAACTCCTCTGAGTTGAATGGGTTGCTTACAAATAATAGGATAGTAATATCTAGAGAGATTGGGATAAATATAACAAATACTAGCATCTTCTGAATAGCCAATCACTGACTCTCCCTTTTCATTACAAATTTTGTGCTTAATATTGTGGAACGAAGAGAAGAGAGTTGATTTTTGTTTTTTTGAAAGAGCATTGGATTTGTGTTTTTCCCTTTGATGTGTAATTTGAGACAATAGTGGTGTTGGATGATGCGATGAAGACTTGTGATGTATCACTAAATTCACTTCATCATTCACGCTCTTGATGGCTGCATCGAAGGTAGAAACAGAATCCTCATCGTCAATCACGTTTGGTTCTGATGAAGGAGTTAAAACAGCGTCTGCAGTGGGTGGTTCAATAAATATTACATCTTCATCGAAGTCTTCACTGGAATCCGAGTAGTGGTCCACTGCAATAAGCAAATCATCTTCCAATTTCCTTTCAAAAAATTCATCATCCAATTCATCATTTTCCTCAAGTAAAATACTAGAAGTGTCATCATTGGTGTCTTCATCTTCGTTTGTTATTGCACTTTGATCTTGCTTGGAAATAATTTCAACGGATTTAACAGTGGCAGAGTTGGAGTTTAATTGAGAAGACGTCGGATCTGACATTAATTCACTTCCACTCTTGTTATTTGTAGGAGTTTTGATTTTAGTATATTTCTTCTTTTCAATTTTAAAAGTTTTTCTTCTTCCTCTCAACAATACACACAAATCAATAAAATTAAAAAATTCAAATTCAATTTCTAAAGCATGCATTAAACATGGATTGTGAATTGGCAAGGCAAATTGTTTGACATCTCCTCCACATCGTAAATAGTCCAAAATATAAGAAAACAAATTGCCATTCCGATCAATGAAAATATATCCCTTGTCATCACGTGAAAAATCAAAATGATCTTCGTTGGAAAACATGACTGAGAGCAGATGATCTTTTCCATTGATTTTTCTAGACAAGGTGTCTTTGAAAGTGGTATATAAAACACCTCCTACATTGATAGTGATGACAGCACTTGCACTAGAGGATGATTTCCGAAATGATTTTAAAGAATCTAAATTTTTTAACATGGTTGAGTGATATTGCTGTGGATTCGATGATAAATGCTGTTGGGTTAAGACCTTTCCCAGCAGTGTTTTTTCCTTCTTTCTATCAATGGGTTGGGGTGATGGATTGTTGTTTGGTGTCTTGTCGGAAGATGACGTCGAGTTGGTGTTGTCGATGGATAGGTTGGACATTTTTTTGTTTGTTGGATCATGATGTGTCACACATTAGAACCTCAAAAGGAAAGATGCTCTTAGCACTAGTGAGTCCATGATTCGATTTTTTGATTCTTGTGTTTGGGAAAGATTGAATGATTGTGAATTGTGTTGTTGGAGTTGAATCATTTACTGTTAAAACTCATGAGCCATTCCAATCCCTCATAGAGAGCTCCATCTTTAGTTTTCTCTTTTTCAACAATGCATGAATATTCTTCATACGACCATCGCTGAATAAATTCTTTCAGTGTTTTAGTTACGAGTTGCACGTCACTGTTGTTGCACAAATCATTCCCATACACAATAAATAACATTGGAATTTTGTTCTTGGAGTGTGTATGTATGATAGAGAACAACACAAAAAGTCTATTTTTCCATTCCTCAATATCCAAAGCAAATTGTTGGGAGAAATCGATTGTGAAAATTAATCCTGAATTGCCCTTGATATAATAGTTATAAATTTCATTATTGGTAAAGTAACCATGGCTCATGACATCATCATAGCAACACATATAAAAATTACGAAATTCAATACTATATGAATATAGAGTCTCAACTAGACTTTCTTTGCTTGATTCGCCATCTCCGAATGATTTTTTAAATAAATCTTGTAATTCTTTAAATACAGATGACTCATAAACAAGGGTTTTTGAATATCCTAAAACACAGTATTTGCTTTGTGGTTGGAATGTATCTATTATCTTGTAAAAGACATACAAGACTTGATCGATCAGAAATTGAACGAACATTTTTTTAGTGAGAGACCTGATGACATCACGTACTTGGGCCAAATGTCTTTGCTCGTAATTTTTCATGAACGATCCAAGAATCTGATTCTCTTGACTGCAATGATTCAACCACTCTGCAATTAATCTCTAACGATCGTAACATCACCTTCCAAGACTTGTTGAATGTAACTTTGATAATATCTCCAAGCTCCAGTAATTAAAACAATTAATAAAACCATCAATATCAATTCTATGAGAATAAAACTAGTTTCGAATTTGTTAGGAATCCACCACTGCGTAATATCTTGTTGAGCCTTATCGGAGAGACTTTGAGTGAGAATATTAAAACCATAAATACAATAATCAATTATGTACAATAATATTTCATGAAGCCGATAGTCCGAGTAATAGGTCCAATTTTCTTTCATCACAAACACCACAAAATTCCAAATCCAACACATATTGATTTCCTCATAAAACTGATTTACTACCCGGAAACGCGTTCTGCGTTCTGTGCTTGGAATAAAAGGAAAATTTTTCAGTAATAAAAAATGATGAAGTCCGCCCAAACCTGGTTTTGCTCTCGCATACCTCTCAGAAGATAGGATTGAAACAAACTTTAAGAGCTAAAAATTGATTACTCTTTTTGATTTTTAACTTCTTTTTCAATGAAGATGCTTTGTATCAAATATAGGTCATTTCACTCTTCTCTTCACGTTCGGAAAGAAAGATTGACTGAGAAAAAATTTTCTGATCCTGGTCGTGTAAATACTGATTTGAACAGCACCAATCATGTACATGCATCAACTCAGGATAATTCATATTTTGTTATTGATGCAACACTGACAAATGAAGGAATATTATTTGAAAAGTATCCATTTTGGCCAAGCAGCGTTCGAACTAATCCTCTTCTATTATTTAAACAAATTAAGCAAGTTGTGGTTGATAATGATGATGGAATATGCTCTGAAATTAGAACACACAATAACGAAATAATAATTTTCGTTAGGAATAATTTTGACTCGAAATTTTTAGATTGTTTGGAAAATCATCATGGTGGAATTTCAATAGTGAAACGGAAAGCCAACATTTGGAATGATATCGTTGAACCATTTCTTGATGCCTCTGTACCTATATTGGACAAGACACGACAAATAGTAAGCATTTATCGTCATTTGAATCCAAAAGATTTGAAATACATCTAATCAATTATATCAGAACCTCTCTTTGCTTACGACTTTGAGACCATATATTGGGGGTTTGTATCTTTGGATTTATTTGATGTTTTCTGTAGTCTTGATAGGAACTGCCCGCTTAGCAAAAAGCCTCTCAGTGACGAGAAATTCAAACAGTTTTACAATTTTGCCAACAAGCTTACCATCCAAGTGAAAAATTAACCTTGATTGTTTTGAAGCAAGAACACACAAGAATTGCTCGGTTATTGCACCATTTAGTAACCGTTTATTTAAACAAACCAAAAATCCATCTCACTCCGAACCACAAAATTCCAAACAATGCAAGTAATATAATCACATTCTTTAGTGGAGATCCTCTCATTTGTTTGTGATCCTCATCCGTCAACACTCTTGAACTCGTTCCTAATTTACTCATCAACAAACTCTCGACTTGATACAAATCTGCACCAACAATGGTTGCAAGTACTTTTCCATCTTGATACACCTTAAAAGTTGGCATGGCAGTAATACCTTGTTGTGCGGCAACTTCATTCGCTTCATCCACATCAACCGAGCAAAATACTACATCATTTCTATACGCATCGGAAGTTGATAATTTGTGAAAGAATGGTTTACTTGCTTTACATGGTGGACACCCTATAATTCGTTTGAATTAATCATCAATAAAATTATTATTAACAATTGGAAAGTACCAATGTGAATCATTCCCGATCCTTCAAAACCTACAAGTAGCAAAATAATCTACAACGACTAGTTTTGATTCTTGTAACACCAGTTGATTAAATTGCAAAGTCGAATGAATTTCTGTGACTGTCATTGGTTTTGGATTTTTTAATTTTCTTATATTTCTAATATTTCTTCAAAGATCCAATCATGTTGTTGTACACTTTCCATCGTCCGAGAACCAATTATTTTCTTGGCATCAAACTAACCCATCTTTGCACCACCTTCTGCCAGCTTTACAAAAAAAATGTTGCGAGTAAATTACGTGGCACTTGCCAGTTCAAAGACATGCTCTGATCGGGGCAGTTTGATTGTTTCATCATGTTTATTATTGTTATTGGTCGTATTCACAACGTTTACGTACGGATTGACTCCGGTATCAAATGATTTGTTCTATAGTATTAAAACAGAGGAGACGAGTGGGTTTTCAGTTGAGTGGAATGAAAATACTTTGGGTAAGAATGACTTTGAACCAAATATTGTGGTAAACGGAAAATTATTCTTCAGTGCTCATCAAACCATTAATCAAGCAAGCATGGGAATTGGAAAAAAACAAATTCTTTCGTTGGATGTTGATGGCAGGATTCAAGTATATGAAAGTCCTGTAACAGAATTAGAAGACATCGAAATGATGTACTCGAACGGAAACACATTATATTTTTCTGCCAAAGAAAACACATTATTCAAAGTAGACATTACTGGCAAAACAACAGAACAGTTATCATATGGGGTGTTGAGCTATTCGAAACAACAAGTTGGTCAATCCCATGTTAATTTTATCAAGAGCAAACAATTTTTGATTATTAATACAGTAGATAGTGCAACAACACCAACAACAGATCAGGCCATCGAAATGGTCTACTTTCCAATTACAGTGAAAAACGGTGGTGATGCTCTCTCCCCAACATCGCAACCTCAAAACGATTTGATGGTCATTGCTGTCCATAATATCACCAATGCTACCTTTTCTCGATTATCATTCGAAGCTTCAAATACTATTTCACTTCAAACTCATAGCGAGTTGTTATCACCAGAAAAGAATATGCCATTCAGTTGGACAAGTTGTGTACTGTTTCATTACAACAACCAAGTTATTGCCTATAATAGGGATCAACTACAGTATAAGGTTGTTATTAATGACATCCCAAGCATAGACTTCCACTCCTTTCAAAATGAAGTCTACATTGTTGGATCGCATGGAGGCAAACTGTACATTATCAGGAATGATGGCACTGCAAATTCAGTAGTAACTCAAGTGACTGATTTCTTCCCAATTGAAAATGGTTTTTATGCTGTCGATGCAGAGTCAGATGTCTTCAAGGTTGAGTTGATCGGCAATAATGTCAAACAAACAAAGGTTGAGCTCACTTCCAACTGCGCCAATGTGAAGATTCTTACCGTTAACAATGAAAATTTAATTCTTAAATGCAAACATGCAATGACCAAACTCAACCATGTGATTAGAATTTTCAAAGATGAAGAACACTCTCTCGTTAAGGATGATGATACTTCTGATAAAGGAGGATGGACCTTTTTTATGATTCCACTGAGCAAGGCAAATATTGAATTTACCTTATTAGCAACTGCCAACACAGTCAATCCAAAGATGATCAAATTCTCATTGAAACCACCCATGATGTGTCATGGTAAGAACTATACCGATCCAACAGTCTGCAATGGAAGAGGAAAATGTGTCGGTGAAAATACTTGCTCTTGCTTTGGAAATTCTGCTGGATCTGCATGTGAAAGTTGTAAAAGTGATTATGAAGGTCCAGATTGTCAATATTACATCAGTAAGTATGGAAGTGTTCAATATGTTAACGTATGTTGCTATCATCATGTTTAATCTATCACATGAAACTATCAGTCCGCAAATGCTTTGGAATTCCATTCAATGATTCTACAGTGTGCTCTGGAAGAGGAGAGTGTGTTTCAGCAAACACTTGCCAATGTAGACATGAGTACAGTGGTTATAATTGTCGTTTTACCACATGTTTTGGAGTGAGCAGCAACTTGACTACTGGTGTTTGCTCAGGTCATGGCTATTGTTCAGATTACAATGTGTGTGAATGTGATGTAGCCTTCACAGGACCAATGTGTGAAATTTCAGAAAAGCCACAAGCAAAGCTCTACCCTATCATGATCACTTTTGGTGCTCTATCATTGGTAACGGTTATTCTATTGTTGACCATGGTTTTTTGTTTCCTTGGAAAGCATAGGAAAGAGGTATGTTCAATCTTACGTTTGATTATTTCACCCTTAATCGATGCAATCAATTAATTTTTTTTATTCATTCATTCCAGTACCTTGCCACCTATGGAAAACGAACTGTAGTGTCAACGGAAGATGACGACAATTTGTTCTTAGACGAAGTTGAAGATAATCCAACAGCACAAGAGAAATCTAACAAGAAGTCTTCGCAAAACGAGTACTCTCTCTCCTTGAGCGATGAAGAACTGGAAGTGTACAACTAATTATTTATTAAACCTAATTTATGTTTTGGCCTTAACGAATTTAATGATTGGTCACCATTTGCAAAAATTTCACTCAAGCTGAAGTTTATTCATGTTTTTAAACAATCTTGTATTCAGCAACAATCAAACTTCTGTCCACAGAAAATCGTTGTGGGGAATCATCGTTTACAGACAAAACATCCTTAACTGCAACTCCGGAAATAATATCAGCAGAAGTGAAAGAAATGTCAACAGGGAAAAATTTAGACTCTTCAGCACGTTCGTTAACAGTAAATTCAATACTTCCCGTGGGACATGATGAATCAATCAAATCAAAAGTCCAAATAAACTTGCTATGCTTTTGGTCAATTCTATAAGTTCCAGACTCAGCGCTCTCAACTGTCACATTTGTGGTTGGAATAGGTACAGAAATTATAACGTTTGATAGCTCTACATTTGTATCTTGGAGAGTATATTCAATACTGACAGAAGTTTCATTTCCAGATGGATTTGGCCAGCAATTTACAGTAAATGGCAAAATTGACTCATCAAAATTACCCTTTGAACGCCAGGTCAAAATCTTGAGTGGATTATTTGGTGGAAATGCTTTGTCTTTTCTTTTGAGTGCCAAGCTGTGCTCGTCTGTAAACATTTTCTTATCAATGTTTGGATGTGATGTTGAAACGAATCCATCTTTCAAATCATTTTCTAGCCGAACTTTGATAAATCCAGATGCGCTCTCTGCAATAGTCAAATACATTTCTCCTTTAACATCCAAGCTATTCAATCCTCCCTCTCTGTTTGTCTCAACTTGTAATGTCTCCTTTATCTCCACGTGAATGTCCTCAACTTTAACTTTCTTTTGCGTTTCCACAATTTCACTTTTAACCATTGGAGCAGTGGTTGTCTCGGTAGCTTGTGCACTAATATCTCCTGTTGATACAAGATCATTCAAAAGTGAAGATGAGGCCTTTTTGTTTGGTCTATTCAAAATCATTTGCTTAAGATTACTTGGTTTGGCTTGTTGTTTAAGATTCTTATTTTCTGATCCATTGCTTGATGAAAACGAGTTGGTAACAGGTGAAGATGGAACAATGCTGGGTGACTCGCGAGATGAGTTAGAACCAATACCTGCATACTTTCCTTGATTTGATGAAGATGGTGGTACATAGACGTTATCCCCTTGTCTTTGATTCATTCCTCTTGAGTCTCCGCTTGAAATTCCGGAAGTATATTTTCCTCCATCCAAGGCCAATCTAGATGCGATTTCTGTGGCCTTTAAATGTGCTTGTGAGCGAGCATTTTCAATCTGTCGTTGTTTGATTGCTTCTTGAAGGTTTTCCTCTTGTGATTCCATTTTCAGAATATCTTTGACTTGATGCAATGTTACAGATTCTCTATAGCCGAGTGAAACAATTTCATCAAAAGCAAATGTAAGGTCAAAGGCATTGGAAAGAATTATTTCTTCATTAAGTCCTGCTCCTGAGTTTCTTTGGTTGCTAAAGCAAATATCTTTAATCTAAATTATTAATATTAATGGAAACATAGAATTCATTCGGATCCGATTGTTATAGGTGGTCATAAATGATGATAGCGATTCAATAGAAAATTTAAATGTTTCGGATGAGTATACAACAAGCAAACAATAATAACGTACAATTCTCGAAAATAGTTGTAATGTTTCTAAATCTTCTACAATATTACTCGTTTTTGTAGTGATCAAAACAAGAAATAATTGATCCAGTGATTGATAAACATATCGAACTGAATCAGTCTCCACAAAGGTGTGTTGAGACTTGGGATCCATCAATTTTGGGAAAGCACTCAACAAACCCTCCAATCTAACTCTTGATATATCACGGTATTGTCTTGCAACAAGAGGCTTGCCGACCTTTGAAATTACACTCACAGAAATGACGACCATGATGGAATTGGTGATGATTGAATAAAATTTTTTTTGAATGTATGACGTGGTTGTGCTATCGCACAGTCGTGGTGATTGTCAAAAGACTTGTTTATTGAGGACAATGGCATCAATTAAGTATTCTCTGATATCCTTCCATGTCACCAATTCTTTGTAAAATTCCTAGTATTGTGTTTTTTAAGACAACATCAGTGTCATAAAACTGTTGGAACGTTTTGTCTCGAAGACTTTTTGGTAGACATTGTGTCAACGCTTCTCTAGCTTTGGTGTGATCTGATAATCTGTAGTAACATCTAATAATGTGCTTTAAAAGTCTAAAAGATGGATTATCGTTCACCATGTTTCCGAAAACTGTACAAACAGCATAAAAACGCTCAGGGGTGGCGCAAATGTAATTCAAACCTTTTTCAAAATGCAGAATCTTTTGGATAATAAATGTAGCTACTGTTTGCGAAAGCTCAGTTCCACTCTCCATAATACGGAGACAAAGAGGAATAATTTCAGTTGGAAGTAAGAAGTTAATGACATCATCCTCATCAGATTTAACCAGTGCACCTATCACACCTAGAGACGTTAATCTTAAATATTCGAATGACTTGCTTTTAGCAACCGTGTTTAAGAAGGGATACATGAACAATGGGATATGGGCTAAACAATTTAGATGATAAATACAAGGTAATAAATAAATTGTTATCAAGAATCGGAGCATAAAAACAGCCGTTAGATCACATAAATATAATAATGATCAATTCATACCATTTAGAAAATAGGGTCGTGTTTCCGGATGAGAGGCCACACATTGCAATAACGCAAGTGCGTTACAAACTCTGTTGGAAGCAGAAGAGGTGAGTGTTGGTGGATCTAAAAGATCATACACTGAAACAATTTCCTGAAGCAAGACAGACATAACACCTGTTGAAAACCACAACACGGGAGCAAGATGAGGAAACGAGTCTCTTCGTTTTGATAATTCAATTAGAGCGTTCTCTCTCATTCCATGATTGAGTAAATCTACAATGTATTGCATCAATTCCGCTTCAGAATTTGCGTTTGATGGATTTTGTTGGGGGAATCCTTGGTGATGGAGGTCGAGCATTTTTTAAAATAATTTTCAATTCATTAATTAAAAATTTACTTCAAACAAACCACTCAGTGGATCATCTTACATAATGGGGCGAACACACTCAGAAATTTATGGATTTGTTGGATGGAGCGTTACATTTGCCATCCTCTTCTTGTATTTCGTTTATTCCTTTGTTCCCGAAACTTGGTTACATCAAATCGGAATCACCTATTATCCCGATAAATACTGGGCAACTAGCGTTCCTGCTTTTCTTTGCATGATATGGATGGCTGGGTTCTTTCTTAATTACTTTTACTTACACTATAGTGCATATCCATTAGATGACATCCGATGCATTCAGGACGAAAAAACAAATTATTTGAAAAGAGAACATGTCATGGTTGGAGCCTTTGCTCCAGAGAGTAGTTCATCAAACAAGAATAGTTCACCGAAACTTGACACACAAGACGAAATTATTCTTGATGAATATCCTACAGTTCCTATTGTGAGAGACATTCCACTGGATATTGTGAATGAATTGTTGTTTGAAAATTAATTTGAGATCAAGTACTTGTCATCATTAATCAACCGAGAATTTTAGTCAACCCATCATTTACAATCCAAGAAGTTTCTTCTTTTGTTGTTGAAATTCAGTTTCTGTAAGAATTCCACGGTCTCGCAATTGCCCTAGCTTTTCAAGTTGTGCATAGACATCTCCAGCTGATTCGGTTGTTGTTCGATTGGATGTGTCAACACCACTACTTGTGCCAGAAGAAGGAACCGAGTACGTGGTAGTTTGTGGATTAGACTTTGAGAGGTATCTTTTCTGCCCAGTTTGTGGATCAACAACAAACCCTGCTTGATGCTGAGATCGAGATTCATTTCCTCCTGTTGCAGTTTTCACAACTTGTGTAGTTCCGAATTTATCATCAGCTTTTCTTTGAACAATTTGAAGACCTTTGCCCTCTTCACGTTTAATGAGTATGAATGGACCCTCTTTTTCAACATTAAAAGGTTGAACTGTATCAATACCTCTAATTGGAATCAAAATTCTCACATTGACTTTGCTGAGAGAAGACACATCAACTTGTTTGGCAACGTGACGTTCCATTGTAGTGATGTCTTGGGTAGTTTTGACAACTACACTTTCTTCTCCCGATGATGTGATCACAGACAACTGGAATGGGAAGGGATCACTGGCATTGATTCCTTCAAGGCAAAATGTTAAATCGACTTTGGGCATTTTTTTTGATTGAACATCAATGATGAAACTTGACAACCTTGAGCTTTATTGAAGACTCATCCATGTCAAGTTTCATCCTTAATGATAATCCATGTCAAGTCATCCTTAATGATATCCTTTCCTTTGCATGTTGTCATTTCACTCGTTCCCTTAATTTCAAAATATTCAGCTACTTCTTGCATTGGGAAACTAAACAAAGCTCTGATTTCGTTGGATATGATGCGAGAGTGTAATACGAGCATAACCAAAGAACCAATTTGATCCATATGATTGATATGTGAAATGGAATTCAGTGCACAGGTACTTGGAGGAAGGACGAGTTTGCTCTCTTCTCACTGAATTTTGTTCTATTTCCTGCTACCTCATTGATGAGAATGAAAGGAATGGATTGATTTCTAATCGTTGAAGGTTTCTTGGTGATTCCTGTGCTTACTCTTTCTGTTTGAATACGTGGACTCGTACGCTCGGGAGAGGAAGCAACAGAAGAAAGAGAAAGCGCGAAATCTGAGCATGTTACGGAAGTCGGTGAATCTGAGATATGAGTTTCAATATCAGCATTAACTTTGGTGGAGGCATCTCCCTCTGCTTCCATGTGTGTGAGAGTATCATGATGGAAGGGTTCCGAAATCGGTGTGGCATCATTAATGACCACCTCTGAATGAGAGCACAAGCTTGCACAACTGCCCATAGTCGATTGTTTGTTTTTTTCAATGCTTTATGTGAGGATTTGCTTTTGCCCTTACTGTTTTTATGCTTAGACTATTCCAAATCAAATCAATCGTCGCGTGGATGGATGCGTTGGACACATTTATGCGAAGACACTAACGCATCAACGGATTCATACAAAGATTCGAGACAAAGATAGACATAACACTCAAACAGAATGATCCTCAACACCGTTGATCCACGCTTTTATCCAGCGCTTAAACACTCAGCCACAGCGAAAATTCTGAACGTGGCCAGTGGGAATCTCTCTCGGCGTGGGGACTGAGAATCTTGAATGTGGCTCAGATAACGCATGGGCAAACGACACATTTGGTTTTTCTCAAATTTGGATCAACCAATCCCCAAAGCTCAATTACAACCGCGATAAAATTAATCCAAAAAAAACGTGCACTTGATATCAACACGACACTGTTTCATCAACGGACATCTTGTTTGAACTTTGCCAAAGATCTCTTCACACGAAACGAACAATTCATACGTGTGACCAACAAACAGCAACATCGTTTAGAAGACATTATGAACCCTCATCAGCAACAACATTATCATCATTTTGCAAACAATGGTATGATGAATTACGCAAAATCATACCCTTCCGGCTTTCCTCAATACTATCACGGAAATTCAGAAAATGGTATGAACGATATGACAAATCCTTCTCATCTTCACAATACAACATATGGAAGTTTGTCATCAAATTACTCCTCCTCGTCCACTCAACCCCATCCAACCATGTATTCCCAACAAAACAACAATTCAATCATGGGATATCATCATGTTCATTCAGCAGGTTCGATACCTACGACGACATTGGGTAGGTCGAACAATAGTCCGTTACCTCGATCGTTATCTCCATCACCATCACCACCAACGACCTACTATCATCATCTTGGACCACAACAACATTCATCTCTGCATACCAACAACAACAACAACAACACCTATCATAATAGTACCAATCCTAACCGTAACCAACACAACACGAATAGCAACTATCAGTCCTTCAGTGGATCCCAAGGCTTGGATCCAATGGTTGGATCGTTCCAACCATTTACATCACCTTCCGCACTTCCACCCTTCAATAATTATTATAATAATACAAATGGTACAAGTGGAGAGAGTGTAATGAATAGTAGTAACCATGTAACGCAAAACTCTCATCCGCAATTTTCAAATAGGACCTATAATGATGGAGGATCAAATTCTCAACAATTGCAACACAATCCAACAATGAATTCAACCTCCGCACCTGCTGTATCGAGAAAATCTTCATCCGCATCATCAACACAGAATCCTTCTCCAACAAAGTTCATCCAAATGCAAGTACCAGGCACAACCACTCAAAAAGAGTCCTCCTCTCCAAGTTCCCTTAAGCGAGCCTCTCCATCCTCAACCTCTAAAAACGTCACCCAACCATCTTGTCAGCAAAATGTTGTTGATCATGTCGATTCAATGGAAAGTGACGAAGACAATGTTTCTGCGTCCTCTCCTCGTAGTTCCAATAATGGTAGACGTACTAAAAAGAGCACTCGAGCTTGTGAAGCTTGCCGAAAGCATCATAGAAAGTGTGACGGTGCCTCTCCTTGCAAAACATGTGTTAGCAAAGGAATTGAGTGTATTTATACAGAACGAAAAAAGAGAGGACCTAAAAACGAAGCTTCCAAACTTCTTAAAAAAGAAATTGAGGAGTTAAGGGAACAACTACTTCAGACTCGTGAGCAACAGAAAGCATGGGAACAACGCTATAACGAATTGCTAAGATCGTCCTCAACGGGACAGCTTCCAGGTTCAGCCTTTATGGCTTTCCACCACGAGCAATCTGCTTGTGGTACCACAAACTCTCAATCCATTCCACCATCATCTAACAGTTCAAACCTATCTGTGATAGGTAACACGTCACAACCACTAACAGAGAATAATCCTCGGCATTACCCTCAACAGGCATTCAATCCTTCCATGTCCAACTTTACAGAGCAACAACAATTCAGCCAATTCCAAGAATTAGCATGGAACTCAAACACATCCAATTCTAAACCTGTCCAAATGTATTCCACCTCAGCTTCATTTGAAGATTCTCTGAACAAGAAGAGAAAATGCGAGGATGAAACAAATATTGAAGAAAACTCAACCAAAAAAGTCAAGAAAGCTGGAGATGTTGACGCAGCAATTGAAGAATTGGATCTAACAAACACGAATGCAATGAGCCCAATGCGTTGTGATGGTCATCATTTTGCTCTATGCTCCATGGTTACCCGTTTTGTTACTTTTTGGGATAAGTTTGTTCATCCATTTCATTCTCTTTTACCAATGAAATGGCAGTCAGCCATGCCTGATCTGCTATTCGACATTATTCGAAGTGACGGACATAATTCTGAAAACTCTCTATTTATGTATAGCTTGCTTTGCAACTCAGCCAGATCGATTGGTGATGTTTCACTCAGTAGAGATCTTCACCAACGAGCTATTCAGTTACTGCCACTTCATTCTGAAAGCTGTGATCCACGAGTTGGATTTTCTTTAGTGTTACTGGGCTATTATAACATGTCTGTGGGCTCATTGAAAAAAGCTCTTGAATATTCAAAGAATGCTCTCCAAGTTGCTTATGCATCAGAAAAACCTCCAGAAAATCTCATCATGAATGCATACCTTGCAATTGCGTCAATATCTGATGACTATGAAGAAAGAAAGAGAAACTTCAAACTGCTTGCAGGAACAGGATCTGTGTGTGATGTCTTGATGGGTGTGTCTGGTGATGTCCAAAACGAAATTACTCATGGTGGAAATAACAATTACAAGGATCTGATCACAAGAATGGCAGATCTTCTTCGCTTGAAGAATTTATCTGCCACCAATGTCACTCTTATGCATGAAGTTGGATTGTATGGCATTTTAGTGCTATGTTTACACAAGGCCTGTTATAGAGATTTGGCAATCAGTTACGGCAGAAAATTGTTGGATCTCTCCAAAGATTCCAACTTTAAGCATTGTTGTATTGGTACAACATCCAGTGCAATTGCTCAGGCAGCTAGCATGTTTTTAGACTTCGAATGCTATCCTGAATTTTATGAATGTATGACTATTATGGATGAACTCTCGTTGCGCTTTGAGCTAGCTGGAATGATGAAATCAAATGTTCAAGAACGATTTACCTTTGTCAGTAATCAACTTGCCCTTAGCTCTAGTGGTAGCAGCAACTCTTCCCTTAGCCCAGGAAATTTTGGAAATATCTTTTAGAATAAAGTCATTGTGATTTAGTACCGTTGAAACTTTAAATGGAAACACAGGTAGACAGCGAGGAAATAGTTTTCGACAAACCAAACGTTTTTCAAGTTCAGGACATGTTTACTACAAAAATGCATTCTCTGAGAAGATTCCTCTGAAAATCACACCAAATGACGCTCTGTCTGTCAATTTTTGTTTCAACTCCTTATTTAACTGATCACAGTTCTTAATTTTAAGATAATGAAGGGTAGTGTTTTTTGTAAGACTATCAATCGTTGCATATGTTAATGGAATGCTAATTACGCTCAATTGCCTCAATGTTTTGTTTTCTTCTCCAATAACTCTAACTACTTCTTCTCCTCGTAATGCGTCAATGCTGATATATATAAGTGTAGTGTTGTATCTCAACAACTTTAACGACTCATCAGTGATGTTGTTCATTTTCACTTTGAGCTTTCTGATTTGTTTGTTGGAAAAGAGTGCTTTGGCTCCAATATCGCTGATGTTACACATTGTTAACCCAAGCTTAACCAATGAGGGAGGAAGGTTGCGAAGTAAAAACATAACTCCAGAATCACCAATAGCCTCATTCTCATCTAGCTTCAAATGGCGAAGACACTTGTGATTTCTCAATGCGGTGGCTAGTTCAGTATGATTGTGTTTACAAGCAATCCGTGTTTGTTTAACTTTAAGGGCCTTAAGGTTGACACCTTGTTTTAACATCAGAGCCAAATATGAGTCATTGGCTTCCTGAAACCCGTCCAACTCCAGAAATGTCAAACTAGAAAGGCAAAAAGCTCTGCAGGTTTCGAAATTAAGGGAGCAATAATCACTAAACCCGTCGATAACAAACTTTTGTAAACTTTTTAGCATGGAAAAATTGGTAAAACCTGTACTGTTCATATGAAAGGAGTCACATCCTCCAATGATGAGGTTCTGTAACAAGTCCATTCGTTCAGATATAAGTTGAATGTCCTTATTCTCAAGATTAATGTCTGAAAATATCAGTTCTCTGATTGATCTACTGCTTGATACAGATTCTGCTACAGTCTCTCTGTTAGGAGCAATGAAACAGTTAGTAAGTGAGAGTTTTTTCAATGAAGTATTATTTCTAAAAGCTTCACACGAGACATTATCATCAGAAAACTGAAATCCAAACAAAGCAATCTTTTTAAGTGATTTCGACTGAAGTAAATCTTTCATATTGAGTTCATAGTATCCAGAGGTGCATTCAAGGTGTAATTGTTGAAGATGCTTATGCGCAGCTAGTCCTTTCACACAAACATTGTATTCCACAACATGTTCTTGTGAGAAGGAGTGTTTGAGAATTTGAAGTTTGGGAAAACTGGTACAGGCATACAATAAAGAAACGGCATCGGTTGCTGTTTCCAGAAGATTTAAATAAGTTAAGTTGGGATAAGGGTAGGCACCGTGCATTTGTTCAATGGTAGGTAAGTACTGCTTAAAACCAGCAGCAGAGAAGTTGTGATTCTTACTGAAATCAAGTGTTTTCAAGCTATTATGTTTGAGAGTTTCTATTCCTTGTTTAGCGACTCCAAAACATTTCATTTCTTCACCACTTAGGTTGCAATCAGAAAATTTGAGAGAAATGAATTTTCTGCATCTAAACATTAAACGCTCAAGATTGTCAGTAAAACGAATGGATTCTAAGGGACAGTGTGTGGAGGATGAAGTGTTCAAGCGATGGATAGGTGATGTAGATAGAGATCGAAATGATGTGGACGTACCAGTACGATGATGTGGATGAGCCATCATGTTACCATTGCTGTCACTTTCAGACTGCTCTTCAAAGTGGTGGTGGGCAGGGTCATGACAATATGTTGTAAAGTCCAAGCAAGGAAACAATAAATGGATTGTTCTTGTAGAATCGTGAGTGAAATATCCAAACAGAATTCTCATCAAGTGTGCTCCTAGTTTACAAGAGTGCTCTAACTTGGACATGTCAAATGGTTGTGGTAATTCTTTAAACTCCACATATTGAAGAATGGGTAGCTCAACAAAATGTAAAATCAACAACTTGATGCAGTATGGAAGACTTTGAGCAAGATGACCCAAAGTAGTTAGCTTGAGTTTCTTGTGAACTCTCTCCATACTGCTTGGACTGTCACAATTCGATCGAGACGAGGAAGATGAGAAATTGTTGTTGTTGGTAGGTTGGGAAGATGAAGGTTGAGAGGATGATGATACATTGGAACAACTCCCGTAGAGTGAACCAGGCTGAGTTAAGGAACAAGAAGTGTTACATGTTAAATTATGGTTATTGGGAGAAAGTGAAGGAATCGTCTTTGGTGAGATGGCTGATGCATTACTTGTACAATTACTTATTGAGGAAAGAAAAGTATTCGAGCTCGTCTGAAGGAGAGATAGGGCAGTCGTTGAGGGTACAGTTACAGAAATGGTTAACTGAAAAGGATTTCTAATTAGTGCGGAGGGAAGAACTGTGGTTGGAGATGAGCACTTTGGATGATTACTACATCCATTGCTGCTATCAAAAAGAGTTGTTGTTGGGAGAGAGGTAGACTTTATGATCTGCCTCAAAACAGCTTGGTATTGTTGCTGAAAAAGGGATGGGTTGACCTGAAAATCATGTAAAAGTTTTGTTGTGGGACTATTCAAAAAAGAGTCATTTTCCAACTTGTTGTTATTACTGTTCAGAGAGGTCATAGTTTCATGTTCAACCGTAGTAGTGGTGTTGTTGGTGCTGGTACTTGTTGGTGCATTATTGCTCGGATATGAATTGCTGGATGCAGCATAATTTTCATAACTTCTCTTCATTTTCAAATTACTAGAGTAACGGGAGTTAAAAGAATAAAGAGAAACGAAAACGATTCAAGATGAAGGAAGGGCAGTGATGAAACAATAAAGAGCCCGCACAAGCTTCTAAACCGCTGCGAAAAATTGGTGAGGTTCGGACCGAATTTTTTTTCTGATTGGTCTAGACTCATTGGCAAAGGAGTCTGCGAGGTCGCACCTCTGGATGCTGCTGTTTCCTTTGATCAAGAAACGACCAGAGAGAAAATTTTCAGTTGGGAGCAGGTGGAGGGTTGTTCTTCATTGATTTGGTAAAAAGACTACTTGGACAGATGGAACGTGTTTGCACGATTTGACAACCAACCACAAAAATAATGCCTTTCACCTCTCTCCGCCAAATCTTTTCTGGCTGTCTCACTCTTTTTTCAACAGGAGGACCAACACTCTATGGACAGATTACCTTTGCAGTAATTGGAGCATACTCTGTGAATGTTGCATACAAAGGAATTAAGAATGTTTATTTAAAAGTGTCAGACCGCTTAGAGGAGGCAGAGAAGTTGAACAAGGAAAAGCTATCAATCACGCAAGCAGTGACTCCATACAGATTTCCGACTGCTAGACCTCCCATGATGAACGCTCCTTTTCTCGAACAACAAGCCAAGAAAATGATTTTACAACAACAGCAAAACAAATCACCTTCTGAATAATGGGAATAATTAACCAATGTTAAACAACAATTTATTCGTGTGATTGGAGGATAAGATTTTAATTTAAAATATGATGATGGCCAAACTTCAAGGCTTTCTTGTCATGATGGTATGAATGTTCCAAAGTATTTGAATTGTAGTGGAGTCTGATTCGATTTGGAATGCCTTCATCAAGTCCAATTTGAAATTGTTGACAAGTTGCTGCTTGGCTTCATTCCCATTCTTCTTTCCATAGAGCTCAATGGCTGACCAAGTGCTCACATACGAAATGTATGCAGCTAAGGGCATTTGCTTCCGATAATCAATAATGGTTCTCTTGTGGTGTTGTTGAAATGGCATTTCGTTTTCAATGGTTCGATACATGTCATCTACATGCTTTCTTCTTTCTGGCCAGTAGCCACCATTCCACATGACTTCCTGATAGAATTGATTTAGCACTCTTGTTGCTTGCTCGCCGTGTTCACCTTCAAATGTATTAAGCGTGTAAGTCCAAGCCGCAAACAGACCGTTTTTGCTTAAAAGTTTCTCGATTTGATCGAAGAATACAGGAAAGTTAAACCAATGAAGTGATTGGGCAACAATAATCAAATCAAACCGATTTTCAAATGATTCTATGTTCTCACCGGGAAGAAGTGGATTTACAGTGTTTTCCTTTTCAATTGTTTCAATAAGATTTTCATCATTACCAACCAAAAATCGATAAATGTTAGCACATTGACTTGAAGATTGTTTTTGTTTGGCTTGTTTGATTTGCCCTTCACTTGGATCAATTCCAACTACTAATTTTGCATCCCGTCCGAGCACTTCATTGAGAGTTGCTTGTCCAGAACCACATCTAGAACCATTATTATTGGCGGCTCATATACTGCTTCAGAACCATTGATACCTACCCTACATCAAGTATGCACAATTTTCTGTCATTGGATTTTCCATCAGACTCCTCTTTGAGAATAGAATCAAAAAGTTCTTGTGGGTAATCAGGTCTATACTGCGCATAAAGTTCACTATGTTTTTCTCCTTTGAAGAGATCAGTATTTGCAACCGATGTTGTTGTTGTGTTAATCATTCGGTACGTCCTTCTCACAAAAGAAAAATGATTCTTGTGTTTTTTAAAGAGAAGGGTTGATGATCTTAATTTTTGTTTGAACATTTTATTTGATTGGCCCCAATCAAAAAGCTCATTGAGCTCTATCCACAAGGCCTTTGGTCCAACCAAATTATTAATTTGAATTTCGGATATGACCTCTATTTCTTCTTATTAGATTTACAATTAACATGTCCACACGCTTTACATGTTCGAACTTGTTCACTTCCATTATATTTCTCAATAACAGGAATTAATTGTTTTCCCAAATCATAACAATAAAACGTCTCCTCGTAAACAATGGCCTGACATTTTTCACAATACCATCTTAAGGCATCAAGACTATCTTTTGGACGCTCCATTTCAATGACGAGACCAACTGTATTTTCAAATCTTTGAGGACTGTGAGGAATGCCACCTATTCCAAGAAAATTCAAAGATCAACATGATAACGATTTTACAACAACAAACACAGCCATACGTACCAGGTAAGACAAACATTTCTCCTTCCTTGATATGAATATCTTTAAATTCATTGCCATTCAATACCACTTTCAAAATCATGTCTCCCTTCATTTGATAGAAAAACTCTTCAGTGAGATTGTAATGGTAGTCAGTTCTTTCATTGGGACCTCCCACAACCATAATTTTAAATTGTCCTTTATCAAACAACATTTTGTTTGAAACGGGAGGAGTTAATTTACTCTGATTTTCAGCAAGCCACTCAGAAAAGTTGATTTTGGCATGATCGGGAATTGGAAAAGAAGTAAACGTTTGGGATGATGATTCGGGATCAGTGTTTGATGATTGCATTTTTTATTTTGCCTTTTTCAGAGTTGACTGAGATTTCGTTGAGAAAACTCGAATGGGAGAAGCTTTCGTCGAATTCCTTGTAGTTAGTTACATACGGTCGAGTCACGAGTTATTGAGATCGTTCATCACCCATGAGTTTTTTCACTTGTTGCCATTTCTTAGTGGGTTGTCCCTCGATAAAAAATTTGTTTTATTCTACCAAGTTGGGGTATTGTGTATCTACAATGAGGTTGTGGATGGCTGCAATGATCCACACCATCTTTTGGTGATGTATCACACTACCTTTCCATGGTATTGCTAGGACACGAAAGTTGTTCGCTATTTGAGAAAGTTCCGTTTCCACAAGCTTTCTTGTAGCCCTTTGTTGCTTATTCTTCTTAACATCTGTATCAGGGTTCCAGTCCTTTTGAGTTTCACGCTTAGGACATACCCATCCAACCTTTTTGATTTTTCGTTTGACTGTCCTATAATAATCATCTGCCATCACAACATCACCCTCTTCCAAAGAATTTTCAAATCGAGTTTTGTCTCTAATAATTCCATGACCATCGTACTCTGTGGGAGGCCGATACTTGGAAACATATCCAATGCGATAAAGGAAGTCGCACGCAAAATGGTACCGTAGGGCATGATGGTGATTTTTCAATTTATGTGACCTCCACATATCACCTCGCTCTGTATTTTTCTCTTTCCGCTTGTTCAAATTTTTGAGTTTCATGATTTCTGTCACAGCTTTTGGTATGTCAATAGAGTCAAGTGCAACAGTACATTTGTGAAGCCATTTGGCTCTCGTTCTTCTTCGGATTGCTCTTTTTCTGATTGCTAAAGGAAAAAATTTAATTTCATTCTTGATATTGGTATACAGAATAGAACGCAAGATAGTGATTGCTCTACTGATATTTGAATGAGGGATATGAAATTGTATTTCCATTTTGATGAACGAGTCACCATATGTAATATCCCTTTCATTACTCAGCCGTACCACCTATGTTTTGTAAACTCTTGGATGAACTTGTAAAATTCAAAAAATTGAAAAAGGTCCCTCACGGTCCGACTGTGTCGAACTAGGAAGTGTGAAAGATGATTTCCCACTTCCCAAATTTAATGTTTGTTGTCAACATAAAACAAACGCAGTTGGTACCTTGGTTTGGTGTTAGCCGCACCTACAGTAAAGCAACTACTTCCTTCCAGCTCCATTTCAATTCAATACGAATTCACCAAGCTTTTAAACTCGGGCTGAACCTGAAGACGCGCGTTAGCACTGAACTACAGGAAGCGGATGAGAGCATGGTGTTGGAGACATGGTTGGCATTAAAAAAAAGTTTTTAGGTGTGACTTGTGTCAGATTATCGAAGCCAGTCTTTTAGACTCGGGGCTGAACCTGAAGAAGCGCGTTAGCACTTGACCGCAGGAAACCAATGAGAGCACTAGCTTGAGGGAATCTGACACACGTCACAGAATAAATGTATATCAATTTATATTCCTTGCAAACTTCTTGTTGCATTCTTCTCAAACATTTGATTTTTTCTTTTTTTTGATTTCTCTATTAATCTATGTGATGTCATTGATTTCTTCCTTTTCTTGGATTCCTTGGTTTCGGCTGATGAATTATTGTTCGTAGAACTGTTCAGTTTTTTAACGCTCAGCAGATTCCTTCAATGTTTTAATATGATATTGTTGCGTAATTCTTTAAAGTTCCGCAGCTCATCTTGTGACAGTATGATGATTTGTTGCTCCGATGATTTTGTTTGTTGAATTTCATCCGAAGGTAGTTGTTGTGATTGTTGTGGTAAAGTAGTATGATTATTATTAATTATTTGTGATGATTGCTATGATAACACAACCGAGGTGAGACGTTAATTTTGTTGTGGCCCGCTTATTTTTTCGTTAATTTGACAAACAATTCGCAGGGAATGTGCTTGGGACCAACGGAAGAGTGAGCAACACCATCGTGAATGGTTGTACACAAATCCTCTGATAGATCTATCTCGAATTTCCCTTGGTTGTAAGATATCACTTGAGAACGGGCCGCGAATGGTTGCACACAAACCCTCTCATCCGCGTCGTGCTGCCATTCTTGTTTTAGCGTGACTCACGAAATACAAAAATAGGCGTGGGAACTTTATATTTTATTTTTAAATTTGCTGCTTTTTGATTGGATGCAGGAAAGAGATATAATACAAGAACAATAATACAACTTGGCGAGCAGTTAACATTCCATAAAATATTTCATTACTTGGACGCTGTACATATTTGATGACCTTTTTGATCACACTTTCCGGAATCTTCTTTTGTACTAATTCAACCAATGTTCTTTCATGTGATGATGACAATGGTTCGACATTTCGTTCATTAAAGACTGGCAAGGATTTTGTCATTTTTTATAGAGGGACAACCCACTTAAATTCTAAAGTTAATTCAAGTCTGGAATATGTATCAGACATGTTTTTCACCACCTCAAACATCAAAATATCTTGCAATTTAGAAGGTGAAATATATCCATTCCTTTTAGAGTTTGTCGCAATCGTTTGAGAGAGATCTGAAGCAGATGAAACACTCATATCCACTACCACCTCCATTTCTTTGGAATCACCTTGTTGAAGCGTCTGACGTCGATAAAGCGCTGGATCCTCTTGCTTAAATTCGTTCATTAACGCAACATATTGCTTCTTGACATCTGATGGTAAATTCACTTCATGTTCAGATCTACTTTCAATATATTTCGAATATATTTTCTCAACTTCTTGTTCACTACATTTTCCTTTCCTAACAAGAAATTCCATCTCCTCATACAATAACAAGTTTTCTAATGAAAATTCATTGATACTATAAGCACGAAACATCTCTCTAAAGGATGAGTCCATCAAATTCAATTCCAAATCATTCTGAGGTGGAGTACTAGCAGTTGTAGAAGATCCAGAGCAGCACAAATAATTGTATAATTTGGTTCCTCTCAATTTGTTCCACCAATACGCAAACGTTACAGTTCCTCCAATGACAAAGTAAAAACATATAAAGTACATGACAGAGGCTACCTTTCTTACTAAAAAGAAAGGAAATGAATCTTGAAAGGATCCAACACAAAGAGGAATGACACTCAGCAACATGATACTCATCAACAGAATGTCCACTCGATAGTAAAAAGGATCATCAAAGAACAAGTAGTAGGATAATCCTTTTTGCCGAATAGTTCTGTATCCAGAGGTTGTTAAATCAAAGAGAAAGAACATTCCAGCAAAAAGTAACATAAATCCAACTTCTAAAGCAAATAATATGATAAACACTTCATGAGGTGTTGTAATGGATGCTAGAATGAACGCAATACTAGAAGCTGAAATAGGAATTAAGCAAATAAGAAATAGAATTAAGGTCGAAACACATGAGAGAAGTACAGAACAGCAGGATGATGTGAAGCAACTTTTCAATATGAGAGGAGTTTTACAACTTGCCACTGAGTTCGAAGGTTTTCTTTTCTTTTTGAAGAAGCGTTGATTTTTCAGGTACGCAAATCGACACAAGGACACCCAATAGGATCCAATGAGGAGAGGAGCTATTTCATTCAAATTACAAAGGTTATTCCTTGAATTTGCGAACTGAAACTTACCTGGTCCAGAAACAATGACCATTTGAATCCAAAATCCCAAAGCACCCATTTTTGCTCGAATTGCAAATGTGAAACACAAGCTCAGTAAAATCAATGCTAAGGGACCAACCAGAGGTAGAAATATTCTCTTCTTAATAAATAGAGAGCTTTTGAAAATATAACTAATAATATTTGCCAAATATATCAAGATGCCAATGACAACCATTGAAAAATAAACCACATCGTTGGCAACAATTTCAAAGAGGCTATCACCAATAATTCTATAAATTTCACCATAATCGTTGTAATAGGTAAAACATGCTGGATGGACCATGGCTTGAAACACACCCACTAAATGGCGTGAATTCAGAGAATTATACAAGTGGTAGAGTTCTTTGAGTGTTAAATTGTAAATCTGAATTTGTTGAATAGAATGAATTGTGGAAGCGTTGAATAAGGCAGAAAGATAGGTATTGAACTTTCCCTTAAATACTGATCTTCGAGTGGCTTCATAGTAAAACGAAAAATCTACATTCATATCCATATGATCATGAAAGCTTGACTTAAATTGATATTTTGAAAAGTCTGTACTTCCATTGTCAAATATTGATTGATTATTATCAGCATTATTTTTGAATTTCACATAATAATACAAATAGGCGTCGATACGATGCAAAGCTTCATGATAATTACTTCTTTCAGTTTTGTTTTGAAATATTGGATGACAAAACGAAGCAGTTGAATTTTCCAAGTACACTATGTTAGAGATGTTATTGTTCATTGCGGAAAATCCCAATCCAATGCCATAGGTTAAATAAATATTGTATACTCTTTCAAAGGTCTTTAAATCATTGTCTATTAGTTGTTCTAAAAATTCAATCATCTCTTCTCGTGCATTTGGATCAATCTTTTCAATATCCTTCACATATTGGAAAGAAGATGGCTTTTCATACATGGATTCATACGCAAACGTATCATGAAAAGCAAAATTCCAAGCTGAAAGACGTGATGTTTTGCTCACTATTGAATTTTTCAAAATGACTAGTAAAGGTTCCATCATGTTCACAGGTGAAAACATTATAGTTGGAGATTTTCCCAGTACAAGGTATGAATAATGATAGGTATCTAGAGGCATTAAATCTTTGTAAATGGAATTGGGAGAGGAACACACCTTGGAATTATTGGAGAGAAATGGTTGTAATATTTCGACTTGAGAGGCATTGAATTTTGGATTCAAATAATATGAGGTATGTGCTGTTATGCATTGCATGTAAAAGGAAGTATCAGTGACAAAGGATGCAAAATCATGTAAAAAGTGGTCAATTCTACCATCATTCGTTGATGAAGACGTATGGTTAGTGGTCTCTATAAAGGAGAGTTTATTGATGAGGACCGTATAAAAGGATGGGATATTGATGATGGTCAGAGAGGTGGAATTGAATGGAAGGACATCTTTAGAGTCGAAAATGAGTGAAGAAGGAGTATTGGAGGAATTGGATGTTCCTGCAATAAAGAGTAGACTCACCACAAAGATATATAACCAATGAGCACAGAGAAAGCAGTACTTTCGAAGTAGCAGTGGTGGCAGCGGTGGTGGTGGTGGGCTCATTCTTTTTTGATTGAGAGCTAACGAGTACTATTATCTCGTCCTTTTTTAACTTGACCATGGCCCTCACAACCTGTCGGGTCCTCCCTAACAAGAGGATAACTTGGAGCAAATGGAAGCGCAACGGAATGTCCTTTTCCTTCCAAAGCAGCTAGTCCTCGCAACATGTTGATTTTCGAACAAATCTTGCAAGCTCTGGGACTGCAAGGAAGACAGTGTCATGACAAGCATACAGACCCTTAAACTTTAATGTGACCCCATCTTCAACACCCATCAATATTTCAATAATTAATACATATCAAACTCAACAATCTTGATTTTATAATAACACACAATTATTGAAATATTGATGGGTGTTGAAGATAGTTATCCATTGATAGAGCTGCTTCGGTGGGCTCACATTAACGGCCGTCCAATCAAAAAGCTGGAGTCACATTACTTAAACTTCCATGTTCCGTTACTACCCTTCTGTCAATGCATAGAAATGGTCCATGATGAAAATGCCAAATGTCCATAAATGAATGCATTATCAAAATAACATTCATACCGACAAAAAGGAAGGGCAGTTTAGATTCGAAATGTTACACGAATGACCAACAGGATTCCAAACGTTATAATCTTCTCACCATTACTTTGATTGTCTGAAAAAGGAATTTAAATTTCATTCAAATCCGACCCAAATAAAACTCTCACAAAAAAAACAATTCAAAAATGTCGGATTTAGATCAACCCTTCAACCCCAATCATTCTGCAACTGAGACTCATTACGTTCCTGCTACGTCTCGATCGGGTAGTACTAACGAAGTCTTACCACCTCAACCAACCAATGTGGGTGGTAATGTACACCAGCATTCCATGTTTGGATCAGATCGATTAAAACAATGGAAAATAGCTTGCACAATTACTTCTATTGTGGTGACTATTTTAGGTAAGTGAGAGGAGTGGTGTGTTAAAATAACAAACTCGATGAACAATTTTGAATTACAATTACATACATGAATGACGTGTCATTTGGTGTGTGTTCCTATCATGACCATACACTCACCTTTGAAACATTTTCACATGATGATGATGATGATTATATTACTCTCACCGATTCTAATTAACTTTTCTCACCACATGATTGTTGTATATTCATTCACTCGTGTCACACATCTCTACCGAATATTTATATAATTAATTTTCTATTATCCACCATGCAACACTCAATCACATACTTCTATAGGTGGTATTCTCACTCTTCATCATTTCATTGCCATGATTGTTTGGTATGCAAAAGGAGTGAATATTTTTGGTACTTCCAATCTCTTTCTCATTCCAATGAATATTATTGTGTTATTGATTGGTGTGGCAGGTGTGATTGGAGTCACTAAAAGTCATTTGGAAGCACTTCGAGCTCATGCTTATGGATGTGTATTTGGTTCAATCTTTTTCTTCTTTGTTTACATGATTCATCAATTACCAAGTTGGTTTTCTGGTTCTGCAAATTCTTCACTTTATTACGATGGTGCTATTTCATTAGTATTTTATGTGTTGAATATTCCAATTGGAATTATTGTTTCTGTCGTGGCTCAGGTCTATATGAGATGTTTAGAAAATGCATTGAATAAGAAAACCAATGTTCAGAGTGGAATGAATAATTTCTAAATACGAGTCATTATGATATTTGAAATTATAACTTCTCTATTGTGTCACATCAAGCAGTGATCAAAACTCTCAAATTGTGTCACATCAAGCAGTGATAAAGTTCAATTTTGTTAAATTTCTTGTGCTTTTGAAGTGCGTTTGTTTTTTCCAATGGTGTTATGTGAATAATAACATTTAAGAGAACACAAGAAAATATTTAATCAAAATGAAACAAGTAGTGTACACAATTTCAGAAAGAACGTGTGATTATTGAAGTGGTTGGTTGACACATGTGAGTGACAATAACCCAAGCTTACAAGCTGAACTATTATTTAAATAATTCCAGTAATTTTCTGAGATGCCTCACGTCTAATGGATGCAACCAAGTAAAGAATTGCTGCCATGACCAATGGACATCCACAAATAGCAGTTTGAACACAAAAGAAACAATACACAGAAGCACTGTGAAAATTTTCAAAGTATTTCCAAGAGTTTCCAATAATATATTTCATGTTCAAAGTATTTCCAATAATATATTTCAATTCCAAGTTCATTGTACCATATCATGGGTTATGTTAAAATAATTCATATCATTTCACATAATAAATGTATCATCCATCATTTGATCATATTTAAGAGAAGGAGGAAGACCACGGACGACAACAACATGTATAGTTCAATAACAATATTTTCATTCTCCTTGTCACACACATAATATGCATTCACAATACTTACACAGCACAAAATATACATTGAACAGGATTATAATTAAAAGCGCTCAATACCATACACACTGCTTTAGGCCATCCTTTTGGTGCCAACACAGCATCCACACTTTTATCGACTTTTGTAAATTCACTGATGAAATGCCAAATATATAAAAATATCGATAACAAGATACAATAAATTCCAGGAGCTAATGCCCATGGAATACTTCGAGAGTAATCTTGAGCCATCGCACATGCAACAATTCCCATAATAAATAAAATATAAATATCTGCATTGACTAAATTTCGAGCGAATGGAGCGAATTGAAGTCCTTTTGTGAGAGATTTGTTGATGGATTCGGGTGCTTTGTATTTGGTTACTTTCTTTTGTTGTTGTTGGCCACTGTTGTTGGCAACTTCGATGGTTACGGCTCCTCCTGATGACATTTTTTTTTAATGATTCAATGACATTTGACAGCCCATCACCTATGCCATTGGTCAGTCCATATCAGTAGAAATTTCTCTACCGCATCATCCATGTGGTATCGTTACAAGTTACACAATATTTGTTGTGTTCAACTCTCTCAATAAATTCATTGTGGTTTGCATCAACTTGTGAATTCAACTGTTAAATAATCATATTGGAACCAATCCAAGCATTTCTCTAATTTTACCAAGCATCAGTTGATGATTGCTCGGAATGGACATACAGATGATTTCATTGATTAAAAGGATTCACCAACAATTAGATTTTTTCAGGGCAACCCAACAGGCAGAATAAAAATGGATTCACAGCAGTGCGTCGTCGATACACAACCTGAGGATCAACATGACTGTCATGGTTCACACACTGCTCGAACAACAACAACTTCCACTACACCACCACCACCCACAATCATCATGAATGACTCACAAGAAGAACTCTTGTCTACAAGTAGAGTTTCAAGTGAACATTCTTCAACGATTCTGCACAATGATGAATCCACCAATAATAATAATAATAATAACAATAACACTCTCATGGTTCCATCTCCTTCCATTATTCCTCCTCTTCCTCCTCATCATCAACAACAACAACAACTGAATGATGTGACATCAAGTCCATTACCATTTACTTCTCATCGGAATGATATTGCTGGTGATGAACATTTGAAGAAAAACATTCATGTCTTTTCAGAACATGTTCGGTCATCGCTGACTATTGACCAATCATTGGATTATAAAGAACTATATTTGAAAGAATTAGAGAAGAACAAAATCATGCAAGTACAATTAAATATCATGCAAATGGAAAGACAAGATGAAATGAGTATTATTCATGAAATTGAAAATGATGGACGAAATTTACATGGATCTATTAAGAAATTAAAACAAATTCACATGTCGAATGGCACCCATCAAGCTATTCTAGAGAATATAAAACGAAATGAATTTTTATTATTTGAAAATGAAATGAATCAAATGTTCGAACAACCATTGCAAGAGTTGGTTCAAAGAATTCACACACTAGAAAAAGAATTGAACTCTATGAAAATTCAACAACCATTCAATGGTAACGTCACAAGTTGTGCCAAATGTCTCGAATTACAAAACAAATCAGCAACGATCATTCAGAAGGCCTTTAGAAGTTATCGATTGAAGAAGAGAATGAAACTTCTCCTTCCACAATATGATATCATCACACAAAGAAATTCACTCATTTCTGAGATTGTTCACACTGAAGAGACGTATGTGAAATCTCTTACCTTAATTCAACGACTCTATATCGATCCACTCAAGAATGCTGATTCTGATGCTAAAAGATTTAATGTAACCATGTTGGACATTCAGAATATTTTCAACAACTTGTCAACCATCTTGTCCATGCACAAAATATTTCTAATGACTCTCAAACAACGACTAGAACAATGGCCCAAAGTATATATTGGTGAAAGTTTTTTGAATCAATCCTTCTTCTTTCTATTTTATGTGGAATATGTGAATGGATACAATCAATCTTCAAATACTTTGAGAGAATTACGACAAAAGAATCGAGAATTTCATTCATTTTTGAATGAAACGAAAAAGAATAAGGAATGTAAAGGTCTCTCACTAGAGTCGTATCTCATCTTACCCATTCAAAGGTATGTACATACCACATTTAGATTCAGCAGCTATTATTAACACCAAGTTGTATGAACTTTATTTTCTATCCTTCCAATCAACCTAATGTTGTATGAACTTTATTTTCTATCCAATCAACCTAATCAATACAATATGGGTTCATGTGTTGCAATATATATATATATATATTACTACGAATGGGCATGTTCCAATGATGGATGTTATTATAAAATATATATCACTACGAATTGGCCAATTGGTTCAAATATAAAGACTACCCAGATACAAACTTCTCCTTAAGGGTGTTCTTAAAAACACTCTACCCGATCACAATGATTATGCCAATCTCAAATCAGCTTACAGAAGAATCAGTGCAGTCAATGCTGCAATCAACTCAAAGAAAAAGGAACACGAAAGTTATTCCATCATTAACAAAATTTTCAACGAAATGAAAATATTTTCTGTTGAACAAGATTATCACTATGTGAAACACAAATTACTCAAAGTAGATGTAGCAGAGAGTTATGAAAGCAAATTGAAAACATTTTTCATTAGAGAAGGATTTGCCAATTACGTTGCAACGGATATTCAAAAACCAAAGAAAATTCAATGTTTTCTCTTTGATAAGTTTCTTATTTTGGTTGCCATTGAAAAGAAGATGTTTGTGACCAATCCTATTTATCGATATTTACACACTCTCACATTTTCTGAAGCGAGCTATATTTCACAGGAGAAGGGTGAAAAGATATTTTCACAAAAGCAACTCGATCCAGAATTGGATTATCTTTTCATTGAACAAGACAATGTTACGCATGCCATTTCTTTTGAAAAGGAATCTCTAATTGCCAATACTCATCAAGATTGGGCTAAAAAGATTTACAAATATTTACACAAAACAGAACAAGATGAATCTGCTGCAAACGAAAAACAAAAGGAAATGATTGAAGTGTTGAAAATCTGTGATGCCATGTTTCATCACAAGTTTAGTAGTGCCACATCCTCTTTTACCAAATTGGACTCACCATTCGAAGAGACAAAGACATTAATACGCACATTTTCATTTCTATCAAAGAAAGGTTCGAGTTCTGCTTCCTCTTCTTCCTCTTCGATATCACCTGTGAAGAATGACGATGATGAATCAGAGGTGAAAAAGTTTCTAGACAATATTTCAGTAAATTCATCACATTTTTAACATGAAATTGAGTTATGATGATCATCTGGACATGTTTCTCAAGATTATCAATTACACCCTTAATTTGTTTTAGGAATGAAAAAAGAGAAATACTATTGTATACTGTTGTAATTCATTACTATTATTTTGATTTTTCACTTCTTTCCAATTCAATCTCTAATTGTTCTTCCAAAACTTCAACAATTCTTCCAAAGTCAGGTCTCACATTTGGATCTTCATCCCAACATTGTGTCATAATGTTAACAATTTCTTTTGGAATATGCCCTTCTGTGAAGCGTGGTCCTGTTAGGTCAGGTCGCAGTCCTTCATTGACCACTCGAGAAGATAATTCATAAAATCCCAAACCAGGATATAATTGACCTCTTGTAAATAATTCCCACAAAACAATTCCATAAGAATAAACATCTGCCTTCTCGGTGTACATGCTTCGTTTTAACACTTCAGGAGCACAAGTTTCAGCTGTTCCACAAACTGTCATTTGTTGCTGTGAGTCAAGAATTCGACTCATTCCAAAATCAGCAACTTTCACAGACCAATTCTTATCAACCAATAAATTGGCACTCTTAAAATCTCGATGAACGATTGGAGGGTTATTACTGTGGAGATAGAACATTCCACGAGCAGCATCTAGAGCCAATGAAATTGTTTTTCTAAGAGATAATTTGATTTTCTTATCTTTGAGTATGTGTTGTAAATTTCCTCGTTCACAAAATTCAGTGACCATATACAAGTGTGGCATTTGAACACAAACTCCTAAAAATTGTACCACATTGGGATGTCTCAATTTGGACATTAATTTGGATTCCTTAATAAAATCTTGTATCACTTCTTCACTCTCAACATGATGATTAATCATGAAACGTTTCACAGCAACCATCGCACCCAGCCATCGACCTTTATAAACTTCACTGAATGATCCACTTCCAATTTGTTCATCCAATGTCAATTCCTCTGCTTTGATTGTACTTTTCAATTGATCATATTCAAATAATTTTGGAGTATAGGTATAGGTTGAAGCTGAATCTTGTTGATGTGGTTCAAAATCATCCAATAATTGTTGATTCAATTGAGATGGTGTTTTAAGGTTTCTTCTTTTCACCATGCAATAAGAAATAATTCCAATGACAATCACAACGATAGAAAGAACCAATACACTGATAATTGGAATGGCAATATATAAAAATAACTCAAATGGAGAAGTTGCGGGTGTAGAAATATTTTGAAGAAACGAGGAACACTTTTTGTTTTCACACATCATTACAGCACTCAATGTTTTAAAGTTAGTGGATGATAATGCTGTCATGATTGCAAATGTTCCACTCATGTATAATACATCTTCAAGTTGATTCTTTTTCATTGAAAAATGAGTTTGAGCAGTATTCCAAGTGAGACTTGTAATGATCATGTCATCATCATTCAGTGTGGAGGATGACTGTGAGATGGTCACTTTAAATTCAGAATCCATGACTCGATATGAATTTAAAATAAATTGTAAAATAGCAGCACCTTCTTCTGTAATGGAATAGGATGTCTTGACACACCAATATGTAAAAGTAATGAAAGGATAGTACAATGAAGAGGAAGATGTGGATTGTGCAATTTTCAGACTTTGTGAAAAGATAGATGAGGAAGTGAGTATCTTTGAGTCGTATTTGGAAATGGTGGACTTGACGTTTTCTACATTTGGAGAAATTGAAATACCATTGACAAGCACATTCACTAAAACTACTTTGGATTTTTGAGTACTGGGCATGTTGTCATAGGCATTTAAACTTGTATAACCAAGTGCACCTTCCATGGAATTGACATATCGAATCATTTCTCTATTGGTTGGAATGTCCACCATAATGTTTGTTACATTCAAAACTTGTCTCATATTGAACGTTGGTTTGGACAGTATTTGATACTTGTTTTCAAAGTCCGAATTCACCCTCGCTAAATAATTCAAAACATTGAAACTTGTACCACTCGATCCAGAACGAGACAATACCTTAATTTCAGTAAATGGTAATTGAGAAGCGAGTGATGGATTCTCACTCTTAATTCTCGAATCATTCCAATATCTCACTGTTCCATCATAAATTTGTACCAATGTGTCGAGTGATAAATTAATTTGTGAAATGGTTGTGGTAGAAAATTGTGAATGGACACACCATACCAACACACCAAACATATTTTGCACACAACTCGTGCCATTGATGGGTAGTGGTTGTGAATGATAAACGCCATTTGAAAATACTTGCGGAATATTCACATCACTCATAACCACGTCAGTTGTCATTAATTTTTGAAAAGCATTCATGGAGTCTAATTGTTCATTGTATTCCATTGAATTTGGATGTGAATCATCATTAGTATAAATTGTTTTTAAATTTTGATTTGCAAATGAAGAGAATGTAGAACCTGAGGTGTGTAGAATGACTTTTGCTTGTGTGAATGAAATGAAATGTGAAAAAAGAAAAGAGATGGCAAATGTAAGAATCAATAATCTTGGCAATAGAGTGTGGGTCATGGTTGAGGACCATGTCGTAAAGTCGTAATGATTACGATACCTTCGAAGGTCATGGAGATGAAGGATGATGGTGTCAACAGAACTAAATTTCCGTAATGATGACGATGCTGAAATCCGATCACAAAATGATTGTTCTCGGCCGAGGTTGAGTGTCATGTATGTTGTTCAATGATGATGATGATGCTACAAAAGAGACTTTGTGTTGAGAAAGAGTAGTAATAATCGTTGAGGTGGGGGGAAGAATTTGAAAAACAATGCTATGTTGGTATCGATAGGAAATTGTTTGATTTTTTCCAAGTTGTTGCCTGTCAATGGGTAATTATAATGTTGTTGGAAGAGAGGAGAGATTTTAATCAGTCGTGAGTCCGAGAAAGCAATGTAGAAAGAGGGGCTTTTTTGATTCTCATATATACTTCTTGCAAACACGGAGAGAAGTGCTGATCATGTCATTCATAAAATATGAATATGTTATCGTAACTAAGGGACAACACTCGAATACTTCATCTCTCTACAAAGGCTTCATCGTCTCATTTTTAAAGGTACACGTGTTCTGTCCTAAAGTATAGCTGAGGAATTAACAGCAAGAGAGAAATTGTCGTCCTTAATCATGTGGTGTTTTTATTTTATTTATGAATCAATCCAAATGCACATTAAAATAAAATCCATCTTTTTGTTCTCTTCTTATATTCTAAATATTCATTTCCAAACAACTTTTCAAGACCTTTCTCTTCTCCTGGAATGGTAAATAGATTCAATGCCAAAAACCATGGGACTAGACACAACAATGGCAACCAAGAATTACCACTGCATGATATTCCTAATTGAATCAGCACTCCTGCCATATAAATTGGATTTCTACAATAACTGTAAATACCTGAAGTGACCAATGCACTCACTTTTCCTTTTCCTAATGGATTCGTTGGTGTATTCTTTTTAGTAAATTCATGTTTGGCATTCATATTCATCCATAAACCAGACAAGAGGAAAGATGGACCAACGATACATCTCAAAAAGAAGGGAATGATATGATTGTTATGGAGTGAAAATAGAGAGGAATGATCATCCAATGAATTCCAAATGATCATGAAACGAGAGCCAATCGATGATGGAATGAACAACGATCCAACACCCAATGCCAATGAAGCAAGATAGGTTCGAAAAGGTGAGAAGGGAGAGTATTGAAATTCATTTAAACGGTTGTTTTCATGGGAGGATGTTTGCATTTTGTTTTTGATCTTGTGAAATTTCTGAAATGGGTCACTCCATTTTTGTACAATTTGAAAAAGAGCATTTTAGAAGCGCGTCCAATTTATGGACACCCCGCTTCTAATTCTTAATGGTCCAACAGATCTGGTATGAAACATTGTAAACTATTAGTATTTGAATTGCGATATTAACGCATCCTTTCGAGAATAAGTTAAAGTTCGAGAAAGTATTAAATTTTAACAACACCCATCACATCTGTCACTCGTCATCAATGAAAAAAATTACAAAAAATGTCCTATGATGTATTACCCGGAAACATTCTACTCCCATCTCCCAAAGATTGGGATGAATGTGAAGAAGTCAATCGAAAATATCTTCGTCTCTTAACAGCCAGTGCATTCCGAAAAAAGACAACTGCAACAACCACCAATCCAGAAAATTCCAATCTTCTCGATGAAGCGAATTCTGATGATGAAGATCATGAAAAATCCAATCAACCAACTCTCTCAAAACCAAGTGGTAGTGCTCAACAAATGGAACATCATGATTCCATTGAAGATCCACTTCAACTCATTCAAACCTATGATCCTTCGATGGTTTCTAAATATAATTGGATGGCTGCCACAAGTCAAAATGGAAATGTTTCTGTAGAGAGTGATCAATTCAATCCGAAACTCTTTCTTGCGACCAAACATCATCCATTGAAATATGAAAATTTAGGATTGGCAAAACGAAATTTAAAACAAACTGAAAATGAACTCAAAATGAAAATGATTATTCTCTCTGAAAAGAATATTCATAAATTTACCGAAGCAAAGAATGCCATTGATGCATTGTGTTCGAATCGAGATGCTAAATTTAGAGATGGAAGTGTGAATCGATTGGATCAATCATTGCTCAATGTTCAACAAGATTCTGAACTTTTATTTGGACCTCTCATTCAAAGAAAGAAGGGTAAGTTTGTGTGAAAATTGCTTCACATGATCATCTACATGTATATATAAATATGTATACAACAATATTTGGTATGAATGATCATCTACATGTATATATTTATATGTATATATATACAACAATATTTGCATGAATGTGATCAATCTAAATGTACAATATTGACAATATTGACAACAACAACAACAATAACAATATATAAATTCGAATGTGAAAATAGAATGTGAGGAAATCAAAGAAGTGTTACATTTATTTAAAAAGACTAAATTTGTACTCTATCTTCCAAGTAACATTAAGGAAAATATCAAAAAAGAAGAATATAAGAAGGTTGTACATGATTACAATCGTTCCAAATATTTCAAACAGAAATTTGGTCATTTTGAATTATTTCAACCCATTTTCAAAACCATTGAACAAGATATTTCACAATTAACTGAAATTCTTTTCAAAAAGTTGAGTTTTAACAGCACTGATATTGATACCTTATTGAGTCATATCAATCGAATGTATAAAATGTCTTCAAATTCATTGGAAGAAGATTCTAATAATGGTATTGAATCAACTACTACGAGTGCTACTACTACTTCTGCTGTTACTATTACTACTACCAATAATACTACTACTACTACTAATACTACTAATAATAAGAACATTCTACAAAACACTCTCTCCTCTCCTATGAATTATTCATCTTCCTTCAAATTATTAAATGAATATCAAGAACGTATTATTGGATTTTTAAATAATTTGGAATGTAAACAAGATCCTGCATGGTACTATTTAGAGAAAATGCATTTCTTTATTAAGGACTCTCTTCAACGTTGTTTAGATACCTATGAAAAGAATACTCGAGACATTTCTGATCTCATTGAACAAGAAGAACTTTTTGAAATGACCAATATCTCTTCTAATTATCATCGTAGTAATAGTACTGGAGCTAGTGGTGGCAGTAGCAGCAGCAATAGTATTATGAATGATAATGACTCGACGTCATTGGATTCATTTTCTTCTTATACTTGTTTTTTTAGACAATTACTAGAACGAAAAACTGTGGATTTGGTTGTTGATTTGACCAACATTCTACTCAAAACCATTCCAGATTTTTGGCAACTCTCTCAAAATATTCTCATTGGAAAATATCTTCCAAAGAAGAAGAGAATTCGCAAATTGAAAGAACACGAAAATGATGAAAAGGAAAAACAAATTGTCAATCTCATGAGAGATATTACATTGAAATATTCAGATATTGTAAATACTGCAATTGAAATGGTTGATAATCACTCGGCACATCAAAAATCACTCTGTCAATGTGTGTGTGAAATTATTCGATGCAATGAACAATTAGACAAATTGAAAATACCAAAAAAGTACATTTCACATTTTGATGAATTTACAGATCTCATGACTCGATATATGGTCAATGAAATATGGAATCGAACCATTGGAGAAGTATCAAGATTTCATGTTTTAGAAAAATGGAAACCCATCTCTGAAACTCTTACCATTACTGAATTACCTCTCAAATTTCAAGATTATATCATCAAGACACTTTCCTTATTGAGACCACTCATCTCGAAAGGAAATGTATTTAAACAAGATCTTGTTTCTGAAGTTGAAAAACATTTAATGGAATGTTTGAAAGTATTTGCTGATTGTTATCATGAACTTTCATTCAATGAAGAAGAACTCTCAAGAAAACAATCCATGAGTGGAAAGTATAGATTTTCTGTGCATAATTTTAACAAAATTGAAGAGAGAGATTCTCGTTTACTTCTCACTCTGAGTAATTGTTCACACACCAAGAATGTCATTTTGTATAATATTTTAAGTGCATTTGTGGCAGGATTTAAATTGCATCATCATGAATCTAGTAGATCAAGTGAAAATCAATTAATATTGAATTCAAAATACAAGGTCGACCTAAAAGAAGAATTGACAATTTCCTCCGATGACGAAGACAAGACTCAATCTTCGGAGGATGATGATGAGGAGGATCATGATGACCACGAGAATACTCTCAAGAAGGGTGTCCTCTCTGAAATGGATTTGAGTTTCCGTGTGACGAATAAGGATTTACAAACTCATACCATGACCTTTATGAAACAAGAATCCATTCAAGCAGTCTTTAGTGTCTATGACACTTTGATTGATTTATTGATGAATGATTTTGTAAGAAAGAAATCTCATACATTTATGAAGAGAATTGAAAAGGGTTTAATTTTGAGTGGATATGATTGGAAACGTTCATCAACACCCACCAATGTTCGTTCCTATATCTTGGATTTACTTTTAGAATTATCAATGGTGCATGCCAAGACTGAAAAGATTACTAGTGTAACCATTGGTTCTGAGTTTTACAATACTGGAAGTATTTTCAATGACATGAATAGCTTGAATGTGAGTCGAGAGTTTACTGGAAAAATATTCTCACTTCTTACAGAGAGATTGGCAGAAATATTTCTGTATCATGCCAAATCCATTGAAGAGATGGGAGAAAATGCAGCTCTTCAATTAGACATTGATGTATCCTTCTTGAGAAAGGCTTTGGAGTCCTTTGAAACTTCTCGAACTCGAACTATTTACAAAAAGCTCAACAAACATCTTTCTCATGTGGCAAAATTTTCATCCAGCACTGAACAACTGAAAGCTTCCATCATTCATGACATGGCTGAGAAGACCTACACACAGTTGGACTGTTTCAATATTCATGTTGAGAGTTCTCTTAATTTATTGTCCATTTCAACTTCGTTCAAATTACTCGACTCGACTCATGACTAGGTTCCATCAAAAATTTAAGGAAAATTCAACAACACTGGTGGAAGGAAACCTACCAGAACACAACTACTTTTGAAATCAAGAGACATGACTTTGAAATAAAGAGAGACATGCATTGCTCGTAAAGATGTTTATTATTGTGTCACAACTTCATCAGAACCATGCTTTTTCAAGAAGGTTAAAGACTCATCAACCTTTCCCAACCATACACTTAATTTATCCTTCAGGATGGATACTTGACTCTTATCAAGCACTCTTGGTTGTGCCCAAGATACGTGAATAGTGTGCTTGACACCATCAATCACACCTCGAATCAAATCATATGCCAATGCCTTCAAGAGAAGAGGTTCAACTTCCGATAATGGTTTTCTTGTCACGTTAGCAACTTCTTCAAAGGCAATATTTCTATTATCTGCTGGCTTACTGAACACCAATTCCATGAGACACATTAATTGAACCTTTTCATACAAAAAATCCTTCTTTTCTTTCAAGGAAGGTCTAGAATCAATTTCGTGAGCATAGGTTGAAATTAATTGTTCATAACCTCTAATATCTCCCTTATTGAAAGCCATTAAAAGTTTGTAGAGCCAATCCGCTTGTGATCCATTCAATGATTCAACCACTGGATGTTGTAAAAATTCTCCAAAATTATAAATGCTATCTCCGAGAAGAGATGCAATTCCCAAATCGAATGCAATGGCTTGTTGTTCAACAAAGGAAATATCTTCAATGGGAGTGTAAGCCAAGTACAAGAGTTCATTCTTGTAGAACTCATTAGCATCATCCACGTGTTTCAAGTAATTGGAATAAATCTTATAGTAGGAAGCATTGACAAAGTTATCAACAAAACCCAATGTGTTGATAGTCTCTTTCACTTCAGTCAACAATCTCTTACAGGATGTCAAATCAGATCCCTTTAACCTCCACATGGCCATTTCAGTCTTTAAAATACAAGCAGCTTCACGATCTTGTTTGGAGAGAGAATTGAATACAGTTTCAACAAAAGGATAGCCTTGAGTGCTATTGAGAGGAAGCTTCTTTGAAATCTCTACCACAATTTTACCCAATTTTAAGTGGTTAATCTTTAATTCAAAGGATGAAATAAAGTTTGTATAAAACGATAGTAATTCTTCTCCACCTAATTGATCACTCTTGACAAGTTGAGTCAATTTATCTGCAATGTTGTGCCACATTCTAAATGAGTTTGTAAGAGAAGGTTGATAATGAGTTGATGATGATCATCATCATAGGGTTGGTGATGAAGAATGATCATTGATGGTAAGGATCAATTTCGGAATGGATTAAAAGACAACGATCCAATACAATGACGAAATTAATAATTTGTATACAACCCATGCAATTGTATAAGTTGAAACATACTTGTTTTCATAATCTTGTCTAATATCCTCGACAAGAGAAGCCACTGCCACATGTGTGCCTGCAAAGTGTCTTAAGAAGTTGGATTGCTGACTTGTGCTCATTTTTTGTTTGACTGAAACTATTTTTAATCATCATTCCTTTACACAAAAATTGAAACACAAGCTGGAGAGAAGAAACAAAAATATTTACCGACGACGGGACTCGAACCCACGACCCCAGGATTAGAAGTCCTGTGCTCTATCCAACTGAGCTACGACGGCTTTACATTAAAAAGAGTTGTCTGTTAATATCAATGTACATAGTACAAAACCTTATTTTCTATCTTAATGGCGTCTTCGCTGCCAAATAGCAACAAAACTGAAGTCCTTTACATGAGCTTATTATTATTCTGTATTGCAGTCACAGTTTGATTTTTAGAGATAAAAAATGCACCAAAGGAATATCACGTTAGCCGCGCACGCAGCAACTACAAAGACATCAAACAACAAAATCCAAACTGCCTCGGCACAACCCCTTTCCTATCAGCAAAAGAAGAAATTAAAATTGGCAGTTTTCAGGAGTAAATTTCGTCATCCCTTAGGTTATGAGAGCAAGACAGCAAGTGTAAGAGAGGAGCCTTACACCGAATCCCATCCCCGACCTCTCAATTCTTCATCAAAAACTAGAGCTAGCATTCGATCATCATGCCAGAATCATTCGTCTTTGCCAAGACCCTCCTCACTACCACCAATCGTAAAACACAAGCTTTCCAGTCCGACTCATCAACGGCCTCCAACATCAGAAAAACGAAGAGCTGTCAGCGCCAAACAACAACGGAAAGAATGGGACTCGAGATTTGCCCTCTCTGAGTCTCAAGGTACTTCAACTCAAACTTGTTCAGTACAATCACTCTCCAGGAGAGAAAAGCGAGATATTGATCGGTTATTCGCTCAACAACAAATGGCATATTTGAAAGCCTCAAACATTATTGCTTCCCTTGAAAATCCAGAGTTGAAACTCGAACCAAAACACTCACCACTGGAGTATAACAAGTTGCTTGATAATTCTATCGATGATTGCTTTGACGAGGAAATCATCGATTGGTATGACTTTGATATTGAAAGGTTAACATCCCAATTTATGCACATTCCAGATTTCCCAACTGCAAAATGGTACCTTCGAAAGCTGTGGGATGAATTAGCAATACCTCTTAAATACCAGGGCGAATTTGAAATCGATCATTTCCAAAGTGATAGTATTACCAATAGAACCTTTTTGTTCTCAGAAATTACGACAATAGAATCATTTAGAGACCGATTGCGAGTGGCTTTAATTTGGCTCCATGGAAAGAGTCATTACGAAATTGAAGAAAATGCAAACACTTGGACCACAATTGTTGAAACATTTAGAGAAGATTACCAATATCTTTACAAAACGTCATGCTTTTTATTTAACAACAGAGATTTGTTTTTACTTGTTCAAAATTCCATGCAAAACACTAGTACTGACATGCCAATGACTAACAATGTACATACTTGTCCTTCTATCCATGATGGAAAACCACCATTGACTACCGATCTTAAACCTCTAGCACTTCATTCGAACCCATCAACGAATGCCAACGACCGACGACAAAGTGTATGATTCTCGTTGTGAATGTTACATTTTCCTGTAAACTATATGTGTATGTACCAACAACCTTACTAACCTGTATTATTAACACCATAAAATAATAAAAACGCAAGTCAAAAAAATGAATGAAAGCTCTGGAGGTCTTCAGTCAGAGCACTATCATCATCATGGTTCCTCAACCTCATCATCATCATCACCACCATCTTCACCGCCGTTATCATCAATATTTTCAAAACAACCATCAAGGTTCGAAGATTTCAATCAACCAAGAGCTACCTCCCTCTCTTCCGATCCAACCCATTCATCTCTTCTCACACAAGTCATATTAGACCACGGTCAAACGGATGATTTATTCTCGGAATCGTCACTACCGACTTTTCAGCCAATTTCATTACCACCATCCACTTCACCATCCACTCTGAATGAGTCTGACAATCAATCTTCTCCCAAAAAAAAGACAAATTCAACCAACAAAACAAAAACTCCAAGAAAACCCTATGTTAAACGTGCTTGTGTTAATTGTAAACAAAGTCATGCAGCTTGTGATGATTCAAGACCATGTAAACGATGTATATCCTTGAAATTAGAAGATCAATGTGTGGACGCTGTTCGAAAAAAGTCTACTTCTCAAAAAAGAAAAATCAATTCAAAGGAAAGTGACGAAGAAAATTCAACAACAATATTAAACAAATCCGAAAAGAAGGGAAAGAAAAATAAGAGTATCACTGATCTTCATAGTGAACTTGGTGCGGACAGTAATAATGGACCCAATAATCCTAGTTCATCAACCGAGGATATAACTCGACATGATTCTACTGAAACGATGAATAATCACAACTTGACATCTCAACAACTAGTTGGTCACACTGCATTTCCATTATTACATTTTAACCCTGGTCATGCACCACCTTATTTTGTAATGATCCCAATGATTACAAATTCTGGATCCTCTTGTCATGCACCCACTACGACTACTACTACCATGAAATCAAATATTTCTTTACCTGATACGAATCAACCACCACGACATTCCTCACTCGTCTCTCAACAACCATCATCATCATCATTTCCAATATCATCATCTTCACCATCAACCACCTCATTTTCACCCTTCCCTTTCATTCCTTCCACCACTGCAGCTGTGCCTCCCTTTCCATCACATCAACCATTACTCACATCGTCTTCACTTCAAACTCATGCACTCTCTAGTAATAGTACCACCACTAAAACTAATAGTTCTCAACAACATCGCCATTTTGGCAACAACAAAATGATGACCACATCCAACTCTACTGCACCTCATTCACCCTTAGATTTTCTTTCAGAAAATGGTTCTGAATTGTTAGTTTCACCTGCTCTTTCTACTCCTTCATTCTTTAGTAATCCCTTCCCTTCACATGAAAATGGTAGCAATCAAATGGATCATTTGAATAATAATAATGGTGGTAAAAAATCAAATCCTCCAAATTCTCTCTCCTCTCTGAATAACACTTTCAGTGATGAAGAAGGAGTGGTAGACATTATCACCCAAGAAGCATCCTTGTTAAAATCTCAAATTGCAAAACATGGTGTTCATTTCCAAGATGAAACGTCGAACGGAAATTCAAATCATGGAGATGATCATGAAAATAGTAGAGATAGTGCTGAAAATACTCATATTTCACAAAGTAATTTAGATGATCTTGCATTACTTTCACCGTTCTTAAATGAAAATCAAGAATTAGTGAATTCAGAAACTGAAATTAGAAATTTGGCATCCTCTGCGAGTAAATCCAGATTGGAAGATTTAGTGCTACTGATGTGGAAAAAACAAAACACCCAAACACAAGAAATTCAAGATTTGAAACAATTGGTGACAGAATTAATGTCCATTGTAAAGCAAAGCAAGTTCAATAGAGATTCAAAATAATTTATTTTAAGGTTCTTTTTTCTTGATCCACAAATTGTTGTAGGGCATCCTCTTTTTGTTTGTTCACATTTCTTTCAGCTTTCATTTCAGAAACTCGTTGACGAAGTTGTTGGATCTTTTCATCAATTTCATCACGCTTTCTCTTTGACTTGATTGGTGTGTTTTGCAAAGTGGGCAATTGTGGACGTTCTACCTTGAGATTTTCTGTTGCTTTAGAATCAGTGTTAGCAGGAGTGGCCACTTTGGTGTCAATTTTCGATGGATTCTTTGGAACAGCCATGTTATTTGTTTTCAAAGGACCATTAGATTTTTCATCATTGATATCCTTCATAGCAAATTCCTTCAATACGCTATTTTCATCACTCTTTTTAGGTATCTCTTCTCTAGATTTCTTTGACTCTTTCGCTGTGTCCATGAGCTTGTCAATTAAGGATGTAATTTCTTTCTTTTCAATAGTTTGAGACAACTTTGATTTTTCCTTGTTGTCTTCCTTTCGTGGTGGAGAAGTATTTTCCTCTTTCGTTGGTTCTTCTTTCTTGAGTGATTCAGTTGAGGAAGATTGTAAATTTTCATTCTTCTTGCCGAATGATGTTGTTGCTTCTTGAGAATCTTTTTTAACATTTGGCAAGACCAAATCATCTTCGTCATCATCATCCAAAACGAGTTTCTTCTGTTCTTCTTGCTTGTTCATGAGTGAGGAATTATTTTCAGCAGAATCTTTTTCAACACTCTTTTTGGAAGTATCAGCAGTATTCAACTTGGTCTCAGATTTTTCATCATTGATATCCTTGTTCTTAGTCTCTTTTTGAGAATTGTCATTCTTTTTCTTGACTTGCTTGACAGTATCTGAATTGGTAATATCTAAAACAGAAAGGTCATCATTTTGCTTATTTGAGAGTTGATTCTTTTTCAACGATGTTACATTCTCTTTTTTCACTTCATTAGTAGTACTACTGACAACTTTGGCTTCCTTGTTACTGACAACTTGTTTGTTCACTTCTTCACTAGTTGTTGTAGTAGAAGGAGTATGATTGGATTTGACCATTTTGTTAGTATTCATTGAAGATTGACTCTTATCAGTCTTTGATTTCACATCCTCTTTTAAATTTGTTGAAAGACTCTTATCGGATGACTTGTCCTTATTCATCATATTGGATTGAGAAGATTCTTTGGAACGAGTCGTACTATCACTGCTGCTGCTATTCATATCGGAAAACCAATCCGTATCACTATCATCACCATGTTCATTGGAAGGAGTTTGATCATGGTTGGATCCCTTCCTATTCTCCAATTTGTTCTTGTTTTTAGAATCAGATTTGAATGAAGCATCTTTTTGTGTATTTGAAGGGTTATTATTGTTATTGGTAGATTTCTTCATGTCAACAGCACTCATTGTTGATGGATCCTTCTTGTTCGTTTGTTTCTTCTTGTTTTGCTTCTTTTGTACAACAGGACTTGGTTTCGAGTCTTTTTTAGGAGTATTCGTTGTTGTTGTTGATTTGATTTGGATTTGGATGATTTGTCCAATGGAGAAGAAAATTCATCTTCATCATCATCAACCACAGAAGTGAAAATTGGTTTTTTCAAAATTGGTGGTGGTGGCGGTGTATTATTATTATTGGTTTCTCGTTGTTGTTGTTGTGTATTGGTGGTTGATGGAGGTCTATTATTGGTTTCTCGTTGTTGTTGTTGTTGTTGTTTCACAGGTAATGTGGGTGGTTTCTTGATCACTATACTTTCCGATATTTTCTCTGTTGTCGTTGTAGTTGTCGTCGACGAGTTCATGAAAGTAGTTTCAAGTGTTTTGAATTTCCAGATGATGATGGTGTGATATATAATGTGATGATTCATAATGGAGAGTCAATACGATGATTGATAAACATTCAAGAATTCATACCTAATTCATAACTATTAGTACTACTACTCGTGCTACCACCACTTCCAACACTTCCAACAAACAACAAGGTATAAATCATGTACAAGAATAAAAGAGAACAAATGATAAAACATATTTGACCTCGATAGGAGAGTTTCCGAAAATAACCAAACACTCCCGATCCTCGAGAGGGAGGATAGGTACCAACGTGTGCATGGTTGGCACTTGTATGCATTTTGTTGGTGGTGGTTGTTGTTGGAACAGTCATAGTCGTGGGAAGCATTTTAATTTTTTTCAAGACACACAAGAAACCACTGTCGACAGCTGGGTGACACGTTTCCAAGAACAAGAATACAACAACACGTAAAAGTCGACCAAGTGATATGAACTCTTGTATTATTCTTGTAAACTAACCTGTCATTGAATCATTATTGCATCATTTTCAATCTCTTATTCAATTCATCATTCTTTAACATTTCATTTTGGAATTCTTTCACTGCTCTAAAGTAATTTCGTTGTTTAGAAACCAATTCATTGTACTTGTTCTGTAAATCATCTCTCTTCTTTTCAGTTTCTTTTAATTTTGTATCCATTTGTGTTTTGGTTTGTTTGACTTTCTCAGCTCGATCACTCACTGTATTGATCATCCATGCTTTGTATTTCTTATCTTGAGATTGAACTGCTTTTTGAAAGAAATCAGCAATAGAATTCAATAAGGATAATTCTTGTTCCAAAAATGTACATGTTCCTGAGAGTGTATTGTAACTCACAAAGTATTTCTTGGTTTCATCTAATTTGGTCGATATTTGAGCATATAATTCTGTAAATCTTCTTTCATATTGCGATAACTCAGTTCTAGATGGAATTTCATCAATTTTGGATTGAACAATGGCTAACTCTCTATTTCTCTTTGCAGCTAACTTTCTAATCTTTTTCATCTTTTCAGTGTCATTGGCATAGGCTTGAGATAATTGAACAATTGGATCGTTACTGTCATTAAATGATGATTCTAATTGAGCAATAGAATTTTTGAGTTCTTGTAATTGTAATTGACAATTTGTTTTGAAATCAGCTTCTTGTTTTTTAAATGCTTCATTGAGAGCAATGAGTGTTTCTAATTTAGAGAGAATGGCTTGATCAACATCTTGATTTTGAACTTGATTTTGTAACTCTGTGATTTTGTTTTGAACCTGTTCATTGTATTCCTTAAATTTAGAGAGAGTTTCAGAGACTTTTTCATATTCTTGTTTGACTGCATTGAATTCTTCTTTGGCTTTCATGTAGATGCTGAGAATTGAGTCAAAGAATGCGTAGTAGTAGTAGTAATAGTAGTATTTGATAACATTTGAATACCATTCAAAAGTGGTACGTATTGCGAATGGTCCAATTACAATTGGTTCCGTTTGAAACCAGGTCCATGAAAAAATTCATACGTATAAATCAAAACATAATGAGAGGTCATTTCAAACGAGTAAAATTACATACACTTTTTGATTTTCAATTTGTTTGGTGAGTTGCGCCACTTGTCTCTTGTGCAACATTTGTTCGCTCTGCAAATTCTCTTGTTGTCCCATAAAATCTCTAGTCTTTTCATCATACTCTTCTTTAAGTTTGATAATATCTACAGCTCCCAAATTAATTAAATTAGAGGCACCAGAGGCAGAAATGTTGTTATAAAAGTTTTCATTTTGCTCGACTAATTTTTTCAATTCTTGAATTTTCTTTTCTCTTGCTTCTTCATCTAAATCTAATTCAGCTAAATTTTGGTTATTGAGCTGAGAAGCATCCATAGACTCTGTTCGTGATGCTTGTTTTTGAGCTCTCAATTGTCTTTCTAATTTTGATTTGTCTTCTTTTTCTTGTTGAGATCTTTCAATTTTTTTGAATTCAATTCCATATTCTAATAATACAGTTTGAACATGCCCCCATTCGCTTTTAAGTACATTTCTCTGTTGATGTTTAAATTTTCTCTTTGGATGATAGACACCTCGGATGCTATCCAGATATGGTAATGCTTGATTATATTGTTCCATATCTTGTTGATCTTGTGGTAATTCATATCTTCTAGAGAATTGTAATTCAGAGTATCTTTGAATTCTCTCCTTGTTCTCAACTCTTGATTCAAAAACCTTTTGTACAAGCCATGAAAATACTTTCAATATAAAAGGACAATCTAAACCTTGAATTTGGACAGGAGACAATTCTTGAGGACATCCCATTCTTCTCAAGGCTAACACCACTTTTTCTGATAATTTAATCTTTTTACCAATGTTAGCCTCTTCTTCATAACTCAACATTTCGACATCAGCATCGGCATTGTAGGAATTACTAATACACCAACAGAGACCTCCAAGGATTTTATCAAAAGGTGTAAGAGCTGAAATTCTCACTCTGAAATAACCTGCTGCGAGCAAAATTTGAAGAATTTGTTGATAATCATTGAGATTCTTTTCATTGATCCCTTCAAGATTGGTTGTGGGTACAGCATTGGTTGTTGTAGATGAATCGGAAGAGGAGGTTTGTTGTTGATCCGATGGTGTTTTTACTAATTGTTGATGAAATGAAGAGGATCCTTGGCGAGGAGTGGATGGTGTGCCAGCGCTACCGGTACGAAGGTGAGTGCCAAACATTTTTTTGTGGGAGGAAAAGATTTTTCGAGTTCTTTTGGCCCCAATGCACGCAACTTGACTTGTGCAAGAACAAATTTGATTAATAACAATATTTACATGAAAATATATTGACATCAATGTTCCTCCTCTTCCCTCTCTTGTGCAAGTATTTGTTCATGAATAGAAGTAGGTGGTGGTGGTAGTAGTTGAGAATGATCATTCTTTCGTAATTCAATCACACGATCAACAATTCGTGGAAGAGTCACACCAGATGGTCCTTTCACAAAATGATAATTTGGTAAGGTATTATAATCTGTTTCCTCAATATTGAACTCTATGATATAGGCACCTCGTTTAGCAGCAACAGAAGGTAAACCTGCTGCTGGATATACCTTGGCAGATGTACCTAAATATTATATTAATATTATATATTTAATAATATAGTATTTTCATAACCAAATCATGGACATGAAAATGATCAACATGTCATCCAATATTAAGGATCCTTAATCAATCATCAATTGAATATTCAATGTAAACATACCAATGACTAGCATGACATCTCCTTCACGCATTCTACGAACAGCATCATAGGAACGATTCCATTGATCCACAGGTAATCCTTCCGTGAATAAAACACAATCTGGTCTCAGTGTGCTTTTACATCCTGGATATTGACAGTCTATAGAGTTTGGAAATAGGTTGTCATTGCACACAAGTGTATACGTCAATTTCACAGAGAAAAATGATCAGCCTCGCAATAACTTACTTGGAGATTTGTAAGGTAATTTTTCAATGGGATGAATTTCATGTGGATTGAGTGAGGATGATTCTTCTTCTGAGATTTCAACTGTACTTGTACCACCACCACCAGCATCATTATTACCTTCATGAAGACTCCTCTGAGAATCATTATTTAAATCGCTTTCATGATACTCTTCTGGATGTTCTCTTTTATATTGTTCAAAATCAAAGGGATGACGTTCCGATACACAACAATGTCTTCTCACTGTACCATGTACTTCATAGGTGGTATCAGGATCTGAACCTGCTCTCTGATGTAAACCATCAACATTTTGTGTAATAATTTGTAACGAAGGAAAGACATGTTTTTGAAGTTTAGCCAATGCATAGTGACCTGGATTTGGACGAGCCTGTGCAATAGGTTCATAAAAACGTTTTACATATTGAGTCCAACAAATTTTTGGAGAAATACTCCATCCTAATGGTGTTCCAAAGTATCCTAACACTATTCGATGTTTTAAGAACAGAGGTTCAGTGACATTTGTGCATGATTTTTTCATCATCCATTTTCGTTGGTATTGATATTAGTAATATTATTCATCCATTTTAGTAGAAGAATAGTATTTTCATTGAAAATAATATTTGAAAAGTATGTTGTTCATTGTCAACCCAATCCGATCATCAAATACAGTCAACAATAGCATACAAATTGTAAATCCATTGTCAATAGATATTCGAATGGATATCAAACAACATACCAATCTTTCCGATCAATCCTGTCCATAATCCACTGGATCCTCTGAAGGTTTCTACTCCGCTCTCAGCAGAGGCACCTGCTCCTGTGAATACACATACTCTATGAGCATTGGCAATCATTTGAGCAATTCGTTCGATTGTTTCATCAGAAGCGATTGCTGCAGTATTATTTTGATCGGTCATGGAAGTTGAATGAAATAAATGCAATTTTTTTGTAAGTCTTAGCTCTCTGAAGAAGTAACAAATTGTCATCAAGAAGTAATCGTTCATAAGAATTACTTGAACAGATTCCGCCCTGGAGAAAATTCATCTCAACAAGTCTCTCATGTTCTCATGTGTGTTGCTTGTTGCTGTCAACCTCAATAAAACCATAGACCTGAGAATTAATTACCACAAATGAGCAAATTTGCGATCGAAATTAGGTCTCGGTTTGGTCCTGAGTAAAAAAGGCACTATCGTCGCGGCAGTACCTATTGGCCTGAAAAAGGTCCTTCTCCAACGTTCCAAAATTCTCATTAAAAAAAAAGAAATCAAATCTTGCATTTCTGTGAGGTAGGTATTGGTGTTGAGAGAGATGATGATGGAATGGCTAACAATCCATGTGTTATGATTGTATGCACACTCATTATTAATGGCTCTACTCTTATCTCTGAAATTTGGTTCAAATTTGATCTTTTGGTTCATACAACTCAATACAACGCAAATTAATATCTGATATAATTCCTAAATCTTTGGTATGGCTTGCTCTTGGTATACCTCGATGGACGGTTATTGTTGATGATGAATTGAAATATGCAATGATGGTGATGCTAACCATATTCTCGGGAATTAATGGCATTTAAATTGGCGAAACGCGAATATTTCTTGAACATTTGATCAAACCATCACCACCACCACCACCACCTGAACACAACACGTGTTGCTCGCACTCACGCACCCAACTCACACTTGTGTCTCTGATTCTCTCTTCTAGAACAAAATGTCCAATCTTGCCAAACATCTTCAACCCCATGGTGCCACTGATTCTTCCTTGTTGAACAATCATCAGTTCCATCGTAACGATCCCGAATACTACTCGAGCGATGAAGACAGTGTTCATCAAGAATTGGAAAGCTATGGTATTACCACCCGTAGAATCTATCACAATGCATCCGTTCCAGTTCTCTATGAACAAGCCTTGAAGAATGAAAAGGGTACTGCACTCACTTGCACTGGTGCTTTGGTTGCTTATTCAGGCACCAAGACTGGTCGTTCTCCAAAGGATAAGCGTATTGTTGAAGAAGAAACCTCCAAGAATGATGTCTGGTTCGGACCAGTCAATATTCCTCTCTCTGAAGACTCTTTCATGGTCAATAGAGAACGTGCCGTAGACTATTTGAATACTCGTGAACAATTATATGTCTTTGATGGATTTGCGGGATGGGATAAAAAGTATCGTATCAAAATTCGAGTCATTTCTACAAGAGCCTATCATGCTCTCTTTATGAGAAATATGCTCATTCGTCCAACACCACAAGAATTGATGGACTTTGGTGAACCCGATTATATTATTTACAATGCTGGTGAATTTCCTGCCAATCGTTACACCAAAGGAATGACCTCTCCATGCAGTATTTCTCTGAATTTTAAGAGACGTGAAATGGTCATTCTCGGATCTCAATATGCAGGTGAAATGAAGAAGGGAGTCTTTACCATTATGCATTATTTGATGCCTAAACAAGGTGTATTATCTCTTCACTCTTCATGCAATGAAGGTAAAGATGGAACTGTATCACTCTTCTTTGGTTTGAGCGGAACTGGTAAGACGACTCTGAGTGCTGATCCTCATCGTTATCTCATTGGTGATGATGAACATGTTTGGACCGATGAAGGAGTCTTTAATATTGAAGGCGGTTGTTATGCCAAATGCATTGGATTGAAACATGAGACTGAACCTGAAATTTACGATGCTTTGCATTTTGGAAGTGTTTTGGAAAATGTTGTGATGGATGAAGTGACCCGCCAAGTCGAGTACGAAAGTTCAGAAATTACTGAAAATACTCGTGCTTGTTATCCATTGGAATTTATTCCAAATTCAAAGATTCCAGCAGTGACTGGTCATCCAAACAATATCATTTTGTTGACTTGTGATGCATTTGGTGTTTTACCTCCAGTTTCTAAACTTACCATTCCACAAACCATGTACCACTTTATTTCAGGATATACTGCCAAGGTTGCAGGTACTGAGGTGGGTGTGACTGAACCTCAAGCCACATTCTCTGCTTGTTTCGGTGAACCATTCTTGGTATTGCATCCAACTCGTTATGCTGAAATGTTGGCTGATAAATTGAAGAAACATTCGTGTGATGCTTGGTTGGTGAACACTGGATGGGTGGGTGGTAGTGCTGGATCTAAATCTAAGGTTCGTGGTAAGAGATGTCCACTCAAATACACTCGTGCCATTATTGATGCTATTCATAATGGTGAATTGGCTAAACAACCAACCGTTGAAATGGAAATCTTTGGTTTGCACGTTCCAACCAAATGTACTGGTGTTCCTGACGAATTGCTCATTCCAAAGAATGCATGGTCCGATAAGGAACTTTATAATGATGAATTGAACAAGTTGTGCTTGTTGTTCAATAAGAACTTTAGTGCCTATGCTGATAAGGCATCTGAGGCTGTCCTTAATGCTGGCCCTAAGAGTAATACCACCAAACAATTTGATGTCAAGGTGACTCGTGAGGCATAAATGAATCTCCCTATAAATACATCTTTTTTTAATATTGACATATCAAATGAATTCATATTATTAACTATGTAAACCATGATCTCAAATGAATTATTATTATTTACTCTGTCAACCATGATCTCAAATGATCATGGTTATGGACACTCGCGCTTCATTCATCCTCTTCCATAACATTCGAGTCCGTGTTTGGAGTTGAACTTCTCGCAACAACACCCTTCTTTAGTTTGGACTCTAACACAACAGAGCCTCTCGGTACAAGTTTGGCTTCCAATAAAGTCGTTCTCTTGAAAACACTCGAATCATATTCGGCATGTGGAAATTGTACAATAAACACACAATCTTTCACAGACACAGCCACACCATTCGTGTTTTGAATGATAGCATCCAATAAATCTTTCAGAGTGTTTCCTCCAAGTAATGAATCAATTTTTACAGTGCTACCCGTATTGGGTAATCTCACCTGAATCGAACACGGTGACTGGAGTGTAGAAGATGAACAAGCGCTCTTACCATTCGAGGTTTTCTTTTTTTTCAAATCATCATGACTATCATCATCATCTGTATGTAAATTGGTCATTGAGTGAGTCGATTGTGTGTGATTCACTTCTGTCTCAGAGTCATTCTGTTTCGTTTTCTTTTCATTTCTTTCCTTTTTATCTTCTTCTAAACGTTTTCTTACCATTTCAAGTTCCTTCTTCTTATTCATCTTCTCCATTCGACTTTGCTCGACATCTTTGTCTCGTTGTCTCTCTCTAAATTTTTGTTTTTCTTCCCATGTATCTCCTTTCAATCGATAACTTGATCCAGCATGTTGTAAAATATATTCAACAGGTAAATAATTCATTGGTTTTGACGTCTTGTCAGATTTTAAACACTTCTCTCCAAATCCATTCTCACTCACATCTTTTTCAATAATAATATTACCATTTGGACATAGATGTAATTGTTCTAACGTGTAAAGAGACATGTTCGTATTATTGAAATATGTGGGTAATTTTGTATCATTGATCATTGATTTCAGAGTACTCGAGTCAGAGCTAGTACTTGCATTGTTATTATTATTACTATTGCTATTGCTATTATTATTACTATTGCTATTACTATTATTAATATTATTATTACTATTATTACTATTATTACTCGATAATATTCTCGAGGATGGTATTCTAATTCTAATACTTTCATAATCCTTTCCCTTTTCACTTGAAAATATATATTGACATACTTGTGTTAATTTATCATTGGAATTAAATTTAGCCTTTGTGGTAGAACCATCCATAAATCTAATTTGAATAATGCATGGTTCAGAGAGATGATCATGACTCTCTTCAGCTTCAAAAATAGTTTCAAGTGATTCTAATGGTTTTGTTGGTGAATTTAGTGCCATTCTATTATCTATATTTGGATAATCAATACTTGTTGATTTTTTACCAACATGAGGATCTGTTCGATACGCTTTTAATAACTTTTCTTTTTCTTGTCTTTCTTTTTTTAATGCTTCTTCCTCTTCTTTTTTTAATTTTTCAATAAATTTCTTTTTTTCAGTGAGTGGATTCAAAATATCAGAAAAACGATTTAATTCTTCTTCTCTTTCTTTGACAATGTCTTGTGTGGATCGTTCGACTAATTTTAATTTTGGTTTGTTTGGAGTATTGTTGATGGATCGTGATGATGTATTGGTGTTAGTCGGATCGGAATGAGAGGATGACATTGTTGTTGTTGAATGAGTGTTATTGTTGTTGTTATTGCTGACTGTGGTAGGATTGACTTGGTTGGATGACAAATTGGAGAGCCATTGACTTCTCTTTTCAGCAGCAAGCCTACGATAATCCGCAAGTGGATCTGATGACATTTTTTTTTGGAAAGGCTTTCAAAGTTCACCAACGTTCTACCAGTTGAGTTTGAGGTTTAGGACCTTGCTCGATGAATCACCACCTCCGTTCAACACACAACCTAACATCAATGTGCATATATATTGAAGTGTGGTTGCAGCAGAGGACCTCATCATTTCATCAATATTTTAAAATATTATGGAAGAGGACGAAACGTCAAGCGAGATTGAATGAATTAAAAAATTATTTCTTTTGAAGCGCAACCCAAAACACATTCTCTCTCAACAAGAACAACTACAACAAGAACAACCACCACAATTACAACCACAATTACCACCACCACAACAAGAACCACACTCCTCCAAGAATGAAAATACGAGAAACACTCCTCAAAACCATTTCCAATACATCGGATGAAGTCTATGATCGACTCTTTAATCCCAAACATGTTCATTCTCGTCCTCTTCATCAACGACCCTTTCCCATTCATACTCGATTGTGGTACACATTCATCACCATGTCCTATCTTGGTGTTGTCTTTGGATGTTTGGAACATTTCACTCGTTTGGATTTGGCTGTGGATCGAGAAATGTCTTCCATGACTGCACAATATGAACACTTGTTATTGAGTCAACATGGAATCTTTGGATCTCGTTTTGATTTGGAACAATACATTCAATCTCATTCCAAACAATATGGTGTCGAATGGAATGCTACCAAATCGAGTATGTATAAAACCAATCGAAAACATTATATCGAGTCATTGCACGAGTTGGAACGAGTGAGAAGAGAATTGAATGAAATTTCAACGACGAGACAACAATGAGTATTGGAACAAGATCATCATCATGAGGAATAGTAGTAGTGGGAGGATGGAATGTGTTCACATGTGAACAACGCACTCTTCATCACCTGGGTGGTTGTGTCTTCCTCAAAGATGTGGTCTGGTCAAATTTGAAACCTCAAAAAATATAAGAACCATTCGATCATCACACCCTCCTCACAATGATGAATACTTACCATCTTTATTGTCCACATTGTAATTGTAAAATTATTAGAGCTCATATGGGTCAATTGATTTCAGATCATCCATTAGAATTACCACTCTCTACTCTTTCCGATACTAAAATATACAATGAATGGTGTTTAGTGAATGATATGTATGATTTTGAGAATATTGCATTTACAAATACTATGATGGATACAAGTAATGTCAATTTGAATTATGAAAGTAATCATGACAATACTAATAGTAATACTAATAATAATATCAATACTAATAATAATATCAATCCTATGAATACCATCCGATATTTAACTTGTGCTGATTGTGAAAAACAAGTGATTGGAATTGCATGGATGAATGAAAAGAAATACTATGTTGCCATGGATTTATTAAAGAAACAACAAGTGAATATATAATTGATATTTTGAACATAAATCGTTCAACGATTGAATCATTGTATTCCACCTCCGCACTGGACATTCAGCAGTCTGGATGATCCAGATTCAAAAAAAAATGTCATCCACCAATCCCAAATTGTTTTACCAACATGCGCAACACACACAATGCAGTTCTGCTAAAAACCAATCGTCCAACTCGGTGACATCATCTTGTAATCATCAATTATTTTCAATCTTTCATAAATTATCTTTGTTTCTCAAGAAATATGAACCAACATTTAATATTCAAAGACACGTTTCCAAGACTCCAAATCATCCGATGAACAATTCAATCATCATTGAAGAAGAGAAAATTGTTGATTTCTTTATTTTTGATCATTTCAATACAACTATACCAAATCATGAATGGAAAGAACAATTACTTTCCATGTCAACGATTGAATTAATTGAAATGTCACAATATCAAATGAATTCACAACAATCACAGAATACTGAATATCATGATATTCATAAATCTCTCAATGATTTTGTAAATGAATGTAAACAATTAATGAATTTAATTATGGAATATTGTCAAGATTCAAGTAATGATGGTGGTGATAATAATAATGGTGATAGAAATATTGGTGGTGATAATAATGGTGATAATAATGGTGATAGAAATATTGGTGGTCATGATCAAAATGATATGAAGAATTCTTCTCATCATAATGACAATAGTATGAATAAGAATATTACATTCAATGACAATAGTATGAATATTACATTCAATGACAATAGTATGAATATTACATTCAATGAGAATTGTAAGAAGAAGAAGAAGAATATACCATCATATGATTCTCTAAATACACCTCATGAATTAGAAAAAGGTTTAAATTCTAAAAAAAAGTATGAAATTGAAATTCTAAGTCATTTCATTAGAAATCTATCCAAACAATATCAAATTGATAGTATTTGTGATATTGGAGGTGGACAAGGATATTTATCACAGAAAATTCTTATTGATCAAGAATTAGAGATATTCTCTCATTCTAATTCTAAAAATCCTATTCAACATTCTACTTGTCATCATTCTAATCATCATCCATCGAATGAGAATTCCATTACTACTACTACTTCTACTTCTACTACTCATCATCCATCGAATGAGAATTCCATTACTACTACTACTTCTACTTCTACTCATCATTCTACTCAACAACATACATATTCTCCTCAAATATCTCACATTTATTCCATTGATTGTAATCATTATTTAACACAAAATGCAACTAGAAGAATTAAAAGGATTAGAAAAGTATTAAATCAATCCAGAGATTTAATGAACAAAGAAAATACATCTTGTGAATATAGAGCCATCACTTCACATTTATCATTTACTTTAAATGATGAAGAATTTTCTAAAATCGTGCAAGAATTGGAAGAAACTTTAACTGAGAAGAAGAATATTTCATGTAATAGTAGTAATGATGACATTACCGAGTGTCATTCATGTGCTCATTCTGCAAATGAATGTGTCCATAATGACACAAAAGAACAACCTGTGCATAACGACACAAAAGAACAACACAATCCAACAACAACAACAAGACCACGAACCTCAATATCACAACAACCGCCATCACAACAACAACCGCCATCACAACAACAACCGCCATCACAACAAGAACCAAATTCACTTCTCTTCATTGGACTTCATACCTGTGGATCATTGGCAAGTTCAATCATTCAATTATTTTTAGCATCAAGCAAGTGTCATGCCATGATCAATATTGGATGTTGTTATCACAAATTATGTGAGGGTCATAGCTTTCCATTGTCATTCAATCATCATCAATTAGAAATACCACCCATCTATTTATCTAATTTAGGAAAATCAATGGCATGTCTAAATCCATTTATTTGGAATTCTAAGAGTAGAAAAGATTTAAAACAATGTCAAGAACAATTTAAATTGAAGAGTTATAGATATGCATTTCAATACTTGTTGTATCAAAGAATGGGATATGATGCCATTAAGGACTTGATTATTAGACAACCATCGAAAACAAATAGTATTGTATCCTTTGGAAGGTTTACATTTTATGCATTGCAAAATTTATTACAGGATTATCCAGAATTGAAGAATCATGAATTATTCTCTTCTCTAATGAATGTTCATGATGATGAAACGGAAGAATCTTTTGAAAAGAAATTAAATGACTATTATGCAAATGAATTTAAACCTTGTCCAGACACGGACATTGTAAAGAAGGTAGAGGCATGTTGGTTTTTTAGAAGTTTAATAGGTCCATTATTAGAGTGTTATATTTTACTGGACCGTTTATTGTATTTGAGAGAGCAAAAAGAAATTCCACTAGAGACTGCTTATTTAAAAAGAATATTCGATCCATCTATGTCTCCAAGAGGATTTGTGTTGGTGGCTGTCAAGAAGAGAGAATAAACATAATGCATTAATAAATGGTTTCAAATGCTTAATGGTAGAACACTCGGGTTGCTTCATTCTTACGTTCATTCTGTATGCACTCCACCATCAAACTGCCTTTTCTGATATTCCAATGTTTGCATGAATGACATGTGTGACCACATCCACCTACCTCACAGAAACGAGGTCCAAAGTTACGAACAGAAAGTGATGAAACCCTTATCAATGTCTCCCCGTCACCCTCACTGAAACAAACACCCTCACAACGAAAAATTAACGAACCTAAAAAGAGGAAGCTTCCCAATGAATTCTCAAAATGAAACAAGTTCCCCAACTCTGAAACAAGAAAATTGAGCGTTACTTTCGACATTTCTGAGTCCAACATAGCTGATTTTCATAAATAGGTGCCATTAGTTTCAGTTTTTTTATGTGAAAATCAATACAATTGAAAGAAGTGATACACCCAGGAGGAGACTCTTCGTAACCAACCAATTATTGTTGTAAATAATATAACAACAAAACAAAACCATAACGCAGCTAAAAGCGTGACAAAGTAAATCTTCCTTTTAGAATATCAAACTTCTACGCCCTCTTAATTAAGCTTACAAAACATGGATTAGTTAACACTCTGATCAATGAGTAAAGAAGCTATAAAAATTAAGAAAAAGCAAGCTCACTCACAATAGTTAATAACAACATTTATCTATTTTTGAAATAATTTAGTAAAGAATAATTTAGGGATATCTCAAACGAGAACATGTGTTCACAGAGTTAGCGAATATAAAAGACTATTAAAGTGTCACTAAGTGTAAAAGAAAAGAAGATATAGTGCGACCAGATAGGGAAGAAAAAACTGTTTACACCTTCGATGGTTAATAGTGGTTCCAAGGTTAGGTAATGGTTGGATCATGCAGCCTAGAGAACATTGTATTTTCTTATAATTATAACTTGACCATCTTGCAATATTACTAACGTAGTATCGGTGTTTAGTCATGTAGCAATATGGGCGTTACGTTTTCTGGCTTATTCTCAGGGTTATAACAGAACCCAATCATCTGCTCGATGAGAGTTAATGTTTTAGTTTCTGGATTGAAACTGAAAACGCTAAATCTTCCAACATATCCCTCACCACAAACACGGAATTTGGTATTTGAATGGATTCAGCGTTGAGAGAAATTACCAAACTTTTAACTCTCCTGCATAGCACACAGAAAAAACTCGCATCTCAAAAACCTTTTTATGTGCAAAAAAATGTTAAAACCAGTTGAAAGCGACTCTTTCAGAAAATTGTTGAACTTGTTCTAAGGTCATTTGCTCTTCCTCCTCTATGGTTTTGTTATGCAGTAAATTCCATCCACAAATATTGGGTCCTTTAGTCGTGTATAACTCATGCACACCCTTCACCTGGAGTTCTACCGAAACACCTCGCTTCATGCACCTTTGACTTTAGGTTTACATTTCGCTAGATCAGTCAGCAAAAGTATGACCTATGCTGCGGCATTAACAACGAAATCTTTGTTTCAAGTTCTAATTAACAATAGATCCAAAGTCGGGTTGACAGGTCCTTTAATTTTTTAATGCTGGCTTGAATAGCAAAATGACGGTGTAATTTGTTTAATGGTCAGAACGAAGCTTTCAAGTGCTTCATTTACTGATCCCTTAAAACATGCTTCTCTAACCATTGGTTAATGTCTGCAACAACTTTTTGAGAAGAAGATGACCCATCCAAAAGATCAATCATTGCATGATCATAGTCAATCAACTCTCTTGAGCACCCATTGCTACATTGAGAAAGAGTAATTAATCTCTTTAAATTATTCACTGGAGTCAATACATCATTCTTTCCATGCAAAACAAGTAAATTTTTCACTCCTTTCAATAATCTTAGAGATTCTGATTTGTTGACCTCCTCTAATAACGATAGAATAGCCTTAGCAGTAGACACTGTCCACATATTTGGCATTTGTCTCAATTCAATTCCTGCAATTCCAGAAATTGTATATTTAGCAAAAGTACTTTGACTCGTATTTGAAAATGGATTCACCAATCGATTGACCAATAATTCATACAATTCTTCCTCAGCAAATATAGATGCACCTTTATATCGATAAGGATCATTCATGATCTTTTGTATTCTCTTTCTATTTTTTGTCATGTATTCAATGGGAGGTAAAAGTGAACTTTTTATATCATCATATATACAAATGATTCATGGAGGAAAAAGGTCACACACACATGTACGTACACACACACATTCATACACACACACATTCATACACACACACATTCATACACACACATAAAAGTCACATACACTGTGGACATTATGATAATACTTACTGAGTAGGATAGGATGGTAAATAATAAGTCATAATTCTCATTAATAAATCTTTGGAAGGTGATAACATTTTCTCTGGTGATTTCTCAAATTTAGTTTCATCTTGATACAATTGATGTGGTGAGGCTAAGAGTGGGCATGATAATAAAATGTGATGAAAATGATGTTGTGATGATGATGATGGATCAAATGATGGTGCATGTCTCAATTGTTCCAATCTTAATGTGAGTAATCCTCCCAATACATCACCAATGAATACAATGGGTGGTATATTCATGGAATGAATGTGTTGAGAAGAAGTAGTGGAAGTACCAGAAGAAGTAGTAGTAGTGGAAGAATTAGTAGTATCCTCATTCATAGAATGTTTCAATAATCTTCTCAAAATTGTTTTCCAATGCATTGGAATTCTCTCATTCACAACTTGATATAAATCTTGTAGATATGGAATTTCTGTGTGCATATGACTTGTACTACTACTACTACCACTACTACTACCACTACTACTACTACTACTACTACTACTAGTAGTATTAATAAAAAATCGACTCCCACTCGAACGTCCATGTCCTCTCAAATCAAATCGATAAACAATAAAATTATATTGACGAATTAAAATAGAATCAATCCAATCTTTTTCTAAAGAATCATCAACAATTAATTCTGAATGTGATCCAAAATTATGTACAAATACAATAATACCATTGTATACAAGTGGAGTAGATGAATGATTCATTTCTTGATTATTATCATGTGAATTCACTGATTGATATTTAATTCTTTCATAAATATAATCATGAGAAGAGTGAGATTGAAATCTTTGAGAATGATCCATTATGATGATTGGAGTTGTAGAAGTACTAGTCGTAGTAGTAGTCGTTGTTGTTGTCGTCGTCATATTACTAGACTTGTTTGACGTCGTCACGGAATATGTATCGAGTGGATATTGAGTCGACAAGGATATCATTCTGTCATCATGATGACCATCAATATTGTGATTTTCCAAAAAGTGCGAAAAAAAATCGAGTAAAATCGAAAACGATTTGCTCAAATTCGGTCAACCCTCATTTTTTGGACGTTTCTTCCCGAAAACGATTTTGCTTGATGTTGACGAGATACGATGTTGATGCTATTCGTGCAAAGTCGAAAAAATCGATTATGATCGACCTGAATCGATTACCTCAACACGATTCATTTCTCAAAGTCGATGTTTTTCGTCCAAAATCGAAAAAATCAATTATGATCGACATGAATCGATTTTCTTGATCGTCAGAGTTGAAAAAATCGATCATGAAGAACCTTTAATCAAATAAACTCTGATAATTTGCTTCTATTTGATTTTTCTCCTCTTCCTCTTTTTGTCTAATCTTCTCTTTCTTTACCTCAATCAATTTTGCAACTTCATTCACCAATTTGGTCAAAGGTTTTACATACTGTTCCTCTTGTTTTGCAATATCTTCTTCTTGTTTTTTAAATCTCTCAAGTAACTCCTCCTTTTCTTTCTGAACTTTCAATAATTGATCTGCAATAACTTTTGAATTATTTTCTTCCATGTCTTTCATAGTTTTTAAAAACTTTGTCGAATTTTGCATATCCTTATCATTAGTATCACAGTCTTGTTTAGCGTTAATAAAAATTTGCTTCTTTAACTGATCCAATTTGAAAATCTGGAATTCTAAAACAGGTGATTTGAACGTAGTAACTTGTGGTGTTGACTCAGGTTTTGGATCAAGATCAAACATATCATGCAAATCCATGCCACATATATCAAGCTCAGGAGCCATTGAAGGTGTTTCCTTGGTCTTTGACTCGTCCAATTCTTTCTTAATGACCAATGATTTTTTTTGAATAGAAGCAAGAGCTTTTTTGAATACAGGAGAGACGCTTTTGTCTGTATCACCTTTTCTTGTACGCTTTTTCGCATTGTCTCTCAATTTATCTTGCGCTTCTTTATACATAACTTCCTGCAAATCGTTGCCATTATCATCAATCCAATCCAAATCATCTTTCTCATCATCCTGATCTGAATGTTCTGATTCGCTGTCACTACTGTCACCTTGAATTTGTGAAGCCAATGATTGTTTTTTGTTGGAGTGAGCAGAAATCTCTTTTTCAATCTCGTTAACAATCCATTTCTTGTTTTCTTGAATGAAAGTATCAAAAAAATCTTTCACACGTTTGTCATCTTTTGGGGCGTTGCATGTTGCTGGTAAACCATCTTTGTATTTTCTTGAACCTTTAGCAGTAGGAAATGTGAAATTTGTATTTTTTTTTGTTTCTAATTGGAGCTTCTTGAAAACTTTGCTTGCTGCTTTTGAATTTGTCATTCCATGAGAATAGAGCTCATTTGAACAAATAGGTAATGTGGTTGCGAGTATTTCGCAAAAACGATCAAACGTGTTCCACTTTGTTTTGTCTTTGCCCATTTTTTTTCAGTGAGAAAACCGTTGTTATTGTTTTTTGACGTTGACACAATCGCACAAAAAACAAGACGACTTAAAAAACAAGAGGCCGTTGAGTTTTTTTTATTCCGAAACAAATCAATGTCGTTCAATTCAACATTTTCGATATGAGAACATTAAACAATTCAACATAATCGAGCAGAATTGATTTTCTCAACAATTTCTTATCAATTTTGCTCGAAAAAATCGATTTCCACATGGTAAAAGCAACGCAACATCGATTCACAAACGATGAAAGACGAGTTTTCAAACAAAAAACAGGTGTCCAAATATCTCAAAAACTAAGACCATATATCCAAGGTCAAAAATTAGCCCCAGAACAAATTGAGTTCATTAAATTGGTGTGTGGAAAGTATGGAGATAAACCAAAGGTCTTGCAACAAATTTTACCTTTCGCACCTTCAACGATTTACAAATATTGCAATGAAATACAAAAAGAAAAAGCTCTCGGAAGGCCTCCACATTCAGGTAAATCAACCCACCTCTCTGTGTTAAGATTTATTGATATCATATTCAGTGAATATAATACTGTTAATTATGCAGAAGTACGTCAAATAGTTAAAGATTATCTTGATGTTTCAATTTCCGTATCTCAGCTCTCCAAAATAACGACAAAATATTTGTTCAGGACATATAAGAAATGTGAAAAAGTATCAGTATATCGAAAAAGCCCAAGAGTACAATCTCAAAGAACTGTGTACAGGCGAACTATTCGAACCTACAAAACAAGAATCATGTTTTTTATTGACGAATCGCATTTCTGTTATGACCATTTGATTAGAACAAGGGCTCACATCAAAATTGGCAACACTTGTCAAAACAGTGCGCACAGAGTGAGTGGAAAACGTTTTTCATTATTGGCATGCATTAACGAGAGAGGAGGTTTGGTTTACTGGGAACTTGTCGATACAACTAACAAAGCAATTGATGCTGATCGATTTAATATATTTCTGACAACATTGAGCAAATTGATCCCAAAAGATTGTATTTTAGTTCTTGACAACGCATCCATTCATAAGGAAAAAGAAGTTCATAGTATAATGAATGGCCAAGGTATTAGTGTGTTTTGGCAAAGCCCATACTCTCCTGACTTCAATCCCATTGAATTGCTTTTCGGATGGATGAAAACACAGTTGAAAAACTATGAACATTCGGTTGACTCTCTCGAAGAGATAATGGAGCAGGTGTTTGATCAAGTTACACCCAAGTTAATCAAATCGTTTGTTCATCATTGCAAGGAAATCTGGCATGATGAGACAAAAACTTAATAAATTTCGAGTTTGATCGAAATCGATTTTGAAGGATTTCGATGTTAATCAACATCAAGTCAAAACGACAACGCATCAATGTCGCTCATTTCGATCTCGAAAAAAATCGCGAAAAAATCGTCGATTTTTTATTCGCACTTTTTCGAAAATCACAATATGACCACCACCACCACCATTATTACTACTATCAAGTTTCCTATATACTTGCATCATGTAATCATCATAATAGGGATCCACATGATTGGGTGGTATTTGACTATAAATTTGATAAAGAATTATTCCATAAATGATTAAAATGATTGGAAATGTGATGGCCACATATCGAAGAGCACTGAACCATAGAGCACTTCTTTTTGATGGATTGTTTGTTGAGTGTAATGAAGATTCACTCTGAGAAGAGGATGTTCGAGATGATGATAGCTTGCCATTTCTACTTGCAGGTTTCTTTGAATTCAGATGGTTCCATGAGGAGGTGGTGGTGCTCTTGGAAGTCATTTTTTAGTTTTCGAAAAAACACAAGCTCTCCGCTTTTGGAAGATAAAAAAATGAAAGTCGTCACCTTTTGAAAAATTGGTAAGAACAAGAACGACACCAAGAGGTTTCCATTCCTTTGTTTTTGTCTTTATTACAAACGATGAATGCATTGAGAAAGGATATTTATTATACGGAGTAGATTCAAATATTTAAAATTTCTACAAGGAAGAAAACTCAGTCGAATGAACGGAAAATTGAAGCATTGAACGTGACATTTAAATGAAATAATGTGATCAAAATATATCTAGTCCAAACAAATATCAATGATTCTGTTATGTGAGCGACATAAGCGTGTCCTTTTCTTTTTGATTGCAATTTCTCAATGAAGACATTTGCTGCACAACAAAGTTCCATTGACTCCCAGAACTTCTAACACAAATCATATTTTCTTCCTTGCACTGCTACTGTCAGATATTGCAATATCTTGTGATAAGATCAAGGCTGGGAAAGGGAGTCTCAACAAGGCTAGCCAGCATCGCAATAACAGCATTTTGCTCAAGCAACAAAAAATTTCATCATCACCGCCTATTGTTGCATCATCACCGAGAAAGAAATCTTACCCAACAGCCATTGCGTTGCTTGGTTTGAAATACATACCACCATCATCATCATTATATTCATTATTTGGTGCACCAAGTAACATTCGAATCTTCTGATTTTTGTATATTCCGGGTGATGAGGACAATCACTAAATAATCATCATCACCAGACGTAACCCTAAATCTGAGTACAAATAACATTCGGCAACAATACGAGAACCATCACGTACATCCAAAACAATGATATCTTCCATTCCTTCCAATAATACTCCATCATCAGGAGTTGAACCTATCACAACAACAACATCTTCCATGAGTTTAGAGTTCAATCCAATTATTGCTTCCTCTCATAACAACACTTCTAGGACACAATCATCCCCACAACAACCACCTTCTTCACCTCTCTCCGCTGCTATTGATAGCAATGATAAAACAACAACAACAACCGACCCTATCAATTCGAACGAGTTGTCTGAATTACTACTAGGTATCTACATGAGGAATGCAATACAAAGTAGTGTAAAGAGGAAAGTAGAAGAGATTGCCATGGACAAGACAACAGCCAATGCCCTGAGTTTTCACTACAAGAAAAGGCAAGGATTAGTGAGGACTGATCTTGAGAAGAAGAGTATCAACAACACGAATGGTGGTGCTCTTGATGGCATGGTATCTACAACAACAACAACAACAATACCATTATTGATTCAAGAGAGCATCTCTAATGACCATTCTATCGTGAGTACACTGAATGCACCTTCTACCAATCTTTTCTGTGCTTCCTCAATCCATGATCTTACAACAACAACCGTTATCGAGAAGAACACTTCATCCAACACCACCTCTATGCTTGACAATAGTAGAGGCAATCATGATAACTCTACTTCAGTATCGGATGACAAAAAAGTACCAATGGCTTTTTCAACCATGACCAACACGGACAACAACGAAACTGATAGCGAAACAGAGGCAGAGAAATTCACACGAACATTTATGGAAGATTATGTGAATGATGATTTAATTGTGAATAAGGATGAAGAAGCAAATATAGTTCCTGTAAATGTTAAAGACTATGTCATGGACCACTTTAGAAAAACAATATTATTGGAATGGGACAATTACAAAAGATCCACTCAGTTTAAATATGAATGGATAGAAACACGTATTAAGCATCTACAGCAAGAATATAATTATATTTTAGACTTGTTGCAAGAAAAGCATAGTTTAATACATTCGAATTCTGACCAGAGTAGTGATAATATTTCTGAAACATTCAATGGAGATACATTTAAACCAAGTACATTACTACAAGAAACTTTGCTTTCTCCAGCTAAGAGAAGAAATGATTTTATGCAACATCCATTTTTTAGCAGTTTTGAAGAGTTTTTTAATAGAGAATTAGAACACTTTAGACAATTGAAAGAAAAACAATCCGACTTGGCAACTATTTCATCTCATTGGCTATCTGCAGCAGCTGGTGGTGCATCCTCTGTGGTGAGACAACAAGTCGCTTCTGATACAAACACAATGGTTGATGAAAGTGTCACAAGTGCTGTTGCTCCTCCTTCTGATATGACCACAACGACCATGCCAACAACGACTATGCCAACAACGACTACTGCTGCTCCTACCATGATGACTAGTAGTAGTAACAAACCACAAGCAGCAGCAACAACAACAACCACACAACTACACTCATCCATGAGTGCACTCTCACCAACAGCATCATCTCTCTCCATTATCACTCTAAATTTAAATTGTCATCCTGGATCATCATTACCCCTTACTTCTCCTCAAACTAGTAAGATTATGTATCCATTGCCATATATTACCTCTGCTGATATTTTGGACTCTTTGCAATTAATCTACAATCCAAACACATCCTATTCCAACTATCCTTTACCTAGAAGAACATATCCACTATCCTTTTCTAACATTATGAATCAATACAATAAGAAGAAGAAAAGAGTAGGATCTTCGAGAAGATCAACTTCTATTCGATCTGTTGCTGGTTTCCGTAGAAGTAGAGGTGCTGAGGATAACCCAACTGAAGATATTGTTATTTTTGATACTGGTGTTTCAAATATTAAGGATATCAAATATAAGGAAATTGTAACACCATCGTTTAGAGTTTTGACAAATGAAGAATTATCTCAATTACCAACAATTAATGAAACAGAAGAAGAGGAAGACATTTCAGATGCTAGATATTGTTATTTACATATTGATAATGAAATGCAAGAAAGACAAAAGTATTATCTGGCATCACTTCCCACAACCGATAAAAAGAAGAAGAAGAGTCAAGCAGACGAAGAAGAAGAAATTCGAAAGACTATGAAATATCAAGTTCCAAGTTATGAAACCATTGTAGAGGCTTTTGAATCGTTCAAATCCAAGCGCAGTGAAGAACAGTCCTCAACCACCACCACCACTGAAATTTGTCATCCGAAACCACCCGTTCACAAATTTTCTGAGAATTTCACGTATCTAGTTCCAAAAGATCAAATGGTGAGTGGTAGTACGAGCAGCAGTACATGTGCTACTCCAACTTCCTCAAAAACAACCCTAATGAATGCCAAATTAGCCTATACTTCTCAATCATCCACCACGAGTTTGACATCTCCTCAAAAGAAACAAAAAGATAAAAAGACAGCAGATCAGAGCGTGATACCAAGATGGAAATTAATTACACTTGAATCCTATGTTCCTTATCCAATCGCTCCATGTGAAGATCCGAGGGGTAATTGGGAAGAATTGAAATTTAAGAGTAGAGAGAGAATGCAAAGTTTATCACTTTCTGTGGATACTCCAATATTGAATCCAACAACAACAACAACCATGACTCTACCATCCGTAGAGGACGATATTTCAAGAAAAAGAGGTGTTGGACAATCATCTCTTTTAGAAGAAGATGAAGTAATGATTGAAACCAATGATTATGACTTGGCATCCAATACATTGAACACTGAGACAACGCTTCGAACTTATGCATCTCTTAATCAATCGAACAGTGCAAATAGAAAACGCAAAAAGCCACCCACTTCCATCGATGATGATACTCTTATTGCACTCTCTGAAGATGACGAAGATGATGTTGATTATAGAGATTCTCTGAGAAAAAAGTCTTTGAATCGTGACAGTGATGAAGATGCAGATGATGAAGATTACATTGAAAGTAGAGACAGAAAGAAAAACAAATCAAGTACAACAGGTTCTGGTTACACCTCTTCTCATTCAAGAGGAAAGAAGAGAGGACCAGGAAGGCCTAAGAGTACAGAAACCACAGAGTGCACTGCAACAAGTTTTGTTGCTGATCGAATTTATGACACCAAGATTGTACTCAAGTTAAATGGAGGAGGTAGTGTGGACACCTCTTCCAAAGAAAAGAAGCAGTCCAGTAGTAGTAGTAATGGAAAGAATAAGAAACATCACAAATAAATATTATAGAACTCCATGTCAGCAACCAACTTTTGATGAAAGGAAACCAAATATTTGAGAATGTTATCCGTCAACTTTCTGTGATTTTCACTTGTCAAAAAAAAATCTGTGAAGGGTTGCTTCCCGTGAAGAATTTGTGTGTTTGGCTGACGGTCATCAAAAAGAGGCAGAATCCTCCTGCTCTTAGCCATTGAATCGGATTATTGTTGCCTCTTTGAACATTCAATAATTTCTCACTTCACTCCGAAGCGTGTGTGTGTGTGATGATCAAAAATTCATCATCCTCTCTGCAATAGCATTACACATTTACACTTTTACACCTGCCAATCACACCACCTTCTCAAGAACAAACAACAACTTTGAACAAACAAATTTATCATGATCTCAAATCAAACCTCTTCTCTTGTCCGTTCCTCAAAATTTAGACATTTGAATGGTCATGAATATCCCAAAAGTGAACGTCACGAAAATATCAATGTTGGATACGGTCAAAAATTATCCAATACTCTGAAAACGAATGGCTCACTCTATGTATTACCCTACAACTCCATTGGTGGTAGTGTACTCGCCTACAAGAGAGTCGATGATTATGGTCGATGGGATGAAAAGATTCAAAATTATGGAATGATCAAAGCTCACAAAGGAAAATTATCAGATTTTGATTTGTCACCATTCAAAGATAGAAATGATTTATTGACAGTCTCTAATTCTGATCATACCATTCGATTATGGAAGTTAAATGCAGAATCTAATTACAAAATATTAGAAGATTGTGATTTGGAATTGAATGATCCTAGCGTTACATCTTCAAACATGTCCATTATTAGTAAGGTTGTCTTTCATCCCTATATTGAGAAGAGTGTTGTGAGTGTTCAAGGAGATTATATCTATTTATGGGATTTGGAAAAACGAAAAATCCAATACAGTGTCATGAATGGAAAAGTCTCTACAGCATCATTGAATAATACTTCTCCAATCATTGTAGAAAGTTTATCATGGAATGACAATGGTCAATGTATGATTTGTGGTACTTCGGATCGATTCATTCGAGTCTATGATCTTCGAGAGATGACATCAATATCTTCATCCTCATACTCTTCAACATCCTCCTCTTCAACATCCTCCTCAATGTCAACAACAACAACATCTCCCATATTCAGTGTAGAAGCTCATGCCAGTATGAAACCCTTTCAAACTCTGTACAATCATGGAACTCATTATGTAACCAGTGTTGGATTTTCCAAATCAGGTACACGTGAATTGGCACTCTATGACATGAGAAAGGATTTGAAATGTTTACAACGAGTACCGATTGACAATGGTGCATCTGTCTTGACACCCTTCTATGATATGGATATTAAATTACTCTATGTAGCAGGAAGAGGAGATGTGAATATTCGATTCTATGAATTAGAAGGTGGTACTCTTCATTATTTGAATGATTACAAATGTTCAAGTGCGAGTGCGAGTATGGATTGGATACCAAAATGGAAATTATCAGTCAATGATTTTGAATTGGCACGATTCCTTCGATTAACCAATGACAAGACCATTGAAACTCTTTCCATGAGAGTGAGTAGAAAATCCAATATTGAACAATACTTTCAAGAAGATATCTTTCCAGATACTTGGAATGGAGAACCAGTGTTTGAGACATGGAATGATTCGATTCGTACAAGTAGTAGTTTCATGAGTAGTAGTAGTAGTAGTAGCACCATGAGTAGTAATAGTAGCAGTACGACAAGTATGAATTTTAACTCAGAATTATTTTTCAGAAGAACCATGTCGTTGAAACCTGAGGGTAAAATTTCTATTTATGATGTTCCAGTGAGTGAGGGAGGCAAGGTGAGACCATTGGGTGTTACTAGTAATAATAATAATAGTAGTAGTGGCACTAATACTAGTCATAGTCACAATAATAATCATAGCAATGGTGGTGATCGTAGTGCAGATTATTATCATAACATCCATTCAGAGTCTCCATCATCAAGTACCATTCCATTAGACTCTACTCATTCCATCAAAATACCCTCTCTGAGATCTCAACTCTCAAATAATGGCACCTCACACACTCTAGATGCTCCTACGTTAATGTCTCCAACAGAGATTACAAGAAAATCTCTTTCTCTTTCCATTGCATCCTCTATTGCAATGAATTCTGCACTGGCTGCAGCCAATCGACCATGGTATTCTAAATTATTCTCTGGTTTAGGTTATTATTTGGGAATGGCCATGTTCTTACTCTTTCGATTCACATTGATTTCCATTCCTGTATTTATTTATAGAAAGACGACTGGATATCAACCACCACCGTTACAACAGAGATTTGAAAGACAAGTACCACCCTTGAGTCATAATACAAGTTATAATAATCATCGGCATCGAAGAGGTGGTACGTCCTTAAAGAATGCTGCTACTACTACTACTACTAGCCATTCATCCACCACTCAATCAACAATTCTCATCACTCCAACAAGTACTACTACCAACAACAACACCATGAATGAATCCTCCACCTATTCCAAAGTAGGAATGGAAATTGCACGTGAATATGGTCAAATGATCATGAAAGAATATATTGGTCCACTCACTAAGGAAGACATCTTTCCGAAAAGAGCTCATGATCGAGATCCACAATTGAAACAATCTCATGTTCTCGAAATTGATGTGACTGATTTGAAAAAAGGTTCAACTCATGTCTTGATATGGATCAAAGGTAGAAAGAAAGCTAGAGCTACATGGGTTCCATTGCATTGGTCTTCTCTCAATCATAATGATTGTTTTCTATTAGACACTGGTAAGACTGTATATATTTACAATGGACAATATTCCAACAAGTTGTGTCGAGCCAAAGCATTGGATATGAGTCAAATGATTAAATACAAGGAAAGAGGTGGAGATTGTCAAGTAGTTATTATTGATGGAGGTGTTTATACGAGTAGTAGTAGTAGTGGTAATAATAATAATAGTAATAACAGTACGAATACGAATAATGACTCAATCACACCACTCCTTAAAAAACAAATGACTCAATTTTGGACCTTATTGGGAGTCACACATGAATCTTCTTCTACTACTACTACCACACCACTCTCCAAATCCCAACCCACACTCACACTCACACCCACCGAAGATACTTGGATGAAATTACTTTGTGAACATTATCCTCCTGTGGAAAGAGCAGCACACAAAAATGTCTTTTCCAAACTCAAAATTGCAGAAAAGAGCAAGTACATTTGTCAAGATGAAATCTCTGATGATTTATATCAACAATTGAATGATTTAGGACAACGACTCTACAAACTCAATTCTGAAATATTTGAAGAAATGCCACTTTTCATTGAGAAGAATGAAACACAAGATGCATATATTCAAAGAATTGCACCACACATGTTGAGTGTGATTAAATTGAATCAAGTACCACACGGTGAAATTGAATCTCTAAAACAACTTGAAGAATGTATTGAAAAGGGTGAATTGAATGCATTGGAAATTATTCAACCAAGTCATCGTGTATTACATTCTGATCAATGTTACATTTTTGAATCTCTCTTCACGAATGAGGTATTCTTTTGGAGTGGTAAACAAAGTAATTTAAATATTAGAAAATGGGGAATTGCAATTGCAAAGAAATTGGCACAATATAGAGCCATGCATGATAATCCATTTTCACTCATGAATCCAGCCATTCAACGAGCAAGAAAGAGGTCCATGCGTCGTCATCTTGGTGGTGATCATGATACTACAAACGCTCCTCATAGTCATGATACTACTACAATGAGTCCTTCGAGTCATACTACTACTACTACAATGAGTCATACACCACCACCACCTTCCTTAATATATTTCATGTCCACAGTCACTCGTGTCATTGAAGATGGTGAACATTCCATTTACAAACAAAAATTTAGTGATTATCCTGGAATGCTCATGATTCAAACACAACATCAAGAAGCCTCACGTGGTAACATTGCTGAAACCAAAAAACAACGAAAAATTCCATTCGAAGAATTATTGAAACAAAAATATGCAGAACTCTCTGGCGCCACCAACCCTAACACCACTACCGGCATATGGAATTCTAAAATTAGAATGTGGCGGGTGAGTGATTTCCAGAAAATACCCTATGCTCATATTGGTCACTTTTTCAGTGGCGATGCATTCATTCTACTCTATACTTATACAAAGGTTGAGGGTGGTAAACCATTTCATAAACTCTTCTTTTGGCAAGGTAGAGATATTAAAAAGAAAGATAAAGGAACATCAGCCTATAAAACTGTGGAGGTGAATGAAATGATTGATGAAGGTGTTGTGGAACAACAAGTACGTGTGGTTCAAGATAAAGAACCTCAAGTATTTATGGATTTATTTATGACGACGACGACAAGATGCTTCAATAGGATGAAACATGATCATTCCATCATGATGACGGCACAACACCATCTCTCAGTCCCTTATTACATGGTTCATAAAGGTAAATACAGAGAGTCTGTCTTGGAAGCATTTGAAAAGGCTCAAAAAGAAAATTCAATAATCAAATCAAAGATGACTCCATTCACTGCTATTAGTAGTAGTAATACTATGACGACGAGTATGACGAGTACGAGTACCACGACGAATACGACGAGTACGAATACGAATACCACTACTACTATTGACAGTACCACCTCTTCCAATTCTACTACTCCAGTGAGTGAGTTCAACAACATGGATAATGACACGACTCGATTCAGCAGTGGTAGTAGTGCAATGAAATCCGAATCACCACTCGCTCAACGTGGTGGTGGTGCCTCAAGCAATAACAACAACACTCCTACTACTACTACTCCAACTCGATTCACATCTTCATCTTCAACAACAACAACACCTACCACTCCATCTTCAGAATATTCTTCTTCATGGGATGATGACACCAATAGCAGCAACACCTCCTCCTCCAACAACAGCACTCCAATCAAACTCTTTCAAAACATCAAATCAACTTCACTCGATGATCATGAAAAGAAATATTCTCCTCAAGTTTTACAATTCCAAAAAGAAATGATTCGTCAAATTGCAATGAAATCACTCTATGATTCAGATACCACTACTCTTCATTGTTATGACGTTCGAAATGGAAAAGTGTGTGAATGTGATGATTTACATCCTGTATTTTTAAATCCATTCCATGCCATGATCTTTTGTAATTATAATTTTACTGTAGAATTGAATCGAAAGGAAATGAATGCAAGTGTATCTACCATAACAACAACAACCATGAATGAGGATATAATAATAATGAATGGTACTGTAGAGGATGTTGCAACCACTCAGTACAACAATGATGATGATATTGGTTCTGGTGGTTCTGGTGGTTCTGGTGGTGCTGGTACTATTGCATGTAAACCACAATTAATTGTCTATTATGGAATGTATTGTCCACTGGATGAAAAGAAATTTATTGAAAATCATGTCTTGAAGGAATTATTTTCAACATTTCGACAAGATGAAATTCTATTCATTCAAGATCATGATGTGAACAATACCATTGAACAATTATCCAAACATGTCTTTAAATCCATCATTGATCCATACTTTGAACCATTCTTGTTGAGATTCAAGAATTATTTATTACAACCAAAGCGTATCACAAGTCCTGCAATTTCAACTCTCTATTCTATTAACGATCATTCGGGTGAATTTACAATGACTCCCATTCAACATTATGGTGAATCTGATTTGTCATCAACACAAGCCTACATCTTAGATACACTTGATTTGGAAGAAAAAGTTTATGTATGGATTGGAAAATTATGTAATATTGAAACAAAGAAGTTTGCATTGACAAGTGCTTTGGAATATTATCACACATGGAAGTGTCAACAACAAAAAGATTCATTCTATACAAAAAAGAATACTACTACTACTAGTGAAGATGACTTTGATCCTGCATCATTTGTCAAGAAAGAAGATGAAATGAATTTACGTGTGGTTACAGAATTAGAAGAACCACCAGAATTTACAAGACATTTCCTTGCATGGTCAACATCATCCACTGCATTCAAGATTCGATACAAGCAATCCAAGGATCCAAATGTCATTTCGAAAGGTTTTGTAAAAACACCTAGAACACCAAGAAGAAGTACTCATACTCACCAAATGGTCAAATCGTCTGCATTGGATCAAGATCACTCCTCAGGGGTCTATGAAATTGAACACTGTCCAACCTGCACCAGTTTGTATAACAAATTATTCTCTCATCAAACATATAGTTATAAGGTTCTTACAAGTGGATCATTACCAGAAGGTATTGACAAGTCCAAATTGGAGACTTACTTGTCAAATGATGAATTTATTAAGGTATTTGGAATGGATAAGAAGAAATTCTCTCAACTTCAACCTTGGAAACAAACCTCCCTCAAGAAGGAAAAGAGTTTGTTCTAGACTTGTCAACAACACGATGGAGTGTATCTACAAGAATTGAAATGTTATTGTGTTGTGCCAAATAAATTTAATAATTATTAATTCCATGCTCTTTCATATATTGTTCTGCCAATTCAAGAGTTGGGAATGATTTAAATTTTGCTCCTCTGAAATTATCAACTTGTGTTTTGCACTCTTCCCAGGTTAAATAAATACCGGGCTTTCTCCCTGAGGCCACACAATAATATTTACCACTACGCTTACTTGAGTTGGCAGATTCTAAGGTTGAGGGTTTTTGACTCATTTTAGTCTTTTTCATAATTTCAGAAGAGTATCCAGAGGAAGATGCTTCTTGTGTTTTTCTCTTTTTTGGATTTTGTGTTAATGAGCTAATTCCTTCCAAATCAATTTTTTCTAAAATATCTTCAAATTGTTTCTTTCTTGCTGCAAAGCTTTGTGAATGTTTTGATAATAATGTTGCAATAAATATTTCTTTGGGTGATTTGTCATGAGGAATGAATGAATCATTTTTGCTAATTTCTCTGTAAAATTCAATGGCTTCTCTATTGATATGTCTTGTTAGTGTTGAAGCGTTAAAGTTTTTCACTTGTAAATATTTCATTGTTTTGGCTCTAGAAAGTGCTACATAAATTTGTCCTGGACTAAATACTGTTGATAAATCAATGACACACTTATCGAGGGTAAGACCTTGTGTTTTATGAACAGTCATGGCTAGATGAATGTGTGTTGGGAACATTAAGATGTGTTTGGAATAATTTCTTGATTCAACATACCATAGGCAAGTTTTAAAGGAATTTGTAAACGAGTACCTTTCGATTTCTTTGGACCATCCGTTTCAAAGATGGCTGTAAGTGTATGACACACAAAGGGCAAACACAGGTTAGGGCAAACACAGGTTATCATCAACAAGTATTCAAAAAAAGAACCCATCCAGAAATTCCATCAAGAAAAAACCATTTCATCGTTCATAGGATGAAAGAAACATCATTGTTGAAGGATGAGAGAACCATCAGAATTCTTCATACTTACCTGGATGTACAATTTTGATAATCTTGTATTCCTTTCCATTTTCTTCTCTTGTAAAAATAACCTTTGGAAATAATTCTCCATTTTCGTCAATCCATGTTTGAGCATAAGGCTTCAACGTTTTTGTCGTGGAATATAAATCTTGTGCTGATTGTTTGACAAATCCAATCACCTCTCCTCGTGTACCATTCACTAATTGATTGGTAAAATCATTCTTAATCATCATGACTTGAGCACCAACTCTCAAACTAATTTCCTGAGCAGCATTACTTGAATTAAAATTTGATAAAATAGCATTTCGTATGGATTCTTTGGTGGTTGGAGGATCTACACCTGGATCATACTCTCCATATGAAAAGTAAGTATGATCTTTGAAAATAAAATGTGGAGGAGTGAGTTTCAATAATTCACTTTCATTGACACCATCAACGTTCTTATTGAGAGTATGAATGACTGTTGATTTTTCCATTCCATCAAATCGATTGTGTTGTAATTTTGAGAGTTGAGAAATTGCATTGGAATCAATTCGACATGTTCTTATGGAATTTAAAATAGATACCCATTGTTGTTCTTCTTGTCTAAAGACATTGGTTAATTCAAAAGTATACTTGATGGTTTTAGACCAACATTTTGCTTTGAAACACATTTCTTTTTTTTGATAGACAGTTTCTAGAAGATGTGTCATATGGATCATCGTATTATGTATAATATGGATAATAAGGATAATCATTAAATGAATAATAGATTTGTAATATGTATAATATGGATCATAGATGTGTAATATTCAATAGATGATGCATCACAAGTAATATATTCATGCCAATGGAAAATAATAAAAAAACGTAATTGAAATTCAAAACAACATCAAAATAAGCAATAATTCAAAATCACAAAACACAACACCAAAATACTCACCTCCATGTTCGTTTTTAAAAGGTTTTGCGACGGGTGGTAATTGTAAAAAATCACCACATAAAATCACTTGAATTCCACCAAATGAAGGTAATTGTTTCATGACAATTTCTTGTGGTGCTTTTGATGTTGCAATTTCAAAGAAACATCTAATCTCTGTTGCTATGGATTCAAGTTGATCAAAATATTGAGCATCAATCATGGATATTTCATCAATGATTAAAACATCTGTAGATTGCCATTCTTTATCATTTCTCCACGCAGTTTTACTATCCACTTTACCATTGTCAAGTGTTCTAATACCTGCAAATGAACTAGAGAGGATCATTTTGTGTCATGTTGTGTCATTGATGGTTCGTTTGAAGCATTTTATGTTTGTTAATTGATTGTTCGTTTGAGGGTTGGACATGTGGATCATTATTATGAGATTGGATCAAGTTTAGATTGTCATTTATGGTTGGTTTGAGAGTCATGATTGATGGTTCGTTTGAAGGTTGGAAAAGGGTTTTCATTAAAATGGTTCGTTTGAAGGTAAGGTTCCAATGTCATTTAAACACCACTGCTACTACTTACTGAATGGTAGAGCCTCCAATATTCACTGCTGCAATTCCAGTGCTGGCTGTGACAACTACTTTCTTTTGATAGACATTGGTCAATGTTTTAATAATACATTCCAATAGAAATGATTTTCCAGTTCCAGCAACACCTGTAATAAATATTGAATGTCCTTCAATGGCACATTTCAATACTTTTAATTGTTCATCACTTAATTTTGATAAAAGATTTGAATAATTCTCACATTCATTCATATCAAAATTGGCTAACTCTGGAAATAGATCAGATGGTATTGAATGAGAAGAGGATAGAGAAGATTGCATTGCTTCTGTTCGATGAGTGTTGTTTTGAGAGCGAGTATTATTCGTACTTGTAGTAGCAGTAGAATGGTTCTTCTTTGGATTGGATGCTATTTTCATTCTCATTTCATGATGCTGTTGAATAGCCTTGTCCAGGTAAGAGGATGATGATGAAATTGTATTCCCATGGGAATGTTGATTGAAATTCCGAGAGGGTGTTTCCTTCTTGTTGTTGTTGTTGGATGGTGTTGTTGCAGGAACAAAATAAATACCATTCCGATTCATAGTGTGTGTGATGATGGAGTAAATTTACTGAGAATGAATAAATTAGAGTAAAAGGCTTTGAGCAAGTTCAAATAATTTTTTAAAGAGTGAAAATAAGGTTGGAGGGAAAGCACCTCTTGTTCTGGTTGGAACTAATTGAGAGAGTTGAATGCATCTATTGATGAAAGCAATGTACACAAAGCCAACTATATTTTAATATTATGGACTGTTGTTAAATTTGAGTTGCTACAATTTTCGATAGACTTTTTGGCTTTCCGCACAAACTCTTGTTGGCTTTCACAAGAAAGCCAAGAAACAATGTTAACAAGCATGAGAGAATGATACTTCCAGCAAGAAAACAGGTGTGTTTTCAAAATAAAAGTCTTTGACTGAAGTCTTTTTCTCAGGAACCGGCTTTCGATTCTCTCGGCGATGTCCTTTTCGCAAAAGCGTTTTTGACCACCAAAATAGTTCTAAAAAATATTGAATCTGTCAACACAAAAAACACAGACATGTCAGCGGTTCACTTGACTCCTCGCAAGACCATTCCGCCGGCAATGCTGGTAGTTTGGAGTTCTGTTGCCACCATGCTCTTGTCATCATTATTTTATTCATATCATCAAAGCATGATTTTTTCCTCATCCTTCTTCTTTCACAATACGACGAACCATACCAATCACAGCAACAAGGAAACGCTCGGGCTACCAGTAGTCATGTCATCATTTTTCCAATTTTCCAATTCGTCTTTGTTCGTACATGCTCAACAACAAGAATATTCATGTCTTCAACTTTCACAATCTGACACAGCTTCCGTTATGATACCTTCTCAAGATTATTTACGTTATCGTTTTGAATTCAAATCTGAATCGCCAGTATATCGCTCGAGATTCTTTGCAGATTTATTTTTGAGTGGAATTTCAAATGAATGGAATCAATTGGATGGACAAATGTTTGCATTCTTTGCAGTGATCAAGATGGATGATACCTTCAGGAAGGAATTATTGAAAACTAAAATACTTTCAAATAATCAGCAACAACAACAACAAGTATTAGAATTCAATTCCTCTTGGTTACCATACTTGTACAATTCCACATTCTATGTCAAGAGAAATTTGAAAAATTCAATTGTATATTATCCATTGAATTTTGATGCACGAATTAATTTAGATCCAAACATGATACCTTCTTTGAACCTTTCCTATTCATTACACTACCTCAACTCTGATCAATTATATCGAAATATGATTCGTTTAGATGCTCTTAATTTCACTTCACAACATCACGAAGATGCATCCTCTTTTGGTAATCTTATCATGGGAGATGGACTTGAAAATACCTTATCCATGTTTTTACCAAGTAATCCAAAACAATATAATTTGACTGTTCTATCACCCTTATATACTTCAACAATGATTGGATCCAATCGTAGTGAACCTCAACAACAACAACAACTTGATGTGAATCTTTCTTCCACATGCTCACTCCTGTACAACCCTTCCAAGAATCCAAATATGAATCATGAATTTCTATTGCTAAGTTTTATGGTACGAGACTCTACGTATACTCAATTATTTGACACGATGCAAATGGAGAGTCAAGGACTTTTTGCACCTCTACCTTACAAGATTTCTCAATTTCGATATTCATTTTCATATTTTAATGATAGTGTGGAATGTAGTGATTTTCCATTTACTTCACTTTATACATCTTATATTCGAGTGGTAAATGTGATTGATTGGTTCAGTGTTGGCCTTATTGTATTATTGCTCATACCCATGTATTTTATTTATAGACATGAACAACCGTAAGTATTCCGTGAGTATACGAGTTCAATGATGAGTATAGCATACCATTTGACATTCAATACCATCTCTTCATGCACTTATTATGAATGACACACACATGATGCTCTTGAAATATATTTCACAATACCATCTTGCATGAATGACACATTATGCTCTTGAAATATATAAATTGATCATGCATCATGACACTCTACAGTCTCAAGTCACGATTAATTGTACCCTATTTGGGTATTATTTTCTTAATCATTCTCTTCATTTCCATTCGTTATGATACACAACCTAATCCATCCACTGCTCGAAAGAATATTGTTGCTGTTGCATTCTTTTTAATGATGTTATTATCATTCATTGTTCAAACAGCTCGATATTATTATTTGAGATGGGTTTATCAGAGAGTAAGTATAGTCGTAAAAGTATACAATTCTTCTTATCCCATTATTGTTTTCATTACCATTTATATATATATTTATACATACATGTGTATGATTACTTTTCCAATTAGATTACTACTACCAAGAAACAACATTTCATCACTCGTATTCTCACTTCCAAATACTTTTATTTTATTGCTGTGTTAATATCCATGTGTTTAGGTTTTATATATTTAATAATTATATTCTCTGTTTCAGAAACTCTTACTATTGATAGTGGTGCTATTGATATTACTAGAATTGTATTTCCATCAGCAACAGCATTGATTTTATTAATTTGTATTGTTGTGGATGTGATTTTGAATTTCAAAACATTCTTTTCAAAGAATATTGGAAAATTCTTCTTTTTTGATGATCCATTGTTTTTCAGATCAGAATTATTATTTATTGTTCCAATTGCAATATTCTTTGCTTTGGATAATGCATTATCTGCTGGTAAGTTTATCCATGTAGAATGGAAGTTCATGTACTGTTATGGAAATATTTATATGGAAATATGTAAATCGAATATTTATTTTGAATATTTGAATATATATTTGAATATATATTTGAATATATATACATGACACTAACTGTACATAAAGCCGTGACTAAATTTGTCACTGTTAAAACTTTTTCAATTGGAAGTACCGATTCCTTATATTCTCTCTCTATTGATTCTCTCAAGACAATGATTGGATTCTTTGGAGTATTTCATTTTGCTGATAACATGATGTTTATTTTATTGCTAGGAGAAGCTATGGTTTTGATTGTTACAATATTTAGATTAATTATGAGAAATTACAAGAGTGGAAAGAAGGGAATTTTCTTACTTGCCCCAACTAAGAATCCTTTTGGAACATTTAAAAGTGTTCAAGACAATTTTGAAGAAGCTCAAGAAATTGATACCTTTTTACTAAAAGATGATGGTTACAAATTGATGGAAGACTTTTCAAAGGTTTGTTTCATGATTAATAACTCAATGTTGAACATGTTCAAATGATGTGACTCTATTCTTGAACAATGTTATGAATATATAAGCACGAGTTTTCAACTGAGAACTTGCTGGCTTGGGACATTGTGCAGAAATTAAAAGACGAAAAAGATAACCAAATCAAATACGATTTATTGATGGAGATTCATGAAAAATTCATTCGAACAGGCTCTGAATTTGAAATCAACATTCCTTCGTCGACGAAAAAAGCATTTGAAAAATTTGTTGCTGAGGTTAAAGAAAAGAAATGTGAAATTGATTTTAATCGAATTGAACCCCTTAAAATTGAAATTTCAATGAATTTGAATGACACATTCAGTAGGCTGTCATTGAGCGAAGAATACAATGCAATGGTTTCTAAATGGAAGGCAGAGGAAGTGACAGCCTTGAAAGTTTAACATTTTGAAAACCCATCTTACCACTTTTCGTGCTGGATTGTCAGCCTTAGAGTTGGTCAACAAGTCGTTACTTTGTGGATGTAGCCACTCTAACTCAGCCTTGGTAATAGTAAATTTATTTGGGAAACAATCAAGAGGATCATCTCTTTTTCTTTACATGAGAGTTTGGCATTTGTGGATCATGTTTTCAGTTGGTTTATCATTGGTGTTGCTTTGATAATATTCTTGGAAGAGCTCCACAGCACGATGATAATCCTTTTCAAAGAATAATTGGCATGCTTGATTGTAGGAATTCCATTTGTTCTTTTGTTGTTGATCTGCCAATTCATACATCCACTCATCATCTTGTTTTTCCAATGACACTCCAATTTCGTATATATGAGTGTCTTGTTGTGGTACCTCTCCTTCATTGAAGGAAGATACAAACGTGTCATCTGTGAATGATCGAGTATCAATGTAACGAGTTTGAAAGAATTTCAAACAACTATTTCGAACTGATTCTGAGCAAACAATGGCAATATTCATTTCTTTTGCTACACTAATCATTTTCAATAGATTTTGTTTGCCACTACTCAACAAGGTAAATTGTTTCACTTCTGAGGTACCAAGATTTCCACAATAACATTCATGAGATAACATGGCAAATCTAAAATTCAAAACATCAATGAGGTGAGGTCTCTTTTTTAAAGCTTCATTCGATTTCCACCTCATAAACTTTAAAGATAATAGCTTTTCATTGAGAGATCGACATAATTGTGCTCCCTTGACCTCATGATTTTGTTGTTTGTGAGTTGCGTTTAGAGAAATGGTTAGTGAATCATTTTCAAGTGCAATTTGAACAGCTCCATGACTCCTACACATACTATTCACTTGTTCAAAGACATCACTGTAGCAGTAGTAGCATCAGCAACAAATATCACTCTTCATGAGCATCCACAACCACTTACCTTAATAGAGACACTGTTTCTTGAGGAGCAAGAGAATGAAGTAAATCATTAAGGCCTTCTAACAGCACATGAATCAAAGTCACTTTCTTGGACTCCAAATACAAGGCAAACTTGTTCACATCTTTGGAATACTTTTTTTTAGAACTATTTTGATGCATACTTTTTGGTTCATTCATGGAGGAGGAACGTTTCGAGCTACTCTCCACAGAGGATTGACTATGAGACATGGAACTCGAATTGGAGTCTCCATTGACTCCTGATACCTTGTATGGTTGTTGATTCGGAGATTGAGTATTGAGATCTTGTTGTTCATCAATCTCAGACAACAAATGAGCTGGAATAAAACTCTTGTACAATTTCATTCGTTTCACCATGGATAAAAATTGTTGTTGAAGTAATTGAACTTCTGAGAAATGACTTGGGTGTAAGTTGTTGCAGTTAGAGGTTGTCGTTGCAGCATCGTCTGTGGCAACTGTTGTTTGAGGTTTGACATCAAGGGGTTGTACTTTCATAATGTTTTTTTGAATGTGTTGTATGTTTTAGATGCAAATCATCAACGACCAAATGTTGTAATATTCTCTCCATCTCTTTGCCTTTTTCAAGCAAAGATTTCAAGTGACAATTACAGTTGTAATGGATACGAGTAAGAGATGAGGATGGTGTGATTTCGAATTACCCGCGAATTGATCATTCGTGATGTTCTTCATGGGATACTATCAAGTAGGAGACATTCCAAAGGGAGAGTGGCTTTGGAAATTGTTCGGATATTTTTATGAACCTTGCAGGATTTCATGTTTTTCAAAATGTTTTCCACTTGGCAGAGAGGGAAGGCTTCTGGTTTGAGAAACAAATTTTTCCCGCGGAAATCGCAAAAAAAATGCTTCCATCAAACACACGAACCACTGACTCCAACACCGTACTGGATGATAGGAGTGGTGCAAGTAACTCACTCCTGGAATCAATTAAAAATAGTTTAAATCCTGAACAATACAAAGCCGTCATTTCCGATGAAACGCTACCAGTTTGTGTGTACTCGGGGTAGGTTCCTTTTTTGAATTAAATATTTGATGACCGACAATTCTAGTCCTGGATCAGGAAAAACAAAGGTTTGTTTTGATTGTTCAAAAAATATTATAACTGCTCAATCGTGTGTTGATGATTTTTTTTAAAAGACGATCACCTATCGAATAGCCTATTTAACGGTTATTAAGAAAATTCATCCAAGTAATATCTATGCAATGACTTTTACTAACAAAGCCGCTAACGAAATGAAATCAAGAGTATATCAGCTCATTTCTCAATTTGATTCTGGGAAAGTAATTGAAGAGGGTGACTATTGCCATTTAGGAACCTTTCACGCCATCTGTGCCAAAATACTGAGACGCCATGCCAATAAGGTGAGATCAAATTTAACAACAAGTTTTACCATTCTTGATTCTCAAGATCAACAAGCCATTGTTAATAGTATTCTCAAAGAATCCGATAACTCGATCATTTCAGAATTTGTATCTGGACGAAAACACAATCTTCAAAAAGTACTTAGTGCAGCTACCATCATTCATGACATTAGTGGAGCCAAGAATAGACAACTCTCAGCTTCACAATTTGCTCAAGAGGTCAAAGAATTGTACAGATCAAAGCAAGGATCAAGAAACTATTTAAACTCATATCGCAACAATACCAACGACCCTAACAAGATAAAAGAAGTCATTGCTCAAGTTTATATTGAATATGAAAGGTATTTACAAGAAAACAACATGCTAGACTTTGATGACTTGCTCGTGAATGTATGCACTCTCTTTCACAAGTGTCCGGAAATATTAAGACAATATTCTGAACATTGCAAAGCGTTATTAGTCGATGAGTTTCAAGACACCAATTCTCTTCAATACAAGATTGCTAAAGCATTGTCATCCAAGTACAAAAATATATTTGTGGTTGGTGATGTAGATCAAAATATATACACATGGAGATTTAGTGATTGCTCACTGATGAAAAAACTGTTAAATGAATTTCCAAACATGAAAACAGTATTGCTTAACCAAAATTATAGATCTACAAAGAATATTCTAAAAGTGAGTGATGAAATTATAGCACAAAATACTGATAGAATAAGAGAAGAGAATTTATTCACATTCAATAACACTGGAATACCTGTATCTATACATTCTGTTGACTCGAGTGAAGCGGAAGCAAATTTTGTTGCTTCCGAAATACTCAAACTCATTAACACAAGTAATGGAAAACTCAGCTTTAGAGATTTTTGTGTATTAATTCGAATTAATGCTTCATCTAGATCTTTTGAGAATGCTTTTGCCTTGAAAGGCATTAAATATAGAGTGTTAGGATGTTTCAAGTTTTATGATCGTATGGAAGTTAAGGATATCATCTCCTATGCAAGAATTGTGGATAACGTGAATGATGATATGGCCTTTGAAAGATGTATTAACATTCCAAAGAGAGGTATTGGAGAAAGCTCTCTTGCTTCATTGAAAAAGGCTGCAAAAGCACAAAATCTTTCTTGCTATGAAACTATTCGCCTTGTATGCAAAGAGAAGAAGAAAATTTCTGGCGTTCAGGCTAAAAAAGGATTTAAAGAATTCATTGATTTGATTGACTCAATCAAGGCAAAGCAGGAAACATCACCAAAGAACATTTTAAATGCTATTGTGAAAGGTATTAATTATAAATCCTATTTGGAAGAATATGAGCAATCTACAGCACAAACAAGATTTGAAAATGTTATGGAATTACTGAATATCAGTGCAGAATTCGAAATGAAAGACAAAGATGCCAATTTAACCTCATTTCTTCACAATATCTCTTTAATTCCAGACAATTTCAATGAAGGTGAAACAGATTCCAACGACCAAGTGACTCTCAGTACTATTCATTCAGCAAAAGGTTTGGAATATGGTATTGTTTTTGTATGTGGCCTCGAAGAAGGAGGTATACCCTTTTACAGAGCAGAATCAAAAGCAGAAATTGAAGAAGAGAGAAGACTGTTATTTGTGGCATGTACTCGTGCTCAATCATGCCTCTCATTGACATATTCTTCCTATAGGTTGAGAGGAGGTGAAAATGCTCATTGTGAAGTATCAAGATTTCTGGAACCTATCATTGAAATTGCCAACAAAGCCAAATCACCTCATATCGCATTTGAGAAACCATCCACGCTGATCAACAAACATAAATCTGAGTGGCAGGCATCTCTTGAATTTGAAGTGTCGAGGAGAACACAACAAGTGGCCCATCCCAGCACACAAATTCCACAGCAACAGCAACAACAGATGAAAAAAACTCCAAGCTCTCCAATGGAAAAACAAGGATCTTCCCAACACAATGCCATATGTTTGGACTCATCCAGCGATGAAGATAATGATCAATTGGTAGCAACAAAGAAACGATCTTTTCGTCCAACTTCTGGCAAAGTGAGTCGTGGTATGGACACAAAAAAGACCAAATTACACTAAATTGTTTATTCTTGAGACTTTCTTTCATTCAAAATTCGATTCAAACTTTCCTTGTCTTTCTTTGCAACTTTGGTTTTCAGCTTATCCCACTCGATCACACTGAGTTTTGATTGAGGAGCAGTTTTTAAGGCTTCCACAACTTTATGAGCCTCCTCTTGACTGAAAATCCAATCAATGATTTTCAAAGTCGTACACACATTGTTCTGCAAGATAAAATCACACAATGCTTGAACAATATCGAATGGCACAGCAAAGTCAGGCTTATCAACAGAGAGATTCAACGTGACAATACTTTTGTTTTTTGCCAAATTGTAAAGCAAATGCTTTAAATCTTGAGTGGCCAGTCCACATCCATCAAATGAGACATCCACAAGAGATTTGCTCTCTTCCAATGCAAGGAATAGAGATTGTAATTTTTCTTTTGGAATTTCATGAAAATATTCACAATATCCTGCATCAATCAAGTCAAAGAAATCGATAGATTGGACTTCATCATTTCGAATCTTGTTAATCAATTGGTCCAGTGCGTCAAGTTCTTTGGATAAATGCTCCACAGCTGTTGAAGTGGTTGTCTTTGTCAATTGACTCTCAAGTTGTGCAACGAGTCGTTTCATTTGTTCCAATTCCTGTTGTTTTTCCTTCAAATGTTCCTCTAATTCCTTGATTGTAGACTCTTTCTTTTTGGCATCTAATTGAATGGACTCAATTGTCTGTTGTTGCTCTGTAATTGTTGTGGACAAGGATTCTTCATGTTCCATGACAGATTGTAATTTTGAATCCTTTTCCAATAATTTAGATTCATATTCTTGTAATAGTTGAGAAGTACGTTCTTTGAATGTTGTTGATTCAACTCGAATGGATTGTTCCAGCTCTTGAATCTTTTTATCTTTTTCTTGATTTAATTGTTCAAGTTCATTGAGACGAGTATATGAGCGTTCTTCTTTCAATGCATGAAATTCAATCTCAATTTCTGTTCTCAAATTTTCAAGTGATTGTTGTTTTTCGAGTGCCTCTTGTGTGAGAGTTGAAGATTGTAATAATCGGTCTTGAGATTCTTGAACTTGTTTTAACTCTAATTCTTCTCTCAATGTGTGTAATTCGTGATTTAACTGTTTCAATAATTCTTCCTTATTCTCAACTTGTTGTTTGGCTTTGGATATTTCATTACATAATTGATCGTGATCGTGTGATTTGGTTTTGAGAGATTCTTCAATGAATGTATTCTTCTCGATCAATGTTTGAATGAATTCTTCTTTTTGTTTCAATTGAAGAGTCATTTCGTTGAATTGTTGAATCAATCCTGTCGATTGTAATTTTGCTTGTGTTAATTCTTGTTCCATTTGAGAATGCTTTTCCATGAGAGCATTTAACTCGCTCGTTTTTTGTGATAATTCATTTTGAGATTGAACAAATGAATCTTGAATGGATGTCAATTCCTCCAATTTAGATTCAATGATACTTTCTAATGATTTGATTTTCTCATTCAAATGAACTTGTTCCTTATATTGAGATTGAATGAGGTGTTCTTTTTCTTCAACAGATTTCTGTAATGTTTTGAATTGATCTTCCATATGGTGTTTTTCTTGTTGTAAAGACTCGACGAGTGTGTTGTGAGAGAGTAATGCATTTTCTTTTTCATCCTTCAATCGGTTGAGAAATTCTTCCTTTTCCTGAATAATCTTTTCAAGTTCTTCAATGTCATGATTCGAACGGTGTTGTAATTGTGTCAAGGAGTGAGTAATGTTCTCATGTTGAGTTTTCAAAGTATCAAGTTGTTGAGCAGTTTGAGAGAGAGTAAATTTGGTTTGTTCTAGTTCCTTCTCGAGATTTGAACGTTCCTTCTCTGCTTGTTCCATTTCCCAAGACCATTTGGATCTTTCAGAAATTTGTTGAGAATGTTCCATGTTCAGAGTCTCGATCGCTTGTTGCAACTCGGAATATTCCTTTTTCGATTGTTTCCATTTAGTTTCGAATTGTGAGAGTTGTTGATGAAGGTCTTGAATGATCGTTTCCTTGTCCGAAAGTGTTTGTTGAGCTTGATTGAATTCATTGGTAAAATGTTCTAATTCACGAGTCAAGTTTTGAATCTTGTCACTCATTTCTAATTCTTTGTTTGAGAGTTGTTTCATTTGTTGTGAATACTCTTGTCTGGATTGCTCAGATTCACTCTTGATCAATTCCAATTCTGTCTTGGTTGTTTCGAGTGATTCATTGAGAGTTTTCAATTCCATCTCCTTGAAAGAAATTTGTTTCTGTAAATTTTCAATTTGTATTTGAGTGTGTGAATGGTCTTGAATGGCGTTGGAGAGTTGAGATTTCACGGAAGAAATTTCCATTTCCAATGCTTGTTTTTCACAAGTCACTAATTTTACATGTTCTAAAAGGTTTTCATGTTGCATGGATTTTTCCTTCATCTCCGAATTCAGTGTCAAGAGAATTTCATCCTTATCTGATAATTGTTTATAGAGACTTGTGATGGTTTCATTCAAGGTGTTCATTTCCTTTTCTTTTCTTTCCATCGTTAGATTCAAACTTTCTAATTCTTGAACTTTGTTGGAGAGCAAATTGGAGATGGTGTCATGATATTGTTTCAATGAAATAATTTCATTCTCACTATTGAAACGAGTTTCAGATAACGTTTCAGTGGCAATTTGTAATTCATTTCGAATCTTTTCAATTTCCTTCTTTTTTTCTTCCAATGTTTCAGAGAGTGAGTGTTGATTTAAAACGAGATTTGAATTTTCAAATTCTAAATTCTTAATTTTAGATTCAAGTGCTTGTACGTGATTGGTCGTCTCTTCTAACTTAGAAATGTGTTGTGTTAAATTCGATTTAGACATGGAGAGTTCTCGATCTGTGTCATTGAGTTTCTTTTGCAACTCCATCACTTGTTGTTGTAAGGATTCAATCGTTTCCATATATTTATGTTCCAGTACATTGGAATCTTGTTGAAGGAGTGAAATTTTTTCATGACTATGTTTCAATTCACAATCCTTTTCAGTAATAATTCGATCCTTGTCTTCAAGAGAATGTTTAATTGCTTGAAGAGAGGAATTAATTTGTTCCAATTGTTCCTTATTGACATCCAAGGTTTGTTGCAAATTCAAAATCACTTGTTCTTTTTGTAAAATCTTTGCTTCGAGTTCTGTTTTTTCATTCACAAGTTGTGAAATTTCAGAATTCTTCTCTACAAGTTCATCTTTCAATTGATCCAATTCTGCCTTTTTCTTTTGCATTAAATCTGAATTGATGGTTTGAGATCTCTTCATACTTTCAGAGAATTGATGAGTGACATTGGTTAAATTTGTTTGTAAATTGGCACATTGTTGAGTCTTTTCTTCAAGACTTGTCTCAAGTTCACTTTCACGTCTTTTTAATTTGTTAATTTCAATGTTGAGTGTTTCTTGTTCTTTCACTTTAGATTTTAACACATTTTCCAATTCGAGAGCACTTTGTTTCATGTATTGTGAATGATCTTGTTGTTGTTTTTCAACCAAATGTTTGAGATTGGAAATTTGTTGAGAGAGTGATTCTTTTAATTCACTGGATGAAGATTGATGAGATTGTAATTGAGAAGAAATTTGTTTGAGTTCATGTTGTGATCGCTCGAGTTGTTGTTGATATGCCTTTTCAATTTGTTCCAATTCGAGTTTCTTCTTTTCTTCCGATGTGAAAAGTTCTTGTGCTTGGATTTGAACGGATTGTTCTAATTGTTGAATTTTCTTTTCGAGTTGAGAAATGATTTGTTGTTGTTCTGTCATTCACATATGGGATGATGAATTTTGAAATGTCAACATGAGGGTCGTCATCAGAGTGATAACATCAGTCATTACAATGTGAAAGAAATAACAGAGTTGAAAACAACGTGGACATTCAATTGGGACATTCATTATAGCGAATAGAGGTGATAGGACCAACGAACTTACCACTCGTACTGGTTGTTTTACTGGATTGACTTGCTATTAATTTCTTTTCCGTCTTTTCTAATTCAGTTTGCAGCTCTTTATTACGTAAATAGAGCACTGCATTAGCGACACCACTCAGACCCAAAAGAGCTGCAGAGCCAACGAACAATCCTTGTGTTGATGACATTTTCGAATAATCCAAGGACACAATGATGATGAATAGACAGCTGTCTGAACTCTTCACAAATTTTTTAATGATGGGTTGACACCCAAAATTACACAAATAAAGACAAAACATCGATTCGCCAATTTGAGACACAAAAAAAGCGCTCTCATTTTTCTTCTTCAGCTGAGCTCAATGCATTCATTTACTAAGAACTTTCCTCATGATCATCCTCGTCATCATCAAACAAGTCCTCGTCGTCGTCAACATCTTCATCAGAATCCGTTGAAAAGTCTTCAGATTCATTTGAGACCACTGCTCCTTTTGAAGTAGCATTTGTGGTTGTTCCAGTAAGTTTTGCATCAATTTGAGTTTGTTCTTGTATTTTAAAGTTGGTAGTCAATAGAGACCTTTTCACCTCTTCTCGTGTCATTGGAATTAAAAATGGATGTTGTAATAATTGCTTTGCAGTGGATCGATCTGTTGGGTTCCAGCAGAGACATTTGGACAGAAAATCTAACGCTTCTTTGGATATTGAATATGTGGAAGCTTCTGATTCTGTTATTTCTGGCGATTTTTGGTTCTTGAGAATGTGGAAAAATACCTGCAAGGGCTCTTGAAGTGATTCTAGCTCAGGATAAGGTCTTCTTCCAGTTAATGCTTCTAAAACAATGCAACCAAACGAGAAAATGTCTGAGGCAGTACTGCTCTGAAGTTGCGACATGACTTCGGGCGCTATATACATACACGTTCCGGTAATAGTCTTTTCTCCAATTTGAGGCGAATTTATCTTTCGTGAAAGCCCAAAGTCAATCAGCTTGGGAATTCCCCAACGATCAATCATAATGTTTGAGGGAGAAATGTCTCCGTGAATAATATCTTTTCCATGCAAATATGCAAGAGCTTCCACAATTTGTTTGGCGTAAATTCTCACAATATTTTCGTGTAATCTTCCAATCGCACTATCTCGAACAACCTTATGTAGTGTATCACCATGCACGAGCTCCATGATCATAGAAATACTTCCGTTGTTGTACTTGTCACGATCTTCATCGCAAAGTCTTGTAAATTTGAATAAATCACTGTTGTTATGAAATCCAATTCGGGCAAATTGAAAATTAATATGAGGATTGAAAAAAAGATGTACTACTAACCTTGCAATAAATTTCACAATATTAGGATGATCTCCAATATCTTCTAAAATCTTAATTTCATTCACAATACGGGCAAATACAACATCAGATTTTTCACTCTTGTACATGTGTTTAAGTTTTTCCAAGTAGCAAATCTTAAGAGCAAAATTTTGACCCGTGATGATATGAATGGCGCTATAAACCACTATAATATTCACGGATAAGATTTAAAAAGTCACATATTGTTGTACTTACCTGAAAAACCTCCTTTTCCAAGTTCTTTTCCTATTTGTGTTGTATCAAATAAATGTTTTTGCTCTTCGAATGTTGGACAATATAATGAACTAAAATGATAAATATCTCTATACCAAAGTGCTTTCTGCTGCTCATGAGTAGACATTATACTGGTTGGTGTTTGACTTGATCTTTCATCCTTAATTTGATATTCTTCATGTGTTGTGATCTTCTTTTCAGGTTGTTTGAAAATATCATCTTCAGAGAAGCTTTTGTGCAAACCTGATTTCTTTAGGCTGTGAGTGTGAGGGTGATAGGAATGGTAGGGAGGTGATATGGAGTGATGATGATGGTGATGGTGGTTGTTATCGTTATAGTGATGGAAGTTATGATGAGAATTTTGTCCATAGGTATGTGGAGGTGACACAAAATACATGCCATGATTGCTGCTATGAGATGGCTGTATCTGTTGAACAATTACGAGCGGCGATTGAGTTTCTACAAAAATATTCATTCTCTCGTTTGCAAAGTTGGTCGCCAACATTACAAATGGCTCCAAGTCCTGACCAAGAATGGATATTGATAACGAACTGGCTTCAGAATCTACGTCATCATTATCAAGTTGTGATTCATCTACATGAGCCTCTAACTCAAACGCTGGTTCATTTTGTTCGCCTTCGCTAATATCTTCAATCTTTACACCACTAGCCTTAGTCTTCTTTGCTGTAAGGTAATCTTGAATTGCTGTTTTCAACTCTTCTGTAGATCTGATGGTAATCAATTCTCCCTCCATATCTCTATATTTCAAAATTAAGGCATTTACATCAATCTGACCTTCATAATTTTGGCCAGTTTTTTGATCCAAAATTTTGCGTTTGACATCGTTGAGAGCATCTTTAGAATCGTCAACATTCTTTTCAAACCATTCCAATAATGATACCTTGTTTTCTTCATGATTGTCCGTATAGGTATAATCGCTAAAGTATTGCTCTGGATTGAAAGTATCTACTGTTAAACTTGGAATTTGTATCACAGTTGATCTTGACGTCAATGGTGTTGATGGTGAATGTGAATTACTATGGCTATTGTTATAGGTTTTTGTGACAACAAATGTCATTGGAAAAGTTATTGATGATATGTCTTCTCCATCTTGCTGAGAAGGCTGAAGTGTAAAATCATCCTCTTGAAGCGTAATATCTTGAGGTATCTTTTCTTCGTTTGAGGTTGTGCTACTATGTTCTGTATCTGTAATTTCTCCAGATGTTTCTTCATTATCTGAACTATAAGTAATTTCTGTTTTTGGAGTTTGTTCTTGAACTTTTTCTAAAGGTTGACCATCAGCATCATCAGTTTGCGTGCAAATGTCCACATAACGCTTTTTCAGTTGAGTCTTTGCTCTTTTATGTTTTGCACTAATTGAAATCGAGTTAGAAGCTTTTGATCGCCTTCTTCCATTATTTTTTCGTTGTGTATATATTTCAGATAATCTCTTTTCTGGTTGTATTTCTGGTTCATTCCACTTCACTTTAATCATTTGAACGACGACTGATGTCCTTTGACCACCTGTTATTGAAGATCTTCTAGAGGATAAAGTGGTATGTGTGTTTGGTGTTTCATTTGGGCTTGTTGACAAAATTGCAATGACATTTCTCTCTTGCTTAGTTTCAATACTTTGAGGAGTCATGTTTCTAAATCCTCGTCTAATGTTTGTTTCTTCTCCATTTGAGGTGATATGAATATCTGGAACTTTTTTAGTTTCATCGTCAACCTCTTCTATCGTATACGGTATGTGTTCTGAATTATTAGCAGAGGGTGTGGTAACAGAATGTTGCTCAGGGTGTGTATCCGCAGATGTGAAATACAAGCTTGATGCTGAAGAGACCCTTTTATGACCTCTTCCTCTTCTAGTTTCTGCTGGAGACGGAAAACTTGAGGCAGTGCTGATGGAAATGTGATTAACAGGTCCATTGTTATTAAGGGAAGAGCTTCTGTTGTTGTCACATGAAGCACGATCATTCAAAATTTGAATGAAAGAGGTGGAAGGAAGAGAATGAGAATAAATTTCAAAAATATGAGGTTCCTCATGATGGCTTGAACTAATTGGAGTTAAGTTGTAAATGTGAGAATGATTACAACCTTGAGAAAAGTAACTATCGCTATTGTTTCTATGATGATGTTTTCCATTGCTCGTTACAGGTGATGAATTATTACTGATACTAATGTTGATGCTTGAAAAATGAGAATTTGACTCAAAATCTGCTGATGAAGTTCTTCTATGGTTGGCCCTGTGGTTGGCTCTATGATGTCTCAATGGTTGGGAAGCATGTTGATAAAATCGTGACGATGCGGGAAGATTTTCATCATCATCGCTATCACTACTATTCTCAATAAAATTGTTTTCTCTTTTAAAGCTTTTAGATTGATGTTTTGTGCATGACGATGAAGGGATGGGTCGGGTGTAAGACCTTCGATTTGATGATTGTAATGGTGGGGATCTCTCATCTGCAAAATCATCATCATCTTCAACCTGATGCATATGATACAAAGGAGAGTCATGGTGATGATGCGTGAATGACTCTAGAGGGCGAGGTGTTGGATCCAAATAATCAATTAAATTAAAACGTTCTTCTTCCTCACCTTCTCCACTAAAATTAAAAGCAGACCCTGATGATAATGGAGAATGATAATTAGAAGGTTTGGTGAGCCTAGATTTGTTAGGTGGAGTTCTTGAGTTTGGCGATGCTTTGGAATTATAATTCTTTTGGGTTGTTGTTTTATCTGCATCGGATGAGGCTGTTGTTTCAAAATCTACAATTTCAAAATCAAAATCATCTTCTTCATCGTGGTGCAAAAAGCCTTCACAATCAGGAGGTTCAAATTTTGGAGGCATTCGCTGATGAAGAACGAGGCTGTTGGAAGAGTTGATTATTTACAATGCTGTTTTAATTGTAGTATATATTGCTTTGAGAAAGGCAAAGAACCGTTGATGATGAAAAGATGTGGCCTTCGAGAGAAAAAGCCACTCATCAATACACTATGGCAAAAAGTGAATTGGCCGTGATCTTTTTTTTGGAGAGAGAATGGAAAGATTGGCCATTCGTTTCAACAACCCCATCTCTTCGACAACCAGTAGACGCTTACCGAATGATTTGGGTTCTTACAGTGAGCCGAAGCAATACTAGCGTGTTGCTTTATGCTTTGGCGTTGTCAAGCGTCAGCCCATCACTTACGATTACAAAAAAAACGTTTGCATCATCAACATGCAGAACCGATTATTGGAAGAAGAGGACGATCAACAGCTACTTAGTTCAAACGCAAATACAAAACCAACCGAACATGCTGTCCACAGTAAGTCATCCGTTCTCATGAGGCACAACCTAAATTCCAATATTTCTCGTTCAACGAATTATTTTGGAATTTTTGTTGTAAATACTGGTTTGGTTCATCGGAATGTTTTTATCTATGTGTTATAATGATACGAAACATTGAAATATTTATTAATGTATCATAATAGATCCAAAGGATGATACCCGATTTGCATGGTGGAAAATGAAAAAGAGTAGACGATCCCATGCAGTTTGTTGGTTTATGATTTTAGCAAGTGGTATTTTAATGACTGTGATTGGTTTAGTGAGCATGATTTTATTAGTAATTTATTCACCAACTCCAAAGGAAATGTATGTTTGTGTGTCCAAGTGTAATGATTATTTGTTTTGATTTTGATGGAATAATATTGACCTGCTTTCTATCACAAATCGAAAATTATAATGATGGTTCTTTCTCGATGCGAATATTCATGATGATAAATGTATTTTGATACAATCAGTTTGGATGGAAAGGGCCCCATCAGTGAAAAGCAATGGAAAGAAATTGTTTTGGAGACTTTTGGTATTCTGTCTGGATTTGTCATTGGAATTGGTCTTGTCATGTCGATCACACCCTTAATTTGCAGCTGTTATATCATGAATCCAAAGGAGTTTCAAATTCCTGGAATTCACGACGATGAAGAGGATGATGGATTGTAAAATAGATAAACAACTTGACAGCAACCACTCGATGGTTGTTTCAACATTATACAACCAGCTGTTTTGCAGAGTTCATAAATCTCAACTTTTATTGTAAACAAAAGGAACAGAATATCCCTAACCAAATATTCGTGTTGATTTCAGAGAACATGGAATTATCTTTGAACTTGAGTTTGTGAATTTAAATTAAATTGTACAAATACCACTTTGGGATTTTCCTTAATGAGATCACACTATATTCCATGAATGACTGTGGAGTTTATAAAACATGCAATGGTTTCAAAGCACTCCTGGTTTCACCATCAAAACAAAAACTTTGAATCCAACAACACCAATATATCGTCATGAAACAGTTTGCATTAGCTTGTTGTTGTGTCTTGCTTGCTTTAGTGTTGGGCCATTTTACCCAATTCTCCAACTCACAAGACATTGTTCTTCCCCTCTCTTACAATGTGGCTTCCCATCGATTTAATTCATCCATCAGTGTGAGAGGAACTGGTAAAACAACCACTGCAGTCACTCAAGCAGATTTCTCAATATCCATTGAAGCACAAAAAGTGTCTGCCTCAGAGGCTCAACGAGAAGTTGGGCAATCATCGACACATATCATGGAAACTCTTCAACAGATTGAATATGTATTCAAGTTGAGAACATCCTCCATTACCTTGTATCCTGTCTATGTATACAATGAAACCACAAAGGAATCCACAAGAATTGGTTATAGATCCTCCAATAGTATCTTGTTCAGTGTTAGTAATTTAAGAAGTGTAGGTCCTGTGCTCGATAAGCTCGTCGAATTGGGTGTCACTCAAATTAGCAGCATGAGCTTGGTAGCAAATGACAGTTCTATTGAAAACGCTCAAAATAAGGCTCTTCAGTTAGCTGTTAAGGATGCCATGACCAAGGTGAATGCAGTACTATCCACTATGTACGATTCTTCATCATTTGAACAAATCAAGAACCGTTTGGAAGTTACCGATATTAGCCTTGAAGGTAGTAGTCCAATTTCAGTTTCCTATCCAATGATGTATGCACGTTATCAAGACTCTGCTGCTGGAGGCGCTGCGTCCTCAATTCCTGTCGTTGGTGGAGACATGACCATTCAATCATATGTCTCTTTAAAGTTGCAGTATTAGGTTTCTCTCAAAGTATTGTTTGAATTAAAATTTGCAATTTAAAAAATGCAAACACGAGAAGGGAACAATGTTGGGAACCTCCCTGACACTCAGCCTTTGTCATCTTCATCGGAAAATAATGACGACGTGAGTTCCATCTCTTTGAGTCAAAATTCATCATCTCCATTTGCTCATCATCAACTCCCTCTAGAGACCATTGTTTCTGAATCAGAAATTAACTTGGCTGCTTCAGTTCTTGAGAGACTTTCTCATCACTCCTATCATTTACAAGACCCGCGATTAGCCCAATTAATTCATGCTGGATCTTTACTATTCAAAAGAAAGATTTCCAAGGAAGAACAAGCAGAAATGAAAAGAGAATCAAGAAAAAAGGCTAAAGAGAAATTTAAAAATCACGACAAGAGCATTCTCATGCAATCAGTGATGCAAATGAAAAAACATAATGAAGTTCATTACTTGAGACAACAAATTGCAATGATTCCAAACGCACCAAATAGTGAGGTACCAAAACTTACTCACGCTGAAGAAGATGAAGTCATTATTGAGAGTATTACAGATGAAGATGTTGTGTCAAGTTGTAGAAATTCTTCAAATGAACAAAACGATAAAAAGAGCATGACTGAGACCATGAACGACAACAACGAACAAAACGGGACAGCATCTGACATGATCCAACCGTCCAACAGTAATAACTCTAACAAACTGTTGAGAGCTGTGAGGTAGGTTTTTCGAAACAAATTCCTTTTGTTTCAATTTCATGAAACCCCTTTTTTGATAGATGTTATATTTGTCACGAAAAGACCCATGAAATACATCACTTTTATCATAAAATGTGCCCAAAATGTGGAGAATTCAATTTAGAAAAGAGAAACCAAACAATGGATATGACGGGTAAAATTTGTTTAGTCACAGGTGGTAGAATTAAAATTGGGTTTTACACTGCCCTCAAATTATTGAGGTGTAATGCTGAATTGGTGATTGTCACTTCTAGGTTTGTTTTAATATTTGTGAATTAGTTGGCCTGGACAATGTTAATTGTCCGTTCAATTAATTTTATAGATTTCCAAAAGATTGTGCAAAGAGATATTCATTAGAACCTGATTTTGAAATGTGGAAAGATCGTCTCAAAGTTTATGGTATTGATTTTAAACATATTCCTTCAGTGGTACAATTTGCCGATCACCTTAATCACACGCTTCCTAGATTGGGTAAGTTTTTACCAATATCTTTCACCATTCTCACCACACTATTTTCTCGAAATTCTACAATAATTTTCATCGTTGACATGTTATAACCACAAATGAAATTTTGACCAGATATTCTTATTAATTGTGCAGCTCAAACCATTCGAAAACCTACTGCATACTACGAACATGTGGCAAAATATGAATTAACGACAAGTCTTCAAGACCTATCTGAAACGCAACGAAAATTATTGCCTTTAGATTTTTCAATGAAAATCATGCCAGAACAAAAAGATATTGCACTTCGAATGTTATCATCAATGGAAAAGAGAGAGGCCCTCGAATACAATCCACGATCGAAGAATAATGATGAACATGAGGAGAATTCTACAATTACACTTCATACCCCTCATTCTACTTCACTTAAATATAATGCTATGAGAGATGAAGTGAATGTGAGCTCGAGCAGTTTGTTGTGTCAAATTCCAATTCTAGATGAGGACAAGTCGTACAATGAACAAAGTTTTCCAAGAGATGTATTTGATGTTAATCAGAATCAAGCAGATTTTAGAAATACAAACTCGTGGATTCAAAAATTGGATCAGGTAAGTGTGTTAAATTATATCCAACAATTTTATTCAAAATGATAAAACTATGATGATGTTTCATCAAACACACATCATTGATATCAACCCATTCATCGAATATGATATACAATGAATATACAACGAATCAATTGAAATACCAATGATTTATGGCCATTTAGGTGCCTGTTTTTGAAATGCTTGAAGTTCAAACCATTAATGTCACTGCTCCATTTATTTTGACATCCAAATTGAAACCTCTTTTAGAGCACGGAGCGACTCATTCATCAACAACCAATCCTACTCATGAACCAATGAGCTTTGTTATTAACGTTAGTTCAATGGAAGGACAATTTTATAGGCGTTCAAAAGGAGTGCATCACCCACACCTTAACATGGCAAAAGGTATGTTTTAAGAATTTAATTTCGCCTCTTCCTTAATTGCTCAATTGATTTTTTTGGAATTACATTACTCACCAATCATACGATATTGGATGATATCTCAAATATTGAAATTAGCCTCTCTGAATATGATGACAAGAACAAGTGCTGCTGATTATGCCAAAGACTTTATTTACATGTCTTCAGTGGATACAGGTATGTGTTTATTATTCTCTTTTAAAATCTCAAGTTGATTGTATCTTTACATAGGATGGAACAATGATGAGAATCCTTTGAGCGACTTGGAGAATATATCACAAACATACTATTGTCCATTGGACGAAGTGGATGGTGCTGCTAGAATCTTGGATCCAATCTTTTTGGCCTTGCAAGGTAAACAGAAATATTTTGGCGTTTTCTTGAAGAATTATTCTCCTTTCAGATGGTAGTGTGAATATGGTCTTTTGTTGATCAGTCGTTACAGGTCCTTTCAGAAAGTTCAATTTTATTCACACACTTGGAATGTATCCATTCGTGACTCTCTTCCAATACACGTGTAAAATGTTTAGCTAGTACTATTTGAGCGAAAGACTAATAAATCCGGACTAATCTGTTATGAGCTATATGGAAAAAGGTTATGATTAGAGAAGTCGTTTTCGAAAACGACGAGTGACATGAGAACATTTACGATGCAACACTTGAATGAACCAATCCTACTGGTAGTGGTGTGTTCCTTTGATCCTTTCATCAAAACTCTCACTCCTTTGTTGATGTTGGCGTTCAAGACATAATAAAAAACACCAAAACATTGAATTCGAAATCAAACCCGTCCCTCTATGGTCAGGGTTGATGCTATGTATCTAATTAGATTCGTGATCATTTTGTCTCACAACAGTAAATTCAACAAACGACACGCTCCTCGATCCGTCTTTCACAACAATTGTGACTAGAGTAGTACAGTAATAGTATAACATCCAATCATCAATTATATTTTATTAGTAGATTTTATTTAATACTTGCGCGAGTTTGGTCTTTGGGGCTGTTGCTGCCAATCGTTGTAGCCTTCCACAGAGAACTCTCTATTACATTCCAATTTCTCAAAGTTCTTCATCCCGACAGAGACATCATCAACGTGATGAACCAAGAATCAAACCATTCATCTTCAAACGGTAAGGACGATGGCCACCTCGACCATTCATATTTCTCCTCTTCTGCTTCACCACCACAACACCAACAACCGGTTGTTGATGATCTAATTTCCTTTTCCTTTTCGTTCATTCCCTCCCCAGCTTCAAATTCCATAAACAGTTCTAAGAGTGAAGAGGATGAAGAAGGTCGTAATCAGAAACGCGTTGTTGGATCCATTCTTGGTGGTGGAGTAAATGAAAGTTATCATTCTCTTTCCATTGAAGGTAAAACCAATTCCATCCATAATTGCAACCATCCTACAACTGCCACTACAACAAATACTACCACGGAAGCGACGACAGAAATCATTCTTCAAGGAGGAATGCTCGCACAATGCACAAAAAAGATCTCACACAACTCCTCACCCAACTTGACTTCACATTTGAGCTGCAACCACACCACGTGTTCCTTTCATGAAGCATTGTCTTCTTCAATGATGGACACAGCCAAGAATCTATTCTCTGGCGGTGTCGACGCCTCTTGTTCGAATCACACCACCCCTTCTGTACTACTCAATGAAACAAACCATGTCGCAACACCCCTTTCAGCATTATCAACCCCAACTTGAATCAAGGCATGATTGAACAATCACCGAATAGTCCTAACAATCACACAAAGCTTGATCATAATCTTGATATTGAATCATCACCCTCTTCGTTATCACATTCTCATCAGACTTGTGCTGTGTCCAATGTGATTCACTTTTCAACCATGAGCAGTCCTTCCAATGATTCATTCCCTTCTCCTCAATTGAACATTCATCATAACGAAAGTGGTAATAATAATAACAATGACACAATGAATCGATGGAATGGTTGTGGTGCTCCAAAGAACCATTCCATCGAGACAGCATCAGTGGTACCACAATTACAACCTCAAGAATTGATCAAGACTGATTGCTCACCAACTCCATCGAATAGAAGAGGTGCTTCCTCAACAACAACCTCAACCAACCACTCTCAAGCCATCATGTCCTTCGTAGATGAAACTACCAAAGTCAAATGCAAAGTCAAAATCAATAGAAGAAATAAGGAATATAATATTAAAAAGACAAGACTACGTAAGCCTCTCCAAAACTGTGCTCTCTTACAAAATTACTTTGAATGGAATAAGGCACAGAATTGTAGTGAAGAATTAACTGTGTACAAAATGTTGGAACCACCGAAACAATCATCTGTACAACCACTACAACACTACTCTACATCCTTCTCAGATGTACCCCCTTCTACTTCATCCTCAACGAATTCCAGTGGAGGTGGAGGAGGAGGCTGTGGAAGTGTTAGCCTTCCGAATAATACCACCACTCTTAATAATGATCAACCATATGGTATGAATCCACAAGAGTATTTCAATAGGAGCTCTCATGGTTGTCCTCCTCAAATGAATATTGTTCCAGAGTATTCTGTTCCTACTCGAGAATCACCAACATTCTCTTCACCGCACCACCCAATCAATCTTAACTCTCCACCAATGAGTCTCATGGGAACTGCAAGCAATAATCAAGACATTCGAATGGCCACTCCATCCATCTCTGAGAGATCAAGTAAGAAGAAGAGATCCAAACACTTGTTGCTCAGCACCACTGCAAGCTCATCTCCAAATATAGAAAAAGATTTGGAAAGCAAACAAATTGTGACTTCAGAAAAGGTTAAAATTCAAAAATTGCGTTCGAATACGAGTTCGAATTACATGTCCACAACAACCACCATGGTGACTTCCTCAGCAACATCAGCAGGTGCTTCATCAACACCACCTCGTCCAGCTCATGGATCCATGCTTGCCCTCCTCTCGAATAGTGGTCATTGCAGAACTTCTCCATCCTCCTCCAACACTACCTTCACCAATTCATCATGCAGTGGTAGCAGTAGTAGTGGAAGTGCAACAGGTGTTATGAGTGGAGAAGGTCAAGCACTTCCAACATCATTCCTTCATGAAAGTAGTAGAAGTAGTAATTATAGTCTTGTTGGTATTGGTTCTGGTTCTGGTTCTGGTGGTGGTGGTATGGATAGTTCAACTTTATGTTTCAGTCGAGTCAATCATGAATGTCCATTATCACTGGCATCACAACCAGTATTCATGAATCGATCGTTTAGAAATAATCATCAAGATTCATGTGCTGTAATGACTCACACTGGTCATCCCAACAAGCTTTTGAATCAACAACAAATGGAACATGAACAACAACAACAAATGGAAATGCTTTGTAACATGATACAATCCGCCAGGTCTCAACATTCCCACGAGTTCAACATGGTGAATCCAACAACAACAACAAATTCGTTACAACCTCAGCATGTGACTCATCATCCCTATCGAACAGTCCATGTTCCATCAACGACAACAACTGTAAATACAACTTGTAGTGTTCCACAACATGTACATCCTCTCACTGGAATTTCTAACTTTCAACAGGAGCAGCAGCAACATCCAATTGTACGCGAATATGGACAGTATTCTCAACCTCAATTACATCAAACTATGAATACTACTCCTACACTTTTGAATTCATCACCTTCGTCATTCATGAACGATCCTTTTAGTCAAAGAAATACTTTGAATTCTCAGCAACCGTACCAAAGGATGAATTCCTTTCCGAATGAAACACTTAACACAAACGTGATCGTTCAACATGTGGATGCAACAACTACTCATCCTTATTTACAAGTACCGCTGGATTCGTCACAATTTCAACAAACTGGAGCTTCTCAAGCAATGAGTGGCATTTGTACCACGAACCAAACCACAGCAACAACACACTTTCAACAATTACACCCAACCCCCAACGCTCAACCATTCCCAACAACTCATAATCACCACCACCTCACAGAAAGGAATGCAAATGAGTTTTGCCTTAGCAAATTGGTTGAAGTTGTTAATTCAATTTCAATACCAAGCGCAAACTCTGCAGAGGGAGAAAAATTGAAGGCTATTTTAGACTTTATCACTACGAGGACCGAAGAAATTCTCTCTACAACCAATCATAAATTGACGCAACAACAAGAAGACAGCATATTTGAGCAAGCGTATCAACGTATTCTGTCATCAAACATGACTTCTTCAGAACAATTTTCTTCAATTTTGTCGTTAACAGTTTATTACAAAATGAGAAGAAATGAACGAGACAAAGCAGACGAAGAAGAAAGGAAAAGAGGACCACCACAAAACCAGCATGAATATTTATAGTGGATATCGAAATGAACATTGCGTTGTGTGACTTTCTTTTTATTAACAATGGAATGAACCAAAGATCATAATAAACATATTCATGACAACATATATTTGCTTAATCTTGAGCTTGGTGTGAAAAGCCTTCTCACTATCACAGACAACCAGTAAATTGGCAACAAAGATTTAAAAACCACCAACAATAAAGAGACATGCTCAACGGTGCCAGCAGATAATTGAAAAGTAAGTTCTCACAAATGATGCTTTGTCCAAAGTCTCCGTTAATCGAGCTAAGGGTAGTAGTTGCCATCGCCATAGGTACTGAAAATTCCACTATTAAAGAGAGTTATAAATTGTATATCATTGACTCATTATTGACATGATACAAACCTAAGATGGTAAGAACAAGAATTGGATCAGGAGGGAAAATTTTCCAAACTACAGTTCCTAAATAAACAACCCCAACTCCGCATAGAGGCATGACCGCTAATTTAAGAACAATACTAATAGCTAACGCCAGAGGATTGTTGAAATTAATAAACTTTTTTCTAAACCACTTCAACAGGTATAAAATATTAAGGAATTTTTTCAGCCTTTTTGACAGTGGCAATGAAGATTCATTCTCATCAACGGACGATTTGAGAGAGGCTCTTAGTGTCGTTGCCACGTTTGCACCTAAAATGAGCATTGAAATTGGAAAAATGGCACTATCCTGTGTAAATACTTCCAGAAATTAACTAAAATCAGGCTTACCTAGAAAAAAGAGTCAATGTGTGTACAAATGCGCTAACTATCATTGGTGGGTCAGTGATTAAAAAAGTTTTCACAGGTTCAATAAGTCCAATAATTGTACCTAAGAATAATGCAATTACAGGAGCATTGATGGTTTGTTTAAGAATAAATCGTGCTCGTTTCATCCTGTCGTTATTGTAAAAAGCTGTCCATTTTGCAAAAACAGAGCTTCTTTGTTGATTTGTAATGCTTGGTGACTCTAAATCATGAAAAACGCCAGATTCTTCATGCACACTTCCATTGTCCAAATGATTGGACTCCTCGTTGTGTTGACGTACTTCGGTGTGATGTTCGTTTTCAATAGATTTATGCTCTTTCAACTCCATGCTTAATGTACTGTCTTCAAATTCATGATGAGTATGATCATAATGTTGTAGCTCTGTTGTTCCCACACTTTCATTGTCCTCATGATGCTTTATCATTTCAGCATGCTCAGACATATCTTTGGAAGGTGATAAAGAAATTTCATCTTCTTCTTTCTTGGGTGGGGATAAGGCTGTCAGACCGTAGCTCCAGAATAGGAATATTGAAGGAAGAGTGTACACATTAATATACGCAATTGCTTGTTCTACAGCCTTGTCCACATCAATATCAAACAAAACACCACCTGCTGAAATTTTACAAATAGCACTCATAAATACCAAAGGTAATGTCACTCCGTTATTAAATGTTTGTGTAACATGTTGTACTTGTTGCTGTTCGTAGGATAAGGTTCCTCTCCAAAACTTTCGAAAAAAAACAATTCGTCCAATTATGTTTCCCAAAATGGTCTGTATTAGATTGATGATTGGTAACATCCACAAATGAGAAAGAGCCTCAATACTAATCGCTCTAGACAAGGCATGTAAATTAAATGTTGGGCTGAAAACAGTGAAAATAAGTTTGCTCATAAACTGAACACGTTCGGGGGTTAAGACTCCAACAAAAACAAGAACTGCTCCGATACTACAAGCTATTACGACTTCTATTGTTGCAGATAGGGAAGTCATGAAGAGAAGAATTGTAACATTGGTATCGGAGTGTGTTGAATTTGAAGTTTGGTTTGATGCAAGCAAAGAAGGAGTATTATAAAATTGCTGTGATGATCCGCCAGCAGCATGCATTAACATCATCAAAGTGTTGCGATAAAGTGCTTCCGCTGCTGGGGAGGAATCATTGTGAAGTACGGGGACAACAATGCCGTCCATTTTTTAAATCCAACGAAAGTTAATCCGATCTTTCCTCAATCATTTTGAATCCTAATTACATGTGCGTCCCCACAAGAATTATCGTTTTCCATTGACTCGTTGTAAGCTGGAGCAAAAAACTGGATGCGAACCTTGAGGATAGTATAGTTAAGATAGGAGAGTTGTTCCAGTTTTTTTACACCTTCCAACTGGTACTGGAAAAGAGGGAGATCAGTTTTTAAAAAAAAATAAATAACATTCATCCTGTATCGCTGTTGAGAGACCAGTGTACAAGCCTCATCATCGGAATTCATCATGTCCAAGAAAAAGACCACATCAAACGAAGAAAAGTTAGATATTTGTGTTGATTTCTTTCTGGAAAATAGGGAGCCTTTCTCATTGAAAGAGTTGGAGAAAAGGCTTCCCAAATTCAATTCGGCCATCAAATTTCCTCTAGTTAAAGATTTACTCACTCAGCTCACCGCTGATTCTAGAATTGATACCGACAAAATTGGATCATCAAATCAATATTGGCTATTTCCGAGCGCAGCTAGCGAGTCTAGAAAGAGAAAGAAACAAGAGCTGGAAACACAACTAGAAGCTGAAAATGTAAAGAAAAAAAAATTAGATGAAGAAATTGAAGAAGCTGAAATTGGGAAGGAAGACAATGAAGAAAGAAGAAATCTTCTAAATGAACTGGAGGAAATAAGAAAAGAAAGAGAAGAAGTCATGAAGCAACTCAAAAGATACGAAGATTTAGATCCCGAATTGATTGAAAAGATCAAATCTGATGTGTCAGTTTGCAAAGATGCTGCTAATAGGTGGACCGATAATGTTTTTTCGCTTGTCGGGTATTGCAAGAAGAACTTTAACATGGATCAAAAATCAATTTATGAAAGGTTTGAGATTCCAGAAGAGTTTGATAATATTGAATAAATGTATTTTAAAACCAGTAATTTAAAAAATTAAATGTATTTTAAAGCAAAATGCTGAATTTCGATTTTTTATTAAATTAAATAAAAGTTCAATCATCAAAAAAATGGGAAACTCCGAAGTCTCTCTGACTTTCAAAACACTTTCTAAAAAACAATTTCAACTCACCTTCAATGCGAGCGATACGGTGCGTAAATAATGATAATCAGAACAATGTGAAGCCCGAACTTCATATGTATTCACTTGTGATTAATTGTGTTTATTGTTAAATTGGCAAAAAATTTTCCGAACAAATCAGCTCGAAGTGGTGAAAGAGAAAGTAGCTGGTCATGAGAATCTTATACCATCTACTATTAAGCTCATTTACCAAGGAAAAGAATTAACAGAAAATTCTAAAACATTACAAGATTTAGGCTTTAATCCAAACATATCAATAATCGTAGTTGGTAAAAAAGTGCAACCTCAAAATGTAAACAATACCACATCAAATGTAAATAGTAATACACCAGTTGATGAAAATAGATCTACACTACCTTCAACAAAAGAAGACATTGTACTTTCGAAAATTAATGAAATTCAACAAAGGGCTGAGAATTTAGAAAAAGAGGTTCAAGCTTTGAAAGATAAACGAGAAGAATTAGGGGAAAAGAAATACGCCTTTGAAAGAAAGAAATGTGATGAATATTTAACACGTTGTTTATTGGATTTAGATGGTATTAATGTTGACGGTAATGAAGAGCTTCGAAAAAAACGAAGGACGGCAATTGTTTTTATTCAGTCAGTTCAATCTTTCATCGAATCCAACCTTTGAAGAATAAATGTTGTCTTCGTCAGCCATAAACCATGTTCATATGAGGTAGACTGAACTTGCTGTTGTTAAAAATAGTTTGCAAAAAAAATTTTAGCAGCATATTGTCTCTTGTGCTGCAACACATCATCTGTAACAAAAATTCCAAACATCAAGAAGGTATGTGCAACAAAGAATTCCTCTGACTCATCATTCATCATGGTATTTTGTAAATCATCAAAATCATTTAATTTTGATATTAAATTTGACATGGATCTTTTGATTGTATGGATGATGATCACTGATTTAATGATCTATTATTTACGATCATGATGATGTTAACAATTACCACTACAGAAGGAAAATGACTTTAAAAATTCCAAAGAGTATCCTTGCCAAAACGAAGGAAATGACTCCGGATGAGGCTAACAAAATCATGGGTACCATTACTTCTGCCATTGATGACATTTACAATGAAAAGGCTACAAGTATGGACTATCAAAAGTTGTACGAGTAAGTATCTCAACTCGTTGTACATGTTTATGAATGATCGATGATATCAATTACCATGTATCTAAACTTTGATCTTTTCATTGGAACAGTCTTGCCTATCAATTAGTAACCAAGAAGTTTGGTGAAAAGCTTTATGACAAGGTGCGATCTACCATTTCGAAACACACACAAGGTGTTTGCAACGATATTAGCAAACAAACAGATACAACTTTCCTTTCTTATCTATTGAACGTATGGAAGAAATATAGAAAAGCAGCATGTACTATTAGAGACTTGCTATTGTTTTTGGATGAACAATGGGTTGAGCGTCAGTCAACTCATGATGTCAAAATCAAAACTGTTTTTGAACAAGGTATTTTCATTTTCAGAGAGGAAGTTTTGATCAAGTTGACAGACAGAGTTCAAAGAATCATGCTCACAATTATCAAGAAGGAAAGAGATAATGTAGAGATTGCAGACAAGTTTTTACTTCGTAGCTTGACACAAATGATGGTTGAAATTGACAAGGAGAAAGTTTACATTCCTGTATTTGAAACTAAATTCTTAGAAGAATCACATCACTACTACAAAATTGAGGCTCAACAATTCTTTGATAATTGTACAGCTGTAGATTATCTCAAGAGAATCCAAGTTCGTTTGAAGGAAGAGACTGAAAGAGCTGAACGTTGTTTGGATGGTGACACAAAGAACAAAATTGAAAATGTTATCAAGGAAGAGTTCATTGAAAAGTATAAGGAATCAGTTGTGAAGAAGGAAGGAAGTGGTGTTTTGGTAATGTTAAAGGATAAGAAAGATTCCGAATTACGTTTGGTTTACGATGTTTTGAGTTTGGTTGAAGGTGCATTGGAACCAACAATAGAGATTTTCCGTGAATACATTACCGAGCAAGGTATGGCAATTGTCAAAGACCAAGAAAAGGATAAGGACTTTTTAACTTTGGTAACTGATGTCATTGCTTTGAGAGTTTACTATGATGAATTGTTGTTGCGTTCTTTCAGCACGAGACAAGGTGCTGCAACTGTTGGTGGAGGTGTCAGCAAGACAAGAAAGACTAATACCTTCATTCGTGATAAGGACTTCTCTAAAGCTACAAAGGATGCTTTTGATAAGATTGTGAATGCGAATGAGCGTTTCCCTGAATATCTTTCATTGCTATTGGACAAAAAGCTTAAGAAGGGTAAACAACAAGTTGAAGAAGAGCAACTTGATCAATTCTTCGATAACGTAATTATGGTATTTAGACATGTCAAAGATAAGGATGTGTTTGAAAAATACTACAAGGAACATTTAGCAGTTCGTCTTTTGGAAGAAAGATCTGCCTCTGATGACTCTGAAAAATCTTTCTTGACAAAGTTGAAGGCAGAATTCGGTGTTCAATTCACTACTCGTCTTGAGGGTATGTTCAAGGACATCAAGTTAAGCAAAGATTTGATGGTTCAATGGGGTGATTATAAGGAGCAAAAGACTATTCCAATTGACATGAACGTTCAAGTTTTGACTCAAGGTTATTGGCCAAACACTACTACTTCCAAGTGTGAATTCCCTGAACAAGATTTGAATATTTCTGCTGATATGTTTGCTAAATTCTATTTAGGTCAACACAACGGTAGAAAGTTGACATGGCAATACAATTTGGGAAATGCTTCTCTCATCATGAATGGCTTCCCTCAAAAGTACGAATTGTCTGTTTCTACATATCAAATGGCAATTTTACTTTTGTTCAATGAAAAGGAAAAACTTTCCTATGGTGAAATTGAAGAAGCAACCAAAATTTCCTCTTATGAACTCAAGAAGAATATTGCTCAACTTGTAAAACCAGTAGATGATGGCGAACAATACAAGAAGTACTCCAAGATTCTTGTTGCCAAGTCTGGTACTGAAGAAGCAGGAGAAGCCAAGAAAACAGGTTTGGATAAGAATACAATCTTTGTTCCTAATACCAGCTTCAAATGCAGAAAGTTAAAGGTTGCAGTCATGCCTCCAATCAGTAAGCAAAGTGATGAGGGAGCTCAAAAGATCACTGAACAAGTAGAGGAGGAACGTAAGATGGTGGTTGATGCTGTCATTGTCCGTATCATGAAATCCAGAAAAGTTTTGTCTCACCGTGAATTGGTTTTAGAAACTACCAAACAACTTCAACAAAGATTTATGCCTGCTCCAACTTTAATTAAGAAGAGAATTGAAAACTTGATTGAAAGAGAATACTTGGAAAGAGATGAAAATGACAGACAAACTTACAAGTATTTGGCTTAATTAAACTAATTATTTGTACTAAGGTGTTGCAATGAATGAGTGGGTGGGAAGTGCTAGTGCTTGTCTTGCGTTAGAAGTACTGTCTCTGTCTTTGGTGCCCTGTCGCTTGTAAAAAAATGCTCATGTCCCATGGCCCCAAACACTCGGTTGTTTGCTTGGTTATTTTGTGTTTAGTGCTAACCAACGTCGCGACTCTCTGTTTCGGAAATTATTTCCAAACAATAGACGCCATGAAACCAAACTTCAACTTTATCAAGGACAACTATCATGATTCATTTAAACATTTAGAGTATGGTAATGTGCTGAACATGATGCTGGCAAATCCATTGATAACAAAGACAAACTCTTTAGCTGGTGTTTCTCTGTCTAATTTTTCACTAATTCCTGCCTATCAAGCATGGTCTCACTCGATCAAAAATCACATTTTTGAAGATATTATTCAAAGAGATTGGGCATTTTCGTGTTTGAACATCTTTCACGAAAAGCCGTCAAAACGCGCATTGACTTCACCATCCTCATCAGCCTCGAATGAGGAATCACTATTCGAAAAATTAGCACAAAGTTTGGAAATATTTATTATCAATTATGGAAGTTTATTGTTTCACACGTTTAATCAAGTTGAAGAGAGTCAAGTCATGGTGAACTCGGTATCTCAGAATGGTGAGTTTGAATGGAAATGGATACATGTTTGGATGGGATTTCTGTTTGAAGTCGTTGGGGACCCTCGTTTGTTATTTGATGAGGATGACGTACACATTCAAGTGTTAAATCATCAACTTGATGTCCTTGAAGAAAACTTTGTTCTCATGTTTTTGAAGAAGTTTAAACCAAAACCTGTGTTTAACTTTCAATATGCTCCAAAATTTGAGAAATGGTATTTATTAGGACGGAGATGGAAAATTGATGATTGCAAAGCTACATCAATCGAGAGCATATTAACCACACCTTATTCATTAACTAGCACGTTGCCAACACGTACAACTCTGAAAATAATGTCATATAACATTCATAATTATGAGGGAAATTGGAAATTGAGATTGTTTAAAATTCTTAAAACCATTCGTAGACAAAATCCTGATGTCATTTGTTTTCAAGAAGTACGTCTTGATGAATATAAGGAGCTTTTCAATAGTGAAAATGATTTCTCAGCTCACGTTTTACAGGATCATCATCAAATCAGTCATTTGAAAAAAGCTCTCACTCAATTAGGATACATTCATTATTTTCACAGACCTGCCATGTCTTACTATTCTCCACACTTCATGTCAACGAATGGCTTTCCTCCAATGATGCACGAAGAAGGACTTGCTATTTTTTCTAAATATCCAATGATTGAATCTGATCACAGGTTGCTTTACAGAGATGTAACAGACCCATCGACACATCAAAGAATTTCTTTGAGAAGTAGAATTATAATTCCCTTCCATAATGATGCTAATTTTATAACAGTGGACATTTTCAACACTCATCTTTCGTTAAAAGAGCATGAAAGAAATCAGAATGTTTTGGATCTTTCCAATTTTGCCAATCAAGTAAGTGTACATATATCTTCAACTCTTGAAATTCTTTCATGTACTTCAAGGTGTTGAATCATGACGAGTCCAATTCATCTTGTTCTCTTTTTCAGCCCTCTTTTCAATTGGTTTGCGGAGATTTCAATTTGGAACCTCATGAACACGCCTACTCTCTTTTACAAAGGAGTGGAGATTGGAGAGATTCTTTTGAAGAAGCAAGAGCTTTACTTTTCAATAACACCAACAAGTTAGAAGATTTTGATGCTCATCACACTCTCACATTTAGTACGGATGAAACGTTTAAAAAGAGAATTGATTACATCGTGTATCGAACAATAAGGCAGTTCAACACGTCCAATGATTTGCAAGTGAAGGTCCATTCTTATCAATTGGATGGAAAGGCTTCAGAGTATTACTTTGAAGAGACTAATTACAAGGCACCTAGTGATCATCATGCTGTCATTACTGAGTTCACTATTGAAAAAGTTTAAAAAGGATTGTAACAAGATTCTTCACTCGATGTTGCTCATTACACAATTCGTGTTGCTGGTACATTTCATAAGACAGACCCAAGCAAACCTCTAAAAGACAGTGGCACATTTTGTAAAACAGGCTGTTCATCCAATGCAACTGCAGTTATTTTTAATCGGTTCGTGCACAAACTTGCACTCCTTCAAACACCAAGATGAGGAGTGAGCAATTTAATGCAAACGCTTTCAACCATGATCATGAACACAACAGAAAACAATACATCAACAGCTCAAGTCCACTATTTTCTCGTTCCTTCAACAATGTCCTCTCCAATGGAACATCAAGAAGAAATTATTTCAACAACAACTGTTCAAGCAGCAACCAATGAAGGTTTCGATTACAGCAAATTAATAGACCAGTTTGGATCCGAACCCGTGCAACAAGATTTGATTGAGAGATTTGAAAAATTAACTGGTAAGAAAGCACATCCCTTCCTTAAACGAGGTATCTTCTTTTCTCATCGAGACTTACACAAATTACTAGATCATTATGAAAACGGAAAAATGTTCTATCTCTATACGGGACGAGGACCTTCGAGTGACTCGATGCATTTGGGGCATTTAGTTCCTTTCATGTTTACCAAGTATTTGCAAGATGCATTTCAAGTACCTCTCGTCATTCAACTCACAGATGATGAAAAGCATTTAATGCAAGAGTTGGATTTTCAACAAGTCCGAAATATGATGATTGAAAATGTAAAGGATATCATTGCTTGTGGATTTGACATGAGAAAAACCTTTATATTTTCTAATTTTGATTACATGGGGTATTTGTACAAGACGGTTGTACAAATTGAAAAATGTGTCACAACCAGCCAAGTGAAAGGAGTGTTTGGATTCAATGATTCAGACAACATTGGAAAGATGAGTTTTCCGGCCATTCAAGCAGCTCCTTCTTTTTACACATCGTTTCCACACATTTTCTCAGTCCAGCAAGATGCCTTTCAGAATTTAGAGTCGACAATGAAAGAAAACAATGGCAAGAATATGGACTCCATCATGTGCCTCATTCCTTGTGCCATTGATCAAGATCCATATTTTAGATTAACAAGGGATGTAGCTCCCAAGTTAGGTTTTCCCAAACCTGTGCTCGTTCATGGAAAATTCTTACCTTCGTTGCAAGGTGCCAAAACAAAAATGGCATCTTCAGATAAGAATTCGGCAATTTTCTTGACCGACTCAAATGCTGTCATTGCTTCCAAGGTTGCTGGCTCATTTAGTGGTGGTGGTGCTTCGAAAGAGCTTCATGAAAAGTTTGGAGCAAACCTAAAAGTCGATGTTCCATTCAAATTGTTGGAATTCTTTTTAGAAGATGATCAACAGTTGGAGCAAGTGAGAGAAGAATATTCAAAGGGTATCATGTTGACTTCTCAAATTAAGAAATTAGCATTTGAAGTGGTTAGCAAATTGGTAAAAGAGCATCAAGAACGAAGAGCCCGTATCACTGAAGAAGAGTTGAAGGAGTTCATGTCAGTTAGAAAGCTTGACTTTTAATAGAATGACAATGTTCCAAACGTTTGCACCCGAACAAGCATGATGCTCCAATTAAAATTCTTGTATTTGACATTTTCAACAAATCGTTTGAAGTTTTTTGAAGGTGAAAAAATGAAAACATCAGCAAAGCAACAACTTGCTGCTGTATTGCAGAATGATGAGTATTCATCATCATCCGAAGATGAAGAGACCACAATGGCTGACGATGATTATGTTTTAAACGAAGAGGAAAGCATTCCGCCTGAAAGTGTTTTAGACGGAGAACAATCAAAAAAGCATAATGTATGTTTTGTGTTTACTTCAACCATGTTGATGGAAAAGATCATTTTGGCTATTTTGATTTATTAATTTCCGATGACTTTTATGTGTACAATTTTTCGAATGAATATACAGATTGATTCGGATGAGGACGATTCAGATGATACAGACTCTGATGAAAATCAATACAATCCTCTTGCAAAAACAAATGCTAAAAAACAAAAAGTCAGCAGCTTTTTTCCAGCAGGAAGTTCCTCGGAAATGAATCAACAACAAGATGAAGAATCCGATGAGGAGTCTGAATTTTCTGAAGACTCTGATCATGACATGACCGCAGTGAAAGACTTGATTAAAAAAGCCTCTTCACCGTCAACATTGGGTCAAACCGTAGCACATGATGACGACGACGACGATATTCAATTAAGTGATTTAATTTCATCAACTCAACATGGAACCGATACAAGGTTAAATGCCGAAAAAACTCAGAAAGAATTGAAGAATATTGAAGAGTTGAAGAAAATTGACAAGCAATATAAAAAAGGAGCTGGACTATTCTATGCACTTGAAGATACAGAAATTCAAAATGAAGAGAGGAGAGCAGCTTTTGATATTGTAGATGAAGGAATGGAAAAGTGGCATTCCATCGTTGAAACAGTTGAAAATTCCAGGCATGTTCCTCTTATTTACAAACATTTGCGAGACAAAACAGAAAAAGAAAAAATTTTGGAAAAAGGAATCAAAGGAAGTGGTGTATTCGATGATACCTCAGAGATTGAATTGATAAAATCATTTGAAGCCACCAAAAAACAGTTATCTAACATGGATAAAGAGTCTCTAGTTGCAAGACACAAGGAAATTTTGGAAAAGAGGATAGAGATGGAAAAACAAGCAAAAAAGAACAAATGGCTCAAGAATATTAAGAGCAAAACCTATAGAAAAATTTTAAAAAAGCAAAAAGAAAAACAACAAGAATTGTTAGAAGAAGAGCAAATGAAGAACATGGATGAGGAAGAATTAAAGCAGAAAATTTTAAAGAGAGAACGAGAAATGATCACCGAGAGATTAACTATGAGACATAAAAATACATCCAAGTGGGTGAGGCATGCCATGAAGCATCAAGTTCACAATACTGGACTTAGAGAAGCTATTTCTGAGCAATTGAAGGTTCATTCTGACCTTGTTAAAAAGCAAACAAAGAAAGAAAATGAAGATGATAGTGATGCTGAAGACGAAATGGTTGAACAATTGTTCCAAAAGGATAAACAATCTAATCCATTTGAGACAATGAGACAGGTTGTCACTGAGGAAGAAGGAGAAAAGACAGGTCTTTATGGAATGAAATTTATGAAAAAAGCAAATGAAAAAAGGAAACAAGAGCAATTAGACTTAATTAATCAAATGGAAAAGGATGTTGGTGATCACATTGGCATTTCTTCAGCTCAAGAAGAAGAACAACCCTCAGGACGAATGCAATTTGAAAAAGACAATAAGAAAACCAACTCTCGGACTGTGCAAGAAGACATGGACTCTTCTGACGACGAAAATATAGAGACAAAATTTGATAAGAATACCATCGTAATTCCAAAGACAACTGTAAAAGTTTCCTCACAGACTCTTAACGAAAAGACTGGCATTGAAAAAAAAACAGCAAGCACTACAACACAACCACATCCTTCAAGTGGTAGTGAGAATTCTGTACTCAATACAACCAAGATCATGTCTAAATCCTTTGGATCTGTATCAGAACCATCGAATGACGCGTCAGACAAGCAAGTAACAGTGACGAGTATCTCAATGAAAAGAAAACGTACAACCAAAGAAAACCCATGGCTGAATAAGGGAGGAAAGACAAAAAGTAGAGACAGTGATACGATAGAAGATGAAATCTCTAAAAAGAAGAAGAAAATGAATAAGGATGTTGCATCAAAGATTTTGATTAGCACTGATGAATCAAAATTAGGTATTGAAACCAATGATACTTTGATTCAGGAAGATGCACATGTTGAATCTACAACAAATGTAACCAAGTCAAGTAAAAAGAATAGAGAACAATTGGAATTTGAAAAGAAGGTTAAGCAAGAAGCATTCGCAGGTGATGATTTGGAACTTCAATTTGCTGAAGATAAGGAAAAAGCCATTAACGAAGAAATTGACATGCCTGATTTTTCAACAACATTTAAGCCTGGTTGGGGATCATGGGCTGGTTTTGGACGTGAAGAACAAGTTAAAAAAGATTTGGAAAAGAAACAACGACAAATTGCAAGAATTCAAAAGAAAATTAGAGACGAACAGATTGAACAACGTACCGATAATCAAATTAATCATGTAATTATTAGAGAGACAGCGAAGGTTCCAGACAAATTCCTCATTCCGGTGTCCAATCAAATTGAAGCTGCTGTTGTTGATAGCGCCTTTGCTCATCCTTTGGGTCTCGAGTGGAATACTTTGAAAGGACACAAGACACAAATTGCACCTCGTGTTAATTTACAAAGTGGACATATTGTTAAGGCTCTGGACTATGAGACTATGCAAATTAAGAGCACCAAAGCAAATACTCAAGATCCTCTACTCGACGTGAAAAAAGCTGCCAAACTAGAATCTGCTAAGGAACAACGATATCAAAAGATTAAGGAACGACTAAAGGACGATTATGAAACGGTTAAATCTAAACGACAGGAAGACAGAGAAAAAGCGGACAAAGAAAAAGAAGAAAGCAGAAAACGTTATATGGCAAGATGGGAAAAGGATTCTGACGAGGAATAAAGATTGGTTGTCTTTGCAGGTGATCAGATAACTGTAAATGATGACTTTGGTGTATTTCTCTGCGTCCTTAGTTTCAGGTTGAATGGTGTTGAGAGTACGTGGCCAGGAACGAACGGCCAATCTTGGCTCCTGCACTACAACTAGGCACAAAGTCCACGTTCAAAATTGTTTGCAAATCTATTTGATTTTTGCAATTTTTCAAGAAACAAAAAATAGCACAACCTCTTTGCGTTGGTAGAGGACCTAACCACTGGTATTGAAATAATTCGAACAGCTTTTAAACATGAGACCCGACACATCACTGAGCCTTTCAAACGTTATCAACTCCAATGAAAGGAAAGCCAACAACATTTCGAATCAAAACAACAACCACATCGATATGCCCGATCATCAATCTCAAGGAAGCAACAGCAGAAATAGTTCCTACCAGCACTCGAACTCCATCTCCTCCACACACATACCAATCTATCAACCACTCAGTCAAGAAATACAATCCAATCGATCGATATCAACAAATGAAACTATTCTTTCGGATCAACATTCTCAAGAACAACAAAATCTCTTAATCGAAATTGGTGGTTTGAAATCCTTGATGAAACCTTCTCTAAAGAAGAAAAGGGATGAAGAGAGCACAAACCAACTCATCATCGATGATGATTTGGAGGAAATTGCATTCCCGAACTGTGTTCACCTTAAGAAGAGTCCCGAAAAGAAAATATCGAAACGAACTTTGGTGGAGCATTTGCACAGCAAAAATCGAAAGAAAAATGTAAAGAGGAAGAAGAAGAAGGATTGAGCTGGCATGGAGCAGTTGAGAGGACATTACGGAACAGGTACGTGAATGAGAATGATTGAAATTTTCATGTACGGAAAAAGAGATCGTGAGAGTGTTGCAACTCCGAAAATTATTATTGGCCAATTATTCTCACATTTTCAAAGAAAACAAATACTTTCATTCCTTCTCGAGGGTGATGCATTTTGAAAATTGGTGAGATGACAAGAAGATCATGTACAAAAACCGAGCAAATAATAACAACAGCAACAGTGAATGCCACATTGATCTTGTTATTCATCACGCTTGTACAATGGATTCCGTTCGTTAAAATGTCGTCGGCACAACAACAACTCAGTTTCACACCTCACTATCAAATCACAACAGGTATGTAGATCATGACTATGGAACAGTTTGATCATTGTGTGTAGTCGTTGGTAATGGAGAAAGTAATTTTGCTGGAGATGGCTCGAGCTCCCTATTGGCAAGTTTAAATACTCCAAGAGACTTGTTCCTTCAAGAAACTGCACCGAACACGCATATGTTGTATATTGCAGATACCAACAATTATGTTATACGAACAGCCATTGTGAATTCGACCATTGAAACAATCGCTGGTATTGGAAGATCGGACGGGTTTTCGGGCGATGGATCATTGGCGACCAATGCCAAGCTCAAATCTCCAACTTCTGTAACAGTATTCAAAGGTGATGTGTACATTTGTGATTCACTGAATAATAGAATTAGAAAAGTATCGTCCTCGACTGGATTTATTTCTACCATCGCTGGTAATGGTGTGAAGGCCTCCACTGGTGATGGATTGCAAGCTCGATTAGCAAGTCTAAGTCTTCCAAAATATATTTTCTTTAATGCTGCTGGCGATTTGTTTATTTCAGAATATGAATCAGATAACATTCGAAAAGTACATGGAACGACAGGTGTGATTAGTACCATTAACAAGGATACTTTTGACAAACCACAAGGAATGTATATCACTTCCAATAATGATATCTATGTTGCAGATAGTGGAAATCATCGAATTAGAAAAATTCTTCCCAATGGAAATGTTGTGAATATTGCAGGAAATTCGAAAAGGTAGGATTGGTAATTTTTAACATAAGGGTGAATTAATTTTCATGTACCTTCTCTTGAATAGTGGATACTCTGGGGATGGACTTGTAGCAACGTCTTCCAGTCTAAATACCCCACGAGGAGTTTTTGTAAGCTCACTTGGGGAAGTATTTATTGCAGATACAGCCAACAATAGAATTAGGAAAGTTACAAACAATGGATTCCTTGTGAACATTGTTGGAAATGGAAATCAAGGTTGGTTTCAAGATTGTATTGCAATGAATATTCTAATGATATCGAAATATTTTCATTTAGGAAAATCAATGGATGGCCCTGTGACATCTAATTTTATGATTGCTCAACCCGAGGCAGTAATCGTTGCTTCAAATGGAGATGTTTATTTTACAGATACAAACAACCACCTTGTAAGACGAATTTCCTGCCAAGACGGTTATGTTGGAAGTCAATGTGAAATACCCATTTGCTTCAATGTTTTAGGAAATGATACCATGAATGTTTGTAATGGACAAGGACTTTGTAACTCTCCTGACCAATGTGAATGCAATGGAAATTACACAGGACGTACTTGCAATATTAGTGTGTGTTATGGAATTGCTTCAAATGTCGATTCTGTATGCAATGGGCATGGGCTTTGTGTAGCTCCTAACCAGTGTAGGTGCAATGAAAATTATATTGGACCAAATTGCTCGACTCCAATATGTTTCGGCAAGTCCATACTAGGTTCATCATTACCATGCAGTGGTCATGGTGCTTGTAACTTTCCAAATGAGTGTACTTGCTCATCTAATTTTGTTGGAAGAGAATGTGAATATCCTATTTGCTATGGCTTTCCATCCAATGACACGGTCAAAAGTTGCAGTGGAAATGGTGTATGCGTTGATTTCAATAATTGTTCATGTTTGGAACAGAAATATTCAGGCCCTAACTGTGAGATTCCTATTTGTTTTGGACAAATGAAAGAGAATGCTTGTTCTCGACATGGTACTTGTATCAAACCTAATGTTTGTGAGTGTGAAAATTCTTATACTGGATTGAGCTGTGAGATACCCATTTGCTTTGGCCTTCCTCAAAATCATTCTCAGGCCTGTGGAGGAAATGGTTTTTGTTCAAAGAAAGACACTTGTTCGTGTCATGAGGGTTACAAGGGCGAACAATGTAAAACTGCAATATGTAATGGATATGGAGCTGATGACACCAAGCGAGTGTGTAATGGCTTGGGAGTGTGTATCGCTCCTAATTTGTGTCAATGTACAACAGGGTTCGCAGGTAGGTCATTTATTTTGACTCCAATTAATCAAATACTGATCCATGTACAATATTCGTAGGTAATAACTGTGAGACATCTATTCAACTTGTCATAATTTTAGCAGCAGTGCTTGGTCCCATTTTGCTTGTCATTGTCTGTGCACTGATTGTTGTTCTTTTCATATCAGCAACCATGGCTAGAAGATTATTAAACAAGCGAAGGGCAGAAAGAGAATATGCAAAAAAGTTGTTAGAAGGAGAAATTGCCCTTACAGACTCATTGATTGACTTTGAAAATTATAGACCATCAGAGTCGTATATCATTCCAATCGAAGATGTAAAATTGATTGCTCAACTTGGTGAAGGTTCATATGCCAAAGTATTTAGAGGTATTTGGAACAAGACGCCAGTTGCAGTTAAAGTAATTACTCTTGATATATTAGAAACGGACGAAGAAGATTTTAAAAAAGAAGTTCGAGTCATGAATTCACTTTCTCATCCCAACATCGTTGCGTTTTATGGCTTGAGCATGTGTGAAAGAGAACGGAGATTAATTGTTGAGCTTGTTGATGGAGGAAACTTACAAAATTTCATTTATAATTTGAAAATTGGAAATATGAAGGCCAATTTTGGAAGGAAAATTAAGATTTTACTGGATGTTGCTAATGGATTAACTTACTTGCACCAAAGAAATCCTGCTGTGGTACATAGGTGAGTTTTAGAATGATATTGTATTGGTTCATTGATGTTTTTCAGAGACTTAAAGCCTGCAAATATTTTAATGATGACAAGCTCGAGCGGTTGCTGTAAGATTTGCGACTTTGGGCTTTCAAAATTTGGCCAATTAAGCTTGGGTACTGTAAGAATAGGGACATTCTTTTATATGGCAGTAAGTACATTTCGGATCCAATGAATATGAATTTCTGGCGTGTCATTTATTTCTACATGTGCATTTCGAATTGGTCAATTAGCCAGTAAGTTTTTTCAACCATACTTCTTAATAACTGTTATTCACAATATCATTAGGAAATTATTGCACCAAAATCTAACGCGATAAATATGAAAATTCCAACCGTTTCTCGCCATTCATCTCCAACAACGGAAGCTGTTTTCACAGAAAATGAAGGTTTCCAATTAGACCAAGTGATTGACGAAGCTGCATTGTTTGAAGATGAAGCAATCTATGGCCCACCTGTTGACATTTATTCATTGGTATTATATTTTGGGAATTATTTTTTGAAGAGAGCCCTTACGAATTTAAAAACAAAGACAAGCTGTGTCTCTACAGGAATCCAGAATTTAACAAACTTCATGCATGTCCAACTCACAAAATTATTAACATGATTTCGTGTGGTCTGAGACCACTAATTCCGTTCAAGTCAGAGCGTGAATGTTGTGAATGGTTGCAATTATATTATGGAGCAGATTTAAACTTTAAGGACTTGTTTCCATTTGTTATTCGCTATTTACAATTAATGAAGATGTGTTGGAAACAAAATCCAGATGAAAGACCTTCTGCCTCGCAAGGTATGTAATCAACATGTTTGGTGGAAAAACAAATATTGATTTGGGTTGAATTTAACAACAACAATAGTTGCAAAGACTCTTAACCAAATTTTAGAAGATTATGAAAATTGTGTAAATATGAGGTGAAAATCTCGTGGTTATTCAAATTATCAATCTGCTCTTTGCTATTTATTTTGAGTCACAAGGTATTGATTGAAATACTGACTCATGCAGTTTGTTGTGTCAGCTTCTTTCTTTTGGACACGCGTCGTTGTAAAGGGTTTGAATGAACAACAACAATCGTTTCAGAAAAAAATCGCAAAGCTAGCCAGAGGCCTTTTTTATTGTTTTGTAGATTTGATTGCATCAAGGTCGTCCTCTTCATCGGTATTACTGTACAATAACCGTATCGAATCATCATCTCACAATAGTGTCTTTTGTGAATATTCTCATCATTTCCCGATACCTATAAACTCTTCATCATGGAAACAGAATTATTTACCAGCTACATTGCTCTGCTGATACATGCTGTAGTACCTATCATAATAGGTAGCAAACAATCTCTTTCATCTGGCCAAGTCGAATCTTTAGAAACAAAGGATGCCTTTATGTTTCCCGTGGTTGGATCGTGTGTCTTGTTCAGTTTATATTTATGTTTCAAATTCTTGAGCGAAGCTTGGATTAACTTTGTCATGAGTGCATACTTTACAATTTTGGGTATTGGAGCTATTGCAACAGCGTTACATCCATTGTTGAACGCCATTGTACCATATCATATGACCGATAAGAGCAAAGAAGGTGCTCAAAAGTATCGCTACACCCTCCGTATTCCTGTTGTTGGTTGGACCTTTGAATTTTCGTTTGTTGACATTATTGGAACAATTATTGGAACTATTGCTGGTGGTATTTATATTTACACAAAACATTGGATCACAAACAACATATTCGGAGAATGTTTCTCGATGGTTTCAATTCAATTAATTCAGTTAGGATCTTACAAGGTTGGAGCCATTCTTTTGATTGGTCTTTTCTTTTATGATATTTTCTGGGTCTTTGGAACTGAAGTCATGGTCACAGTAGCCAAGAAATTTGACGCTCCAATCAAGGTTGTTTGGCCTAAGGCTGGAGGCTTTTCTCTTTTGGGCTTGGGCGACATTGTCATTCCAGGCATTTTTGTTGCTCTCATGCTTCGATTTGATTATTATCTTTACAAGAAGTACAAGACAGGAGCCTTTTCCAAGACCTATTTCATTGTCACATTTATTTCTTACATTATTGGATTGGTCCTTACCATTGCTGTACTGCACATTTTCCGTGCCGGACAACCTGCCTTATTGTACATTGTACCTTGTGTTTTGGGAGGTTCTTTTATGACTGCTGTGTTTAAAGGACAAGTTAGCGAGTTGTTTGCTTATCATGATGACAAGCTTTTAGAAATTGAAAATCCAGAGTTAGCCGAGCAAAAGAGAAGAGCTGCTGAGGAAAAGAAACAAGATTAATTTATTGATATTTTTGACCAGTCTGGAGCGAATAATAAATTGATATTCTTCAAGTGCTCTCGTCTGAAGTGGTGTGTTAATACGTTCACAGACTCCGTTAGTGCTCTCCCACGAACAAACTCCGTAGCAAAAAAAATGGCGTCAAAACTGACCTACTTGTCCATCATCACGATGGTGTTAATTGTTATTCTTTTGAATGCGACTTCATCACTCGCCAACAAATTAACTCGTGAACAAATTAAACGATCAGTATTCATGAAAGGAAGATCTCTCAACGATGAAGAGGGATATATGAAGAGAATGGCTGAACATCCAATTTATTCTAAACAACCTGTTTCGATCGAAGGAAGAGGACCTGTGATGAACGCTGATCAAAATCCTTTTGCTCATTCTGGCTTTTTCACAGTCAACAAGACAGTGGGTGGACAAATGTATTATGTATTCTTTGAATCACAAGACAAAAATCCAAATGCTCCCATCATTTTGTGGTATGTTTTGAAACTTCAACGAAGAGTTGGTACTAATTTTGAATCATTTTTGCTGTGAAATACTGTGACATTTAGGCTCCAAGGTGGACCAGGTAAGTTTGATGACTGCCAATATTGGCATTGTGTGATGAATGTAACGTTGACATGTAAATTCCCAACACTTTCCGATCAGGTTGTTCAAGTGCTACTGGAATGCTCTTAGAGATGGGTCCGTATCGTATTAATCCAAAAACCTTGGACTTGTATCCAAATCCTAACACATGGAATCAAAAGGTGAGTCATGATTCAACATAACAGCATTGTTTTACTGTTTAATTCCCTTGAAGTATGCTCTTTTATTTATTGACAACCCATTGGGCGCAGGCTTTTCACACATGCAAAACCCACAAGGTATGTTTTGAATTGTGAAGAGCTTTACTATAGAGTTGGTACTAATTTTGAATGAATTTCACTGTGAAATATTGTGACATTTAGGCTATGTTCACAATGAAGAACAAATGGCCAACGAGCTCTATTCCATGTTAATGCAATTCTTTGACTTGTACAAACAATATCAATCCAATCCATTCTATGTATTTGGTGAAAGTTATGGTAAGTGATTCGCAACATGTGGAACGAACGATTGTGTGACATTACACAACAATGAAAAATTTGTTCTAGCTGGAAAATATGTTCCATCCATTTCATACAAGATTGCAAATGAAGGTTTCAAGATTAATCTTCGTGGATTTGGTATTGGTGATGGATTGACTCACTCATTGGTTCAAATGACAAACTATGATCAATATGCATATTCTTTGGGTCTTATTGATACTAAACAACAATTAGAAATTCAAAAAATTCAAGACAATGTTAAATCTTTAATTCTTCAAGAAAGATGGTTTGAGGCAACAAGCGCATGGGATGGTATCATGGCCGCTTTGAACAATTACACTGGAGGAATTAATGTTTATGATGTCCGTGAATATGGAGATTATAACTTTGACTATTATTTGGCTTTCCTTAATCTTCCATCCACTAAGGTATTAATGCACACTGTTGGAATTCAATACAATGATTGTGATGCTAAAGCTTATAGCGCCTTATATGCTGACATGTCCAAATCAGTCAAGTACAAGGTTGAGAGTTTGTTAAATAGAGGAGTGAGAGGTATTCTTTATAATGGGCAAGTGGATTTGATTATTAACATGGTTCAAACCAAGTGGATTGAAGAAATGAATTGGAAATTCTCTTCAGAATTCTATAATGCTGCACGAAAGCCATGGACTCTTAATAAGAAGATTGTTGGCTATGTGAAACAATATCAAAATCTCTACAAAGCTGAAGTGAACTTGGCAGGTCATCTCAGTCCAATGGTAAGTATTAATGAATTTGTGTTGAAACTACAATTTTAATATATTTGTGATTTTCTGCAATGTGCTATAACACCCATTGCTTGGATGTGAAACTATTGTTGATAATAGGATCAACCTGAGCATTGCATGACATGGTAACTCGATTCATTGAAAATAGACCTTTTTAATTGACACGTGTTAACCTATTAAACAGACATATTTGCTCATCATTTCTTTTGTTCGTTCTGGTTGCACGTCGAGGTCAACAAGGACCTCAGTTGGGGTGTGATTGATTTCTCTTGAGAAAAAAATGAAAGATCCCCGCCCAAGACCCATCCGCAATTTTCTTCTTCTCTTTGCTGATCGTTGTGATGAAACAACAACAACAACATCCACACCACAAAACCCATCGAAAGGGAAAAAATCATCGTCTTCCCATCACAATGACCAAAACGATTTAATTAAACTTCAGGAGAAAGATTTAGCATGGGTTCAGGATGGCATCGGATACAAGACCCTCTTTCTTCGAATTCTTTCCTTTTTGGACCAATATGATTTGGCGCAGAGTGTTCAACCTGTGTGTAAATTATTTCAAAATTTTGCAAATTGTGATTTGTTATGGGAACAATTGTTTTGGAATTTGTTCACTCATCATTTTGAGCTCACAAAAGAAGAAATCTCTGAAAAGTATTTGAACCCTCCAAACCTAGATTCAAGGTTAGGTATTTACACCCAACAAACTCTAATTCCTGAAAAATCTTGGAAATTCAAAGTTGTTAATGGTGTGAGATTGTACTATTTAAATCACACCACCGACAGCTATAGCAGTAGTACTCCAGGAGAATCTGGTATTTGGAGATTGGAATGTTCAGAGTGTGGGGCAGATTTTCATCACAGAGAACCATATATTTATGATGAAGAATCAGAAGATTATTTACATTTGGATTGTGTGGATAAGGAAAGATTTCATGAAAAGGTTGAACATTATGCTCAATTCCAAATAGCAAGTTATTTTTCAAGAAAAGTGATCATTGAGACCTTCTTTAGAAGACGTTTAATTGGCAAGAATGAAGATGATGAAGTATCTGAAGAATCTGTGGTCGAGTACACTTGTGATGTTTGTGGAGATCCCATTCACACAATCAGATATTCATGTCTTGATTGTGAGTTTGATCTTTGTGGATACTGTTGTGAAAAGTTAGTTTATAATCAAAAAGGAGTTGACATGCCATTTTGCAAAGGAGTAGAACATCCACTCGATCATACATTCCTCACTGTTGGGCAAGAATATTGTGACACGTATTCATGCAATTTATGTAAGGAAAAGATTCGTGGATTTAGATATCACGACCCTTCCAAAGACAACTTTGATCTTTGTACATTGTGTTTCAAAACAAAACGTGATCCCAATATTGACTATGAAAAAATGGATCATCATGAAGAGATTGTTACTGAAGCATTCTATGCAGAACTATGTCACAAGATGCATCTTCAAGAATTGAAAGAAGTCTACAAGAATGTATTTGACATGACGGTCAAGGGAGCGAAATCTGAACTTGCTGACGAATTGTTGGAATTATTGGAAGAGAAAAAAGAAAGAAATACTCGCCCTAGATTGTGCACACTTGTTTCTAATGTACCTAGATTTTGTTGTAAAGATGATGAAGGTAATGTGTTGACAAAAGATGCTATGGACGCATTGGTTGCAAGTTTGGATTTGGTTGAGGAAAAGGTGAAACCTCCCAAAAAGAAATCAAAAAAAGCCATCGTTGATGATGAGGAATAGGAAATTCGAATGTTACACTTGAAACTGTACCTGGTACTGCCAACGCATGCCTTAAGATTGAAATAAATTAGTGCCTCAACCAAAAAAAATGCAACCACTGTCCGTCGTAACGAACAACAACAACCCTTTGGATGCGGAGAAAATGATGCAAGATGATGACTTGGAAATATTATATGGATTTGAATGCATTACTAATGATGTCATTGAACATGATATCATTCCTTTTGTAGATTACCATAGTCTGATCACAGTAATTCCGTTAGTTTCAAAGACTTGGTACCATATGGCAAACAAAGTAGGCATGTGGTTTACTATTGTTTGTAAAGAGTGCGGAATTCATGCAGAAAATCTTTCAAATTACGTTACATGTTGTAAAATTAATAATATTCGGAACAGAAATTCTACAAGCTGGGATAGTTACTTGTTTGATGAAGATTTGTATATATTGAAGAGATTGTATTACACTATTCGTAAATTGTTTCCAACAAAATTGTTAACACCAAACGAGGACACGTCCCGACAATTTAGAATACCTGATTTGATCACAAGAGACCCAAACAATCCACATGTTTTAATATTTAACAACCAAAGGTTCAAGGAAAATACTTTTGGTTTTGATCTTAATTTAATGAGTGACAAAAGAATTCCAAACTTGTTGTTTCTTCCAACTCCAAAACCATCTCTTGGAGAAAGCACCGAAAGTCATGACTCTGCCCCACAAGAAAATACAGTGCCAGACCGAGACATTTCTCAATTGGTTCCTGTGTATTACTTTGAGGTTGGAACAATGGAACTTGATAGCGAGTTAAAAACACCAACCATTACATCACCTACAACACCTCTCTCTTCAGCATCTACGTTCTCTCCAAACATATCTACTCAAAAATCAAGACGAGTCTTTGAAAAGAAGGAAAAGCGTGGAAGAAACTCCATTGGGGTATTGCATGCATGCTATCAAACAAGACGACAAGTGGGTTGGGATGAATGTGGCGCAGGATTTCATAGCGATGATGGTAAAGTTTTTGTCGCAGAGGGTGGCAGTGATTTTGATATTTTGATCAAAGAAAAAAAGCCTATACTTGGAGATACGTTAGGATGTGGTGTATTAGCTAACAATGGACAGGGAATTGCTTTCTTCACGTTGAATGGCAGATTCATGGCGTCACCATTCACTGTTAAAACAACAAAAGAGGACATGAGGTTCGGGCTTGGATTTTGGAAGAATGAGAAGGTGGTTTGCAACTTTGGTCAAATCCCTTTTCAATACAACATTACCAATGTATTCGACGATGTTGAAAGATATCTAGGAGACCATCCAGTGGATAATCTACCTGCTCTATCAGATTCAGGATACTCGTATGAAAGAGAAACAGTCACTGGTCTTTTGGATCGATTGTCAACTCTCAGACTCAGATTAAACAGAGCTAGTGAACATTTAAACATGGTATCTAGAGCTGTAAGAGGAATGGATTTATCACCCTCTTGGTTCGAATCTGATGAAGAATTTGACGACAACGCTGGCTCTGACTACCAACCTTCTGAATCAGAATCATCACAAGATGACGAGGTACAAGAGCAAGCTCAATTTAGTGATCCAGAGGAAGAAGAAAGCAGTTACGAGGAAGAAGGCCAAAACGGTGGTGCAGAGATGGACACTGGTGAAGAAGAATAATTTTTGCTTAGTTGCTGACAGCAGAAATTAGTTTAATAACACGCGGCGTCGTTAATCATTCTTCTTATTCTCACTTTCAGAAATGCTTGTGACGCTTGTTGAGGTGCGGACGAAGAACTTCTGATATCAATGAAATGACGTATTTGATAGTATTTCGATACACAGCAATAATTATGGCAACATGGACAACTCCTGTTAAAAAGGCGTACTTGATCCCAATGACGCTCCATACAAAAATAAAAACAATGTAAACATAAAGAACCACAATGGCTGCGTGGAATAGCAAGTTAAAACTGAATCTAAAAGGAGTCGCAGTCGCAGCATTACTTGTTCCTCTTTGCAAAGGATTTGGAAAGGCACCAGTCTTTGAGTGAGCCACCGCATTGTTAATGAATGACACTGCGAAATTCATCATGAAAAAGTGCATTTTGATAAATCCAAAAGCAGCTAGAGCACAATTTTTGTAAATTCGTTGATTAATTTCGTCTTCATCTGCATCATCATTCTCGTTAATAAAACCATCGAATAATCCTGCAACATTATTTTCTAGGCAATAAAACCTGGCCCAAAAAACAATGTAAAACATAATTATTGTTCTAATAACACCAAAAATGATTTGTAAAGCCAACAACATCTTCGGCCACTTCACTCTTGGTTCCGTTCTCTGGTTTGACCCGGATATCGGATCTGTTGTTTTTGGAGACAGAGTGTAAGCTAAATAGCAAACGATAGGATCACCCAAGATCGATCCCAAAGTCCCTGGGATCATCCATATTGAATTGAAAAAATCAAGCGGCGATATGGCGATGGGAAATAAAGTCATTATTTTTAAAACGCTCGTGTGAAAAAGTCTCGTGCTACATACTGGCCTTTGTCTTGATCGTTTATGAGGCAAACGAATTCCATTGTGAAGCAAGCAAGTTTGATTCTCAATGGATGAAGATACTCGAGAAATCAAACTGCTTGCTTCACCGTCAATTATCCAACCAAAGATGCGCTTCACACTCAACCGATCTTGCGCAAAAGTTTACAATTGCCAGCACAGTATCTCGGCTGTAATGGATCGAAATTTTTAAGGCAAGCCTTAATCACTCAAAAAAATTTCTCATCACTTCTCTCTGACTTTCGCTCAAAAGCAGATACCAACAAACATACAACATGGCAGAAGATATTCAAGCACTCGTCGTCGACAACGGATCTGGTATGTGTAAGGCAGGTTTTGCTGGTGATGATGCACCAAGATCTGTGTTCCCTTCCATTGTGGGTAAACCAAAGCAAAAGTCCATCATGGTCGGCATGGGTAACAAGGATGCCTTTGTCGGTGATGAAGCTCAATCCAAGAGAGGTATTTTGACTTTGAAGTACCCAATTGAACATGGTATTGTTACCAATTGGGACGACATGTCATTGATCTGGCACCATACTTTCTACAATGAATTGAGAGTCACTCCTGAGGAACACCCAGTCTTGTTGACTGAGGCTCCATTGAACCCAAAGGAAAACAGAGAGAGAATGACTAAAATCATGTTCGAAACCTTCTCAGTTCCAGCCATGTATGTTGCTATTCAAGCTGTTTTGTCTTTGTATGCCTCTGGTCGTACCACTGGTATGGTTATTGACTCTGGAGATGGTGTTACTCACACTGTTCCAATCTATGAAGGCTACTCCCTTCCTCACGCCATTTTGAGAATTAACTTGGCTGGTAGAGACTTGACTGATTACATGGTGAGAATTTTGAGTGAAAGAGGATATTCATTCGTCTCCAGCGCCGAGAGAGAAATTGTCAGAGATATTAAGGAGAAGCTTTGCTATGTTGCTGGTGATTTTGAAACCGAGATGAATACTTACCAAACTAACCCAGCAAGTATTGACAAGACTTATGAACTTCCTGATGGTAATGTCATCACAGTCGGTAATGAAAGATTTAGATGTCCAGAAGTATTGTTCAAACCAAGCATGATTGGTATGGAACAAGACGGTATGGCAGATACTGCCTACAACACTATTCAAAAGTGTGATGTTGATATTAGAAAGGACTTGTATAACAACATTGTCATGTCAGGAGGTACCACAATGTTTGAAGGTATTCCAGAGAGATTGACAAAGGAAGTAACTGTTTTGGCTCCAGCTTCAATGAAGATTAAGGTTGTTGCTCCACCTGAAAGAAAATATTCTGTCTGGATTGGTGGTTCCATTTTGGCTTCTTTGTCTACCTTCCAACAAATGTGGATTAGTAAGGAGGAATATGAGGATAACGGACCTCAAATTGTTCACAGAAAGTGTTTCTAAACTCTTGTATGGACAATGCCAATGTAACAGTAAAATGATGAATTATCCCAAATAATGTACTTACATGAATGTTTATTAAAACAAAACATCCACATCATAGAAAACATGCTTTGGATTTTCCTCATCGTTTGTCGTATTATACTGATATTGATAGATGTTGCTAAGATTTTCAACAATTTCCATGCTAACCTTCTTGTCGCAAAGATACATGACGAAAGAAAAGGCGTTCAATATTGTGAGATCATGGCTCCACAAAATTTTGGATAATGGCAGAACTTCCAACCAAACTGGTTTTTGAAAAGATGTGTCCGTATTAATCGGTGGATGGTCAATTCCCATCAATTGTGAGGCGCTTATATCTTCTCCTGGGTTGTGACAGATATAAACATTGTGATCTGAAATAAAGTGAAAAAGTTCCTTGCCAAATATTTTTTGAATATTTTTGTTTTTTAGGAACGGAATACTGCATACTGTACTGGTTTCGTGTGTGTTAACTTGATCAGATGATTCCAAATAGTTCTTGGAACTTGTTGTTGTATATACACAATTTTCTTGGTTAGGGAAGAAGTGAATATAAATTGTTCAAAAATGTTTTTTACAAACCTCCAATGAAAAATACAGAATTGCAAGAGGCGTAAATGGATCTAATGGGAGTGCTGAGGATTGTTGATGGAACTAGAGTCCAATTATTTGCTTCTATAATCTGATTATAATTCAAAGCTCCAGCTACAAAGCAAAATCCCTTATCAGTAAGACAAATGCTACTGAAATATAATGTTTGAACATCAATTATTTTTCCATAGTTTGAAGAAAATGAGGGTGACTCCAAAGGGCAAAATAAATATGTAATGTCACCAGAAACTTTTCCCAGCTGTGACTGATAGCTGCAGCCTAAGATTTCATATAAGCAGTCAAATGACTAAACTTCTTTTAACTTACCAGCACCATATAATTTTCCATCACTGGTCAATAATATTGTATGCTGATATCCACAGCTAATTTTTACCACCGACTTCATTACCGAAGAACCGTCGACACCAGTCGTGAATTTAACAGGAAGAATGTCACCTGAGGCACCTGTGATGAAAATTGTGAAGTTGTAAGATACAATACTAAAAACTAATTTGCATTGCTTACCTTGGCCCACACCTCTAATAAAGTCAATAATTGTGAAATAATATTTAAATATCCCTACCTTTGCCCGCATTCATTGTTTCCAGCGGAGTAAACGACTCCTGATCTGGTTTTAAATACGTAAAATCTCATACCACAAGCAATTTGCTCAACGGGCTCAGAAAAATCAATCATACTCCAATTTGTGGCGTTAGGGATGTTACTTCGTTTTGAAAAATCCAAGCTGTACCCATACATTGTTCCATCTTTTTGCGATTCGATGGTTATTTGATGGTTCAATCAATGAACTAGAAAAAACATACTTTCGTCTAAAAGTAACACAAACGAAGAGCCTGATGATCCTTGCACAAATCTATAGATATGTCCAGGAAGCACAACTTGTTTCAAGCTTGATCGATCGGAAAGGCCAAACGGTTTTGCGAACATTAGAGGATCATCATCATTGAAATCTTCCTCGTTTTCGTCCTCATGCTGTTTGCTCCCAGAGATAGGCAATCTTGTTGAAATGAGAAGGACTTGATCTTGTGGTCCACTTCGCATTTTTTCAAAAATGTTGAACTTGGCAAAAGCATAACACGTTTGCCACCTCAAGACTTTGAGATCAAAAGCAACCAACAAATTTTTCTTCCGATTGTGCCACAAATGCATGTAGTTTGGAAATGCCACAGGATGCAGTATTTTCAACATGGGCAGTAGATTTTGTCAATTCAATATTGAGAAACCCAAAGTTTCGAAATGCTTGCAAGAAATTCCATGTTTTTCTGCGGCCGCACTCAAGATATTCCAACCTGGAGTTTGGGAGCATGGTTTCATTAAAGTCCTTGCCGTCATTACTTCCCAAGTCAAAAAAATCATTCAACAGTAGACTGATATGTCCTCACATGCCCACATTAACACTAATTGCTCCTCTTGCAGCAAGACAAACTCTGAAACATCTACATCTTCTTCACAAACTGCAGTGATCAACACAAAAACTACTGGTTATTCCTCACCATTAGATGCTTTCCATCATGGTCCACGTGAGAAAATTGTGTATGTGACTGCGATCAGCACACAACCACAAGAACACCCTGATGCGATCATCACTGTAGATGTTGATCCACAATCAAAAACCTTCTCACAAATTATTCATATTTTACCAATGCCCTACAAGGGAGATGAGCTTCATCATTTCGGTAAGTTTCTTTTCTTGGTACCAATTGATCATTATCAACAACTATTTAGGTTGGAATGCTTGCAGTTCTTGTTATGGCTGTTGTGGTGCTGGAGAAACATCTGACTCTGATAAGAGACGCTTTCTGTTCGTACCTGGTGTGAAATCCAATCGTTTCTATATCATTGATACAGTTACCAATCCAAGAGAACCAAAAATTCATCAAATTATTGAACCTGAACAAGTTGAAAAGGTGACTGATTTGGCATACCCTCACACAGCCCATTGTCTTGCTGATGGTAACGTAATGGTTTCAATGATGGGTACCAAAGACGGTAAAGGAAAGGGAGGCTTTGTCTTAATTAAGGACAATGGAAAGGGAGTGTTTGAAGTTGCTTCTCAATGGAGTAAGGAAGAAGAATCAAAACTAGTCTATGGATATGATTTCTGGTATCAACCTCATCATAATATCATGGTTTCTTCGGAGTGGGGTGCTCCCGAAGCCTTCACTACAGGTTTCAATCCTTCCCAAGTGAGTACTCATTATGGTCAACATATTTATTTGTGGAATTGGAAGGAAAGAACTCTTCTCAAAAGAGTGAATTTGGGAGAAGATGGACTCATTCCTCTGGAGGTTCGTTTTTTGCACAATCCAAAATCACATCATGGATATGTCGCTTGTGCTTTAAGCTCCACAGTGTTTCATGTGTACAAAGATGGCAACACTCAAAGTTCAGAAGTGGAGTGGAAAGTGAAGAAGGTCATCTCGGTTCCAAATGTGAGTGTGAGTGGATGGGCTCTTCCATCCATGCCTTCTCTCATTACCGATTTTGTCATTTCTCTGGATGACAGATACTTGTATTTGAGTAATTGGTTGCATGGAGATGTTCGACAATATGACATATCAAATCCTCATGAACCCAAACTCGTTGGGCAGGTGTTCATTGGAGGTAGCTTGAGAGAAGGAAGTGGTGTGTCCATTGTTGAACAATCTTGTCAAGAGAGTGAGAATGGACAATTTGGAGTTCCTAAACAATTACTTCCAGTACCGCAAGTGAAAGGAACTGCACTTCAGGGATCAGCTCAAATGATTCAACTTTCATTGGATGGTAAACGCTTGTATGTGACCAATAGTTTGTTTTCCGATTGGGACAAACAATTTTATCCTGGACTCATCGATTCTGGGGCACAATTAATTCAAATCGATGTGGACACAGAGAAGGGTGGTTTAACCTTGAACCAAAACTTTTTGGTGGATTTCAGCAAGACCAATAATGGAGTTAAATATTTGGCTCATGAAGTAAGATATCCAGGAGGAGACTGCACCAGCGATATTTGGTTGTAAGGTTGGCATGTTTATCGAATGGACCTCCAGAATTGATTAAACATGAGATTATTCAATTAAAACTTCTCAATGTTAACCTTATCATTTTTATCAAGCAGGAAACAAAATCCATTGACATGAGAGTTGGATGAGGTCCTACAAATCCACTGTTGTATAAAGTTGTATATTTACTGTAGTGTATTAACAGAATGGAGAGTTATCTTTGAGTTCATCGAGAAGATGTTACCCACAGTGCAAAGGAACTGGTTCTCGAACATGTCCCATCTTCAAAACAAGGTTTTTGTTCTTCGATTGGAAATATGCCATTTTGAAATTATCATGATGTTTCGCTCAACAATGAAAACAATAAATACTGAAACTTGAGAACAAAGTTTTTCATTTCAAACAAAAAACTATGAAGCTCCAGATCATGAAAAACAGAACTTTTTTGACTTGTCTCCTTCTCCTGATTGTGTTAGCCCTTGCCGTTGTTGCGGTCAACAGCCATGAAGAGGATGTTAAGGCCCAAACAACACTCACTCCTCTACATCGTCCAAAATGCAAGAAATACTACTGTTACAGATGGTGTAAATATGGGTTTTTGACTGATCGGTGTGGCTGTCAAAAAGGATGTCGATGCAGACGTAGACCTTGTAGAAAAGTTCTTTGCCGTAAATGGTGTAAATTTGGTTTCAAGAGAAACATATGGGGGTGCCCTATCTGTCAATGCCACAGACGGCCATGTAAATCCTGGTTGACTATTCCTCCTCAGCATTAAGGTCTGTCAAAAAATACAATACAAATATTATGTAAATAAAGAAAAACATTAAATTTTAGGTTTTTAATAGTTGTTTCATTAATTCAAAGCTCAAGAATTGGAAGGATCATGAAACACAAAAGACATTAAATCATTTCAGAGACAGAGACCAAGAGAGAAAAACAATTTTTTTCGGGGAGCAAAGGAATCACCAATCTAAAAATACCAACGTTGGTTTCATCAAAGAAAAAAATGTACAATAATCACGATCTGTTCCACTCCAAAGATAAGCCAGTAACCCATCCTTCGGCACCGCTTTTACAACACAATAATTATTCTGAAGCCCTTCCATTTGAAGACCCTCTCAGGGACATGCAAGAGGCTCACTCTATGGGTACATCTATTATGGCTGTTGAATTTGATGGCGGAGTGGTGATTGGAGCTGATTCTCGTACAACAACCGGAAGTTATATTGCTAACAGAGTTTCTGATAAGCTTACACCTGTTCATGATAGAATTTATGTTTGTCGTTCTGGATCAGCAGCCGACACCCAGCAGATCTCAGATTATGTTCGTTATTTCTTGAAAATTCACTCGGTTGAAGTTGGCACATTGCCATTAGTAGAGACAGCTGCAAACCTGTTCAAAGATTTCTGTTATAATTATAAAGATCAATTACTTGCTGGTATAATTTGTGCAGGTTGGGATGAAAAGAATGGTGGAAGCGTTTGGACAATTCCATTAGGAGGAACTCTCATTAGGGAACCATTCAGCATTGGTGGATCGGGAAGTACTTATATTTATGGTTATTGTGATGCAAACTTTAAGAAAGGAATGACCAAGGATGAGTGTAAGCAATTCGTGAGGAACGCTTTGTCTCTTGCCATGGCTCGTGACGGAAGCAGTGGTGGTGTTGTTCGTCTTGCAGTCATTACAAAAGATGGCGTAGAAAGAGAAGTTCACCATGAAGGACAAGGAGGCACACTCCCAAAACACTACTCTGATTAGATCGCTGTTTTGTAAAATTGAATTATTTAATACACGATTTTTCCTTTTGTACCTTGAATCTCAAAAGAGAAATTGTTTAATTCAATTTGAGGTTTCCTTTGTTAGACTTTCTTGAGTTTGTTATGGGCTTGTATTCACCTGTCACAGAAACACCCATATATCCATTGAAAAGACGCAAGGAAGCATCATCAATAATTAGTCCAGGAAGATAATTGTCCAAATTGAATAAAGGAACACCTTCTGCAAGCTGTTGATTCAATTGACGAACTACACCTCTCGTAACAACAATATTGACAATGAAGGCAAAGTTCTTAATGTCCATGTCACCAATCCAGCTTTGTCTCAAAGTTAGATTAACATTTGGATTGTCAATCACAGCAGTCAAGTTTACGGTAGTAGCATTGTTTTTCACAGCAATGTTATCGAAAGAGAAGCTGGCATCAACATTCAAAGAGAAAGCATTTACAGTGTTGTTTGGTGTGTTGATGACTTGGAACAGCAGTTCTCCCTTAAAGTCTGCACTCATACCAGTTTGAGAAATATTAAATTGAGGGCATGGGGAAGTGGCTGGATTGCTAGAAAGAAGGATTTGAACCAATTTGTTTGGATACTTTTCGTAAAGCTGAGGAAGATAAATCTTTAAACTAGTAGTGTTGAGTTGAATCATTTCAGTTGGAGGTACCATATCTGGTGTAACAAGGTATGTCATTTGATTCGATTGATACAGGCTATATAAAAAACTCTTGGGAATAAAATCAGTCAAATAAATTTGAAGCAAGTCTGACATTTGAACTGACGTTGGTAAATCGACAGGATCGAATGGTAATTTCTCTCCCAGGTTTTGAGAAAAGAACCTCACTTGTGAGGATGCCCCAATCGTCAAGTAATCAACAGTTTCGAAAGTGTCAAAACCAAAGTCAATCATTAATTGCTTGTCACCAAATGTCACAGGAACGATGAATGGTTGTTGAGCAATATAGTTATTAACAGATTGAATCTTTTCTTCAATTGTTGAAGTAATAGCTTTAGCAATCATCTTGTTGAATGTGTTTGCAAATATTGATTCCAGTAAGTTGATGAACCATCCCTGAATACCGCCATCTGTAATATGAATTTTCATGTTATATAACTCTAATCCAACAGTTGATATGAATTGGGGCTTTTCATCGTTTGTTAATTTAAAAACAACTCTCATTCCTCCATAAACGCTCTCCGTATTTACATTAGCGATGCCAGACCCACTCAAATGTGGAAATGATTTCTGTCTGTAAAGATATTTTGTGGTCAATGTGATGCTAGCTTGTGAGACAGTAATATAAAAAGCGTCAAGATTTGGGTCTAACGTTGCTTGGATTTGTTCTCCCAAATCAATTTTCTTGATTGTTGTTTCTGTCAAGAAAACATCAACCTCTCCGATCACTGAAACAGATTGTGTCACATTAAAATTAGGAACAGCTGTCTTGAGAATAAACTCTTCCAATTCAGACTTGTCCTTCTTGATTATTTGATTCAAATATGAGATGCTCAAAAATCCAGCAGCTGAAGGCTTTAATGGCACAAGTTTTCTGTGAGTTTTGACTCCGCGAAGAATATTTACATCTTTTCCGAATGTCATTGTTGTAGCGATCATCATCATCACCACAACAACGGCAAAGAAGGCATGATGACGCAAAGGATGGCTTCTATTTCTCATCTTGCTAATTTTTTGAGAATGTTATTCTCGCAATGAGATTTTTTAGGTGTGAGAGGAGAAAAGGAAGGGAAAAGGAATTAATTGCTTTGGAGTCAATATCAGGGTGCAGACCAACGTTGAAGTAAAAAGCATTGGTCATACACGTGCTGTATCACCATGAAAATTTACAGTTTTCTGAGTTTTATGTGTGCATCGAGTCGTAATTGAGTTTCGTTTTATTTTGAAACGGTAATAGACATGGATTTGGAACTGATACCTTTTTCTCGAGGGGTGACCTTGGAACATTTATCAATTCCTTTTGTACTTTTCATCATGGAGAATCATTGACACACGTTGGAATCGTAAGAGGACTGTACATATATTGTTCTTGTTGTTTTTGAGAAGAACATGAATCGTATTCTGACATGGAAGTAGGATGATGAACGAAAGCCAATCCCCAGAATTGAGTGAGCGTACAAGAAATTCTTTAAACGAAAAAAATACAAATTTCAAATTTGACTGCTTGAGGTCAATAGTAGTGATTCACAACCTTCTCGAATTCGTTACCTACTTTTGAGAGAGGCTAACAAGTTGTTGCTGGTATATCTCATATTCTTCTACACTACCATCATCATACTTTGCCAATAATACTCATTTGGTGATTCCATAGCTTCTCTGGCGCTGGCTTCAGGTTGACACTATTGTTGTTCATCCAAGCACACCATCATTACAAATTGTATTATTGGTATAATCCGATAATAGTACAACATAAAAGCCTTTCTTGAGAAACGGAAATTGAAATGGCTCATCCATCGGCATCGAACGAAATTGAGTTGGAAATTCATGATGACCATCATGACATGACTCCAATGATTTCCAACCAAGCTCAGCCTTCCGCTCCTTCTTCCAATGAAGGTGGTACTACAGAGGACAAAAACAAGGTTATAAACTCGAATACCCCTTCAAATACAACTCCACAACCCAATACTTCAAACACAGCATCTGCTCCTAGAGCTTCTAGTGATTTAGCAAGAAGAGTCTCACAAGAGAAAACAAAGCGTTCTATGGACATCCCTCGTTATTTTGAGGAAGCAAGACAATCCATCGATATCGTACAGAGCGCAGAGAGAGAATTAAAGGATCCAAACATTTTGAAACAAAAGAGCAAGAAGGAGAGACAGTTTCTTCAAAAAGCCAAGGCCAAGGCGATTGACATCACCGAACATGAAATGACAGTGGACAAAGTTTGTGAAAACTACTCAACCAGTTTTGATTCGGAAAAACCTGACAAGTCAAGAGTAAGTACATACTTTTTTAATGATGATGAATGAACTATGTAACATCTTTATTAATTAGGGACTTACTGCTGAAGTCGCTGCAGAGAGGTTGCGTGTGAACGGTCCTAATGCTCTTGCTCCTCCAAAAAAGAGGCCATTCATATTCAAAGTCATTGAACAATTTACATCCCTTTTTTCATTGCTACTTATTTTGGCTGGATTGTTATCTTTTCTTGATGTAGCTATAGAAAGAACAACTGAGTCGTATCCTAATCTTTTCTTGGGAGCTATTCTTTGGCTTGTTGTCATTTTCAATGCCGTTGTTACTTTGTGGCAAGAGCAGTCGAGTGAAAAGATTCTCGAAAGTTTTCAAGAAATGCAAAGCGAGAGCAGTTGGGTTATTAGAGATGGTGTTGCCCAAAAAATAGAGTGCACCCAATTGGTACTCGGAGACATTGTTAAAATTGAAGCTGGTGATAAAATTCCAGCAGATATGCGTCTATTGCACGTCACACAGTTGAAAGTAGATAACTCTTCACTGACAGGTGAAGCAGACCCTCAAGCAAGAACAGTGGAAATGACCTCAAAGAATCCTTTAGAAACAAATAACTTGGCATTTTACGGTACAATGGCTCTTGAAGGTTCGGCATATGGTGTTATCGTTAGATGTGGTAATCAATCAGTCATTGGTCAAATTGCCATGTTAGCAGGCTCGACAGTAACTCTTAAAACTCCTCTGAGAAGAGAAATTGACGGCTTCGTTCGTAAGATTGGTATTATTGCCTTTGGTATGGCCTTATTGTTCTTCTGCTTGGGTTTCATTATTGGTAACAGCTGGTTCCAGAACTTTATTTTTGCAATTGGTATCATTACAGCAAACATTCCACAAGGTTTAATTGCTACTGTCACTGCCTGTCTTACTGTTTCAGCATCAAGACTTAAGGCAGTTAATGTTCTTGTTAAAAAGTTGGAGCACGTGGAGACTTTAGGAAGTACTTCAGTTATTTGTTCTGATAAGACTGGTACTCTTACTCAAAATCGAATGACAGCAGTCGAAATTTGGTGTGACGGTACTATTAGAAGCGTTGATTACAAGGATAGATACATGATGAAAAAAGACCCCGGAATGACGACTTATGCAAAGGAAGGAGAGGAAAATCTGTCAACAGAGGATAAATTAAGAAGATGTGCTGCATTGTGTTCCACTGCTTACATTCTACCAGATGAAGATAATATGGTGAAGCCAATTCTCGATAGAGAATGTAAAGGAGATGCTTCAGAATCAGCATTGATAAAATATATTGAAACAAGAACTGAATGTGGAACTATTGCAGAGTTTAGAAACGACCATCCTGAAATTTATTCAATTCCATTCAATTCCAAGAACAAGTACATGTTAATGGTTGTGAAAAACAACCTTACACCAACATGGAGCAATAACCAAGACCATTCAAGACCTGGAAAAGCCTTGTTAATGATGAAAGGAGCTCCTGAAAGAATCATTCAGCGTTGTACACATATTGAGATTGGAGGACGAGTACTTCCTTTGGATGAAACTTGGAAACAGTACTTCCAAGACGCTTACAACTTCTTTGCTTCAAAGGGAGAGCGTGTTCTTGGGTTTGCTCAACTCTTTGTTGATGAGCACATAGTTTTAGAACAAAAGACAAGGGAAGGATCTGGTAAAACTAATGCAGATACTAGCCAAGGTCAGCAAAACAGCTTGGTACCTATGGAAGGATTAATATTTTTGGGAATGGCAGGTTTGACTGATCCACCAAAAATTGGTGTTCCTGAAGCAGTTCACAAATGTAAAACAGCAGGAATTCAGGTAAGTTGATTACTCTTTTTTCAACCTAAATTTATTCAATATGTTCAAAGGTTGTCATGGTCACAGGAGATCACCCAGCAACAGCGAAAGCCATTGCCAAGCAAGTAGGTATTATAGAACAGGAGGCCAAGACTATTGAAGACATTGCTGAAGAAGAAGGAGTTAGTCCAAAGAGCGTACCATACTCTCGTGCAGATGCTGTCGTTCTTCATGGTGAAGAGATTGACAAGCTGACTGCCAAGGAATGGTCTCAAATTTTGAAAAAGAAGCAAATTGTTTTTTCAAGAACATCTCCTCAACAAAAGTTGTTGATTGTTAGCAAATTCCAAGAGCTAGGCCATTGCGTTGCTGTGACCGGAGATGGAACCAATGACAGTAAGTATTATAGTACCTCTTCACTTGTTTCAAATATTCTTCTCTATTCTAAAAGGTCCTGCACTGAAAAAGGCAGATATTGGTGTGGCCATGAACATTTCAGGAAGTGCCGTCTCAAAGGAAGCTGCTGCCCTAATTCTTCTTGATGACAATTTTGCTTCGATCGTGAATGGTGTTCAAGAAGGTAGACTTATTTTTGACAATTTGAAAAAGTCTATTGCTTATACACTTACTCACTTGTTCCCTGAAGTAGGTCCTTTCCTTGCTTACGTCGTTTTTGGTATTCCATTGCCAATGACTGGTTTGTTGGTGTTGTGTATTGACTTGGGTACTGAATTGGTTGCTGCCGTGTCGTTAGCTTATGAAAATGCTGAGTCTGATATTATGAGAGTTCCACCTCGCTCAAGAAATGATTCCCTTGTTGGTTTTACTCTTCTGGCCTATTCATATCTACAAATGGGTATGATTGAAACGATGGCATGTTTCATGAACTATTTCTTCGCTATGAGTACTTATGGTGTGCCTCCAAGATATTTGTGGTGGGGCAGCAAGAATGGATATTTCAATACTGATACAAAGAAGGATCTCTATATCGAGGAAACAGGAGTCTATATTTCCCCAAGTGATCAGCTCAACATTTTAAGTACTGCTCAAACTGCATATTTCTTATCCATTGTCATTTGTCAATGGATTACATTATTTAGCACCAAGACTCGACGTTTGAGCGTTTTTACTCATGGATTTTTTGGAAATCTTGTGGTTTATCTGGGTATTGTTTTCTCAGTTGCATTGCTGGCTATTTTCATTTATTGTCCTTTCATTGGAGACTACATTTTCCAAACTAGATATATGATTATTGATTTTTGGGTTTATCCTCTTCCATGGATGGCAGCAATGTTGTTCTATGATGAAATGCGAAAATGGATTATCAGAAGGTTGAATTTAAGATTCTTGTTCTGGTAAAATAAAGTTTTAAAGTAACCACATAATGGACACACTAACAATAAGGGCAAGCGACAAACGACAGATAGCTGCTGAACTTGCCATAAATATTGTAGAATGAATCACTGGTATGTCTGGCTCTGATGGATCCACAAATAAATTGATTGCGTCATCGAGCACCATATCATCACGATCCTCTTTGTGCAACAATAATGTCATGTAATCCTTGTAATAAAACTCAGTGTGATTGGGCAACATTTCAAAATCTTGTTTTGCCATTACATAGGATCCTTTGGAACAAAATTTAAATGGTGGCTTACAAAGTGAAAGCGTATGAACAGTAGTGTTTGTGAATAATTGAGTCGAATTGAGATGCATGGAGAGACGTATCCGTTAATGTTGGGGCTGAGGAAATTTACAATTTCTCCCCAATCGCTCTGATATACAAATTGACCTGCCATATATAATTGATCTTGATAAATATCCATTTTCTTAATACCCCTCAATGAATCGTCAAACACTTGAGTTGGCGTGAATAAAACAACCCTCTTTTTGAAATGTCGTATATAATGTATGGACTTGCTTGGCTTGTAAAGAAACAAGTATTGTTTTGGCGCAGTGAATGTTCCTCCAACTACAAACACATCTATGATTGTTATGAATCAAGAATGAACAAGCGTTCAAATAACCAACTCTTATTAATTTTCTTACCTTCATAGATGTGATTATTTTGAAGAGCAATAGATGTCACTGGACCATTTAATTGACCTTGAAGTAAAGTTTCCCATTTCCCGTTTTGATACCTTTTAAAGTAGTCTTTTCAAGCATTTTCACATAAAGTCACACCATTCATCACATTAGAATTCAAATGAACCATCATTCAATTCCAATGTGTTAACAGAGTCATGCACACCTAATTACATTTCACACTTACCTGGAAAATTTCCACCCACATAAATATAATTATCATCATGAATGAGAACTGTATGGATAGAGGTTCCTCTTACGCCTCTCACTCCAGCACTGTTAGCAAATAAATCCCACTTTAAAGAATTGGTGTCAATCATGACAATATTATTGACATTTTCAATGCCAGCTGCCTTTGTAAATTGTCCAGCCATCAAAATAGAGGGTTGACATTGTTTAAATACATTATTATAAAATACTTTGATATCCAAAATTGTTGCATTTTCAGACCATTCTCCCATATAAATGTCACGATCAAATACATTTAAGGAGGTCCATAAAGAATTTGTTTGATTTTTCCCATTACTATTACTACTACTACTACTACTCGTCGATGCTGCTCCCATTTTGACAGCAATAGGTCCAGTTTTCACACCATCAATACTCGTAAATTTACCTCCAATAAATAACAAGTCACATTTTGGTTCATATACAATGACATGAATCACTCCATCGGGAGGAATTTGATAAAAAGGAGTGAGAGAATGCGTTTCCGTATTATACATGGCAAGATTCTTGATTGGAGTTTTTTGATGATTATTTTCATTGGAGAGTTGTTGTGAAGATGTTGAGGATATGAAAGTAAAAGATCCTCCGATGAGAATTTGTTCACTATGGACCGAGTTCACAATCCAATGATTTAAAAGTAAGAGTAGAATCACAAGAAGTGTTGTTGTGGAAGAAGGAGCTCGGACAATGCGTTGTTGTGACTTATTGTTGACGGTGTGAATAGGATTATTATTATTGAAAAAACAGTGCAATGGATGAATGGTGACATTCGAAGGGTGGGGTCCACATTTTGTTTGTTTTGAAAATTGTAATCCTCACATCCGCATCTACATCACTGTTTCACATTCTCATCCTATCTATCAAAGATGATCAAGTTAAAAGTATAAAAATGTCTTCTCCTTCACGAGGGATTGCTCTTCTTTCCTATCCCAACTATGAAGTATTTCCAGTGTTGATTCAAATATTATCTCATTTGGAACCAGTAGCAAATTATGCCTTGTTCGGAACAGGACGACGATCATCGACACCACACGGAACACCCTTTCATCAAGCCTTTGATCATCTACTGGAATATATTTGGAAAGGCAATCAAGATCCATTACAACAACAACAACAATTAATGGAGAGATTGGTACAAACTTTGAAAGAAGCATACCCTCTACCAGATAATCCCGATATCATGGAATTATTTGTTACAATGGTATCATTGTTGATGGATGCCAATCATGAACTGGCAACAGTATTTTGTACTGAACGAGCAACCGTCTTAACAATGTGTCCAGCTTGCACATTTACCAATAACCCTCGAACAGACATGACATCCAAGCACAAAGTCTCAACGCAACAGTGGAAAGAATTTGAGTCCACTGGAATTCTAGATACTGCATTGATTGAAGATGTTGATGGATATCATTGTCAAGTTTGCGGCACAACATATACTGCCCGAAAAAGTGACCTTATTTCCAAACCACCTGAAATACTCGTATTAGAATTAGATCGATATTTTTTCAATTATGAAACATTTACTCTGCAAAAGTCCAATACCCTATTCTCGTTAGATGTAAAAACTCCTTTACCATTCAGATATTACACACAAGAGGGATCAGCCATCCAATTGTATGATTTAGTTGCTGTGGCCAACCATGAAGGGTTAGGGACAAGTGGTGTTTATTCGTGCTGCTTCTGGAATACTGCATTACATAAATGGTTTTGCTGTCATGGTAATCAGCTTCCAACACCCTTCACTCACAATCTTGAATCGTTCATAACCCCTTCGAATTATGTTCTCTTTTTCACCAAGAAGAAACCAATACAACAAAAACCATCCTTTTTACGACAGTTTGGAACCATGGACATTAGCTTTTCGTTCTCTGAATAAAGAGAACTTCATGCAACAACAACAACAGCAACTCCTTAAATCATCATTGATACCTATTCTGATTACCAAACCCTCAAATGAGTATTGAGAATAATCCAAACCCTCACATGAACTTTGAGAATAATCAAGTCTTTTCGGATTATAACGTTCACATGTCGTCGCTCTTGGTGAAAAAATCATAAAAAATGTCAACAACGAAAAGACACCGTAAACCACCATTGCATCCTCAAGAACCCTATGATCCTTACAAACTGTATGAACAATCATTCAAACAAAAAGGACAAGGTAGATATGTTCTCTACAAGACCTACAATTTGGGAATGCTTTGGTGCTCGTTGACATTTGGCTTTTTTGCCCTTGATGCCTTCAACCCTTCACACTATGTCAGTGTTCGACTGAATATTTCCGACCAGGAAGCACAGGCCTACGATGATTTATTTGATTATCCTCTAAGAATTGCATCTATGGTGACAACAGCCATTGCATTTGCATTGAGTGTAATTTTATTACTTTGGTTCTCGATGCGACGCTCCATTTACTCGAACATTCACTATGTGTTACATTTTGGAACATTGTGTGGATTAGTACTGAGCTCTCTAGTACAATATCTATCAATTATCGTTTTTTACATGAGTATGAATGACATTGTTGTGGATAATGTCAAGATGGTTTATACCTTTCGGATTATTTGTGGCGTGGCTTTGGCAGTTCATGAGCTATGTGCCTATAAATTACTCTCAGAGATGTGTGAAACGAATGGTTCAAGTCCAGGAGTGATACTCTCTTTTGCGCTCACTTCACGGAGTTTCAAATTTGCCTTTGATGAAATTATTTCATTACAAGATTGGATCACTCCAGCTCAAGTCATGAGTGTCTTGTTATATTTGGGATTTATTGTGATCATTTCAGTCATCTCGTACACAAGTTTAGAGATTTATCAATATCTTCAAAATCATCCCTCGTTATTTGATTCAAAAAAACAAACTTTAGAATTGTTAAAACATCAAATGTACGATTCAAAGAGAACATTTGTTGAGAAAATCAAACAAGTGTTGAAAAGAAATTTAGCATACCTCTTGATGATGACGTTTTTACTGTGTATGACAGCATTGTTTTGGTTTGGAGTGAGAATTATGCCTCTCAATTCTGGTGGATGGTATTGGGCTGAGCGTGTCAATGTAGGTGTCAATGACATCATTTCATTGAGGTTGGCCATTCATTTTCTCATTCTTGTGACCCTACCCTTTTTTGGAGCTTTATTCGATCAGGGAGGTAAAAACAAGGAGCAACGGAAGAAGGAATTACAATTGTTGGAAATTAGAGAAAACAAAAAGACAAGTATTCCTGAGAGTTCCATTTCACACAAACGAAAAACATCATTTGTTGAAAAGATTGCAAAATCATTTCGATTGAAATTTAGAATAGTTTTACTATGTTTGGGAATGATGGTTGCAATTGGCTCTTCATTTTTCTATACCATTGAGTCTCCTCAAAACGTACCACTTTATGATTTTTCACTTAATATTGTGACGTTTATTCACTCTATTGGAACTGCAATGGCAACGAGTGCCATACATTTAATACCAAAATATTACTTTTCAGTAATCAATAAGGACGAAATTGAGGAAAAGGCAACGTATTTGAAACGTCGATATTACAAAAACACTCCACAATATTTATTTTATTTGCATAACATTTTCTATGAACAAACAGAATTTACTGGAGTGAGATATTTAGCATGGTACTCCTTATTAAGCACTGTCAAGAACATTTCCCTTCTCTATCACATGTATGCCAAGTTCAGAATGAATGTACTCATTACTGCAGCTGTATTGATCTTTGTACTTTCATTGATTGCCTTTTTAGTATTGGCTGTTCTATCCTATGTGGATTTTAAATATGTAAGGGAAAGAACGAGAAATCAACATGACGCTTCTGAACAGACCCTGGAAACTCCTCTCATATCCTCAACACAGGAAGAACAGCTCCATGATCATGTAAAGGAAATGACCTCTTCTTCCAAATTTGATCCATCCAGTCTCTTTACCAAACATGTCATTCGATTTAAGGGTTGCACTCGATTCGCAGTTGCTGTTTTAACATGGCCCATTGATGTGTTAATGACTGCTAACATGACACTATTCATTACGTGTTTGTGTGGAGCACCTACCATCATGTTGTCGTTGTATGAAGCTTTGGAACCTTCGAATAGGCAAAGTAGTCATCCTGTAGAGATTGTCTTTTTGTGTTGTCTATTTGTATTATTTCTATTTTCATTCCTTTTTGTTTACAAGACCACGTTTCTCAAGTTTATGGGTCTTCATTTCTTCAAGTGGACTCGAAGACTCTATAATTTAATATTTGATAGTCCTTATTCCACTATTAGTGGTTATGTGAATGGTGCATTTTCATTTGCCAAGTATGAAAGTCGATTAATGGAAATGAAGAAGAAGCGAGAACGAAAGGCCACTAACAATTCTGTTCCACTTGTGAAAACGTTGCACCAAATGATTGATCCAGGACAACAAGAGAATGCACATCCATCGAATTGGGATTTACACTCTGAGGAAAATGATGGAGGATATTATGTGTCCTATGAATTAATGAGTACGAAGAAGAATTCTCCATCCCTGAACAATGACCACAATTTAGTGTTAGAAGAAGAAGCCATCGACTCAAAGCTATTAACACTTGCTGATGAAGTGAAACAAGACGATTATGTTATTGTGACCACCAAGGACGATCGAGTATTTCCATACGAAGATTTAGAAGACAATGAAATTGAAAGAGTTAAAATCCAACACTTTAAATCTAAGGAAGATTATGTGAACTATTTGAATTCATCAGAATTTTTACAAAGGTTCAATGAGAGAGATTATTCTTTCACAAGAATTACCAATGGAACAGTTCTTTTCAAGAAGAGCAAATATAAGCACGTATATACCAATGAGAGGAATTTAAAGTACATTCGTTCCATTCGGCCTGGATCTAGCTTTACACTCTTTGTCATTTCCTATTTTTGTGGATACTTTTTGATTCCTCAAGTGTTTTCATGGTTCAAATTGGCACCCATTCCAATCGTGTCCAATCCTTATACTTTCTTAATTGTGACGTGCAATTTTATATTTGGATTTTTAATGTTTTATCCTTTGGTGGGTAAGTAGTCATGATGTGAAATTGTATTTGTTGTTAAATGTAACAACTTTTCAACGACACACAGCGGTTTGGATGGATGTCAACCAGTCCATTACCTCTTCACTCAAAGAAGCCATTGTGATGCTTGAAGACACAAAAGCCAAACTTCAAATTCATCATTCATCAGAAAATATCGAATTTGACCCCAAGAAACAAGTCAAAATCAAATGTTCCAAAGATCAATTCTACCTTTTCGATGTGAATATGATTACTCAATGGTACAAGAATATGACTTTTATTCAGAAAACTGTGGATGCTAAAATGTCAACCATGAAACATAATTTGGTGGTACGTATTTGTAATGACTATGAATCATGCAATTATTATTTCCAAAAAGATTGTTTTTGTTTTGGCAAAGGCAGGCTCAGTAGTACTTTCATTAATTTCACTCTTCACAAATATTGAATTCACTCCACAAAACTTTCAACCCATGTACATTGTATTAGGTTTGGATCTGGCTGTATTGTTTTTTGTCATTGATCCATGTGCAACCTTGTACTTCTTTTTATGGAAAAATATCATTACCATGTTAAAGATGAGAACCAAGGTTACAGGACTCATTAACAACTATCCTCAAGAAAATAAGGAACAAGTGAATCAATTTGCTCAAACATTCCACTACATTCAATATTGGAATGAATTACAACGAATGCAAAATATGATTGGATGCCGATTTGATATTCATGGATATCTATTCCTTACCATTGATCAAAACATGTACAAGAATTGGTTCTATTCATTATTGGCAACTCTCCCGCCAGCAATTGTCAAATTGATTATTCAGAAATTCTTTACGACTGGTGGATTTTTCAAAATTTAAAGCAACTCTCTTGTTCATCTCCAAGAAATGATTGGATTTAATGATTATAAAATACACTTCAAATCAAAATATTCATCAAAATCTTATTGGCGCTTTTGAAATCCGTGCAGGATGATGAACATGAACGTTTTATTTTTTGAGTGCAATTTCTCAACGAGATCAAGCTGAGAAATTGCAAAGATCCAATTGATAAATCTCTGTACAAGTGCATGCGTCCTGTAAAACGGAAGAGGGTTTGTTCTCAAGTTGCAGCACTCACAAAATTCACCATATTAATACAAACTTGGTGTGCCAGCCAACCAAACACCACAACAAAAAAATGTCTGCAAACAAACCTTCGCACACGGCGACCACATCTGAAAATTATCAAGACCTTCCAGTCATCATCAATGGTGCTGGATTGGTTGGATGTTTGGCTGCTCTTTACATGGCACAACATCATTCGCAAAGAGTCATTTTGATTGACAAGAGACAGGATTATCGATCACACCGATATGAAGGAAGATCCATCAACTTGGCCATTAGTCATCGTGCTTTCAAAGCTCTCGGAGGTATTGATAAGAGTTTCATTGATCATTTCAAAAATGAACAGATTGGATTAAAAATGACTGGTCGTGGTCTTCACATGAAAGATAAAGTCAAAACAGCTGAACAACAAGATCAATTCGGAGAAGGCAAATTGGGATATCAACCTTATGGTACGAATGAAAATGAATATATTGTTTCTGTTGGAAGACACTATTTGAATTGTTTCTTGTTGGAAGAATTGGAAAAGAGATTCTCTAGTCGCATTCAAGTTGTGTTTGAAGTGACACCTACGAAATTAGAGTTTAGAAAAATTACTGACTCCCAGAATGGAAAGGAAGAAACAATCTCAATACTGAGTTACAAGGATAAGAGTAACGTGTCACACAGCGTTACAGGAAAATTTATTATTGGATGTGATGGATTGAATTCTTTTGTTCGTCAACAATTACAAATCAATCCCAATGCTCGATTTTCCTATTCACAAACCTATATTTCACATGCTTACAAAGAATTATCCATTCGAGCTGACCCAAAAACGAAAGATTTTATCATGAGAAAGGACTGTTTACATATTTGGCCACGTGGTGATTTCATGCTCATTGCCTTACCAAATCCAACAAAAGACTTTACTTTCACGTTGTTCATGCGTCATTTGAAGAAGAAGGATTACGGGGAAGATGAAAAAACTGCCTATGGTCAGCCCTCCTTTGAAAGTGTTGAGCTCGGAGATTGTAAGAGTTATGACGAGTTGACAGAAGAAAAGAAGGAACAAAATGTTCGCAAATTCTTTAAGGAACAATTTCCTGATGCATATGATATGGTCAAAGATCATTTAATGGAAGATTGGAATTCCAATCCAACAAGTGCCTTGTCTTACATTCAATGCAACCCTCATCATTATGAAGGAAAAGTAGTACTGTTGGGAGATTCTGCTCATGCAATTATTCCATTTTATGGACAAGGAGTCAATTGCGGATTTGAAGATTGTTTGGTCTTCTCAAACATACTTAAGGAGGAACAAAATAAGAATGGATGGAAGAATGACAAATTTAGTTCTGAGTTGTTGGAAAGAGTTTTTACAAGATACAGTGAAGAACGAAAACCCTCTGCTGACGCCATCCTTAATTTGTCACTCCACAACTTTGTGGTGATGCGTGCAAAGACTGCAGATCCCTTATTCCTTGTTGAACAGGCAATCATGCGATTCTTGCATAGAAACTTCCCAACCGTACACGCATTCAAACCATTGTATACTATGGTTGCATTTACTCCAGAGAGAACATACTCTGACGCTTGGAATTCACATGTGAAGAGAGAGGAAACCATCCAAAAGTTGAAGAAATTTGTTGTAAGCTCATTAACTACATGCACCGTTGCAGCTCTCTCTGTATTTGTGTACTCGAGATTGTATGGCAAAGCTCAACCAACAACTACTACACCACCAACAACCACGACCCTTAGCTATGTTAGTGACTTGGCGAACGCATCTATGAAACGTTTAAGTTCCTTGTTTGGATATAACCAAGCATCTCAATAGACCAACACGGATTGAACTCTTTCAGCTTTCCCTCTCGACAAATATTGAACAATGAAGATAAAACCGAGTGGCGTGAAGGGTGTAATTGCTTTTAAAAGCATCTGATATATAAACAGTCCATGAATTACCACCACTTACCAATATATTTCCTTGGAACCTTGTATCCATAAGTAAAATGCTCTCGTGCCAAGTCCAATAATTTGCTTGCAACACCTCGCCTTCTCATTGTGTTGCTAACCCATATACGACTAACCCCAAGAACGGCCTTTGTGTATTCGGAATTTGAACATTCAGAAAGGTCATGAAAATTCATATCTGTCATGTCCAAACTTGGATGATTATCGTTCAAGTGAGTAGTTGTTGGTGATGGTTGTGCATCTAAACTTAAACTTAGTTGTGTGCTCATTGTTTGTTTAAAAACTTGATAGAGTGAATCCAAACTGCTTGTAGAGTTTTTTCGTGATTCGAAAATAATTGGTTTTGCTTTTGTAATACCTTCGGCGATCAAACATGCAACCATATTTCTGCTATCTTTTTGTATGCATACATAGAGCTTGTAAGGCTTGGATAGAAAATCTTCTTCTAACTCATCATAATTTAAACCACCATCTACTACCTTCTTAATTTCCAATACTTTTCTTTTGATGCTTGAAAATTTACTTATTTCAATAAATTCCAAGTCATTTAAAAACCCAATAGTTTCATAGTATTTAGTAGTTGGAATTTTTATAGAATCTTCATCCTGAGAGTTTTGTTTTGTGGCGTCCTCTTGATTCGAATCGTCCAGTAATGAATTCTCTTCAAAAATTGATTGGGCCAATGAGTGGTCTCCATTATTTTTTGTTGATTCATCATTTTCATATGAATCACTGCATTCTATGGTTGTGTTTCGTTTGGTTTTGATCGGTTCTTTTTGTTTACTGCTTCGGACAATAATATCATCTTCACAAACCACTCCAACATGGACACGTTTATCTCTTTTCTTTTTAGCTTTGTAAGTTTTGCGAATCATGGCCTTTCCGAACCGTACAGCGAGCTCTCGCTGCTTCTTCTTTTCTTCCTGCCGAGAAGTGTCATCAAGGCTTGCTTTCATTTTTTCTTTCTTTTGAGAACGAATTTCGGTTGTTTCTCTCTAATTTGGGTAGATGTTCGATGTGATGATGTGAGTTGGTCTGTGTTGCTTTGTACGGCTGACTTGATGATTGAGTAGGTGAGCGAAGCGAGAGAGTTGGCTTGATGCTGTGTCGGAAGTTGCTGGCATGACGAAATATTTTTTTGATGGGGAATTTTCGATTTCATTTCATTTCTTGAGAAACTTCCTAACACAAAAAACACATTTCAATTTCATTTCATTTTATTTCTTTCAACGATTATAAGCTCTCTAATAGGAGGGTTTTTTATCGAGGGACAACTCTCTCTTTCGGATTCAAATTTAAAAATGCAAGAAGACATCACTGTTTGCTCCGATGATCGTGATGATGACGAATTGTTTTGCAATGACATTTACCAATTAACACCATCAGCTTTTATTTCAAAATATTCTGCCACTTCATCATTCTCATCTATTCCGACAGATGTCTTGTGTTACATCATCTTGCAATATTTAGATTGGAAAACGGTTTTCAAGAGCTGCCTATTGGTGAGCAAGGACTTTTACCGAAAAATTGCAAATAACAGACAATTGTTTATTAACTTGTATAACGAACTATTTGTGATGAAACAAGAAGAAATTGATCGTCTAACCATTGATTATTTACAACAACCATCATCTTTTAAACATAAAAAGATATTTACAAGCCAATACTATCAATACTATGGTAGTTCTAAAATGTATGGCGGACTATTATATCCCAATGAGCATTATCACTTTTGTGATGACTATGACTATTTAGAATTGAATGAACAAGTATTTCAATCCATGAAAAGCATATTACAAAAGCTCTATGTGAAGAACTGCACCATGACAGAACATAAATTAATGTTGATTAGAAAAGCATGGGAAAACTCAGTTTCAATATTAAGAAAGACAAATGGTATTACTCCCTCAAGAACATTGAAAAAGAATGAAAATCAAGCACTGCTTGCTCTGATTAAGAAAATTATCAAAGATAGGCTATTTATGAGAAAGTACTTTAATCATGATTTGAAATCAAAATATTTTGGAAAAAGGACCTATCACTATTTTTATAATGGACAATCAACGAAAAGACAGGAGGCAATGGAAATGGCTAAAAACATGCCCGATGTTACACAACAACTTGAGGACTTATTTTACTATGCGGACGCTGAACAATACGATGGGTATCAGTGGTACGAACTTGAAGAGATTGTTCTTGGTTATGAATCCACATTTAATGGAGTAGCTTCCAAATTTCTGAATTTCATGGAATCCAATCAAGAAGTGTTTCCCCTTACTAACATTGTTTCTCTGTTTTGTCGTAAGTAGTGTTTGACTGAAAGCATCATTATTTACGATTATGTGTCACAAACTGGAATAGACAACTTGGTCGATTATGAAAGCATGATATCCTGCTTGTACAACCCTGACCCACTAGCGTTCTTCAGCTTGTGTCCGAATTTAAAGGCGTATGCATCACGAGGCAAATATTGTTCATTCTCGGTTATTAGAAGTAATTATCTATCCATTTTGATTTTAGTGTCTGGTGGGATGGAGTCCAAAACATTGAGCTCTGTATTGAAATGCCATTTTCCACAACTCAAGCATCTGGAATTGTGGTTTGGAGATACCAGGTATGGAAACGAGATTGTGTGTCAACATTTAGAACACCTCTTAAGTGAGCAAGAAAATGGTAAATTTCCCATTCTAGAATATTTTGGAATTAGAAATTGTGAAAACATTCATCTATTTGTCCCATTAATTGGAAATTGTGCATTACTTTCTCGAATTAGAATATTAGATTTGTCTCTAAGCGCTATTGCGTTGGAAGACATTCAGAAATTGTTGGCAATATTAAAAAAGAGAACAAGAGGCAGCTTTCCATTGTTAGAAGCAATCGATTTTCATCGGTGTGCTAGAGTTCCACCTGAAGTGGTAGAAGAGTTTATTGAGCTTGAGGTTATGGTTGACGTTGCACACTCGGCTAGATATATTGCAGTTGGAGAGTAGTGGTTAATGATTGTGCCATGATACGATCATACAAACACCAAAAAACAGCTCTTTAAAATTTATCCATTTAAAGAGTAATGATTTCTCCTTGTTTGCATTTCATGATGCGAAGGCTGGACATTGAGTTTTGTATTCCAATCGCCAATGGGTATAGTCACACGTTTAACACTACTAAAAGCGACAGAATATTACCATGTTTACCAATGGTACTAAAATGCTGAATTTTTGTTGGATGCAGCACGAAGGATTCATCCATACTTCCGCTCAAGTCTCAACACAACAGTGTTCTTAAAATCTCCATATTTAGACAGCCGTCAACAGACTAAATAACCCAAATTAATACAAAAAAAGGCCAACATCCCGAGCTACAAATGCCAGTTGTCTCCCACACTACAACAAGCACAGACATTAGCTCTAACCGATATTTCGGAGAAGATGAAGACGAATCCATCTCTGAGAACTACGATATGTCTTCTCTTCCACAGCCACTTTCAACTGGCCATCACCATTACCATCATCAACATGCCGCTAGGTCAGCTTCTATGATAACAAACTATCAAACAGCTTCTTCTTCAATATTCCAAGACAATCTAAGTAATAGTACGTCGGAGGACCATCCTCATCATCATGGAAATACTTTCAAAATTTTAATAAGCGGGGGAGGTTTTGCAGGTCTAGTTTCAGCGTACTATTTGCTCAATCATACCAATCAATTTACGACTAATTATCATGGTAATTTACCAATTGAAATCACAATTGTAGAAAAAGCCTCCATGTACAGACAAGTTGGTGCAGTTATCACATTGGAAGGAGAACAGGTGTTGCGTACTTTGAAGGAAATGAATATCGAAGAGGAATTGAACAGTATCGAGATTCCAAGAACCAAACAACATTTTTTCACACAGAACGGTCGCCATGTTAGAAGTTTTGATGAGAGCTCCGTTATGGCGGCGCATCCGACGTTGAAGCGCACTAAAAACCTGTCAGATATTCGTCAAGTCAAAAATGAATATGAAAGCATAAAAAAATTTATTCGTTGAATGTCATGCAGTAGAATTGGTAATAGTTCTGGTTTAGGGTGCTAGCAAGGATCTGTCTTCCGTGAGCTGTTCGTTGGCACGCTGTTGTTTTACAAGCTTCAGCTGAAGCGAATAATGGTGTAACGTCCTATGGCTCTATATTTCGTTTCAGTTTGTCTGTTGTGCAGTAAGAACCAAGTTGCTTCGTTCTTCAAACCTTGCAAACCAATCAGGAAGAGACTCACTCATTTTATTTTTGATTCCTTTGGAGTTTACTCAAATCAGCTGACGTGGGATTGACGAATATCTGACAGGTTTCTAGTACCAATTGCGCCGCCATATATAAGGAGGAGGGACGAAGATATGAAAGACACAAATTTCACGAAATTTTGATGAAAAGAATTAAACCAATGATTGTCAGACGAAATGGAAACGTCACAGTTCTAACAAACGTTTGTGGCAATAGAGCAGACTCTAATCACGACGAAGATGATGGTAATCATTTTAGAATGAATCATGTTATTTACAGTATGAGACCAAGCTTGTTCAATAAGGACAAGATTGAAGTCACACTCATGAATAAGAGCGACTGGCTGCATTTACAAAATCAGAAAGAAACTCAAAGGAAGACACCTCAAACACCTAGAAAAGCCCTGGATTGCAGTAACTTGGATGAAAAAAAGGAAACACCAATGAACAGACTATCCAAACTACAAAAGAGAAAATCTACTGGATCTTCAGGAGATTTGCAAAAACTAGAGGAAGTAGCAATTGAAAAAGAAAAACAACAAACTATACCGTCTCAATCTCCTGGATGGAGACGATTTTTCCAAAAGAAGGAATCCAACGCTCAGTCACCTGCCACAACACAGAAAGACACACAATCCCCTTCGTCTTCGTTCACGCAGCTGAATAGAACCAATTCATCAACAAGCTCCTCACAAATGAGAGATAGAAGTACTTCAATGAGAGATCTTTTCATTACTTTTAATGATGGTGAAGACTTTGAAAACTCAGTGTATCAAGCTATGGAAGACCGCAAACTTTACAACATTGACAAGGAAGAATTTGATCTAGTCATTGGAGCCGATGGTATTCACAGTCAAACAAGAGCTCTTATATTTGGTGATGAAAGTAACTTTAAGCACTTTTTGGGTGTGGGATACTTTTCGTTTATTGTAGACTTGATTACCTGTGACGACGACATGCAACAACTCAGTGAAAAATATTGGAGCTGTGTTTATGGAGATGCTAAAAAATCATCAACAGATTCGTTTGATCCATCACAAGCTAGTTCAATTCCTGGTTAGAGCCATTGACACCTGAACGTTTGTCACGCATGTTAGAAGCCTCCAAAAAGATTGCGGAGCATGTCAAGGACGCTGAATCTGCCTCAATACTTCTCACCAATGGAAGGTATCTCAATATATTACGATATGGAAAAAAGATTGCTGTTACCTGTGTGAGCAGAGAACCTTCAGAGGAAGAAATGGAAAAGGATAGTCAAGTGTACAGTGTTGGAGTGAGCAAATCCTTTGTGGATAGTGCTGCTGAACCGCTTCAAGAGAAGAGAATGGCAGTCTCAATGAACGATTTGGAAAAGCATGAGAAACATGAATCTATTCCAGAAAAACTCAGAAAACGATTCTCTCTATTTAAAAAGTCTAATCCAGAAGGCCATACCAAACATGCCATCTCGAACCATGACCCATCTCTCACCAATCAACTTTATTCCTTTGATGCTAGCAAAATGCATGACTATCATTTCGACAACACTCATACTCACGATAGTACAAGTTCAAGCTTACACACTAGCAGCGGTGACAGTACCGAGACAGACCATGACGAAGAGATGTATGAAGAAGATGAGGAAATTGCTGAAGCATTTATGGAAATGGTGAATGAATCTGTGGCTGCAAAACAAAGCATTACTCCCATCACTACTGATGAGAAGGCAGAACAACCCCTTCCATCCACGTCCACAGAAAACATGAAAGATGTTGAATGCTCAACAACAACAACCAATGAATCACCATCGAAAAAGAAAAAACAAGACAAGTCTCATCACTCGAAGACATTCTTTATTTCAGCAGAGAAGCGAAAAACCTTTTTGCAAGACAAGTTTAAGGATTGTGAATTTCTCTTCCATGACATCATGGAACTCGTTTTCGACAGCCGAATAATCTATTACGATGATTTAGCTCAAATACGAAATCTTAATAGTTGGCATAAGGGTCGATGTGTTCTCGTTGGAGATGCCTGTCAAGCATTAACACCATTGAGCGGTAAAGGAGGTGCTCTTGCAATTATTGCTGCCAAAAAGTTGGGTCAAGAATTGAGAACAGCTCTCGAACTTCATGCATCCAAAGAAGGTGAAGAGAATTTACACACCATTCCATTGGAAAAGAGCGTCTTCTTTAGTAGCTGTTTGGAAAGCGCATTCAATAATTATCAATCAGCCATGCAAGAAAGAATCAAACATGTTCAAAAGAAAACAGTTTGGGAAGGCGTTGATGTGTTTTTAGCAAAATCTGGTGTGAAACGAATGGTTCGAGATGGTGCCTTGAGATTTTTGCCAAAGAGTGTCTTGCTGAAAATGACAAAGAAAGAAGAGGAGTCAAAGGTGATTTAATTGTTGTTGTTATTGTTGTATCAGATATATTCGAATCATGTAAATTTTGTCAATTTTGTTGAGCGAGGAAAACATTATTTCACATCTTTCAATTCATTTGAGGTTTGCAACGTGTTTGCATCATGGGATGGTTTTTTTCCACCGCTATTATTGGTCTCTCCGCCACAACAGCAGCAGCATAGAGCAGCCATAAACTTCTCCCAACAATCCTGACCTTCCTTAACATTGATATCCTTACTGATATTTCCTTCTAACTCATCGAGAGGACCATAAATAAATCGAACTCCAAAAGTGAACAAGAACACAACCACTCTTTGAATACCATACGCAAAGATAAACATGTAATAATCGACAAACACAGAGACAGAGGCCAAAATAACCACAATATTCACTAACAAGTTCAAAAAAGTTTGAAGAGAAATGGCAATCATGATGGTTCGTTGAGCTTTCTTTCTCTTTGAAGTGACCTTTCCCATCTCATCATTCAACAATTGTTTGGTCAAAATATTTGTCAAATAAAAGTTAATCACACCACTAATACATGAAAAGATCATGATCAATCCAGAAATGGCAATTGAGGCATAAAAAATGTAGAGAGAAGCACGCACTGCACTTTCCACATCGAAGGATGGATTGTTTTCTCCATAATAGGGAACAGTCAATGAAATCAAAATGGCTGGAACAAGCAATGACAGTAATCCAACTGTTGCCACACCTGCCACGATCGAGTAAATTCGAATTGCAGTTTGATGATTTTTGGTTTTTTCAAATTCTCCATTCTGCATCCACAATCGTTTCGGATTGTAATAAATTTCATAGAGAACTTTGGTGGTGAGGCATTGAGATAAAAAGCAAAGACCTGCTGTGATGACAATACCTAGGTATTGGGAAAATGAAGTTGATGATTCGAACAAATCCGACCCATGACGCATGTTCCGTGGTTGTGTCAAAGAATTGCGCAAGAAATTTAAAATCCATCACGAAACCAAACGAAACAAAACGAAACAAAACGACATTTAACACATCATCTTCGGAACACACACATCACCAAAACTTACATTCATAATTGATCATTAATAGTACTTGAGGAACGACTTGTCTTGCTTCCACTAATTTTGCAGTCGCTGTCGCAATACCAGAAGCACTCGCCAGAATTTGAAGTGCCGACAATGGAATAATCAAAGTTTGTAAATACTTGTTGTTTTGTACCAATGATTTCCATCGCATAAACAAACGAAACAGTTTAAAGCAAACGAGAAATGAAAACACTGGAAATGTAATACCATCAATGGTTAGAGACACAATGCTTTGATTTCGAACATATGGAGTGAGTTGTGTTGAATTGGTCGTGGAGTTGTTGTTATTGATGACCGGAGAGGTATTATTGTTGAGTGACGAGTTGGCAATCTCATGTATGTTGAACAAAGAGAAGGCAAAGTATGGAAGAAGGAATGGTTCACTGCCATGAAATGTTGACATTTTGTTGTGTGTGTGTGAAAAACTCTGCTGACAGACAGCTAATGAATGATGAAAAGCATGATTCCTTTTGTAATCAACTTCGATTCGGCATGTTAAATTAAGGAGCGACCTGTGGAGAAAATTTAGGAAATCCGAACGAGTTGTTGACATGGAGTCCATGGTCTCTTTTTATGTTATGGTTATCAAAATGAACTTGATGATTACAAGTAAAGTGACAAGATTTTGCAACGTTTCATTAGAATCTCTTTCAAAGCAATAACAATTTACTGTTTTCTCAAGGGGTGTTTTTTGAGTCTGACGATCCAATTGTTTTTCGACTTGTCAAATTGCAAAATCTGAGACGTGTCGTTCATTTGGAGAAAATCCTTAAGTTTCATATTACCCTCAATTTTCCAACCTAATTGTTTGATCAAAGTACCAACGACAGATAAATCTGCTTCGTATGGATAGTCTTTGGACAATTGTTCAATGATTAGTAAAATACTGTGGAATGTTGCAATCTTTGGCTCTTTTTTAGAATCTCCTAGTCCAGATGATTTGTTATCTGAATATTCGACCATCATGTCATTTCCTCTCTGTACAACTGTTAAATGTGGAGATATTTGGGAAATTTTGCGCTGTAAATGTTTCGTGTTGTATCCAAGAGATTTGTAATACTTTTTCAAGGCCATGTAACTCATTCTTCGATTTGGCATTTCCTTCACCTTACTTTCTAGTTCAAGTAATAAATCATTGCTAATACTCTTTTTGCTAGCTGTGCTCGAGTCTGAGGTTGTACTTTGTGTATCATCATGATCTTCGGTGGAAGGAGGAGGTTTTACACTTTTTCCTGTTTCTTCTTTTCTCTTGAATGAAGGAATTGGCAATTCTTGTCCACTTCTCAGTAAGAGTAAGGTTGGAGAGGAGCTCGGTGATTCATTGCTCTTCTTTTGTAACAAAGTATTGGAAGGTTTCGTTTGGTTTAACAACCATGATGGTTGTTGTTGCTTGGGAATGAGAGATTGCATATTTGGTGATATTAATGGGTTGGATGAGCTATTTACATCTTCGTTTTCATAGGAACCATTCCATAAATCTTCGCTAATATGTGAGTCATTAGGCTGGGTTGAATCTTCATAATTTTGCTCGTCAAACAAGAGCATGGAAGACAAGGAAGGATATTTGGGAGGAATATATTCAACATTTTCAGGAATCAAACTTAATACAGTGTCTCTGTCTGTTAATGAGATCAACAACATGTTTCCTTTTTGTTCCAATTTGAAAATTCCAACAAGATTTCCATTCTTATCTCCCATAGTGTTAAACTCAATTAACTTCTTTTTCAAAGCTTTTGGCTTGATATTATATGTAAACAATCTATTGCTTAATGCACCTAACTCCATACTATCCTCCAAGAGCAATAAAAAACATATCAAGTGCATGTCATTAATGTCCAGATCACGCTTGTTTGGTGGAGACAGATAACGTAGCATATAATTTTCAAGGCTCATATGAGAAGATGCAGAAGGAAGAGAATTTTTGTCAGTATCGATCATCTCTTGTTCATTGTTCTCTTCTACACTAGCTTGGCTTGTTTCATGAGCAGAATTTCTTGACAATGGTTTTAACTCGATTTCTACCGTTTTTGATACCTCATCGCTAGCTGCAAGGGGTTGCAATGATGAAACCTCATTTAACAATGTTGGAGTGCTAACAACTTCTTTTTTAACACGAGATTCTTTTGGAATTTCCTGCGAAATGATGGATGAGAGGCTTTCGGCTCCAGTGCTCGTTGTCTTTACAGGCATGGTAGACACTTTGACATTGGAGGGTAAAAGCTTTAGCACCTTTTTTCTATCAACTAGAATGATATTTGTAGAGTTGTTGGCCTTTGTTAATTCTAAAAACTTGCCACTATCATAGCTCTCAATAAATTTCTTCAATTTCTTGGGTTGGATGTTTAAATTAACCAACTTGGAGCTTAGATTTCCTAGCTCTAAAGGTTCTAAATATTTCAATAATATGAAACTGATTAATTTGATATCTTTTGGAACGAGCTCTCGAGGTGTCTGAGGAGCAACAGATTCAATATATTCATCCAACGTCATTTGAGTTTTGGATTTTGAAGGTTTCACAGGAGACGAAGTAATGTCCACTACCGCAGGCGTAGTTGTACTCTCCTTGGATGATGGCATTTGTAAGCCTCCTCCTTGCAAAAGTCTACGTTTTTCTTGCTCCATTCCAGCAATGGAGTCATTTAGAATCTCTTCAAATGGGATCCAAAATGTACTGCTTTGTAATAAGGTATTTAGTGATTGATCCTCGTCAAATACGGATCCTCCGTGTTGACTTTGGTCTTTTTTGATCACTACAACACTTGGAATCGATTGATATTTCAACCTAGCCAATAAGTTACAAAAATCTTGATCTCCAGTTAATAGAATAATTGCTGAGCTTGGGATAGTATTGTAGAATGACATGGAATAATGATTGTGGCCAAAGAACTGAGGAAAAATTGGTCTACTGAAAATATTCAAGTCCATTAATACATCTGTAATCATCATCTTATCAACAACCTCTTTTCTTGTTGTGCCTAAATGTGGAACATCAATAAGATGGCATCCATTTTGATAAAACTCTGTTCTTCTATATTTTGGAATTTGGTACATATCTCCATAGACCTAATTGTATTATGATGTCAGAGGAAAATCGTCGTCATTCACAGTTTCACGTACCTTTATAAATGGTGCATTAACCTTAATGATAACATTTGAATTTGGAAATTGAGTGGCATAATAATTGGTTAATTCTTTTTCCAGCCTTGTCAATAGGCATGTCAAAAACAAGCTAGTTGTGGTAATGTTACTTTTTTGTTCCTCCAATTTAGAGACTATTTGTGATGAAGGAATCATGTTTGAAGAGAGTGAAATATTTTCGTAATCCCAATAAATTAAACATTGAATGACATGATAGTGTGGTAAAGAGCCATGCATACTATTTGGTAAACTAGAAACTTGTTGTTGATGCGTGGTAAAATTGTCTCCACTATGGATGACATCCGAATTCATATTAATAGCTTGACTTGCGACATTCTCCAAATTGCTGATTGAATTCATTTCCAAAATTTGATTCAAAAGCCTGTTATTATATTCATTGATATGAAATTTTGTTTCTTGTATTTGTTCATCAACATCCTCTTGTTTGTTCCGTGCTTGGGTACTTGGTTTGATGTCTTCTTCTTGGGTGGATGATGACGACGCAGTAGAAGATGGTAGGGATTGCGGCGATAACTCCTCTATAATTATATTTGCAGAATTATAAAATTCTGTGGGTGCTGTTGTTGTGTTTTCCATGGATTCTAGATTATGCTCAGCGAGAGGTGTTGCGTTTGTAAAATCATTTGATGATGTTGATTCTTCTGATGGAAGAGAGGTGATAGTCTCTTGAACACCAGTGCACAAACTCTCCAGGTGCTCTGCTGCTTCAAAGGTTGGCTGTTGAGGTTGTGTATTGTGATTTTCGAAAAAGTGCGAATAAAAAATCGACGATTTTTTCGCGATTTTTTTCGAGATCGAAATGAGCGACATTGATGCGTTGTCGTTTTGACTTGATGTTGATTATTGTGATTTTCGAAAAAGTGCGAAAAAAAATCGAGTAAAATCGAAAACGACTTGCTCAAATTCGGTCAACCATCATTTTTTGGACGTTTCTTCCCGAAAACGATTTTGCTTGATGTTGACGAGATACGATGTTGATGCTATTCGTGCAAAGTCGAAAAAATCGATTACGATCGACCTGAATCGATTACCTCAACACGATTCATTTCTCAACGTCGATGTTTTTCGTCCAAAATCGAAAAAATCAATTATGATCGACCTGAATCGATTTTCTTGATCGTCAGAGTTGAAAAAATCGATCATGAAGAACCTTTAATCAAATAAACTCTGATAATTTGCTTCTATTTGATTTTTCTCCTCTTCCTCTTTTTGTCTAATCTTCTCTTTCTTTACCTCAATCAATTTTGCAACTTCATTCACCAATTTGGTCAAAGGTTTTACATACTGTTCCTCTTGTTTAGCAATATCTTCTTCTTGTTTTTTAAATCTCTCAAGTAACTCCTCCTTTTCTTTCTGAATTTTCAATAATTGATCTGCAATAACTTTTGAATTATTTTCTTCCATGTCTTTCGATCTGAATGTTCTGATTCGCTGTCACTACTGTCACCTTGAATTTGTGAAGCCAATGATTGTTTTTTGTTGGAGTGAGCAGAAATCTCTTTTTCAATCTCGTTAACAATCCATTTCTTGTTTTCTTGAATGAAAGTATCAAAAAAATCTTTCACACGTTTGTCATCTTTTGGGGCGTTGCATGTTGCTGGTAAACCATCTTTGTATTTTCTTGAACCTTTAGCAGTAGGAAATGTGAAATTTGTATTTTTTTTTGTTTCTAATTGGAGCTTCTTGAAAACTTTGCTTGCTGCTTTTGAATTTGTCATTCCATGAGAATAGAGCTCATTTGAACAAATAGGTAATGTGGTTGCGAGTATTTCGCAAAAACGATCAAACGTGTTCCACTTTGTTTTGTCTTTGCCCATTTTTTTTCAGTGAGAAAACCGTTGTTATTGTTTTTTGACGTTGACACAATCGCACAAAAAACAAGACGCCGTTGAGTTTTTTTTATTCCAAAGCAAATCAACGTCGTTCAATTCAACATTTTCGATATGACAACATTAAACAATTCAACATAATCGAGCAGAATTGTTTTTCTCAACAATTTCTTATCAATTTTGCTCGAAAAAATCGATTTCCACATGGTAAAAGCAACGCAACATCGATTCACAAACGATGAAAGACGAGTTTTCAAACAAAAAACAGGTGTCCAAATATCTCAAAAACTAAGACCATATATCCAAGGTCAAAAATTAGCCCCAGAACAAATTGAGTTCATTAAATTGGTGTGTGGAAAGTATGGAGATAAACCAAAGGTCTTGCAACAAATTTTACCTTTCGCACCTTCAACGATTTACAAATATTGCAATGAAATACAAAAAGAAAAAGCTCTCGGAAGGCCTCCACATTCAGGTAAATCAACCCACCTCTCTGTGTTAAGATTTATTGATATCATATTCAGTGAATATAATACTGTTAATTATGCAGAAGTACGTCAAATAGTTAAAGATTATCTTGATGTTTCAATTTCCATATCTCAGCTCTCCAAAATAACGACAAAATATTTGTTCAGGACATATAAGAAATGTGAAAAAGTATCAGTATATCGAAAAAGCCCAAGAGTACAATCTCAAAGGACTGTGTACAGGCGAACTATTCGAACCTACAAAACAAGAATCATGTTTTTTATTGACGAATCGCATTTCTGTTATGACCATTTGATTAGAACAAGGGCTCACATCAAAATTGGCAACACTTGTCAAAACAGTGCGCACAGAGTGAGTGGAAAACGTTTTTCATTATTGGCATGCATTAACGAGAGAGGAGGTTTGGTTTACTGGGAACTTGTCGATACAACTAACAAAGCAATTGATGCTGATCGATTTAATATATTTCTGACAACATTGAGCAAATTGATCCCAAAAGATTGTATTTTAGTTCTTGACAACGCATCCATTCATAAGGAAAAAGAAGTTCATAGAATAATGAATGGCCAAGGTATTAGTGTGTTTTGGCAAAGCCCATACTCTCCTGACTTCAATCCCATTGAATTGCTTTTCGGATGGATGAAAACACAGTTGAAAAACTATGAACATTCGGTTGACTCTCTCGAAGAGATAATGGAGCAGGTGTTTGATCAAGTTACACCCAAGTTAATCAAATCGTTTGTTCATCATTGCAAGGAAATCTGGCATGATGAGACAAAAACTTAATAAATTTCGAGTTTGATCGAAATCGATTTTGAAGGATTTCGATGTTAATCAACATCAAGTCAAAACGACAACGCATCAATGTCGCTCATTTCGATCTCGAAAAAAATCGCGAAAAAATCGTCGATTTTTTATTCGCACTTTTTCGAAAATCACAATAATCGATTCAGGTCGATCGTAATCGATTTTTTCGACTTTGCACGAATAGCATCAACATCGTATCTCGTCAACATCAAGCAAAATCGTTTTCGGGAAGAAACGTCCAAAAAATGATGGTTGACCGAATTTGAGCAAGTCGTTTTCGATTTTACTCGATTTTTTTTCGCACTTTTTCGAAAATCACAATATCATTCTCTTCGGAAGAAGGCAATAGTGTTTTATTGTCATCCATTTTTGTTGTTTCAATATTTTAACAAGTTAATAATAATTTATTATTCAATCATGGAATGCACTCACTCACACGAAACAACAACTATCTAATCTTAATTTCATCGTCAATGATGAGACCCCATTGGCCTTTTCTTGTTATCCATGTGATCTTCTTACCCTCAATAGCCATCTTTGCATACTTGGTTCCCTTGTCCTTATTTTGCTCGATGAATGTTCCTTCGCCAATTCGAACAAATCTACAAGCTCCATCGTTCAAAGAAATGTCATAATCTACGCCCTTAATTGTGACCTTGGAAGCGCTTGGATTGTGAATGGCTTCATGAACTTGTTTCATTTCTTCATCTGACAAATCACTTGCATCTCCAGCATAATCACCGTCTTGAGATGAAGAACCACCTGGACGAACTATTGCTGAAGATGATTTCAAGTGTTGCTGCATGGATGGATTTGCCATTTGGAATTCACCAGCTTCACGATAACACAATCCCAAAAACATGCTTTGCATGCTATCAAAGTCTTTGAGCTCAAAACGACGACCACCAGTCTCATCTGCTAGGAATTGATAAAAGTCAGTGGCATAATCTCTTCCCTGACATTGAACTGAGTGAATTTTGATGAAATATTCGTCAAAAAGCTTGGTAGCCTCCTCCTTGTAATTGATCTTCAAATATTCTTCTGTGGTATGTGGTACATCATCTCCAATTACAACAAGAGATCTTTGAGTGAAAGGATTATCCTTAGGGACCCAGCTCAAAGTTTGAGCCTCCTTTAACACCATTTCATAGCACTCTGCTGGATCGAGTCCTCCAGTACCACGTAAACTCTGCACAAATGATACAATTTGGTCGATATCATTGCTGAAATCTGTCGAAATAGATCAATTAATTTTGGATAAGGAACAACCGTGGCAATTTTAAAAAACATTTTAACACGTACCTAATTTTTGCATGACGTAAAACATGTTGTAATCCGCATAGTCTCCAAAAGCAATGATACTAATTTGAATGGTTGGAATATCGTTCAATAACTGTTCACACATTCTTTGTAGTTTCCACTTTAAATCCTCAATGATATTAATTTGAGAGCCAGTGGTATCGAATGCGAAACATATCTGTACTGCAGGTACTTCATCACTCGTCTTTAGTCTTCTATTTCCTTCAGCGTAATAGCAACCTGACAAAATTTGTTGAAGTGTAATCTTCTTGTTGACCAAGGTATTGGTATCGAAATACTCCATTTCAGTAATAGGAAGCGATGAAATAGCCCAATGAGTTGCATCGACGTCACCTCGTTTAAATTCATTACCTGGGGTTTTTGCAAGCAATTTTCTCAGAGCTTCCTCATAATCAATGTGAGAGGATTGAAATTCGGAAAATCTATTACCAGGTGTTCTCGAACGCAACACAGCACTATCATCGCTGGGCAAATTATTCAGTGAGATGTTTGTTGGTCTGTGATGAGTATTTGTGGATGACGATGAAGCACGGGAAGGTGTGCTTGATGAGCCATTACCTCTTCTGGATGGAGTAGAAGATGATGCTGAACTTGTTGCCTTCTTTGCTCTACCCGGGGTGGTGTTTGTTTTTCGTTGCTTGGATTTCTTTGGTTTTACTTCGAAATCATCATCATCGTCATCATCGACCATTGCACCATCATCATCATCAGATAATTCCGCCTCTTCCTCCTCCTCAATTTCTTCCTTCTTTCTCTTTGGAGTTGCTGCTTTCTTTGGTGTAGAACTACTAGAGGCTGCCTTCTTCTTCTTTGGAGTAGTGCTTGTAGATGAGCTACTGCTAGCAACAACTCTCAAATCGAAATCACCCACTTGAAAATCCTCCAAATGAGATGGGAGTTTACCTCGCGTAGAACGAATGGGTGTATCTCGTTTGGCAGGAGTGACCTTGTTGTTGTTGCTTGGTGTTCTTTTCTTAGGAGTACCGGTAGCGGTTCTAGAGGATGGTGCTGCTGTTTCATCAACCATCTTTTCGGCTGACTCGAGGGTGTCGTGATTGGGTTGCGAAGACATTTTTTTATTTGTTTTTATTGAAAATTCCACTCGAAAATTGAAATTTTGAATAATAAAGTAGTTTGTCGGGCAACGCAAAACGTTGGCCATAAAAACTACCTTATTTCAAGCACCTTAAATTTCTTGAGCCAAGGTAAAATTGTTCCTCAAGAACTTGACACTTGAGTAGATACGTTTCTGCATCTTCTGGTCAAGTACAAATTTCGTTCAGTGAGGAACAAAGCAAGAAATTTTTTTGTCGTTACTGCAGACTTTCCTTTTAAAAGAAATGAGGACTTGTTGTTCTGAGATTTTTTATCCGTGTCATTGGAATACTGTAAAATCTCGCCCGTAAGCAACAATCGAGGGTAAATGATTGTTTTGGCAAAAAAAAAGTGCTTATGTTCACCCTGCCAATTTTCTCAACATCATACCACCATTTCATAACGGCTATTTTTAATTAGCGAAAGTTTTGAGTGGTTTGGATCATCACAGGAGGAGAGTTTCCCGGATTTTCATTCGTAAACACATTCTCTAACAAGTTGATGAAGAAGTTGATTGTTGAAATTGTATTTAATAAAGCTTTATTTAAATACTCTGATCATCAGAGGCAAATCAATGCCTAACACCTGCTAGTGCGCTGTTGGCGGTTGAGAGGTTAATTGAGAGATGTTGGCTATTTTTTTTGGGGTTGCTTACGGGCAAACGTTTCTTACAGTCGAGATTTTACAGTAATAAGGGAACTTCGGTGTCAGCAAGTTCATCCCTTTTGATTTGAACGAAGATAAAAATTTTACATTTGTTGGCCGTCAGAGATAGAATTTTCTCAAAACAAAATGCCTAAAACGTTGGAAGTTAGTCGTTCAGGTGCGAATGGAATTTCAGGGTCAAGTGGTTTTAGGTGGGTAATCAATGTGACATTGTTATTGTCATTATTATTTGACCTCGAACGCTCAAAAATGAGATTTTTTATCGAAAACGAACGAAAAACGAGTTTTGCAAACGAGTTTCAACGACTTTGAACGAGTTCCAACGAGAATTAAACATTATTTTCATCCCACCGGAGACATATGTATATTTAATATACATCTAATCTTGTCTGCAGCGATTGATCCAATGGTTCAGGGATAAGAGAAACGATTGATAAACTGTTTAAACGGTCAATGTGGTGTTCACCCTCTTTTTTATATCACTTCTAATTCGCTATGGTGCCCAAGTTAGATTGGACAAGGTTACTATGTTATTTAGAAACGTACAGGGTGCCAATAATGTTGAAGTTGTCTTTGAGTAACCATTGTCTTTTAGGATGGCTGAGTCAATTTTTCATTTGAATTCGTTTGTTTGCCACTCATTTTTCGCTGGAGTTACTGTTGCAATTGTTTTACCTCGTTTCAACTCGTTCGTTTCAACAACAAACATGGAATTCTGCGGTCGAATCCGTCTGATCACAAAAATTAAGAAAGAAATCAACAAAACCAATTGGAAAGGATATTGTATACAACACCACAAAAGCATGCTCAAAGTCTGTTCAACGATGTCTTGGGTTGAATTTGGTAACAGAAAACAAAACGTTGTCTCATGAAATCGTTTGAAAAACTCTTTCACGTCCAGCAAATAGTGGTGGACAACAATGAATTCGGTATTCCTTCCATCAAGGTACAATTAAAACGGAGTGAGTTCGATAAAAGTGGCCTTATAAATGAGGTGATAAACGACTTTGAACGAGTTCAAACGAATTTAAACGAAATGAAAAAATTTTTATCGAAAACAAACGAGTTTCATTTTTTAGCGTTCGAGGTCAAATAATAATGACAATATTTATTCACACACAAGGTGTTTCATCAAAGCGGTTCTAACGGACAAAGTGGATCGGTACGTAAAACATTTGTTGGATATACACATGTGTGAATTTGAAACAAACTTTTTAGAGCGGTTCCAATGGTTACTCGGGAAGTAATGGTAAATCAGGATCGAACGGCCAAAATGGTACACATGGAGAAAATGGTACCCGAGGAACCCATGCTTCTCATGCGAGTGATATCAAAGTGTTGCTCGAAGGAATGGATCATCATTCGGTCAAAGTCACAGGAACAGTCAATGAAATAGTTCAAATTGAAGACGGCTCCGTTCAAGCTCTTTGTTTTTATGCCAATGGAGGGGATGGAGGAAATGGAGGTTCAGGAGGAAGGTATGTAACAAATGTTGTGGTAGTCTGCAGACTGTAAAAGATGACACTTGTCATGTTTTGTTTTTATCATACACAGAGGAGGAGATGGAGGTAGCGGTGGTTCGGGAGGATCAGGAGGAAGTGGATCGAATGGAAGACACGGAGGAAGGTATGTATTTCACAACAGAAACACCAAATCCCTTTTGATACATCAAATATTTGTCCTATGGCCCACATGTGGTTAAATTAGTGGTGAAGATGGCGGTCCTGGAGGAGAGTAAGTATCATGTAAAAGTTTTTTGGATCACTCTTTCTAATAGTGGAGGAGAGTAAGTACAAATATTTAATAGTACTAAGGACAAACGGTTCTTAACTAATTGTCAGTGGTGGAGAGTAAGTGTTCAGTCATAATAATCATTTTCGATTGTTTAAATCCAATTTTTCACAGTGGTGGAGAGTAAGTACTTGTTGTTGTTTCGTACTGATGTATTGACTCAACCTATTTCACTTAGTGGAGGAAATGGAGGAGAGTAAGTACTTTTTAGAGCTCTAAAATTTTGAACGTGTGTTCTTGAAACAGTGGAGGAGATGGTGCAGAGTAAGTTTTCTAGATATGCCCTCTTTGTGGTATGAATGTCATTTACAACAACAGTGGTGGTGATGGAGGAAATGGTGGACGAATTTCTATTGAAACTTACAATCCAGCTTTGCTTAAATTTGTATTTGCTCAAAGTATTGCTGGAAGAGCAGGTATGGGAGGTAAGTGAAGAGTGATTGGTTTACATTTATCCCATGACTAATTTCATTCAAAGGCTATGCTGGTAGCGGTGGTTCTGCAGGTCAAGGAGGAAGGTAGGTTTTCAAACTCTTACAAGGAATGGTTTGGATCATGTCAAAATTTTCAGTGGTGGTTCTGGCGGTAGTGGTGGTTGTGGTGGTTCAGCAGGTTGTAGAATTGATGACCAAAGTAGATATCCAAGTAAGTAGAGTGTCATTCAATCTTGTTGTGTGACAACGAGCATCATTCTTTAAGGTAGTGGGCAATCAGGAAGTCATGGACAATCAGGTGAACGAGGTAGAGACGGTCATCCTGGAAGAGAGTAAGTATTTACAGAGTTGTTGCTGTTCATCAAGTAATCTTTTTGTAGTGGTCAATCGGGTCAGGATGGACGACCGGGTCAACCTGGTTCAGTCACATTTCGAGTGTTGGATCCTCAAACGAGATGTGTCTTGGAAGAAGGTGACACAGTTTTCGATCTTAAAGTAGTACAATTTCAATTGAGTGCAGTAGAAGATGACGGTATTTTTGAACCAGGAGAATCTGTATTCGTTTCTGGAGTGGTGGTTAAAAACACTGGAGGAATGACACTACCAGCAGGCTCTGTCATTAGCTTTCCCAATTTTGTGTTGCCTAACCAACATCCGTTCCTGTCCTCTAATCATGTGTTTGTATTAAATCAGCACATTCCAAGAGGAGGATCTTTTCAAATTCCATTTCAATTCTATGGAGCACTTGCAGACATTCCTGAATCAAGCGTGTTTGGTCCCTATCGAACACGGATGAGTATTACTTCTAATGCATCGTTATTGACATCACCATTTAATGAAGGATGTTTAGTGAATGAATATCCAGTGTCTTATCCAATTCAATTAGGAGAGATTATTCAACCTCCTCAATTGGGTAGAACAGAAGTTGGCACTGTTACTGTCACCTTTAAAAACATATCAACTTTGCCATATGGAAGCACTGTAGGATCCAAACAGCATTTGAAGTTTGTCATTTCATTTGATCCAAGATTTGTGGTTCATAATGAAAACGCATTGAACTCAATGAACGCTATAGAAGAAGAAATTCCAATCATTCAACCTGGAATGACTTATTCTCGAAATTTCCAAGTGGAACTAAGTGATGCAACTCAATTCTTTGAGACGGTACCTTTCACAATGCATTTGTTTTTGAGAGGAAAACGAATTGAAAATATGGAAAGTATGGTGAGATTGACTCCAAACTATTTTCCAACTCAGCCAGGTCAAAATCCTTATGACGTGTTAATGATTACTGACAGACATATTGTAAGGAATGAATTCTTGTGCTATTTGAAGATCTTCGAGGGACTTGGTCTAAGTGTCAACATTTGGGACAATGAGAAATATTGTGGAGTTTCTGTCATTAGAGGAACAAACACGAGACATGCTGTGAGTTGGATTAACGGTGGCTACGAAGGAAAATTAATTTGTTATCCCATGTACAACGAAGGAGATGAAAACAATCTACTGCCAGATGACATCCTTCAGATTTTGTCAGGCAAGAATGGTAACAGTTCAACATCTTCCTCTCCAGCAACAGAGGGTGCCATCATCTTTGTGGGAAATGTTGAAGATGAGAACTTTAGACAACGTCTCTTTACGAACAGTGTTCCAAAACCAGTACCAGAAAAAGAACTAAGGGAATTGTTCATGCTGTCATCACCAGATGAAAAAAGTCTTGAAAAGAGATGTTATCATTACTTTGAAAAGGTTCTTCAAAAATCAATGCCATCCAAACTGTACTTGCCTTGCAATATCAAGTTTGCTCCAAAGAAGAATGGTTTCTTCTCAAAGACCTCCCTGGGAACAGCTGACTATAAGGAGCTGTCAGTCACAGCCACCACTCGATGTTATTCAGTGAACACTCAAAGTGGAAATTCACAATCCATCCTGTCACAGGACTCACAAAACAACTTGACTCAAAATCAATTTGCAGTAACCTCTAACTTTGGAAAGTTGTTAAACACTGTACTCTTGTCGTTGCCTTTGGAGAAGCGTTTATGGTTAATCAAACAGCCAACCCAATGGCTAGCAAGTGTTAAATTCGTAGAGGAGCATGGAGGTGTCTCTTCATACGTAACTGCAATTCTTTGGACTCTGTTCTGCAACATTCATGAAGAAATCTTGTTCAGAGATGTGATGGGCAGGTACACCGAGGTAATCAAGAAAGATTTGGAGAAACATGCAAAGGAATATCAATCCCACCCTTATCGTGATGTATTATGTGAAACCTTTTATCAAATGCTAGCCACTTTGAGAAAATTATTGAAATGGAAAGGACTATTATTTTCCAAGATGAAGGAAAACAAACGTCACTTTAAGAAATTTGCAGACGATGTCGAAGACATTTTACTTACCAAAATTATCACAAGCAATGAAAAGGCAGATTCCATCAAGAAGGAAACCAAATCCAAGATGAAAGTATTAACTGCCTCACATTTCATTTTCCACCTCAAGTACATGAAAAGATTGTTGATGGGACGTTATCAACATGAATTGGAAAAGGAATTACATTCTGGAATGTTGGAAAGTATTAATGGTGTTTTTCACAAAAATTTGCAATCGGTCCAAGAGGTTAACAAGCAGTTCATGGAATATCTATAAACGTTCCAATGCTTCTAAGATCTTATTTAAAAGCATGGATTTTGCTTCCTTTGAAATCAGGTACAAGTAATTCCCCTGTTTCATTGTCAATATGTATGAATAAGCACCGTGTACATAAATGACCAAATTCAAATTCATGAACTCGTCGTCCATGCAAATTAAATACAACTACCGTATTTTTTTGTTTTCCACTCACTGCATAGATTAACTTTGAAACACAATCATAGGTAACTCCAAGCGCAGTCACTCCGTCTTGAGTCAATGGAGTTAATCTTGGCGTTTTAAGCTCATGATCTATCTCCATTACATGTAACTCTTGTTTTTGTGAAGAAATAATAAACTTATTTCGATCAATTGGTACAATTCCCCAACAATGTGCTGTGACTTTGGTAATCGGTTGACCGTCCAAACTATTGAGGATCAGAATATTAGAAGAAAACACCTCACAAACGAAAACTAAATTTTTTTCACTGGTCGATCTTCTTGATGAAACAGCAATTCCATGTGCACCATGTTTGTTTTCTTGACTCCAAACCGAGCATTGTATATTCGAATTCGCATCTTGTCCACGCAATCGATCAAGTACAAGCCATAAATTAAATTTTTCAACTGTGTACGTTCTGGAAAACGTTGCAATGATAGCATCATTCTCATTCCCATCGAAATTCTCTTCGATGCATAGCCCTCTAGGCCTTCCTTTTGTTGGAACAATTGCCTTAAGAGTTTTAGTTTTTCGATCCATTATTTGAAACTGAGAATTGTGAAAATCACTCACAACAATGACGTTGTGATTGTTTGAAACATTGACATCCATAAATGAACATGAATAACATGAGCTTTCAAGAACTTTATGTGGCTGAAAATTCATTGAAAATTCTCGTTTTCGCCTTCCTCTCATTCTTGTGCATAAGTGTTCATATAATTCTCGAAAGTTGCCATCATCATTATTTGTGGAGTCGTTGTTAAAAAGAATTAATTCAACCCGAACCAGTTGATGAACAAGCATTTTTTTGTGTTGTCCTGTTACATCAATCAATGAACAGTCTGACGATTATTTACGAGTCCATCAGTTCTGTTTTGTACAACAAGTTGATAGGTTCGAAGAATCAACATGTTGAAAATCCCAAGGCTTGATCGGGAAGGCACCTTTTTCAAACCATTACATAAACATAGAGACTGGGTGTGCTCGTTGTCATCCAACAACCAAGCGATGAGCAGCACCCAATCGAGTGCTGGTTGAGAACAAAAAATTACAACAGTTGCTGTGTTCCCCTGTGTCTGTGAATACAATCCATTGTACTTTGATTGTATCATAGCATTGTGAATATATTATAAATCAGGAACAACAAGAGTATTGTATAGGATTCAACGTGTGGTGTACAGATTTGTTTATCTAGACTCATTTCTCTACCATCATCGGCATTTGTAAATTTAATTTACCTGTACAGAGAACGATACATATCGTGCACTGCTATATTCTTGTTTCAAATCACATCAACAATTGATATTATTATTCTAGATCTCAAATTTATAACCATCATAGCATTGTTGAAATTCTGAAGAAATCTCATCATTACTACATCTCACCACAACAACATCAGCTCTCTCGTTTTCGTTTAAAAACAAAATGGTGAACAACAATGCATTCTCTTCATCGTCGATGGGTGGAAGCAATACAACACCACTATCATCTAACAACCATAGTACAATGTCTAGACCACCTGTTATGAAGAAAATAACATCTATAATCACCAGTGGAGCTGAGTTATATGGCGGATACAGAAGTAGCTCGGCACCACCCCAGGAAAGTCTCGACGAGCAATCAAATACACCCACAAACACGAATACCAATGAATTGAATATTCGTTCAAACCCTCAATACTACGATTATTATTACTCAAATAAGAATCTCAATCCGAGACTCCCTCCACCTATTCTAACAGCAAACAATGCATGGAGAAAGGACACCATTCTCCCAGCAACCACAACAGCAAATGAATTTAACCCTCCGAATTCACCTGGAGCTGTTGGCGATGAAAAGAAATACAAGGCAAGATCATCAGCTCTCGATCAGATCCAACAGGATTTTCCAAGAACGCCCTCACCTGTTTTCAGCTTGTCCAAAGAACAATCATCACCATCGCAGACATTTATATCCACCACGAATCATCATCAACATAGCAACAACAATGGTTCTCATGCTGTAACGGTCGCATCCATTTTGCAACAACATGATATGGTTCCTCCCAGCGTTCACCATCATCAACAACAGCATCATCATAACAACAGTTATGGAACTAAAGGTGGCAATGGTAAAAAGAACGACCATCGAGGCGGTTATCATCCATCTTCGCAGGCATATGATACAAGCCAAACCAGAAATATGCAGTCACAGCAGTATGGTGTTCCATATCATGTCATGACAGCAGAACATGGCGAAGATACACATCCACCATCAGATGAACAACTCAATGAACAATTTCAACAAATGAACATGAATTGGGATGCTGCTTCCAACAATGCTGGCTATCCTCCCATGATGTACCCTAACGGTCAACCTCCAGTGGAGTACTATAACCATCCTCATTATGGGAACAATGTAATTCTTGTTAGACCTCAACAACCACAACCGGTGGTGCATTCCGACCAAGGCATGCGACAAATGCCACCTTATTACGTACCACCCAATGGGGTTCCATATTTCATTCCTCCATCTTATGTGGTTCCACAGAATCAACCTCCACATATGAATGTTCCAGTTGTAGATAATAGACAAACAGCGCAACACATGGTACCTCCTCCTCATGGAGTAAATCCTCAATATCATCATAATGGTACATGGTCTGGCACTCCTCAAACTCATTTCCATCCTCCTCAACAAACTTCAACAAAATCTACGGGTAATAACAATGGTCATATTCCTTCTACAGCAACAGCTGGTGGCTATCATTCTAGTGGACATCATGTATCAAATAACAGCAACCTATCATCATCACCACATACGAGCTCACCAGTTAGCAATGCTTCGAGTGGTAACAACAAACATAGAGGCGACAGAAACGAAAACCATTCTTCAAGAAAGCCACCAAGAAACAATGCAAATACATCCTATCATTCCTCAACGACTGAGCAAGTACCAATGTCTGCATTAATGGATGAATTTAAGAATGGTAGATCTGGTCGTAAATACGAGCTTTCTGACATTGTTGATCATGTTGTTGAATTCTCCAGAGATCAACATGGGTCAAGATTTATTCAACAAAAGTTGGAGAAAGCTTCAAATAATGAAAAGGAGTTGATTTTCAAAGAAATTCAGCCCCACGCTCAATCTCTCATGATGGATGTCTTTGGAAATTATGTGATTCAAAAATTCTTTGAGTTTGGAAGCGTTCAACATAGAAAAAAGCTTGCTAAGGAACTACAAGGAAATGTTCTCAATTTAACTCTACAAACTTATGGTTGCAGAGTCATACAAAAGGCATTGGACGTCATTGACAATGAAGACAAAGAGACGATTGTAAATGAATTGAAGGGTAATGTTATGCGTTGTGTTCAAGACCAAAATGGAAATCATGTAATTCAAAAATGTTTTGAACGTGTTCCACACAAAATGATTCAATTCATAGTTGATGGATTTAAAGGAAAGGTCTACGAACAAGCAATTCATATTTACGGTTGCCGTGTAATTCAACGTATCTTGGAACACTGTACAGAAACTCAAACTGCTCCAATTTTGCAAGAGATTTTAGAAAATGTTTCCCGTTTAGTGGTTGATCCTTATGGCAATTATGTTGTTCAACACGTTTTGAGTAACGGAAAGCCATCGTACAAGTCTCAAATAATTTCTGCCTTGAGTAGAGACATTCAAACGTTATCAACGAACAAATTTGCCTCAAATGTTATTGAAAAATGTTTTCAGCAAGCAAACAAGAAAGAAAGAGATAACATGGTTGCAGAATTAATTGGAGATTTGAAAACCCAAGACTTCTCAGACACACCTTTTTTCTCAATGATGAAAGATCAATTTGCGAATTATGTCATCCAAAAAATTATTGAAACATGTGATCCTGCACAAAGACAAACGATCACGGAAGCAATCAGACCACATCAAGAAAAGATCAAAAAACTACCGTTTGGAAAGCATATTCTGGCAACCATTGCCCAATTTGAGGAATTGTGAAGCAAAGTCCTTCAATAAACATTGTATTCATCAAAAATTTACTTCGTAACAATATTTATCTCCTTCTTCTTCCCAATTTTCTTGCAACTCGTTTTACTGCTTTTGCAGCTCTCTTAATGATGTTTTGCTTCTTGGCTGTTGGTTTGGCAGTGGTAGCTCTCTTAATGATGGTTTGCTTATGGGCTGTTTTTACTGGGGCAGCTGTAGTTTTTGGAGCTGTAATTGCTGGCTTGCGTGCAGTGATAACACTTTGTGTGGAAACGGTTGGTGTCGCTGGAGTAATTGCAACTGGTTTTTTCTTTTTGATAATTGTTGTCTTGGTAGGAAGTCTAACTGCCTTCACAATCTTCTTACTTTTTGAAGCTTTAACTTTTGGAGCAGAAGGAATTGTTGGTTTGACAACAGGCTTTGCGGGAATAGAGCTTGTTACTGGTTTCACTGAGGCAGTAGCTACAGAATTTGTTGTCGATCCAACTGTGGGCTTCGTTGGCACCTTTACAACCTTACTTGCTTTGCTTGGAGTTGGCACTTTTGGAGTGGTTGGTTTGATTGCTGGCTTTGTTGGAGCCGAGGTTGTCACTGGTTTCACCGCAGCAATGGTGACGGAATCTGTTGGCTTTGTGCTGTTATTGGTTGTCTTTGGGCCGTCCACTTTTGGAGTGGTTGGTTTGATTGCTGGCTTTTTGGCAGAGGTTGGCTTGGTAACTTTTTTGGTGACTGAACCTGCTGCTTTGGGAACAACGATTGCTTTGGTTGTTGGCTTTGTCTTCACAACCTTTGGTTTCACAACTGGATTTGCTGACACAGAAGCTGACATTGGTTTTACAGAGGTATTCACACCAGATTGTGCAGCAGTGGTTGGTGCGTTAAAAACAGATTTTTTGATTGGATTTGGAGTAGATGAAGGCTTCCCTGGAACCGAAGTGGTCACTGGTTTCACAGCCGCAGTGGTGACAGAATCTGTTGGCTTTGTGTTGTTACTGGCTGTCTTTTGGTCGTCCACTTTTGGAGCGGTTGGTTTGATTGCTGGCTTTTTTACAACAGAGGTTTGCTTGGTAACCTTTTTGGTGACTGAACCTGCTGCTTTGGGAACACGTGTTGGTTTGATGTTGACAACCTTACTTGCTTTGCTTGGAGTTGGCACTTTTGGAGTGGTTGGTTTGATTGCTGGCTTTGTTGGAACAAGTGTTTTCACGGAAGCAGTTGCAACAGAGGGAGATGGAGCAGTGGTGGCTTTGGATGATGAAGCAGAAGGTTTACGCCCGGATCTGCTCTTCTTAGTTCTGGTTGAGGATGTTATTTTCTTTCCAGAGGATTTGTTCTTTCTGGTTGTTCGTGTTGTCTTTTCTACTGATTTCTTGGTGGCACAATTCAGACACAGCTTGGTCAAAGCATCAATTTCAAATTTAAGCGTTTGTTCAACGGTCGTTAATTCACTTGAGATTTGGTTTTGGTTTTGAACGTAAGCTTGTGATTGGGAATCGGATGGCATTGTCTGAGCAGCACGAATAAGAGTTTGAACTTCCTTATGTCCCTTAGTGGTTCTGGCTAATTGCTTCTTCTTCTTTAACAACAACTTTCTTACATAAACATTATCGTTAGATTGTTGGGCGGATGTGGTAGGTGTAACAGCACCAGCCGCGGTTACAAAGCAAACACCGGCGAGAAGGATCACGAGCAACGATGCAGTAATTAAGGATACCTTCATGATGATGGAATTATTTTTTTTAGTGATGAAATTTCGCCCCTTTTACAGTTTCTCAACTACAGCTCATAAATCTTTCGGTCGGTACAACTAATTTTCTCATGAGTGATTAATGACAATACATCATTGTAGCAACCACATGTTCATCAGAAATAAATGGTATTGGCATTGATCATTAGAGAAAATATGGAACGATCATGATCTATCTTGAACTTGTGAAGATGTTGTTCTTTCTTTGAAGCATGAAGTGGTACGGTACTCTTAAATTCTGGAACAACATTCCTCCAGCAAGCACCAACTTTTGGCAACATATGTTTTCAGCCCTCTCAACTTTTAGTCTTTGAACACAAAGAAAATCAATTTATTTTTTAAAATAAAAAATAATTAATTGATTTTTTCATCAACAACCAAAAAAAATGAGTGATGCCAAGAATCGTCTCCAGGTGCTACCCAGTCGTATGACCCTGCAAAACATGAAAATTCGTCTTCAGGGTGCCAAGAAGGGACACTCACTATTGAAGAAAAAATCTGATGCTTTGAATATTAAATTCCGTTCCATCCTGAAAGATATCAAAGAACAAAAAGAAGGAATGTCGGATATGTTCCGTAAAGCCTATTTTTCACTTGCCGAGGCTAGATACAACGCCGGAGACATTTCATACGCAGTGATTGAAAGTGTCAAGAGTGCTGCAACAAAAGTAAAGATGAGAGCTGAGAATATTGCAGGTGTTACTTTACCAGTTTTTCACCCAGATGATGGCGCACAAAGTGAGGAAGGAATGACATCAATAATTTCACGTGGTGGTGAACAGATTCAAAATTGTAAATCCATCTTTACTGAAGCTTTGAAAAATCTCATCAAACTTGCTAGTTTACAAACCAGTTTCGTTACACTTGATCAGGCCATCAAAATTACCAATCGTCGTGTGAACGCTCTTGAAAAAGTTATTCAACCAAAGATTCAAAATACCATTAGCTATATTATTAGTGAATTGGATGAATTGGAAAGAGAAGAATTCTTTAGATTGAAGAAGATCCGTAACAAGAAAATCAAGGACGCTCAAAAGAAACAAAAAATTGCAGAAGCCAAAAAGGAAGAACAGGCAAAGTCTGCCACCAAACCTGCAGCTGCTGTGATTGAAACAAAGAACGTTTTTGATGATGCAGCTGAAGACGAAGATGTTGTTGTGTAATTTAATTTATCGATAACCCATACAATGCCAATAAACAGTTGAGTTTTTTTGAACAACGCTTTGAATCCAGTAACTCAACAAAAAATGTTCATTTCCACATCATCTCCAATATCCTCTCACATGGACCCTGTGAGGAACAATGTCGATAGCGATCCTCCCACGCCAACCATTGCCAATCTCGAAAATGGCCTTGAATCTCCACTACTCCCGATTCTAACTCCTGCTCTTCATTCAAGAAGAGGACTATCGGGATCTTCCATGCTATCAGACGAGGACGGAGGAAAGGATACGAACAGTAATTTATCAACATCCTCTTCGAGTCATCAAAATCCTTCTCACGATCATCACTCACACCACCAACCCTTTTCACAGTCATCACCGTCTTCAAAATTAGACAATCAAGAAAAATCTCGAGATCGCGGGACAAGCATTCATCATCATCCAAATAATCAAAACGGGTTCAACCTTCTTTGTTGCCCGAATTCTGTGAAAGGAATTTATTTAAGTGCAATTTTAATTTTCACAGGAATTATGCTTTTAGTTACAATGATTTTCATGTTTAGCGTATCGCATTCTTTGAGTCACGACTCCAATACGAGAGTGGTTGTTGAGGATCAAAATCATATTTCTGATTCAGATTTATTACATTCAAGCCCAGATTTAAGCAGTTTAGAAGGTATGGTGATTTTTGTGTAACTTACGGATCGCATTTACATTAATTTATGACACTGCATTATTAAATTATAAACATTAAAATTGCATATGAAAAAGGCGAAACCACGTCAGATGGAAAAGTAAAAAGAGATCATCTCATGAAAAAGCCCAAAATTATATCTCCCTCCATTTCATATCAGGTTCATTCTTGGAACGATTTAAGACAATGGATTCAAGGCTATCAAAAAGGAGTCAGATATTTCAAAGTCGATGTTTATTATCACATTGACTATAAAGATTTTGTAGAAAAGTATGGACGTGCATGTAAGAGAAGCGTTCATGATTTTACAACAACGAGTACACTACCATCTACAACAAAAACATCATGCTTGATTTTAACACATGATGCTCCAGAAATTGGAGGTATTACCAATGGTATTGGATATTTTGATATCATTGACCTTATTGACACTGTAACCGACATTAGAAAACGATTTAAAACATCTCCAAACGATGAGTCTGAGAGAATTTACATTGCTCTTTGTATGAAATATCACAAATTAATGTTTAACAGCAACGCCGGCACTGGAACTTATGTCGTTGGAACTATGAAAAATCCTTGTCTACCAAAACCTGATAATGAGTGGCTCATACTTGTAGATGACATGTATCAATTATTTAAATCAAGAACTGAAAAATTGGGTTTAAATGTGGAATTTATACTGGATGAGAGCGGAACTCCTGGAGGTATCAAATCATTGGCAAGAAGATGCTTGGAAAACAAATGGCCTGATTGGCCCTATACTTACATTTCCATGCGAGATCCTCCAGAAATTATGGAAAACCCTAATGAGGGTAAAAAATCTTGGATTCCTTCAATTTCTTCTAAAACCGACAAGTACAATAGATACAAATATCTGAATCAACCAATTTTTGATGAATTCAAAACCAAGAAAATTGGATTACCAAGTCAAACTTTTTTCCTGGAAGAAGCACAACGTTTTTCCTATGGAAGATTTAACGAACTTCCCGAGAGCAAGCTGCTATGGGAGCCCTCACGTACGTGTTTTATGTGTATTAATCATGTTTCAAATGACATTGATACCTATGTGCTCGTAATTGAAACTGAAAATTTCAATTATGAACATGTTTTTGTCAAAAATTCGATCAGATCAACAAGATATATGGAAAACCCTTGAAGTTTACAAGAAAAAACCTGTCAAGAAAGGAGTCTTGAGATTTTCTACAAATATTGATCCCATTCAAACAGAAGTATTCCTCTCAAAATATTCAAAGTATGGTAGAAACGAACCATTGCCAAATACCAAAGCTGCCATCAAGCCCAAAGTTGTGTCTATTGATGACTCTGATAATCTCATGTTTGTTTATGAGAAGGAAAAGTCTTTAAGTTATTCATTTTACGATTTCCATACACATCGAATTTCTCCATCATCCGTCATCAAGAACAATAAGGGTGAAGTACTATCGCTCGACTCTATGAATGTCGTCAATATTATGAAGCACAAAATTTCTAGCCAATTACAACCACTGAAGGCATTTAGATTGGTAATTGTATTCAACGATGGGCAATTGCATATCTACAAAATCGTAAAGAATATTGAAAAGAATAGTTTTGAACTTGGTTTAGAAACGTCTGTTTCTCTTATGAATCCATTGAAGACCTCTGATGAAATTCTTGCAAGTACTCTCGAGTCCTCGATGAACACTTTATTATTGTTTACAAGAAATACTCGATCAAAAGTATTATCCATTTACGCTTACCGAATTTTGCAATCCAATGAAAAATCAGTGACTGGAACAAAACTCATTCAAACATTTACCATTCCAAACAAATTAGAAAAGATTGATATTTTGAAACACTTGACCATTCATGCGCTTTCGTTATCACCACTCGATGCAGAAAATTTACCTTCTCAATTGGATTTACTTGTGTTAATTGCCTATTCCACAACCAATAACAATGTCTATGGAACATTTATTACTCTTCCAATACAAGAAGCAGGTGAGAGCAAGATGAACCAAGACGCTCGTCAAGCCACTCTTCTCTCATCACCTGTGTATTCACAACTTCTTGGAGTGGGTGCTAATCCATCTATTTCCTCATTGCGTATTACACATCAATTGAAAAATTCACAAGACACCACACCTCAACCAATGGAAAGGACATTTGTGTCAATATTTTGGGGAGAAGGTTTCTGTAACAATGCAGAAATTCATAATGTTCAATCATTCCCTTACACTTGTTCCCTCAAGAGACTTTCATGCCCCAATGTTTTACAATATTCCATGATGAGTATTAATGAATTTGTGAAAACCATACAAAGTGCCTCTGCTGTTAGTAAGAGTGTCGGAACAACGAGTACAACCAGTAGTAGTAGTAGTAGTGCCACTCTCTCTTCTGCAGAAAAAAGAATGATACAAATCAACAAACCATTCGACAATCCACATTTATACTTTGATCACAGATATTTATTATCTCCATGTAAGGAAAATATGTTATTCGGATGCTATGATAGAGGCTCAGATCCCAATGTGTTGCTATTTAAACACGACCCAACTTTGAATCTTGTGAGTGCACTGAGCATTCACATTGGAGTTCCAGAGGAAAATTATACCTTTAACTTTGGAAATACTCAACCCGATCCACAACAAGAGGATTCAGCAAGCAAGAATTCGGATCAAGTGTCAGAAAATTATGAACTTGCTACTTGTGTTGCATGCGGCGATGCATTACCGTATGATGGTCTTGTGTTGGATGAGCTTTTATTCTCGGTCAAGTTGTTGAATTGATAGAGTGAGTCTCTCTGACACATCATTTCATGATGTGATGGTGTTGCCTTGATGGAATAAATTTTGGCGCCCAACAAGTGTATAATTTTAAAAAACAAAAAAAGCCTTCAAAGCGCGTTACAGTTCAGACACATTTCCCTTTAAAAATTATTTGAATCAACACCAAGACGACCTACTTCGGAGAGATGGCAGAGAGAGTCCTAACAAAGAATTTTATTTTGGGTAAAACTCGTCTTGATAACGTTGCGAACGTCAAGAATTTAAATTTTTGGGGTCAGGAATTGCAAGATGTTTCCGTGATTGAGGAAATGCCCAACGTCGAGGTTGTTTCGTTGAGCGTCAACAACATCAACACCTTGAAACCTTTTGAGCACTGTTCGTATTTTTGATTTAATGAAAAATTAATTTATCTGGTCATCAGGCTACAAATTAAGAGAACTGTATTTGAGGAAGAACAAAATTGCACATTTATCAGAAATTCATTTTCTGAAAGACTTGAAAGCTTTGAGAGTACTTTGGTTGGCGGGTAATCCATGTGCTGATTGTGAAAATTATCGTCTTAAGGTTATTGCTTATTTAGACGGATTGACAAAGCTTGATGATGATGGTAAGTCCTACTTTTGAGTAGTAACACTTTTTCAACTTTGTTGTCAATTAGACATTTCTCCTGAGGAACGCGAATTGTCAAAGCAATTCCAAGGCATGGACTTTGCCACGGACGCGCCTAGAAGATCTCCCTCACCTAAAGTTAAATCAAAATCGCCTCCAAAGATTGCCAAAAACGAGGAAGAAGAGCAAGCCATGGTTACCAAACCTCGTCACAAACTAGCCAGAACGCCCCCAAAAAAAGATGTACCAAAGCTCAACGACCCTATCGCAGTAACTGAGAGTGCCAACGTTGTCAGCAACAGGAGATTACACAATGACAATACTCCAGTTGGAGGTGGAAATGTCTCGAGAAATGAATCACCAATTGCACAAAGAGAAAGTCCTGTCTCTAATGCAGTTCTTGTGCAACAACCTTCGAAATCTGTTCCTTCTCCTCAGCCTTCTCCCGTTGAGAGTGATTTTGTTGTCCATGCAAAGCAAGAAGTTCAGAAAAATCAACAGCAAGAAGAATATGAAGAAGAAGAGCCTTCGGTGGTTGTAAAAAGAGACGCAACCAGACAACCACACGACCCTTATGTACGAATGCAACGTGAAGGGCACGGTAACAATTCACCTCCTCCACAACAGGAATCGAACAAAAGACATGCCCCTCAACAGCAACATATAAGTGTTCAACAATCGTATCAAGGTTTACCTCAGCACTATCAACAACAACAGCAGCATTATATGGAACAGCCCCAACTTCATCAAGCTCATCGACAACATTCAGGAAGAGACATGGGTGGATATAATCAAAATTATCAACACCAAAACCTTGACTATGGCACTCATCAACGAGTGTATGAAGATAATCCAAATACTTATTTGGACAATGCAATGGGTCACAATAATTATTCTCACCCAATGAACTCGAGAGTCAGCACAGCTCAACAAGGACAACGCTCTAGATGGGAAGTGTCTCAAGTCTCGAATATTCCTTACTTTCCTTCTTCTGGAGCAGACAACTATCCTCCACAACAGCCATCGCGGGTATCTCGATACAATCAGCAGCAGGGTTATCAAAAATCGCAACCTCTTCAACTTCCACAGGTAAATAGGAACACGTTGCTTAATGTCGTTCTTGATTTAGTGAATGAGTTAGACCCAGAAAGATTGATTGTAGTGAGGCAAGAAATTGACAAAATTCTAATGAATCAATAAGTCTCGTAATTTCACAAATAAATTAAAATCGTTATAATACCAACTCTCCAGTACCCGTACCCACTTCAATTCTTTGCAAAACCAAGTGTTGCGCCACATATTCTGAAATCCACTTTCGCAAAAGTGAATATGAAATTATGTGGTGGCGATACATCCTAGTTGGAGAGTCCTGATTGTTTGGAACGAGAATCAAGTATGGAATATTCTCCAAGTTATAATCCACTTTGGCATGAGTTGTACCTCCTACGTTTTCAAAAAGCTCGCTTGGAATGTCATTGTACTTGATATCAAGCTTGAAAATATCTAGGAAAGGGCTCATTTCTTGACTAATTTCATCTAACATAGAAAGGTAGTAATTAGTGCTACCAAATGATGATGAAAATATGAAAACCAGTGCCAATTTTGGTCTAAATTGTAAGGTGAGAATTGTTTTGAGAGTGTTATAGGAAACACTATCTTTTGTTTCTTTGCTGTTGTGATGAATAAATAAAGAAGGTTGGTTAAGGAATTTTTGAAAGCAGCGTTGGTAGCTTTCAGGTTTGTCATAAATTCTTTCCAGGCATTTGTCCAAGAAATATATGGTGTTATTGACCACAATCATTGTTGAAGGAAAGATATCTTCAGGCATATTGTAAACTGTCAATACTTGCCCAGGATTTGGTCCGCTCCGAAGATAGCTTCTATATAAATTCTTTGCGTATTCCTTCTCAACAAAACCAAATCGATATTCAACGCCTCTAAAATGCTTGTATGTTTCAAGTGAGAACTTCTTGAACGCTTTCATTATTTCATCATTTTGAGATGATTCCAGGAAAAGTATTACATTATTCTTGTGCTCCAAAAATTTTCTTGAGCTTTGTGACTGAATTTCTCCAACGAGTGGTTCATATTTTTCGAGAACCCAATCTGTTAACAATTTGGGCTCACTGTTGTAAACATGTATTACGTCCTTCACAATATTGTAGAGAATAATTGTTGAAATTTTTTTAAATTTTCCAAGCAGAGTTTGGTGACACCCAAAATATTCCTTCAATTTGCTCTCGCTTAAAACTTTTACGAACTTAAGGCGTAAAGGTTGCACATAGTTGAAAGTAGCATTGTAAAATTTCTCCATATACAACTGCTCGTCTTTGGATTGATCAGGAAAATAGCCAATTAAAACTTGCTCATCTTCTAATATATTATTGAGAGCATTCTGCCTAGCTTGTTCATTACGTGTTGACTCATTAATACACACATCACGATAGTCATCTGTTAATATTTTTCTGTTCAGAGAAATATTGATAAATCTCTTGAGCATGGTTGACGAATATTGACTGTAGAAATAATGTCGTTCTGTTGCCAGACTTGATATGAATCGAATGGATGGAGAAGTCAAAGTAATTAGTTTTTCTTTCAGATCCTTGTCTTGCACATTATGGTAATTGATGGCCCTGACAACAAACTTGTTGTCGGATGTGTTGTTGTCATAGGATTTAGAAGTGATTGGAACCAGAGTAAAGCCGTTCAATAACTCTCCATTATATTCAGTAAAGAGCCTATCGGTTTGGGAAAACTCCTTGTAAACTTCAATTAGAGCCTGTCTCACCTCATACATGGTGATACTGTCCCAAGGAAAATAAATAAGTAATAACATGTTCGGAAAAGACTCAATCTGTGTCTTGTAGCTTATATAGGTATCAATATGTTGAATAAAAGGATACATTTCCGAGAAATCAATATTCGGTAAAGGAACAACAGTGGGTTCTCCATTTACACTACCGAATTTATATGTATTAAAAGTTGAATGTAAAAGAATGATAATGAAGATGAGAAGGTTCACAGCGGAAACGAACGAGAAAGACGATGATGATTTCATTTTTTTGCAATCGATTTCATTTCTTGCACAAACACCACAAGCTTTATTTCTTTTCTGCCTTTGGATCAGGATAGCACATATCTTCTGCTTTTACATGCTTATCGAATTCTTCTTCTGAAAGTAAATTCAAATCTTTGCATGCTTGTTTCAAACTAATGTTTTCTTGGTAGGCCTTCTTTGCAACCTTGGCAGCATTGTCATAACCAATCACAGGATTCAATGCAGTGACAAGCATTAGAGAATTAGCAACATATTCCTTAATCTTGGATTCATTGGCAAGAAGACCATCAATACAGTGTTCAGTAAAGCTCTCACAAGCATCTGCAATTAAGCGTCCTGATTGCAAAACAGAGTTAATAACTTGTGGTCTGAACACGTTCAATTGGAAATGTCCATTGCTTGATCCAATTGTCACACCAACATGGTTGCCCATAACTTGTGCGCAAACCATTGTAACAGCTTCTGGTTGTGTTGGGTTGACTTTACCAGGCATGATTGATGATCCTGGCTCATTACTGGGTAAAATTAATTCACTCAAGCCACAACGAGGTCCACTTCCAAGCAATCTAATATCATTAGCGATTTTCATGAGAATAGTGGCACAACAATTATATGCTCCACTCAATACTACAATTGCATCATTTCCACTCAATGCCATAAACTTGTTGCGTGCTGATTTAAATGGTAACTTGGTAATCTTTGACAGCTCTAGTGCAACATCGTCACCAAAACCTTCTCGTGTGTTGAGTCCTGTTCCAACAGCAGTACCTCCAATAGCCAATTCATAAACACCTTCTAAGCTCTTCTCAATTGTGTCGATTGCAAAATCCAATTGTGATACAAAACCAGAAAATTCTTGACCCATTGTCAAGGGTGTTGCATCCATGGTATGTGTTCTACCAATTTTCACAATATTGGCAAATTCTTGTCTCTTCTTTTCAAAAGATTCTCTTAATCTTTTAAGCATTGGAATTACACGTGAGGTTGCTTGAATGGCTGCAGCAATATGCATTGCAGTGGGAAATGTATCATTGCTTGATTGTCCTCGATTCACATGATCGTTGGGATGGACTTTCTTTGAACCCAAAGTACCTCCCATCAGCTCAATACATCTGTTACTTATTACCTCATTCACGTTCATGTTTGTTTGAGTTCCAGATCCTTTTCAATGTTGACAACAAATATTTGTGGTTGCACTGCAACATGTTGAACGAAAACCTACCTGTTTGATAAATCTTGAGAGGGAATTGATCATCAAATTTACGTTCTTCCACAATTTCCGAAACCACTTTTTGGATTAATTCTGCAATTTTTGAATCTAAATCTCCATACTCGGCATTCACTTTGGCACAAGCACCTTTCAAAGTGGCAAGAGCATGGATAATTTCAATTGGCATGCGTTCTCGTTCACCTCCAATTTTGAAATTCTCAATACTACGTTGTGTTTGAGCACCCCAGTACACGTTGGCAGGTACTTGCACATCTCCCATTGAGTCTTTTTCAATTCGGAATGATAACTTGTATCAACATTAATATTCATAAAAATTCTTGTTATTGATCATCACTGGTTGTATTGTATACACCTACCATTTTGTTTGGTTGTTGTAATGTTAACAAGTTCAAAGTAAGTAATCTCTCAATATTGTTTCGATTGCCTTCGTCAAGAAGAGTATTATTAAAAGTGCTTTTTTTTGTGAGTAGCGATGAAAACTTGTTGTGAAGCATCTTCTGGTATACACCACCGTACGAGATTTTGCATGTACTGAGGTTCCGAACGAGAGAGGAGCTTGATTTGGAAAGCATATTTGTGTATGTCTATTAAAGGACCTGAGAAAAAAATTATGGAAAATAAAAACAAGAGTCACGTGGAGATGAAGAATTCAATTTTTAATAATAAAATTGTTTGTTGGTGAATCAATACTAGTAGAGAGTGGTGACACTCATGCATTCTATTTTTGAATAAAATCTTGATTTGAAAAACATGTTAACAACTGAAAAAATCATTACTATTTGTTGCATGCTGATGAAGGATATTGCTCATTCAAATACTTGCCACACACCGGGGAGAGTTCATATTTCCTTGTTCTTTTCAATCCAACATGATACGAATGAATGGCAAAGTCTGATGGGTTTTTCTCAACAAATTGTTTAAGGCGTCCAGAGTTGTGCATATTTCTCAAACAAGAACACACACTTGGACAAAGTCCTCCGTTACTATGAAGAGCAAAAGGTCGATGTTTGGAATCGGAAATAGAACATCCCCATTCTGAAGCTTCATCTGACCTGACATTTCCACAAACACTGAATGGACTATACACAAGTTTTGCTTCACAATCAGCCAAGAATGGATACTTTTGAGTAGCATGCATGTATTGATAGAGAGCTGGTGTAAATTTCAAGAAGTAATTCCATCTAGAGTGAGTTGTGATATGTAAGATGTGTAGTAGTATACTTACGGAAAACATGTTTTGCATAAAGTCTTCTGGTGGCCATCGATTTTTCTCAGCACAAAACACGATTGGCCATCGTTTTTCTACATCCCTTTCCAAATCAATCCCAGCAATTTCTTTCATGTAGTACTTTTCAAATATTTCCTTAGATTTCTTAACATTGTTGACAAAAAACACGTCAGTGGCATCACTGAACATGATGTAATCATGAGGTCGAATGTATTTAGATTCAGGGCTGTTTAAAAATTCATGCAGCTTTTCAACTTTCTTCCAGTGCGTATATGGAGCTGTTAACAGATTGAAAGATATTTTCGAAAGATATCACAAGCATTCAAAAGGTTCGAAAGTCACTCCATCCACTTACTAAATGTTTCACTCTTTTCTGATTCAGCTCCAATAACAGTTGGAATAATAAAATCATTTCTCGAACTTTCATCTCTTGTGTTGAACGTGAAATAAGAAAATAAATATAATTTACACAAAGCCTTCATTCTTCCAATATCAGCATTGGCTTGCACAGGCTCCAAATCAAGAAATGTAACTGGATACACCTTTGCATTTGTAAAATCCAAAATATAATCATCTTGCCAGTCATCCACCACACTTAAACGTTTGCTCTTCATCCACTTTTTTCGAATCAAGTCATGGTTTTCCAAAAATTGTAAATCGTTTTGTTTCATGTTCGGCACAAGATGTTTGTACGTTTCGTCTCCATCTCTTGAGAAGAGTGATGATATTATAAAGTAAAGGCATATTGTAACAAGTAGCAAGATAATAATAACACTTTTTCCCGAGAAGGTCGAAATGGAAGCAGGGTTCGAAGACAACCTTCTGTCAGACATTTTTTTGCTTGTGACATCTCGATGATGTTCGTTCGCTTAAAAGTTCTTGTCTTGACGACTCTCTTTGCACACTGGCGATTGGGTACGTGTGAATATTATTAATGCAAATTTAAACTACCTGTTCATGTATGATTATTTGGCATGGATGGATTTGTAATTTTTCGCTTTGGTTCAATTTAAAAATATTTAAAAAAAATACCATCACGACTATACTTTCAGCAATCACCACCGCTTTTGTCATCATCTTTTTGTACCATAATTTATTGTTCTGTTCAACACAATTTGATAATCCGTCATTGTAGAAAACGAAGAACTTGCTCCGAATTAATTTTCTTTAAAAAATGGTCAAGAAGAATAACGAAAGCAACATCGGATTGTCCTTGTTCTTGGGAAACTATGATGACTTTGGAGACAAGGACATGGTGCAAAGCCTCGGAGGTATCGGAAATAGATTTGGGCTTGGATTTATTGATGAAGCTGAAAACGCTGCAGAAGTTGAGAGTGAAGACAGTTTAATCAGCGATGAAGAAGATGAAGCTCTCAGCGAATCGGTTATGAGTGATCAAGAAGACCAAGATTATATCCCTTCGAAATATATTCTTTCTCATGAAGGTACAGGCAATCCTTTACTTCGTTTCTCGGAATTATTTGGAGCAAAGGAGGCTAAAAAGCAAAAACATAAAATTTTCAATATGAAAGGAATTATTGATAAATTAAAAGAGCATACCAAGGTGAGATATAATCTTGAGGATGGAGATGATGAAGAAGATGTCTTCTTTGAGAATGACGTGAAAGTAAGAGCCATGACAAAGAAAATATCTGAAATGTTGTTACAAGAAGAACAAATCATGAAAGACGAAGAAGATATCGAAAAGGAACAAAACAGAACGGAATCTGAAAATGTCAAACAAATGATGATTGAAGATATTATTGCTCAACGAAGCTCTTTTCATAACTTGGATCAAGCACATTGGGAAAACGATATTGTTTGGGATATCACAAAAAAAGGAGAGGAAGCGGAACAACAATCGAAATCAAAACAAACTACTTTGCAAAACGATCAGCATGCAGGAAAATCACATATTCAGCCAACCTTTGGATCCTCCATACTTGGCTTGAGCAATATAGATATGTTTCAATCCCATCACAATGACAATAAGATCAATCAAATCCCTGATCTTAGTGGTATTCCAAAATTAAATACCTCTAGCAAAGGAGAATGGGGAGAATACGAATCAGAAAAAGAAGAAAAACAAAAGCCACAGAAAGCAAGTCCTGCTACCTTATCAAAGCCTTCAATTCCTTCGACAACCCCAAACCAAGCTCAACCTCCTGGAAAAGACTTGGCCCAACAAGACGCAAGCACTTTTGATACTGGGTATGCTGGTGAGTCTGAACCTTTCAATTTTGCAGATGATAAAAGAGCAAAACGAAAATATACTCGTAGAAAGAAAAAGGATACGATCGAGGAAGATGGTAGTGTTCGATATCCAAAATCTGTCGCCAGACACTTCATGACTGACTTTTCAAATGACGACGAGGAGGGTCCACAATTCAAATTCCTCAATGAAAATCTATTGAATGGGGAATGGTTGGATGACGTTTATTGGGACGACGTTGGACCAAAGCCTTCACAAAAATTGCTCCTTGACATGAATGACAAGTCAATGTTCTTTGTTGAAGCCAATTATCCTGACCAAGCTGAAAAGGAAGAGGCCTTTTATTCCATCGAACAAAATATTTATAACATTTCGAATGACTCCAAGTATGAAGGTCAAAAAATTAAGGATCAAGGTCAAAAGGCAGGCGCTAAAAAGTATACTGTCAAACACTCACTTCCTGCACTAAAGCTTGATACTGAATTATACAGAAGTCACATTCCTGATGCTGAATTACGTAGACTTCATCATCGCCGAACTAAATTCAAGGCGAATGAAGTTATGCCAGTTCTTTTCAGAAAGCCAAAGAAAGAAAAGAAAAAGTCAAAGAAGAAGAAAGATTTAGAGAAGAAACAAGACTTGTCCGCTAACGATCATCGTGTAATTCTTATGGAATATGTAGAGGAAAGACCACCACTTTTAAATAACGTTGGAATGGGTACTATGATAATGAATTATTACAAAAAACCAAATTCTGCGTTTGAAAAAGTACCTGAGTGTGAAGATGGTATTCCAATCATTGTAGAATCAGAAGATAGCGTACCTCTCATTACTACACTGGTTGATGGTGAATTTGTGACAACTACCGAAAACAACATGTTCCGTGCTCAAATCTACAAAAACCAGGTCCCTTCAACAGACTTTCTTCTGTGCACTAGAAAGTCAAAGGATGGCAAGACCAAGTTCTATATTCGTGAATTTCCTAGAACATATACCGTTGGTCACACTCAGCCTCAAGTTGAAGTCACTCCTCCAAGAACTCGTGCTTCTGAGAGTTACACCAATAATCGTTTGACCCTTTTCATTTTCCGTTCATTCCTTGACCAGATGAAGAAAGGCAAAAGGCAACTCAGGATTAAAATTGACGATATCAAGGAAGCCTTCCCTGATTTTCCTCACCAAACAATTCGAGAAAGGCTTAAAGCACTCGCTACATATGACAGAGGAAGCGGTGTATGGACAGCTGATCCTGCAAAGCCAATTCCTTCTGAGGAAGAACTTCGTAACCTCGTTTCTCCTGAGATGGTCTGTATTAACGAATCCATGCTTTCTGGAGATCTAAGACTTAATGACAAAGGAATAGATGATGAAGCTTCCATGGTGGCGTTTGAGCTATCTTTTGCAAAGGTAGAAGAGAAGTATCGTGACACCATTCGATTTATTGAACGTGAAAAAATTGAATTACCTTGGGACAAAACTAATAACTTCCATCTCTGTTTTAAGGGTGGTAAAGAAGGTGTAAAATTACAACTACTCAGCATTGTGCATCAAAATATTACAAATCCTGAAAAGCTGAAACAACTTGTTGACGAAACTGAAAAGAGAATTCAAAGTGAAATTGAAGAAATTCTGCCTTCTATGACTGATACTGAAGCTAAGAGGATTCTTCTAAATAACAAGTATACAGAAGAACAATTAAGAAATATGACTCGTGCCGATCGAAAGATGAATGCCAGAAAGATTTTAAAGCAACAAGGTTATCAGCCAGGTGTAGAATATAATCGTGACTCTCTTTTTGATGAAACAAACACGAACGGTGCTATGGATAGCAATGCTATTGACAGTAGAAAGAATGCCAAAGACATTGCTCGTATTAACATATTCAAAGAAGTACTTCAAGATGTACTTTTCAGAGAAGCCATGAAGCTGGAAAATGGCTTAAACTTTTATGAAACCTCGGATGAAGTGATTGACCAACTAGTTGAGAAAAAGCTTGGTAGATTGAAGGGAGACAAGGAACTCGAACTCGAAAAGATGGTTGCCACTTCCAAACAACAAATGCTAAAAGAGTTTGAAGAAGGGGCAGAAACAGGAAAGAAAAAACGAGGACGAAAAAGCAAACAGCCAAGTGTCGTGGATGTTGGCAAGCGATATGTTAAAAAGACAACATTCATTACCAATGAAGATGGCTCAACCACTGAAAAAGTTGAATATATCAAAAACCCAACCCAAGTGAGCTATTATGAATCTGTTGTGAAAGGAAAGAGACGACAAAAACACTTTTTAGGAGCCACTGAAGACGAGGTTTTATTGGTTGGTCCAAAAGAACGAGGCAGGTTGCAGGCTCTCTCAAGAGAATTCAAAAAGAAGTTCCGTTCTGACAAGCAAACTGCCAGTGAAAAGTTAAATCAAGAAAAGAAGAAACGAACAACTGCCATCAAGAATGCCTCTGTGACAACAACCAGAAAACAACAAACCAAGCAAAAGAGACTTAAGAGAGAACAAAAGAAAGAAGAAGAGATGCAGAAGAAGGAAAAGAGAGCTGCTGTTTTGAAGACATTAGACTCTAACACTGGTGGTGCAATCATTATTCCAGACGAAGCGTCATCATCTAAAAAGAAAGAAAAATCCAAGGATAAGGATTCGTCCAAGAAGCGAAGTAAATCCTCTTCTAAAGAAGATGGTAGCTTGAAAATTACTATCTCTCCAGCTTCCAGTGACAAGAAACGAAAGGGAGAAGGATCTTCGTCAGCAAGCGCGTCAGAAAGTTCGACAAAGAAAACTAAAGTTAAATAGGTTACTTTCATAGCAACAAGACATGTTAAATTATGTTCGTTGCAGTATTCACAGAAAGATTTGGTATTTGCCAGTGCGTTATTGTGTAAATTCCAGATATAAACGTTTGGAGAGCGACTTTCCCACTCGCTTTGTAGAAATCTGATCTACTGCTGACATCAAAGGCACATTTTCTAAGGCAGTCTCACCATGTTTCTTAAATGCGGCACTCAGTGCTTCATGTGTTGGAAAAGCATTCGTAATACTTTCTGCCACTTGAGCAGAACATCGATCGACGGCTTGAAGTTGTCTTGCAAAGATTTCCTTTTTCTTGACTTCAAAATTTTTCTTACTGAACATTTGATTGTACTGTGCGAGTGTTGGATTAAAAAGTTGTGGACCATCGTCAAGAGGATTAGTGACCATGAGTTTGTAAGGTTCAATTCCATTCTCATCAATTAATTCACACAGTACTGCATTAAGATGTTGCAAAAACGCTATCGATGCTTCCAAGGACGGAGTATGTTTCACACCGATACCTTCTGAAATCATTTTGCACATAGCGGTCTCCAAACTTGTGTGTGAAATTTGATCTTGATCTTTAAAGTCTCTTTCAATCAAATAAAACACATTAGAGCACCCACATTGATTCAATCGAAATTTCTGTTCCCTATATCTTCCGTCCTTAATACTCGACGCTAAATCATTAATATCCTTTCTTTCCACAATAACATCTAGAACTTGTGCTGTGGAGATGCTTGTTAATCCTGCTCCAGATTGATCCATCTTTTGTGCAACCCAAATCATATCTCCTAATCCAAGTTGAGACACTTCGGCATCAATTCCAGCTCTACAAAGTTTTTCACAAAATTGTTTTCGATCGGATCCTCGTCCTGTTCGTTCTCGTTGATCAATAATGAGTTTGATTTTGTACTTTTCTCTTCGTTCACTATTACTATTCACTCTTTCTGAAGAAGAACTTCTATCCGAGTCACTGTTAAGGTAATCTGTAAAGTTAATGGACTTGTCACTACTGGAAGTTTCTGAGCTTAACGGTCGTAATGTTGATGCACCACCAGAAGCAGATGATGATAACGGTAAATTTCTTGAAGGAATAAACGAAGGAGGTGGCATGATGGTTCGAGAACTATTACTGGTAGTAGCATTACTATCGGGCCTACTACATGTAATCTCTCGTTCCGTGCAATGCATCGAATTCACTTTTCGTCGCTCGAATTGATTCGTGTCGACGTGTAACGATTCAAAATCATCCTCATCATGATGGTCGTCTTCATCATCGAATAGAATTTCTTTTCTCTTTCTTGCTGGATTCTTTCTCTGTTCTGTCATGGAGCTGAATGGAGGTACTGTTTCCAAGTGATTGGATTGTGCATACTCTGAGTTGCTCACATGATCCAACCCATTGAAATCAGGTATTGAAAATTGACAACTACTTGTTGTCGACACACATTGTTCTTCATCACTTGAAGAAATCTGACTCCAGGATTGGGTTGTTGTGTGTTCATTGATCGTCTTCCCTTTTGACGTGGAAGTTTTTTGCTGCTGTTGTGGCACAAAAGTTGGTAATAATCTCGAATCAAATACAAGATTTTTCAATAAATCTCTAGATTCTTTAACATTTTTCAATCTTCTTTCATTGACTTTACCTTGAACCACGATAAAGTCATCACACTCCTTACTTTGAGGTTCATAATCAAAAATAACTTGCCACAGTTTTTTACACGTCACCTTATACTCTTTTGGATATTTACATTGAATCATTAACACAGGACATCCAGCGCTCATGCTTAATTTACATTTGTCAATGGTGGATACTTCCTTATTACGATCATCGAGAAAGGACAATTTCACAGGACAATTCTCATAATCGTAGAACATTTCAATAGAATCAGAATCAGATGCACTCTCATCCTCATCGTCTGAATCAATACAGAAAATAGGACATTCCGATAATGCTGTAGTAGTAGTACTTGCAGGTTGACTCTCAGAGAGAGATTCTTGCCTTAAAGTGGTTCTGTTGTAATTCTTGGAATGCTTACTTGTAGGGAATGAGGTATTCAATAATGGCTGTGAAGAATATTCTTGTTGTGAATTCGTAGGAAGTAAATCCGAGTCAAGATCAGGGTCAAACTCATATTCTTGAGATGAATATTGATACGAAGAAGAAGAATTGCCGAGTTGAGGTGGCGCTGATTGTGTCTCAAGGAAACTGCTTGTTGTCGAATTTTCAGATCTCTTAGAAAGTGCTTTTTTTCTCTTTTTTGATAATTCTTTACCATCCTTAGAGGCCTCTCGTGTTGTAGTATCTGTTTGTCGACGAGACAATGTTGTTTCCTCGTCCTCCTCACTCTCATCATTCTCTGAGGAACTGCTTAATTCTTCTTCTGTTTCTTGCCATGAAAAATCTCGATCTGCAAATTCTTTTTCTGCTCGATGAAGTCTTCTTGCAAGTGCTCTTCCTTTTTGTGTGAGTGAGTATTTACCTCGTTTGTGACTTTTCACCAAATCTTTCTTCACGAGAGTTGAGATGGAATTCCATCCTGTATAGTGTGAACTATTTGAAGATTTTTCCATGGGTGTCTCTGTAAGTGTTTCACAAATGGGTATAATTATCTTTTTCGTAGCACTTTCACAATTTTTTTCTTTTGAATATCTGTACATGGCGATCATGATGGCCCATGCAGCTGTTTTAAATTTGGGAACATATTTTCGTGTAGATTTCTTTTTTGATGCTGTCGTATTATCATTAGAAGAACAAATTTGTGAATTATTTTCATTGGTGATAAGCTCTTGTGAAGATGTTGTTGAATTTGTTGGAGGTGGGTCACCCAAATTAATATTATTATCTTTTAAATATTTATCAATTGTTCGAGCTAGAGATCGGAAATTTTGAAATAATATTAAAATAATAATATAATAATCATTCGGATGATGAAATTATTAAAGTGTTGTCAAAATAAATGAAAATCTTGCAAGATCGCGGAGATACTCACCAGTCTTGGGTCCAACTCCTTTCAGTGTTTGAGCCTCTGCACCACTGTATATCTTTTTCGGATATTGTTCCAAAGATGAAATAGCTTTCTGAAGAGTATATTGATATTTTGATGCAGTATTTTTTAATAGTTTCAATTCATTTTCGAGGCATTGAAGTATTTCTGGATTCAATGTTCGTCCAATCGATTGAGGAGGAGATGCTCTGGTGGTTGATGAAGATTGGCCAGTTCTCCTATTTGCTGGCATTTTTTTTAACGGGTTTTAAAGGCGGCAAGGTCATTGGGTGGATGATTTCTCCAATTTCTTCAACAGCTCATCTCTGACCTGTGTCAATATTTTCCCAAGCAAATTTAATCCTTTCCATTGAGATTTGTCATGAATTCTTTCATCGTTCATTGAGAGGCCAATTCCCCAAACTGAATCATCAGGATTTGTCTCCACCTTTTTCCAATTAAAATATATTGTCATGACATGTTCGTTAAAAAATACATGTGATCTCCACTCACAATTTTGTGAGATTTCACTTACAAATTCAACATTTCCTAATTGAAATAATTTCTCTCGCAAATCTTGATTTTGCTCAAATTTATGATAATTTCCTTCAAAAACAATTTTTTCCTTGTGGCTATCCCACAACTCTGCATTGAATCCTTTTGCTTTTCTTCCCAATTCTTTTTGTTGAGAGGGATTGTTGGTTTGTAAAATGAGAGTTGCAGTTTCATCATCACCAAACAGTTTAGCTTTCCGATACATCATATATTGCTCTGAACAATTAAATGTGATGATGTCATCACCCATCTGAACTTTGAATGGTGCGATCAGCCATTGTGTCAAAAGATCGTCATCACAAAAGAACCAAAATTTTCTGGCTTCCATTTTTTAAATTGTTGTACATGAGCGCTGTTCCCTATGCGGTCAATGGTTGTTCATGTGGATTAGTTTATGAAGAGAATGGATTTTACTTTTCAGTGGCCACATAAACTCCATTCCATGATTCTGGAGGAGGAGACTTTAAATACAAATTACATCTCTCCAGCATGACTATTGCTGCATAATCGTTTGGATATTTCTCGAGATATCGCTCAAGTTCTTTTTCTGCAACAGCGAATTGCTTCTTGAGATAGTATTCTTCAATGATGGTGTTGTACATTTCACAATATTCCACTTTTTTGGGATCTACATGCTGTTCCTCTGTAGATCCAGGAAAACATTTTCGATCAACTATTTCAAAAACCTTGACTCCCTGTGTTTTACCCTTGACTGCCACAACATCAAGCATTCTGAATAAGAAATTATATTTTACGAGCTCGTGGCAAGCATCAGAGACCATTATGTTGGTACCATATTGCTTATTAAGGCCTTCTAATCTTGAAGCTAGATTTACATGATCACCTAAACAAGTGTACGAGTATCGGTACGAGCTACCAATATTTCCAATTAACACATTTCCACAAGAACAACCCACACGAGTATACAACGTAGGCTTTCCTTCCTTTTCCAATTGCTCATTGAATGGAGCTAGTGCTCCTTGCATTTCAAATGCAGCGTTGCAACAATGAAAAACGTAATTTTCAAAGGTATTAGGGGCACCAAATAAGGCCATCAGTGAGTCACCAATATACTTATCAAGTACTGAACCAGATATGAATTTAAAGGAACATGAAATTGATATTATCAACATACCACCTCCGTTTGTGTAAACCACTCCTGATGTGATTTCGAAATATCTTCCTAACATACTTATCAACGACCTTGGGTCTGAGCCTTCGCAAATAGTTGTAAAATTCTTAATATCTGAGAAGAGAATTCCTATATGCTGCTGAGTCACTCCAAGTTCAAAATATGATTGATTGTCCTCAATGATAAATCCTTTCACAATTTCCTTGGGTATGTATTTCATAAAAGCTTGAACTGCACTCGCCATTTTCTCGAAATGATGCTGCAACTTCTTCACTTCATGAAACACGATAGGATTCTTTTTCCTTGGTTCTGTTTCATTTAACTGAGCAATCTCTTGCATGTCGTAACCAAGTTTATGGAGGGGAGTAGTAATAGTAATGCTTACTAAAACCGCAATGACCAAAGATAAAACAAGCACGATACCGTCCACAATGAGAGTGATGTTTCTGAATTTTGTTACAGGATCCATAAAATCATCAACAGACATCATGATTACTATCTTCCAGTTCAAGTTATGAGTATCTTCAACTTCATTCATCAAGACAAGATACGTATTGTCTCCAACCGTATACTTGTTGATTTCAGAGTTTGCCACGTTCTTGAGATTTGATCCGTATTTCTTTTTTATAAGTTTTCCCACCAGTGAAACATCTGGAACTGTACTTTCACTCAGCTCTTTTCGTTGTAATTTATGAGCATAACTTCGATCAAATACATATAAGGTTTCGTTTTGACTTGAACATGCGACCATTTCAGAGGTTATTGAAGAGACGAGGTATATTCTTGAGTTTGGACTAATTGTTATTGACCTCAAATACGTGTTAATGTCTTGCACTGTGAGATCCGTGGTAATCACATAATCCAGATTTGTAGAATTTAACATGACACTGTAGTAAGCAGAAATCCATACTGAATCTTGATTAGTGGCATATAGCTCACTAAACACATTCTTCTTTGCCTGTTGAGAGTCTGACCACCATTCAAAGCTGTCCAAAGAAAATTGTTGAATGGGTGTGTCAAATTTCAAGGAATAGCTAAAATTGTTGGACAGAGGAAAGATTCCATAATACCAATTATTTCGAAAGACTTCAATAAAATAATATCTTAACCCTGTGGTCTCATTAATGCTTCTGGAGACTCCAAACCAATAATTATCTTTGGATCTTTTGAGTGGGTATTTAATTGTTCACATCAAATACTTACCCTTGGAAGTGAATGAAGCGTAGCTTAGATTAAAATTGACGACGTTGCTAATGAGTTCTTCAACCCTATAGTTCCATGTATCGGGATCAGGGTCCAACTGACCATTTCTCCTTATTCGATGGTTGATTCCCTCTGAAATACGAAACGGAAGCTGGATAAGGTTTTGCACATACTCATACGTTCTCAACATGGTTTGCTCTCCTAGTACAAGACTTGACTTTTCAATAGCCTGGCCTTGCAAAATAAAAGTTGAAACGAAAATCGAAATGGTTGAGAGGAGTACAAGCAGAATGATAATAAGGGACAAACAAAATTTGATCGAGAAGAGATGAGAGCATGCCGATTTACACCAATTTGATTTTCCCTTAGATTTACTGCGGTGGGGTAGCTGATGAGACGTTCGTAATGAATGAAGGCTTGCAGCCCCTGGATGCTTTTGTACAACAGTGATGGACTTGGTGAGTGGATTTGTAGTCATTTTAATAATAAATGAAAAAATGGCGCCCCTTGCAAAGTTCATTCGCCCATATCTTGAGCACAATGAAGAACAGCAAGTTGCTGCGGTAATTTTTGGAATCGTGATTGAAAACATAATCCTCACGAATCAACGTTGCCCCTGTAACCCAATATTGTGAGCGTTTTGGCAAGACATCCAATTTTGAGACAGACTTCCAATAGAATTCGTCCATCAAAAAAATTTCAAGCTTGTCGGCTTGTTTTCACTCATACAGGGAGGTGTTGTGATTTCGAAATTGCGCAATCTGCACCACGTACTGTTCCAAAAGAGATAATTGGGAACGTTTGTTATTGTTAGTTCTCATCACTTCATCAATCTACTATAAGATACAGAATCGTTGCTTTGTATAACGGTATCATCATGTCGGAACCACAAGAACCAATAGATCTTGTTGTATCATCAACAACAACAACTAATCAACAACAAAACTCCAACCACCCCAAGGATAAGGTGGTGTTTATTTATGTCCTAGAACCGGAAAACGATGATGAGAAACAACAAACCGAACCTTCCCAAACGGAATATAAACAACGTATATCATGTTATGCCCACTATCACGTGTTGAGTACCCTATTAATTATGGGATGTAAACAAAGTGATGCAGCAGAAATTTCGGATTTAGTCTTCAAATGGCTTTCCGAAGCAAAAACCAACCTTTTGCTTCAAAAACACAAACAACAGCTCTCCGAACGATCAAAACATTCCTCCGAAGAGGATGACTATTTAGAAGAGATCAACAATCACATGGATGTAAATAATTATTCATCAGATGTAAATATCCATTCGACTTCCGATCGTGATGAATCAACAACCTTCTCCCACCACTCCAACAACAATTATTCAAATCAAATATCAACCACAACTCCAAGAGAAAACTCTGCCTCTTCGGTTCCAATGAACGTTGTCGTGGACAACTCTAGCAGCTCCTCAGAAGGAGAAACAAGTGAGTCTGAACGAGAGGACGACAAGGAAAACGCCACTCTTTATGACTTTATTGACTCTCCTCCAACAAACTCTACAGTTGCAGCAAACAAAGTTTCAGTCCAGACGTATGATTGCTCAAGCCAGCAACATCTGTCCTCTGGTGACGACCAGAGTAATTCAAAAAGGTCGCACAAGAAAAAACATCACCGTAAACACAAGATTTCTCGGTCACCCTACGATAGCGGAAATGATATCGATGACTCTGATCACGAAGACAACGATCACAATGATGATGTTTCACTCTCACCAAATCATGACAAGTTGATTTCAACGTCACCTTCCCAATGCTTCACACCCAAATTTTCAACAGACGCCACAAGTGTTCCTTTGTCAGTTCCCTCAAAACATCACTTGTCTGACACCCAAAATGCGATGAAAAACGGAAGCTTGCCAAGCATTACTGTTCTTGGATCCTCCCCAAATAATCCCAACATCATCTCCTCCAAAAAGAGAATTCTAAGATATGATAAACATGTAAAAAGCAAATCATATCTAATAAGAGAGATCACGTACATGCTTAAACAAAATGCCTCCATAATGAAAACTCAGAGCAAAAAACATGACAGAGCATTTGTTATTTTCTTAACACGAAACCAATTCCAAGAAATTATTAGAATAGCTCTCAATGTGTTTGGATATAACAGAGCAAATAGAGTTAGAGATTTCACAATAGCTTGCTCTATTCAAGAAAGAAAAAGACCTCTCATCATTTTATTTGGAGGAACTTCAGGGACTGGAAAAAGTACCTTAGCTTCTTTGATTGCCTCTCGTTTAGGAATTACGAAAGTACTTTCGACTGATAACATTAGACACATGTTGAGAGCATTTATTTCCAAAGATGAGGAACCAGTGCTGTTTGCATCAACCTACCACGCAGGGGAAGCATTGCTTACCACTGAAGAAGGAAAAGCACTGAAGGATAAGCTTACACCAGACGAATTGACAGTAGAGGGATTCAGAAGACAATGCAAACTAGTTATTGAACAATTAGAAAAAATTATTGAACAATCGATTGAAAGAAATGAAGGGCTTGTTGTGGAGGGAGTACACTTATTAACTGATTTCATTGTAGATTTGATGAAGAAATATCCTACATGCATTTTACCATATATCATTTATATCAGTAACCAACAAAAACACAAAGAAAGATTTGCTATTAGAGCCAAATACATGACACTGGAGCCAAGAAACAACAAGTATGTCAAGTACTTCCAAAACATTAGACAAATTCAAAAATATTTATATGATCGTGCTGAAGTGTACAATGTACCAAAAATTGATAACACTAACATTGACCGTTCTATTGCTGCCATACACGGAAGCGTGTTTAAATCAATGAAAATGGTTTTCGAAGGGAAGAAATTATTCAACTTTGAGACCGGAAAATGCAGTTCTGTGCATCCCAAGTCGCTTTTTGATAAGAAACACCAACATTGGTCTTCAAAAAGAATGTTACAAGCTCTCCAAAAGAAAAGGGAATCTTTAGAAATTAGGAGCTTAACAGAGAGCGCTTCTTCAGCTGTATCATTGGATAATGATCCATGTCATGTGTCAGATGTGACTTCAAAGAGTCTTGTTGCATCCTCATTCTCAACAACAACAGAAAACATGAAAATAAGCTCAAATGTACCAAGTTCAGTCTCTATAATTGATCAACAACAGCCAACCCAAATACCTCTAACAGCAAGTATGGACGTTGTTGCTTCTGTGCAACCTAATGACGTTAGGGAGAAGCCATCATCAATTGCAAAGGCACAAACTTCGGTGCTAAAAGAAACCGCAAGCAGCAGTTCGAGCAGTGATGAAGCTGAAGGAGTCGATGACAAAGCTTCAATAAGTACAAGATCAAGGAGGAACAAGAAAAACTCAATCATCAAAAAATATGCTGTCACCTTTAATAACGTGGTTTCTAATAATGAAAGCTCGCTTATTGCAGACATAAGTGAAAAAGGTGAAGAAGAAGCGTTGTCTACTACCAGTGCTACACAAGCTCAAAGTTTATCCGTTGAACAAACATCAGATGCCAAAGATGATTCCTTAGCTCAGCATATTAAGACCATTTCTGCTCTTAAAAAGAAGAAGAAAAAATTAATGCTTGAAGATGTGAACTCTCCACTTGCTCGTCCCGAAAGCCCAGAAGATCATTGTAGTACTCCTCAACACACAGATACTGAATCCAGAAAATACAATTACTATACAACAAGCGAAGGTGTTTGTAGTTTATCAGAAAGAGACCAGGACAGTGAAATTGGTCCTTGGATTGAAATGGACACAAGTTAGATGTCACCTTAGGCTGACTGAAACGAGAACGAAGCCTGCCAAATAATTACCAAAAAACCTTCCCCAGGTGAGAATGTCGCATTGGAAAATCGAAACGATTGAGAACCAATTTCGACAACAAATAAATTTTGTCAAAACAAAAATGGCCAACTCCAATGACGATCCAACGATCGGCAGTAACAATGAGTCGGAAGGCCACAAAAACAACGAGGCGCTCAAAAAGATGGATAGTAAAAGCACATCCAGAACAGCACTGTTAATAGATGATCAACATCAATTTTCAATTTCAACTTCATCTTCCGATAGCACCATGGAGAATAGCAGTAGCACTAATACTATGATCGTACAACAAGAGCAACAACAAGCACCATCAACGAACGACATTGCAATAGAGGCGAACGCGCTCATACTTCCTGTTATTGCGACTCTAAATCCCGCTCAACATGCAGCTGTCGGAGGAAAGCAACCATCAACCATTTCATCGTTGATCAACACCAATCCAACCCATCAACGATGCATACACTCAACAACTTCATCATCTTCTTCTAACCATCTCGCTTTGGAAACTGCTGAGTGCGATGGAACATCCAGTGCCAGTGGTTACTCAGCTGGAGCTACGAGTAATAATCGGGGTGAGGAAGATATTATTTCTGTGTCTAGCGAGGAAACCATTCCTAATGGAACACTACTGATAGACGATATTGTTTTTTCATCACAAAGCCGAGCCACAACTCCCGCAACAACCTCTGCTGTATTAACTAACAATGACCTCCGATTAGATATTCATACCACGACCACGACCACCTCATCAGCAAACTCTAACAGCAATAACTCCTTGCATGTTGATCAACAGTCTCAACAGCATTCTGGACGCTCTGCTCCAAACACCTCAACGATACCTGAAACTAAAGCAACAAGCTTAACATCGAACAAGGTCACACATGACGATAATCGAGAGGTGAAAACTCCAAATACAACAAATGTAACACCAGAGCATGGATCCAAAAACTCTAAAATAGTGTCACATCATCGAACGAGTAATACCTCAACAGAAATCAGTATACGATCAAATATTTCGGAAGAAAAGAATCGTAAACGGAAGGAAGCCTTATCAGCTGTTCCTAGAAATTCGTACAGCATGTCTGAACATATTAAGGCTCCACGTGGAGCCGTAGCCGGAGCCGAACATAGAAATCGAATGAATCTTTCTCCAAGGTCAAAAGATTATGCTCTTGTAAGATTCACTGAAGATAATGTGGACACCAAAGATACAAATTTGTCTGATAGACTTACTTCACCCAAAATTTCTGAGTCTGTTGGCAACAGCTTTTTATACTCTTCCCCTGCTTTGATGAATTTGGGAACAAACGTTTTACTCTCTGTAAAGAATTCCAACAGTACTGAGAAGTCTGAAAGTAATATCAAAAACGACTGTCTCCTTTTAAAAGTCCCTGATTTTGTACTACTGCATATTTTTACGTTTCTAGGAATTCAATATGTGGAGGATAATAATTATAACTTAGTTTGTAAGAGATGGTACATGACTCTTTGCATGGATTGTCTTTGGAAGGAGAGATATTTAACATTTTTTAACTCCAAACATATTCAAAACAACTCGATGTTGTTGTCATATTCTCATGATTTTGATTTTCCTCAACGTAACAAATTTCGTTTCAACTTAATTCGGCTCAGAAAAAAGAAATACTTTCTGAAGCAACGAATACTGCTACAGAACAGACATGAAAATTCTAGAAAATATCTATTATTTAATTCATTTGTACTTAATCCACTAGTGGCCATCATTTGCTTTATGATTTCCACAATTACATTTGGATTACAAGAAGATGGAGTTATTGCAAAAAACGATAAGAACACATTACTTTTTGTTTTCCTACCATTCTTTGCTTCTTTCTTATTTTCAATTGTTGGAAACATTTCATTGGGGTTGAGAGAAACCATATTCTGCAAGCATGGATTTTATGATGCCTCACATTTTCTTCATTTTGTTGCAATTGTGTTAGGGCAGTACACATTCTATTTTTGTGCCTTTGTGTTTGGGCTCAAATGGTTTTGGTTCAAGAGTTCACTTTGGACATCCTTTTCTATACCTTGTCTTTGTGTTTACACAATATTCGTTGGATTTTGCTTTGCATATATTTTGCATAAGTATGTGCGAAGGAGGTTGCAATTTGCAGACATGTTAAAAGAACGACCAAATTTGACAGTGAATACGCCAGATTATTTCTATTTTGCTTACAAGGTCCGTGCTCATAAGAGAAGAGAATTCTATTCAAAAGCAAAATATATTTCACAACCATATGACGAAGACTTTATAGAATTTTCAGAAGATGAAGCATCCAACGGTACAGAAACTGAAGAGGATGACGATGATGACTTTGAAGATACATTTGACGACTCTACTGCGTTCGATGATGAAACAGAGACAGCATCCAAAGGAACAAGAACGGATGAAATGGTTTCGACACCAAAACCTAGAGAAAGAAAAAAGGAAGCACCTAAAATTACAGTCTTCCAAGAATTTGACAAGCAAACTCATAATCAACACGTTACAGACATCTCTACTCTTACCATTCTGATATTCATTTTTATCATCATTGTAATGATTGGAGTACAAATGCTTCTCATTCCTCTGAAAATAGATGGAATCATTACAGAGCCTTGGAGAACGGTATTCACACCTTGTTGGCTCATTATGTTCATTTTGATTTGTGGATTACCTGCCTGGATTACATGGGAAATTGCAACAAAAACCAATATGGACAAGAAAACTGTTAGCGTTTCTGTCGATGTTATTAGTGACGAGAGTGCTAAAAAATCAAAGATGAAATATGATCCAGATCAACAACAGCATTACGCCTTCTTTGCCTTTGGAGCATGTCCTCTATGCATCACCATTCCATTATTGATATCCTTAATTGTTCTAGTTTCCACTTTGGATGGGTCGAATATTCCCTATGTGGTATCAGCGTCACTCTTTGCATTTTGGGAGTTTGTTTTTGGTGGACTTTATTTAATGCTCATGACTCCTTACACCCTTACTAGAAATGTTTGGGATGTTTGAGATTGTCATTCGAGTTGTTGTTATGTGAAGGCATTCTGTTGATGAATGGAGGTCAAGTGTCTCTCCAGTTCGGAATTCATGAAAAAATTGTCTTGATACCGTGCCTTCCGTGATGATCTCAAGAACATTAAAAAAGCGAATCAAATGTTCTTTCAATGAAGAGCGTGATGCTTTGGAATTGAAAAAGTTAAAATCGGAGGAGAATGGTGATGAACATTTAGAAGAAATCTGTACTTCCTTGCATCTTGATGATCCAACACGATCCTGTCATGGTCAACAACAACAACATTCATTTCAAAATCTCGAATGGATGGATGATCTTGTCTGTACTCACATTCTTCACTTTCTCTCTCCGAGACGAATTGTTCTACAGTGTCGACTTGTGTGCAAACAATGGCTCTGTTGTTCGAAGCGAATGTACCACTCTGTCCGTAACATTCAAGATGAAACGAAATTCAATTTCACTCGTAACTTTATCAAGCTTGGATATAAAATCGTGGATCTAGAATTTTCATACTTGACCACGATGGAAATGAAGGATTGGAGTGACTTGTTTCAATCTCTTTCGAAACAACATTCCGAGCTGACACGCTTGACCATAGCAAACTGTAAAATTTCGGATTCATGTCTTTATGACATATTCTCTGAAAAGAATGTAAACACATTTCAACAACTGAAATATCTTGATTTACAAGGAAATTTAATTTCACAAAGTGCAGCTTTCACCATTTCACAACCTTTTGTAACACAATTGAACTACTTAAATATTTCCATGAATGTGAATATAGGAGATGAAGGTATTCATGAATTTGTGAAAAGCGGAGTTTTAAACAATTTACAAAGTTTCATTTTACAAAGAACACAATGCACTGCTCAAGGTGTTAAAAGTGTTACACTATTGAACCAACTGACACATTTGGATTTGTCTAAAAACTCCATCCAAGCAGAAGGTATTTCAAATTTAGTGCAAAACATCACATTGTGTCAAAATTTGAAAGTATTGAAACTATGTCATTGTGGGTTACGGGTGGCAGGAATGAATACGCTTATTTCAGCCGAAGTTCATTTCAAAAACTTAAGGCATTTGGACTTGGAATGGAATCGACTGGAAGAGGAAGGAATTCAAACACTCTGTTCAAGCTCGCTATTGAAACAAGTGACTTATTTAAATTTAAAGTTGAATGGAGTTAATGATAGGGCCGCTCAATGTATTGCACACAGTCCGCATTTGCAACAACTGACAGCCTTAAATTTGGCACAAAATCACATATCCCATGTCGGAGCTTTGGCTTTGCTAACAAGCACGACCTTACGACCCACTCTTAGAATGTTAAATTTAAATTTGAACAATGTTCATGATGAACACCTAAAGAAAACACTACAACAAGAACCAAACTATGAAATTTTAAAGACGGGATTAAATTTGTTGGAGTGATGTATACACTAACGGTCTTTATACAATAAAAATAATCATTTCGCCAATCATCATGAAAAATGTTTAGCTTGATGACGAAAGAAATTCGTGTGATTGCGAAAATTTGAAGAATTTGGTTTCATGTGTGTGTATAACATGAAATCAAATTCTACAAATTTTCGTAATTCTGGGAAGGTCGGGATGCCAAGATAAAAAGCTTGTAATTTGCTTTGGCCAATTTTTTTTTGAGTGGTAAACCAAGACTTTTTTACAATGGAAATGACGTTCAAAGAAAATCTGCAGCTGAGAAATAACACACTTCCAAACCAAGCCACTATGTTAATGATTGACCATGCATGGGTGCAACATGAAAATGTTGTTTCAATCAAATCATTAAAAGGAAAGTGTTCGATCATTGGTGTGGGTTTACTCATTTGCCTTGTTAATATATTCCACCAATCCACATTCTTCAAATCCAAATTTTCGATGATAAATATCTTTCGCTGATCCAACTGCTGTCAAGGTCACACTCTCCATTCCATACTCAAAGAATGCTCTTTCCATCATAATTTTAGTCATGTATTGAGCTAATCCTTGCTGTCGAAATTGAGGACGAACAGTCACGTCATGCAAGAAGGCACTTTTGGCTTTTCTATCGTAAAACATGGCACAACACGAAACTGGAGCATTTTGTGAGTCATTGGTGGCTATTGGATGAACAAGTAATCGTTCTGCGAATTTCTCATTCTCTTCACCATTTTGATTTCGTGCTGGAATGATGAATTTTGCAGTTTGATAAAATTTGACATCTCTTTCATTCGGTAAATCTCCATATGCTATTTTGTGAGTTTCACTGTACAGCTTGACGTTGTTGAGATAGCGTTCCATGTTGAAGGACTTGTCTAAAAATTCGAAATGTGAAACAATGGAAGGAATCGCAATTTCACGATCTTTGCCTAATAACGATTGACAATACATGGTCTTGGTGACATACATGGCAGTGGTTACTTCCACATGTTGGGGTTGTGTCTTGTTAATATCATTAATTTTCTCTCTCAAAGTTGCATAGAATGAATTATTTTCTGGAATGGGTATTAAAAAAGAATATTTAAAATTGCCCATAAAAGGAATGGATTTTACAGTAATTGTTGAAATTGCCTTCGTCAATAATTCTTGTTCATCTCCATCATCATTTAAAAACAAGGAAATCATAATTAAATTTTTCCACATCAAGTTTGAATTCATGGTCTTGTGACTGACAATCACAAATTCTCTCCAAAACAATGACTGTTCATGATTGTGATCAGCGGAAGAAGACGTGGAACTAATACTTCCAACGACATGGTCATGGGAAACTTGTTGAACCATCGTTGGAGGAGAGAGTGATGATTGTCCATCTTCCATAGTGTCTTCCTTTCCGAAGCAAGTAACGAACATGTTAATCGCATCTTGCATGGTTCGAGCAAGGTAAATGTCTTTGTTGCTTGGAAACATTTTTTTTCAAATTGCTCCTTCTTGCGTTAACAATGATTTGCGTATTGTATTGCATATGGTTTACATTGAGTTGGCTAATGAACAATGGCAGAGCTCTTTTGAGTTAATGTTGTAACTACATGAGTAATTACCTCATTCCAATCAATACATGGGAAAATAAAGCTGAGTGGCAAAGGTGAGGATCGGAAATGTACAATTAGGTTCCAGAACAGAACGGGATGTTGCCACACCAAAGCAGAATCAGCTTTTACATCATGAGAAACTAGATTATCAATTTCTTTCCGTAATACAAGAGGAGATAGATATTCAACGCTCGTTATTAATCGAATGGAAGTTTGTTGTGGTTCCTCTGTGGAAGAGCTGTCCAGTGTGAAATATACCTCAAATCGAGGAACAAAAGGTTTCTTACACATAGGGCATTGTGTGGTGTAAGTTTGTGCACTCTTTAAATTCCAACCTATTCGAATTTCGTTCTCATTACACATGTGATGGCAATGATAACATTCTGAATGAGTGTTGAATGAAAATCTGTTGAAATAATTGTTATTGCTCAACTCGTCTAGCAACATGTTGGATATCCCTAGTTTGCTGGAACTGTTGATGCTACTACTCGTGAATGGTACATATCTAGGAGATGTATCCGTAGATGACGAGCTTGACATTCCATGTCCAGAAAGAGATGACAGTGTTGTAATACATGCTTTCCAAGAAAGGTTAATTTCGTTGTCTGATTTGATTTCCGATTCAGAAACTAGCAATTGAGAATATTCTCGCTTTGTGAACAAGCTATGATCGAAAGAGGTTGGAAATCGAGTGTAAATGTACGGTTCAGTGGTGGCAGGTAAATTGCTTAAATCTGGAGACAAGCTCATTAAGGTTTTAGAGATGGAATAGTTTTTGTTAATAAAGTGTAGAGGTGTCTTTTTGAATCGGAAAGCATCCTTATTGTTCTTTTCAATGATATATTCATCAAATAGCAAGACTTCATGTTGATTGGCTTTCTCCAAGCGATCCAGTAAAAACCTTTCAAATGACTGTGTCTGCAAGAAGATGGTCATGAAGGATTGAGCTTGGTCTGGAAGAGACGCGATAAAGGACTTTTTTCTGAAATGAGCTTCCAAATCTAGGTTGATTAAATATTCCTTATCTGTATCATCCACATCCTTGTAATAGGTTCTATATCTTCCAAAGAGATTGACGAAAAATTTGAAAAATGCAAGTCGTACTTCCTTTGTAGGGAAGACATAATTTTCTCCTGTTACAGGATCAATATCATCTGGCAGTGGCGCCATGGAATATGCCAAATCATAGAAATGTCTCTTCTCAACGCTTCTAGCTGAGTCTACTCTACATTTTACAATATCTGACAGAGTTTTTTTCAGTTTAGCTTTTTGTTTCTCTGGCAGGTTGGGTACTGATTGTTGCTTGTTGCAAACTATGAGATTATTATCAAGATCAATTTGAAAAACATCTGCTGGTATCTCATTGGTAATAGATTGTCGTTGTATTCCCATAATGAATGGAACAGGAGCAAACAAGAATTCAGCACACTTCGATGGGAGTAGAGGGATATAGATATGATGCCATTTGAAGGGGAACATGAGTTGACAAATAATCTCAGCAACAGGTGTTAAAATACCAGCATGCTCAGAAATAAATAAAATTTTTCGTTCTTGCAATACCAAGTCAAACAGAATTAAAATATTGTCCAATGATAAAACAGAAAATATTAGCTCAAAATCAAGTTCTGCTAATGGTAGATCATTTGGAGGTGGTCGTGTAATATAAATTTCTTTGTCTCCAATACTGTAGTGGACTTGTACTTTTCCTTGGGATGGAAGTGGCACTTCTGAAACAAAATTGCTGATAAATCTTTCAATTGGAATCTTGGATGGTGTAATACTTATACGATACATTTGCGTTAAAAAGAATTTAAATACATTGTAAAATGGATAGTGAGATATGATACAAATACTTTTGCTCATATAAATAGTTGAGGATTTTCTTTCTGTTTTGATTGGATCGAATACAAGAGAGATTAAATCTTCATCAATTTGAGCTTCTGAAGATTTTCGGGAAGGAAGCATTACATCATCCAAATTATATTCTTCCCATACATTCAAACAAGCACCATATGTCTTATTACCATCAGATCCCGTCAATACAAATGTAAAGAACGATGGTAAGGTGCATTCGTCAACTGAAATGCTAATTTCTCCACTCGGGAAGCAAAATAACGGAATTTCGTTGGACAATGGATAATTAGGAAAATCTTCCTTCGGGTATCGATCCAATATTACAGGCTTCTTCACCTTATCCGAAAATAATATTTGATTTGAATTAAATTCATTTGTACTTGTTGTTACATCCTCCGAATCATGAATGGCATGATTTTCATGCTCCACATTGACAAATTCTTCATCATCCGCCAGAGCATTCGTCTTCTGTAGTCCATCTCTCAACTTTTCATGCTGCTCTCTCATCGGAGTTGTAGTGTTGGTAATTAAATAGTCTCTCGGATCCAGGTTCGTGCCTATCACGGCCAAATAATCGACGAGCCGTGTGGTCATTTTTCTTTGTCGCTTCTTAAAAGATTTTTGGAATCGATATGTCGTCCATCAGCACCAATTTTCAACGGATAACAATTACAATGTGATGTTTATTGGATGAATCAAATTTTGTTCTTTCCTTACGCATTTTAGTATTCAAAAATCTGTTTCATCACATTGCTTAAACATTCATCGTTTATCGAGCACCTCTGAACCATGGTGAACAGAGAACAATGCATTCAATGAATTGAGTTGGAAAAAAATTGATCAGCTGAAAGAACATGCATGTTCCGATTTCAAATTTAAAAAATGTCTTCACTCGTTGCCTTCTTCCAAAGTCTTTGGAACGATCCGACCACGAGCGATTTTCAACTATGCTTGAATGATCATTCATTACGGGTCCATAAACTGGTATTGAAACAATCTCCAATTTTTGCAAAATATTTCCAAGATCCAACCTCTCAGTCTTACATGTTTCAATGTGATGAATTGCAGGACAAGGAACGAGCCATGGCAAGTGTTGAATTTGCTTTCAAATTAGTATATGGCTATTCTTTTTCAAAATTAATGTATGACAATAGTGAACAAGTTGTTGAAAAAGCCATTGAGTATTTAGTTGAATTCCAATTTTTTGGTGTATTAAATGATGTTGTGAATGATCTACAACAAGATATGAATGCAAAAGTAGAAAATGGATTGGAAGAGTCTTTGTTTTCGAAACGATGGATGACCTTGTGGAGAACATTATTTAGATTGAAAGCTCGCTGTAGCAGTCATCAACAAGAACTTGAAAATCTTCTCCAACGCATCATGACACAATGGGCATTTATCTTAAAAGCGTTGCAAGAACCTCCTGACGCCAATGACATGTTGGATGCAATGGTGATGGAGTTGTCGTTTGGAGAACTCGAAGCTTTCTTGAAGCAAATTCCATTTGAAACATGGAATACAGTGAGGGTGACTAATTTACTCTTGTCTTGGATGAAGTGTGACGTTCCAAATCGATCACCAAAGGTTGGTCAACTATTAAATTCGATCAAGCATCGAGTTCAATGTTCCTCAACCCATGCTCCACCGCTAGAACCCATCATAGGATTCAAATGCCAAAAGAAACCTAACATTCCACCACCTCCAAAACAACAGCATAACCCACCAAGGAACTTGATTGATTTGATCAAACCTGTTACAAGAAATCCACTCTTTTTTGAATCAGATTCTGAGATTGAAGACGACGATGACTGGGAATAAGGAATATTGGGATTTAATTAAATATAATTATGAGCTCAAAAATTGTTATTCATGCTAAGGCTCCCATTGCGTTGCATAATTGCATAGTGACTTGCTATTTCTTCTTCTGGATATTATCACTGACTTACTTTAAAGTAAACAACTCTTAAAAAAATACAATGCCTTACTCGGATAATGTGTTGGGCGATTCTGACTCAACGGATTCCCAGTATGATCTTCCACCTCCAATTGTGATTGATTTTGGAAGCGGTGTGTTTAAGGCTGGATTGGCAGGTGAGGAAATACCATCGTGTTGTTTTCAAAATGTTGTGGGATTGCCTCATCTTGAGGACGAGCGTGAAATTGTGGAAAGGTATAGAAAGCTTCATATGAAAAGGCTACGGCGATTGGGAAAGACTTCTATCGTTACGGAAGAAGCAACAGAGGAAGGACAGCAAGATAAAACCAAACAACTCACGGAAGATGATGACTATTTGGATGAAGACTATATTGTGGGTGATAAGGCTCTTGAATCCAGACACTCTCACACCCTCTTCTATCCGATGGAGAAGGGGCGTGTGGTGGATTGGGAGCAAATGGAATTCCTTATTGAATATGCATTGTTGGATGTACTTGATGTCGAGCTGCAAGAAACTCTCATCTTGATCACTGAAAATCCGATGATGACAAAATCCGAAAAGGAAAAACTTGCCGAGTGTTTGTTTGAAGTGTTTGAAATTGCTGGCCTGTGCTTCATGCCTCAACCTCTTCTTTCATTGTATAGTGTTGGAAAGACAACCGGATTGGTTATTGATTCTGGTGATTGCATTACGCATACAGTACCTGTATACGAGGGATATATTATAGATTATGCAATGCGTCATTTAGATTTCGGAGGACGAGATGTTACACATTACTTACAACGACTATTGTATGGCAAGGGATATCGATTTGCATCCTCTTCGGAGCATCATTTTGTGAGAGAAATTAAGGAGAGTATGGCCTATGTGGCCTCGGATTATGAAAAGGAATTGACAAAACCAATCGCGAGTATTCAACAGAATTATGAATTACCCGACGGTCAAGTGATTAAGCTCGATGAGGAATTATTCTCTTGTACTGAACTCTTGTTTAAACCATATCTTGTTGGAAAGGAAGCTCCTGGATTGGCTGATCTCGTCTTTGACACTTTTAAGAACTGTCCTATTGACGTAAGAAGAGAATACTATTCCTCAATAATATTGAGTGGAGGAAACACACTACTCAATGGCTTCCAAGAACGAACCAAAATTGAATTGGAGAACAATGAAAAGAGCTTTAAGCCGTTCCGAGTCATTGCAGATCCAATGAGACAATTTGGTGCATGGATGGGTGGCTCAGTGATTGCTAGCTTACCATCTTTTGAAAACGTTGTGGTCACCTTCGAGGATTGGGATGATTACGGAACCAAGAGTCTCTATCTTAAAGACAAGAGTTTTGCTATTCATTGAATAATTATGATCTAACCCTCCAATACTTAATTCAGCCATCTACGCTCAATCATGGAATAAATACAGCAATTTATTCTATAAGAAAAATGGAGTTGTCATCATGTCATCACTGTGTAAACAACCTACCACTTGGCATCCATGGATGGGACTTTTGCCTCAATTATTGGGTGTCTTGGGAATATCCAAACCCATATGAACAAATATCACTCTCTTCATATCCTCGATAGTCTTATTGGCTTCATCAAGTTTCTTCTTATAAACTGCAACTTCTTCACGAAGAGCATTTTGAGATTTTTTGGCTTGTTCGTGTTGAAGTCTCTCAAGTTGTAACTGATATTGAATCGTGTGAATAGTAATTCTCAAAATCTTGTTGTCAATGCTAATATTCTGACTATCTTCATCAGCTGTGAGATCAACAGTATTCTTGGACTTCTTCCTTCCAACCCATGTATCATTCGTTCGTGACAATTGTTCATACTTTTCAACATGTTCTTGAATTCGTGATGATCGTGTGAGAGTACCTGTTCGAGTGAGTGGAGTATTCGAAAGTCCTTGACCAACATTGGTCGAGATGGTTGGTTTTCCATAATTCGAAGAATTTGAGGAATTGGTTGGAGAATGAGATTCTTCATCCGTGTCAAAATCAGAATCTACAAAGGCGATATCCATCGAGTTCTTTAAATTATGAATTTGAAGCTCCAACTGCTGTTTGTCTTTCATGTTGTCATTCTCAAGTGTTTGTTGTTGTGTTTGCTTGTTGGAAACTTGTTCTCGTAACACACGATTTTCCTCTTGCAATTTTGCAATTAATTGTTCCAATTCTTCTAATTTTGATGTTGTTGAACTTGTTGTTGGAATGTCTGAATTGAAAGATGATTGTGGTGGTTCTTTGGTGAGATCAATCGAAGATGTTGTAGCAACCACTTCAAGAACCTTCTTTTCGGATGATAGAGTCTGCTCCAATTCTTCTTGTTGTGTGTTATCATTCATTGTTGATGGAGAATTGTCCTTCTTGGACGATGGTTCTTGATCATTGTCTTCGTCATCATTTGGATCAGTCGTCATGGACAAACGAATAGGCACACTTTGAGATCTTCTCTTAGTTGGAACAGAATCTAGAGTGTGTAAATTCTTGAAAATTCTCAATTCTTCCAATTCGTTCAAAAGTTCACTATTTTGAACAGAAAGCTCAGTATTTGTGTTTTGAAGTTGTTCATTCTTGGATGTGACATCGATTAACTTGTTCTTCAAAATGTCCAACTCGTTGACCATATTATCAATATTGGAACGAAGAGTGTTGTTCTCCTCAGTCAATTGTTTGTTTTTACCTTCCATATTTTCTAATTTTAATTTCAATTGCTCCAATGGATCGATCGAGATTTTGGAAGGTTTGGAGGTCTCTTCCGTGGTTTTAGCAATGGGTAATTTTGGTATCTTTACCTGTGAAGTACCTCCACTCGTGTTGTTATTGGAATGAACAATATCGTCGTCATAGTCATCCAATACTTGAGCATTGCTAGCTGTTGATCCAGTCTCACTGGATGTATCTTCTTCGAATGACGAATCGGCAGCAACTATTGCAGGAATTGCTTTGTGGAAACTTGAATTAATGATCAAGTTTTGAGAAGAAACAGAAAGTGGTTGTTGCTTGGATTTAGGAAACTTGTGTTCAATTTCTTGATAAAACAAATCAGTTTCAACGTATTGCATTTTCTTGGTCACGTCACTCAAATCAACAATTTCTGGTTGATCTAAAATTTGTGAATCTCCAAAGAATGCAGCTAAGGACTCGATATCGTTTCTCAAACACATGAGAATAACTTCATCACAATCCTTTGTCTTGTCAATCATTTGTTTGAAAACAATTTCACCTTTTTGTAATCGGTCACAAGCATCCTTCAATCTAGTTTTAGTTTTGACCATTTCAGTTTCATAATCTAAAACTTGTTTCTGTTTCTTTTCATAGATATCTGGTTGTTCTTTCATTCTACTGAGAATCATCTTGAGAGTTTGATACTTGTCATATTCCTTGTCAAATGTTTTCTTGATGGTCTCAAAGTCTTGCTTCATTTTGATAAATCTATTTTGAATGTTAATCTTTTCTTGAATGAATTCTGCAATTTTGTTAAACTTTGCAATAGCAAGTTGTCGAGCATGAATTTCTGTTTCTTCCACTTCTCGAGCACGAGCTGTTTCACTTCCATGAAATTCCTTGACATTAATTTTAGCTTTGGTATGCTTTTCAGTCACTGTAGTTCATTCGAAACAGCAATACGTGAGTCAATGAATTGTTGAAATCAAATTTCTCAGAGACAACTGTTCTTACTTACTTTGCTTGACAAGTTTTTGAATTTCAGTATTCTTCTTGTCTATAATATTGTTGTACCATTCGTTTCTGACATCATCCGAGTCGAAAATCACTTTGAATTCTGCACCGCTGATGTAATCTCGACATTTAAGAGCTATGGTCATGGGTGTTGTTTAACAAAAAATTCACATGAATAGGTGATCGTGTGCTTCTCATAAAATAGTACAAACAAAAACTTACCACATGGATCTTTTTGATCAAGGGAAAAATCACTCATGGACAAGTAAAATGGCTGAACAATAAATGGAGCTGTCAATTCTTTTTGACCAAGAATTTCATCCATAGATGCAAAATCGAGACCAGAGACGGTATCTCGAGGAGTCTTCAAAAACACACTGTAATTGGATCGATCAGTGGCCATTGCAGTTGCAGAAGCGCTTGGAAGTGTGACAAATGCAGAATCATCACCATTTTTGTTTTCATTCTTCACTCCCTTAATGATGAGCAAGTAATAATCGTTGAATAAATAACTTTCGAATTGAATCGGTTCAGTTTGTGGAGTATCTAAATTGATCGCTTTTTCAAGCCATTGAAGTTTCATTGGTGACACTTTTTCTCGAATCACATTCACCAATACTTCACTATAAGTACACGTCGTAAAATAAGTTTCACATTCAAGTATTGTAATACTTACTTGACAAAGTGTCTATGAGGTTTGATAATAGAGTTTTTAACTTGTTCGATCGAGTTAAAGTTATGTTTCATGATCAAGTTTTCAACTGGTGAGTTTTTCATGGCATTAACAAGTTGTAAACTTAATACAGTCAACCGTGATTTGATATCAAGAACTCTAGTGAAGGCAATCTTTTGCCTTCTCATTTCATTCAAATGATTTGCCACTTGAATCATTGTGCTGTGAGCTGCTGAAAGAGGACCATGATCAGGATGTCCCTTTGGTGTGAATTTAAGTAATTCTCTCAACAATAATTGATATTTAGGAATACGTTGAACAGGTAAAATTAAAAAGGAAGCAATGTCCAACCCTCTACATTCTTCTCTTGTTTCTTTACATTTCTGTGAAAAATGAAATTTTAAATTATGAAAAGGAAAACAATGTTCGGCAATCATGATTGAAATATACATTCAATAACAAACGTGTGTGTGAAAAATTTCATGATCACTTGCATCATCACAATACTCACGTTCAAATACAAATTCAACTGTTGATTCTTCTTTCTTCTGTCTTTTAACATTTCTGTTGCTTGACTAAAGTTGTTAATATATTCTGTGTAAAGTCTCATAAATGGAGCCATTTCAGCAAAAGCTCCTCCAAACGATTTGATTTGACCAGGTGGTGTTGAACTACCAGAAACACTGTTACTTCTACCAGTTCCAGCACCATTACTGCTAGAACCTTGTTCTTGAAGCTCTAGAATAGCAGGTAATCGGTTAAAAGTTAATTTCTTGATATATGCTTTCATGGTACCAGTTCTCTTTTTGTCCTTCTTCTTTTTGTTTTTTCCATTTTTGGTTGTAGTGTTTGATGTTTGAGTGGTAGTTGTGGATGGAGTGGTCTCAGTACTAAACGATTCACTCGACATGGAAGAAGCTGATGAACCAGTAGCATGTAAATTTCTATCTGTCACTGCAGTTAGAAGTGCGTTGGCATTGGATGGTAAATTAGTAGAATGGTTGGGTTGATTACTGACAACAGCAGTGCCATGTGACGAAGAAGAATCCGTGTCATGAGATGATGTGATGGTGTCACGTCTTGGAGATGTCACGCCAAGAGGAGGAGTGTTATTTCCACCGCTACGAACAGATTTTACCCACTGATCAACCATTTCATTCAATCTATTTTCACATCGAGTTTGATGCTCCTGAGCAAGAAGCAATCGTGAATAGAGTTTTTCATTCAAATTATAAATCATTTCAACATTTACAAATATACTGGCAATATTGTCACGTGCCTCAATTCCCTTCTTTATAATTGGATTATAATAAACGTCCATGATGGTCTTTAAATCAGAGACATAGGATTTTTCAGTAGAGATTATTTCATTAATGACGTGCTTGCGTTTTTTAGACATGTTGAATAATTCTATAAATTTCACCACATGAATGACATGAATGATTTTAAACAATAAAAACAATATTTGACAGCAATGAAAACATTTTGTGAATAAAAACAAGAATTGTCATCTTCTTCATCGTGTCGACATATAAAAAACCTACTTTTCAAATTCTTTCGAACCGTTCTCTTAAAAAAGTAATGTTGTATCGTTGTCATGGCTTGTTTCGCACGTTCATCCTGTTCAACGAATTCCTCCAATCTCTTGACAGTTTGTTCCAAATCCTTTTGCATTTGTCTTGGTGTAGAGACTTCAATCATGACTTGATCTTGTAAATGATGATGATTGGTTTTCCACATCATCATTTCATGATTGCTTTCATGATTATTCACAACATTCTCGAGTAATGTGTCATTTTCTGGAATGGATGAACTTGTCATCATGGTTGGCATGTTCGTTGCCGTATCGACCGTGTTGTCATCAAATTCTTCTTCTTCTTCGACAACTCCCAATAATTCACAAGACATGGGTGGAATGGAATTTTCCAACAAACTACTACTATTGGTACTTGTATAAGAAGAAGTTTGAGAGGAATTGATATTTAATTGATGATGATGATGATGATTGGTCAAGAATGGAGAGGAGGAGGATGGTTGGAAAGAGGAGTCATTTGGAGGGGAGTGTGGTTGATGAGGATGACGAGGTGATTTATTGAGAGAAGGAGAGTGTTGTTGTTGCTGTTGAGAGGACGAGGAAGGAGAGAGCTCTGGGAAGAGTTCGTTGAGTCCTGGACGTTTTTGTGTCATTTAATTTTTTCAAAGAGCTGAAATGACACCTGAAGGATGATGTGTGAAATTTTGGAGGAAAATGAACTTTGAGCGCCAAATCGCTTTGATCTGAAAGGATGTGAATAGTTTGATCATGTCAAAGTAGCTAGTTTTTTTTGTACAAATTTTGAACATAGTGTATTCTGCATCCTTAGAATCTTCATGATTTTCATCTGCAACGAATCAATACAAGGCCAATGTTGATCATTTCTTCCTTACCAATTAAATTAAAACATGGTTACTTTGAAAATTTTACATATTCAACTTCAAAATCCTTAAAATAAGAAAATAAAAAATAAACAAAAAAAATGGAAGAAGATTTTAAGGGCTCTATCAAAAAATCAGAATACGATATTAATACAGAAGAAGAATCCGATAATGAAGAAGAGTACGATACAGAAGAAGAATATTTCAATGGCTATACCAAAGAAGAATACGATAAAATGTTTGAATCGGGTTATGATTTACCATCATGGGAGAACATAGTGCAACTAGTGGGTCAAATACATGGTGATAAAGTTAAAGACTCTGTTGCAAAAAATCAAAGGCTAAAAGCGTGCTACGAGGAAATAGGTTCAAGACGTTGAATAGTGTTGATGTTGTTCATTTGTTTTATTGACAAGTTTTTGTTATCGTTCGCTTGTGAATTTTTCTTTGCTCACAACGGCTGGAGACCGAACACGGCAGCATCAAATGGTGTTTTTCGTTAAATTATAATTACTTTTGATCTTTTTCTATTCGCTGAGTCTTTGAGATCAACCTGCCTGAACATTCTTAATTTTAATCAGAGAAAGTCCATGTGGTTGTAAATTTCCAGTTCCTGGCCTCCCGTTAAACAATGAATATCTTTTTGTGAAGGAGGGGTTGGCATTAAGGGACCAATGTTGGTTCATGTTAACATTACAGACCACCGTAGTGGTAGGTTGTGCCCTTTTACAACCAAAGGATCCCAAAAAACGAAATGTCATTTGTCATTAAAAAAAATTTTCGTTTCAAAAACAGCACTCTATCTCCAGCAAGTTGTTGAGTTTTCAAAACACCTCCTCATCATCCTGTTGTGCTGGTCATCACCTCAGTTCACTCTCATTTCCATCATCCTTTTTCATCATCAAATTTTCTCATTCCATCCACAGATAACGTCTCTGGCCAGCACTACGACTAGTAACAATAATAATAATAATACTCATAATACTCATAATAATAACAACGAAAGCTCTTCCTTCCTGTCATACAATCCTTCATCTTCTCATGAAATGTATTCCAACAATAACAACAACACTACTCGATTGACTCTTCCTCATTGTCAAAATGAACAAGTACCACTCGCATCGTCCTCCTCTTCTTCCTTGTTGTCATCCTCTCCTTCTTCTTCTCAACATCGTCCTCAACAACATCATTTCGAAAACAAATTAATTTCAATGAATCATCAAATTGAAACATTATCTTCTTCATCGTTTCATGATGATTCTTTATCGACCAATGGTTCGAACCATTCTCATGAAGAAGAATTATCAGAAGAAGCAACGACCATGATTACAGTCACGACTTCGAGTCGAAGAAATACCACCACGTCTCCACTCACTCCTTCTTCCTTGTGTACAACTCCAAGTAGTTCGAGATGTAACACTCCACATATCAACCAAAATTCATCCATTCCTCCTCTTCTCGGTAATGATGAAAATTGTGAAGACATGGTTCCATCTGGAATTGTGACAAATATGGAGGCATTGACCAACTGTATTCAAAACCCAGAAGAAAACGAAGAGGATACAATATATCAACCAAATTTAATCATTAATTCACAACTTTCACTTTCATCGATGCGTGTTGTGAGGAATCGAGAAGAAATTTTGTCACCTTGTGTAGGAAGAAAATTTCACAACTTGTCCACCAATGTCAATCAACACGATGAAGAAGAACAAGTGGATTTAATTGGAGTCAGAGTCAACAACAAGAAGGAGAGTGTGGATGTGAAAAAACGAGCAAGTGATGTGGATCAGGTTCATGTGAGTGGTGTGACAACAAATCTAATGACAACGTCGATATCTGCTGCTGCTGCTGCTGTGGAGGAAGAATACAAAGACAACGACAAGACATGTTCTGTTGTAGATACTTCTTATTGCAACCATAATGCATCCATTCCAACCACAACCACAACATCATCATTGTTATCAAATCTTGTACAAAAAAGAGTATCGATTTGTGAAGCTCCAAGCAAAGAGGATTTGCCATCAGAATCATCGAATTGGAGACGTGAATCCATGAGTGAAAGGAGAGATGCTGTTTTCAAAAATGATTTGGAGAATGAAAAACCTTCACCATCATCATCATCAACAACATTGGAAGCCACGTCGAGCAATGGAAAACCATTTAAATTCTTACAAAAGAGACCATCCTTTATTAATCCTCAACTTGTGAATATTCTATTTGCGTCTCTGTTGTCACTTCAAGATTTGAAACCATCGGAGAATCAAGTCGCTGGTCATGGACAAAAAGATGGTGAAGAACATTTAGTGGTTCGCCATTTGAGAGACAAAATTTACAAACCTATTAATACCAAGTCGAAACGAGCGTTTGATGAAGTGAAATTTTATGAAACTCAAGCTCCAAAAATTCCACTATTGGAACCCTATTTACCGAAATACTATGGAGTGCAGACAGTTCAAGAAAATGATCAACAATTTCTTGTTTTGGAAGATTTAACAGCTCCATTTATTAATCCAAGTTTATTGGATATTAGAATGGGAAGAAGAGTCTATGGCGATGATGCAAGTCCAGAGAAAATCAAAATGTTCGATGAAAAGTACATCTATCAAAAAGAACTAGGTTTTAGTTTTAGTGGAATGAAAGTTTACAATACCACTCCTAATTTTGCAAGTACCAATACAAATCCTGACATTACACAAAAGGATGGTAAATACAAAGTGTACAATAGATATTGGGGAAGAAACTGCAAACCTGGTGAGGAATCTGTCAAAGCATTGGAAGACTTTTTCTTTGATACGACCTATGACAATGCTGAACAAGTTGGACTCAAATCCATCACGAGCATGCTCAACCAATTGAAACATTTAGAGCAACTCTTCAACACACACCAACTCATTTATCGGATTTATTCAAGTTCTCTTTTTTTGGTGTTCGACGACCATGAGGCCATTGTTAGAATGATTGATTTTGCACACGTTCACGAGAATAAGGAACCTTGTGTGGACGAGAACTATGTGTACGGTCTCAGCATGTTGATTTATTATTTTGAGCAAGTGCTAAAGAGACGTTCGCCGACCAATGGAGGTTGCACTAAAATTGAATCCACAACTCATGGAAATCAAAATATGTCGACGTCGGATTGACCACCATTGAGCTTTAAGCAATAAAACTAAGTAAAATATTCACAATTTCTGTGAAACGATTGTCATTGACTCTCGTCATCTCTCCTCAAGACCTCATCTCGAAAAAGATCTTCATCGGGCAGTTCGGTATTGTCTTGAAGTTCTTTGTGAACATTTTCCAATGCAGAGAGTTGTGACGCCATTAAGATGGAATCAGATTGGCTATTAAATGAAGGATCATGAGGAGGTTGAGCCATTTGTTCCTGTTGTTGTATTTCGAATTCAATTAAGGTTTTGATGCTCTTTCGTTTAGCAGGAATATCTTCAGCACGGAAAAAATCAACATTGTCAATAGGTAAGGAATCAATTTCGTGTCGTATCATCATTTCAATATAGTGGATCATAAAAACGCCACAATCACAGTGGTTGTCTTGTTTCGGTAAATTCGCTTTTGAAGCAGGAAAGTTGTCTGCTGAGAAGGAAGAATTCGAATCTGGATATTCAAAGGCATATCGCTTTGTTAAGAAATCTCTCACACGTTTGGTTATGCTTGTTGGAATGACTCCACCTAAAGAGTCACAGTACATGATCATTCTTGCATCAGGTGGAAACTTCTTATTTGGATCTTTTTTATCAGGTTTAACAAGTTTACCATTGGGGTTACAAATAACAATGAGAGACCAATGAACGCTAATAATAAGCAATGATGAACAGTAATTCAACAATAATGGAGATTAAATTAGCTTACTAAACAATTTGATACTTACTGTTCACAGATAGGAATAAATACAAGTTTTTTCTCAAAGATTTTCACATTCTTCGCAATTTTGGTTGCAGCTCTTGAAACGTCTCTTTTCAGGAGCGGATGAAAATGGGTATTGAAAATATAAAAATCGTTCTTCACCCTGTCTGCCTTCTCGTCCATAAATTTGTTGTTTAGATCACTGTTTGGCATTTCATAAATTTTTTAACTCAATTGCAATTTCATCAGCACATACCTTATGTAGAAATCAATAATGTTGTCATTGAGAAACTCTTCTGGTTCCAGTCGAGAAATATCTCTAACGGTTATGTCAATATTATATTTTTTCAGCAAAATTCGATCCTCGTCTTGGCGTGGCGTTAAAGCAGATTGAGACCTTGTCACCATGGTGGAATTTCTCTTAATAATTTCGGTGTCAGATTCGTCGCTACTTTTTTCAGGTGTGAATTCTGTGTCAGATAGTTCTTGTTTTTTCTTTTTCTTTGTTGGCACAATTTTTGTTTCTTGAACAGCTTCATCTTCTTTTTCCTCTGGTGATAAAACTGTTCTACTGTTGTTGTGATTATGTGATTTCTTAATTTGTACAGCTGGTGGCTCCTCTTCTTCCTCGTCATCATCTGTTATAGTTTTTTTTCGCTTCGTTGTATTTTGCTTTGGCTTTTCTTTCACTTGTTGCATAAATTGTTCGGGGTCAAAGCGTTCTCCGGGAACATTACACTGTGCATCTGTAAAATTATCTTTTTCTGCTATTGCATCAACTTTAAGTAAATCTGTTATCTTTTTAAAAGTAATAGGTTTATATTTTACGTCAAATTGAAAGCAAACTCCACCGCTATTGAAATCCTCTGGTGGAATACTTTTAACAGTTGAGCTGTAAACAAATCCTAAGGCGTTCCTCGTACAGCTGTACCAAAATTTGCTGATATTTTGTCGTTTAAAATCTACTTTTACATAACTTTGCCCCGATGACTTTAAAAAGCAATCAATTTTTTCTGGATGAACTTCCAACTTCGCAAAGGGTCTGTTGCTTTGAGAATAGCCAAAAACTATCTTTCCTCCAGACAACGTTAATGGCTTCATTTCTTCTGTGCTACGACTACTTGATGTATCAACATAATCTGCATCCGCAGCAACAACTTTTAAAGGAAGCGGTTTTTTTGATGGTGATGATGTTTGTGGTTTTTTAGCCTTGGCAGCTGCAGAGTGAAATAAATTTGTAAATGATGGCTTGGTCATGAATTTTGATATTGTTGTTGAACGAAATAATTTTGTTTGCCCTCCCGATCTCGGTTGTTTTCGGGCTGCAACTGGTTGATGATAAAGGCTTGTTGCGAACAGCAATTTTTTTGTGTGTTTTGGTTGAGCGGCAATCCACTGCATACTCGAACCAATAGCCTTCCAATGGTAGCTGTTGTTGCTTGTTTGAAATTATGAAACAATTCATGTAGAAAGCAAACAAAGTCACTATCAGGTCACTGACGTCATGGATGTATCAAGTCACCCACAAAGAAAGACACAGGATATCGAAGGAAACATTTCAAAAAAAATCGATTGCGTCATTCACCACTCGATCATTTTGCTGTTGATTTCCTTCTGGGCTCGCATTAAATATTGTTTCAACAGGATTCAACGAGGATTGTGTTAGAATAGACATCATCATTGGTTTATATTTTCAATCGTTTTTGTAGTATATTAAATTTTGTATCTGGTGGAGAATACAACCGCAACGTTAAATCCGAAAATTAGAGTTCAACAACATAGAGAGAATGGAGAAGAAAATTTTGAGCAAGGCCACTTCTGAGAATGATGAACCCACTCCTGGATGGATGTACCATCATATTGCTTCTACAACAAAGAAATCTCCACAGGCATGTGAGGAAACAGCAACTTGGCTCATGAAGAGACTCACACATAAAAACGTACAAGTGAAGAAGAAGGTTCTTCTCATCATAAAAAGCGTAGCACAATACGGAGATCCTGAATTTGCACGAATCATCGTAAAGAGAAGTGAGGAAATTAAACAATATGCTAGTAAGTTTTTGATGATGAAACGATCGTGTTTGATAACCCTCAACTGCTACGGATAAATGACCATCATGACCAACAAACAATAATTTTCATGAACATATGCTTTGAACTAAATTTCTATCCTAACGTTTAATGCTATCACTTCTTGCACACTCACTAAAACAAACAACCGATATCGAACGAACAAATTTTAACAACCAATAATTTTCAATACCATCCGATATTGATACACCTTCGTTATTCAAATATCAATAATCAAACAGATTTCAGAGGAGAGAAAGATCCTTTGCATGGGATGCTATAAATCAAGCAATTAGAACAGCAGCATCACAAGCTATTGAAGCAATATTCGAAAGAAATGAAAATGGTGCAAGAGTGAAAGTAGCAGTTGAGTCTAACGGTAATTATGATCCACAATATAATAGTCACATTGGAACAATGAAACCAATTGGTAATGGAGTATATGGAGGAGGAATTGGAAGCACTGACAATGACTATACTACTGCTTCCGACACTGAAAACAAACCAGCATATGGAGGCGGATTTGGATCAAATAGCATGACTGGTTTTGGACCTACAGGAATTGGGTCCCGAACCGATACACAAAATAGAATTGGTACATATGCAGGAGGTGGTATTGCCAGTCCTTATGCACAACAAAAACAAGCTCAATCACAACAAGGAGGTGGCTTTTTAGCAAACTTGTCAAACCTTACCACTTATATCCCAACATTTGGAAAAGGTACTACAAAAGAGACTCACGGTTTGAACGGCTCAGATTTTCCAGGGCTTATTTCTAGCTCTGAATACGACCGTGATGGAGGTCAAGGTACTTACGTTGGAGTAGTTCTTCCTCCAGGAGGCTCTGCTGGACTAGGATCTGGAACCTCCTCTTCAGGAAGAGGCAAGTGGTTGAATGAATCACAATCCACTTCATCTACACAAAAAGCTGATACATCAGGAGAGTATGAATCAAAGATTGTAAATGAATTTACCAGTCATGGCGGAGTTAAAAGAGCTGCTCCTAGCAGAAAAGAAAGCTCGGATTTTGCGCAAAAATGCAGCACTTTGGACATTTTACAAGTGGTTAAATTGTTGGATGTAAAATTGGATGATCATGAATGGGTTACTAGATTGAAGGCTCTTCACGGTATTGAAGCACTTCTCAAAACAGGAAACAAAACTGTAATGGACTACTTCTCTGAAAATTGTGAAAATATTCTGAAACAGTCCGAAGCAGTACAGGAAACAATAAGACAACAAGCTGAAAAAGTTGCCAAATTATTGAACTTCAACGACAATGACGACGATGATGAATCAAATTATGGCCCTACTTTGATTGAAGGTTTTCAAGAAATGTCTGTATCAAGTGGATCCAAGTCACAACAGAGAAAACCTGTTTCTTTTGTTTCTGATCCTTCAACATCAGATGCTGACAGTCTTCTTGGAATTGCAACAACTACAGCTGATAATTCGGATGACATCTTTGGAGGATTTGACATTTCTTCTGGAAAATCTTCAGAATCCACTAAACCCACAAGCACCTCAACAAATAGACAACCATTGAAAAAGAGCGTATCACCTTCTGTTTCCAACAACAACAGCAACAACAAATCTACCAGTACAGCCACACCATCATCTCCACTCGACCTCGACTTTTTACTGAGCTCAGCACCTCCAGCTACACCAAATCAGACCAACAAGACACCAACTCAACAACAACAACCGACTGTTTCTCCACCGTTCTTTGCAACAACATACCCATATCCACAGACCGTCGTTCCACCAACAGCCTATCCATACGGTGTACCATATCAAGTGGTTTATGCAACTGGACCAGTAGTACAACAACCAATTGTACAACCAATAATTGCAACAAAACCTCCTTTCGGACATACATCACCATTAACCAAGACAATGCCTCCACCAATATTACCACAATCATCACCACAACACATGTCACCTAGTAGTTTTGGATTCATATCCGAGCCCGCTTCTACTAACAAGCAAGAGCATGACTCGTTTGATTTTGTTAAGGAGGCCTACCTCAAATAATAAACTTGTACAGTCAGTAGTGTATGTCATGTTTGAAGTTAGATTTATTTACAATTCTGCTGCTCTGTGACACTCATACAGTTTCCTCACCTGACAATTCATCTGTTTTCAACTCTCCTTGAATTTCATGCTGATCCTGATCCAAGTCTTCACCGTTCGGCAGAGTTCCAAAATCTTTCTCAATGTTATCCAACTCATTGCTTTGCTCTTTCTCCTGTTTTTCTTGCTCTTTAAGCAGGTTATCATTCTCCAACTTTTTCATCTCTTCCTCAATAAGCTGATTTAATTCCTCGTCTTCTGGTTCTTTAGATGGACGGTTGGTAGCTTCCTCTTGATGTTGCAATCCAAGCTCCTCGATAACATCTTGGAGTTGCTCGTTTGCCTCGGTTGCAGAAATTGCAGGCAGATTTGTATTTGATGCTTCGGCTGTGTTGGCCGACTCTTTATTCAACTCATTGTTTTTTACTTCGACCTGATTTGTTGTTGTCGCTACTTCCGTGTTGTTGATGTTGTTGTTCTGCTGGTCCCGAGGTGTTTCTGGAACACTGTTGTTTTCAACGTTTGCAGCCTTAGTGGATGAACAAGAGCTTCCCATTGTAAATTATCTGATGATGTAGGTAAACTTGGTAAAAGGAGATATGATGATAGGGCCGACGAATGAAATTGTATTGGTATATTCTTGCTGGGAGTCAATGAAAATATGCTAATAGGGTGAGTTTGTTTTCTTTTGAGAAAGAATGTTTGAGAGTCGGTTAGACTTTCGGTTGAAGTTTAGTTCTCTCCACATAACAGAGGATCGCCTCCTGTTTTGTGGATTAAGGTATTCTTATTAGGACAAGAGATCGGGACGTCGTTCAAATCTCTGCCGTAATTCTTTAATTTCTGCAGAGCAACATTCTCAACAACAATATTGCCTGAATTGAAAACTGTAAGTGGTATTGTATGAAAGCATTTAAATAGACTATTTGCATGCCAATTGTGTTTTATGAGAACAATGAACAAGAATTACTATTTAAATCTCTGATCAACATCTGTCCTTTATTTGGAGTCACAGTCGGGCAGCCACAACCTATGAATGAACCTTGATCAGAAGTTGTCTTCTGTTTGATGTATTTTCAATCACAAGCCGTCAATACAAAATGTATGATCAAAAATTAAATTGTTTTTGAATCCTCCTGACTAACCTTTGTTTTTACGAATCCAAACAAAAACAACACCTCGCATCAGCTGATCCAAGCCTTCCAATTCCCAGCTTGCTCTCAAACGTGTCCACTTTGGCTTGCTTCCGTTGACACGTCAAGCGTTGCATCTGCCTCACACAGCATTCGAGCGAAAAAGAACGAACCACGTTTTCGCATTCCATAAAAAAACTCCCACGCGCTGAGTTGTACATTCTCGCGACAACTTGGCTTGAATTCATCTTGTTCTCCTATTACCAACCTCTCGTATTGTGAGAACACCACCACGTTTTCATTGAAAATCTTCCCTCTTAACAACAGGAAATATTTCCGTGTTTCTCTTCCTCCTCCCTTCATTATTATTAATTTATTCTTCACGCTATCTCTCTATTTTCTCTCATCATCATGACCAATAACAACCACATGAAACAACAATCCAAATCTCGCAGAAGAAGATACTCGAACAACAATGATTCAGAATCATCACCCGCTGTTAGACAACGTCGCGGAAGCAAGAACAAGGATAACAATGTAAATAATAACAACAAGGATTCCACCACCGCTTCCACCCAACCTAATGAAACAGCCATCATTCCATCATCAACAGCAGCCACAACCTCTCCATCACACTCAACCATCATTCCATCCAAATATTCCCAATACTTTGGTTTAGAGGAAGGCGAATTTGTTGAAGCTTTTTCATCGGTCATTCATGAAATTTCCTCTCAAGGTGATACCATACCTGCAGAGGCACAGCAAAAGACTCGGTTCCATACCCATCAACCTCCTAATATTTCTCTTTCCAAATATTTGGATCGAATTGTCAAGTTTGCTTTCTGTTCTGCTGAATGTTACATTTTGAGCTTGGTTTATATGGATCGATTGGTTCAGTCCAATCCAAACTTTGTAATTAGCAGCCTTTCCATTCATCGCTTGCTCATCACAAGCATTATGGTGGCTGCTAAATTCTTCGAAGACAAGTTCTATAACAATGAATATTACGCCAAAATTGGTGGCATTGAAAAAGAGGAGATGAACAGATTAGAGATTGAGTTCCTCTACATGATCAATTTCTCTCTTCATTTCCAACCTCCAGAGTTTGAGCAATACAAGGACGAATTTATTGTCTTGCCAGCTCTCGAGAAGAGAAAGCAAAATGGTTGTGAGAACTTGTCATCCCAACATCAAGAAAAACTCTTGATGCCTGATGTGAACAGTGGCGAAGTGACGACTGAAACCTGTGTCCAAATCGAAAAGAAGAGCCGAAAGTCAAACAAGAGCAAACACACGGATAAAGCCAGCGTTGCTTCCAAGAAAAAAGCTGAACCCATTGAAACTTCTCCTTCGAGCACTTCATCACCAACCTCATCACTTCTCTCACAGCTTTCATCCTTCATGAGTAAGGTTTCACTTTCTGTTGCCTACTAAATGGTTAGGGAATAAAAAGACTTGGCTCAAGCTTATTCACCGATTACGCTGTTGTCAATCGTGGTGTCAACCTTCCACTCACGCTTAAGGATTGGTGTGGATTAAATATTCTGCAAGACTTCTTGGAACACTTTGAAAATATTTTCAGCTTTACATTTTATGGAAAATATATATTTACCTTTATGGCGGCGCAATTGGTACTAGAAACCTGTCAGATATTCGTCAATCCCACGTCAGCTGATTGAGTAACTCAAAGAATCAAAATAAATGAGTGAGTCTTCCTGATTGTTGCAAGGTTTGAGAACGAAGCAACTTGGTTCTACTGCAACACAGACAAACTGAACGAATATAGAGGCATAGACGTTACACCATTATTCGCTTCAGCTGAAGCTTGTAAAACACGTGCAACAACTCACGGAGACAGATCTGCTAGCACCTAACAGAACTATTACATTCTACTGCATGACATTCACGAATAATTTTTTATGCTTCATATTCATTTTTGACTTGACGAATATCTGACAGGTTTTTAGTGCGCTTCAACGTCGGATGCGCCGCCATAGAATTTCTCTTGATTGATTGTATGGGTGCTCCTCTCCTGGCGGTTCGTGCAATGCCTGGCAGAAGCATTCCAAAGGGTGCTCTCAACCAAGTTTCCTTGGGAGGCACACCTTCAGACCCTTCAAAAAATTGAGGTAATAGTCATGCGTTCCGTAGAACGCTTTCAGCTATTACACTGAAAAGAACAGATACTACACTCGATCAAAGCCAATTGGCCGAGAAAGATGTTTTAAAAGACGCTGCTATGGATAGGTGTTATTATCGGGTTGAATGTATCTGTTAAAAAATGACAAAAGTTATGGGACCAATTATTTGATTCAATTGAAGGTGTAGCCTTTGTTGTCAACGCGTAGACAGTCATCGGTCATTCTGTTATTGACATAAGAACACGTATGAACTGTGCTGGTAGTGGAATGGAGCGATGGTAGCCCCAATTAAAATTCCGTTCTATGACAATCTTCTGTTCAAAATTCCTTCATCTTTTCGCTTCACTCTTTCTATGCGGCGCTTACTGTTTTTAAAATGTATTAAACATTATTGACGAATTTTCTAAATCTTCTCCTTAATGCACGCACAATAGCATTGGCCAACAATGGTGGAGGCATGATCACTTCACAATTATAGGGATTCATAGGAAGAGCCTTTGGTACACATTCAGGACTCACTCCCTTCAATAACATTTCCATCATTTCAACAACTTGAACGTTAGGGAGAGCACTCAAAACAAAAGTTCCATGAGATATTCGACATTGTTTCGTTTCAGAATGACAGGTTGGAGGTAATATCATCATGGTTTCATCTCTCATGAATATGGCATAATAGGCAGCGCTTCCTGGATCTGAAATGTAAATATCCACTTGTGAAAAGTATTCAATTTGTGAAGCTATGGTGTTGAATTGATGTAATTCAATGACTTGAATTTTCAATTTTCTGTGCATCTGTTGTTGTGAATGATGATTGTTTGAGTTTGAAGAATTCAATAATTGTTGAATGAATGAATGGTTCGATAAATGAGTTTGGAAATAGCGTGCCAATTCATCCACATTGGCTAGTGCTTGACCATGCCGAGAGGATGCGCCTTTTCGATGGATGGCAATGACAATATCCTTCGTGGACATGAAGTGTTTCATTCGTTGTCGTTTCTCTTTTTTCGTTTGATGTTTCGTATCGTAAGGCAATATTTTCAAATTTCGAAATGCCAATTCTCGAATCTTTAAGAAATGACTTTCTTTGCCGTATGGATACAAGACAAAATTAGTAATGGTGTGTCCAGCATAAAATTGTGAAAAACATGATTGCAACATCAGAGGTTTCTCAACAGAGTATCGAATCACTTTTCGAATACTTGGCAATGAATGACCCTCCTTATTTGGACATGGAGCTTTCATGACTTTCCATTCACCTGCTTGATAACATAATTGAAGAATGGAGTTTTTGCTGAGTAATTGAGCTCACTCAATGGAAAGTTTAGTGGCTAAATGTGGATCATATCGAAAGGAAGCCATCCAATTGGTGCCACTGGTATCAAAAACATCATCCAAATAAAGAATGTGATTGTCTTCATCCATGCAGTCGTGAGGGAAGTTTTGCATGAGTCCCATAATCATTCCGAGTGTTTCTGAGAGTACATGACCGAAATTGCCTGCAGCATATCGTTTAAAGGCATAGACAGGTTTTTTGTAAAATGTGAAATTTTGTGAAATGCTGATGGGAGTGAGTGTTTCGTTTTGAAAATCCATGGATGAAAAAAGACCTAAATCTCTACATGTGGTGGAGCTACCTCTACTAAAATTAGTCCTAGCATTGCAATTCAAGGCCTTACTTTTCATATACATGCTCTCAATCTTTGACCTTTTGTTGACATTTGACTTGTGGTAATTCACAACCAAATCTCCGTCCACCACTCTCACATAGAAATTGCCTCTATTGGACTCCACAGTCGATCCCTGTACATACACCCAAGGAAATTCATTCAAAAATTGATTCAAATAAAACTCCTCAGTGGTCAACCGATCACTCGAATGAAATAACACAAATTCTCCCTCCGATGTCAAACATAAATTTTCAAATTTACATGAAGCCATTAATGTTTCTGGTGGTAAATAAATATTGGAATACGAATAAGGTACGAGATTGGGAGAGCCGACACCATGTCGCATTCCATATCGATTGCATTGAAAATCTCCAAATAAATGTTTTTTAAATTCTTGTCGTGAATTCAAAGTGAACTTTGAAGAATGTGTATTACTGTGAGTGTTCAATTCTTTTTCCTTGTTGTGATCATACTTGAGTGATTGGTCCTGTCGCCATTTCATTGTTGAGAAAGGAGTGGTTTTTGTTTTGAATGGTTTCGTGTCATGGTTGTGTGAAGAATTGAATTCATTTGTGAACGAGCGGTTGTGTCTCAAAGACGACGTTGAAACAATCATGGAAGGTGGTTGGTTCGTATGGGAATTAGTACCATGATTAAAATTCAAAGTGGATTCATTCTTTTCATGAGAGGCAGAGGGTGTTGCCTTTGTGGTATTATTCACTTGATGTTCATTCAACGCTTGAACTTGCTCTTGATGATGGTTGTTGGTAGGAAGTGAATACTCTTCATGAATAGTAGTTGTAGTATACTGCTCGGAAAATGATTCGACTCGATCATGATGTTGTCGTAGTGTCGTCGTTTTTTCAATGTATGATGAAACAAAAAACACAATCAAGACAAGAATAAACAATAGACATGCCATGAACCATGCCGATTGGAATTTGTTGCATTTGAAGGCTGAATGAAAAGAAAACAAGTTCATAAAATGTCAGTGAAGAGAGTTGGCTTTGGTTTTTTCTCGGTGACAATGAAGATAAGGACCGACAAGACATTGTGAGATTGACGCCAATGCTGGTTAACATGCTGTTTTGGAAGTGACGCCTTGCAAATCTTTCCTCGTTTGTGTAATAAAAACGAAATTAAAAAAAAATATTGAAAAAAATGCAGCAATCGTCGGAATCACAAACACCCTCATCAGCTGTATTAACTTCTCTTCCGACAGCATCTTCAAATTCATTTACTAAGAAGGAATGGTCTCAACAAGTGATGAAAAAGACTTTGGTGGGAGTGGGAATGGCAGCAAGTGTTGGTTTAGTTTTAGGAGTGATGAGAAAACGAGGTGTTTTAAACAATTCCCCATTTTTCAAACAATGGCAAATCGGAATGAAATTACGAAAGAGTAAGAATATTGGCAATGGCATTAATCAAAATAGTTCTGGCGTGATACCTAACGCCTCTGTATCGGAGACAGCTACGATTGAAATGGTACCTTCAGTTTTTAGAACTACCATTGCGTTTGCTGGAAATATCGGACTTTCATGTTATCTGTACTTTTGTATTGAAGAATATTTAACGTTGAAACAAATTGTTCCTGAACGATGTTTGGCACATTTTGTTACTGCTTGTGGAATGTACACGACGGCGAGTTTTACGAAGAAATTGTTGATGAAGGGTCTGGGACCGAATGCAGCACTAACCATACCATATTATTTGGTGAGGTCTTTAACTGGAGGGTTGACTGCTGGATGTGTAGCACTATGTGCTTCTCTTATTGGTTCATCAATTTCCTACAATTTTCAATTGAAAAAGCTGAAAAGAAACATTTCAGAAGAAGAATACTTGTCGTTGGTTGGTGTGACAAAGGAAGAAGCTCAAAAAACACTCACAGACAAACTGATGGAGCGACTTCCAGTTTGGTTGAAAACGCCTTCTGCTCAAGATCGAAATTTGTTGGATGAGATGAAGAAATTTCACTCTCTCAGACAGCTAGAACTTTCCTTAATGCGAAAGAAACAAGAAGCAGGTGAAGAGCAAAAATGAATGCTATTTTTTTAGAACCTATCGTGGACGATCTCAGACACAATGTCACAATTTTGAAATTTAAAAACTTGAAGGATAAAGTGATACAATTTATTGAGTTATAAAAATGTATGCTTGATTTTAGGCATGCATACCAATGAATTATAAGGCTAGAGAGGTTGAAGTATTCTGAATGCTGGCCTTGTGCTGCAATAGCCAATATTGGCTTCCAAGAGCAACAGTCAATAACAAACAACAAACAGGAAATTGAGGAATGTTGTCAACAAAGTAGAGTGACAAGACAACAAGGAAATTAGTTGGAATTCTAATATAATTCATGACAGTAGATCTGACATCTTCTGGAATGTATACACTCTTCACGGTTGAGATAGCAGGCCAAAATATTCCCACACAAAATTCAAACACCAAAAATCCAAAGAGTATGAGATTGAATGAAGAAGATACTATTGGAATGATCAAGGAAATTAATGCAAGGGCAAACACAAATAACAAAATATACTCTGGACTTCTCCAAGCTCCGAGAGCGACACTCTGTTCGTCTTTCTTCTCCATTTCATCTGAATTGACAAGAAGTGCCCTGAACACCAAACTTCCAATCATTACTGCAATCATGAATGCGGCAAATATGTAACCAATGTCCAATTCTTCTTGGCCCTTAACAGAGTTAGTAAGGGTAGGTGTCCACATTAACACGAAAATGTACATGGCAGCCTCAAAAAAGCTTTGCGAAATTGCAACACACAACACTCTAAAGTCTGATCGTATGACCTTAAATCCTTCTGAAAAATTCTTTGCATAATCTCCAGTTCTATCTCCATAATTTTCCTCCCAAAAATACACGATAAGTCCTCCACCAATCATCAAGCACACAATAGCAGCATCAAATGGAGCCACAGGAGACCTGTTAAAAAGGTTATACAACAAGTTTGAAACAAAACCTGCAATGATAGCAATAATACCATTTGAAAAGGTTTGCTTGTAGAAAGTATCACCAATCCAAGAACTTGAAAAGTTGTGTCTATTGAAATGCTCATAAACCATCCAGGATTCAAAGGATGAGTAGAGAATGGATGTGGCAATTCCACCAGTGAGTCGTCCAATTAAGAGAACAGTTAAATTTGATGAGTGTTTCGTGATGCAAGAAATAATATACAGTACAACAAAGGCTAAACAAATATTCTTTCGTCCTCTGTTTTCGTTCAAGATCAACATCGTTTGAAGCAGGTAAACATTTGTGCTACCACAGCGGAGTAAACTTACAGCTTGTCTGAAAGGGCTCCAATAATCGTTCCGAATAGCATGCTGCTCAAAAAGCCGACAACAAACAACTTGGAAATCATATCAATTCCATAGCCGTAGGATTCATACAAAACATAAACATATGCTCCTGTATTCCATCGGAATTAAAAATTGAACCGATTTGTTGTAATCAGATCATCACATACCCTGTAGCCAATCACTAAAGGTCATACATAAATACACTCCCAAATAAATGTATTGAAATCTAGTAAAGATTTGTGAGTCCACCTTCTCTCTATTATCTGTTCTTGTTTGGTTGAAATAAATCAAACCCGCACAAATCAGCATCAAGGCTGCGATAACGCCTAACATTTTTTTTGGTTTAACGTGCCCCGTGGTTGATCCCTACTTTTAAATTAAACAACATGATAGAATTCTGATTAAGGAAAGTATTGAGGGCTATATCGACGATCAACTCTCTTCTCTTTAATAATAATCGAGCTTACGAAATGCATTCACAGTTACCTTATTCTCTTTTTCAAAATATGCCGAAATTTTCTTGATCTCGACACTGCCTCCTGCATTAAAGAAATTGGGACACCATTCCCATCCATCGTCATGTGATGTGTCCTCTAATATGAGCTCATCAGATCCATCCATTTCTATCCAATCTTTCATCATTAAAAAGTAGCAGAAATCCTTATCATTATATAATTCAAGCTCTGAAGTGTATGAGACGAGTGGAGAAACACACCAGTCTTCGTCATCGTCAGTGAGATTTAATTGATCTTGAGCCTTTTCATTCAATATCATCATGCAAAAAGCAGCAAGAGGTAAGATCACCATGCTTTCTTCAATGTCTTGCAATGATTTTTGTTTAGTTTTGTTGGGCGATTTTGCTTTCACCACTACTCGATCCGTCCAATAACAATGTCCAGCTCCTTCATACAATACGGATAAAATCACACAAAGTTCGAGAAGTAGATCCACATGATCATAGTTTTTCATTTTCTCAGAAATAATATATCTAAAAGAATCCATTAAAGGCAATTCCTCATTGACTTGCTCTTTCAATTGAAAGATAATTTGATGAAGTAACTTGACATCGGTAATTGCTGAAATCTTTTTTTTGAATTTGCTACTATTGTTGTTTACAAGTTCAATCAGATCATTATAGTCAACGTCCAGAACAGGCAACATGGAAAAATATCTTTTAAAAAGATGATACCAATATCCCTCTTGATGCTGTTCCAATGATGAATGGATTGTCTCTGTAAGCTTTTTCTTTTTGTTCTGCTTAGTTGCTGTTGCTGTGCCTTTTCGTTTTTTACCTTTTTCTTCATCATCATCACTTTCATCGGAATTTACTTCCTCGTCGTGATCATTCATTTCAATACTTTCGGTGTCATTGGAAGACGATGAATTTTCTTGTTGTGTTTCCAGAATATTCCACTCAAATGTTGAATTGTGAAATACTTGATCAAACAATTGACGCCACAAAATATTACTTGTTGCACATTGATGCCACAAGTGGGAAACAGTCATGCAAGATTGAACCACGCTGGGACCATCCAAAAATTGGAGAATATTGAGGAGGGTGTCACTGCAGAATTTTGATGACATTTTTTTGTAGTTGAGAACGACTGGCACTTGTTTCGTCAACAAATATTTTTTACGGTTGTCACTGGGTTGTCAAGAAGAGTTCTGCAACACTTTAATTTGGTTCTTGCAGTTACAAGAACTTTGTAAACCATGTAAATCCGAACTAGTCTTTGACCAAGAAATTAATCCTGTCTTAGTTGGTGTCAGTAACCTGGCGAAAAACATGAAGCGGTGAAATTAAGCAAAAAAAAAGTAGGGATACTTTCTCGATCAGTTGTGTCATCCTTAGTCCAGGGACCATGCTAATCTTCTCTGTATCGTTGCCAATTTTGATATAGCGTCTCTCAAGGAGACTTATTGGAAATGGATTCGACAGGATACTATGGACAAGGAGTTTTGGAATGTTCATACATGTGTTGGTTATGAAATATTCCATATACCAAAACAACATCATGTTCATCGTGATGGATCCTATTGAAGGTGCAGTGTACGGTAAAAACAAGAATTGCCTTAAATCTCATATCATTTGAAATGCTACACCTTCAATTGAGTCAATTCAAACCCTCATCCCATAATTTCCTCAATATTTTCCATCACTTCTTTCGTTCCATATCAACATCCTTCCATAGCAGCATCTTTGAAAACATCTTTCTCGGCCAATTGGCTTTGATCGAGTGTAGTATCTGTTCTTTTCAGTGTAATAGCTGAAAGCGTTCTACGGAACGCATGACTATTACCTCAATTTTTTGAAGGGTCTGAAGGTGTGCCTCCCAAGGAAACTTGGTTGAGAGCACCCTTTGGAATGCTTCTGCCAGGCATTGCACGAACCGCCAGGAGAGGAGCACCCATTGCAATGAAACAAGAGAAAACTGTTCATAAAATGATCAAACAAAGGGGAATTGTCATGACCTTACTGTACTCTCCAGAATATTCAGTTTTGGTAATTGTATTTATTTGAGGGATAGAGATTCTACCATCGAGTTTCAGTGAGACTCTTTTGCATTAGAAAATTAACCATTTACTTCTTCACACACACTCACACACTCGTGCAAACATGTCCTCTCCAACCGGTTCGTTAAGTCCTTCATCCGCTCAACCCATAACACCTCTCAAACTCACTCCCTTTCTCAAAACCTTTCTTACACTCATGTATTGGGAACCTTTTATTTATGAAATGTTCTTTGGTATGATCCTCATGCTATTTCCCAACGTTCGTTTCGTATTGGGAAGTTTCATGCCTCAACATTTAGTAGAAGTATTAATGAGCGGAGGAGGAATAACCACACCATCGACGACAAGTACTCTATATACAAACATCGAGTTACGACAATGGATCTTTTTCTTTATTCGCTCATTGGGAATGTCATTATTTGCCTTTGGTTGCATTCATCATTTACTCCTTCGACATTGTTATAAGGAAATGGCTCACTCCAACAGTTCCTATTTGATTGAGAAAGTTTCCCTTTTTCACAAAACCATATTCGCTCTCTGTGTTGGAGATTTACTTTATATTGGATTGGTTTGGAAATATATGTTCAGTGATACTTTGCCTAATAATTTATTACTTGTTGGAGCAGATGTGTTGGGTATTCGGGATTTCTTGTTTCCCATTCTTCCAGTGTTATTCCCAACTGCTCTTACCTTAATCGTCTTGTTATTGAGAGTGGTCTTCTTACTCAACTATTCGAGTTGGAAAATACTGGGAATGGGTTGGGATCAAGGCCAACAACATTTGAGAAGAATTCATGTTGAATAAATTGTATATTGTGAATGTTAGTAGTATTAGTCGAGCTTTCGAAAGAACCATCATTGAAAACGTACCATGGTGCAAATCTTTTTTACATCAGCTTCCAAAAGGTGTTCTCCTCTTCGCAACTGTTCAACGCACTTATATCTAAATCTGCCATATTGATGAAAAAGGTAGAGGGTGAAGAAAGAGAATGGAACAAACTCGTTACAGCCACTCGTAAGGCGTTCTTCTTATTCAAAAAAACAGAATACCAAAAAAAATTCCTTCATGTTTGCCTCTGAAAGTGGAGACCAGAAGAGCGTTGAGTCCAACAGCAACTCTAGTACCTCAACGACAATAGCAGCTATACCATGTAAGGGATGCGGGAAAAAGGCCAATTTTTTAATAGTACTTGACGATGATGAGTTGGAATGTGCTTGTGGAGAGCCTTGGGAGGTTCCTCTTGATTGGTATTATTGCTCCAAAAGATGTTACTCCAAGAATAGTTACTGGATGCTTCAAGGCAGTAGTCTTTTGGTTCAAGATGAGTGTAACGGGTGTGGATGTCCTCAATTCTTTGCAGTTGGCGTTACAATGGTACCGATCACTAGAGAAATGATTGAAGACTATGCCAAGGAAAAATCAAGCTCTGAAGAAGAAGACTAATGTTAGTTCAACCCCGTCTATTTCGAATTCTGGAGAATCTATCACCCCGAAACTTGAATAAAACAAAGTAAATTTTCTTCTGTTTTGAAGAGAAAAAGAACACCTCTATTTGCCGCCCGTTGTCCGATCTACTCAAGACATACTCTAGTCATTATTATTGAATGAAGAACTGCTCGTGTCCGTACTCGTTTCATCCACATCTAAACAAGATGAAGTATTGGTATCATTATCTTTACCAAGATCCATCAAGAATCTCTGAAAGGTATCACGATACAACATATTCTTCACGACAACGGCCAACTTATCAAAAAGATCTACCTGTCCATATCCATTCTTAATTTTGTTCACGAGGTTGAACGTTTCTTCTTGTGAAATATTCAATTCGTATTTGCTTTCTTTTGTGAGAAATTGTGAAACAATTTCTTGTTGTTTGTTGGCTCTGTGTTGAGTGCGTTTGATCTTTTTGTAAGATTCCACTTCTTCTAGGAATTTGAAATTTTCGTATGATTTTTCATTCATGCAAAATATTCTCAACTTGTTACGCATGTCTCGATTTTTCCAATAATATTCAAATTCAAAGTGTTGTTGTTGTTCAGAAAACTGTTGTTGCTGTGAGAGAATGGTCTTCTTCAATTCTTGATGATCAGACATGTTTCTTGCCATCATGACAAAGGCATCGATAATATCTCCTTCTTGAATGACAATCTTTACCTTACTGCATGTCACGTTAACAGGAACACCAGTTCTGAACCTATTCACGATTGAAACTTCCCAAATCTTGACACCACTTTCGAGCGATAATTCTTCCAATTTTTCAAGAATGGTCTCCAGAGTCATTCCTTCAAAGTACTCATGAATGGTTTTGTTTTGCACATTTTTCTCCGAGTTTTCATCCTTGATTTTTCCCATAATTTTGTTTTCAAAAGCAGCATTGAAATTGATAATTCTCCCCGATGTAGAGTCCACAGTAATGACAAAATCAGTGAGACCATTCATGACATTTCTGTATTTTTGTTCTTCGAGTGAAGTTCGATCGAGTAAGCTCTGTGCCAATGCATGTTCTTTTTGAAGTTGAGCAAAGGACTTTTCCAAAACAGATAACATGTAATTCACTCTCAATCCTAATTTACCAATTTCATCTTTTCCAAATTTGGGTAATTTGGCTCCCTTTGTAATAGAATTACTATCATTATTCCATTCATTGGTAATTTGAAGAACTCCGTGTGTGAGACGAATAGTTCTTCTCAATACCACAAGCTCCACAAAAATGACCACCGCCGTTGAGAGAAGAATGAGCATGGCTGTCATGACTGCCCAAGTAATGAGAAATGAATTAATTCCAGTCGTGTAGAGACTTCGAGAAATGTCAGAACGAATCATGACAGTATTTTCTTGATAGACATCTTTCAAAATTTGTAATGTTGAAATTCGTTCTCCATTATTGGAATCTGATTGTAATACTCCTTCAATGGTTCCACTGTTACTCGTGTCACAATGTCTCTCCAATGATAATAAACTCGAAGATGAATCAAACGTTCCAACATGGAAAAAATCATGCAATAACCAAGTGCTATTATCTGCATCAACAGTGAGTGCATTGTAATTTGCAAATTGAGATGAAACATCCTCAATTCCTTTCATGGATTGAGCAATTTGAACTCCTAGAGTTGAATTTAGATTATAAAAAGAAATACAGACTTGAGTTTTGGCAGTTAAATCTTGAATGATAACATTCGATTGATATTTTCCAAATACCATGACTCCATACGTGTTCGTGTCTGTATCTGTAGTAGTGACAGGAACAGCAACCATTGTGACAAACTCATTCGGATGATTCACATTCCTTTCAGAAGGTAATAAATAGGCAGATCTTCGTGTCGTAGAAATGTGCATATCCTTGATAAAGTAATGTTCTGGATATAATTCATCCATTTCTACAGGAAGATCTTCTTCCAAAGTTGCGTTGTAACATCCCAATGATTTCAATTTAGTTCCATTTAAATAATACAATGAAACAAACGATAATTTCACTTGAGCCATATGTTCACAGAAAAAGTTTTCATCAAAATACGCTTGAATACGACTCGGCTCTCCATTATAGATGAATAACTCGGCAGTATCAATCCATGGAGCGTAATCGAGAATTTTGTTTTCCAAGGCATAAAAATTATCCGAAATACTTCGCAATACTCGTAAACTACTTTGTAAAATAGTTTGATATTCAATTTTAGAAAAGGAGAGATGAAATGCAACAATGAGAATGGCAAAACATAATAAAACCGTTAAAAAGAACATTAAAGCTAGAATGGAAATAGTTTTCACTCTAATTGAGTTTAAAGCATTTCGTTTCGAGTTCGAGCGAGAGTGTTTCACGACTTCTTCCTCATCATCATCATCATTGGGTGCATCAAAGGTAAATAATGTTTGAGTATTAGGAGTGGTGGTTGTTAGTGCTCGAGAAAATAATCGGAGAGAACGAGTTCTAGATTTTCTCTTATGAATGTCTACGGAAGTGGTAGTCGTAGCGATTGGTGTTGTTTGAGGATAGGAAGTTTCATCATCATGATGACTTGTTGTCGTTGTTGGTATGCTGTTCGGATTGTGGTTGCCACTTGGAGTTTGAGCAATGTCTTGAGTGTCGTTTTTGCATTGACTCATGACACCTAGGTCTTCGAGTTCATGTTGGGTGCTAGTGGATGATGGTTGTTGTCGTTGTTGCGGAAGAGGTTGGTCTGATGTATTGTTGGCCGAAGATGAAGTGGTCATTTTGTTTTACAAAAGTCTCTATGTGTACAACATCACTTGTCAAGTAGTTTGAGGTACAAGAAAGGCGGTGGTTTAATTTATTTGGGTTGTAGTGAACTTGCGCATCTGCTTTTGCAATTTAATAGAAGAGAACCGTGTTTTATTAATGGAGAAAACAATAGGTCCTCATGTTTCCATCCAATGTCGTTAAACTCATCAACTCACCGGTGCCAGGACAACTTTCAAGCGTTATCTGTAATTGGCACAAATGCATGCAACACAACAGGATCTAGATGAAATTCAAAAGTGAGAAGAACGGCATTTCGTCAGAGTTAGTCAAAGAAATATGGGGCGTCAATAACACGGTTTAAATCAAGAGAACCTTTCTTTGGTAGTGGTGGGAACTGAATGTTTGGATAAAGACGAGTAAATGTAGCCAAAAGTTCTTCCAGTAAAGGTTGTGAATGTAAATTGATGAACTGTTCTCTGATAATTCTGTTCATTCGATCAACATTCCCAGCATTGCACCAAAATGAGTCATGAACGGAAGCAAACTCGATGCCTTCTTTTTGACAAGCGCTAGCAGTCATGAACATGTGAGAAGAATCAAGGGAGTGAACAAAGTTAGGAGGGAATGCTGACTTTTGTCGTGTTCTGCTAACAGGTAATTTGTCAGATGAGTCTGTAATGACGACACTTTGCATGACTGTCTTGACAACCTTTGTTCGTTTGGATCTATAAGGCTGTATGACCGGCAATCCAAGAGGGGTTGTCCATGATACAGGGTTATCGGATGAAGAAATGAGTAAGGCACAATCATTGAGCCATTCCATAATGTTTTGAGCGCTACTGAACACTTCTCCTAATGATTTAAGGGTGATAGATGCCAAATACGATGCGCAAGCAAATACGTCATCTTCTGGAACTTCCTTCTTTTCTTTAAGACGTTTTTGAATCTGTTCTCTAGCGCCAACGAATGTGACACCATAGACGCTGGTCATCACAGTTTGCTTGATTGTTGATCTATAAACATTACCATGCAATAATTTTGCCAATTTGTTGCCTGCCTTCATATCTCTTTCGATATGCTTCTTTACAACTTCAAGCACACCTACATACACGTCCATAGGTTTAGAAGTTGGTAACAAGTTTACGTGTAAAGCACCCAAATTATCTCTACCTAAAGCTGCATAGTGTTGAAGCCCATTGCAAGATCCATCCATTTGAATTGGTAATTGAGAAATAAATTCTTCTGGATTTTCTGATCGTAAACACTCAGCCAACTCTACGCATGCAGCAAGAGTTTGCCAAGGGTTTTCTGATTGCAGCCACCATCGATTTCCTTCAAGTGGTTGATCTGCCGAGTCAAAGATTTCATTCAAGTTTTGCTCAACGAACTGTACTCTTTCATCAAATGGTAGTTTATCCTTGCCATAGAGATTTGCTAAATGAATTTTAAGCCAGAAAATACCTCGTCGACCAATTTTCGTTCCCTTGTCAAATGTAAGCAAACCTCTATTAATATCAGCTCCAAGATGGTTCAAATGAGGTGGAATTGGGTAAGCTCTACCTCTAAAATCGATATTATGAGGGAAGTAGAAGGTATTGTTCTTAAAATCTTCTGCAACCTTCAGCTTTAACAACATGTCGCATCGTAAAGAGTGTAAATTTCTATTATGTGTTTTGATCTTGGCTACAGCGCGTTTCCACTTTTTCTTAATTTCTGGGTCATCGGTTTCAGGCTCTTCTGGAAGTGCATCGTCAAATCGGGATGGCAATTCTCCGAGACCTCCTCCGGAATTCCAAACTTTCAAAACTGTTTCGTATACTTTAGGATTGATTTTCCACCTTGTTTCGTTCAATGTGTTTAAACCTGATAACAATTCGTTCATGTCTGCAATCTTGAGAATGTAAGCTTGTAAATGAGAGCCTCTCGTTCGCATAATTAACGATTTCAGAGCCACATAACCTCCAGTGGTAGAGTTTATCCAAGGGTTTGGCGGTATTAACATTGGTAAGTGATTTGGATGAAGTATTTCTTGCGCAATGTGCTCTCTACCAATGAGTTGGATTAAATTTTCATCTGCTTCAACAATTCCAACCAGTTTACCTTGTCTTGTTATATTTCTGTGAATAAAAGCAGGTACGTTTTCAGAGGGAGAATCCACAACTGGTACTTTTGCAACGGTAACTACTAAATGAATTAAAAACGTTCCTATTTGAATGAGCTCTTCTTTTGACAAAGCCACGTATTCGTTGAGTTTCAATTTGGACATTCTGTTGATATTGTGGTATATCAGTTGATTCTTGGAAATGAGTTTGAAATAGTTGGTTCTTTTCAGCTTGTCAACATTGACCTCAGCTTGCAGTGCTTCACCGATTTGGAATGCAAGTGAAGAGACTGGTGGACCGGAACGTTCTCGTAGGCATGATGACAAGATTTCGTGGAGAGAAATGATGGCAAGTTTTTCAGCAGATACTGAGGTTAGACAAAGAGGGATGGCAAAATTTTGTTGACTACTCTGTGTGGATGACTCATCAACTTTAGCAACAAGGGATTTTTTCTTGGATACTGACGAGAAATTGACTTCATCTTGTTTTTCTTTGATGAGTTTTGTTAATGGTTCATACCATTCTAGCATGATTTTCTTTGCAGGAGGAAGGCACGATCCCTGGTTTCTGTTATTTGCGGATCGGAGGTCTTTTCTATATCGTTCTTTTGCTATATCCATAGAACGAGTTTCTAACTCCTTTTGTTGCAACATTAATTTCACGTCTTCATCACGAGGACTCATATTCACGATGAACTGCTCAAACTTTTTTTGAATGTTGGTCCTGTTATCACGCTCCAGTTGTGCAGCCATGTCTCCGTACAAACTCGAGCTAACAGCCAGTTCGTGTTCAATACGCTCTTGGTCAGCACTTAAATCACCAATACTCATATTCTTCTCCCAAGCAGGCTTTCTAAAATTCCCGTCATCAAAAATCAAAATATTTCGTCGTTCCTCTGTTTGTTCTTCGGCCAATTTCATCGCCGTGTTGCTCTCATGATGATTGGTATTACTCGTGGAAATCATTCTCGTTTGATGATGATGATGCGAGGTGATACCCATCAAGCCTTGAACACCCATCGCATTGCTCTGATGATGATACATCCCACTCAACGATGATAACCGACTCACAGCATCGTTAGCGGTTGCAGCGGTTTTGGAGAGAAGTTTGGCAATGGCGAGTTTTTGCATTTTTTTGAACAACACCAAATTCATACACTTTTTGATTGAAATTGTTGGCATGTTCCGAAGCAAACGAAAAATTGCCAAGAGGAATGAAACAACTTTTTGCGATTTCGTTGAAAAAAATGGTTCGCTGGCTGCGAGTGAACTCAATGATGAGCAGTATGGTGCAACATCGGAAACCAATAATTGTAACGATTATGCATACTTCTTCTCAAAAGTATCATCATTCCTTAATTTCTTCCAAATTCCCAAACGTACAAGAAAATGAATTTTCAAGAATTACACGAACAATCGTCCGTTCACTTCCATTTAGAAATATTTGGCCTCTCCTAAATTATTATGAAAATAGATTGAAGAAGGATTTCAATGAAGAACATGATAATGATATTATCTTTCAAAAACCCCTTCAAGTCGAATATTTCAATGAATTATTACATTCTTTAAATATTCAAAACACAAGACTGCCTTTCAACAGGACTAACGGAAATTCGAATTTACAAGATCAATGGTTCTCTAAACTACAATTTATGGATCAAGATTATTTACTCCATACTCTCACGAAGGAAAAGTTACAAGAGGGTTTTTGGTATGAACGACATATTCATGCTACAAGTCAAATTCCAACACGATTTAATAATTTACATGATTTTTATGGACATCTCATTTGGCTCATGTTTCCCAAAACAAAGAGACTGTTGAATATTTTACATTTGGAACATATGAAAAGCCATTCATCAAAATCTGTAAAAGAACGATCCTCATTACAGAATTTTCTAACCCTATTTGATGAATGTGGAGTCGTGGTTTTTATTGAGGAATCGTCCTTTCAAGAATTGAAAAATCTACTCTATGGAATGCAATTTAAAAAACTATTTTGGAATTATAGAGCGAGTGTGGAAAGCAAAATGATTTTCACAATTTTTGGACATTCCATTTTCGATACGCTCACACAACATCCATATATTGGATATACTACCAAATGTGTAGCACTTCCACTATCTTCTTCTGTTTGTAAGTAATATTAATGTTAATTTGGAGAAATTGAATTTGATGTTATGAATTGCTGATATCATAGATACGAATGTTTATCATCAACTTGAAACCATTCATCAACATCAATCACTCACAACCATGCAAACACAAGTGTGGAATGTCATGGACGACCTGCTCTTTGATGTATTTTCCAACCCCGTAAAGTATGACATTAATTTACACAACACAAAAAGTCTTCGTCCTCTCCCTCTTTTAGGAATTCCCAATTATTGGAGAGCTCAAACAGAATCATTTTATGACAATGAAAGATACTTTAGAAAACCAAATGCATCAATCAATGAATGTGCAAGAACGACATGAGCACTTTCATGATATTTAAATAAGCATCATGATGACACAAACGTCGTAAATGAACCATTGGGAGCAGTTGATGATCATGTTTCCAAAAAGAAAAGTTTACAAAAAAAAATGTTTGACCAAGCACCTCACGAGGATCAACCTTTACCATTCTTTGAAACACCGATCGGGTAGGTATACACATATTATGGATTTAGTGAGTTCGTGAATGATACATGTTTTTGATGGGATCGGAACCAAGAACATTTTATCAAGTGGGATACTCCATTGGAGAACATTTCAAAACAAGAATTAAGAATTATTTAAATCGATCGGATTTACCCTTTCAATCAATCTTTTTACCTTTTATTAGAGAGAATCCAAATTGTTTAGATCCATGGATTCAAATCACTAGCGAACTCTTTCCACACTACATGGACGAAATTAGAGGGTTGGCTGATGGGTCCAACACTCCTTTTGAATGGATTTTTGCTTTAAATATGCTCAATGAGTTGCGGAGTAAAATTCAAAAACATCATCAAGATTTAGAAGAAAAATTAAAAACGACACAAGTTCCAAAAGTAGGAGGCTGCTCTGAAGTATTTGTATTAAGTGACAGTGTGTCTAAGGGAGAGAAAGCAATCATAGCACACAATGAAGATGCTGACAAGAGTATGGGAGAATATGCATATATTGTGAAATCAAGATATTCGGAAAAGTGTAATAATGCATTGAAAAGCTTTACAATTGTTGCATATCATTATCCAGGAACATTATCTGGTAATACATTTGGATGGAATGATCACTTGATATTTGGAACGAATGGAAAGAGTCCTCTAAATGTTCTCACAGACAAGGGTATTCCTCGTTGCTTTATCAATCGAAGCGTCTATGAGAGTGAGTCCATTGAAGAGGCGTTGGAAACTCTCAAGAAATATGCAACACAGAGTGCTTCAGGATTCTCAACAAACATTTCAACACGATATAAGGTTGACATTCATGAAGAATCTGCCAAGATACAAAGCAAACGAAACCAAGAAGCAACTTATCAATTTTATAGAATGTGTAATATTGAATTAGCTCCTCCTTTAGAATCGAACATATATATCTCAATGTACAATGTTCCTATTGGAATTGAAGACGATACCAATCATGAACCCATTCACTATGCTCATTTTAATCACTATGCTCACTTGAAGGGAGTTACCGAGGGTAACGTCCCAAGCTCGAGAAGACGATATGAACGATCACTTTCTTTTAAGAATATTTGTGATGAAGATGGAGTTCGTCAATTTCTTGGAGATACCAAAGATACAGAATTTCCTCTTTTTAGGCGTCAACAATTCCCAGATAAGGGTAAAACATTGGCGACAATGATAGCAAATGTGGGTGAAAAGAAAATCAAGATTTATGTTGGAAATCCAAAATACGAGCAACCTCTTTATGATATTGATTTAACACAAGAGTAGAATACTTGTTGTGAGTGGTCCTAACTCTACTTTCTCTTGTGACACTACAAGATATTCATAAAATCAAAAGCCATTGATGCGATATAATTATCAACTTACACTTTGTGTTACCTTAAATCCTTCGGAGAGAGCAGAGTAAACGTTTGCCAATTTTGATTGGACAACAAAGTTGTAGACAGGGTGTTTGGTCTTCCAACCATAATTGTTTGAGGTTGTAATTTTACAAGAGATTTCAATCGTGTGATCGTCAATTACAGTTTCTTTCACCACTTGTAACAAACTATTTCCTTCAGGATCTAAATCAAGCTTCTTGAATTGATCTTGCTTTCCATCCTTAATGACAACAACGTTTTCACCATGACAACTTTCCTTGACAACAATAAACAAGTCAAAGTCATTTCTACTCAATGGTTGAGTGGTCGTCAAAGGAGGAGACGTAATGGAAAGCAAGAGAGTCTTGTCCTTGTCGCTAATCGTTGTTCTCTTGTTTGAAAAGGCACAAGGCTTAATTGCCTTCACTCCGTTCTTCGTAGCGAATGATGTTTGTAACGAAACTGTGAATGAGGGTTTTGTGGACGATAATTGCACCACGACTTCAGCCTTGCATTTCTCAGTATCATCACTCTTTGTATCATCATGTTGAGATTGTTTAACGTCATCATCGTTCAGCAAGACGACAAAGCTCAAGGAATCCTCACTCTTCTTTGAAAGCTGCAAGGTCAAAGATGATTCTGCGAGTGCCTTTGGTGAAAGACTCTCAAGCCTTTCCTCTTCATCCTCAATGAGACTCACTGCATGGTTGTTTTGTAAACCTCGTCGAGGACTTGGGCTACTGACAGAATCCGAACATGAAGCAACAGGTAACTTATCAAGATCATCACTGGAAAGGCTATTAGAATCTGCGTACACAAATACATCATCCAGTAATTGAGTGGAATGAAATGGAAGAGAATTGTCCCATTCGCAAGGTTCTTCAAAAAGTAAAGGATCCTTTTCTTGAAAATTCTCATGATCTTCCTCTTGGACTGAAAAAAGATCCTGGCTTGAAATCGGCTTCTTTGAATTGATTGAACTTATTTGAAATTTAGAAGGCTCAAATTGAGAGGTTGGAAAGGAATCTGAACTTTCAGTGGTTGGTTGCTGCGCAAGCAGCGATTCAGAGGTGGTTTGAGTTGGAATTACTTCAAAGAGCTCGCTCTCTTTGGTATGATCGATGAGATTAGACTCAGGCTGTTGGATCATAGTGTGTTTAAGCCTCAATGATGAGAGTTGAAATGTTTTTTTAAAGAAATGGTAGTTGACTTCCAATGCTGCTAGCGGGTGGTGAGGCTTTAAGGTACTTTCTGCAATGTCCATAGGGTGCTGTAAAGCAATAACGAATGAAAACTGGCAATGACGAAAAGGAATGCAAATATTCACGTTTGAATTCAAAATTGATGTTTAATAAACTAGTGGCAAACCTACATGCATTGTGTGCATTTACAGCTCATCATGTTGAGCATCAGATGAGGAAGGACCCGATCCAGGAGCTCCTTGTTGAGCACCACCTTGAGATTGGTAGAATTTAGTCATGATTGGTCTGATCTTTTCTTCGAGTCTCTTCTTTTCTTCTTCGAATTCTTCCTTTGAGGCATCTTGATGTTGTTCTAACCAAGAAATGGTGGTCTTGGTTTCTTCTTCAATAACCTTCTTGTCATCAGCTGGGAGCTTTTCCTTGAACTTTTCATCATCCAATTGATTCTTCAATTGATAGGCATAACTCTCGAGAGCGTTTCTGGCATCAATTCTTTCCTTTTGTTTTTTATCTTCTTCTTCGAACTTGGCAGCTTCATTGACCATTCTTTCGATTTCAGATTGATCCATGTTAAGCTTGTCGTTGGTGATGGTAATGCTATTTTGGTTACCAGTCTTGGTGTCCTTAGCTGAAACGTGGAGAATACCGTCGGCATCAACAGAGAAGGTGACTTCAATTTGTGGAGTACCTCTTGGTGCAGGTGGAATACCAGTCAATTCGAATTTACCCAACAAGTTGTTGTCCTTGGTCATGGCACGTTCTCCTTGATAAACTTGGATCAATACACCTGGTTGGTTATCTTGGTATGTAGAGAAGATTTGTGACTTTTGAGTTGGAATCTTAGTACCTCTTGGAATCAATTTGGTCATAACTCCACCAACAGTTTCAATACCCAAAGAAAGGGAAGCAATGTCAACAAGGACAATGTCTTCATCCAATTCACCTCCCAAAATTCCTCCTTGAATAGCAGCACCAGCTGCAACAGCTTCATCAGGGTTAATTCCTTGCTTTGGCTTCTTACCGTTGAAGAAATCGATCAACAATTGTTGAACCTTTGGAATTCTAGTAGAACCACCGACAAGAACAATTTCATGAACTTCTTCCTTACTGAGTTTAGAATCCTTAAGAACTTGTTCGACTGGCTTCAAAGTCTTAACAAACAAATCATTGTTCAATTGTTCAAACTTGGCTCTAGTCAACTTCAAGCTAAAATCAATACCATCATGAAGTGATTCAATTTCAATTCTAGCTTCATGTTGAGAAGACAACACTCTCTTGGCCTTTTCAGCTTCTCTCTTCAACTTTTGAATGGCCTTCTTGTCCTTTTCAACAGATTGAGCTTGTTTTGGATTCTTTCTCTTGAATTCATCCAAACAATATCTCACAACTCGGTGGTCAAAGTCTTCACCACCCAAGTGAGTGTCACCATTGGTTGCCAAAACTTCAAAGAGTCCTTCATCCAAGTTCAACAAGCTAACATCAAAAGTACCACCACCCAAATCGAAAACAAGAACATTGACATCCTTCTTGTTCTTATCCAATCCGTAAGCAATAGCTGCGGCTGTTGGTTCGTTGATAATACGTTCGACAGTCAATCCGGCAATAGTTCCGGCATCTCTTGTGGCTTGTCTTTGAGCATCGTTAAAGTATGCTGGCACAGTAATGACAGCACGAGTGACCTTTTGACCCAAATATGTTTCAGCAATAGCCTTCATCTTTTGGAGAACCATTGCGGAGATTTCTTCTGGAGCAAAAACTTTCTTCTCTCCATTAATTTCAACTTCGATGAAAGGCTTTCCGTTCTTATCAACAATCTTGTATGGCAAGAGACCAGCATCCTTTTGGACTTCTGGGTCAGAGAAACGACGACCGATAAGTCTCTTTGCGTCATAAACAGTGTTGGTTGGGTTAAGAGCTGCTTGATTCTTGGCTGCTTCACCAATCAAACGTTCTCCTTCTTCACTGAAAGCAACTACTGATGGTGTAATACGATTACCTTGGTCATTGACAATAATTTCAGCCTTTCCGTTCTTATAGATGGCCACACAGCTGTATGTTGTACCCAAATCGATACCAATGATTGGTCCACCACTCTTCTTTTCCGATTTTGTTGAGTTATCGGTCTCTCCTGCAATGAGGAATGATGCTAACAGGCATACTAGAAGAAAAGATAACAAAGCCTTTGATACCATGTTGGACTTTGCCATTGTGTCTGTTGTGATGATTTTTTTTTCAGGTTGTTGTTTTGCAATTCCGAAGGGACTCGCTTGTTCTATTTACAACTTTTGAGAAACACGTGTTCAGGTTTCCGAAACGTGTAACACAAGCTTCAAACAAAAACAAGATCGTGTTTTGGATAATGATGGATTTCAAACTCATGACGAAGTATGGGTGATGAATCACAAATATCCACTGGATACTACGAAAAATTGACAACAATAATCTCTCTGAATCGTGTTAAAGCAAATGGCTAAACATGTGCAATTGAATGATTTTACAACAATAATTTAATGGTCGGTAAAACTCCAATTACTTTCTCAGTTCAACATTCGTGACCTGTGCCACACCATGCTGAATGCCTCTGCTCTTACGCTGTATCGTTTCGGTTTGGCATGACCGCTCTCCTTTCGGTTTTAGAACAACAGCCTTGAGTGCAGCCATGAGTTGTTCGCTGTACTGGAGCTGCTCTTCTTTAAAGCTTGCCAGCTCTTGCTCGATCTTTGATTTGAATCTCTCTGTAATTTCTTCTTTGAATGCTTGAATGATGCCTTCTGTTTGTTTTAACATGTCACTGGATTCGTTGGAAAAGGAGGATATCACTTTCAAAAAGTCACCAAACACAGAGAATAGAGGAGGCTCCTCGGAACGCAATGCTTTTTCTCGTTCGTGATTGAATGCTATGAATTTCCTCTTTTTCAACATTCGAGACACAAAGTTTGAATGTTTTTGAGATTTCAACAACCTTTTCCTCGTCAGTATTCCTCTAAACCAAGATTGTAATTTAACAGAAGCGTTCATTTTGAATATATATGATGTAAATACATCTTGGAACATGATCTTTACATTGTTCTTGGGCGAGAGATTGGAGTCAATCTCTTTGCCAGTGGTTGTTTTGATGAAATAGAATAGTAAGGAAGATGTAATTTGGTACATCACTTGAAGACTATACAAAACAAATGATTTCGCATTTCGTTAGAAGATACCAGGACGAGAAACTTACCCATTTGCTTGATGTCTGAGTTTCTGTGTGAGCTCTACAACTTCATTTCGGGTGTTGATGAGCTTTTCGTTGGTCAAGGCGTTTTCAGCAAACAATTTGTCTCGCTTATCAGTTAATTCTTGAACTAAATTTTGCTGGAACAAGAAATATACTTCTCTGTCCGTTGTTGCCTTATTAAGATCTGTTTGAAATGTTATCTGAATACGTAACAAGTATCACGGAATTACTTACGGTCTATTCTTGAGGTTAGTTTTCTAATCATTGTTTCTCGCTCCTTGATTTCAACTTTTCGCTCTCCAGTTACTTCTTCGTTCAGCAGCTCCATAGCACTGGTCAAGTCAGTCACCTGTTGCTCTAATCTTCCGAGTTGGTTTGATAAGAATTTGTTTTCATGCTCAAGAGTACGAATCTTGTTTCTTAAATCCATCACTGATGGCTCTTGGTCCTCATCCTTGACAATGCTCTTATTGTTTTCCTCAGCTACCATTCTTTTGGCTTCTTTCTTTTTCTCATACTCATATTTCTGTTTTTCTGTCATGAATAGGTCTGTCATTAGGTACTCCAAGCTGAAATGTTTCGAAGCGTTTTTTTCTGCAGATTTTGTTGTCATTATTTTCAACAGCTTGTTTTCAACATCGTTATACTTAGCCAGACCTTGCTGAGCAACACTATTGTTACGGAGGTAAACAATTCCCACAACTGTCAAGAGTCGAAACTTACAACAATTCGTTTTGTAAAGCGAAAATTACGGACCGAAGCATGTAAACGTCATCTAGATATAAATATTTGTGTTTGAGCAACAGCTCTGTATCAAACCTTTGTGTCACCCAATTGTAGAAGTTTAGTTCTTTTTTCATTGCCTCATTCTCCCTTAACAGTTCTGGTAAGGAACCCCACTGTTTTACTAATTGTTTGACCTCAGAGTCTGATTGCTCGTATCGTTGAATTTTCTTTTTAAGAACGAAAATAAGGTTCTCCAGAAGCTGTTCATAATGGGTGATTCATAATTTTCACTAAAATGTAAATTCCACTTACTCTCATCTTATATTGAAGACACTGGGTGTATTTCTGTGCATGATCCATTTCTTCATAAGGAGTTATACCACGCCTTGTTGCGTTTCTTTTGGCTTCTGCGTTTCTTATGACAGCAGGCAGTCGTGGAATGGAATCTTTTGTGTTAAAGAACTCCTTGGACCCCTCTGCGTTGGTTAAATTGTGCAAAAGTTCCTCTTCTTCTGTCTTTTCCATTATTTCTTTGTATAAAATGGGATCATGGTGGTAGATATCGTCTTCTAGTTTTGAGACAGACTCCTCCAGATGTTTAAGATCGTTCTCTGACGGTTGGTGCTTGACAAGGTCGTGATCATTTGTAGACTCGTACTTTTTGTGAAACTCTTCAATCTTTCGATCCTTTTCTAAAATTTGAGACTTTAAGTTATCTATTTCGCTTGTGTAGCTTAAGTTCTCTCTTAATAAATAGCAACAAACTTGAAAAAGATCTTGAGGATGACCATAAGACACGTTTTGTATACTATGCTCATCTGGTTCGACAGACGCATGCACTATTTTGTCGTGATATTGAAATGCTGACATGATGAACGCAAGGGTTGAGTAAACTTGTTTTCTCTTTTCCTGCTCATGCTGCGTTATTGGATATAAAGGTGGCTTGCAAGACTTCAACACTGTCAAGAAGTGAGCAAGATCGTCCGATTCATATGTAAATCTATTGGGAAGTGAAGGATAAACGTTAATAATGAGTGGAGGCTTTTGTGTTTTTCGAGGAAAGTCGTCTGCACTGCTCGATGTCCTTGCTTGAGCAAAGGAGATATTCGGAACGTGATGGTTTGGAGATTTTGGGGTTTGGGAAGGAGAAATACGGGATGTGAGAGGGAGAGTCGCTGAAACATTGGTTATGGTCGACTTTGAAAGGTGTGTCGAAGTTTTGGGCCTCGGAAGACTCTTAAAACTATCTCCCCTGGTAACGTGTTGAGCCGGTGGTCGATGCAACGACGCACTCTGTGGTTTAAAGAGGCTCAACTTGGTCAACGAGGACGACAAGTCCTGATCTGACTTGAGCTCTCTCAGTCCGCTCGAATTCATGCTGTTTGTTAGTTTCCTTTGATTCAGAGGGGGAATAGTGTTGTTCTTCATTTTTTTTTAATTGAATCACTGTAACTGTTCTTAGCGGGAAATACCAACAGAGACAGGTATTCCGGACATAATTCGACCTCTCGTTGAAAGGGGCAGTATTTGTGTTGGTAGAATCAAAATTTTTGCAATTTCCTTTTTATGTCTTTATAAATTTTTCTTGCTGTCAAGTTTGGCGCTTTGTTTGAGATAAATTTTCAATCATTTACTTTTCATATGGATATATCATTGTTCGAATACTATGTGGTGGTAGCTCAACGTCTACGTAATAGTCCAATCCAACATTCAAATCTAAGAGCTGAAGCTTCAAGGCAGTATCCTTATTATTCATGGTAACAATAACAATATTATTCTCGGGTGTCAAGAAGGATGTCACTAACAGATCATTGCTCGACTGAACAAGTGAAATTCGTCTTGAATCTTGAAGTATGAATTTTGAAAAGTGGCCCATATAATAGTACATTGGTTGCAAGTAAAGTGATTGAGTCTTGTTGTTGGCTACAATTAACGCGTCACACCAATTATTCATGTGTGTTGGACCTCCAACTGCATCTAGAAGACAGTTCCAGTCAGTCCATCCTTGTGCATAATGTTGTAAATCATTAATAATATCATATCCATATGATTCACCTCTTGTCCAATCACCGTAATTCACGTTGGGGCCTTGCGTTGCTTCTGTTCCGAGCAAAATCTTTTCCGGAGCCATGTCATACACTAAATCTAAGTGTTCGTAGGTACCATCTGAATACCAGTGGAATGCAGTTCCAGCTGTCATGTTTTGTAACGTTGATGAGTGAACAGTTGGATTCAGCTAACATGAAACATACCTAATGAGTAGTATGCAATTATTGCAGCCCGTCATGTTAAAGTTCAAATTGGCATAGAGTTGAATCCAGTAGCTAAACTTACCCACATATTTTGCAGCTTCCTTATCAGCATAAATAGTTTGAGCCCACAAATGAACATGATCTCGATTGTGATCATAAATCATGATATTGACATCTGGGTGAGTACTCTTCATAAGAGGTCCCAAATAATACTTGATGAAATCACGTTGATATTCAGCAGTATATACACAGGCTTCATAGGGCGCGGCATATTCTGAAAGAGTCATGGACCATGTAATGTTGAGGTTTCATGTCATTCAAGAAATTCCATCATGAACACATGAAAAATCATTTAGTATTCGCTCAATTCCTTAATCAACAACTCAAACATACCTGGCTCGTTCTGTACGGTTAATCCCCAAAAGTTAATTCCTTCTCTCTTGTATGCTTCAACGTACTTGCTGAAATACAAGGCCCATGATTTCAATACTTGAGTATTATTGATCAATCCCAAAGGTAAACCACTGCCATTCATATCATGATTGGTTTTCATCCATGCAGGAGGAGACCAAGGAGATAAGAACAACTTGAGAGGCTTTCCATGAAAAGTTGCCGTCGTGTTCACCACTCGCAGGGCCATAGGTAACTTGTAGAGCTTATCCCGTTGTATCGAAAAGTCTTTCAATTCAAAATCATTGGCCGTATCATCACAGCTGTAGGTTCCTAAGGCAAAGTCGCACGAGTTCATTGGAATTCTCCCAATGGTGTAATTTAACCCAGAAGGAGACCAATACAAATTGAGAATGTCTTGTTTTAATCGCTCGTTCATGGTTGAAAAAACAAAACTGGCACTCTCAGTAATGGCACATCCAAAGCCAATGATCTTTTGGAGAAGATGATTCGGATTAAGCAACACAATATTTGGCTCATCTGTATTTCCTTGACGTTGTTGGATGCGGGATGGATCAAATGAAGCCCTGACATCATTTCTCTTTTTGAAATATAGAGGAGCAACGGGAGTGAGTCGATCGGAAGTGTGTTGTGCAGTTTGAATGACTCGAATGAACTTGGGGACTTGTTTTGCTTGGACAATTGATGATGATGATGCCATAAAACGTGGATCAAATGATGATAATAATATGGTCAGTGCCATCATGAGGAGCCATAGCGCGGTCGCCAAGCTCACTTTGTTTCGGGGCAACAACATTTTTTCATGTGTGAAAATTACAATCATTCCAAATATGTCATTGGTGGAACTTTTAGACACAATCAAATGAACATTCTTGGCACACAAAGGGAGCATGGATTGACGAAACGTATGCGTTTTAGCAGTTGGTGATTATGCTCCTTAATTATTCATCTCCTTCGGAACGATTGTGTGTAATTTTCACCCAATTCCAAACTCTTTGTGCATCACAAATACCAAGCCACAAGCGTCAAAGTGAATTCTTTTTGAAGCTGGTATAGCAAATGTCTTCACCTTGCGTTGTTGGATGTATTTTTTTCTCGGAGTTGGTAAACAATCCTCCTCGATCTCGATCTTTCTCTAGTTCTAGTTCACTCCTCTGCAAAAATGACGAAATTCATCAATTCGTTCCAGTAACCTCACAAAAAATGTCGCTCCTAGATTCTACCTTTCTCCACTCATTACGTGACTCTATACCATGGCAAGGTTTGTTGTGGTACGTTGCCGTTCCTTTGTGTGCGTCCGTGGCAGGTGCAATTATTGGTGCAGGAATCCCAGGTCTCTTCTTCCACCGATTTAGTAAACCGAATAATTCTGACAGACACCAACATATTCGTGAGATGTACATCGTTGAGTGTGGATTAGGTATTGGTGTGTTAGCAGCACATGGATTGTGTTGGTATTATCTTGGATTCTTGTCAATATTGACAAATATTGGATTAATTGCTGCTGGTTGTGCATATATGCGCTATCGTTTATATCATTAACAAAATAATAAATATTGTGTAATTATACGTAATCTACCGTATACGATGTAAAGTTTTAGATCATTGGTTTGAAGTAAGTATGAAACCTTCTGTTGGGGCCACACAAAAATTTAGGTGAAGAAATCCGTAAAGGTTGTTATTTATTATTGGCTCATAGTATGCTTTTTGAGCGTGCAATCAGTAGATCCAGAGAATAAATGGTATTTCAATTGACCAACATTATGTTGTTCCTTAATTTGGCCTTCCAAAGGAGCAAATCCTTCGATCGAGAGAACCTTATCCGTTGAAATGGTTTTTCTTTCTGGGTTTACCGAGTGTGGCGTGCTGTGGATTGGAATTCCGCTTCTAATATCCCACAACTTGACAACATTGTCGTCACCTCCAGAAATAAATTGAAAATCACTCACCCACTTCACTTTACGGACCCATCCTCGATGGGATCTGAACAGTGATGCTTTTTTGGAGCCTCCCTGTCGAGCATCCCACAACCGAATCAAAAAATCTGGATGTGAGCTCAACACTGAGGTACTGTCTGAGTTGTCCTTAACTGAAATAGATGTTACAACCTTACTGCCGTTGAGTGTGATACTGTTAACACCTGTTGCAACGTCCCATACACGAATGGTGTGGTCAGAACTTCCAGAAACAATCCTTCCTCCCTCAATCCATTTAACACAAGTCACTCCCAACAGATGGCCATTTTGGTTATCACTCTCTTTTCTTTCCATTGTTCCAATTGGTGCATATTGTTGAATTTGAGATGGCATTTTCTTCTTCTTTTTCGTTGGCTCTTTATAGTCTTCGTCATCATCATTTTCATCATTTGCTGGAAGATTATTCTCATAGAAAAGTGCACTCTGAGATCGTGTCAAATCTACTTGCCATAACTTTAAGGATCTATCCTCGGAGGCAGTACAAATCATCGTTCCTCGTGGATGCAAACAAATATCATTCACAGTGTCTGTATGTCCATTCAGTAACATTTTCATTCTCATCTTTTCCTCAGATGGATTTGAAACCCATACTCTTCCATATTCATCTTTACCACATCCAGCAATTAGAATATCACCTACAGAAAATGATTTGTCTTCTGAACTTGTATGATGTTCGGCAATATAACAAGTAGCAAGACCAGTAATTGGTACCTTGGACTGTTTGGTTTGATGCACAATTTTACCGAGTGTGGTATCAATCACTCTCACCACACCATCATAACATCCTGAAATGAGATATTGATTATCAGCAACATTGGAAGTGAGACTGCTTCCTGAAGTGTGAAGTACCAATGATAAAGCACTCACCCAATCATCATGAGGAATGCTATCCACACATTTTGGAGCAGGTTGTGCTTCAATATATTCCAAAGTAATTGCTGATTCTGGCCATATTTGAAGTTTTGTAAAGAATTTTGCAAGGCTTGTTCTCAAGAATATCTTCTTTCCAGGTTTATACTCGATCAAAAATTCAAAAGGAACATGTTTTGGATGATTCTCTTCCGAATGTTCTTGAATTAATAGTTGATTAATCACTTCCGAAAGTCCAAATCTTGTGAAATTAGATGGTACTTTGAAAGCATTTTCCGAAACTTTTAAAGGATAATTCTCTGTAATGAATTTCACTTCCATCTCCGAAGGAAATTGAGAGAGTAAAAAGATGGGTTTGTCATCATCGGCTTTGTCCAGCATTTCTTTAATACTATTCTCTTGTGATACCTGCTCTCCGTTATTTTCATCATCGGAAGCATCATCTTGCAAACGTTGGTCATTATCCTCTTCTTTCATATCATGTTTGTTTTCCTCATCATCGCTACTGCTTGCCCACATGTCATAGGTTGCTGTTGTTTCCTCGTGCTTTTTCTTGTTGTTGAGTGGTTTGGACATTTTTTAAAAAGTGTTCACAAAAAATTTGAACGACAACTACTGACATTAACAATTCGTTGTTCAGTTTATTCGTGGAAGCCCCATTATCGATGCTTGCCTTTGGAGTGTGAACGATTGGAGCTTGATGTCGTGGGTGCCACTTGTTTTCTCTTGTTGGACGACGATCGATGAGAGGAAGAACCTCTTCGTTCAGAGACTGAAGAAAAACTGTAATCTGAATAGTCGTCCGAGTTGTACGGGCTAGCTTGAGATGAATACATGTCAGCATTGCTTGCCAATTCACTTTCGTCTTCTGAGGTATCGTAATAAGTTTTCTTGGAGGGTTTGTGCCTTGATTTCTTTTCTTCTGTTGCACTGGTCCGAGATCGTCGAGGCGATTCGAGAGGTCTTCCTCGTGACGGAGAGCTTGGCACTTTTCTTGAGGCTGATGAGGATGATGAACCTTTTCTCTCGTCCTTTGTTGGAGTTTTACTTCGAAGCGAGGGAGACATGGAACGAGAATTTCTGGTGGAGGAGGAAGATGACGAGGTTGGAATTAAGTGTTTTGGAAGGGCTGATTTTGAGGTGGTTTTCGGAGATTCATAACCCGAAATTCTTCTTTCGGAAGACGATGATCGTGAGGTAGCACCTCGTTTTTCAACGCTGCTACCTGTGGCTCTCCTAGTTGGTGTTGGAGATCGACTTCTCTCCACACGAGGTGACGACGATATCTTGGGAGATGGGGAACGTGTTGACCTAGTTTTTGTGACAGAGCTACGACTGTCGGAATGAATTTGTTGCTTACTTAGATAATATTTTGTGTTTTCTGCCCGTAGCTGTTCGATTTCATTCTTTGCATTCCTTAACTCTTTTTTAAGGAGTATGACTTTCTCCTCAAGCTCTGGCGCTCGTTGCAGCTGATCTGATTGTTGGGCTAATTGTTTTTTAAGTTTTTCAATATCTGCTGTTTGGATGTGTAGTTCACGCACCAACTCGTCGTATTGCTTTCTGACATGCTTCACTTCGTTTGCAGACTCCACTTGGAGTTTTCGGAATGCTTCTTCAATATCCCTCTTTTCTCTTGTTAATTTTTCAATTCTTTGTCACAATTTGGTACGTCTTAATTAGACCTACAATTCTATAATGTTAAAACACTTACTCCTTGTTTGGCTTTCTCAACTGTTCGTTCTCATTTCTTAGATTTTGAATTAGATTTTTAAGTATTTCAATGTTTGGCTCCTCATATGCAAGGGGAAGAGGATACCTGACGCAATCGTATTCAGTGTAGTAAATCACAATGAGATATCTTGTGTTCGAAGGTGTCAATGACGTTTTACTTGCTTCACCGTCGTCCATTGAGGGTGTTGATGAACCTTTTGATGATGACTTTTTTTGAAATAGTACTTCCATTTGGTTTTTTGTTATAAATTCAAGAGACACAGAATTAGACTTTTTCATCAATGCTTGATAAATCATTTTAAGGAAGGTATGAAATGGCTTGTAGCTGTTGGCTTTGCTTGTCAAGGTTTGAATATCTAGCATTTTGTGTTTAATTGAATTTTCAAAATATCAAACATTCCGTCAACCAAAGTTAAAATCGAAAGCAAGATCCAACATGTACATACGTTGACTACTATATCTTCCACACCACCGATCACAAGTTAATTTATGTTCTATCGTTAAAATTAAATTATCAGCATCGGGTGTAGTAAAATACACCATGTAGGGCTCGTTGCCAAACGAGTAGTCTGTTTTCGAGTTGAACGTTTCTCCACTCCCATTAGACATGGTTTTCAATTTCTTAATTTTTTTTGTACTTTGATGGATTGGTTTTGGCGGCAAGAGCCTTCTTGGCGGTTTCATCGAATTTCAAGGAATAAAGATACAAAGACCATTCCTTGAATTTTGATCATTTGATCATACTGACTACTATGACAATACATTATATAAGAATTTTTGAATTTTGAAAATTTGTTCCAAGTCATCATCATGATGATGAATAATATTTTTATGAAATTACATTTTAAAAAATGAGAAAATTCTTGAGAGCCCTGCTGGAACGAAAGCAGAAAACAAGAATTGAAGAATTGAATGAAAAGTATCTCGAAATTATGAGAAGAGGTACTAACGCTGCAACAGCTCAAGCTCGTTTCCAGAGAAGTACTGGCTTGGATACCGAAGATGTTATCACCGGTAAACAACATATTTTGCATAAACAAAGAAAGGATCGTTTGGCTTTCAAACCGGACAGAGAAATTCTCGAGAATAGTACTTATCCTGCTGAATTTCCAAGCACCTACGTTCCTGTACCAGAACCAGAAGTACCAGATCGTAGAGGAAGAAGAGCCTTGGGAGCATTATATAAATTGTACAAGGAGCTGTACAATCGTCATAGAAAATTTGTTTGGTTTAATGGATATGAACCATCCGTTCAATGTGCCGGTGTTTGGGTTGCTCCTTCTGCTACCGTCATCGGAGATGTTAGATTATGTGATAATGTTAATGTTTGGTACAATGCTGTTTTGCGAGGCGACAAGAATAGAATTGAAGTTGGGCCTCATACCAACATTCAAGATGGTGCAATTATTACCGTTGATGATAAGCCAACTCTTGCTGGATTCGAGAGTGGTGTTGTCATTGGTGGCCATACTACGATTGGACACGGTGCTAAATTACACGCTTGTCGTATTGGCAACGAATGTGTTATCGGAATGAATGCCACTATTCTCGAAGGAGCAATTATTGAAGATAATGCTGTTATTGCTGCCGGCTCTTTAGTACTTCCAAATACCAGAGTTGGTCACGGTGAAATGTGGGCTGGATCACCTGCTCGATTGATCCGCCATTTGGGCCATAATGAAGAGCTTCAAGTCAAGACAGACGCTTTAAATTATGTTCATCTCGCAGAAAAGCACGCATTAGAGTTCACAACAACCGGTATGGCATACAAGGAAGTCGACACAATTGTGGAAAAGCTTGAGGAACTCAATCCAGAGAGCAGAGATGACAGAGCTGTTCATTGGGGAGTTTGGCACGAACAGTCAAAATCTGCAACTGTTTCTTTGTGGAAGAAGGACAGAATTCTCTAATCTTTAAATCATCATTTTCATACTACTTTACTATTTATAATGTTAATCATCACATATTGCATCCTTAAATTAAACCAATTGGATTTTTGAAGGTTTTGAGGGGAGCCAATGTCTCGCTCATTAAACAATTCTGCTTTGTTTCAATTTGATGTTTGTGAGTTCCATGTACTAACTAAAGGGAACTCCTTCTCATCATTGACTTCATTGATTGAAACATTTCAGTATTTCAAGAAGGATTCTAATCTCGAAACCACTCCAATCCCATCCTTCTTTTCATTGAGGTACTCTTTCTCTTATCCAACCTTTTCTTGACAAGTGATAACCAATAAAAATCATCATAGCAGGTCAGCTTTCATCACGCCATCAAAGCAAAAAAAATGTAAGCAAAAATTTTTTGATTCTCAAATTTTTCTCTAACAACCACTGTGTGTGTGATATGATGATTAATACGAATGATAAATGTGTTGGACTGATCAACTTGGTGTTTATACATGGATTGGATCATTTTGTTCAATGCGGATATTGATTTCGGTGTTTTATGATTGAAACATTTCTCTGATGATAACTCGATTCGATTACAGATAAACAACAACAAGAAATGATCTTCCTCGAGGCTGCTAACAAAATCATCCAAGAAGTGCTCACCAAGCAATTTGATCCGTAAGTACTTGTCCATATCCGTATGTTTTGTGATATGAACACAGGACGTCTTCTTTCATCAATGATGATGATGGCTTACTTTCTCTGTTTTTGAAAACAAAATCATTACAACCATGGATACATCTATAACAACATCCTCTTAACAACAACACCTCCTTGTATCTTCAACAATCATTTCTCTCACGGGTCTCATTGCCAATCTATTGTTGATATTTTCCACGAAACCACTGTCATCATTGAATCTCGTTTCGGGTCTTTATTGACTCTCTCTTGATATTGTACTCATCAACAACAGAGCCACAAGATCTGGAGTCCGTGTGAACGGAGGTGATTTCGATGGAACTAAATTCGTTCTTGAAACTGATGCTGGAAACAAGAACATTCTCAACTTGTCCGTCTATGTTCACGGTGAAAAGGTGTTCACAAAATATGGTGGTATTGATTTGTTGAAGAAGACACTTCCTGGATTGACTGTTCAATCTCCTGGTCTCAAAGTTGAGGATCAAGTTCACACTTTCACCATCACTATTGATGTTGAAAAGGAAGAGAAGAATAAGGCAAAATGGTTGCAAGAAATTCCACGTTGCAAGACCACCTACATGAGTGCTGTATTCTTACAAGCTATGGAAAAGCATACAAAGGGTGAGACTATGGAACCAATTCAAATTCCATATAGACCAGATGAGAATATCTATCTTATCAGTTATAAGGGCAAGTCATTGGTTGCAGTTTACAGTATTTTGTTCCGTGATCCTGATGATGTTGTTTTGGCAAACGGATTTTTGTGTGAATTCAAGGATGCCAAGAAAGATCGTGCACTGAACGCTGCACCAAATATGAACTTTTCACAAGGCCAATTGGCTGGTGAGTTGGTTGATGTTAAATCAGTCACTGAGCCACGTGATGAAAGAACCTTGAAAAAGGAAGGATGGGGATTTGTTTCAATTAGTTTATTGGATGTTCAGTTAAAGGCTGACAAGCAAATGAATACTGCTGAATTATTGATTGGTTTCCGTTCCTATTTGCACTACCACTTGAAGTGCATGAAGGCTTACATGCATATTCGTATGAGAGAACGTGTCGAGAAGTTGATGCAAAACTTGAATGCTGCAAAGGACTTGAGCGGTAAGAAGACTGAGAAGAAGACTATGTCTGGTAAGACCTTTAAACAGAATTAGATTTTGTTGAACATTTGAACATTGTAGCATTAGCAGTTGTCGTCGTCATTGACACTTTTTGTTTTCACCATTTTCCTTATTTATTATTCAATACAATGAACATGTTGTTGAATTTTGTAAATTGAATATTTACATTTTGTGAACACAATTTCTTTTTACTCGTATCAAAACTTGAGCCTCACTTGTATATTAAATATCGAGAACGAATAGTATTGAAAGCATCTAGGTCAGGTTGCCATGATCTGACAATTTCTTCTACACTCACGGTTGGGTCTAGAATGAGCTGAATCGTTTGGTCATTTCCTATCAATGACTTGGCAAAGCTATTTCGCCACATCAATTGATTTGCATCGTAGAGCTTCAACAATGATTTGATCAAGGTAAGTGAGATTGGTAAAAAGCTCTGGTAATACTCATCAATTTGGGAATCGGACGAATAGTCGAGTGGTCTCAACACTAGTCTAATACCTTCACATTGCTTATTCGTGTGAATATCCTGAGTGGGAATAAAATAGGTTGGGTAAGATATTTGCACATATTTGAAATACATGTCCAATTCTTTTGAATACTGTGAATGCAATAATTGAACCCATTTTCTTGAATCTATAAATGGAGCACCAATGACTTGGAATGGATTAGTAGTTCCTCTTCCAATAGACACATTGTACATTGCCTCAAACAACACCAAACCAGAATATAATTCTACTGTATCTACATAGGGAAGATTTGGACTTGGTGGTAAATACAAGATGGGCTGTTTGAAATATTCTCTAATTTCTCGAAAAGAAGGTCTCTTCTTGGAATAGGTCTTTGAAGAGTCATCTTTCACTGGAATGATACTTAATTGATCTCCCATTTGAATATTCATTTCAGTGTCAAACAATTTTGCAAGCTCTCCCATGGTCATACCAGTAATGAGTGGTAGCTTGTAAATTCCAATAAAACTTTGATATTTTAAATCCAACATGGGTCCTCCAATCACTCGTCCATTCAAATAATCAATTCGATCCAAAATTGTAAATTTCACATGATTTTCTTTAGAACTTTTCAAAGATTCACACATGGTACTGATAAATGTAAAAGGTCTCATTCCAACATCTTGAACATTCATTCCTCCTTTCAATTGTTTTTGGAACGAAATAAAACCTACCTTGAATGTCCAACACCAGCATGGTGATATTTTTCAACATGTAAGGTAAAGGTTTGTATAAATCATTTTGAGAATGTTGATCATTATACAAGCTATATACTGGTAAATGAGTCACGGAATCTATGTAATCTCCAAAATATTGTCCAGGAGGTTTATCTCCATACACTCCATGTTCGGGCGCAAATAAAGCGATTAATTTTAATTTTCCTTCTTTTGATAATTCCATTAATAAATCAATGGTAGATCTTGAAAGAGAATAGGATTGTCCCGAAGGATTAGTAATGAGTCCAATCGAATGGCCATACAGAGGAGTCAGATAATTATTAACACCTGGCTCTATAACATCTCTAGAAAGAAAAGGCTTGTTTTGAATTTCATTGTTTTTCCGATAAGGATGATGATGATGATACAAACGAAGAGAAGTCTTCTTGCTTTCATGTGCATTCACCAATAAATGAAATTCTTTGAAAAGATGTCCGCTTGAAATCATCATGGTGCATAAAATGATCAGAAATACATAAATTTGATGTTTTTGAATTTGAATCGGATCATAATGATAGGTCCGAGTTGGTGAGTTCCGTAAACAAGTCTTGTTCATCATCGCTCACGATAATGAAATGAATTTGTTGGACTGAGATTTTTTTTTGAACGATAAAAAATCCAAGTTTGGAAACAGTGTTAATAAAATTCAACCATGTAAATGTTAACACTCAATAAATCATGAGAGGGAGTTCTCTATTTGAATGATAGGTCTTAGACTCCATTAATTATCCAATAATGATGGAATCATCTCAATATAATTTAGAGAATTGTATTTTCTTTTTTCTTGCAAATATAAATGGTGGCTTTCATTCCCTTTCCTAGATCTCCAAGTGAAATGAGTTTGCGACAAGTAATTTCCCAAAAGTTGCGAGCAGCTAGCTGATTTTCTAAAAGTGTGTTTTCAATGGTCAACAACAGTACAATTCCATCAGGTTTGATGAGTCGTTCTAATTGTTTCACTAATTTTGGATAAATTTTGGAATTTCTTGCATGATTACCACATAGTATTCCAAAAGGCATATCGGAGATGACAACATCCATCGATTGAGATTTGAATGGAATTCTTCTGGCGTCACATAACATGATGTGAATATTGGTGTGAAGTTTACAATTTTGATTCATGACACTGGTTTCATCTGTCGAATAATCCAAATTGAACATTTGAACATTTTGAGACTTATTCAGTAATAAATAGTTTGCAGCGAGTGAGAGGGATCCTGAACCAGCAAAAGGATCTAAAATGGTGCAAATCGAATTCGGGGAGAATATCTTTTCACACAAAGTGGGCTCTTGCATTAATAAGGTTTTCCATAACATGTAGCTTGTTTGAGGTTTGAGTGTGGATTTGCCATATTTCAGTCTAAAATCTTGTTTGGTGTAATAGTAAATGAGATCAAGTTCTGGAAAATTCTGGGAAGGCAAATTCAGAACAGATTTTTCATTGTTCGTATTGACATCGGTTGTGTCATCATCTGAAAAATGGCGAAGCCCATATTCCTGTAAGTAATGCAATGGTGGAGTGAGAAGTAAAGCGGTCACAGCTCGATCTATGTCCAAATAAATTAAAATGTCAATATCATATTTCTTCAAATTTACGTTCATATTTTTGCATACATGTTGTCCAATTCCGTAACCATACTCTGTTGCAATATCCACAGATGTATACGAATGTCGGAGCTGGCTAGATTGTTTTCGAACAGCAGTAACTCTAAATTTTGTTTTTTCTGAAAACAATAATTCTTCAGTTGGAAATTTCTTGCAGTACAGTTTTCGAAATAGTTCAAAGGACTGTTTCCATGCCATTTCATCTTGTTCACGATATGGAATTTCATTCTTAAATTTAGGTAATGCATTTGCTTTGTCAAGTGGAACATTTGGAATGAGTGAAATGAAAGAATACACACAATCGACGGACGGTAGTGCATTTAAATGTAAAACAAATTGTGAAACATGCTCCATAAATTGGTCACGAGATTCTTTGAAACTTTCATTCTTTCCTACTAAATTAAAAACTAAAAGTTCATTGTGTGAAAACAAAAATTCTGGCACGTGAAACACGTTTGAAAAGTTCACATCCAACCATTCACAACTCTCCTCAGAATGTATCTTTCCATGTACTCGTGCTAATGTTTTCAATTTTCCTACAGGTAATTCCGAAGCAGTGTTGTTGTATTTCCATGTTTTTAACATTCTTGCCACACGAGTAGTGGGATAATCAAACACAGACAAAGAAGGCTCAAATCCATGATACCACTCTTTTTCAACTCCCTTCATAGTAAAAAGAGCTTGAATTTCGCTCTTGACAATTTGTTCAAATCCATGTGTATGAGTGATGAGAAATTGAAATGAATTTTGGAGTGATGATGATGATGATTCATAGTGTCCATGCTGTGGTGGTTGCTCTCGGATGATGATGGGATGATAACTCTCCGAAGAATGACCCACTCTCTCTTCCACACTGTGCGGCGCTTTCATTTTCGACATTTTTTTCAAATCGTTTATGAATGATTCAAAATCTTAAAAGATCTTTGTCAAGTTTAGAACATTATTAATGACTTTACACAAACGGTCATTAGTTTCCCAGCACATTCAACGCCTTCTATGATCATGATCTGGAATGGTAATGAAACAAAAAAAATATTAAAGAGCTCGTGTTGAAAGAGATGATGACCATAGACCGAGCAACTTCAAGTCCTACTTGCCTGCATGGCTACGGATTCACGGACTTACCCGATGCTTTGATGGTTGAAATTTATTCCTTTCTGTATGAAATTCCAATCGTTCCCTATTATCATGATCGCAACAGTAGAACCAAAAGATCATCATATGAAAATACACAAGGACATTTCTGGGAGCATCAAAGTGAATGTACATTGGCCTTTCCGCATACCTGTCGGAAGATCATGATGGCACTCGAAAAGGATCCGAATTTTCAACTGATGAAATTTATTCAATTTTATTGCTTGGGAATTAGAAATGGAAGATATGATGGTATCGAGGAGTTGTATAGGGATGTCAATTCTGAAAACGTTTGGAAACAAATTATACCAATTGTTATTTATTTGAATTTTCCTCCATTGGAATATATCGAGTCATTGGAATTTAAAAAAGATGTGATTCCTTTAGAACGAAAATTTAGACAAGCCTATAACCTACATACTTTCTTTGATTATGAAGATTTTCTTTTCAAAATTGATAGAATTGTGGAAATGTTGACCATGTTTGTGAACTGTGTAAAAAACGATATTCAAAGCAAGCATGTCAACCTCCATGATATTTCTTCTATCGATTTGGTTTTCCCAATTTCTAATGATTATACCATCAACATGACATACTCTCATCTGACTCAAATTTTGTGTGAAGCTGATAGAGTAGTTGCTACTTGCATGTCAATATTTCATTGGAAGGCTTACAAACATTCCTATTTTGAAGAGATGTATATGGAAATTCCTCAAGAGCTTCCAAGAATTAGAGAAAATTATCAACTTTGTGCTCAGCTATGTACTGCCTTGAAAGACTCTACAGCTGACAATCAAGAGGTTTTGAATTCTCTCTTTTCCAACCTGAACTGCTATTACTGCGACAAGCTGTCAGCTGCTTGCTATTATTCGAGAAAATTCTTCAACAGACATGTCATTCTACATGCACTACATAACACTAGCTGCCTGTCGCAAGATGATTATGACAAGTATGATCAAGAAATTATTGAACGTGCAATATTTGCAAACGGTGAGAATTTCATTCTGTTACCTTCTTACATACAACAGCAACAAGGTGAAGAAATGTTAATGACAGCACTTCGGAGAGGCTTGCTTTTGAACAGGCTATTAGAAAACAATCGTATGGTGGATTCACCTGATAGTACATTTATGAAAACGAATGAATTATTTTTCAAAGCTATGGATATGATGTTAAAAGATAATGATTTTGCATACGATGTTATTAAGACGTTGGCACGAGAAAAGAAAGGTCTGAGCTGCATTGCATATTATATCAAGAGACGTCTCATGAACATGGACCTAAAAGTTGCACATCCATCCAAGTACAACAAGCACAATTGCCTTTTTTTCGATTGGAAAATGATGTATTTAATTCTTCATGCAGACGGACATTCGTATCGACCTACCTCCTTTTTTCGTCCACAACTCTATGCGTCCTATTTTGTCAATGTGTTGATGAGATTGAGGAGTGACACCATTGACAATATTACCATTTGCATTCCACATGGTCTTTCTTTAGACACGCAAAATTTCATTATTGAACACAACAAGAAATTCTTTCACACATTGAACAAGGTGGGATTGATTCAACGCTCTGATTATAACAGCGTCTATTTTAATGAAGAGTAGCTGTAATATTTTTTGCCTCGCGGCTTCTCCTTACTAATCCATGAATTCATCACATCAACACTTTTAAATTATTGCTAAAAATGTCTCAACCTCACCACCACTCAACGACGTCTCCCCGTTGTGCTTCCGAACCGGCAAATGCATCAGAGGAGCCTGCCTCACACTCACCTCATGATAATGCCAACCACGAAGAAGACCAAGAAGAGGATCACCACTCGAATGCATCTTCTCACTCATCCTCACACACTCCCCTCTTTGAAGGCATTGAATTTGTCATTGCGAAAGAAACAGTTGAACAGGCTGATTATGACTTTGTTGCCAAATTGATTCAAGAGCATGGAGGAATACTTGCAGAATCCATTTCTGACAACACAGTCTATCTACTGTCGGGCAAACCGGTATGGCCAGTCCCTCCGCATGTACTCTCTCTTGATATTTGGTTTGTGGAGGACGGTGTCAACAGTGGATTGTTGAATGAGGAGGTTTATCTTTGGAATTTAGAACTTTCACATCAAGGACCACAGTTGAAAAAGAGAAAACTAATGTTGAAGGATGACGACGACAAGAATGACATGGAACAAGAGAGGAAAACCCACACTTCTTTGGAGCAACAAATGAGAATGGCCAACTCATCCATGATGATTGAGTCGCTTCTTTCTGTTGAACTTTGGTATGAAATTTTCATGTTTTTGGAAATTGCAGAATTGAATATGTTGAGTTTGGTATCTTGGGAAATGCATCGCCTCGTTCAGGATGATCGTTACGAGAAGAATCAATCCTTTTGGATTCGATACTATAATCAATTTATTCAAAAATTGATTTCACAGAGTGAAAATGAATTTTTCAATAGTATTCATAATACGTCATTCGATAAGTATGAACCCAAAACTAATTTGAATAGAAATAAGAAGAGATTACTACTTACAACTCAAAAAGCCACTCTATTATTCAATCGAAGAGCTAGTCCTCGTCTTGGACCTACAGAAATGCCTCATTTTTCACTTCCAAATTTGGTTAAGAATAGAACCATGATCCATCTTCATTTTTTAAAAGCATTGAAGAGAAGAAAGACTGTTAGAATTACCTGTGAGGCTTCGTCTAAAAAGGGGAACCATTTAGAACAGGTTCAAAAATACTCTCAAACCATGACTCTCTTTCAAGGACTCTCTATCAAGGACCAATTAGAAGCATTGAAGTCGCGAGTCAATGAGTTTACAGAAATTAATTTTGGACCATTTCATGAGTATGACATGAATGGAGAAATTCCAAAAGTTTATTTGGATTGGATCTCTGAAAATTCAGCTCTCCTTAACAATATTAGAAGTTTATTTTTCTTGGATGTACATTATACTTTCTGTGAAGTGAGTTGGATGAGACTTGGAGATTTGAAAATGGTATTAGAGGCATTTTCTAATTTGGTTCATTGGACATCTCTTGGCAGTCAACAGTTTAGATTTTCGTCCACACATGCTTCCTCTACAGCATTGAGATCTCTTGTGTTGATTTCGGCAGGATTATCAAAACCGATTTTGGAGGATGTATTTTACATGAAATTACCCAATTTATGTCATTTAGAACTGTTTTTAGGGGATGATAATCGAAGAGATCGTCGACACGATTTCGAACCAGAATTTATTCAAAATTTATTAACATCAACCAGGTGTCAAGACATTTTCCCTTCTCTAGATTATCTTGGATTACGAAATTATGAGCATATTGACCAAGTGACTCTTACCATTTTTGAAAGCCCATTTTCCAAGCGAGTACGCATCCTTGATCTTTCTTTAGGAACTTTGAGTGATGAAGGCGTCAAAGGTTTTTTAGAAATTTTGAAGAACGAAGAAAGGATGAATCATGAATTTTTGAATTTGGAAATCTTGGATGTTCACAATTCCTATCTTTCTCAGGAAATGGTTGAAGAGTTATTGAATGTGACGACACTGATTGTCAATACAACACCTCACAAAAATGCAAGTCATCAATGGAGATATGTAACGTTGAATGAATGATTGAAAAAGAAATAATGTCTTGAGTGAATCTCTCTCATTCAGGCAACATATTTTGCAATTCTCTAAATTTGGATCTTTACCTGTCAAAAGTCTTAAAAAAAAATGACTTCGTTCATGGACGCCCCTTTGCTTGATTTTAGTGTTGGCAATAATAATCCCTACAACACCAACACCAACATCAATCAAAAATCATCCTCTTCATCACCAACTTTTTCTACGCAAGTCGAATTACAAATTTTAGAAAAAGCCAAACAAATCGATCAAATCAAACTCCAACTCATTGAACACAGATTCAATACAAAAGTTATTATCGATGATGAGTATCGATCGTTTTTAAAAAATCAAATCGGACAACTTCATGTCTTGGAGAGTCAAATTGCTCAACTCCGATTGGATGATCATAATGAATTTATTAATTCATTAAAATTGGATGAATTGAACAGTCGTGTAACAAGTCCTGTGAAAAAGAATTTGGTCGAACCTGCTGTGGCCAAAGTGGATGCACTCACCGTCAAGTCATTCTTGTCAAAGACTGAAAAGAATAATGCCATGAGACGTTGGAACAAGGCAATTAATGCAGTGAGAGGTGTCAGTAAATTTTCACAAACTTATGAGAATGCAAGAATTAAGAAGGCAGAAGAGATTTTACGGAACCCAATTTCAGCTCAAATGAAGAATGAAATTCTCGAGTTGAGAAAGTCACTGGTCATTTTGAACAACAAGAAAAAGTTAACTCCAGACCAAGAAATGTTGAAAGAAAAATTGGTTGAGGAATTGAAAGAGTTGGACAAGAGATACCATGATCAGTTTTCTCAAGAATAAGAGATGTAGTTGTGAAAAAGTCATTTCCATTAATTCATAAATTGTAAATATTGGCATGATAAAAAATACCAAGAATTAATTAACTTGTGGCTTATCACTTGTCGTTTATTGGCGTGCCTTGTTGTGGCATGACACTTGTTTGCAACACTTTTCATACAATATTTGCACGCTTTTCAATCCAGTCAACGAGAGCAGCATGGAACATTTGCTTTTAACATGAGCAAATTTCTTTTCATCGGTCAGATACGACTGAATTTGAAGTAAATCTGACGTAATTCTTTTCTGTAAATCAGAGGCTTCGTTTTTGTGACAAACCAATTCATAGCAAGCATGTAACTCACGATTCTCTGTGTTGTTCCAGTACATGGATAAATCTGATTGCGACAGACCTTTCATGGTAGACACAATATCATGAGAGGAACATACAGACTCTGTTTTCAAATAGTCCAAAAAGAAACATAGAAAGGCACCTGAAACTTTTTCAAACGTCGAGGGCCCAATCAAAATAGAGGTGTTAAAAAAATGATTCAATTCCATTAATTTAGAAGCGAGCTCCAAATTCTTTCCAAATACGCTGAAACTTAGAGATTTGTTGGTTCCCACATTTCCACACAGAAATTTTCCTGAATTAATTCCAATATTCACTCGTATTTTGTTTTCTTCAGAGAAGTGTTTTTTGTTTAAATCATTTTCAATCGCTTCTAAAATCTCTAATGCAGTACTACATGCATGTATTTCGTGATCATTAATGGGGCACGTCGATTCATTAAATAAACATGTAATACAAGCAGAGTTGAACTTGTCCACAAGCCCACGACGATTTTGAATAATGGCACAAACACATGTCATGTAATCGTTCACAATAGAAAGTAATGTTTGAGGATCTAGGGTTTCAGCCATCTTGTTAAATCCTTCAATGTCACAACAAAGAATACTCATGTGTTGCTCACTGATGTATATTTCACCACAATCTCCGTGTTCTTTTCGCAATACCTTTTGAACAATGACTTCAGGAACATATCTATAGTCAAAATTAGTTATACTATTATTCCTTATTCAAACCATACTTACTTGGTAAATGTATTCAATCGTCTTCTCATAGTCGAAATATATTCTTGCATTTCCTTAATGTCACTGAAAAAACTTGATGATTCCTTATCCTTGTCAATCTGAACATCTGAAAGGTTAGTTAATTTCAACATGTCCACAGAAATTTGATAGAGAGGATTACTAATAGCTTTTACGAAAAAGAATAAGCAAAACATTCCAAATATGAAAATGATCACAAAGATCACAACACTTGTAATTCCTCCAGTGACCACTTCATCTGCGAATGATACTTTTCGTGTTGCAACTGCCACTCCCCATGACAAATTATACATGTCTGTAATTAATGTTAATTCCACGTCTAGAATTGCATCATTTCCATAATAGGAAAATTGTTCGATAAATTTAGAGCAAATACGTCCTTTTGTGACTTGACAAACAGTAGTGTTCAATTGAGATAACACATTTCTTTGTTTGTAATTTGCAATGATTCTCTGTGCTGTCAAGTATTTCGGTTCATTAGAGTAAGCATTGACAGCAATGAGATCTCCAGCATGATTGGTAATGAACGCTAGATCTAAATCTCCAAAAAGAACACTCGAATTCTTCAATAAAACACTCAACGTTGGAGATTGAAGTTGAAATGCAGCAACTCCATATAAATGGAATGGATTTTTGAGAGATTCATCCAACTTGTCAGGTAGTATGAAAGGAGCTCCTTGGGTCACATTGGAAAGTGTGGTACCGTTCACATAAACAGGAATTGTTACTGAAATGCTCAATTCTCCAGCGATCGGAGAAACAAAAACAGGTGACCATCGAATGTTGGTTGAGGGATTATTCAATTGTACAAATGGCATGTACCAACTGCTCTTGGTGGAATCAATGGAAATGTTACATGTGGAATAGGCAAATGTATTGTCAAAATATGATTCTGACATTTGCTGAGAAAAATTCGCATGGTAATAGTATTGACATTGTGTTCCATCCTCAATGGATCCATTTCGAATGGTAAATAAATTATTTCGTTTGTATGCGATAACTGTATTGTCATACCTAGTAAATAATATAGCATCGATTGGTATGATATTCTTATAAATTCCAGCAACGTAATGAAATAAGGAAAACCATTGAGTAGAGTTTGTGACTTGGAAACCAGGATTGGATAATTTAAATAGCATGGAATCTACTGCAAGTGAAGTATAATCCAATAGATTAAATATTTCGTAATTACTAAATGTCTTGATTTGTAACTGTTGAATCGATTGAGTATTCTCCAACACTCGTTGTCCACTTGTGTACAGTAAAATAAATGCAGAGGATATTCCAAATACTCCTTGTAAAATAAATAACAATAATAAACAGTTCAATATCGTCACACACCGAGGAGGATGACACATAAATGTCACTTGTCCCAAACAGCACAGTTTCAACCATATCCAAAACGAATATTCACTCTCAATCACATGTTCTTCCACTTCCTCGTCATGTATTTCTTCAATGGCATCTGTCATTAGTCGAATTTTATCAGATGCATGTTTTACCGTTGAAGATGGTGAAGGAAACAATGAGGAAGGTGCACCAAGGGATGCATTTTCCTTCACCATCTTGATTCTATCATTCTTACCTAGCACGACAAAATCAGGAATGAATACTCGTGAAAATATATTCTTGTTGTTGGAATTGTGTGTGAATGATGACATGTCCTTTCTTGAATTTCTACGTTCGAGAACTTGTTGAAAATTTGTGGACGCTCGAGAAAAGTGAGAAACACAACAACAGTACGATAGAAACGCTTCCAACATGATTCGACATGTTTTGGTAAAGCTTGAGGAGGATGACCATGAGGTTGTTTCTCTTGACACTACCAATCGATTCGAATAATAGTTGGTGTGGAATCGAGTTGAGGAGGGTGAGGATGAGGAGGAACTTGGAGATGAATTTTTTTCATTTTCCATATTTGTTGTGGTGATGAATGGGTGGTTGTTGTTGGTTGACTGTGAAGATTCTAATAAATTGTGTTGATTGTGGTGTTGAACAGTTGGCGATGAGTGGGGTTGTAACTCCACCATTGGCGTTGGAGTTTTGGTATTTTCTCTTGTCGAGTGGTGGTGGTTGGTGTTGTTGTTGTTGTTGTTCATCAATTCATTCGTGATGATTTCATTGTCGTGGTTAAATTGAGCCTCCGAAGTATGCATGATCATGTTTGACTTCAATTTTCAGATGATATAGACCAATTTAGCATTCACACAACAGCGAGTAGTGAATATAGCACCAAGATTTTTGGAGTAAAGTGTTTGCCTATTTTTTGAGAGCTGAAATCTTTGGCCTGTGAGATACGGCATTGTCTGTTTTTGCAACTTCGTCTTGTACTTTTTGAAATTTAAGGCTTTGAAATTCAAGAATCAACACTTCAACACGGAAGTCCCTGTCTGGTTATTTCCATAACTCTCCTCTGGTGTCTCTTTCGCAAGTGAGCTTATGTTGGGCACATGTTTGATGCTTATTGTTAATTTGTTTTGACCACACGTGCACCACTTGTGTTCCATTTACTTTTTTGAAAGGTTTTATTCAAGGTTGAGAAATGATGTTAAAACCAAGTTGACTCTAGATTGTCTTACTTCAGCTCTGACAAAATTTTAATGTTGGGCATCAAGTTGTGCTTTTTTCTGCTGTAGTGATGCAACATACATGGAGAGATATCCGCAAATCTTGGTGTAAACTCCTCTCAACATATTTGGCATGTATTGATCGAGAGCGTTCTTAATAGCATGAATATAGTTTGCCAGGTGAGGGAAAATAATGTAACGATGGCAAATAAAATTAATAATCATAATGATTTTGAGAATGGAGAAGGCTAATACTTCGTTGACGAGCAAGAACAACTCAAATCTTGCAAATTTGTCTCCTAAATCATATTGATAAAGTTTTTGTTGAAATGCTAAAACTCTTGGATTGTTGTTGGTCACAATCAGTAAATTTGGCAGTAATCTCACCAACGCAGAGAGCATTAACAGTAAAATGAAAACTCCAGACTTTCCTGAAACCAAATAAAACAATGAAATAAATAAATACTGTCCATCAGCATCAAACATAATGTACGCATACTTTTTCCATCCATACTTGTGTAAAAATTCAAAAGCAAAAATTCCACACGATAATAAAACACTCATAAAATAGCTACTCATGCAAAGTGACATGAATGGAGAAATTGAAGGGGCAGAGGACGAAGCTGGAATGGTTTGTGGTTGAGGTGGGATAACAGTATCATCTATATCCAACTCACGATCGAATTGAGAATTAGAAATTGGAGGAGGTGTTGCAGCTGTTTGTGCTCCACAGGTTGGACAAAATAAAATTGAGATTAAACCCAAGATACCACAAATAATAATGGCGCTGCAAGCCGCCGTATAAATATAAGGTTTTTGTTGTTGCAAAACGTTCCAAAAGCTGCCAGACCCTGTTGTAGAAGTATTACTACTAGTTGAACCACTAGTGGAGGCAGTGTTCGTTGTATCGCTTGTTCTACTACCGGTGGTCGTATGATTTGCGGATGATGATGAGGCTTGTTGGGAGGAAGGCTCCGAAGAAGAGCTGTTGCCTGTGTTCGCACTGCTACTTGCTCCTCCTCCTACCTCCATTGAAATTGGCTCTACATTCTTATTGTACCATCTTCTCTTGTATTTTTCTAGGGTGGTGTTGGACATGTAATTTCCATCGGCAATTTCCAAATTGTTAAAGTAATTTAACCAACTCTTGTCATTGGTAAAGCTGAACATTAAACAAGAATGCACCATATATTGAAGACACGGAACATCGGAATTGATTTTCAAAGATGACACGGAATAATACTCACTCATATTTGCGAAATCGTTCTTCAGCCATTTTTTTTGTTTCGGAACACGTATTAGCTATCATGCCCACAACAACCCAAGCAAATCACTGGTTTCACATTAGAACACACGTGTTTTTTCACACATGTATTTTACTGTCCACACAACATCATCTCATGGATGTAGGAATTCTTGACCTTAGAGTTGCAGGCAAAGTTTTCGGCATTGTCGCCATCTCTTTTGTCATTCCAAGTGTTTCAAAATTGCTTAATAGATTCCTACAAACAGCTAAAGGACAAAGGCCGATCCTGATAAATCCACAAATTCCAAGCATGTGTAGTACAAGTTATCTGTAGGTTGGGTTTGTCCCTTTCCCAACAAGTTAAATCTCACCAAAATATTTCCCTCTTCCCTTGCAGATAATTGCTGGAACAGCATGTTCTCTTCGACCTCTCTTCTCTTTTCAATGAGTTTTCTCTCGGCAATTCTTCTCAGCTCTCTATAGAAATCGTCATTGATCGCACCACCTGAGAGTGACAAGGCATGCAAAAGATCATCGTCTGTGATCACAATCCTAGTAGTTGCGCCATTATCTTGATTTTGACCTTCTTCTGCCTCCTCATCCTCATTTTCCACTTCAATCCCCTCATCCTCATCATCCTCATCATCATTTCGAGTGGTCTCAGATCTCACTGTCTCTTCGGTCGTAGTCTTCTCTGTTGGAGGAAGGTCAATGTTGTTATCTCGTTTGTACAAAATGATAAATGGGCCTGCCTCAAACTGATGAAATTCATTGGTGTTTTGAACAGGATATTCTAAATTATCTAAGGTTTCAAATTTCAAGTCTTCGAGTTTTGTGGTGGGCGAAATTTTTGCAACAGACAGAGACACTTGCTTTGGAGCATAACAGTTGTTATTTTGCCATCTAGTATTAGTTCAACAATGATGATATTAAATAACACCGCAAGTGAAATGATGTTTTCCATGAAACTTTGTACTAAGAGATACTTACGAAGCCAAGAATGGTTTGAGTGTAAATTTTTCCAAAAATAATACTCCAATTTGTGAATCGAACGACATGACACTTTCGTCGTGGTCAGTGGTATCGTCAGATTTTCCCTCTTTGGTGTTTATAACATCCACATATTTGTAAAATTCGGTCCACTTTTTCACACTCTTGGCTTTTTGAAGCTTGCGTTCTCTTTCAACTACAAACCAAGGATCCTGTAGCTGATAAATGAGAAATTCGTTAGCCTTGTTGTCTTTAGAACCTGTGGATGACCAAAATGATCTTGTATTTCGAGCATCTCGTGTTTTTTCAATATCTTGGCTGGTAAAGTCAACCGAACTTGCCTTAATGGATTTGCAAATTAGAGTTCGTTCTTTGAACGATGATCGTATGGTATCTTCATCCTCCTTGAATAAGTCGAGGCCTGATGGATACTCGATGGTGGAAGATGACAATTGCATTTGACTATCGTTTGTACTTTCAGTTGACTGTAAATTTTCGATAGTTGGAGTGGTGCTTGTTTCCTCATTGTCGACATCATTCCATTCTTCGTCTTCGTCGTCACTAGGAGGATCTTCTGGTTGAGTGAGTCGTGTTGTCTTTTCTGATTCAGTTTTCTTTTCTTGTTGTAGATGTAAATAATTTTTAATGATTGACCGTTCTTTGAGAGTGATAAACTTGAGTAATTTTCGCCATTGTTTGCAAGACAAAAATTGTATCATTTCTTGTTGTTTTGTAATCTTTTTTCCATCATCATTAATAATCATTAATTTTGTTTTCAAAATATTCGAAAGCAATCGGAACCAAATAAACTTGTTTTTTTCAGTACATAATAATTGATGCCAGTCTTTACAAACTTGATGTGCAACCATAAACAAGGATTGAACAGGTAAAAATTCAAATATCATCATTTTGATTTCTTTTGGAAGATATTGATCAAGAGTAACGTATTCGTACGGTTCTTCCTCAGTCATCATGGGATCTTCATGCAGAGACATTTTTTTAGCTTGTTCGGAAAGCACGGAAGAGAGGACAGGATGAAAAACGAATTTGCGTTGAGTTTGCATGGATCACCTCAATTAATGAAAATGTTTACATCCAATTAAGTGGATATCGCTGAAAACGTTGTGCACTGCTCAATTTAAGTTTCACACGGTTGTTTAATGTTGGATTAGAGTTGACATCGAATAAATTTCAATAGCTTCACCATGAGAAAAGAGAAGCTAAAGTAAGAAAAATGCAAGACTTGTCGAAAATAACATTTTAATTTGTCAATTCAAAATTTGAATGCAAAGCTGGAGTAATGATTGACTTTGAGAGTCAGAGAAATTAATACATTACAAAGGAGACGAAAAATCTAGCAGGACCATGATGAAGGTCAGTTGTTGCTGATTAAATATAGAGAGTGTGGAAATGTTGTCGAGTTGCAAAGGTCGACGTCAAAATATTTACAAGAAGTATTCTGGTGTCAGCTTTTTCTGACCCATTCCAGTTGTGCTGTTTTCCGAGCGTGGAGCAGGGTCGAATTGAAGGAAACTGCAGTTCAACAAATCATCAACCTCCATAATTGCTGCCTTATTGCCGCATCTGTAACAATAGTTTGGAGCAGAGAAAATGGTGACAACGTTACCGTCATGGCACCAGTTATATCCTTCCATAACCAATTGGTGAGCACGGGCAACCATTGTTAAATCGTTATTGTGATTAAATTGTTCACTCACATCTTGGCCGAATGTGTAACCAGCACCTCTAGGTGAAATTCCCCAACTGCTTCGTTCATCAGGATCAGACCACATCAAATCACACATTGGACCATCGAGTGGAATTTCTTGAACTCGGTCTAGTGTTCGAATGTGGTCAAGAGAATCGATGGAAGGAGAAAGACCACCATGTACACAAAATATCTGTTTGTCAATTTCGGCTGCCAATGGCAGATAGTCAAACACGTCTGTGAGCATCTTCCACACAGATTCGCTTCCGTATTTCCTCACACACTCGTCATAGAATCCATATACTTGTGTAATTTGTCGACTTTCGTGGTTTCCTCTTAACATGTGTAGACGGTTCTTGTATCGCAACTTGAGACAGAGTAAAAGTGTAACAACTTCCACGCTATGATATCCTCTGTCTACATAGTCTCCAAGAAATAAGTAATTTGTGTTCGGTGAATCGCCACCAATCTTAAAAAGCTCAATCAAATCATAAAATTGACCGTGAATATCACCACATACTGTCACTGGCGACTCGACTGTGATAACATTTTTCACTTGAGAGAAGTATTCTTTAGCCTATTGAAATCATAGGGAATCACAAGTGTGTGATTCAAGAGAAAGTTGTAATGCGGTGTAGCGAATATGCGATCACACGTGTTACGATGATGCAAACAACAATAACAAATACAACACAGCGTGATTATTATCATGAAATATGCGAGGTCATCATCATTGAAAACGTACCATGGTGCAAATCTTTTTTACATCAGCTTCCGAAAGGTGTTCTCCTCTTCGCAACTGTTCAATGCACTTATCTAAATCTGCCATATTGATGAAAAAGGTAGAGGGTGAAGAAAGAGAATGGAACAAACTCGTTACAGCCACTCGTCAGGCGTTACTTAAATATTTTTTATTTTTTGTCAGAACGCTGCTTTACAAAACCCTTGCATGGCGCCTGTTGAAGGCTTTTGGGATGAGAATATAGGAGAGAGTGGTAGTAATAATAACGAATCCAGTGAAAGATGTTCTGGTAGTGGAGTTGATGATCATGATAAACGCGGAAAGAATACATATTCATCTTGAAGGTATGGGACATTGGGAAGAAGAAGATAACACTACCATCCCTCGTTGGAGTATGCTTTGCCGGTGAGAGTGACCATCGAATGGTTCTTCAAGAACTATAATCCAAAATAAAAACAATCAACATTGATTATGGAAAGAGAACAATTATTGTTCAATTCATAACGATGAAACCAAGTTAGACATCAGAAATAAATTATTTTCAAGACGATGATTTTTGAAAATTAATAAATTGTTGATGATGTTCTGTGATTCATAACACTCACCTCCTTGTCTAATTCGGGATATCTCAAGAAAGCACATCCACCCTCCTTGTCTGGAATATGGTATGGATCCGGATGAGTATATTCTTCAACCCAGTATTCTCCTCGTTGCAAAAGGAATTCAATTTTTGAGGTATCTTGCTCTCCTCTGTGTTTCTCAAATTCCTCTCGAATTTTACGGGCTTCCACACAGAAAAGATCCCTTTCGGCACTGTATGAAATTTCTCGCAAAGCTCTTCTGTACAATTTAAAAATACGCTGAGAGAATGGTGATAAAAGAGTCATTTTTTTAATTGTGGAAATCATGATTTTTACTCTAAGGAAATGACAAAAGAAGTTCTTGTTTTACCATCATGTGACTTCCTAATGTTGTTTGTGTCTTGGGGTCAACCATCGAACAATGATAATCATTAAAGAACATGTTTTCAGCTTGTTGTTTTTCTGTGGTCAACATAAAAAAATCTTCGAAAAATGTTTTCATTCCAATCTCTGAACGCAACCACCGGCAGTAACACCAATACGACTTTGATCAATAGTGGTAGCAACAACAATCACAACAATTACATACGATGCTCTCAAATATTGGAACACATTCATCAACAACAAAACCGAAACTCAGGAAGAAAGACTTCGTTTTTGAAAAACTTTATTCCATCGGTGACCTCTTCCGAAGAGAACTCCACACCACCACATGATCCCAATACATTGTCTATTCATCGCGTACAACACGTATCGGGCCACTTGGCTTTGCATTTGTTCAACGGAAGGATGATTATTGGTCTCGATTATATTTCAGCCTCAAAATTACAGAATATTACTAGCCAATCTCAAGACCAATTATATTTGAATTTATTAGAGGCAATTAAGAATTTCGGAAGCTCTACATTCGCTACCACGCACAATGCTCATGACACATCGTTGGGTCCAATGCTCTTTTGTTGTGATAAAGACCCTTATGTTTACAGCGATTTTGAAATTAGAGAGGAAACATCGGAACAATCGAGTGGATATAATTTCGGAAGTAATTTTGTGAGAGATTTGCGAGTGGTTCGTTTTATTGCAATTTCTAAAGCTGGCAATGTTATGGTGTGGAGATATTACGAAGACAATTCCACTTGGAAAGTGGAGAATACTTTTAATATTTTAGGAAACAGCTCCAGTTTGAAGGTGGAGTTTGCAACTGTGGTTGCTGATAGAAATATATTATTTAAGACAAATAGCCCATCAGGAAGGAATGCCTTGAATTTATACTCTGCCTCTGGTAGTACTTGTGTGATTTTTAATGGTAGCAGTGATGACTCCGCCAACAATGGTTCTGAGAATGTAATTTATTCTGTATTTCCATCGACACACACTATGAGCAAATCGACTGTTTTAATAATTACACAAGGTGAAATAATTCTCTTCGATCTGAAGAATAAGAAATCAATATCCAAAATCGAAAAGGCTCTCAAATATAATGATGCCTCAGGCAATGCTGACATGCAGCAATATTCAGAATCTATTTTTTATATTTCAATGATTATTCACCCAATAACGAAAGAAATAATCATGATGGATACGAGCTTTAACATTATTATTTATTCAAGCGAGTTGACACACTCAAAGAAATTGTCTATCAACAAATTGACACTCAAAAAAGAGAACATTTTGAAAATAGACATGGCATTAATTTATAACACATTTTTAGCTATATATGATGGAAACTCCAACATTTTTATTGTTGACCTTGTGAATGGATGTGTAATTTCAAATTTAATGTTGCCTAGTGACATGACTAATTACAAATCTGGAGGAAGTTTTGTTAGATTTTTTGGAAATGCTACTCAATACTCTTGCAACAATGAACCTTCTACCCTGTTTATTCATGGTAGCTCTCTAATCTACGAATTACGCTGTCCACCTCTGCTTGATATTGTCAGGAATAGCAGTACCGTAGCTTCATCTGGAAATTCCCTTACCTCCAGCACAACATCTCAGACATATAACCATTTACTTAAAGATTTTAAGCTATTCAATATTTACACAAGAAACATTTTGGAAGAAATTCATAACAATAGTGGTAACAGTACCAACAAATTGAATCCTGCATCTAATTCAACTGTTGATATGAGAAAATCCATTTTCCCACATTTGGAAAATCCAGCATTGATTTGGACAAGCTGCAACACTGTACATGACCAAGAAGCTTTTTTGAACGAATGTGAACAGTTCATTGATAACTTTCCACCTAAGGACACAAATTTTTGGAAAAAGCCAACATCCAATGCTTCAACAAGCGAGAATTGGGAGAGTTCATCTTTGCCTTCTCCATTGTCACCTTCAATGTCTCCCTCTTCATTGTCATCTAGCAAGGCAAGTCCAACCATGGGCGCTTCTTCAACAGCTTCCTCTAATCAATTATTTACCAAAATGACAACTTTGAATATGAGTATTGTTCCTCCACTGACCTCTTCCCTATCGATTTGCAAAGAACAAATAACAAATCTTGATGTAACACAAACAGTTGATTCGTTAGAGGATCATGGGGAAAACAGTGCAGCATCATCCAACATCAAAACCAGCTCATTCATGGACAACCTCACTGATATTGAGCTCTATGACATGATTGAAAACGAGCCACACTCAGTTTTGGATTATTTACTAGATGTTTGTGATCTTGCCATCTTCAAGAGCGTTGTTCAACAATATTCAACTGAAGAAAATTTGGACGAGACAAGTGACAGCAGCAAGATTTATGGTATTTCCATCCCTGGTGCCTCTGATTCCAACATTCGACCCATCACAACATTTGTAAATTTATTTGAACAAAATTTTGAAGATTCCATTAGTCCTTTAGAATTGTACAAAGTTGAGGAGAACAGAAATGAAGATTTTGTGGTTTATCAAAATAAGGTAACTGCTGCCCTTGAACCAAAACGAAACACAAACCACACCAGAAAGGGTTTACTCTATTTTGAAATGGTCATTCGGTTACTCTTTTTCCACACAAAATGTCCTCAAATTATTTTGATTTTAATTGTCATGATGGAAGAACACAAATTGAAACAATTTACTGCTCGACGAGATCAACTGAAATCAGAAATTGATCAACTTGTCAAGAAGAAACAATCATCATCGACTTCTTCACTTTCATCCTTGACAGGATCTAAAAACTATCAATTGGAAAATTTTAATTTACAAAGTTTACAGAATGAGTACAATGATATTTCACAAAAGTTGAAACAAAACAATTTGAAGGCCAAATATAGTAAGGAAATCCAAAGGATACTGACATCCTATGTAGATACATGTGAAAGCGAGCAGCAATTCATAGAGACCGCTTCATATTCCAATATTCAGGTTAAAACTATGGCTCAATTATTTATTTGGCAAGGAAATCGACTCGATGCATTGAAGATATATCTTTCGAATTATAGCAACAAACTTGAGGAACAAGTGCTCAAGCTTGTATCAACCTATCTTTCGCAACAGTCTGGAATTAGCGTTTATCATGTTCCATCAGGAACAGGACCTCTTGAAGAGCAATATCAAGTGTTGAATTTACTTTTCAATTTTTGTCTCAACCCAAGTACTAAGGCCACATCAAAGACCAAAAACTCTCTTCTCGCATTGGCGTGGCAAATGATGCCGCTATCCTACAGCGTTTTTGATTTCTTTTCAAAATTTGATATTTATTGGAACGAACGAGGGATTGTCAACAGTGACGACAATGAATCAAGCCCTTGTGCGTTCACTTCAGCTGACATTTGTGATGAAATAGCATTGGGCAACAGCAACATTATCGGTGATGATGTTGGCTTGTATCTTCAGGGCATTGGGACCTTTACAAACATGAAATTAAGAGCTCAACAAATGAAGTAAAATGTTCAACAGATTTATTTGGGCCATCTTAATTTGGTAATGTGTCACAACGAAAATTGTTTAAATCCTAACCATTTAGTTGTGGAACCACTACAAGTAAACCAATCAACTTCTTTTAATCAGTGTTGGTTTTGTGTTGCTTTTGCATAATCTTCTTCCACTGTCTTCTGGTATGGTCCATATGGAAAAAAATTTGTATCTTCACATCTTTTTCCTCTTCTTCATGAATGAGAATCTTGTCTTGGTGGTTATCAGTGGTGTTGCCAATTAAAAAGTTGAATATTAATCTTCGTGCTTCGTCTGTTACTGAGTTACAATCTTTCAAAATATTGTTATTAAGGTAGGCCTGCACTTTGGCGTTCCTTTCTTGCTCAGCAGTGTTTTTGATATGAACATTGCTGGGAAGGGAATGTTGAGTGTTGATTCGATAGTGTCCAGCATTACCAATGAGGAGTGACTGAAATGTAAACGAAGGTTGTATCAAGGAAGCAGAGGCTTGCGGCTTCATGAATTTGTGGACAAACGTTTGATCAAGGACACGTTTCCGTTTTCTGATCAGAGACTGTACCTGATGCTTCTTTCCATAATCTTCGATCCTTGCTTTGATCGGTACCACTTGAACAGGAATATCGAATTGCAGATCTTTACCACAATCCTCACACTCATCATCGACCAACAGAGTATGACCGAAAAGCTTCAATTGACTGTTCTGAACGAAACATCGTTTGGAGCAATAGCATAGCTGCCCGTAATGAAATTTCCAATTCTTTTGGCAATCATCACATGTAAATGTTTTTTCATCTTGACCGTGGACAAGTACAAAAGTAGCGTCCTTGCTGCACCCTCTGCATGGAATGGGAGTAGCGTGTGATTTGCTCTTGTTGTGGAGCACAGTGGAATCGGAAGAAGACGGTTGACCGGTTTGCATTTTTTTTGTAAAATTTTTTGATCATTTTGAGATCGAGCGTCCACTCGAACAAGTTATTCCACATGAATTCTTCGAATGTGTTGCTGCTGTTGAATTGAAGGAGTATGTTCTGTTGTATCCTGTTGAAATTGATCCCAACCCATTCCCAGAACTTTCCCACTCGAATAGTTGAGTAAGAAGACCACTCTCAATAACATGACGATTAAGGTAAGAGCAGTTGGGAATAACACTGGAAGAATGGGAAACAAGAAATCCCGAATACCCAACACATCTGCTCCAACAAGTAATAAATTATTAGGCAAAGTATCACTGAAAATATATTTCCAAACCAATCCAATATAAAGTAAATCTCCAACACAGAGAGCGAATATGGTCTTGTGAAAAAGGGGAACTTTCTCAATCAAATAGGAACTGTTGGAGTGAGCCATTTCCTTATAGCAATGTCGAAGGAGTAAATGATGAATGCAACCAAAGGCAAATAATGACATTCCCAATGAGCGAATAAAGAAAAAGATCCATTGTCGTAACTCGTTGTTTGTATATAGAGTACTTGTCGTCGATGGTGTGGTTATTCCTCCTCCGCTCATTAATACTTCTACTAAATGTTGAGGCATGAAACTTCCCAATACAAAACGAACGTTGGGAAATAGCATGAGGATCATACCAAAGAACATTTCATAAATAAAAGGTTCCCAATACATGAGTGTAAGAAAGGTTTTGAGAAAGGGAGTGAGTTTGAGAGGTGTTATGGGTTGAGCGGATGAAGGACCTAACGAACCGGTTGGAGAGGACATGTTTGCACGAGTGTGAGTGTGAGTGTGAGAGTGTGTGAAGAAGTAAATGGTTAATTTTCTAATGCAAAAGAGTCTCCATGAAACTCGATGGTAGAATCTCTATCCCTCAAATAAAGACAATTACCAAAACTGAATATTCTGGAGAGTACAGTGAAAGGTCATGACAATTCCCCTTTGTTTGATCATTTTATGAACAGTTTTCTCTTGTTTCATTGCAATGGGTGCTCCTCTCCTGGCGGTTCGTGCAATGCCTGGCAGAAGCATTCCAAAGGGTGCTCTCAACCAATTTTCCTTGGGAGGCACACCTTCAGACCCTTCAAAAAATTGAGGTAATAGTCATGCGTTCCGTAGAACGCTTTCAGCTATTACACTGAAAAGAACAGATACTACACTCGATCAAAGCCAATTGGCCGAGAAAGATGGTTTTCAAAGATGCTGCCATGGAAGGATGTTGATATGGAACGAAAGAAGTGATGGAAAATGTTGAGGAAATTATGGGATGAACAGCGGAATTGACTCGATTGAAGTGTACACTGCACCTTCAATAGGATCCATCACGATGAACATGATGTTGTTTTGGTATATGGAATATTTCAAAACCAACACATGTATGAACATTCCAAAACTCCTTGTCCATAGTATCCTGTCGAAACCAATTCCAATAAGTCTCCTTGAGAGACGCTATATCAAAATTGGCAACGATACAGAGAAGATTAGCATGGTCCCTGGACTAAGGATGACACAACTGATCGAGAAAGTATCCCTACTTTTTTTTGCTTAATTTCACCGCTTCATGATTTTCGCCAGGTTACAGACACCAACTAAGACAGGATTATTTCTTGGTCAAAGACTAGTTCGGATTTACATGGTTTACAAAGTTCTTGTAACTGCAAGAACCAAATTAAAGTGCTGCAGAACTCTTCTTGAAAACCCAATAATAAAAAATATTTTTTGAGGAAACAATAGCCGTTCGTCCTCAACATAAAAAAATGTCGTCACAATTCTGCAGTGACACCCTCCTCAATATTCTCCAATTTTTGGATGGTCCCAGTGTGGTTCAATCTTGCATGACTGTTTCTCACTTGTGGCATCAATGTGCAACAAGTAATATTTTGTGGCATCAATTGTTTGATCAAGTATTTCATAATTCAACATTTAAGTGGGATAAAACACAACAAGAAAATTCATCTTCAGATACTGAGAGTATTGAAACGAATGATCATGATGATGAAGTAAATTCCGATGAAAGCGGTGATGACGAAGAAAACGGTAAAAAACGAAAAGGCACAGCAACTACAACTAAGGGGAACAAAAAGAAAAAGCTTACAATCCATTCATCATTGGAACAGCACCAAGATGGATATTGGTATCATCTTTTTAAAAGATGTTTTTCCATGTTGCCTGTTCTGGACGTTGATCATGCTGACCTGATGAAACTTGCCCTCACTGATCAAAGAGAAAATATTTCAGCAATTACCGATGTCAAGTTGCTTCATCAAATTATCTTTCAATTGCAAGAGCCAACCTATGAAGAATTGCCTTTAGTAGGCTCTTTTAAATATTATGGGATTTCTTTTGAGCATGATCATGTGCATCTACTTCTCGAACTTTGTGTGATTTTATCCGTATTGTATCAAGGAGCTGGTTATTGTTATTGGACAGATCGAGTAGTGATGAAAGCAAAATCGCCCAACAAAACCAAACGAAAATCATTGCAAGACATTGAGGAAAGGTTGGTGATCTTACCTCTTGCTGCTTTTTGCATGATGATATTGAATGAGAAGGCTACAGATCAATTAACTCTCACTGTTGATGAAGACTGGTGTGTTTCTCCACTCGTCTCATATACTTCAGAGCTTGAATTATATAATCATGAGGATTTTTGCTACTTTGATTTAATGAAAGATTGTGTAGAAGCGGATGGATATGATGGTCTCATATTCGATGGAGACCATTGCAGTGATTGGGAATGGTGTCCCAACCTCTTTCAAAGGTCAGGATTATTATTCGATTACAGGAAAATTAAGGCGAATTATTTTGAAAACAAAGATGAGGTAATTGTGAATGTATTTCAAGACGCAATGGATTATTATGATAATTAAAGGTCAGAGTGTTTGTTTATCTTCTTGTCTTCATTTCTTTCCTTAGTCAGAATTCAACGGCCATCAACGTTGCTACATTCTTGACCTGTAATAATTAAGCGTCAAGCACTTCATAACCAACCTCATCACTTCTCTCACATCTTTCATCCTGAAGGTTTCACTGTCTGTTCCCATTGAAGGTGCAGTGTAGGTCAAACAAAGAATTGCCTTAACAACAGACCGAGGATGCGTCCTTACTTTTTTTTGCTTTCTGCTACATCGATGTTTAACAACCTAAAAAATTACAGCAAGCTCAGGGTTTCAATGGTTTCTTAATTTTGTAAAGATATAACACATGAATTTATTGCAACAATTTAGTTCTCAAAACATATGGTAAAATTCCACCATGTTTGTAGTATTCGAGTTCAGGTTCTGTGTCAAATCTCAAAATGGTAGTGAATTCGCTCAACTTGTCATTACCAGTCACTTTGACTTTGACTTCTTGGAATGGCTTCATACCAGCACTCAAGTCAATGGTAAATTGCTCCTTACCAGTCAAACCTAATGAGTCAGCGCTTTCACCCTCTTTGAATTGCAATGGAATAATTCCCATACCAGCAAGGTTAGATCTGTGAATTCTCTCAAACGATGTAGCAATAACTGCCTTAACACCCAAAAGGTATGGACCCTTAGCAGCCCAATCTCTAGATGATCCTGAACCATATTGTTCACCACCAATGACAATCAATTCATGACCTTCATTGCGATACTTCACAGAAGCATCAAATACAGAGACAACTTCATTGGTTGGAACATGAAGAGACATTGGACCTGGCTTGCCAATCATCTTGTTGAAGAGTCTAACGTTGGCAAAAGTACCTCTCACCATGACTTCATCATTACCACGACGAGCACCATAAGTGTTAAAGTCCTTTCTTTCAACACCTCTTTCCAAAAGATATTGGGCAGCTGATGATTTGAGTGAAATGCTACCGGCTGGAGAAATGTGATCAGTTGTGGTGAAATCTCCCAAATTCAACAAACAATAAGCATTTTGAATTGGCTTGGTAGCACCCAATTCTCTGTGAACATTCTTGAAGAATGGTGGATCGTGAATATATGTTGACTTTTCATCCCATGGATATAACAATGTTTCAGGAGCATCCAATTTGTTCCAGTTGTCAGTACCCAATGCAATCTTCTCATAGACAGATTTGAACATGTTTGGAAGAACGTTCTTGGTGACACAGTCATGAATTTCTTCTTGAGTTGGCCAGATATCTTTCAAATAAACAGGTTGTTTGGTGGTAGGGTTGACTCCCAATGGATCCTTATCGAAATCAATCTTGACGTTACCAGCAATGGCATAAGCAACAACAAGAGGTGGTGAGGCCAAATAGTTTGCTTGCACAATTGGATGCACACGAGCCTCAAAGTTTCTGTTACCACTCAAAACTGATGCGGAAACCAAATTAGAATTGACAATAGCTTCATGAACTACTTCAGGCAATTCACCAGAGTTACCAATACATGTCATGCAACCATAACCAACAGTGTTAAAACCTAATTGATCGAGATAGGTTTGCAATCCAGATGCAGCCAAATATTCAGAAACGACACCGGAACCAGGTGAGAGTGAAGTCTTGACGTATGGATTAACAGTTAGTCCTTGTTCGACAGCCTTCTTTGCTACAAGGGCAGAAGCAAGCATGACGTTTGGATTTGATGTGTTAGTACAACTGGTAATGGCAGCAATGACAACTGAACCATGAGTCAAGTTGTACTTTTGACCCTTATATTCAATCTCAACAGTCTTTTCAACTTCCTCAGCTGGAATTTCGAATCCTTTGAATCCTCGTTTTGCAGTCAAACCTTCCTTGAACTCCTTGTGAACATCAGTCAATGAAACACGATCATGTGGTCTCTTTGGACCAGCAAGTGATGGAACAACAGTGCTCAAATCCAACTCCAATTGAGCGCTATAGCGAACCTTTGATTCTTCAACATTTTCATAAGTGACAAACAAGTTTTGTGCTTTCAAATACTCTGCAATCACTTTGACCTTTTCTTCATCTCTGTTGGTTTGTCTCAAAAATGCAAGTGTAACATCATCAATTGGGAAGAAACCCATGGTAGCTCCGTATTCTGGTGCCATGTTTGAAATGGTAGCACGATCAGCAACAGACAATTGCTTGACACCTTCACCGTAAAATTCAACAAACTTTCCGACAACTCCCAATTTTCTCAAATTTTGTGTAATGGTCAAAACCAAGTCAGTTGCAGTTGCAGCACCAACTAATTTACCAGTTAATTTGTATCCGACAACTTCTGGCAAAACCATTGCACTAGGTTGGCCTAACATGGCTGCTTCAGCTTCAATACCACCAACACCCCAACCCAAAACACCCAAACCGTTAATCATGGTTGTGTGTGAGTCAGTTCCGACCAATGAGTCTGGATATAACAAAGCTTGCACTCCCTTTTGTTTATCCTCTCCGGAAAGTTCTTCATTGTTTTCAAAAACAACACGAGCCAAATATTCCAAGTTGACTTGATGGACAATACCACTTCCTGGTGGCACAATTTGCAAATTCTTGAAAGCCTTACTTCCCCATTTCAAAAAACGGAATCTTTCATAGTTTCTATTGAACTCTTTTTCTTGGTTTTGTTGGAGAGCCTCCTTGGAACCGAAATCATCAACTTGTACACTGTGATCAATGACCAAGTCTACTGGCACAAGAGGATTCACTTGAGATGGATCTCCACCCAATCTCTTGACGCCATCACGAATGGCTGCCAAATCGACCACTGCAGGAACTCCGGTAAAGTCTTGCATCAAAACACGAGCAGGTTTGAATGGGATTTCAATGGAGTTCTTGCTCGATTGCTCCCAATTCAAAATTGTTTCAATATCATCTTTCAATACTGCAAATTCATCGCAATTTCTCACGCAATTTTCCAACAAGACACGGATACAGTATGGGAGAGTAGCTAGTCTTTGATCATTCAAATCAGGTAAGCTATAATATTTGTAGAGCTTGTTGTTAATTTCAACGGTACGAGAAACGGTTGATTCGAATGGATTTGGTTGGGCTGGCATGGTTGATGATTCTTTCTCTTGGTGATGATTGATGATGAATGGGATGAAGAAAGTTGGCTTATTTTTTTTATGTGAAAAAATTTCGCCTGCGCTTTTCTTTCCTCGTTTGAACGAATGAAAATTCTCCACTTTTCAATTCGCTGAAAAAAAAAGCGACCGAGAGTGTGGAATAGGGAGAAGATTGAGGATCAATGATTTTTGAATCATGCGCAAAGTGAAGGATGCAATTGAAACAAGTTAACATTGAACCACATAGAAAAGTGATCTAGCTTTGCAAAACTTGTGTGTTTGGTTCCAAGTTGAAAGAAGGAATTCCAGATTTGACCAGTGTTGGACATGTTGAAAACTTAAATACTACAAGAGTACATAAGACCACATAGTATCCCATAACATGCTGGGACCATTAATTATAACCTTGCAGTTTCTAAAATTTTCCAAATTAATAAATTACCTTATTAATCTTCCCTTAATTTGAAAATTTATGCACCACACAGAAAAATGATTTCAAGAAACCATCGACCACTTGCCACTACTTCCCTCTACAACCTTCACCACCAGTTCCAATACATTCCCATCTCATTATCACCCTTACTACATGATTGCCTTTTCATCTTGTTAATCCTTCTTTCATTCCTTTCCTTCCAAAGCAACAATAACAACAACATGTTTAGTTTTTCCAATGCCCAACAACCCTCTCTTAATTGTACCTTCGTTCCGAGCCCTTCTTCCTTCTCCAATCCCTACGAATCTTCTTCTCTCTCAGCACCTCCAAAAGGAGCATGCAAAGGTCCTCTCCATCGAACGCTCTCCTCACGACTCGTTGCTCCCAAACTCAACTTGGGTTGTCCGCTCCATTTACTCCCTTATTACAAACCTGGAAGTGTTGAAATTCAATGTGGAGAGTGTATTCCAGGAACGAGTGGGAGTGGTGTCTCTTTCAATTCTCTCCATTACTTGCAATGTAAAGCCAATGAATATTGCAATGATGATGCTAAATGCACTCCGCTGAAACAACATCCGCTCTATATGAAATCATGTCCGTATGAAATCTTGCTTCATTCTCAACAGAGGTCGGATTTGGAGGGTGTTCCTTCGTTTTGTGGAGGTTCTGGATTGGTCTGTATTGAACATGTTTGTAAAATGTGTCGAGAAGGAGATATTGATTACAATACTGGTGTGAAATGTATTTTGGGAGAGTGGAGTTATGCATCATGGGTGGACTCTACGTTGGAACCTTCACCTCTGATCTTGTTTGCACTGAGTGGAATGACCTTATTGTATGTGTTGGTTGTGAACTTGTTGTGTCGAGGCGGATTGAAATTGACTTCCAAAGTGTTGCACAATTATTCGAGGGAGAAGAAGTTGAGAAATGTGATCAAGTTGACGAGTGAATTTATCAAGACTTTGGAAAGTGAGAATCAACATGAAAAATTAGAAGAGAATGATAATGATCAAGTGAAGTAAGCTCATGAATATGTGTAAATCCAAGATATAAAAAATTGAATAAATTATTTGTAAATATATTAAGTAATTGCAAGATAAATAATTGATAATCATTGTTTGGGATTAGTAATACTGTTGCCATGAACTTCCGTCAGCAGGTACTGTGACACCTCCAATAAGTAGACCAATATCCACAATCCACCACACTCCAATACCTCCCAATGTCAATAATTTAATGACACTGCATTGTTGAATATTTTCACACAACACGTTTTTCACATGTTCAACATGTCCCGGAATTGGATCTTAAAAATTTTCACAAACTTACCCCAATACAATATGTTGCAAATAAAAGCGATCAGCTCCAAAGATGCCAACAAAGACGGCTAGTACTAAGGCAGTAGTGTATTGGAAGTTGTTCTGGATGCTATAAATTGTTCGCATGATCAAATCATCATTATTCGAACGTGTTGACATCAAAGAAAACGTACGTTTTACATGGAAACTTTTGATACCATGTTCTTGGTCCGATACATTCAATGGTTGATAATACTGTACAATTTGCATATCCATATCTTGTGTTTTGAGTATAAACTCCATTTTGATTTACCATGTCGTCATAGCTACATGTTTTAATTCCATTTGAATATCCTTTCATGTCAAAATCACAAATTTTAAATTCATTTGGTCTGTATTTTCATGGCGACATTATGATTTTACATTTTGTCGTGACATTAAAATTTTACATGAATGGCCATCATCAAATTCCAAATTGTAATTAAAAATAATATTAGTATTCACACATACATCAGTGTACATGGTACAAGGGGGCCATTAGGATTGTAATCCACATTTTGACATTCACTCAAATTGACAATGATGTATTCCGATCCAGTTGAGTTGCTGCAATTCGGAAGAGGAACTCCCTGTACCACATGATCATGATTTATAATAGTTGTTATTGCAATTAGCAATAGAATCGTCAGTGAAGTCATCCAACATGTTGTCAACCCTGCGTACGTTGGTGACAATGTATTTATCAGCGGAGCCATTTTTTGCTTGGGGTTCAAAAACAAATAATCCCGCCAAAACTTTGCCGCTTCTAAAATCCGTTTCACATTTCACTTTTAAGCAAAAAATGTTTCCTCCAATGGCCACTCACCATCAAGAGTGTGGAAACACCAATGCATTGTGTACCAACATGAACAATAGTCCATTTCACCCTCCCCAACAACAACAGCAACAAATTCATTCATTTTCCTCCGTTTCCTCCTTCCCGCAGCAACCACTTCCTTCCACTCCCTCTCATCATCCTCCAATGAATATTAATCATCATGATCATCATCAACAGCAACAACAACAGCACCTTACACAATCTTCTGTTTTTGATTCATTCTCTCCCTTCTCTAATTTTCATATGAGTTCTTCTCCGAATAATTCCTCTCAAGGCTCTTTCATTGGTGAAAGGTATCACGGACAAGGATTGCAAGGAAATTATGAATATGGAAATCAATTCAGCCATACCCCTTTCCAATGGCATTCCTCTCCATCCAATGATGGCCTTCATCATTATCCCACTACCAACTCAAACTCCTCTTCTGGTTTGAATAGCACGACCAAATTGGAAAATTTAGAATTCTCAGCCAAAACCAAAGGAAGTTCTTCTTCGTTCCATCTGAATACAATTCAACAACAACATGATAGTCTTTCAACTAGCAAGAGAAGATCCAGTAACTTTCATTCCATTTTCACTCCTTCACCTCCTCAATTTCAATCCAATGATCTTCAACCTTGTAAAAGTCTCCGAACCACACATACACCCGTACCAATTGGTACGAGTCCACATTATTCCACTCATGCATGCACCCCAACTGGTCATTCTCCTTTTCAACTTTCTTCATCGCCTTTCACGAGAGAGAATTTTAATAACACTCATCATCATCATCAAACACAATTACCTTCACCGCCAATGCATCCATCATCCATTCAGTCGACGCAACAAGCTGCTATAATGACCCTGAATAATACTAACAATAGCAACAATAGCAACAACAATAACAATAGCAACAATAGTATTCTACCAACATTTAGTTCTTCCAGAAATCGTTCCACCACGACTTCACTTGTTGCTGCCCGTAGAAGCTTGCCCAATAATTTTCCCAGCACGAGTAAGGAACAACATGGAAACCACCACATCATGACACCTTCGTCGTTCCTCCTTAACTCGTGCCACTATACAACCACAACAACGGCAGACAAGTCTCCATTGAAAAAGTCGAATAGTGTGGCCATTGGTTCTGAGAATTCCCATTTTCACATGCTAGATTCAGACGATGAGAGAGAACAAGCTCCTCCCAGTGCTCCTAAAAAGAAGAAACCAACCAAGAAGATTGGAACTCGAAGAGCCTCCTCCTGTAGTAGTGTATATAAGAATTTATTTGAGGAAGAACGAGCGTTTGAATTACCAATTCATCCTCATGGTGAAGAGGAAGAGGATGACACTGTGGAGGATGGAGACATTCGAGGAGGTCCCATGGAAAACACACATGAAAATGTTCAAGATGTATCGTATTCGGCGAGTAGTAGTAGTAATCATTCACATTACAGCATTGGATCCATGTTTCTGGAGACGCCATCTCCATGTACGCCACGAGATCAATCGACCTATTCGTCGAACAGTGGTCATGGAATGCACAGTTTGAGTCACTCGAAAAATCAACTCTTTGGTCAAAATTCTTGTAATAAGAGTTTTGTTTTACCTTCCACGATACGACCTTTCAATGGAAATGCAATCCCTTTTGCTACGCCCATTCATCAAGCAAGTCATCATAATCGATTGTTGGCAAGTACTCCTGCTTCCTCAACGACAAGTAGTGCTCCCATTCTGGAATGTGAATTGACTGGATCTGATGATGAATTCATGTCGAGTCTTATGAAACCTCCTCCACCAAGGTTGTCCTTAAATATGAAGAGTCATCACTCCCAACAGCAGCAACAACAAAATATATTCAACGATTTTACATTGGGGTGTGACGATGAGGAATTGGAACAAAATGAAGATGATATTTTGAATCCACCAACACTTGTGGCGAGTGAGAACCAAGCTGTTATTGGTGGCTCTGCACTCTTTACATCCTCACCGAGACGATCCAAGTACGATAGCCCCATTGATCAAGAAGACGAAACCATGAACGAAGTGGTAAATTTATTTGGTAGCCCAGTATCCCTAGAGTCTAAAAAGAGAAAGGCGTTAAGAAGTCCTTCATTTCACAGATACAAATCTCGAGACGATATGGACAATGATGATAATGATTCACCCCCCAAGTTTGAAGAGTTTGAAAGATTTGAGCCGTTCTTAGTGAACCCTAAAGCGAAATTGAAAACAAAATAAAGGTCATCACGGTTTACTATTAAAGGTGTAGCACAATGGTGATGGTAACTCTTCGCCCTTAAATCGTATCTCAATGCTGGTCTTTGTTTCAATCGAGTGGTCGAAAGTTGGTAACATCACTCTTGGAATAATAAAGTAGATCCGAATTGCGCTCTGGTCTATGGTAACGTTAATCACTTTGCAGTTCACAATTACATCTGCCACACGTTGTGAAATACTCCAATCTTCCAGCAACGAAGAAAACTCGTGAACTGAGAGGTTTTCAGGATGTATAACAATTTCATTCAAGTTGTCAAAACTACTGGAACCGTGTGTCAACAACAAAGAGGTTGAATGCCGATAAGAGAATGTTTTCTTTCTCTTGGTGGTAGAGTCGGTTTTCTTTTTCATTTCCGAAAGTTGAGATGAGCTTGCAGAGCTCTCATCTGACTGACCAATTGAATCGTCTAGCTGTTCATTGCTGGACGACGGTGGTGATTTTCGCTTCTGAGCTCGTGTTTCACATTTCCACTGTTGCTGTCTTGCATTGTACTTGGCAAAGAACCGTTCCATGTCATCCGTTTCAAATACATGGTCATGGAATGTTGCTTTAGTGATAACTGTCTTTTTATCAACCTTTTTAATGTCCATGTGAATGCAAATGCATTTAGTAATGGTTCTAACCTCATCTTTTCCATCTGTTAAGGACAAGGTAACTTTGAATGGACAAGTGACTGCTTTTTCGCAATGTTTCGATTTTTGTACTCGTTTTCCATACGATTCCAGAGAGAAGTAAACCTTTTGTCCATCATTCATGTCGTCATATGTTTTGGTGATTGAAAAGCCATTGATATCGTAATTTTCATTGTCTAGTTGCCAGTTCTGATCGCTCTCTCCTGATTGAGTCTTTTTATATCTGAAAAAACATGTTTTTTCATAGATCTCTAAAGATTTAACTCTCCAGTAGTAGCGTGTGATTTCTTTTTGATTTGACGAATTTTGGTTGACCTCAACTTCAAGACACGCTTTTTTCATTCTAATGTCATGTGGTGGTTCAATATAAAAAGAAAAAAGTAGAGTAATATCATCACCATCAATTTTTGGCAATTGAAAGGTTTTGGTAATACCATTTCTAGGTCTCGATGATGAATTTGCAATGGCTCTGTTCTCACTGCTAAAACTAGCAAATACAGAAGGAAACCTAGTATTAGAAGACGACGAGCTCTCTGTAGGAGGTGTTTGCAGTAGTTTCGTTTGGGCGACAGAAGTTGACATTGAGGTTACTGTTGCACCAGCAGTTTTGTTTTTAGAAGGTGTTGATTTGGTGTTCTTGGAATTTTGAGTAGTTTTTCTAGCTACTGCTGCCACAGGTACTGGTCTATTTGCAGTTGCTGATCTATCTGTTGTAGAGCTTGTTATTGACGTCGGTGTTGATGTCGCATTCGTGTTATATTCCATAACTGAGCTTGTTGATGAATGAGTGAAATTATTCGACTGTGAAGGTACAAAATTTTTTGACATGTCATACATGGATGGAGGTTGTTGCACATGAGAGGATGAAGAAGGAGGCGATCCTGAAGGAACATGGTACGTTTGAGGTGGTGAATAGGTGTATTCAGATGGATATGAAGAAGAAGGAGGTAGAGTAGGAGTATAAGGATAATGTGATGATGATGGTGGATGCATGTACGAATGTCCACTACTTGTGGAATGTGGCAAATGATTGTATGTGCTTTGATTGTAAAAGTGATACGAATGTGTTTGGGATGTTGCATGATACGTTGGTGAAGGTGGTGGTGGAAACGAGTGACTGTAGCCGCCATAGGGAGGAGGTTGTTGATAGCGTGATGGTGCATGAGATGGATATGCATGTGGATAAGCGTGATGAGGATGTTGAAGTGGTGGTGGTGGACGTGAGGAATAATTCGAATGCATGGAAGGATGTGGTGGTGATGGTTGTGTTAGATTAGTGGAAGAGGAGGGTGAAGCATGAGGATGATGATGGATGGGCATCATTGGAGGTGGTAAAGGATAAGGAGACGAGGAAGTTGCATCCATCAATGCTGTACTGCCTTGTGTTGCACTTGTAGCAGCAACTGATGAAAAGGTAGTAGTAGCAGAAGTAGTAGTAGTATTAGCAATAGTAGAAGTAATAGTAGGAACGCCAACTGGAGATGTTGAGGAAAATGTTTTTGAAGAGGGTGATGACCATACGGTTGAATACACTGCATCCATGGGTTGAGGAACGGGATTTGTATTTGTGGCAATCGGACGAATTGGAACAGAAATTGGTGTTTCCTTGTTGGAATTATTCTCATCATTGAGGTAATTGGTTTGTATTGGGTTTGACGCCAAATTTGGTTCAAATGGAGTGGAATTTTGTTGTTCCAAATCACCATCCGAGAGTTTGTTGGTCATCATCATCATGTGAGGAGAAGATGGTGCATCATTGTTGTGCTTGGAAAGATGGAATGGTTGATCAGGAGGACCTCGGAAAGAATTGCATGTGGAGCTGATCATGGAGGCTTCTTCATGTACATGTGTGGATTGTGATGAAGGCTCTGTATCCTTGTTGTTGGTGCATGTCGTGTGGTTGATGAGATTAGAGCTATGATGGTTCAAGGTGATATGTTTTTCGAAAGTATTTGTCGTCTTAGTACTATCGCTGGATTCCAATACTACATGTGTAGTTGATGGTGCCTTTTCATCATCGGTATCACGATGATGATGATGGTTAAGAATATGATTATTCGTGGATGTACTATTGGGGCTAGTAGAAGTAGTACTACTTGTACTAGTGGTGTTGATGTGGTTACTAGTGCTATAATTATTATTAATAGCCACACATGTATTCATATTTGGAATAGTGGTAGCGTGATGCTGATTTTGAGAGATAGTGCCATGAGCTTCCCAATCTTTTGGCTGTTCCATATAGGAGGTGGATAATTTGGCTAAATCTCTTCCAGGGTCATTGGCATGCTCCTCTTCATTCATCCTCTCCTCCTCGGATGGGATCTCGATTCTGTTACAGTTAGGTAATGGCGTTGAAGAACCATCCAACGCCAACACCACATCAGATGCATCAACATTCGAGGAAGAGGACGAGAGGGCGTTCATGTTGTTAGATTTTTCGTAAAGTGGATCAAGCTCTTGATGATGATGACTCTTCATCTCCCCGTTATTACCTTTCGTGGTAATCAAATGAGTCGGAGGCATCATGGCATGAGAGTCTTGTATAGTTTGATTCTCATTCATGGAATGCATGTTAAGCTCGGTATCTTGTTGTTGTGGAGGAGATTCATGCTCTTGTTGTTGTTCAGTGTTATGCCGAGAGGATGATGTTGAAGACATTCTTTCGCATGGCTCTTTGGACAATTCAAGTACGTGTGTTTGAAAGTCGAAAACAGCTCTTGTGATTCTTTTTGATGAGTGGTAGGAAGTCTTTTGGTGTTTTTTCTTTGCTTCACTCCAAATCACGCTGTATCTTGTCGTGAATGGTTGTGTGTGGGCAATTCGAACGATAAAGGTTTCGTTCCCTTTTGGGAAGACAAGCAAAGGTCGTCAACACCACATGATGCATGAAAATAAAGTTGTGTTGATTCACAACGCGACAACAACAACGAAGAGGTCATACATTTGCATAAGAGGCGAGTTCAAAACAAAACAACACACGCACTTACGATGAGTAGAAAGAATTATAATTCCCACACCTTGGTTCGCTTACGTGATTTGTTGTTGGAATCACACGTGTGAAAAACGTGTTGTTGTTGGGATGTACTACAAGTTGTGTTTTTGGTTGTTTTTTTCAAAGTGGTGTTGGGACGGTTGATGATTTGCGTCTTCTCTCTATTGAAGGTAAAGCTGGCGTGATGATAATGCATACGACTTCCAAATAGGAGCATGTTGAGACGTCAACCATCCAACACGGATAAAAAACTTCCATGAAATGCCTTTACAAGCAACTCGTGGTACCATCCACAATATTGGTTATGATAAATTGTGCGTGTATGATATCAGGATAGCCTTGTAGTTGAAAATGTAGTATACTATTAGTGGTCTTGCATTAGTAACACCTAGTATCTTGTGTATTTCAAAGACGAAAAGATATTTGCACTTTGAGTATCGACTTGTCTTTTAAAGAAAACGAAAACAAATACCAATCTTGTGCTCGGTATCACGTTTGAAGACGAATGTGCGAATTCAATCTTGGTGGACCGATAACCAAATTGTCTGTGAGACCGTTTTGTCATCTTCATATTTGGTTGTTTACTTTACTACTAGTACACGTTGAACATGAGAATGATTCCACCTTCTCCAACACCAATGAGTTGCTTGTCATCTGGAGAAAATTGAATCGAATAAATATATTGACCTTCTGTGTCAATGCTAGCAAGTTTTTCACCGGAATCAACTTGATACACATGGATCTGCTCGTCATTACCGAAAACTGCAAACAAACGATCGTCCATGTTCGTTTTGGTGATAAATTTTGGTTCAAATTTCTTGGAGTAGGGAATGATTCGTTGTGGTGCATCTGAGGCGATATTCCAGTAGGTAATGTATCGATCTGATCCAATACTAATGATCGTTTCCTGATCTAAGCATACAACAAAACCATTGACAGAGCCTATTTTGTGATTGTAGGAGGCCACTCTTCTTTCATTTCTCAAATCATAACAGAAAATCTCTCGATCTTTGCTACTCGAAAACACATGAACATCATCTCTCATAATTTTTAAACCTGTTACCATTGTAGAGTGTTCTTTGAATGAACAAACAAGCTGTCTTGTTTTCATGGCATACACTCGTACGTCGCCTTCTTGGCCTGCAGAAACAAAAAACTTATTGTTGTGACTGGTATCTATTTTTGTGACAGCATTTCTGTGAGCATTGACGAGCGTCCACAATTGTTCTCCTGTTTCACAGTCCACCGCTCGAATGGAACCATCACTCCACCCTGTCAGCAAAATGCTAATTTCATCCTTAATAAATGCGCATGACACAGGGAACACGTTACTGCCCTTCATTGAATCTGTTTGAGCAAATTTACATTGAGTTTCTGGTAAATAGTTGGCAACATCCCAATATATGACCTCACAATTTTCTGAGATGGTGGCAAATTTGTCACTTAGACCATATGGAAAGTCCACACCATAAATTGATTTGGCATGGTTTCTTGCAATTAAACAAGACTCCAACTTATCTAGTGTGATCTTTAAAATTTCTCCATCGTCTGTACCAGCCAAAATGAACTCGCTTCCAAAAATTGAAAGTGAAGTTATTCCTCCGTTATTCGAAATTTTCTGTTTCTTGACAATTTGTTGGCAATCAAAAATTGTAATGCTTCCATCTCCGCCTCCAGTAATCACATGACCATTGGAGGGATTAATCACTATTGAAAGTACTCCTGATGAGCAGATTTTAACTGGAGCTGTTTGCAATCTTTTTAACCTAACATGTATAAAGGATAAATCTCCAGAAGCACTTCCCACAAATAAATATTCACCAAGCTTATCAAATTGCATACACGTGTAATCTCGAACAAATGCACCAGTATTGACCTTTTCCTGTTCTAAGATTCCCTTGTAAGGTTCCAAACTCCAAATGATTATATTTCCCGAAGAGCATGTAGCCAATAGGTATCTGTCTGTTTCACGTTTCTTGATATCTCGAACCATACCTCCAAAACAAACCAAAATCTTGTCATCTGTTTGTTTGGGAAGTGCTGCGCTTGCAACAATATTTCCTGTAGAAACGTTCCAGATCAGTAACCTCCTGTCCGAAGCATTTCCTACCGTGGCTAGTAATTTCTGTATATTATTAGTTGGAATATATAATAATTGAAAGACGCAAGTTTGTAATGAATAACCAATTACAAATTGAACGATAATTCACTGCCATTCTACTTACATCATCATGAGAGAAGGCAACAGCTCCGACACATTTTTCATGTTCTCCCAATCGTTGTGTGAGTTGAAGTGATGATGTATCCCATAAACAAACATCGGCATTTTCTCCTTGTTGTCCTGTAGCAATTAAATGTCCATGATTCGCAAAGGCCAAACATGAAACTCGATCATCATGACCTCTCATAAACCTCTGAGCATTCGGATCCTCACTATCATTCATTACTGCAACACTTCCCGATATAAAAACAAAACAATTGGATTGCTTGGGATGTTGCAACACGGACTGAGGTAACTTGGAAGAGAAGCCAATGGCATGTTCCAATTCGAGTTGAGCCATGAATGAATTTTTTTGAGTTTGTTTTAAAATTGTAGTTTGAGTTGGCGCCAGCAACAAACCTTGTGCGCGATGAAAGCGTCGGATACTATTCAATTTTAAATGAATTCAATAGAATGTAAATTCGAATGTTGGCAGTCATTCATTAGTGTACCAATAAAATTGAATATTTATATCGTTTTTCTTGTGTTCAAGAATCCACAACATCATCATTGAAAGACAGAGGCCACCGTAATGGTATTGACCGGAGTGATTTTGTCTCTTTTTTCGCTCGACATTTGACACGCACAAACATCAACAAAAAAATTCATCATCATGAACCATCACTCTTCCACCACCACTTCAAACAGTCTTCATTCTCGGTCTCATTCCTCTCCCTCTTCTTACAACACAAGTAACATCTTTCAAGATTACAACACCATCACTTCAGCCATCACTTCAAATCTTTTCACCTTTAACCCAAACTCGAATGCACCCAATTCTCATAATTTCTTGGAGCATTCCACTGCTCCACCTTCTCATATGATTCATGTCTTTCCCATGATTCATGGAAAACATTCCCTCAAAACGATTTGTCGCTATCATTCCGATTTGTACATGATTCGGAGAGCCATGTTGGATGATTTTGTGTCCATTCCATCAACCACAACAATAACGTCGATGACGAATAATTATTTCAATAATTTTTCGAATACTACTACTACTAATAATAATAATAATAATAATAACAAACAAGGGAACAATAATAGCAACAGTAACAATAATCAAACCAATCACATGACAGAAACATTGAGTAGTGAAATTTTGAGTGAACGATATTTACATCTTCATGTTCGAAATAGTGAATATGATGATTCCGAAGATGAAAATCATCAGCATACGGGTGGTTCTCTCTCGAAAAATTATGAATCATCATCTCCTGCTCTATCTTCTCCCCTGTTGGGAAGAGGAAATAATTTTCATTCGACCATAATGAATTCAAACGAACAAGATGGAAATGGATCCAATACTCCTTCGATTGAAGTGACAAATACGGAATCCACATCGGTCGCTTCAACCTCTCTATTATTGGACAATGTGAAATATTCTCGTGAACAATTGGTTGATTTTACATCCATGACGATATCCTTGACGATTGAACAACGAGTGTTATATTGTATTGAATATGGATATTTGGAGGAATTGAAATTTTTATTATGTCAAGCAGCCTCTTCTTCTTCACAACAACAACAACAACAGGGAGGATTTATGATGACATCAGGCACTTCGTCACTCTCTTCTTCATTGTCTTCATCGTCATCGTCGTCACAAGGTCATTTACATAATAGTCACAACAGCAGCAACAACAACAATAATCCAGAATTATTCCTGTCACCTGCCACGACAAATATGAGCACAACAACTTCACCTGCATTCTTTGATGTGAATCAAATATTTCGAGACAAGTCAAAAAACGATCGTTCCTTACTGCATATGGCCGCTCGATATGGTCACGCCAATATTATTTCATACTTGATGGATGAATTACATGCCAATCCCAACCTTACTGATAAATCCGATTCCACTCCAATATTTTTGGCAAGTGCTCATGGACACACTGAAGCTTGTCACATTCTTGCTTCGAAAGGAGCCTCTCTAAACATTCGAGATTTGTATGAAAATTTTCCATTAAGTATTGCATTGAGTTGTGGTCATTATGAAACAGCACAAGCTCTATTATTATTTGGAGCAGATTTAAATTTTAAAGGAAAAAGAGGAAATACTGTCTTACATGAAGCATGTGAAGCCAATGATTGGCAACGTGTCGATTTTATTTTAAATTCCAATGGAGGAGGATCAGGAGCTGTCAATGTTGCCACAAAGAATCGATTTGATGAAAATTGTTTATTCTCTGCACTTCCCTATCCACCCTTGTTGTATCGATTGTGTGAACGATTTTGTAGTCAATCCACACCAGAAGAATTTCAAAGATGGATTCGATCGGAAGATCAATACGGAAAAACTCTCTTGCATGTGTGCGCTCAAAATTTATATTTTGTTTCATTTTGCATTTTGGTGAATTATATTCAACCGGATCGATTAGCATCCTTTTTGAGTTGTAAGGATCGAGTCAAGGGAAATACCGTACTTCACACACTGGTGTCACAAATTGGAAATTCCTCTGTGACCAGTATTGCTGGAAATTACTTTAGTTCAGCTGCTGAACCACTCGTCCTTTCAGAATATTCGAGTCCACACACGAGTAATAATTCAACATCACCCAATCATCAACACGTTCATGGATCACTGTCTCTACCTTCTCTTTCTCCAGCGATTATTAATGGAAGTTTCTCTCCCAATTCGAGCAGTAGTGGCATCCATTCAGCAAATTCCACACCACTCCTTTTTTCACAACAACAACAACAACTTCTCTCAAATTCTCATTCTCCTCTTCAAATTAATTCCTCAACAAATACTTCGGCTTTTATCACAACTTCGAATAGCTCATTGGATATGGTATCTACGGATTCAACATGGTCGACACATCATCACCACTTGTTAAATAATCACACCATGATGTCCACCAATGCGCCATTACAACACACAGAATTTGGAGATTCTGAAATATTTTCAAACATGTCATTGAATAGCAGTAGCAGCAGCAGCAGTATGGGTTCCAATAATTATCAAACTCCCTTCTCTCCTCACAAATGTTATTTATATAATCATGATGTTCAAGGAGATGCTTTTTTATGGGCCTTAATTTCATGTGGAGAGCTCACAGTCAGTACGAATCATTCAGGAGGAGGAATCAATCTCGTGGATGAACAAAACAACGATGGAGACACGGCATTGCATTTATGTTTAAAAGCTCAAAATATTTCAGTGGCTCATTTGTTAATTCATGAATTGGGAGCGAATGTGAAAATACAAAACAAACAACACAAATCAGCAAAGAAAGTGGCAAAAGAAGCTGGAATTTCACTTCAAGAAATTATTTCCAATCCAAATATTATGGATTTATTACAACAACATCATTCCAAAGAATCTCATCAAAATAGTCATCATCATTCGAATCAGTCATCCAATTCAAATATTACTTCCAATTCATCGAGCAGTAGTGGAGGAACCAGTACATCGAATCGATTGACAGGTCTTTTCAAAAAGATTACCAAATCCTCATCGATTGATACCAATAGTAGTAATAGTGGTAGTAGCAGTGGTAATAATCATCATTCAAAATCTTCGAAAAAGACTTCGAGTGAAGATTTTAGTGTCAACCATAATAGCAACACGAGTTCATCAAGTGGTTTCATGAATACGACACCATTATCGATTCATCTACCTCCTATGAGACCTACGAGTCCTAATCAACAACAACAATTATCATCTCAACAACAACAAAATGGAATAATTTCAAGTTCGACCATTTTACCGAGAGAACAATTGGTGGCATGGACCAATCACACTGCTTTTAATTTGGGAATTGTGGATTCTTGTTATATGAGAATTTTTGACAAAATTAATTCATTGGCCAAATCGATCTTTCGTGCTGCTCACAGTAAATCGAAATCGTCTTCAGCATCGATTGTGGATTGGAATATTGGAATTTATATTTTTGAAGAGAGCATTGAAGCATTGGAAGAATCTTTTGAATATGAAAGAAGATTGTTTTTGGAATGTGGCATGAAAAGAGAATTAGTGGAAGAGCATGTGAAAGATCATGAATGTATTTTACAATGCTTGTTTGATTTATTGGATGAATACAAGCAACATGGAACCGAATCCATATTGGAAGAGTTTTTGTTCTACATGATTTCACATGTGTCACAGCACTATTTGTGCATGGACAGAATTTTGGCGATGGAAGTGAAAGCATTCCGAGTGGCTCCACTTCCAGAAGAGAATGAATTGATGTTGGAATATATTTAAAAGTATGGACACTTCTGTCATGTGTTTCTCAGTAAAATTTGTGCTTTTACATTTGGAATCTGATCGTCCAACTGATTCGCTGATCAAAAGTTTATTCTTCATTCACACAAACTACAACACATTACTGAATCTAATCTATGATAATACACAAATTGTTTATTGTTGTTGTGAATTTCCTCTGAATCGCTTCACGTCTGTTGTCATTCCAACAATTTAAAGCATCTACACCTGTTCCTTCATAGAGATTGGACCAAAGTGTATATTCTTCGGATTATAATACACTGCTCACCTACTTGACATTCCTTACCATACAAACCACGACAAGGAATGATTTGCTCAGTGGGCATTTAGCAAAACTCAGCATCATCTTGATCATCGTCTTCATACGATGAAAAAGAACAGGTGTTATTGTTGTTATTACTATTCCTCAAGACAATATCTGCAAAGAGCTCTACTTCATTCTGGCTTGTTTGAGAAGAAAGGCTTTCAAAGGCCAGCTCAAGCTCTTCATCGCTTCGGATAGTAATTTCGTCCCCTTCCTCGTCCCTATAACGAAGAAGGACACTAAAACACTCATCAAGATGATGATCCTCGATGAGATTCAGGTAGTGTTGGAGTTGTGGAGAGTGAATGGGCAAACGAATAGGGTGATGATTGGCCCATCCTCGGATCACCACATAACAAGAGAGGTGAAAGGCTTTCTTTTCCATCAACACAGAACACAACAATCTTTTCCAGCTGCTACATTGTTGTAATTCCATGATGATGATGATGATGAATTGGTTTGAGAAAGTTTTTGTTGTTGTTGTTGTTTCAAAGGTGATTTTTGTTGCTCAGCAAAAAGTTGGCAGATCCGATTTCAGCAAGGTCGAAGAAATCAGATATGCTTTGGGGAGTTATCGAGAATTTTTTTTGAACGTGAAAAATTCAAAAATAAATCCTCCACTGCATATTCGATTTTCTATGAATTCCCTAGTTCCTGCTCAATGATTTTGCCGCCAAATTTTTCCTTCCTCAAAAAATTGATAAACACTTCAGAAACCTCATCAAGGAAGAATACCAGTTCTTCATTAGCCAACGGGAAAAAGCTGAAGTGTCAAAAAAGGGCAAGTAGTCTTTAGCGTGCTCCAACATGTGTTTACATGTCAAAGAAAAGAACAACTGACTGTCGTGATGACCTTCCAAAATGAATCCATTCAGAAGCTCAATCAAAAAAAACGTTCTGAGTTGATAATCTTCCCGAAATGCTTTCCTCTCGACGATCATCATCATCATCGGGTCTGAGTGGTTCTTCCAACTCTCCCAGAATGGCCTCCCTTGTATCGGGAATCTCCCTAATCCTCATGTTCTTTGTAGCCATGTATTCAGAAATGTTTGTCCGAGTGGCCATGATCCAACCCAATGAGAAGGAAACCACCCGATCCAATATTATTCAAAATCGAATACAATTTCAGAGTGGTCTTGTGGGATATCTCGTTATTTTGGCATGCGATATCATTTCTGCCATTTCCATGTATCAGGTGTTTAAATCTATTTCTGTTGCTCTTTCTTGGTGGGTCGGATGTTTAAGAATGATCTATTCTGTCATCTTTGGTTATGCTATTTTACAATTATTTAAAGGTTATGCAGTGGTCATGAGCGATGGAAAGGATTTTATGGACTATTTTAATAGTTATGAAAGTATTTGGGCATTTGGATTAATGATCTTTGGAGTTCACTTGGTGTTATTGGGAATTCTTGCAAGGAGATCTAGTTTTGTAGCCAAGTGGATTTCACTCATGATAGTTGTGGCTGGTGTGGCATATTTTCTGGATAATTTATTGAAATTAACATATTCAAATTATGAGAATGTGAAAACTGTGTTGACTCTTTGTGTGGCCATTCCAGGCATTGTTGGAGAGGTTGGATTGGCAGTTGCTTTTCTGACTTTTTATCGATCCAGTAGAAAGAATTGAATATAAATCAGTGGGTCATTTCATGGAAATTACACTCGTTCAATAAATAACCTTTTTTAGGTATTTTTAACACAATTCGAATGTTTATTTTGTTAAATTTATAAGGGAATGTTTTTCACAATTTGATGATTTATTTTGTTAAATTACAAAAGTGTGTGGCAACCAATGCGTGTACATGTGTGAATGTCTTTTTAGAGAAATTCACACCTATGGCAATAGTTGAGAAGTGTGGTGTTCTTGACCTTATGCTTTATCTTAAATACTTTCTTCAGGTTGACTCGTATCATCCTGACTTGCATTCACTCCAACAACAGTTGTTTCACCACGCTTGGCATTGACCACAATTTCTTCTTCACGATGATTTGCAATTGGCACATCCACACTTCCAAAATTACTCATCACATTTCCACCCAATGCCAATGGAACTTGTTCTTGCTGTGACGATGTGGTTGAAATTAAACTATTTCGATTATTTTCTCCTCCACCACTAATGAGATGGTGATTCATATTGAAAGGAAGAGCAGAATCAGAAGACATGATGGAATCTCGATGATGATGATTGGAATTCACAGTAATAATCTCACGACGACTCTTTCTTGCCTTTCTTTCCATTGCTGAATTCATGACCATACACACACATAAACTCACACTACACACTCCACCACATAACATACTACAACCCAATAAGGTTAAACCCATTGCCAAATAACCACTCATGGCTCGATCCAAATACACATCGGTACAAATCGGTTGACGTGCATACGCATCGGAAGGTCTCTCCTCCGTACCACAATAATGATTGGCACTCTTCTCAGCCACTTGTTTTTCCTTAATACAATTGAGGTACAAATTCGTACACATGTATTGACATGGCTTTTCAATTTCAACATGTCCATTCGAATCTTCTAAACAATGACGAAAGGTATTCGAACAAAAATAGTGACGAGCCGAGGATTCACAACCCGTCGGTAATTCTCCATTGTAATTGGATTTGACTTTTTCAATGAAATTATCAATGGCATTGGTGACTTGAGCCTTGTAGAAGGAGAGAGAATTGGCCACGAGGGTACTCACATTGTTGGAAATTCTACCACCGCAATCATCAATGGAAGGTTTGACAGCGGCACATGAAGCATATTGTTGACGTGTGTGGCGTGAAGAATGGTGTGGGCTTCTTCTTCTTGTCTGCCAGGAGGAGGAGTGATGGTCGAATGAAGGAAGGGAGTTTGAATATTCGGTATGATAATTTTGAAGGAAGGAATGAATGGTCCATGCGAGAGAGGAAGCACTTGAGTGTTGTTGTTGTTGTTGAGGATGATCTAATTCTGTGGATGATGATGAGGTTTCGGAAAGGAATGAATTGGGTTCACAGTATACTAGGAAGGAATGAATGGTGCCAATGATGACGATCGTGATGATCATTGGGATCACGAAAAGTGTTTGGGAAGAGGGCATGATCAGTTAAGAATTAATTGGTTCAAAAGAGGTCTGTGTGATGAGAGCAATCACACATGCCAGTTGTCAAGTTGAAGCGTTTTTTTGAAAAGAGAATGCGTTGCCTGATCTTGCCCAAGCACCAAAATTTCCTTTCGTGATCCAAGCATCATCATCAAATTACAAATCAAGGGTGCTTGCTGGTGGAAAAAACAGTGTATTGGGTGATTGTGTGGCTTTCAACAATTCTCAAAGTTTCAGCCAATGTTAATTGTACATATCCCATTCCATGTCTAATATCTTTTCCTTGATGGTCATGTTATCGGTGAGATTAGGACATGCTTGTATGGTCATGACCAAGTCTTTAGGTGTAATGACAAACTTGTCAATATCTTCCCGTGGCTCTTCTTCGTTATTAGCATTGGTTAGATATGTCAATTCATCTGTGTAATGTCGGTAACTGTGAATATAGTTGCCGTCTTGTACAAGATAGGATCCAGGTTCAGGTTTGATGAATGATCGAGATACTGAGGTAGTGGCAGCATTCTTAACTCCATTTTCTTCTGCTTGCTCGTCACTCTCTTCTTCATCCATCATTGTTGTGGTCATTGGATTGTGTTCTCCTCTAGTGTTCTGGCATCTCTGTGAGCTTTTATATTGTAAACATTTTGAAATGAAATATTTCAAATAAGACTCTGCAGATATGAGTAATAAATTAACAGAGTCTCCATCGACACCATTCAACAATCCCATGTCATTGGCAATCTTATTCATTTTTCGTTCAATAAAATCCCTAGAAAGTGAAAAATGTTGCTTTTCATAGTGTGATGCACTTTGTGAAGAGTACTGTGAAGATGTTGAGCTAGATATGGAATGAGACAATAAATTAATTTTACGAGAGGCATCAAAGGGAGGTGCAACAATTGATCTGTGAATTGAAACTGGAAAGAGATTGTTCAATGATTCCTTTTTCATGAGCATCATCATACTATTCAGTCCTGTAGTTCTAGTCCTATTATTTTGATTATTTCCTCCTATTGAATGTAATTGATGGAACGTAGAAACTCTGGCATTGAATAATAAGCTCTTAATAAAATAATTATGGAGTGCAATAAATTCATATCCAAAAGTTATTTTCACAAAGTGATCCCATTCGGTTTTTGATAATTTAGCTTGAAGGTATTTAATAAACGTATTCCAATAGAGCGATTTTCGATCGTCCAAATGCCTATCTATCAGCTTTTTAATTTGTGATAAATTGACTCGCTGGTGCAGTTGTTGTGCATGTTGATGTTCTTTTTTTGATATCCCTGTTCATGTGAAATTGAAGATCAATGTCATGATGAATTTTTTCGGATTCGAAAAGGAAAAAATCATCATGGTTCCGATTTCATGTGAAAAATAAAAAACCATCATCGGAATCCATAGTAGTAACATGGTAGAGTAATCCATGGTCGTTTTCAAATTTATACATGGAACTTTATCATGATGATGATGTGGTTGTGAACTTACCGCTTTTAGATTTCTTCCCGCCCGATACCGTCAAGGAAGCCGTTTGCATTTTTTTTTAAATTTTTTTTTCAATTTTTTAAGAAATGACGCAAACTGCTTTACAGTATTATCATAAATTATTCAATCTTAATTCTTTTGTTGTTTCTTTTCCTCTTCTAATTTTCTGTAATAATCTACGGTTCTCTTCTTTGCTTCTTTCATGTCATAAATTGGTTTGTAGGTAAACAAACGAGTAGCTTTTGTGGAGTTAAATCTTCTGTCAGCAACAAGTAATGCATTCTTATCGAGCTCGAATTGAGGTGGAATGTCAAATTTAATTCCACACACCTTCAAGATGGTAGCAATAATTAATAAAATGTAACTAATGATGTACATGACTTGAACTGGAATTCCAATCTTTGGTGTTGGTAAATTGAATTCTCTCAAGATATCAGCCATAAATCCCCAAAACAATTCTGGCTCTTGATTTGTCACAAAGAAAGTTTCACCACTCACAGCGTCCTTATCCAAATGAGTAGATGCCAAAATTAAGCTATGTGTAACATTTTTCACATAGGTATAATCCATTTGATTTTTGCCATTTCCGACATAGAATTTAGTTTTTCCCTTTTTACCATTTTCCAATACAGTAGGGATGAACAATAAATCTCTCTCACCGAAAATACTTGCTGGTCTAATGGCAACGGTTCTAATCTTATCCTTGTGCTCTTTGCCATATTTCAGTGTGAGCTTTTCTTGCTCCACTTTGGTATCTGTATAGACATTGACACCAGATTTCACATAAGGTTTAGTTTCGTCGCAATTATTCGTGTCAGTTCCATCAAAAACAACGCTAGCAGAAGATACAAGAACAAAATTCTTCTTCTTTCCAACTTCATCGCTCAATATCATCAAGCAGTCCAATAAATTGCGAGTTCCTTCCACATTGACCTTATAGAGAATGTGAGAAGGTGATTTGAATGGATCAGGAGTTGCTGTGTGAAACACGGTATCTACTTGGAAATCTCTGAATGCATTGAGAACAGTCTGCAGGCACGCCACAATAGGACCAATTCAAGAGTGAAGAGTACAATGATTCAATCACATGATTTTCACAAAAATTTGCGTGCAATAAAGTCATCATCAATTATTTTCCGATGATGAGAAATTCAAAAATTAATCCATCATCAACAAGTGAAAACCGATAGGACAATATGAATTCAAACACATATATTACCAACCATAGAACAGTTATCCAAAGCTTACCTCTTTATCACAAATATCACCCTTATAGAACTTGACATTCTTTACAATATTTGGTTCTCTGATATCCATAACCGATACATTGTATCCCTTTGCCATCAAATCCTCCACAAGATGTTGTCCTAAAAATCCCGCACCTCCAATCACCATGCAGTTCTTGACTGTATTGGATCCGACAATGTTGAATTGTTGAGAAGAAGAAGAGGACATTTTTTTTTCAATCTGCAGTTGATTCGTAGTGCGAAAATAATGTAGGAGCTTGGCTTCTTTGAAGAAGAGTTGGACCAACAAGTAGCCAAGCAAGAATTACATATTGAAATCAGTATGAATTAAATATTCTTGAATTGAGATGGAAATATTTTGGAAATAAACTCGATACCCTTTTGAGAAGACGTCGAAAATAACAACAACAAAAAATATTTTAGAGTGAGAGAACTCTCTTTGCACAACAACGACGCCATCATTTTGATCGTTATTTGGCAGATAGAGGAAGAGCCTTTTTCAAAGAATAGTATCTGTTCGGACAACTTTTTGTACAAAATCAATTCCCATCATCAATATCATCTCAACAACAATTATTGTGTTTGATTTATTTACCGAGTGTGTAGGATCATTATCCTTGGTTTTTACTTTTTCGGCAACAGCAACAACCATATCATCATGATGGTTGGAAAAATTAATTTACGTAGAGATCGTACCAAACGGTATGAAATAATTCTTGATTGCCTTCCTAGGTGGAGTGTCATTCTTATACTGGTACTTGTTCTATTGCTTGTGGGTATTCTAGTTGTGGTTTCTTTATTTGCCTCTCCAACGGCTTCCATCAACTTGACGAGAAGACACTCTAACGATATTACCAATCAAACTGTGGTTGGTAACATTACGCTCACACGAGATGTGTTTACAGGTACTCAACCAATTGTTGACATTTTCGAAGATATTAGCGTTTATAGTATGGAATTTAAATATACTGTTAAATTCAATCCGATCGATAAGGGAAATAACACATTTGCAGGTATTTTGAAAGACGACTTGCTCATGAGAGGTTATCTTTATGGAAGAAATTCCAAAGATGAAGAATGGACTTTGATAAATACGAGAAAGGAAGATGAAAACATTACCAGGTCTCTTGCATGTACACAAGTTGGATATATCGGTCCAATTTCTTATAGTGGATGCTGGCCAACTACAGTCTTTTATTCACGAGTTATTCGATATTCTCAATACAAGACAGAGCTCTATATTTTGAACTTGGAAAATGTGCACAAGGCCGGATTATTGGAAGATGTTATTGAAACTTCTTTTGTGGCAAATAATCCAAATTACACAAGTTATGAATTGGGATTTAGAATGACCTTCTCAGTTTTGGCTTTGATTCACTGGATTGTATTTGTGGTGGTTGTTGCTTGGTCACAACAATGGTCAAGTTGGCACACGACTCAAAAATGGCTGATTGTGCTGTTATTCCTTCATATTTGGTATCACGAACCATTATATCCAGCAATGATGCATACTGGTTGGGAAGGATTTCCAATTGTCAACATTATTCTTAGCGTCTCCTTTGTGTATGGATTTTTATTCTATTTGCTCGTTTTCTTCCACTCTGTGTTTAAGGCACCACAGCACAGAACCTTCATGAACTTTTACTTTACCAAGATTGTAATTGTTGGAATTGCTTATATTTTGACATTGATTTTAATGATTTGGAGCAGAGTTTTCAATGTTGCCAATCCAAGTTCTGTAGATATTTCTTCCATTCCAGGATATGTTTATCTGGTTGCTGCCAATGTTGTGTTTTTGGTGTTGTGGGGTATTGATCTAGCTTATTATATTTTCCGTTCGATGGGTGCTGTGGGTAAAATGAAGCAAAAGTACTCGGGTAGATTTAGGGTTATTGGATGCTTTAGTTTTATTGTTGCTGCATGCTTTATTAGCGTGACCATTACTGCCAATGGCTTTAGAACTGATATCCAATCACTGACCTTCCTACTATTGCACGGTATTGTTTATGTTTACTTTGCATGTCTTTCGGTTCTGTTATTGCCAGGTCCAAGAGAAGAGAAAAAACCTGAACCTCGTACGGTCACCATTGATCCAACCCAATCAGACAACACCAAGACAGATGTGAACAGCGCAAAGGCAAACAGCCCAAGAGACAACGCAGAAGATGATGAAGTTCAAATTACAGATGTCGTACTCTCCAGAAATGATGAAGACGAACATGTGTAAAGTGAGTTTATTTTATGTCAAAAAGAAAGCCGAAATAATTGAATGAAAACACTCTCATTTTTGTTTTCACCCAAGTTCTTAGTGTTGGATTGTTAAGGATGTTAGCGATTACATCTTGTTCAGCTCGCATGAGCATATTGCTGAGAGAGATTGCATCTTTCTGGTGAGGAGAGTGGAATAGCCAAAGCTCTTAGCAATGACATCTTCAACATCCTCATATGTGACCTCAACTGTGCTTTTCTTATCATTCAATGGATCCCAAATGATAAATTCTTGTCGTGTGTGCTGATCAACAAAGTCCGAGCCACAACTGAATGGAATTGCAGATGATAAGGCTGGTGGTTGTTGAACATTGGTTCTGTAGGTTACTGCACTGCTAATCTTTGTCACACTAGGTGCAGCCTTAGTAGTGTTTCTTCGGGTAGTTAATGCTCTGTTTGACTTCGATACGCTTTGATCAACATAATCTTCGTCATCCTCGTCATCATAGTCGTTGTCATCCTCGTCATCGCCACTAAGGTCACTGCTACTATCATACGAATATTCATCGTCACTACTTTGGGATAATCTTGAAGAAGCATCATTGGCAGAGAGGTTTTGAGATTCACAATCCTTATAAAAGGCATCTACTTCGAAGAGAGATGAAGAGGACGAGGACGATCTCATACTCTCACCAGTGCCGGTGGATGGAGCAGCCGATCGGTTCAGAGTGGTGCTTGAGGGTGAAAGGCTTAAGGCCATTCCTGTTGTGGTTGTTGGTGTGAGTAATTTGTTCGACATGACTTTGCCATGTTTTGAAGATGATGCTATGGAGGTATCGATCGTCAAGCTTGGCTTGAGATTATTATTGCTACTAAGGGTAATGTTGATATTACTGCCACTCCCGTTTGTACTTTGATCTCCGTTACTACTAGTAATACTACTACCATTACTACTATTGCTGTTGGCGTTAGCTTTCACTTTCTTTGCACCGCTTGTCTCCAATGTTGGTTTTCTTCTTCTCTTCTTGTTGTCATTGCTAGAAGATGATTTAGAATTGCTTCCTGGCTTCATTAATATTGGTTCGTAATGTTTGTTTGCAGCAGCACTCAACGCAGCAGCTGTGATGCTAGAAGGAACGGTGCTTGATCCATTGTTGCCTTGCTGATGACCACGACAACATGGACATAAATAACCACCGGATTTAATTTCATATCCATTGCTCTTTTCACAATTTTGATGTACCCAACGATGACAACTATCACAACCGATCCATGGTTGCTCCTTATCATCTGCATCACTTTCTTTATAGATTTGATTGCAATACACACAAAAGTGGCCCTTTCTGTCAATTAGTAGTTGTGGGTACATGTCATTGCAAGCGATGAAGGTTAATTCAAAACAGCCACATCAAAAACCTACTTGTAATGTACTAAATATTCATAAACATTGTTGCGAGATGTGTTGATAAACGTTCAATGAAATTATGAAAATTTTCATTCATGGTCATTCATCATCAATTTTGGTCATTTGATGACAACAATGAAAATTCATGTATTTTAGGTGGTGTGTGCGGGTTAATTGTTATGGGTATTTATCAACACAATGACAATATACTTACACCCACAAGCATTGCAGAGCATGACCGGTTTTCCTTCCTTTGTTGTCCAACCTTTGCGCCACAGAGGAGTTTGATTGGTTTTGCATTTAACGTTTCCGCACACGAGAGGATATTGTCTCATGATGAATGTGGATGAGAAGGTTTTGTTAGTTCTTTGATGATGTTGTTGTTGCGGATGATTAAATCGGCGATTAAAGTTAATGAGAGAGAATACTTTTATCATAAACGAATCCAACAAATACGAAGAACACAAGGATGAATGAGATTCAAATGCTGTTTGCAGCAAACAACAAACCTTTTGATGAACGGATCAAGATGATCAACGGATAGATGCTCGTTTTGAGTGAATCGAAACAATCTCTCTAAGGCAATGTTAGAAGAAGCGTTTCGGTTTTTTTTTTCTCACAATTTTTTCTGTCGCGCTCAACTGCCTGTTTTGTAAACGTGCATCTCGCGATTAAGGAACATAAACTTCTATGTTTGGCCACCTTAAAAAATTTGCAAGCAACTGAACGACGTCAACTTGAACTAACCAATGAATACATCATCAATGATAGACAAAAAATAACGTTAATTTTACTGAAATTACAACAGGAAAGTACAATTAAACATTGTGAATGTTTTGTTGGACAAAAGGAAACTGTTCCAAACTCGAATGTCGTTACCAAATAGGAATAGTTGATCTTCCTCAAGAACGGGAGTAGATGTTATTGTGATAGGGATGGTGTAGTCTGTGACGATCCATGAACCAACTGGTTCATCGGAAGGAGCTGCAACTATTTGATTTTGGAATAATCCAGAGTTATAAGGGAATTCTCCACTATAAAATCCACCAAAAATGTAAATCCAGTTTTCTGTAACAACCATTGTACCATCAGCAAATTGATAAGGTAGAACAGAATACGTGTTTTCAAACTTGGTTGGTGAATAGTAGGAAGCTCTTAAAATATCTGCGTAAGGATCACCATCTGAATTACGGCCTCCAAAAATGAATAAATAATCTTTAGATCGTCCAATAATTCCGCTGTAGATTGGAACGGGAAGTTTATCGCTGATCACTTGGAAGGAGAGAGGAGACATAACGTGAGCACGTAAAATTGTTGAGGTCACATTCATCAACAAAACAGGATCATCGCCACCGTCATTCATGCTTACAACACCTCCAAAAATATAAAAGTAATCGTCAACAAGCAATGACATTCCTGAAGCTACAGTGTAGGGAAGGGTAAAACGAGTCAGCTCCCAACCTTTTTCAATGTTGCTTACTGAGGCTCTGTAAATAGCCTTAGATATGGTGTTGTTGACAACTCCACCGTACATGTAAATGTAATCGTTCACTTTGAGTATGTGTGTATTGTAAATGGAGCCTTGGAACATTCTACCTGTATTGTTCACATATTCCACAAGTTTAAATTCGTCAAAGGATGAGTTTTTCTTGTACAGATAAAAACCATTGTCGGGAAAGAGTAAAAAGTTGTCACCAACAAATTGATAAGACTCGTCACCAACTTTGAAGAATGGATATTTTCTTCTTTCCATCGCAAAGCCATAGGTACTCATTCCTGTGTAAACACTGACAAAGGTAGTAGTGGTGGTACTATTAAAGAGCTCCTTGTTGGCATTGGTACCTGCTCCCATTAAGGCTCCGTTATTTGTTAAAAATACTGAGGCTTTTTCAAATGCAGCGAATTCTAACACGTTGATTGTGGTGTTGTCCGCAATTTTTGTGGGGGATGAAATTGGAGTGGTTGTAGAACCAAGTCCTAACTGTCCGTATTGGTTAGATCCCCAGCTGTAAATTTGTGAAGTATTGGAAAGCGCAAACGAAACTGCATGCCTTGTAAATATTTTCACCACAATGCTTCCTTTGGTTGCTGCTGGTATTACAGTAATGGCTACAGGTTCTAATTGGTTGTTGGTATTACCTGTTCCCAAGGCTCCGTTTGCACCTTGTCCCCATGCATATACCTTTCCTTCTGATGTCAGTACCAAATTATGATTCGCTCCGCACTGAATATCCACAATAGTCTTATTTTCCAAAGAGCGATTCATTACTACTGGAACTGGCTCCATTACATATGGTACTTTAGTAGATGATTCTCCAATTCCCAATTGACCATATGTGTTATCTCCAAAGGAAAACAACCTGTTATTATCAGAAAGAACAAGTGTATGTGAATCACCTGCACACACCCGAACAATTGTTCGGTTAAGCATGGCACCCTTCATGTAAATATCTACAGGTCTAGGTTTTTGAATAAGAGTTCTGTCTCCGAGTTGTCCTCTATCATTCTTTCCCCATGCATACATCTTTCCTCGTTCGTCAACTGCAAAGAACGTGTATGCACCTGCAGCTATCTGTTCAATTTTCTTTGGACCTTGCAAATCCCATGAAAACACTTTGAAGGGCTTACTCCTTGCCAACACTGTACCATCACCAACTTCTCCGTTAGTGTTTTGTCCCCATGAATACAAAGCATCTCCGGCTAGTACAAGATTTGAATAATAGGATGAGACAAGCTGTAAAACGGTCAAGTTCTTTGGTAAATCTACAGGTATAGACATTAAGGGATATCCTCTTGTCGAGGAGTCAGGTCTTCCCAAACTACCACCTGTGTCGGCTCCCCATGAATACACCAAGCCATTTTGATGAAGCAGGAGGCCGTGTTTTATACCTGCAGAAATTCTGTTTCTTATTCTTGCTACTTTATGGGCAGTTGCGTGATTGGGAAGGTAACCCGAAGTCATGGTCATGTTGAGACCTGTTTGAACTTTTCTGTAAGGGTTCATTTGCCACTTCTCAGGCGTATAGAGAATATCGGAGATGTTCTGTAGCGATTATAGTAATACAAATTCAGCATGAAAAGTTTGTAAATTGTCGACGTCATCATGGAGCAATATAACAAAACTTACATAGGAGAAGTCGCTCAAAATATCTTGTGTTTTCAAAAAGCCAATGTCTGTGAGTTCAATCAAGCTATTCAATTCTTGCTCCACTTCCATGAGTTTTTGATATTGTTTGTTTTTGTTGGCCAGCATGAGTTGATATTGAGCAAGAGGTATCCTCAATTTTGGAAGATCCATATAACTGGTTTCAATTGCTTCCACTGTGATATTGATTTTAAGTTTAACTTTGGACCTTTCAATTTCTTCTTTTTGTGCCACATAATCCAGATAGACTTGATAATAGCTGTCTCTCTTTTCTCTGTGATAGGTGAGTTTGTACAACATTTCGATGGCACTCATGTTTTGGGCCCACACGATAGGTGCTGTTGATCGTCATAATGAGTTGTTTGTTAACATCATGATTCAGTTCATTACATTTTCTGTTGAAACGTCATCATTGCGAACTTACCCACAGCCAAACAACATATCAGAAGAGAAATTCCGATCAGGTATTTCATCATGGAGGACGTTGAAGGAGGCACAGATGAAAAATTAAGGGATCGCCTGATTAAGGCTGCATTCATTTTTGCCAATTTTTTTTACTGTATGTAAATCAGTACCCGCCCACTGTTTTACGGTAAAAAAATTGGCAATGATCATCCCTGCTGATGAGAAAGAGATTATGACAATAGGAAGATGTGCCTCAATTAAGATTCCATGTTAATCCATCTGAGAAGTAAACAATATAAGATCTTTCATGGCTTCCTCTTGTGTCGAATATATGATACTGCTCGCTGTTGTTGTTTGATGAGGCTCGATCAAATCCAGCACTAAATAGCTCGTGAGAATATCACGAATTAGCTCGACCTTTTTCACGAGTGGTTTCAAATACTGAACGAGGCAATCTAACAGCAGAGCATTGGTTTCAGTTGACTTCTCACTTGCATCCTTAATTTCGCCATTCAGCAATTTCTTCTCCACTAGCCCTTTCACTTTCATGATCGTGCCACAAAAGAATGAGTGCTTGAGATTTTTACATGTTTCTTTGGCCATTTTGATAAAGGCATTGGGCTCATGAGTGAGACAATTTTCTTGTACCTTCTCCTCTACTCTCTGCATGAGAGCTGCCAAATACTCGACGGTTTGATTGAGATGATAAATGACCTTGTCATTAAAGTCACAAAGTCTCTTTCTGTGCTCATCCGAGTGAACATGTGGTAAAACATCATCCAGAGTATTATCGAAAATCATGTACCAAATACGACCTTCTCTCATGGACTCTGTGATGAGCATTTCATTCGTTTTGTGAATATTCAAATACCAATTCGATTTGATCTTGAACATGAGACCATTTTCAAGAATCATGACATATCCTTCGTGCCCTTTTTCTTCTTCGATGGATTTCTTGATTGATTTCAGATCTGTTTGCAAGTTAATGATTTCATTGGTACATGCTTTGACACATTCAATTTCGCCATATTCCTTGCAGGTTTGTTTCATTTCATCATAGGAGACAAAATTTCCGAGAATGGTTTGCCTTAGAGCAAGTAACGAAATGAAAGGAGAATTGCCATAGTTGACCACCACACGATGATTAGGAGAAAAGTATTCAAATAATGGTGTGAAACCTTTTGAAATCCAATCCACACAGAACCGAATCAAATTTCCATTCCTGAGATGTTGGGTTTGTTCGAATAAGGATGCACCATTGTCAAAACTCAAAGTGAAAGGAACAGGCGAGTTTCGTTCTAAATTTTCCGCAATACGTTGAGAGCAGTAGAAAATGGGTAATTTCGATTCATGTAGCTCTTTCCTCTTTTCATGATATTTTCTCAAGTCTTCTTGTAAGGTTGTTGAGCTTGTTGCTTCTCCCAATTCATCTGTGGTAATTTCATTGTCTTCGTCATTTTCATTAAGTGAATTATTGTTGTTATCATTATTTTGTGGTCTTACTAACGAATCATCTCTCACAATGCCATACACAAATTCCTCAATAGATTGTGAATGTTCATTTTGATAGTCCAATTTGGTTCTGAAACGTAATCGAAATGGAATGAGGGTGGTTTCATTGCGTGACACTATGCCACCACCACTATTGTAGTTGTGGTCATTTCTCTCGTGCAAAAATTCTATACATGGAGTACATAATGAGCCATCCAATTTTTCCAACAAGATGAATGGCCTCTCTTTTCCAGTTTCTCGTTTCAATTGAATCAACATCTTTTCGACAATTTTCAAATTGCATTCCTCTCGCTCATCAATGTTGAAAAATTTAGGCATGGATCTGTATAATAAACGTTTTGATTCTCGATCAAAAACAAGTCCTCTAATTTCTCTTCTCAACATTCTTCTCTCGAATTCATGTGAATCCAAATCAATCACTAATTGAGTCTTTGAAATTTCTTTGATCGGAACGGGAGGGAAGCTCTCACTGGACACAATTTTATAACTCACAAATGTAAAGGGCCCATTGTGTTGAAAAGTAAATCCTTTTGTTTGGCCAATATTTTCAATGATTTGATCCAAATGTTGTATACGAGGATATTGAATGGGTTGACGTGCCGAGAGGGTGAGTTGTGGGTCTTCTTGCAACATTTTTTTTATTGGAATGTGGGTGCGTTTGTGAAATTTCACAAGTTGACACGAATTTTCGCAACACACAAACGATAAATTAGCATAATGGACAAACACACGGTGAATGAGTTCCGTTTAATATATCTCAATAGGATTTGATGTTTTGACCAAATCTTGTTTAAATATTCGCACTAATACTTCCATGATTAATCTCCTCAAAAGTAATTCCCTCTTCCTTCAAATATTCCAACACAGCTGGTTTGATTTTTGGTCCTTTTTCATCTGAGTGATTTCCTGCTCCATATATGATGGTCAATTTGTTGGACGACTTCTCAGTTCTCAATTTTTCAATGCGTTTCCGTAAAAATTCCATCGCATTGTCGACGTATTGGCCGTGCAAATCAATTTCGAAATCACCCTTATCCTTATTGAGGTGTTCAAACATGGTCTGAGCTGACTCGAGTTGATACTTTTTCATGAGTTCTTGATGCTTTTTACCTTCATCGCTTAATTGTTTGGCAAGGGCTCCATCTCCACTCTCATGAGCTTTGGAAGCTCTCTCGAAACAATCGGACATGAGTTTAGACTCCTCACTAATCTTCTTTTCCAACTCTTTAAATAACTTCATGGCCTCGGTTTCATGTTCAATGAATTGTTTCTCCTTTCCATCATATTCCCAGCCATACTTTTTCAATTCGGCCATCAATCTCTGATAGACCTTCTCGGGCGAGAGAGTTGTGCAATTTTCAATGCTCACTTGTTTGGTATCCGAGTCCAAGTCTTGAATATTGATTTTGCAGCTCGTTTCTTCTTGTAATTGTTTGATGGTGGAACCTTTGGGTCCAATGAGATAACGTGCCAAAGAAGCAGGTTTTAATAGGAAGGAATTGGTGATAGAGTCAAAATTGCTGCTCGTAGTGGTGGTTTCAACAGTATTGGTTGATGATGATGATGTTGGCTTGGCTTCCAAAGTCTTGGCCGAGTTGTTGTTTTCATCCGACGAGTTGGGCTCTTCCGACGAAATTTGGGTCTTCTGGGGTTCTGTACTCGTGGTGGTGGTTGTTGAGGGAGTGGTGGCTACCGAGTTTTCTTGCTGTTTCACTGATGATGTTGATGGCTCATTGGTTTTCACTTCTGGCTTTTCAGTGGTTGTTGCTGTTGTTGCGGTATTGGATGCAGCTGCTCCACCTTTGTTACTGCTGCTCTTGGATGACTGTGTCTCTCGTTGGCCTGAGAAGCAATTGCCCATTTTTATTTTTCTGACAGTGTGCAACCATGACAGCAACCAAAAGGTGTGAATTTATTTCGAGTGGTTTGAATATCAAGAAAGGTTGGGGTATGAGACAATTTGGCAAGTGAAAAATGACACCTTGAACATCAAAACAAGAAATTTTCTGTTGAGCTGTAAATTCGAGTTTTACGAAATTCCGAATCTCCATTTTGTGAAGAGGGAGAGCATTAAGGAAATTTGGTTACTTGTTGGCCAACTGTAGTAGTTGATTGTCTTATTTAAAAATTCGATCTCTTGCTAGAGCTCAAATACTTTCGAACTACCCTTTGATTCTCTCCATTACTTACATGAACTCATCACACATGTCCTTGTGCTTGTACCAATGCTCTTTTCAATGTGTCTTGTTCACCAAAGGCCTTACTCTGGGCCAGTGAAGATGATAACTAACTTGGCATCAACCATTGTGCTGGGTCGTGCAATCATCACATATTCCTGATCAAAAATTTCAGATGGAATTTGGCAATTGAAATGCTGTGAAATTGGGTCGTTTGAAAACAATTATCGTGAAATGAGAATACTACCTCCAACTTGATCGCAATACGAGTAAGCTTCGCTAAATTTGTTCGTATTTTCTTCATAGAGCCATTTCAACGTCTTATCACAGACTGTACCACTCACGTTTACTCGAATGTGAGTCACTTGTTCCAATAGCTGTGTATTTGGAATATATTGCGTCAAGTTAATGTCGATATCATGTTCTTGACAATGATTCATTTTCATAGTGATTGGAATTTTGGTTTGAAAGAGTATTGGACTCGATTCATTTCTAAATTCTTTTCCAAATAGTGTCATTTGTGCATAGACATGATCCAGTGGAGTGGTTTGCAGTCCAACTTGGGAAAATTTAAAACAAGGATATCGGATTCGTAGAGTGTATTTCACACGATCCAGTGAATCCATAACAAGTTGCAATGGCAGCAATGCCGCTCCAAAATAAGGTCTATAACAGGTATCATTAAATCTGAGTTCGGTATAATTCCACAAATTACAAAATTCCTCTACTGTAAAGTTGGAAATGGGTGCATTTCCATCTCGATCGTATGGATCATACATGATAATTCTCGTTATAATTTCATTCGTGGTTGTGTATTCTTTTGAATTTTCATTTACAGAAGGTTTTGTCATCTGTTTCGACGTTGTCACCATTTCAGATTCATAACCCACAGCCAATCGATAATGCCCTTCATAATCACCACTCTCTTGTGGATTTTCATAAAACATTAAACAAATCACTGGAATGTCTTGCTTCAAAAATTGAGTGACCAATTCAGAAACCCAACAGTTCACTCCTTGATCCAATGCTCCTCCTCCCAATTTCTTTTTACAATTTTTAGAGTGCAACCATGATGATTCACTGGATCTCTCTGGATAATACACAGTCAATAAACCACTGTGGTCATATAAAGAATCCGTGTCCAGATGAGTCTTTTCATGGTTCAATCTTTGAGAGTTGGAAGAATGAATGTATTGTCCAAACCAACCATGCTCAGGAGCATACGAAGGAAATTGAAGATAATATTGTTGAATGGGAGTTGAGCTCAATGGAGAAAATCTGGCACTCCGAACCACGTCCAATGAGCTGGTTCCGGTGTGGTTGGAAGTTCTGGCAACATCAATAATGGATCGTTGATCAATGATTTTTACTTTTTGGGGTAATTGATGAATAGTATTACTTGTTGTTGAAGGCTTGTTCAATGAGAACGAGTGATCTGCTCGAGAAGGATGATGATGATATAAAGAATCCCAATAGGTGAGAGCCATTTGTAAGGTTGCAGCTCCACAGGAATAATCTGTGATTTGAGAGAAATAGGGAATGTTCGGAATAATATATGATGATAATTTGGTTGAAGTAGATTTGAAAGTTTGGGAATTTAATGGTTGGTCAAGTTGAACATCGTGTTGTTGACTCGATACGAGGATTAATGGTTTCGGAATGAAATTCAGAGTCATCATCATTGTAACCATGACGATGATAACCATTGGCAAATTTCGCAGTTTTGACATTTTTTAAAATTGGAAAAATTACTGACACACTCACACTCGGGATAACAAATAATTGACCTCTAATGTGAAAATTTGGTTGATATTTATTGAAATTTATAAATTAAATCTTAATCGACTACTACTAGCATTGGATGAAGTTGGAGAGGTTGGATTTCCACTTTTTCCATTGGACACTCCATTTCTTAATCGATTTTGTAAATGAGTCGTCACAGAAGTGATTACTTTGACAATCGTGCTTGCAGAAGAAATGGTCGAAGAAGATCCAATAATGTTGGCAGGAGACGCATCTGTGTAATTATTCTCGGAATTTGTCGTCATTTCTGATGGTAATTGCAATTGTGAAGTTTTTCCTTCAAATTCTCGAATTAAAATTTCAAGCATGTTGTCTTTCATTTCAGCTAGAGCTTTAGAATTGGATGATAACATTAATAAAGTACTCAATACCAATGTAATATTGAGACGAAGTTGAGCTAATTGTTCCACTAACATTGGACAAGAACCATTCGAATTGGATGATGCTGAAGGAGTATTGTTTCCACTCGCTGATGATGCATGATTGCTAGAGCCCTCTCGCGAAGCATTGGTTGGTGACACGGATTGAGCCTGTTGTTCATGAATAGTACTTCCACCTCCTCTTCTTCCCGAACGATGTAATTGTTGCAACATGACTGAATGATTTCCACTATTATTTCCTCCATTGTTAAAAACATTGCCATTGAATGTGACAAAACCATTGTTATGGTTGCCATTCGGAATGAAAGGCATTAAAATATTCAAAATTTGAACGAGTAAGGTAATCAAGGTCTGACTATTGGCAATGCTACGATGAAGACCTCGAATAACACTTCCACTGAAACCACTCAACACAATTGAAATGGCCACTCCTCTGAAATATTCATGAGAGGATAATGCCAGTAAAATACTCAATAATGAAGTCAAATAGGAGGGAATTCTAATGGAAGCAAAGTTGCCACTACTCAAATTCATGTTGGAAGAAGAAGGTGATGAATTGGATGATGGCTGTTGCTGTTGAGCGATCATCATTCTCCTCACTACATGTCCCAACAATTCAATCAAGGTATGAATCGAAGTTTCATTCACAATGAGTTCACTCATGAGTTCATCTTCATCCTCTCCTCCAATTTCATGTTCGGATGAAGATTGAACAATTACGAGAAGAGCATCCAATGCCGATTTCAATAATTCCTCTCTTTGTGAACTCTCGAATGGAATGGTATTCATCAATGAAGGATACTTTTCAGAATAGGCCACTGATTCTGGAATGAGTGCCGAGAGAATATTCGGAAGAATGTGACGCACCACGAGTGGAACTAATTCTCCATCTTTGGTAATGACCGAACGTTTCTCAGAGGTGTTGCAACAATTGCGCAAGACTCTCAAAAAACAAGAGGCCAAGTAAGGTTGAGTGCGTGAATTGAATGCTTCAATGTGATCCACTAAAAATTGCAAATAATCATTGGAAGTGAACCATTTTCGAACATTTTCAGAAAAGTAGGTTAATTTTTCGAGAATGCTGGCCACAACTCCGAGAAGACCTTCATCGTCGTATTGCAATAATGAACACAAACTGTGTAAGAAGGGTGTGTAGGAACAGAGAGTTTCTCGAATTTGGAGATAGAGCTTTCGTTCTTCGGAAATTTTGTCAATCGCTTCGTTACTGGAGGTGGAATCGGTGTCAGTAGTAGCACTGTTGTCATGCAGAATGGTATGAGGAGAGGAAATGGAACCAACCGTAGATCTTGAAGTATCCATTTCACACTTGTTTAACCATGAAGTAATTTCATAACAAATTTCATAAATCGTTTCATAGTGGTACATGGAACTCACATGAATAGCATTGGAAAGTAATTTGACAAATCTGTGTGAAAAAGTTAAATATCATGTAAGAATGAAACAACAATAATCTCTCTTCTTCTTCGAATAATGGTACAATACTTACGATAAGGGTGACATTCCTAACACTCCCACAAAATAATTCAATTTCATCAATCTCAAAAAAACGGTCGTGTTCATATTACAAACTGTTCTCGAGGTGTGATTCGATGAAACTGCACCTCCACCTCCTCCACTACTGGCACCAATATTATTCTTTCCACCAATAAGCATTTGTCGATACATGATTAATTGCAACTGTTTGGCTAATTGATTGTTTTTAAGTTGTTCCACATGCTTCTCGACAGCTTCATCGTACAAAATGTCATCATTGAATTGAGTGAGTCCTCCTGATGATGATGATGCTGCACCTTGAACAGTGGCATTCATTTGATGTTGAACTGCAATATTCATTTGATTCATATCGAAAAAGCTGTAATGCATTTCATCAGTTTTTTGTTCAATTTCTTCAATCTTTTCTTCGATTGGTTTTTCAAAGTCATATTCTTGATTCACAATTCTCAAATGAAGGAAGTATTCCATGAGGAGAATCAATGTACGTTTGTAATGCTGCATTTTCTTATCTTTGGCCAATTCTCCGATTTGTTTCAAGTGAAGCAATGCTTTCACAATTCTTTCAAAACTTGAATATTCAATCGAATCGGAATAGTACGCCAAATAATACGAGATTTTGTTTCTCCATTGAATGATGTGTTGAATGGTTGGATTTTTAACAGTATCTGGACTATCAACATTGTAAACAAGATCATGTTCCACAGAGAATGGGTCATGAATGGTTGAAGGGTCTTTTGGTTGTGACAAGATGCAATCAATCACGTCACCCACGGCCTTGACAAAAATTTCAGGACGTGTATGATCTCCAACTTCATGTCCCCACTTGAGAGGATATAATTCGGGTTTCAAACCAAATTTCAATTGAACCCAACAATAGAAATCTTCGTCACATGCCAACGATTCCAATTTGGTTCGAATCGTTAATTGATCATATAAAAAGCATTGAGGAAGAGGATTACACGACTGTACGCACATGTTAAATAATTCATTTTGAGATGCTGCCTTCGAACTATTATCTGCATAATCATATTCAAAAACAATGTCTTGATAGTGTGTGGCATAGGGTGGAATAAATCTTCTTCGACACACCACTACATGTTTGATACGATCATGAGGAAGAATAGAAGATTGTGAATCATGAAGCAAGTCCAAATTAAATGCATCGTAACGTTTCGAATGTTTGGGTTTGCTTGTGAAAAGTTGTGGATAGTAACAATATTTCACCTTAATTTGATACGCTTCTGTGATGGTTTTGTCAAATTTGTAGATGGATCGTTCTTTGAGAAATTCTTCATCGAGTAGAACATCAAAATCAGCGCATGACGTTAACAATTGGTTGGAAATCATTTTCTGAGCAAAGGTTCGAATATTCGTCTTGGGAGCATTTGAATTTCTAATGGGAATGATTTTCACAGTTAACTTGTCAGGTACAATGGATGCTTGAGAATTTCCTTTGGACTCAAAGGTCACGTCATGGTATGCTTTTGAAGAGTTATTGTTCATACTTTTCAATTCCAAAGAATTATTGTTGTTACCACCAGTATTACCACCATTGTTATTATTATTAGTACTAATACTACTACCAGTCATGGAAACGACTTTTCGATTCAATTCTGTTGAATTTAACACAAACCAATATCCATTGAATACTTTTTCTACTCGAACCGATGGTGAATTGGTTTGTAAATATTTCAAGACGGACGAGTTGGTATTGACAATGTGGAGTCGATCCAATTTCAATGTTTGTAGTGGATTTTTGATGGTCTCGTCGTTTGAATGACTCATCGACGACGAGGACGACGACGACAAGTTTTCGCTTGTCGTTGCCAAGTAATTCTTGTACACAATCTTTAAATCATAATCCATGTCCTTATCGAATTGCCACTTTTTGAGGACCTTATTGGTCTTGTAATGAATTTGTAATTCCTTAATTAATTGAGTTCGATTGGATGCTTCCAATGTGAGTGTATGTGTCAATGATGATGAATTTGTCATGGTTTGTTGTGAAGAGGATGATTTTGAATCACTCGTATTGTTGTTGTTGTGATTTCCATTCAAAGTAGAAGTATCATGACAAGTGGTTCTTGATAATGAACCATTATTATTATGTTCACCATCATCATCACCACGAGCCGACAATGTGTTCTTGTTCGCAACAACAACAATACTGAATTTAGAGACATGATCCGAATAGACATTCACACAGTGGATTTGTTCCAATGCGATAGGAATGGGAGCGCTAGTAAAAGACTCTTTGAAGAGATATACAAAATGTGCACAAATACAAATATAATAAATTTCTTTTTCGTAGAGAACGATGGAATAGAAGAGAACTTCATCTTGAATGAATTGTTCGAGATGGAGACGAGCAATGATTTTTTCTTTCATCTATTTGTTGCGTTGTTGTAAAGAGTGGGGTATGAGAGTTTTCAAATATGTCAAAATTTTCTAGGAGGTTAATTGTTGTGATGATGAATGAGATCCAATAAATGGTTGAGGAGAAGGAATCCGATGAGGGTATGTGGACGATGATGGAATAGTGGCACAACGCGTTGTGTGATTTTCCGCTCGTTGCAAATGAAAAACGTTTTTTTTGATGTTTGACGTGAGGAAAATTACTTGTCAGGCGTTTACAACTTGTTTGGATGATGCTCTTTGCAACGACTTCGACTTATTTGAAATCTCTCTTCTGACCTGGTCATAAAAGCAAGCAACCAAACTTTTATTGGGGTATATATAAGAAGGTCGTTTACTTTCTAGCAGTTTCATAATTGTCCAAAAACCATTGAACTGTTTCCTTGATTGCTTGATCGAATGGTGTATATTGGAAGGTTGGATTCAAACGCAAGAACTTGGCATTACTTGCAGTCTTCTTGTATTGACCGTCTGCTTTTGAGGTGTCAAATACCATGTTACCAGTGAAATTGAAAGCATCCTTAATACTTTGTGCAACTTGTCCAATACTCTTTTCGTCCTCTTCGCTCACGCACAACATGATTGGTTCTTCAGACTGATAATTGAACATGGTCCACAACAACATACGTGCAGCATCGTGGGAATACAAAAATTGTCTCAATGGCTTTCCTGAACCGAACACAACAAAATCAGCGCCGCTTTGTTGAGCCTTATAACATTTGTGCATGAGTCCTGGCAAGACGTGACCAGCCTCCACGTTAAAGTTATCATGTGGCCCAAACAAATTGGTTGGGATGACACTTGTAAAGAGACATGATTTTCCTTCATTAACAGCCTTTTCATTGTACCATCTTCCTAACATGTCGAGCATTCTTTTGGCGTAGGCATATGCATTATTACTAAAGTGTGGAGGTCCTTCATGAAGTTTATCTTCAGTGATTGGATATTCAATCTTGTCTGGGAAGACACAAGTAGAGAGACATGATATTGTCTTTTTCACTCCGAAATCATAACAACAATTCAAAATATTATTATTCATATTCACGTTATCCAACCAAAAGCTCACTTTAAAATTCATATTCTTGAAAAGTCCTCCAACAAAAGCAGCCAAATGAATCACATAGGTTGGTCTGTGCTTTTCAAAAATTTGTTTGCAGGCATCGGCTTCACGGAGATCACCATCCTTGCTTCCCAAGAACACCCATTTACCTTTAATGTGATCCTTCTTCACGATATGTTCTACAGCTTTCCCAAACAAACCAGTTCCTCCTGTAACCAAAATTACATCATCATCAGTGAGTGTGATGGGCTGATCAGAGACTTCCCGTTGAGCCATTTTTTTGTTATCGAAAATAAAAAAAATTCAAAGTTTACTGAAATCAACTCGACTTCCTCTAGAAATTACACTTGCACTATGAGCGTAAAAAATGAGCCGAATTTTTAATTACGCATCAGGAATAATTTATTTATTGCTTCTTGCACCACCAGTGACGGAATCAAGAACAAACCTGTCATGGTCCTTGTTGAAGCATTGAACATGTATTGGGCCACAAATTGTGCACATGTGGGTAGATTTGCTTCTCTTCTTCTTTCCACTCTTGCTGGTGTAGAATCTATAACATATTCTACAATCTAACTTCTCTCCGTTCGGAATTGGTACTAGTTTGTGGGAGTGTGTTGGGACTTCGTACATGGTTTTGGCAAGAGCAATTATGAATTCGGATTGAGTCATTGGTTTGGGGGAAAGAGAGTTATATATTATTCTGGCATTATGGACCATCAAATTCATTGTCCAAATCCACACTGCTACTCTCCACCTGAACACTCGGTGACGATAATAGGCAGACATGATTGAACTGTTTGCTCGATCAACACCACCCATATGCTTCAAATAGTCGTGAAAACTAGCAGGAACTAGATCCATATCTTTCAAATAATCATCTCCGGAAATAATCTCTCGTTGAGTTGGCACGTACGCAGTTGCATCATGCAAGGAGCTCATGATATTCGTAAATTTGACTTTCTTTGATTTTGCTTGTTCCGATGACTGTCCTGCTCGTTTTACTCCTCCTCTCGGAATTGAATTTGCTGCAAAAGAGTATCCTTTGTACGTAGTTCCTCTCATGGATTTCACTCCTAATTCATTTTGCTCAAGTGTATATGTACCGTTTTTGAAAATGACTGCTGGTCTATCTTGTCTACAAGACATCACAATATCATGTTTCTTCTCCATGGCAATATTGAATACTTGCATTCCTCCATAATAGCTATCCATATACAACACATGATGTTTTGTCAAAGGTTGAATCATAGCACTCACAACTTCCCAAGAATGGACCACTTGAGATTTGGCCCCTCTTTCATAATGAGGATTAATCACTCTGTGAAATGGTAAGTCTTTAGGTTCCTCACTCGTTCTCTTATGCAACATCCAATTGAATATATATCCACTTTCACAGGCTGCCGTAAATAATTTCATTCCGTGTGGATGAGGTTTTCTAGGAATGAAAACATGATGAGGACATTTTCTTCCTTTGTGAGGAATCATTGACTCGTCAATTGAAACGTTTGTTGATACATCCCAAATACTTTGAGCTTTCTCTTTAATGGAATCCAACCAATCATCGACATCAATGTCAATACATCGATACATTTCCAAAAATTTATGTTTAGGTAATCTATTTTGAAAGAACAATCCAAGCCCTAAATTATTCAACGTTGGATTTTCCCAATAGTCGTGCAATGTTGGTAATGCAGACACACTCATTGCTAAAAAGCATGATAGGAATTTATTTGAGTCCTCTAATGTAAATGGAGTAGTCCAACGTTTGACATAATTTTCTCTATTTTCCAAACGATCTGTTTTGATGTTAGGTTGTAAGGGTTTTCCTCTAGTTCCTTCTCGCAATTTTATATGATCAACTCGTGATTGCCTTCTATCGTTCATTTTAGAGAGAAATTTTTCCTGTATATCGTCAGTGAATATTAATTTAAAGCAAGAGAGTGGTGTTATTTCGGAAAGTACTCCAATAAATTTGCCTTTGCTCTGATTTTTGGCGTAATAATCGTCAGGCACAACAGTAATCCCGTTACTTGGAATATATTTCTCTTTGTTTGACTTTGATTCATGGTCGTCCAATGACAAATATGAGAGCAAAATTCCAAGTTCAATATTATCATCACCATCATCATCATAAAAATATGAATCCCAATTCAACTCTTCATAATCATCGATTAGGATTGGAATTTTCTCTTCCTGAGGCAAATAATTAAAAATACAATCTAAACATCCACCCGAATCAAGCTGATGAAATGTTGTTGTAACACCACAGCCAGTGTTGTCTTGGCTTGGATTGTTGTCGGTTAACATTTTTTTTGACTACTGACTCACAATAGTGCATTACCTTGCTGGCCCGTAGTGCATCGTAGTGGACGTTTGATATGTGAATTAACATTTATGGTGACATTTGAGGACATGCACCCAACAGCAAGCCACCACCATCACGAAGATTGTTGGCTCATAGTGCATTTTATTTTCTCGAGGACTTTGTCTTCATGAAACAAGATAACTTTTTCCGATCTGTTTTATCACGGACACCATTCCACAAAGTAGTTAACTTTAAAACCTTGATGAAATTCACAGCCTCAAATTACATCCGGATAACCATTGTTGATAAGTTTAAAAAGGCGCTCAAACTCTACGAAAACCAAATAGAACCGAATGAACAAAACTTCAAAAAAAAATCTCCTCATCTCATCATACTCTTGATTTTACCAGTATTGAAAAATGAGAGGACTCAAATTAAAAGTCAGTGCTTCCGAAAGTGAGGCACCTCCGAGAGATTTTGATATTACTCAAAGCGGATCCTTTACGAAAGGAGATTTTAAAATTAATCAGAGCTGGAAAAACATGTCTTTGAATGATTTGGAAACGAAACACTTGTTGGGAAAGGGATCATCTGGAAATGTCTATCTTGTTTGTCATAAGGACTCGGGCCAGTTATTGGCTCTCAAATACATTTCTGTTTTTGATGACCAGAAAAGAAAGACCATAGTCAACGAGTTGCAAACATTGTATTCCGCTTCGAATGACCATCTGGTAGGTGTTTTTATTATAGGAATTTGTTGACTTTGTATTCTCCATCCATTTATCCCTTTTACAATTTGCGGCAACCTAATATTCATGGGCATTTTGTGACAATCATCTGATTTTAAAGATTGGGTTTTTTGGTGCTTTTTATCAAGAAGGAAATATTCAAATTGCTCTCGAGTACATGGAAGGCGGGTCCTTGAGCGATATTATTAAAACTGTTCAAGGTCCAATACCAGAACCATTTTTATCTCGAATCTTGCAACAAGTAATGTTGGGGTTGAGATATTTACATAAAGAGCGTCACCTTGTACATAGAGACTTAAAGCCAGGAAACATTTTATTCAACAGCAAGGGTCAATTTAAAATATCAGATTTTGGAGTGAGTGCTGAACTGGACCACACTGGTGCAGAATGTGGATCCTTTGTAGGAACTGTAACATACATGAGCCCTGAACGACTTGAAGGGAAAAAGTATTCATTTGCAAGCGATGTATGGGCTTTGGGAATTATCGTTCTCGAGTCGGTCACTGGTAAATTCCCGTTCAGAGATGAACAAGACAAACCTATTGGCGTTTTCTGGGAATTGTTGAATGCTATCAAAATGAAAGCGCCTCCCTCTCTCTCTCCTCAACAAGGATATTCAAGCGAGGTTTGTGACTTTATTGCACTTTGTTTACAAAAAGATCCCAAAGAACGAGCCACAGTTTCAGAATTGCTTGCCCACCCATTCATTACTAAACATTGTTCGAACTCTCCAACGAGTGGCGCAGAGTGGCAACAATACAATAATTGGATTGGCACGCTTATTAAGATACGATCTCAAACTGAAAAATATATTCAAAGCGAACAACAAGAAAAAACTCAATCCTTAGAAACAAAGTTGAAGAAGCTTGTTCTCTAATATGATCTCAATAAACTTGTTGTTCGAAAAAATGTTGTCAACAATTGTTGGGCCATTACAATGATTAATAATACATTATTGACAATTAAACTGATGTTGATGATCTATTATATTACACATTATTAAAATTGTTGTCTTTTAAATTGAAGACCGTACACCAAGGTAAAATCCAATAAAGCCAACTTTTTGACAAGATATTTGTATTCTTGTGTTGAGCAGCTGTTGCCAGACAAATCCAATGAAGTCAAATTTGTCAAAATAAGACCATTTGCAATAGTTTCGCTGTATGTATGAATTCCATTGTACGACACATCTAATGTCCGTAAATTGTTCAATGTTGTACTGTTTACAATAAGGCCAGCTCCTTTTGAACCAAGTCGATTGTTATACATGTTAAGCGAAGTTAAATTTGTCAAACATTTGGTATTTGCAATAGCTGCTGCTCCTTCGGACCAATTCGATTGGAAGATAGATCCAATGAGGTCAAGTTGGTCAATGTTTCACTATTTGCTATAAGTTTAGCTCCATCCGAGTCAATTCCATTACTAGTCAAATCTAAGGATGTTAACTTATTCAAATAGACGCAATTGACAATGCGTTTAGTACCTTCCAATGAAAGCATGTTATCACACAATTTCAATGAAACCAAATTCTTCATAACTTTGCTTCTTTCAAGAAATCCAGCACCTCTATGACGAATTTCATTCGAACTTAAATCCAGTGATGTTAAATTTGTCAAACTTTTGCTATTTGCTATAAATTCAGCTCCTTCTGCACGAATTAGGTTTTCAGATAGATCCAATGATGTTAAATTTGTCAAATACTGACTATTTGCAATAAACTCAGCGCCTTTTGAGCGAATATCATTTGAAGCCAAACGTAACATGGTTAAATTTTTCACAAGTTCACTATTTGCCAAAACTTGAGCACAATCTGCATCTATTCGATTAGAACTCAAATCCAATGAAATTAATTTCTTCAAATGTTCACTACGAGAAATGTACTCGACAAGTTTTGAGCCCTTATATATTGGCTTGTAAATAGACAATGTCCTTGCCTCTATCGGATCTAGTGTCAATGATAAAGGAATTCTCAACGACATTTCTCGCCATTGTCTTGAAATTTTCATGCAAATCTGTACAATAAATAATGAATCAAGAAACTGAAGAATTTCATGAATAACATCATCCACCAACAGTGATGCGGATACTGATCCAGTTGTCGTCTTGCCGTCATATGATGATGCGGGTATTTCATCATATGATTTGCTAATAGGATTACTTTCTAATGATGATGATTCGTCCGTTGAGATCATCCATGGTCTCGTACGACTCTCTTCCGTCATCATGTGGTTCATCATCCTCCAAAGAGAGTAATATATTCCCTTCCGCTGAAATTTCAACGATTAATATTTTTTTCCATCTTTTGCCTCAAGTTCTTTGCGCATAGTGATGAAAGCGAAACGCAAAAAAACGCATTGCATGATTCGCCATCATCATCATCTTACAAGTAATACGGCTACTGGGTCTTCAATTTCCACGATTTGCATTATACTTTCTTTCCGTTGTTATTACGAGTGAATTTTGGAAGTTAACTCACGCGCACACATACACACTGTTTTGATATATTGCATTCCAAACTACAAATTCATCATCAGTTGTTTTGTTAGAGGATTTACAACAAACTTGATCATCCTACACGAGAAGGTTCTCGTGGATCATGCTCCATTTAACCCTCACTTCTCCAGCATGGAGAACACTGAGCATTACTCTCAGTCTTTCACTATTCTTCTATTACCGATTCGTTTATTTGAAAACCCATCATTCCGAAATGATTTATTCGAGTACAAATAATATAACGGTCTTTCATTCCACTTCTTCTTCGAATGGAGAACAATTATATTCGCCTCTTTCATCATCGCCATCATTGGATGATCATTCCATCTCTTCGGAGCAACCACAAAACATCACTCTATTCACCTTCCTTCTTTATGAATTATTTAATTATTATCGATATCTAATTTTGGAAAATAAGATCGGAGTATTGGTTCATTTGCATACGGTGTTCATCTTGCTGTATTATGCATGCAGATATGTGTTATTGAAATTTTTGGGAAATGTTACTCAGAAAGAGAAGGATGCATTTTCAAATGGATTAATTCCCTACGTAACCATTAATACCTTATTTGTATTTTATATTTTAAATCATTTTAAGAATATTAATTATTTAAATGAAATTATAATTTGGATTGTATGGCTCTCGGTGACTGGTATTTTGAAAAGTTTTAATATTGTGTGTCGAGTGAGGTCGTCAACCATGATGGAAGATGTCATTGCTCCAGACAAGGAGAAGCATCTCAAAGTGATTACTTTATTGTCAATTATTTTCTTTACAAATTTGGGAATGATTATATTCGCAACGATATATATTATTGGATTTTACAATAATGACTACTCGTACTATTTATTATTTATCTATGAAAATGTTACACTGTTCTTGGAAAATACTCGAATATTTGCCAAATATGGAGGATTTGTGTGTGAAATTTTTGGACTCATTAACAATGATACTCATCGTAAGAATACTGAAATGTCATTTGTTAGCAAGCTTCTCTCGACAATATTTCACAATGAAACTATTTATGTTACACGATTTGTGTTGGAAATTTTACTGCTCGTCATTGCAACCATGCATTATATGCATGTTTGGTACAACAATGGACTTCATTTTGCAGTCATTGATTTGTTACTATTTGCATTGATTAACAACTCTTTTAATGAATTAGAATACAAGCCTCTCGTTTGTTGGAATATCGAAGAATTAGTAGAATGTTGAAAGAACAATTTCCAGCACCCACGCTTGAGGAATGTCGTGAGAATGAATTTGTACGATTTGTCACGAATCATTTAACTTGAATCATGTCGAGGAGTTACAATCCTGTACGAGAAAACTCGAATGTGAGCATGTGTTTCACTTGTCATGTATTACTCAGTGGATGCGATGCTCCTTCACATGTCCAATTTGTCGAAGGGATGTGATTCAAGTGGTCAACGACAAGGTGACCTCAGCTAGGAAAGATGAACCAATGGAGAATGGCAATTCTCAAACCAAAGATCACACAAGTTCCAATCCTCCGGTTGGTATGACATCAACTGAGGGAGACGCTACTCCTACTTCCCCAGTCAATCCTCACTCAACTACGTTGCTCAGTACGAGTGGCAACTGGCTACCCTTCTCGCTCAAGATTGAGGAGACGACAAGCGACATTGAATCGAGCGATGATGAAGATGGAATGCATGATTCGTTTGGCGAGAGTGCTGCAAATCTTCAAGATGATTCCGATTCAACTCCAACTACACAATGATGACAAGTTGTGCCAAGTATATTGGATGCCTTAATTGTTTCAATAGTGAGAGCTCTCACGTTGAGGGATTTTCAAATTTCACAAATCGTTGTGTTCATTGCAGAAACATGATTTAATCATGATTTCTCTTTTGAAATAAATAATTGGCCATTTGATTATTTCTTTCATCTTCTATGTGCGAACTTCTTTTTGAATTGAGTATAAACGTATTCGTCTGATGCCGTATTATAGGTATATTTTCGTTTTTGTCCACTCTCTTCCAGTTCTTTGACCCGTTCATTGGTCTCCCTAATATTTTGAATCTTGTCCGCAGTGGAAAGTGGAACTTCAAGAATTGCACCACTCAATAGTTTTTGTCGTTCCTCCTCTGAGATTGGCTTGGCAGGTTGCTTGGTTGGATCACTTCGCTTGCCTCTTCGTTTGCTCATATTCTCAATTTCAATTTTATCGACCTTTAGCTCTTCAGGCAATTTGTACAATTCCTTTTCTTTCTCTAGAATTTCCTTGACACTAATATCTGATTTTTTCTTGGCATCACGTTGAGATGTACTTGAAGAAGCAGCAGCTTGTTGAGCTTCTTCCTCATCACTATCGTTAATATTTACATTGTCATCATACGAGTAGCCTTGTTCCTTCATCTTTTCTCTAATATATTCAAATAATCGTTTATCTTGCTCGGACAGTTCTGCATCTGTAAAATTCAAGTCCATTCCTAGTTGTGACATGGTACTCGATGATTCTTTCTTATCCATATTTGCTAATTTCATGGCAATCCACTCTCCTTTGTTTCTGTCAACAAGTCCACCTTGTGTACCTCCTTGCAAAATATTTAACTGTTCCTTCTTTCGTTTAACACTGGTATTCTTAATTTTATCTAAATCAAATAAATCTCCAGTTTTTAAATTTGCTTGCATTCCTTTCGGTCTGCTTCTCAATTTTTGTTTTAATTTTGTTTTCTCTAGAGTTGAATTAATATCATTTTCCTCTTCATCTGTGATTGCACTGTGTGTTATTTTGTGATCAGCACTAGTACTATCTTCATGAACGGGTTCATTTGATGTTGTGGTTGTTGATGTTGACAAGGAGTTAGATGTAGATTCTTGTGTGTGATGATCATCATTCGGAATAATAACATTCTTTTCATTCGTTGCAGTACCATGTTGTTCTTCCTCCGAGTGAGGAGTTGTTTCCGATGATGAAGCAGACGCAGAGGAATGCTCACCCGTTGCATCCTTCGATCGTAGATTAATATTCTTGGGTTGTCTCTTTTTGATCATTTTTTATAAATGAATTTGATGAAGCATCAGCTTCAATGAAAACAATTGTTACAGCATCAATAAAATTATTCCATTCCGAGAATAATGTTGAACATGTAAACGTTTAAATACGCAAGTTCAACAATTTCAATCAGACAAAGTGTTGGATTTAATAGAGTCAACAAGTGTTGTTTTCAGTAGCAGATCAGATAATGGAATCATCATTCGTGGTGGAACAAGAAAGAAATTCTTTCTTCGTTGAACCTTGTGGCCAGTCTTGGTCTGGCTACAATTACCTAAAAAGAATATTTTTTAATTATGGGACGAATAAAAATTTAATTTATCTGATCTCAATGATCTCAATACAAGGTCATGAAAGTTAATAAGTTTTTCAATGTTCCTTTGAGGAAATGGTAAGTTCTTTACCCAAGAATTGATCAATGAGAGCCATTAAATCAAACTCCTTCTTGATGGTGTCGCTCGAATCCGTTAAAACGCCATCCTCAATATGCAAATGGATCTCAAATGGTTCTTTCCGGTGCTCCACGAAAAACAAAACGTGCTGTATGAAAGGAAGAGAGGAAAGGTTTTTCAAAATCTTGTTTGAAGGAAGTTTAAACCCGACTCGAATATCATAAACCAAGCTCGGAATGGGTTGTTCCCTGGTTGGTTTTGAAATTGAGACTTGATACGAAATTGTGGTTGGTAAAGATGACATGGTTGATTCCTTATTGATTTCTTTAGTTTTTAGATCCTCTCTCCTGAAACAACAAGTAAATATTCTGTTCTCATCCGTATAGATATTCAATATTTCTTGCAACAGTTCCGAGGTGAGATCAAGATAATTTTGAGGTACGTTCATGGTTGTTGTGTTCATGCTATTTATTTCATCGTAGTCGTAAATATGCCTCCAAAAAATCATCTCCACCCACAATGGACCTCTTAACCATTGCAGCAAGACTCGTTTGAATTCAATTTTGAAATAAGAAAGGTGCAAGTGTTGATCCAACTTGACGCATTTGGGGATGCATGATTTCAAAAAACATTCTGCTTCGGAGCTTGTTTTTTGTCATCAAAGAAAGGCCTCCGAAGGTCTTATAACTTCCGAAAAAAATACTAGCGCAAGCTCCGAGCGTTTTAGTTGCATTGACTGTTGGAAATATTCTGTAAATAACATTAAATCTTGACGAGATTGACTCGCTCCGGAGTGAACAATTTTGTTTTTTACATAGCATAGGCTTTTCATTGGATTATTCACGCACGTAATTTGATGATGAACACGATAACGAAAACATTGCTCAAACCCTTCACAAGTCGGAAGGGCTCTCATGACGAGGAATCATTGTACACAATGACAGAATTTCCAAAACAAAAAGAAACCCTAAAACGATTCAAGTCACTATGCTCCCCAACTGTGATTAAAGTCAATAATAACAAATGGACCTATTTCAAATGCTGTCACTCAGACACGCTACCGCCTTTGATCATGTTACATGATTTGACGGGTTCTTCACAAGATTTTTACAATCAATTTTCAATGGTATTTGACGAGGGCAAAGATTTAAATTTAATAAGTGTGGAAATACCCTCGCATTGCACCACAATCGATGAATTTACAATGGAATTTGACAAGTTTTTGGATGTTCTTCTGTTTTTAAATGGTACCATGAACAGTGCAGCATCTCCACCTAAACCTACGATAGCGAATGGAAACTTGAAACGATCAGAGCCTTTAATCATTTCAAAAAATCGAAATAATTCAAAACAATTGGTTCATCTTTTTGGATGTGGTCTAGGAGCATTTTTAATTCAATGCTACGCAGAGCAGTATCCTGACAAGGTTGCAAGTCTCATGATAGTCAATGGATTTATGAACAACAAGATTTTCAGTGATTATTCACCCCTCAATGACCTGTATATACTAGCCCCTAAATTCATTCTTTCTACCAAGGTGTTAGATTTATTTTCTCCCTTTAAGGATCGTGAGTTTGCAAATAATGATGAAATATTATACGCCATTGAATATATGGTTGACAAGATTACCGATGAAACCTCTCAAAAGCAACTCGCGTCGAGACTTTGTCTCATTAGTGACGAGCGAATGATTAACACCAAGAAAATAATTGAGAAAATAGCCAAGCCCTATAACACCTGTCCTTGTATCACAATCGTTGATTGCATGGACGATGTGAACATGATATATCCAACGAGTTTGAGAACAGAACTTCACAGCAAGTACTATCATCCACAAAATAATATTCGACTATGTCTCATGAAACAAGGAGGACAATTCCCTTACCTTTCTGCTACAGACGATTTTAACATTTATTTAACTGTACATTTGAGAGGAATTTATCAAAATTATTCAGATATTGACAACATGGAGACACTCCAAGTCTCGAGTCCAGTATTGTCAGGCATGAATTTTAATGAAAATGGTTTTTCGACACCCTTCTCTCCTGAAGCTTCTTTCGAATCGAATGCTTCCAAGAATGCATCCTCTGCGCTTCCCATCCTGTACAAACACATTTCATTCACCCCTCATACACCTCCAGATATTGCTGAAGAGGATATTACGATTTATTCGTACAGAAGTATGAATAACAATCATGATTTTGAAGGAGAACTCTATAGTGAGGAACCAGAATGTGACGACGATGAGTCACGATGTTCATCTAGTCATGAATTGATGCGATTCAATTCTCATTCCATGAGTCGTACTAGTGGTAGTGTTGCAATGAGGCATCGTTCGAGTTCTGCATCCAACAACACGCTACCCACAATTGTTGGAATTGTTCACAATGAAGAAGATGAAGACGATGAGTCCAGTCTCAATACCTCCAGACAACATGACATTCTGTTCTAATTTATTCCCATGAACAACTTGACATCGAATGGATACAAGATGAAGCATTACCCGCCCAATTCAAATTCATGAATTTTAAATTTTAAAAATTAAAAGCGTTGCGCAAAACCATGATTCGCCAACACTGTGAAGATGAATTTCTCTCCAACGAAGAATTGGAATATTTGGCTGAAGAAACCATGATTTCTATTCGGCCTACTAAAAACCTTCCCAAAATCAAAATGATTACGCATACCATTGGACCAGCTCTCGCCAATCAGGAAATTAGTGTTCCTCTATGGGCTGCCATTCAACTCAAAAAGTTAAATCAATGCAAGATTGTCATTCCCGAGTGGTTGAGAGTCGATTGGTTGGAGGAAGCTTCCGCTCAATCATCCAAATCTCATGATTTTTATCCAATGCCTCCTCACTTTCTTGAAATTGGATACTTGTTGTTGAAAGTGTAAGTGGTTGTTGAGAGAGGCATGTTCACAATGTCTAAAGTGTAAAAATCCATCAATTCCTCATAATAATTATTCGTTATGAATTACTATTCATCACAACAAACAATAATTAATGAAAAAAGAGCAAAGAACGATTTTGATGACAATCCAGAAGAAATATCTTCACTGTTGAAAACTCTCGAAGATAAACGAAGAGACAACCTCACTGATGGGCTTACCAAAGGTATTGGAGATGTGGAGCCTACGGATTATTTCCCTGGTTATCTTTTGACCAATTTATCGGCCATGGAAATGAATCGTATACGGAAGGCCACAGTTGAGGTGTTGTCTAAGAGAGACCGATACTATAGAACTTCATCAACAACGGCTGAAGTACCTCCTTCATCCTCTCAGACTCATGATGACAATGATGATGAAGAAGATTAATGCTGTTTGCGCTCACTTGAAAAACAAATTTCAAAACATTTTCGGAAGCTCATCATCTTTTGGCTCGCAACAACACATTTCTCTCATGTAATGGCTCATCATATTGTTTATTGAGCATAGTTAAAAGAACAGGATTTCAGAAAAAGGCTCATCACCATTGAACATTTGTACTCCTGCTCTCTCATCGCTGCAGAGTTGTTCTGAGAATAAATGAATTAAAAAATGCTGAAAAGTGGTCTTCTTCGTTCCTCTTCTCCTAAAACTCTTCTCTCCTCATCATCATCAACAACAAAAATAATTTCTTGTTGCATCAATAAGAGCAACTCGTATCACACTTCCAAACACACCCAAGCTTTAACTCCAACTGGTTACGAGGATTTAAAGAGAGTAGATGAGAATGTAGCTTTTCCGTGGTTAGAACATGTCGTTCCAAAAAGACACCAAGACCATCCATATGCTATTGCTTCTCTCAGTTTTAATGGATTGGGAACTGGCAAGAAGCCACCAAATCCAATTGTTTTCATTCATGACTATACTACAAATTCCAAAGCCTTCTCTACCATTGCTCGAAAACTAAACTATCCATACGGAATTGTTACTATGGATTTGAGAGCAAGAGGTAAAACTCAAGTCAATGGTTTGGACCAATTATTCACTACACAAGACCAAAAGGAAAAAGCTTTTCTTCAAAACAACACATCAAAAACAGGACCTTTGAACCTAATTACTCATGCTTTGGATTTTGTTAGATTGTTGACATACTATGGGTTACCAAGAGCATTCGTCGTGGGTCATGGATTTGGAGCTAATATTGCTTACATGTTGATGAAGAAATGCCCCGAACGTATCAGTGGTGCTGTTCTAATTAATGGTGGATATCCAGTGAACAAGGCATCTATGGGAGAGGTTACCCAATTACATGAAAGAATTTCTGGTACATTTGGTACTTCATTGGAAACACTTTTAACACAAGATGCAGCTGTGAAGAGCGATTCTATTGATTTCAACTCATTTGTAGAGTACTCTAAGCATCAAAAAAATGATGAAGCCAGATTGGCTGCCCTTAGAGATTTGAGATCTATTGAAGATTTTGGTCTTTCTTTGGATGATTTAATTCGTCTGAGACACCCAGTTGCCTTGATTCGTTCCGAACATGGACTGAAGGATGGCGATAAGAAACCAATTATTGACGCTAAAGTGTTCAAATCAATGGAAAATGTCCTCAACACCAAGACGGCAGTAACCATTAATGGAGCTAACCATTACAACATGCTTTTCGACGAGAAATATGCAGAGCAAATTGCCAACACCATTGACAGGCTAGTGGTGGCTTATGACATTCACAGAGTGATAGAACATCGTTTCAATGAAGTGAGAGGAACTGAATCTGTTAAAGGTGAAGAGTCAAAGTAAGAAGAACAAGTGCCTCTTGATTTTTAATAATAGCAAGAATAGAAATTTGTTGCCAATTTTACCTAAATCAAAATTTACATTAGAAGAAATAAACTTTAAATTGTAACTATGTGTGGTTGGTGGTTATTTAAATAAATTACAGAATTTCCTCAATATTTACATCCTCTTCCTTGGGCTTCAGATTGATCAGACGATTAGAGACGTTTTTGAGTTCTTGAATGCTAATTCTGCCTTCTTGGAGGATGTGTTGTTTCACTTTTTCCATTTCTTCTCGTGAAATATAAATAAATTTACCACGATCGTCCAGTAGCCCAGTAATTCTGCCTTCTTGTTCCAATAATTTAATTCTATTGATACAGTGTTCGGTTTTCATTTTAAATTCGCTTGCTAAATCTTCCAAAATGACAACCTTGTGGTCTTTGATATAATTAATAAATTCTGACAAGAGACTTTCATTGTGACCAATGTCAGAGTCAGCTGCTTCACCTTGCTCTTCAACTTCAAACAAGTGTCTCCATTCTTCGTATTCCTCTTGCTTTTTTCTTTCAAGTTCTAATTTTTCAGCCTTCTCTTTTTCTCTCAATTCCATTTCTTTTTCTTCTCTCTCCATTTCCATTTCTTCCATTTTTTTCTTTAATTGATTTTGCCGTTCTCGTTCAGCGTTGACCATCATTTCTCGTTGTTCTTTTAATGCTTGTTTTTGACGTTTCTTTTCCATCTTTTTCATGTTCACTCTTTCATTTCTTGATAATTTTGACCGAATATTTAATTCCTCATTTTCTTCCATATCTTCTTCCTGATCTTCTTGAAGATCATCATCGGAAGAGGTGTCTTCATCAGAAGGGGCTTCTTCCTGTTGTTGCTGTTGATTTCTTCTCCGAATATTCGATGCAACGGCCCCACCTCTACCTCTTCGTATCCCTTGACCTCTAGGATGGGCAGCTGTTTCCTGCTCTTGATTTTGCTCACGTCCACCATCCGAAACCACAACCGAGCCTTGCTGTTGTTGGGCTAAACCAATTAGTGCTAAAAGCCAGTAGAAAAAATTCAGCAACGCTTGCAGCATTTTTTTTAATTCAGTCTTCACTGTTGTTTCCTAAACTCCCAACCACGTGTAATACTTGTTGAATTGATTCAATTATTTGTGCATGGAGAGTTTTTTAAAAAGAACTTCATTAGTATTGTTTAATTTTGAGGTCTCAATAGAATAGAGTTTGAGGCCGAGTTCGGACAGAAATTGGTTTCAGATATTTATTATAATATATAATAATATATAATATATAAAAATTAAATTATGGAGCATGATGAAATAATTTCATTGAGTGAATTCAAACAAGAAGACGATCATGAGCAATTAAATGAAAACGATATTCTTCGTGATCGTACTCCACAACATGAAAAATTTCCAACAACACCGATATTGAATGAAGATTTATGTATTACATTCAATTCTTTGCAGAGAAATCATCATCAAATTAATTTGCATCATAGACAAGTATTGTTGAATCATTTGAAACTAGCTTATGAATTCTCGGATCGATATATTCGCTCCTCGTTGGGCCCCTATAGTAGAGATAAATTAATTGTGAAAGGGGATTTACAAGGGACGATCATGGTCACCAACGATGGTAGAACATTAATGGAACAAATGTTCAAGCTGAGAAGCATGAATGAAAATCGAGAACAACATCCAATACACACACTATTATATCATTTATCGAAAAATCAAGACACTACCATTGGTGATGGAACAACAAGTGTAGTGGTGCTATGCGGAGAATTGTGTAAACTCACAATTGAACTCATTGAAAAGTGGGGTTTAAGCGTTGATAGCATTATGAAGGGCTATTACAAGACGTGTGAGTACGTTTTGAATGAATGGTTGAGCATTTTCGAATATGCAAATTCAGCAAGTGAACAAGTACGAATAGAGAGAGTATCTAGATTTTTCAATTTGAACAAGTTAAACGTTCAAGATCAACAGGAAATAGAATTAACTGTTGCCAAGTCAAGCTTACTCTCCAAACAAGTGAAATCCATGCGTGAGCATTTGGCATCAATTGCAGTCTCAGCAGTACACATCACTAATGGAAATTTGAGCTTTGTCAAAATAGATCCATTAATAACCAGAAAAGAAAAGCAAACAATTTCCATTCGAGATTCTAGCAATGCAAGCTCAGATGCAGAAATTATTGAAGGTGGTATTTGCTTGACAGGAAAAAGCTTGTCCTCAAATTTGAACATGCCATCATTTAGGAAGAATTGCAGAGTCGCTCTATTTTCTTGCCCTATTGAAACTCCTCGCCTGAAAACAAGACATTTCATCAACATTAATAGAGCAGAACAATTGGAAGAGTTTGAGCGAGTGGAAAATTCTTATTTTGAGCAGGTCTCTCGAAAGCTTGAAGATTTACACATTGACCTTGTAATTTCTCAATGGGGATTCGACAATCGATTCAATGACTACCTCATAGAAAGAAATTTAATTGGAATTCGCTGGGTAAGCGCTGAGGATTTGGATCGAATTGCTCTTGCCTCTCACGCTACCATATGTGCTCGAGTGAATGACTTGAATGAGCAAATGATTGGTTTTGTTGGTTCTTACCAATTCGATGAGGACGAAAAGACCATTATTCTAAGTCATTGCAAGGAGCCAAGAGTTTGTTCCATTATTGTTCGAGCTCCCAATGAATACCAAGCAGAGGAAACTGCTCGCTCACTGAATGACGCGCTCATGAATGTCAATTCGGTTTTTACCATGTTCAAGAACAATTACTCAAGCACAATTCCTTCAAACTCATCAGAAACGAAAGAAAAAACATCTCTGGTAGTACCTCCGCTTGTCTATGGAGGTGGCTGCTTTGAGACTGAAATTTATTCCATCATTATGGAAAATCTGAATCGCATTGGCTCGCAGGACGACGATTTCACACTGCAGACCATTGCCAAATATTGGGCCAAAAGTTTGTTAGTGATTCCTGCAACATTTGCTCAAAATGCTGGCCTCAGTCCTGTTGAAACTGTTCAAACTCTCATTGACAAGCACAAGGAGGGAGGAGAGAATCGATATTTTGGACTTTATGCACAAACGTTGAATGATGACGGTGACAGAAGTGATAAAAGAGAAACAGATTTGATTGATTTATACAACCAACCCTCCTCAAAAACAAGCAATTTTTTGCTTCAAGTCAAGAACATGAGCGACACTGAAGTGATTGAAAATGTCTTGATCAAAAAGAACATGATGCGGCTCGCCACTGAAATGGTCAACATGATCATCAAAATTGATAATGTCATTTATTATTGAAATGAGAACTTGTTGTTGGATTACAGCAATGACGTCCAATCCATGATCTCTACTTGATTCGAATAACATTTTGAACATGATGTGACTCGCTCCTGAAATGGCTCCAACGTGATCATCAAAAATGACATGCGATTTCAGTCTTCACAGTTATTACAACGATCGAATAACATCTCAGAAGCCCAATCGAAATCATACGACGACTGCAATATTCGTTTTTTAAAAAAAGTCTACCTCTCACCTCCTCACCAATAGAAATGGGAAACTATTTTGCTAGATCTGACGTATCTAAACAACCTCAGCCTTCACCCTCCTTGGAGCGTTTGCGACAAACTTGTGACATTGAACCCTGCTGGACTAGTCCCACTGTTCCTGCTGTTTCTGTTGCCGAGATGCGGAAGAAAATTATGCTGTACAAACCTTTGGCCGACTTCACTGCTGAAGACTTTAACAAGTTGTTGACTCAAGTTCATGGATTATCTGAAAATATTAAAATACGTACAGGAAGCACTGTGGATGGATCGGTTCTCGCACCTCTGATCAACACCTATCAAACCTATTTGCTTGATAAGCGAACAGAAAGCAAAGATCTCTATGAACGGGAAAAGGAAAAGTTAGAGACTCGGTTGCAGGGTGGCAATTTTACGAGTTTGTGGACCGTGTTAGAGAAGAAAATGGTCAAAGACTTGAAGGTACAAACTAAAAACAGCACACGAACCAACGTTACAATGGAAGCATCACAAAACAATCAATATTACAAGATGCTGGACGAGTTAATCGATGTTGCTGCTGCTGGAAGCACAAACCCGAACATGACGACAGATTCTCTTCTTTGGAACGACTCTCAACTGACTGAAAGCGAAAAATCTTTGATTTCCAAGTGCAAAGGCAAAATGGAAAGGTTGTCTCATGAACTTAAAAAGAGTGTTTTATTACGTCCAGAGAATATGGATGCCGAGGCACAAAATTCTACCATTCCAGAAAGATTTCTGTATTACGTTATACAGTGGCTGTTGACGGGTCTTGGAACCAAAAATTCTAAAAGCAACGAATGTACCATGCAAGTGAGGATGGTCATCTCTGGAACAAGTAACCTATTATATCGGTGGTATACGTCCTATTCAGACAATCTCATTTCCTTAATGAATGACAGTACAGAACTTCCAAATTTAGATTATTTGAGGTTTTATGGTGTCACCGAGTATGAATTCAAATCTCATGAAGACCTCAATGATTTTGCATGGTGGTTGGACTCTTTGGATTATTTTAATAATTCCACGATGGATGAATATAAATTGTTGAAAGCATTTGCTCGTGGATACTGGATGGAAGACGTTTCAAACAAAAAAACAAACCAGGAAAATAAGGAAAATAAGAATATTAATTGGTTCTTCTCGAAGAGTGGACACTATAACGACACCTCCATTCCAAAACACCAGGGCTACAATATTGGAGATTTAACATTTGATCTTCCAACGAGAGGCCAGTGAGAAAACAGACTGGAGATTTGATCTGTAAATAAATTGTTACTTTAATTGTGCAGGAGGAAGAGCAATGTTAAACTGAAATCATTGAGGCCAATGCAAAACTGTCAACATCTCAATCCTAATTCAGGGTAAATTTTAATAAAAGTCGCTCAGCTCAATTATTGTTACAGCACTGGCAAGTTTTGCCACCTCAACCTTTCAAAAAAGAACATACTTGGCGATATTCGAAGAGAGGAGAATATTGTTGGCTTTTGTTAGCTCTCTCTTTCTTCATCTGTATGCTGTTTACTTCCCTTCCCACTCTGCAAAGTAGAAATCGAAATGGATCGAATTCTAGTTCTGTCCTTCCCAAGAAGAACATTCAACGGGAGCATTAATTCTTGTGACCCTCAGTTGGTTGCTTGTTGTGTGTGAGATTAATTTCACACACGAAAACAAAAAAAAATGCAAGCTTCCACCTCAACCATCCTCAAATCGTTCCTTCCTGGAGCCACGAAAGGTAACTTGGTGTTTTCTCATATTCTGCTGTCGACAGGATTCTCATCAACAAATGTTCTTCTTGATTTTTAAATGATGGTGAATTTTTTTTATCTTGGACACTGTGTGAACCATGATGATTCGGGTGGATGAATGGTGAAATTTTCAAATCATGATCAACATGATGATCAATGACATGGTGTGTGCACATTCTAGTTGGCTTTATTGGTACTGGTGTCATGGGAAAGTCTATTGCCACTAATTTATTCAACAAGGGTTACAAGGATTTGATTGTTTATTCTAGAACCAAATCCAAAGCTGGTAAGTTGAGTTGGTTATGAATACATTTTTAATTGATCATTTCAATAACAATTGAATTTAATTTTGAAATATATATATTTCACTATTGAAATAATTCCAAAGAATCATTGATTGAATTGGGAGCCAAGTTTGTGAATTCTCCAAAAGAAGTCGGAGCTAACAGTGATGTTGTGATTAGTATTGTGGGTTATCCATCCGATGTGAAAAGTGTAATTCTCGATGAGGAGAATGGAGTCTTGGCTGGTATGAATCCAGGCGGAGTGATTATTGACATGACCACATCGGAACCTTCACTTGCTGTTGAGATTTTCAAACAAGCTCAAAAAAAGGGAGTTTATAGTTTGGATGCTCCTTGCAGGTATGTAATCGTGTCAATGATGAGATGGATGTAGAATATTCATTCCAAAACAATTCCTGCAATTTTTTGATTTTTTAATAATTTCACACTTTTATTGGATCAAAATATTTTCAAAATTACTAATAATTGATCAAAATTCAATTTTACATCTTTTCAAACACACACAGTGGTGGAGATATTGGAGCTCGAAATGCTACCTTAACCATTTTCGTCGGAGGTGAAAAACAAGTATTGGAATCGGTTCGTCCCATTTTCGAATCCATCGGAAAGACCATTAATTTCATGGGAGAAAGTGGAAAAGGACAACATGCCAAAATGGCCAATCAAGTCATTATTGCTTCTTCCATGATTGGTGTGGTTGAAGGATTAATGTATGCTCACAAAGCTGGATTGGATGTTTATCAAACATTGCAAGCTGTGAGTGGTGGAGCTGCCAATTCATTTTCATTGACTGCTTATGGACCTCGAATTTTGAGAAGAGATTTTGAACCAGGTATGTGTAAGGGTTTTCAAAATAGCTCTTTGATGATGATGATGAAATATATTATTTTCATTGTGTCTAGGATTCTATGTGGAACATTTTATCAAGGGTAAGTGAAATAGAGCTTTAGAATGATTGAAATATTATCATGAATCATTTATCGATGAAAATAATATATTTATACACACACGTGTAAAAGACATGGAAATTGTTCTCAGTGAATGTAACAAGATGCAACTCGTATTACCAGGTTTGAACTTGGCAAAAATGTTGTACGATTCATTGAGGTATGTACTTTAAACATTGAGATCAGAACTCGTTCAATTTTTTTTTGAATAACAAAAAGAAACAATGGAGGTGCCAAGAATGGAACCCAAGCCCTCATGTTAGCATTGGAACAGTTGAACAATGTCAAATTACCAAAGTATGACATTTAATTCAAGTAGTAATAAATATTATTGTTTCATTCCAAAAAAAATGTTTTGTCGAAGAAGGCTTTGTAGTATCACTCATCAACATTTCTCCGATTGCACGACATTGGGTGTTTTAACTGCGGAGTGCTTTGGAAATGGAAGGAATCAATGGGTCAAGCAGCTCTGTAAACGTTCATCATTGAATACCATTTCGGAAAGAAATTATTCATCGAAATCACCTGAAATTAAAACATTGGATCAATTCTTTGAGAAACCAAAGGCCTTTGATGCTGTATTCTTTATTAACAAGAAGGATTTAAATTTTGATCAGTCTTTGAAGGTTTATGATGCAATCAAGCCTCAAGAAAAAACCATTAATTTAATATGTGCCATGATATTTAATTGCCAACGAAACAAGCAACAAAAGATGATGAAAGAGTTACTCAAAGTATTGCTGGAAAAGTTAGAGAGTTGTAAAACGGCGGAGGAGATTAACAAGCAAGGTGTGAGAGATCATACTTGGAATGGGGTGTTAACAGCGTTGTGTATCGACTCTGAATTTGAACGTCATGCAATCGAATGGTTTTTCTTCATGTTAAATCACAAAGTAGCAAAACTATACGACACAACCTTTGGCTTGTTTATGAATATACTATCGAGAAAAGGAAATATTGAAAAATGCAAAGAAGTAATGGAATGGATGAAAAAAGAGAAGATACCTCTCAACGTCTTTATTTATTCCATGATGATGAAAGCGATGATAAAAGCGAATAGGCTCTCAGAAGCCATTTCATTATTGGATGATATGGAAGGACAAGGCATCAATCCTGATGGTGCAATTTTTAGCACGTTAGTATCCGCCTGTGCCGATTGTTTTGAGGAAGAATACGGAAAGAAAATTCATGAAATCATTAACTCACGAGGATTAGTACATGATTTGAATGTGAACAACTCGCTCATTAAGTTTTATGCCGCATGTAAGGATGTCGAAACAGCTCAATCACTATTTGAACAAATGAGAGCTAACAAGGAGCCAATGGATACAATCACTTGGAATTCAATGATAAAAGCATTGGTGCTCTCAGATCGTCTTGCAGAAGCCGCAAAGCTCTTACAAGAAATGGAAAAATGTGGCATTCCTCCAAACTCTGTAACATTTACTACATTACTATCTGGATGTGCTTCCGCAAGGTCATTTGAGATTGGAAAACATCTACATTGGTTGATAGAATCCAAAGGTTTTACCAATTTTACTAATGTGAACAATGCACTTCTCAGTTTCTACATCAAGTGTAATCATCCAGAAGCGGCTGAGAGGATATTTACTGATTTGATTCTCAGGGACGGAAAGAGTATTGACATTATTTCATGGAATTACTACATTACTGCACTAACATTGTTGAAGAAATGGAGTCAGGCAATAGCTTCTCTAACAGAAATGGAACAACAAGGAGTGGAGCCCAACATTACAACATTTTCAACCTTACTGAATGCGTGTGCTAATCATAAAAGAATGGAGGACGGGAATTACATTTACTCGATGATTCAAGCTAAGCAACATTTGAAAAATAGCCCAGTAATTTTGAACTCGGAAATCAGATTTTTCGAAGCATGTGGAGATTATGAAAAAGTCATCACTCTCTTCGAAACAATGAATCCTCGTGAAATATATTCTGTAACATGGCACTGTATCATCCGTAGTATGATTGCCTCTCACAAACTTTCAGCCGCTTTATATATAATTGAGTCATGGAAAAAGACTGGACTAAAACTTGATCACACCATGCTAATAACAACGATCAATGCGTGCACAGCGACAAAATCTCTCGAATATGGAAAAAGAGTTCACAAACTTGCCACCGCTAAAGGAATTACCAACTGTCTTCCCCTTAACAATGCCTTAATTCGTTTCTATGTGAAAATTAATGACCTCGACAGTGCCTTATCATTGCTGAATTATATGGTAAAGTTACACTCCAAAACTAAGCCCTCTCTCGACGTTGAATCCTACAATTACATATTCGAGGGTTATGCCCAAATGGGATGGATTAACAAGATACTTCCTATTTTCAAAGAAATGGTCGCAAGCGGAACAACACCCAATGATCTGACCTTCACGAGCATTATTAGAGCATGCACTGTTGGTGCTACGGATGGAAAGACTGAGAAAGCTCTATCGATTTATCATGACATGGAACGATTTTTTGGAGTACAACCAACGCGAGAGCATGCCACCTTAATATTGGAACTCCTGATCAAGATGAAACGACATGAAGAAGCAGAGAAAGTCCTACTGAATGGACCTTTAGTGTCTGACCAAGCATCGTGGCTCATGTTACTCAATTCCTGTCAAAAACATCATGAAACAGAGCGAGCTGCCAAAATTCAGAATTATTTAGTAGAATGCCATGCTTAAACCCAATTGGTCCAGCAAATTTTATTATATATTCGCTTTATTCAGTGGCTTGCTTACACTTTGTAGGTGGCCTTATTCAATAGAGAGGTCCAACTGCAGATTTCCTTTCAGCGAACGTGTTCAGGAAATTCATGTCATGACTTCCAACTCGAGAATTTTCAACGGCAAAATTCATCTCAAAAAAACTGAGCTGCTGTTGGCCGTCAAGTTTCTTTTGTTGTTTTTCGGGAAGTTGTTGTTGTAGCAGGAGAGCTCGTAGCTTGTAGTAGTTTTCAAATTCAGTACTTTGTAAATTTTAAGCCTTGACGATCATCACGTACCTTTGAATTTTCTTCTTCTATTCTGAAATTCATTGCTGTTGTTTTTCATGTCTCCGAATTTATCGGTCATTAGTACTCGAGCAAGCACTACAACAACAACAACTTCAATGAACAATCACGTTGTTGTTATTGGTAGTGGTAGCGGAGCCAGCAGTACGAACAACAGCCATGCCAGTAATAGTGCCAACTTGATCCATCATCATCATTCCGTGGACTCTCCTTCTGAATTCTTTACCAATGATAATTATTCTCCGTTGGTGGTTCAAACATCATCACTGGCAGTATTTCCATCTACAAAATCCAAACGTCATTCTACCTCTTATATATCCTCCTCTTCCTCATCATCCTGTAATAGTAACACTACAGCCAACAATACTTTGAACACAAATAATGACAACAACAACAATAGAAACACCAATAATTTGTACAGAACTACCACTACTCCATCCACAACAATAGCTCCCACTCAAACTGCCGGCACTGCTCCGCCTGTCCAACAGCAGCAACACCTTCTTCAAGAATGTAATAGTTCTACATTATCGGAAAGCGTCTTACAACAACGAGTACGATTCATCAAAGACAAAATGTTGTTGTTAGTTAACTTTGAAGGACTCACTTTGAGATCACTCAACGATGTAAATACAATTCAACAGGTATTACAAGAATTGGTTGGATTTCATATGAAGAATATTCTACAATCGGCGCAACAAAGCCGAAAAGACAAATATGGAAAGCTTTACTCTTCAAATGCACTAAGATTGCAACAACAATATCAGATTGATTGTTTTGTATGCTATGAAAATTTTAGCTGTGACAATGAGGATTTATGGATTCGATTTCAACACACAATGGAATCTCTGCAGCAACAATTTAACTTTCGAATGTTTGAAGAATTTTCATGTAAAACTGGCTATGAAGCTCGAGTCTCACAAGCCATGTCAATACTGGCAGAGCAAGATCATGTACCTGCAGTTTTTAGTCGATCACTTTCTCCTCCAAGATCATCCTACATGAATTCATTGGAAAGAGATCACAACGATTCACCAAGTAATACCGCAATATCACCTCTCGGGTTAACAAAACCATTGTCTCATGACATTATTTCGGATCATTTGGACAGCGCGTTAAATAGTATCACAAAACAACCTGTCAAAAACTCAATTCAGTATCATGCCAAGTATTTCACATCACCTACTTCAACCACATCAAGCCATCAAATGGACGACTCAAAATCGACCTCATCAGAGGCATATGTCACTATTAACAACCGATTTGAGCTGTACAAGGTTCTTAGCCGAGGCACCTATGGAACCGTCTACAAAGGAAAAGATAAGCTTCACAACACGAGTGTTGCTGTGAAAGAGCTTGGTAAGTATAGCTATGTCGTGACTTTTCAGTGGCTGAAACGATTATATTGACTCGACTCACGTCATTAATCAACACCCGTGTAAATATTATGTGACATGCATAATATAATTATATAGATCTCGAAATGATGGATAAAATTGGGGCAATAGAATTCGCACAAAGAGAAGTTGAAATTATGAAATTAATCAAGGATCACCCACACCCTCATATTGTAAATACTTTAGACGTGATAGAAGAGTATGAACCAATCGTTTTATCCTGTAGCAACAAGCCACCATCAAAATCTTTTGTGTATATTGTGACAGAATTTTGTGAAAAGGGCTCTCTGGAGAATCCTTTAGATGAACATGAGCAACACAAAGAAGAGGACGTACAACGATATTATGTACAAATGGTATTGGCTATTGAACACATGCACAATGTTTTATCAATTTTGCACCGTGATATTACATTAAGTAATGTTTGTCTTGATGGAAATGGTAATGTCAAAATTGTTGATTTTGGATTGAGTGACAAGTTTGAAAAGGGAAAGAAATATCATAGACTCTTTGTAGGAAATGGCGGATATTGTTGCCCTGAAGTTTTGCTCAAGAAATGCTATGCTGAGGAAATTGATGTGTATGCTCTTGGAGTGGTCCTCTACAAACTGCTTACAGGATATTTGCCATTTCGAACGGCTCAAGACAAATTTTCAATGAACTACTTTATTCCACTTGAGGAAGAAGAACAAATTTCTGACACGGCGAAAAACGTGATTCAGAATTTATTGGAGATCAATCTTGCAAAACGATGGAAAATAGATGATGTCAAACAAGACATTTGGTTCAAGGAAGGTTATCAAAAGTGGCAATGTAGCAAACACTAAAGAATAGTTGTGTGAGTGTCAATAATTATTTCATCATAGACTTTATGTATTGTTCTGAAATGAAGCGTTTGAAGAAGGAAATATGAATAGAAAATGATTGCGTCCGTGCTAGCCTTACTTGTTTCTTGGCACCATAGAAAAGTGATGAGCAAAGTGAAATCATCGTGTCAACTCAAACCATTTGTGCATTCTCCATGACAGTCAAAATACCAAAGTGATCAGAAATGCTTATTGCTATCTTGCGATTTTGATCATATCCAATAGGTTTAGTACCGAGTAGCTCAATATGAATGGGTTTCCAGTATTTTTTGAGTTGTGTGTGCCGTGACGGTATCAAAAAAGATTTCAATAAAACTCGATCGTATCTCATTACTTCGTGAGAACATTTTGCTAACATTGCATTTGCAGTGGTGTCAAATGTTTTTCCTAAATCATTGGGATACTTTAACATTTTCCACACATCTTGATATTGTTTTAAATGAGCGTTTGAAGTTAAATACGAGTTTTCCAAATAGGGTAAATAATTTTCATCATAATTTCTCTCGCTATCGAAATTAAAATCACCACAAATAATCGCGTGGGAATAGGGAATTTGAAAATTGGCAATAACATCCAATTGCTGAAATCTCAGATCAGCATTCGATAAACTTTCTAAATGCACGGTTGTGACAATAATATTTTCATGTTGGTATTGTGAATTTCCAATTTCCACTGACAATGCTGCTCTATTCATTTTCGATGGCATGGTATTGTAAAATAGTTTTCGAATGGGTAATGTTTTCTTTACAGCCATCAAGACTCCATAGGGGTAAACTGAACAAAAGGCGTCGTCTGGTGAGTCTGACAAGTAGTAATTATTTCTGTATGTTATATTAATTCATGAATCCAATCGATCATTCATAACATGTTTGAATAATTTTACCAAGTCAAAATTAAAGTATTCATTAAAATTATTATTAATATGAAAATTATTAAAAACTTTCAAAATATTGAACTCACCTGATCATGGGATGTTGAGCAATCATTTCCAACGATTGGGTGGTTACTTCTTGAAAACACAACACATCAGGAATGTTACTTCCAACACTCGGAAAAGAGCTAAATACCAAATTATTATTCGCTGATGGAAAGATCTCACTCATCAATCCATCCATTCTCTCCTTCATCATGTACGGATCAAACCAAATATTAAAAGTCAAAATACGTAACTGAGAAGGCATTCCCTGATGCATCATACATGTTACATGACAAATTTCATCAACCGTTTTCAAATTCTTCCATTGAGCTTGCTGATGATCATAATACGATGGAAATAACTGCCATTCTTGACTCGAGGGCTGTTGCTTGTGAGCATTCATGCCATAATTAAAATCCCGATCAAACGATTGTTGTTGCAACCAAGATTGATGAGCAATGGCATTAGCATCAAACAAGGTATTGTGTTGGAAGGGATGTGGTCGATTCGGAGTGCTGTTGGGTCTTTGAGAGAAGGACATCATTTTGAGTCAACGATCTTCATGTGTGATTATGGTGTGAGAATTGTTTTTTCTAAAGATAAAGATGAACTTGTCAACCACAAGGTCCAATGAAGTAGTACTTTGAAAAAGACAAAATTGGTGGTTTTACTTTGTTCTGCACATGTCCTTGGTCCTTTAAGTTTCATAAATTTAAAAGGTTTAAAAGTTGACCGTGCAGGACTACACAAGAACATTAAGGATCAGCGAAAAAGGAACTTGAAAAGCTGGATTTAACTGTTGAGCAACATTATCTACTGATAAAACGGACATGTGTTGACAGATATAACGAGAATTTTTATGATCTTTCATGAACGACTTGCGATGCGAATGAAGAAAAATAATTTTTGCAATTACCATAATTGTGAAGTGGAAAATGTGAGAGGTTCAAAAAAAACTGCGAACAAGTGTTTTGATACCTAGTTCTCTCGACAGTCTATTAGAGTCACCAGAAGGCATTCGAAAGACGTCTATGTGGTACTGTTTCGACTGTCCATATGAGTCATTCCCTATACAGTGATGGGTGCCTGATTCTGTACTCTTTCACTTACCTGGTCTGATACACTCCAATTGATACAATGTTTCATCCTTATTATACCTTAATTTTTGGTCACGAGACCGTACAGAATTTTATAATAATAATTATTATTTTCTATTTGTAGGTTGATTGTTAATTTATTATTGGAAAAGGAATGACAATGCTGATTTTTCTCTCTCCACAACCACTCGCATGAGCATTTGACGATGTAGCTGACCCATAAGTCTTCCTTTCCACACAACAAAAACGTCGTTGAGACCAAGTTGGGAGAAGAGCATGTGGGCTGTTTGAGCTGATTGATTTTCTGCAAGTGTAATTTCACAATTCTCATACTCCACTGTGAATGTGTAATTCTTGAAACGTTCCTCCTCTTGCTTATCGACTAGTTCAACATCGTATAATTCTCCACTAACATTGGTAGCTTTCATTTCTGCCACCTGTCCTGTAGTGGCAGACACAAAGGTGGTTTCTTGGTGTTGCGGTGATGGAAGTGTAACCCTATGAACCCTTTCTAACATACGTAACTTTCTTGTTTGATATTGTGCTTCCAGTGATTTGAGGGAAACTTGTCCAAGCAATAGCATTTCCTTCTTATTGTTCACCACTGGGAATACTTTAGGAAGGGCCTTCTTGGACAAGATTGTTTTGATTTCATGCAGAGATGTGGTCTCTTCTATCAGATCTAAAGAATCAAAGGATTGGATGAGGTTGGAGACTTTCAAGTCCTCTGAATCTGTACCGCTTTCCAATAATGCTGGCCATCCTCTTATTTTGATGATCGAATCATAAATACTTCTGTATGAAGCTCTAGAAATAAATACTGCAATGAGTGCTGCCATTAAGGATGGTAAATAAGCTGCTATTCCAACAATTTCTAAAAATATGAAAACAGTAGAAAATGCGTGTGTTGAGGCGGCAGAACAGGCAACAATTCCAACAGCAGCAAACGCGCCTGCATAAATAGGTTGACCTGGCACAAAGCCATTAGGGAATATGACTGCGACAATTTCTCCATAAAGCCGGCCACATCCAGCTCCAATTATCACCAGTGGGATATAAATACCTGCCGGTATGGGTAAATTAACTGAGAATGATGAAACTACGAATCTAAGCAGACAAAACACGGCCAAACTCGAAAAAACATCTGTTGGAGAGTTCTTGATCCACTCTCCTGTTAAGCCATTTTCACTTGTGAGCGGTTTTGGTGACAACAATTCCTCAACTGTGGCACCTGGTGTCAGTGACATGAATTTTCCAATCATTTGAGGGAATGTTAAAATGCTGGTCACAATACAAACAAAAATGGTCCAAAAGATTTTGTTCTCGAACAGCAACATGAATTTGTACTTGGCTAATCGTTCCGACTTGAAGATTAGATATCGCTTTCCATATCTGTCCCGTAGCTGCAGAACCTTTTCGTTGAGATACGTAAATCCAATACCAACAAAAGACATCAATACTCCCAAAATTGCGTGTGCAATAAGCTCTGGAATGGTGTATGATGGAAATGGTAAACGGACTGTCCAATTTTGGACAAAGTTTAGATTCAAGTTAACAGCAGCATTAAATAATCTAGATGTGAATGCTGCAACAACTGCAACATAAAAAGTTTTTAGGTAATTTCTCAAACTATAGTAGGTTCCGACTGCTTCGAGAGCAAATAATACACCACCACCAGGGGTCGAGAAGTTAGCGGCCACTCCTAGTGCACAACCACAAGCAATCATTTGCATTTTGAGTGTTTTTACCTTCTTAATGGGTTTGAATATTGGTATATTTAAAAAGTTGTTCGCTATGCAAGCACCAATATGAATTGTTGGGCCCACCTATTGGTTATGTGCATCCGAAAATGAAAAATATTATTGTGTCACCGTTTCAACTGGAACATACCTTTCCAACAAACATTCCTGATCCTAGCACAGCAGGTAATGCAATACACTTTACAACAAGGGTTCGAAAACTTATAGGATCTTTCAGGCCTGCTCCATTGAGAATGGCCTTCAAAGGAGGAATTCCAGAGCCTTCTGCTGTTGGAGCAATAAATACTGTCAAGAGAGCGGCACCATAAACAAACGCCAAGTTGAAAATTACCCATAAAAATAGTCGGAGGCCGAAATATTCCACCGGATCAAACGCATTGATCATTGCTAATCTTCCTTGGAACATGTACCTGACAATTAATTCATGTGTATATGCAACAACTCCTCCTGTGAATCCGATTAATGTCAGATACGTCCAAACAAATTTTTGTTTTTGAAAAGCCTTGAATCCCTTTTTAAAACTTTCAAGAGACTCCTTGTATTTGGCATCGTTAGCTAATTTCACAGTTGAAAGAATATCCTTCATGAATACTTCCGAATATGCTTGACTTGATGTGTTTGTATTGGTTAGCGCATTGTCTGAATGTAAAGCGTGCTCTTGGGCCACGGAAACATCCTCTTCACCAAGCAAGGACGATGATACATTATTTTCGTTCTTATTGTTCTTATTTGCTTTTCCTAACGACAATTTTACTTCCAATGCTTCATCTTCTATGGACTCAATTTGTTGTACATTTACAACATGGTTTTCTGGAACACTACCAGTGTTGTTCGTTCCCACATCATCGTGCAGCCGACTGTGAGAATGATAATCATTGTTTGTTGTATTTAATATATTTGGAAATGGCGTGGATTCGGCCAGTGAGGGTGAAGAATTTGAATGAATGATGAGGCTATTCACAGAAGGCTCGTTTTGTTTTGTGGGTGGTGTGCTGCCCGAAGGCGTCGTCGGCATTAAACCACTACTAGGAGTCATCTCACTACTGTTGTTAAATTTTTTTCTGTTACCCGTTTTTGCGTTCGAGGCCAAAATCAGCACGAAGGACAACTCGGGACAAATGTTGCGGATAAATGACAAATTCATTACTGAATCGATCGTTTGATTCTGTGTTGAAGTGCCTTCTTCTCCATTTCTTCAATTTCTTCTTGTTGTACCAGCTGGTCGTAGTGTATGACATCCAAATACCGAAATCCTTGAAACATGAAAGGACAGTTGTTGGCTTTTTCGTAATCATTAAGAGTTTTCATCAATTCATGATTCAACTTTTTCAGTCGAGTACCAAGCTCAACGTATTCTTTGGTGACCACTGCACCTGCCTCTTGTTGACGCCACAAATAACTGATTCTTGATTTTAAACCTTCTCTTTCAGAGATGGATTTGAAAATGGATCCATTTTGTTGAAAATAGCTCGCTAATCGGTTGTATTCATCCAGAAAAGCACTCAACATGCTTGAAATATATTCGTCTGTGAGGATCCATCGACTTTGATCATGCTTCTTTCCTGAGAGACTAATTGGCCGTAACACATGCTCGTCCAAAAAACGTTCTCTATCATTGTATGAAATGAATAAATTATTCCACATGTCTGTGGTGTGAATTACAATATTTTTCAGACGTTCACATGCAGGAGTTCCTTTCATCTTGGACGAAAAGTAAATATCTAACAGTTCTTTTTGTTTGTAAAACTTTTCTTCTTTTTCTCTTTCGTTAGCATGCCACGAGGCTACTCGTTCCTTGAGTGACAATTGTGGAGTGGGTGTTTGTGGAGATGATTTTTTGCTGCTGCCTTGTTCTTTCTTTGATGAAACATTGCTAGTCGATTTTTTCTTTTTTGGAACGTGCTCTTCTCCTTTTCTTAAATGAAAATTCTGAAGAATGGCCGTGTATTGATACACTCCTTTCACTTCTTTAAACTCTTTGAGCTTGTTGGACGGTGGTTGTTGTTGTGGAGCTGTTGAGGTCTTTTCCTCAAAATGTTGGGAAGGTGACTGTGAATGCTCTTCGAAATTGGCAGCGATTATATTACATGAAAAAGTTTGTTGGGGAGATGTGATATCCTGAGTTCGTATCCTAGGTCCAATAGGCTCAGAAACGGAAATGTCAAAGTTGGAATATTGGGTTGATACCTTTGAGGGAATTTTGTCTGGTTGTTTTGAGATGATCGTTGTTGGGTCAGAATGGAGAGAGTTAGAGGAGGTTGCTTTTGTGTCGTCCTTTTGTCTGTTAGTACAACCCTTGGAAGTGTGTTTGCCTAGAACCGTCTCTGAAGAGTTTCCAAAGGGATGATTCTCTTTTTCAGAATCAGTGTCGATTTGACTCTGAATTGGAATTAAGGGAGTGTCTTGTAAACATTCCATGTCGTGCCTGGTATGAGATTGAGAATTTACACAAGTCGCCCTTTCTCGATCTGAGGTCAGTACTTTAATCTGTTGTTCCAATGCTTCAATTTTACTCTGCAGTTCCATCTTTTCGAATCGTTCTCTTTCAAGCTCTTGCTCATTCCTCAAGAATTGATCTCGGATCGAATGCAACTCGTTTTGATATTCAATTTTCATTTGTTCAAGGCGTTTCTCAACCTCTTTTCGAATTTCTTCTTTGACCGTTTCCAATTTTTGATTAATCACTTGTATATCGATGGTCGGGTGCATCAACAGTCGTTTGGGATCATTGACTTGGGGAGTTTGTAAGGCCATTAAGGCGCTACTACTTGAATGAGGCACTTGTGGAGAGCGACCAACCATGGACGAAGAAATCGGAGAAGGAGTTAACGGGAAGGTGTGTTGTTTCCCTAAATGAAGAATGGATTGTGATACCAATGAAGAGACTGATGATGACGGACTTTCATCCCTCAACGGCACCTGCTGTTCCTCTTCACCATCTATGGAATGCTTTCCACTCCAACCGTTGCAGTTAATGCTGTTGAAATCCTTACCGGGAGTCATTAGGTCATATACCTCATCTTTACAGCCCAGTCCCATTCTATTCATCGGAGATGAATCTCCAAACATGAGATGATTAAACATTTTTTTCATAGTTTCTAGGCTGTAACGTTCATATTTTTAAAAGGCGCCGTTGGGACCGTCTTTCCTTGAAGCGTTTCAAGAGTAAAGGCCCTACTTGTATTTATAATGATGACGTTTCTTTCAGTTAACTGTTGAATTTATCCTTTTTATCCATTGATACTACTTCCCCGTGATGGTAACAATTCTCAAAGAGCTCTGTGAATTTTGTGACATTTCTACAAATGAAGAAGCAAAGACTCCAAGCCACCGTCTCCTCTCAGCTCGCAAGGTTTGGATTTTTTCATCAAAATTCAACAACCCTTTCGCAACATCATCACTTCCATCATCCATCACGATTCGATCTCGTTTGATGTTCTCGCTTGGCATCATCAAAAAAATTTCATCTCTGTGTGCGTGTTTTTTTCTCTCGAGCTAGCCTAGCCAGCAACAACAACAACACCACAATTTGAACATCATCAGTTTCAACACCATCATCATAATCATTGAGAGAAAAGTAGAGCTGTTGATTTTTCATTGTTAGAGAAAGAGGGCTATATCTTCATTATTATCCTATTTATTTCTGCATCACCATTGGCACACACGGAATATCGGACAACCATTTGTTTTGTGTGAATCATCATCTTCCCGTAGAGATCTCTTCTTCCACTACCATCATCATCATTCCATATTTATATTTATATAACATCCCAACATCATGTCTTCTTTTCTTTCTAGACTTGGTTCCAGCGGAAGTCTTGGACCAAAGGACGAGAAGAAAATTCTTGACGAGAATGAACAACCATTGAAAAGATACAAGTGTTTGGCTTCTTTCAACAAGGACGGAAACGAGGCAGAGCTGCGAACATTCTATCAAAAGAACTACTCGATTGTTTACAACATCTTTTTAGATGCTTTGAATAACATGAATTCAGAAGCTAAAAAGAAAGGTAGGTTTTGACATCATTTATTGACAACTGAATGTAACCAAAACAACAATAACTCCATTGTAATCATTTGATTATTGAACTCTCCTGCTTTCACAATGCATCATCAACATTGCGACTTGCGTGTTTTTGACCAACAACGTTGTTATCTTCTTGCTCACATGACCAACACACAACCATTACTGCCTTTTACGACTTGCCACAGCCAAAACAATTCCTACTAGTGACGTTTTAGGTCTGACTGACATTTTACTCAATCTTTTCTTACACTCCTCAAATATCATCCAAAAGAAGTGGCAACAACGTTCAATCATTCACACACTCGAACTTTTATTGGATGAACAAAATGCCTTCCAAATTCGTATGAAAGGATTTGAATTGATAGTGAGATTTGTGGACATTATGCAGGAAAATGTTGACAATCAAGTGTTAGACATGATCATGAATACTGTCAAGTTCAAGTTGTTGGCCGAGGACGTTCGTGATGTCAAATTACCATCATTCACACAACGTGCTTTGAATCCAGACGAAAGGTTGGCAGTTGCAACAGCCACAGGTGACTTGACAGTCGAGGAAAATTATCAACTCTTCCAATTCTTCTTTACATTTGTTAAAGAGTCCGACCATTTTGACTTTTGGTGGAAATTCTTTAAATCACGTCTTGCTCCAATCTTCTATCCAAACGAATGCAAGAGTCTGGATCTTCTCAACAAGATGGACGATATGGGTTTCACTGAAAAGGCACCAACTAGACTCCATTTACTCATTTTGAATGTTATTCTTTCCGCTCTTGAAAGTCCCAAAAACTCTGTCATTCTCTACCAAAGTGACAAGGATATTTATTTGCTATTAATGATTTTCAGACAAAGTTTTCTACTGCCACCACAACACTTCGAAGAATTGGCCAAGATGATGAAAACATATCGCTCATGGATTTGCAGAGATTATTTCCTGTACAATTGGCCTGAAATCATGGAGAGAAACAGAAATCTCTATTTCCGTATCTTTATTGACAATTTAAGTCAAGTATTTTTCATGAAGGGTGAGGAACAATTTATGGATTTACACATCAACATGTGCTACGAGGCGCTCGAAATGTTCATGTTCTTTACACAAATTTCAGACAAGGTTGACTTTGAGACATGGAGCGATTTATTGTCGGCTCACAGACGTATTTGTAACGCAATAGTTGAGAGAAAAAACAAGTCAAGCGAATCATCATATGATTCCACATTCTTTGAGATTTTGGAAAAGACTTGTTTTAGAAATTTATTTATCATATGGATCAAGTCTCACCCAACTGACCAATATCCAAAGTTGTGGGAAGAATTTTATGAATTGATGCAAACACATGCCAACCTTTCTTCTCCTTTCAGTTTATGGCGTGGTACAGTTCTCAATTTGGCTCGTATCATTTGTGAAACAATATTTGAAATGCCTCCAGAAAGAATGAGAGTTGGTTTTATTGAATACGTGACAGACATGTACACTGTGACAATTGCAAAGAAGAAACCAAAACTCGAAAAGAAAGTTCACGTCTTCCAAGGAATGGACTCATACATGAGCAAAAACTTGACCATCGAAACAGTACTTCATCTTTTCCACAAGTTCTTGAACATGTTCGGTAATGAAAATACACAGCTCGCATCTGGTGGTCTGCATTCCAAAAAGATGGCAGTTTTGAAAGAGGTTTTGGATCTTTTCCTTGATATTGAAATTACTGAAGTTAAAGCTGTCCGAGGTGCAACCAATCAGTCCCCATTCTTACACTCTCCTGAAGGTAACAAATTGTTTGCCATCTTTTTAGAGTGGATTGTCGAGGCATGTGATAGAACAGAAGATCAGTTTGAGCCTGGACGTGTCATTGCATACACCATGATGTGTCAAATTTTGACCACTCAATTCAGCCAACCTTTGGACAAGAAATATCTTGCCAACTGCTATAGAAGTCTCTTCAAAGGTCTCGTTCCAGAATATGGAGCCTCTGATCGTACCATTGAGGCCATTATTAAGCATGGATGGAGCTTGTTCTGTATGGGACACATGGGTGCTAACATTTTAATACCATACTTTGTACAAGCTTGCCACAAAGTTCTCAAAGAATCAAGCGCCACCATTGGCCCAGAAACAAAGGAACTTCGTATTGCTTCTGTGCAAGGGTTGACCTCGGTTGTTCCAATTTGTTACTTTTATGGCGACCGTCTCCTCCCTCACATTGAGACCATTTTGAAAATGAAACAAATCAATGTGGCTGATCAAGTCAGTGCTGAAGCTGTGAACACCTTCTCAAAACTGAGAGCTAAAATCTGCTCAACATTGTTAGGATGTGCTCAGGACGATCGATTCGTTGAAGTACAAATTAAGTGTATTTGGGGCCTCTACTCTATCATTCATCACGAGTTGCAAATTGAAGGAACGACTGGACGTTCGGCTTCCATCAAATTCATTGTTGAAATGTTCATCAAATTCTTTGTTGACAAGAATGCAGACGTTGCCTGTGCTGCTCACGATGCTGTAGTAACTTTGGCACATTTGGGACTCTTTACTCGATTGGGAATACCAACCATTAGAACATTCCTTCTCACTATTTGTACTGCTCTCTCATCACAATTGAAGGATTCTGATGCTGCACTTGCTCAATGGCCTATTTTCAAGCACTTGTTCTATTCCATTGTTGAAATTTTGCAATACATTCCAATGAAGGTTTTGGAAAGCAAGGAAATTGCTTCAATGCTTTTCAGTGCAATCAATAGAGGTTTATCTGTGGTTTCTCTGAGTGTGTTGTTGACACCTCAAAAAGACACTTCAGCTGAAGCAGCCACCGAAGAGGGAGGCGATAAGGCAGCTAAAATGTATTCCTTCGAGAGTTATACTTTGAGCAGAGAAGAGAGTGCTCTTGAAATTGCAACTGCTGCTGAAAGCTTGCTTTGTTATGCACTGAACGTTTACTCCCAATTCCCATCCCCAATCGGTGCTGCAAGAATGAGTACTGAAGTTTCCGAATTCGACGTCCTTCAAGAGGAGAATGGTCTCTATGTGACTTCACCAAAAGTGCATCACTTTGTTTTCAACAATTATACCTTGTTGACCATAATGGAAAATCCAAACAAACAAGAATCATGTATTTTAATTTTAAGAGATATGACAGGCAAATACTGTTGGGAATTCAAGCAAGTCTACTCAACAGAAACTTCAACATTCAAGAAAAAGCCAAATTATACCATCACTGAAGAGCTCGATGAATTATTTGATGATGAATCAAAATCCAATTCAAAGAATGCACTAGCACAATCCAAGCATACAGACAGCCCAGGTTCACCTGAGGAAGAACGATCTTCCATCTATGTCTCTTCCATTGTAAATCGTAGTGGAACTGACGAAGAGTTATTCGATGCCGACGATGCTCGTGGTGAACCATTTGTGAGACAAGATATGGGAGCCGTTGACCTTTCTTCAGAAATTGGAGGATTGGGAATTGACAATGAATATGAAACACCAGCTGATTTGTCTGTTCCAGTCACCTCTCAACAAGAATCCAAAGAAGAGGAAGAAGAAGAAAAGGAAAACAACGAAGAGGATGACTCTTCTCAAGCCAGGGCTGAAGAACAAGAAATGAAAGAAGGTCAAAACGAAGGAGCAGAAGAATTGGATTATCCTCACTATGACATTGAAATTGATACGGACAAGACTGACATGCTTGAAGTGTTGCAACACTATGTTGCTCAAGTTTTCCCAGAGTGTGCCGAATACGCTAAACCAACCATTACTACTCTCGATGATTTGCATATTGCTACCGAAGATGTTGAAAAACTTGCTTCAAGCTATCACAAAGGTATTTCTGTACTTTCTTCACAAGTTCCTAGACAAGGTTTCACACCATCTCAGGCACCAAAGAAGCCAGACTATGAAAATGATAATGTTTCTAAAGCCGTCTACAAGGCATTCAGATCTTTATTGAACAACCTTGGCTTCTTATCCTCCACAAGTAGAGCCTCATTCAGTTTAATTAATGCCAACGGTAGATTCTATCGTTCACTCAAACAACTCGACAAGTTGACTGAAAGAGAAACCATTAAGGTTGGTCTCCTCTATGTTTCTAATCAACAAGAGTCACAAAAGGATATCCTGAAGAATGATGAGCAATCTGGATCCAAAATTTATAAGGAATTTGTTCAATCATTGGGTTGGGATGTTGACTTGCGAACACATGGCGGTTTTATGGGAGGTTTGGATGAAAACTTGACTACTGGTACTACAGCTCCATACTATGCCAATGCCACAACTGAAGTTGTGTTCCACGACGTTACTCGAATGCCAACCAAGGCTAATGATTCGCAACAAATTCAAAAGAAGCGTCACGTTGGTAATGACTTTGTTCACATTGTTTGGAGTGAACACGATCGAGATTACAAACCATGGACCATTACCTCACAATTTAACTTTGTTCACATTTGTATCTATCCTTATCAAAGACACAAGGAAACATTCTTGTTCCGAGTACGAATTTTCAGCAAACCGGAAGTTCCACTCTTTGGTCCTCTTCTCGATGGTATGATTGTCGATAAGAAGAATTTGGGTGCTCTTGTGAGAATGACTGCTATCAATGCGAATAAGGCAGTTCGATACAAGCAAAAGCAATACAAGAAGCCATTCCCAACCAGAAGAAATCACATCAATGAAATTATTCAGAGACATAAGGCACAATCGACTTCCAACATTGATTTCATCAAGACCTTCTTCTTGGATCAAGATTATGTGAATGTTGAGTTCAATCCAAAGAAACCTCTTGCTCCACTTCCTGTGAGTACAAGTCCAACAACTAGTGATCCAACTGCAACCAATGGTACAAACACGAGCAGTACTGCTGGTAACAGTGGCAATGAACAAGTCAAGATGAGACCAACGAGAACGAGTGTCAAGAAGGATCAAGCACCACAAGGCACATCGTCATTGACAACACCTCACAAACAAGACTCAAAGACTTCAAGTCAACAACAGCAAGTCGTTGAAGAAACTGTCGAAGTGGTTGAAGGAGAAGAAGGAGTTGAATACGTTGAAGAAGTTGTGTATGTAGATGAATTTGGAAGACCTGTTGAAATTGGAGAAGGTGACGATGTCGAATATGTTGAAGTTGAAGAAGAGGAATACCAATAATACAACGATCCACCACCACCACTTGATGTGTACATTATGAACGTACTTGGCAATTACATTAAACATTATTTATTTCCGTAAACCATAGCACAAACTCTTGACAGTCGGTATTCAGCGATGACCTTTGGTAACAACACTATTCACAAACGATCGACACATAATGGAGTCAATTTACAAATAATTTGACTTTAAACCGTTGAGACGAAAGAGAGTTTTCAAAGCTTTCAAACTCTTGTGATAACTTGGATCTTTCAATTCATTCTTGAATCTTTCTAAACATTCTTTCAAATGTTTAATTTTCTCTTCTGTGTTTTCAATGGAATTAATGTCATCCTTATTCGAACGCTCTCGTTTGATACAAAACATGAAATTAATTCCAAAAGTAGTATGAATCGAAACATTTCCATATTCTAATTGCAATGTTTGTTCCACAACTTTGAGAATGGAATCTTTATGGAAGGCTGCTCTCATTGAGTTTTCATAATCCAATTTGTATTGTTCATCCTGATCTTCATCATGTAAGCTTGAGAGTAATGGAATCGTATCATTGGATTTGACATGAAGTAAATCATACAAGTACAAACATCCATCTTTCTTTAACACTTTACAAATTTCCTTAAATGTCAATTCCAAATGACATTCATCTGACAAGTGATGTAAAGTACATGTACTAACCATCACATCCACACTATTTCTTTCAAACAATCCACTCTCATAAATCTTACTCATATCTCCTTTCATAATTTTCACATTTTTCAACTTCCTTTCTAAAACTTGTTCTCGAGCAAATTCAATCATTGCATCACTCAACTCCAAACCAATAAATTCACTCGATGGATGCATTTGTGCCAACATGCACAATTGATTCGCTCCCCCACATCCCAAATCCAGAACCACATCTCCAGGTCGAACATGATCACAATTAAAGATATAAATGGGTTTCATGATGATTTGACCCAATCTTGCAAAAGAAGTCCCATTCGATTCCAAGTCCATGATGAGATGAGGTTCAGGAATTCTTGGACATGTGCTTGGAG